GGAAAGGACTGGGATAATCCGGTTAATAACTGGCGTGCAATCTATCGAGTAAGTCTTGAGGAATACTTTCAGTCCTACAAGAAACTTTATTCAGATACACAATCATCATCCAGAGCTCGATTATCCGCAATCGCGATTTCAGAGCTTGAAATAGAATACGGAGTAGAAGGGTCCCAGCCCTTAGTATTGAGTGAATATAATGAGCTTAAGGAATACCTTGACAGTGGTAAGTTATATCTTTTTGTTATCTACCCTATATTAACTTATATTTAAGGTATTATACGAACGCCTACCTATATATTTTGGAAAGAGTATTAGTATCAGTACCCTACTCTTACAAACCTTACACGCGATATACTATCAATACCAGCTATAGGGGCGGGTGTAGAACGCCTTTTCAACTCCGCCAGGGATATCTGTCACTACCGACGAGGCTCTCTAAAGGTATCAACAGTTCAAGATCTAATGATATTCATATGTATATCAAAATTTGAGATCGAAGATACCCACCGAGCTTTGATTAATAAGTATCTTTTATATAAAGAGATACAAGCCAACCAAGAGGAGAGTGATATAACCAACACTTATCATTTTGACCCTATAAGTGATAATGACGAGGGCAGTGATACTTACGAGGACGTGGAGGATAAGGATAGTACTATCGAAGTGGTAGTTGATCAAGGTCAATCACAACGGAGGCAGCGGACTCAATCGGAGCTCGAGGTTGAAGAGCAGGAGGAGGATACGGATGGTGAGCCTGAGTTACCTTATACACAACGGTATTCAGGGAGGGTTCGGAAGCGCTCAAGTAAGCTTGATGGTTATGAAATTGAGAGTGATAAACGCCGTAGAACTTGAAGCTATATAACGTATATTAGTTCCTCAAAGAATGAGATATTTCTATTAAGATTTGATGTTATTTAGCCTGTTTAAATGATTACTCCTGGTTATATTTATTTTCTATAATACTAAGCTGTAAACCAAATACTAAATAATACAGCTGAGAAATGCATATTTTATGCAACTCTAGGGATTTCCCTGTTTGTCCTGTTTGTCGGCCCTCAAAATGTTTGGAGGGCCGCCCTCTGAGGGCAAGAAAATAACCTGCCCGACCCGCGGGTAGGCGTCGCTTGCCCTCCGCCCGCAAAAGTGCGGGTCTGCGGGCGGCCCTCAGAGGGCCGCTCGCGGGCGGTTATGAGGTCTAATTATCTCTAGAGATAGGGCAGTCGACCTCCGCGCGCGGTCATATTCGAACGCTAGTCTAAGGATACCAGCTACCGGTATAGCTTGCGATGTAGTTGAGGTAAGGGCTGGTTCGAATTTATCTATTACCCGCTCTAACTCTCGCGTGAGTGCACGGGCACGGGATAAATGCTTTCGATCTTTTATTACTACTAAAGAAGGGTATACTATACTATATAATACGCGGAGACCGAGATATAGACTTCTAGGAATAAATAACAGAGCAGAATTAGCTTTCTTTTATACTTTTTTAATCGAAGGAATAAAGCGAGTTATTATGCTATATAGTACGGAGTTCGATCTCGTTGACAAACACGGGTGACTGCGCGCGCCCGCAAGAAACCCAACGGCTAGTATGTAGGTAATATTTACACGTTAGCTGACCGTTATCCAAGTATAACTTAGCTGCCCATTTCTGCAGGTCCTGAAATATTACTTCTTAAGCCGACGTCCACCGTTTCTATATCCTTTTTAGGCTCCTACGCCTCTGTTTTCTCGACCACGCTGTTAAGTATAACCTCAAATAAATCTGAGCCTCAGGAACTTTCTTTAATACCATATTCTTTAAGAAGATAGTCTGTTATAGCTCCTATCCGCTAGCTAACCTTATAAATAAGATTAGCTAATTTGCTCACTTACTCTAGCTCGTCGGTGACCTGCGTCAGGGCCTTCTACGTGGTAGTCAGGTCTTGGTTAAGCTTTCCCTAGATTTTCTCTGCACAAATTGCCCGCGAATTAACTGTGGTAAGGATATAAAGTATTTCCTATAGAAGTTAGGAGAGTTTTATCTAAGGTACTTTAGTGGTATTATACTAACTAGAGTATCTATAGCTTAGCTAATTAAGCTTAAGGAAAAATGAGTGTTACCAGGTAGGTCCTAAAACTATAATAGTCGAATAAATCAAGTCCTATAGTCTCGGTTTATTAGGAGGACAAGCGAATTAGTACAGTTATACTGCCTTAATTGATCAGGCGACTAAGGCATTACTAGTTTGAGAACGTTGGTTTCTGCGGACTAGGGTAGCCTTTACGTTGAAGACCGGATCGCTGAACGGACCCGAAAAGAACACGCTATTATCTCCCCATGCAAGGCTACAGTATATACTAAGTCGACGTGGTAAAGTGGCTGTCATAGAGACACAAGAAAAAGCCACGGCGAGATTATCGATAGCGTAGATAACTATAATTCTGTTTATACTAATATATATATAAGTCTATAGAGCAGCGATTGTTAGTTTGTTATAGCGCATATAGCTGTCCCTAGGCACAGATAGATTACTAGATATCATTTTAGTTCTATTGTATCTGCAGTCCTTTCTTTACTTGTAAGACCATACCTACACTCCTATCAAGAATCCTAAAGAGGGTAGGACTAGAGGTAGTATACATTATTATTGTCCGCCACTCTCGTTAAGGCGATCGACGGATTTTCCAATCCTCCTTTCCTCGAGATTACTGGACGGTGAGTAAAATACTGGAATGTTAAGTTTGGCTACTAACTTTTACTAGGATATCACTGTGACCTTTAAAGATAAACAAAGCCCGTTAATAGCCTCACAGATCTGACTTGTAAGTCACTAGCGGTGGTATACTCCATATAAGGAAAATCGGTGGTGGAATGGCCCTAGATGGTCCATAGGGCATAAAGGATGACTATTTTAAGAATACGGTCAATATAGTTAAAGAAGATCCAATTATAAGTCTGCGTGGTATATACATATGTATTATTTAAGAAGACTGTAATAGCGGGGTGACCTGTGTGGTAAAGTCTGCCGTTGAGATATCACCGTATTAGATAGCAGGTCTCTCTGAGGTAGACCTAATAGAAGCAATACTTAGATACGATCGAAGAAGGTACTAGCACTATCGTTGAAGGCTTCTTTAATAACCACCGACTTGACTAACTAACGACTTCCGCTTTCCTTATCGATATGCTTTTTGTTTAAATGTTCTTACTTGAACGCTTGAGTTTAAATATGTGTTATTTTAACGTGCTTTGATTTAATGTTATTACTTAACCGTTCTCACTCAAATGTACTCACTTAAACGTGCTTTGTTTTAACGCTTCCCTCGTTCTTAGCTATCCTTTTGTATTGATATGCTTTTTGTTTAAACGTTCTTATATAAACGCCTATATTTAAATATGCTTTATTTTAATGTGCTTTGTTTAGCTTTATTTAACTGTTTTCACTTAAATGTTCTTACTTGAACGCTTGTGCTTAAATGTGCTTAGATGTGCTTTATTTAACTGTTCTCACTTAAACGCTTATGCTTAAACGTGCCTTGATTTAATGTTCTCACAAAAATGTTCTCACAAAAACGCTTATGCTTAAACGTGCTTAAATGTGCTTTGTTTAACCGGTCTTACTTAAACGCTTCCCTCGTTCTTAGCTTCCTTTTGTACTACACGCTCTGCTTTTTAAACGCTATCGTTATCTACACCTTCTTTCTTTTCAAACTTTATAAGCTTCTTTCTCATACACATTAAGCGCCCTCGCTATCAACGCTACTATTTTAATTGTCCTCCTTAATCTAACGCCTATTGTTATTAGACCTTCAAGATAAGACCGTTTGATACCGCCGATTTTAACACCCTAGCTTTAATAGATTACCTATCGCTGCCTAAGTCGCTGTGGGAGACCATAGTTTAATTTTGTCTAGGTACAGTATAATAATCTTCAACAATCTAATTAACCTAAAGGTTATAGTTCCTCTCGTCTAAATATTGTGGGCTCAGCCCTCGAAAGTAAGTCTTACAGAAGCTTTAATCTTAACGGTTCAATTATATACTACGACCACCTATGTCTTTAGTTAATCAGCTACGTAGTACAAGAGGATAGTTGAGAACGAGGGAAGTGTTTGAATACTACTGTGTAGGTAAGAACGATTGAGTGAGAACTGTTCAAAGACAAAGAACATTGAAATAAGGCACGTCTAAGAAAGGTACTTTTGAATGTTTGAATATGATACGTTTAAATATAGGCTTTTATATGAGAATGTTTAAATATAGGCTTTTATGTGAGAACGCTTAAACAAAAAGTATATCGATATGAAAGGATAGCTGAGAACGAGGGAAGCGTTAAAATAAAGCACATTTGGAAATAAGCGTTCAAGTGAGAACGTTTAAACAAACACAGCATGTTTTAGCATAAGCGTTTATGTAAGAACGGTTAAGTAAGAACGTTAAATCAAATCACGTTAAAATAACGTATGTTTAAACTTAAGCGTTCAAGTAAGAACGTTTAAACAAAAAGTATATCGATAAGGAAAGCGGAAGTCGGTGATTGTTCAAGTCGGTGGTTATTAAAGAAGCCTTGACGAAAGTGCCAGTACGTTCTTCGACCGTGTCTAAGAATTAATTCTATTAGGTCTACCTCAGAGAGACCTACCATCTAATGTGGTGATATCTTAACGGTAGTTACTTTACCGCACGCTTACCCCGCTATCACAGTCTTCTTAACGCAGACTTATAATCAGATCTTCCTCAACTATATTAAATATGTTCTTGAAACGGTTATCCTTTATACCCTATGGACTATCTAAGGCCATTCTAACACTGATTTTCCTTGTATGAAGTATACCACTGCTAGTGACCTATGAGTTAGATCTGCGAAGCTATTAACGGGCTTTGTTCATCTTCACTTCGATTGTGTATATGTGAATTTGAGGGGAGGTGCGGGTTAGTGAGTTTTAGGTATCGGTTGCGCTAAAGATATGGGTGCACGTTAGATGACCGAGGCGTAGGTCGGTTTTCGAAGTTAAGGTAGAGAAGTAGTAGTCTGTGCCAATTGGAGAGGGTAAGGAGAGCCGGCCTGCTGCAAAGGTTGCGGGTGCGGGTGCGGGTGCGGTTGCGGTCGAGGTTGCGGGGGTGGTAGGAGTCTGGTAAGAGTAGTAGGACCGGCGGCTGGAGATTCCTGGCACTGTATGCTGATGTTTGAAATGATTGTCTTTGGGGGTACCCTGTTAGAGGGAAGGTAGTGGTAGTTAGGTGGTGATTTGGTCGAAGTAGTTATTGACTGGGACACTGAGTCGGGTTCAAAAAGTGATTTTAGATCGCGATAGATGATCTGCCATATGCAATTCTCTGTGTGAAGTCGTGGTATAGTATAGTATTTTTCGATAGGGGCTCGCAAGAATGTGGTTAAAGGGGTTGTCGTCCCATAGGCAAAGCAGCATACGGCTCGGCTATTCAGCCCGAGTGGCTTGTGATATAGGCCATTCTGTGCTAGTTCGAGAGGGGTGACGCCGCCTAGGAGCTATCCATAAAATAAGACAGCCCTAGCGGCGATGGTGCCGTGGGTAGTCGAGATACGGTCATAAGGCTGATCGGCGTGATACGGGGCGGTTTGTACGGGTAGAGTAGTGGGGAAGGCGGGTTTGAGGAGAGAAGATAGGGGATGAAGAATAGGGAAAGGTCTCCTGCCCTTTTTACCCTTTTCTATAGCGGAGTTGTGTCAAGTCTATCTATGGATATGTATTTAGCCGCTGTATCAGTCTGTAAGTCGACCTAATTGGCACTATTTTAGAAGCCTTCGTTCCTTGGTTAAGGTTAGTTTTCACATTCAATCACTAGTGGTCATACTAAGATGGTACTAAGCTAGCCCCTTTAAAGTATGAACCTTTATGGGAATGTGATTTTTAAGCCTGTTTATATTTTTTACAAATTCCTGATTTATCGACCTACTCGGTTCTAGAAGCTTCGCCACTCGCTCTACCGTAAAAGCTCCACCACCGCTTTATAGCCATTCTGCGTGGCGACGGACAGCGGTGTCTAATCGCTGGGGCCTTCCTCAGGCTGCATAACAACTTGTTCAGTTTCAAGTAAACATTCCACCACCACCTCGTGGCCCGCCTGCGCAGCTCGCAACAACAGTATCCAGCCGTTGTTGTCCTTTAAATCTGCATCAACACCCTCGGTCGCAAGTAAAAGCCTCACCACCGCTTCGTAGCCATACCATACAGCGACATACAGCGGTATCCAACCACTGGGGTCGTCCTTTGGCTGCAAATCAACGTGTCCGGTTTCAAGTAAGAGTTTCACTACTACCTCGTAGCCATAATACGCGGCCCGGAACAGCGGTGTCTCGTAGACGCATTTTAAATTAACATCAACACGCCTGGTGTCAAGTAAGAGCTTCACCACCGCTTCGTGACCGTTCTAAGCGGCTGCGAGCAGAGGTATCTCGCCGTGGGAGTCCTTTAAATCAGCGTTGACCCGCCCGGTCTTAAGTAAGAGTTTCACAACAGCCTCGTAGCCCTTGTACGCGGCCCAGAATAGTGGTGTTCTGTCGTGATCGTAGATATCAGTAACCTCAACATAAGCTCCATTTCGAATACAGATACGAGCTGTCATTTCCATCCCCCGCTGGGCCGCCCATAGCAAAGCGGAACTTCCTAGCAACGAATTGTGGCGATAGAGGAAGGAGTTGAGGGGAAGATAGCATTTTCGGCAAGTTCGAGATAACGAACTGATGTCCTTTTCTTTCTCTAGAAAATTTGCAATCAGGAAGAGTAACTCCTCGGGTAGATGAATAAATGCTTTTTCCATATCGTCACTCTTACTAAAAAGGCACTGGGCCGTGGTCGCGGGGTTAAGGGGTGAAGTGGCAATCATAATTCAGGGGTCGTGGTTGCTCAAATTAAACTTTTGAGGGGACTCTTATAGCCTCTACACTCACGTTCTCAGAGATCGGAAGGAACAGTCAGGGGAAGCGGGGAGGTTTGTCCCACTAACAAGTGCAGTGAAATTCGAAATTGATACAGGATGGATTGAAATCAATTTCACCACTTTCAAAACACGCTATACCTATTAAAGTTCATGGCCCCCGGTCTTGGCAGTATTTTATATTCGGTTTCAATGATAAAAATCAATGGCGTATTATTCCGGTATCTGATTGAGCAGCAACTTCTTACAAACAAGCCAAACTAAAGAGACACTTGCCTGGTTAGTTTGATATCTGGCCAGACCTCGAGACCTCCCGAGGGCATATACCCTCTGCTCAATTAGGAGAAAACGTTATCTTGATGGAGATCCGGGCACGCTGGGTTATAAAATGCATGTAATTTGGGGATCTCACAATTCCTGGGAGCTTAGTATGTATTACTTGGCGTAAATGGTCGTATAGGTAATCTAAGAGGAATATTGATACTTCGGGTCTATTCCCAATACGATATAGAAGATCTTGGTATTAGGGTTGGGGAATCAAACGAAGAGTGCAGGTGGTGATATCAGTTTCGGGAAGTACTGTAATCCTGACTGCACACTCTACCTCGCGACCATCCCATTTGGAGTGCTCTGTCAAGAGCCCAGAACCGTAGGAACAATGTCGGATCGTACGCCCGCTTCCCATTAGCAGAAGCGCTGAAGACCATGGACGTCGACAGGCTCAATGAGCTGGAAACCATTGACTCCCGTCCGCTGCCCTCCTGGCGCCCGGACGCCTTTACGGATAACGAAATCGAACACGACCGGGAAACGGCCAAAGAAAGAGCAGAGGGTGCAAGGAACACATCGGACATTGTCGTCTACTCGGACGCCTCCGGGCGCGAGGGCCATCTAGGAGCCGCCGTCGTCGCACTCAACGACAGTGATGAGGTAACGGAATCCCAACAGGTGCAAGTGGGGTCGATGGAACGGTGGTCGGTTCATGTAGCGGAACTGATGGGGATCTTCTACGCGGTTATGTAGCATGATATTCAAACTGGCTCACCAATGCGCAGTCCTTGGAAACCAAAGGCAAGCAACAGCAACAATCCTCTGCGACAGCAGATACGCTTTGCAAGCAATCCAGAATGTGAAAAATAGATCGGGGCAACGAATCATCCATGCAATCCTCCTAGCAGCCACCGAGGTTCAAGCAGGGCACATTTCCCTCCGTCTCCAGTGGATGCCAGGACACTGTGAAATCGTCGGGAATGAGGCCGCGGATCGACTCGCCAAAGAAGCCGCGCAACCGGGCAAAACCCATCCTTTCCGGCCGCTGCTGACGAGAGAGAACGCATTTCTCCGCGGCGAGATTCACGCTCAGTGGGAGCAGGAGTGGAACTCATGCACCAAAGGAGCGCATCTACGGAAGGTGGACAGCGCGCTACCAGCGAGGCACACCAGAAAACTATATGGGAACCTGCCCAGGAACCGAGCATATTTGCTCACTCAGCTGCGCACGGGCCATAATTGGTTATCCACTTACGCCAAGAAATTTGGCTTCCGAGACGACGATCGCTGCGAGTGCGGCGCGCAGGAAACGGCTAGCCACGTGTTGTTGGAATGTCCAAAACTACGAGACTTGCGGATAGAATTAAGAAGAAGTGTTGGGGACGCGTTCAACAGCGTGTCGAGTCTGCTGGGAGGCTCAAAGGAAGGTGAGAGAGGTAAGCCAGACACCGTCTCGAGGGCGAAGACGGTTCAGGCCGTACTGGACTTCGCCGAGGCGTCACAGAGGTTTCGCAGTCGTGCGCCACAAGGGCAGCCTAACAACGGGAGCGGCAATGGGCCAGGGTAGGCCGTGACGAGGCTCTAAGATTCAGTCAGAAAGTGGATCACTCTACATGTACTTCATTCATGATATATAGTTGTTGTATCCTGCATATCGTTCGCGAAGTTGGATTCTAAACCACAACCCACTAGGCTGGGTACGGATTCGTATTTTAGTCTAGTTGGGAAATCAACTGGTTATGAGCCCGAGTTGCACCGCCTTTGAGCGCGCCGGTTCGATCCTCACAGTTCGCGTTCTTGAGCACCCAGAGCCACCAGAAGACGGCCTATGATTGGCCACACAGCCAGGCAGCAGAGCTTCATACGCGCCCCCAGCCAAGCGTCTATGGTTTACGGGGGAGAGTTGGATTCTAAACCACAACCCACTAGGCTGGGTACGGATTCGTATTTTAGTCTAGTTGGGAAATCAACTCGCGAGGGGACAGGGTAAATGAACACTACTACTACTACTACTACTACTACTGTACCAGCAGAGGCGAGCATTGACTCCCGTGAGGCAGTTGCGGGAGGGGAGAACCCCTCCGTAGGCCTGTGGGCTCTGTGCGGGCATCACGTGAGGCAACCCCAATAAAACTCCTCCCTATATGAGACATCCCGCCCCTGTTACTGGAAGACGCGCGCTGCGCACGCTGTGGCCCTGAAACAAAACGGGATGGAAAGCGAGCTGGGTTTGAAGAGATAAAATGACGCTGAAGGGATAATTCTGATAGAGCGCGATAACTACGCAAGGATAATAAGATAAATCAGATATGCATGCCAAGTCGTATAGCATCATATGGCCCAAAGGGTGATTGGCTGAGCGTAGACGCAGAAATATATCCGTAAAGTTAAATTGAAACATTTAAGGGGATGCGGCACTTTAGAAATTGAAATAAGTGTTCATCTGGCAAGTGAGTTTTAGGTCTAAACCAAATGTTTCTTATGTTGATTCGTTGCTGGAGATGACGATATTTTAATGTGAAGTAAAAAAAGAAGTTATATAATTGAACCATCCTTTCACGGTGAGGAACGGCCTCATATATCTGAAGGTTCATTCCATGTAGCAATCATCTCTTTTTCGAGCTCCTGGAGTCTTTGTGTTCCAGTCATCAATCGAGGGTCGGGCCCGGATCGGAGCTGTTGGATATCGAGTGCCTGCAGGAAATCAAGTCCTTCGGAGGATTGAAGCCAGTATAGCTGCACATGCATTGAGCAATACTTCCGGTGGTGATCTCTTTCCCGGATCGTGAGGTCGTCTTCAAGCTTGAGGATCGCACCCGCAAGTGTAGATTCTTACACTTTGTGGTTGGTGAGGCAGAAGGCCGGATGTTGGAAGCAGTCGTGCTACACACCTTAAAAGAGATTTGTGTGGCGGCAAAGTAGAAAGGCTACTTGCTCCTAAATCGTTAGCGGTTGACAAGTTCAGAATATTCTTGGATAATCATTCCGGCGACAATTGTCGCAGGTCACAAACTGAGTAGAAAGCCATGGTCTGGCACAGCCAGAGCAAAGGGTACCAAGCGCAGCGGAAGATGACATATGTAGGGGAGTTGACCTGGTGAACGGTATCTATTCCTAAGCTTGCAGAAAGACAAAGGGTAATTGGGCCAGGCGAACCAGAGCAGGTAGAAGAACAAGAGGCGATCACCGTATGAAAGATGTCGGTGAGGAACCTTGCCTTGCGTTGAGGGAAAGGGAGAGCCCCCTGCCCCATGTTACCTGACTATCCGCGTGCTCGCATTGGCTTCTTCCCCTCTGCTGGTATAAAGAAATATCAGGATCGGATTCGTGCAAGAGCGCACGTGCACACGGCCACGTATCTGCGGGATACGTGGCAGACAAGGATCAAGGGACAAAACGGACCCAATAAAATCTCAGACCGACCAGGATATAGCGACAAGGATGAAGACGCAACATGACAAATGAAGCAATGCAGGAGCAAAACACGCTTCCTATGGAGGTAAAGCGGAAGCCAAAGGGCACAGAAACAGAACCAACCATCGTCGATCAAATGCGAGAGACACGTGATACAACGGGAGAGCAGCGAACGAAAGGCGAGAGCGCGAGAAAGAAACAACAAATAAGAGTAGTTCTTGGCAAGAGAACAAGCGAATCAGCATTGAGATCAGCAAAGAGGTTGGTAGTGGGAAGCGCAGCAAAGTTTTGCGGGCAGGTCGCGCAGGGTAGTATACCCTTCACTCCGTTCCTTCGTTTCAGGGCAAAGATAACTCCTTAAGTCAATCTAAGTCAATCAGACAATCACTTATCTCAACACTACCTATCTCAACACGAATATATTCGTTATTCGTGCCGACCCCTACTCGTTGTACTGAAGAAGACAAAGCTCTCTATCTGCGCCCTGAATTTAGAAGACTCCTCTTGGAGGATCAAAGTGCCGACAACGTTGGTCGAGATGAACTGCTCCTTAGTTTGACTACCAACATGCGGTTTATGTCCCAGTGTAAGGCGGGGCTATCGCGATCGGTCCGATCGCATCGCTTCAACGACTTCTCCAGGGCTGCCACCGATCGAAGCCCCCCACGGCTGGGGTAAAAATTGGGGCGATTGGATGGCTCGAAGCGAGACTCGGCTTGCTCACCTGGAAACCTGTTTTGTTCGGGGATTTGCCCAGATTCTTGGTGCGGGCGGAGTCACTGCACCAAGACTTGCGCGGCATGGCTACAGCTATAGCCACACTATAACCATGACTACGTCCCCGATCGCGTCCCTAACCGTGTCCTTGGCCGCCTCAGTACTCGATAGTAATGGCTGTATTAATGGTCAACTGGTCGTGAAAACTAGCACTTAAGGTACCTGACCATGTACCTTTGGAACCATCAGATCATCGATATGCATGTTCACATGGGACGTAGCTTAAATCTACTAATTCCAAGGTTCTAAAGGACAGACCATCAGAAGATTGGACTGGATGACTGAATTGAAATTAGTTGTAGTGACAGACTAAGTGCATCCATGGCTTCATTCCCCCCTCTTAAGGTCTGCTTTCAGGCTCTCAAAGCCCTCCCCCCCTCCCGCGTAGACAGACTTCAAACTCAATCTCCCCAGCTCGCCCGTCACAGCTCATGATCCATGGAATCATCATCCTCCATAAAATCGCTTTCATCAAGAGAAGACTCTGTCCCCTGCTTCGCTCCCGCCAAAGGGTTCTTCGCAAGGCAAGCAACTTCCTCGAAAAGATAAGGCATGCAGGCACGAGGGTTGGTATCATCCCCAAGAGATCGACCATTAGGACAGACGCGGCCAATACCCTTGGGGTCGGTCGAAAGACAAATTCCACAGCCATCCGAGTTGCACCACCGCCGGGCGGTGAGCTCTTTGACAAGATGGTCCCTGTCGCAAGCCCGATAGTGGGCGCCGTGGCACATGAACCAGGGCCCATCTCCAGCCCTTCCAATCACGTCGTTCAGGACAAACTTGTCATCGGCCTTGACAGTGCCACCCAGGGAACAATCCTTCGAATCGTGGCAAACACGGAATTGCCAGATCGGATCCGCGAGGTCGTCACGGTAATCATGTTTTCTAGGATCCTTCGCCAGAGGAGTACCGGACTTGCCTTTCGGGGTGCTTACCACTGCACCACCGCTACCGGCTTGCAGTACAGGTCCGCTCGAAGTTAGTTTCACCATTTTATATTCTTTGGTTCTTAAGTCTTGGCCAGACCCATCTCGACGTACATATGGCATAGCCCATTTATGGCTGTCAAATAGGAAGACGGTAACAAGTATGCACTAGCTAGGTCAGACTTAGCGTCGATAAAAACAGTGACTGGAAAGCAATCAACGAGAATAAAATAGTGAAACTGATTTCGAGCGCGTCTGTATCTGGGACGGCAACCTCAAAGTCTTCAGTATGGCGTTCTGGTGCCGAACAAATGCTCGAAGTTGTATTGGAATTTGAGAGTGTGTTATGGAGACTCGAAAGTTGCTTGCGTGTGTGTGCTGCTTTGGTTTGGCAGAATAGTTGCGGTTCTGACGACTGAATGTGGCCTGCAAGCAGTGATTTGGAGGTTCTGTATTGCTGATGATGAGACTGGAGGCAATACTATTGGCTGGGAATCTGAGGTTGGTGCAAAAAGAGCATTCTCTGCATCTCCGCTTTGATACCTGCGAGCAAGAATATGGTCCACAAGGGCATGAAGCATGACCGTTTTAAGAACCTGGTCAATATAATTGAAGAAGATCCAATTACAAGCCTGCGTGGCACATGCACATGCATCGTTTAAGAAGAGTGTGATGGCGGGGTGACCGTGCGGTAAAGTAACTGCCGTTGAGATATCACCGCATTAGATGGCAGACATCTCTGACGTAGATCTAGTAGAAGTAAGTATTGGACACGACTGAAGAAGGTGCTGGTACTTTCGTTGATTTAACCGTGATCCAGACCAAAACTTAATACAACTTGGTTAAGGCGACCGAGGCTTGACCACCTGTTGGCGGTGGCGATCGTTTGTGGATAGGAATCTGCCGGCTGGTCAAAGAACCGAATATGCCGCAGCAAACGTCGCTGTTAATAAACTTGTTCCCATGGTACTGGGACAAAGCTTTGAGGAGCGTGGTAGGTTAAAGCTTAAAGAAATCAAGGTCTACCTCAAGATATTGAGAATGGCCGTGTTAACCGGCCGAGAGACACCCGCAGCATACCGCGCAAATGTGACGCCCATAGCAACGATATAGCCACGGTGTTTGCTCTTCAGCTTGCTGCACTACGGCCAGAACATCTGCTTGAATCTGATATGTAACAGACAGGGGGCGGCGAAACATACAACATAAAAGCCTAGTCTCTTATGGACCGACATCTCCATCTTTCATATTATTTCACCCAGTCCAGCCCTTCCATATGCAGTTCATTCGTCTTAGCTTTGCGCTTTTCATTCTGTTGTTAGCATGGGCAGATGCCGACAATTGTTGGTACGATTTTAGCTCCGATTCTCGAGCTTTGACATATTCGTGCCAGAACTTTGACGATGGTGGTGTTTTTTATACATCTTCTCTGAAGCAGAGTGATTGTCTTCGAAATGAAGATGGCGAGCTTTTGTTCCAGAATGGGTAGGTTCCAGATCTTTCTTCTTCTGTCACCCTATGTCGAATGACCAAGCCATTGACGTCGAATATGAAGCGGAGGAGCTGCCTGCACAGACTGCTTCGAGCAAGCTGGTGCAAGTGAAGATATTGATGGAATGATCTATACAGGGAGCTGGAGGCCCTTGAACTATATCAAATGCTCGTGCCCCACTGAATCCGGTGAGACTAAGGCAGCATCAATTGAAAGGGGTATGTGGAAACATGAAATATTTGTATTTTACTAAGCACCAAGTAGGTTCTGTTTTGACCACCGTGTCTTCCTACAGCCTGGCTTGTGGCGCCACCACAGCAATTGTTTCTACATCGGTCCCAGCACCCGCTACATCTTCGGCGGCTCCTACATCCGCGATACGTGTCTAGCTATTTCAACATAGCATGATCCAACATATTGAGGGAAAGGCTGAATGACAGGATGGGACTGCCAAGGGGTTAAGGGCTGGTTCAGCATTAAGGCTTCCTGGGAGATTCTTAGTGGGCGTCGATCTAAAGTGACACTTACTCTTGGCGAACATCTAGGCTATCAATCTCTCAGTCAGCATTTTTTCGAAATGGCATCCACCCAAAGATATAATATTGAGACATATTCGGACAGAATAGTGACGGAAATCAGTGACCAATACTGTATGGGTTCCAGAACGGTGATATCAAACTCTCTAACTAACTAAAAACTATGAAACTGGCAATTTTGTAGGACATGCTGACAAAGAGTAGTATGCACGATTTTGTGAGGTGTCTGATAATGATGTCGTAAGATATTGTGGGTATATACCCAGAAATCCACATGCGAATCCACCATATTTCTGACAAATAGTAAAAGCCATCATGATCGAACCCTCGGAGGGATCGTCAGAAGATTGGTCCTTGACTGACCCCTGTTCATGCTCGGCCACACCGTCGGCCTCCATGGCCCAGTCATTTTGGTCCTTATCACTGCCTTCATCCATCGGGGCTCCCTCCCCCTCGTCATCTGATTGACCATCCGCTTCATGACTTTGATAGTCCCCGTCTGGGGAGCTTGACAGGTGTGCGCAAGCAAGACGCACATCATTCAACAACGAAGAATGCTTGTTTGGCTTCTTCTTATGATACTCTTCGTAATGACCCAGCTGGTCCGCAAAAATGTGAGTAAACGAATCCGGTCACTAGAACTTCTTGTACACACACAATTCATTAACGCCCGGCGGCTGAACCGAAAGGGCAACTATCACTAATCTACCAGTACATGCATGTTTGGGTATAAGCCGTGTCTCCTTGGAGCCCATACAGTATTTCCTTCCGTATTTGCCATTTCAATTTCCAATCTCTTTCCTCTAGTGTACTGTAACTAGCTGCAAAGATATCAACTATGATAAAATTGGATGGAAAAGAAACAACGGAGTCTCGATATTTAGAGTAAAAGACAAGAAGATTGTGGAAGCTCATTCTAGTCCCTTGGCTGAGCCTTTTGACCAACGGCCCTTCAGCGTGTTTTCAGCGCTTTAATGAACCAGTGTTAATTTGCAGATTCAGTTCGAGGTGGGGAAGGTATTTCAAAGCAAATGACTTACGATCAATAAGATAAGAAGGAACGAATAGCGGCGTTGACACAGCGGTTGGTTACTTCACTCGGAATGACATCCTCGCAAGGAGGGTTACAGTTGCTGCTCGTGCTCAATGTGATGTTGTTGCCACTGTCTGTAGAGACCTTGACCGATTCCGTGCCGGCTCCCAGAGTCTGGCACCCGGCTTCGAAGCCTCCAACCTCTTTTCCCGCCCCTGAACAATCGGTTGTGGTGTAGTAAGTAACTGACCACAGAGCATATGCTGAAGTGGCTAATCCAAGTACAAAAGGGGTTTCGAGACGCATGGTTTCGATGTTTGGGTGAAATATATGATATGAATAGACCAAATTGAGAGTCAGAATACGGTAGAAAGTCCCTTATTATATCTCCTTCTAAGGCAGAGTTGCACCTTTACAGGCGATACAGTGGGGTCGACAGTGCTAAGAAGCAGCTGAGCTCTCTCTTCCAGTTCACCACTCTCTTCCAGTTCACCACTCTCTTCCAGTTCACCACTCTCTCCCAATTCACCACTCTCTCCCAATTCACCACTCTCTCCCAATTCACCACTCTCTCCCAATTCACCACTCTCTTCCAGTTCACCACTCTCTTCCAGTTCACCACTCTCTCCCAATTCACCACTCTCTCCCAATTCACCACTCTCTCCCAATTCACCACTCTCTCCCAATTCACCACTCTCTCCCAATTCACCACTCTCTCCCAGTTCACCACTCTCTCCCAGTTCACCACTCTCTCTCAACCACTCTCTCCGAACGTAGCTCCTGTGTTTTGGTCCACGGCTCGGTGGGAGTAGCGAACGTACGTACATACCACCGGAGTCTAGATCTTTCAAGCCCTAGAGTGCTTGCATCTTTCACCACACTCGAGCTTCGGGGAACGCCGTCAGATCCACGTCGTCGGTTCAACGCGGTTAACTCCATCGGTCCCAACGCACTCCATCGGTCCCAACGCACTCTAGGCTCAAGTGAACGTTCATGTGCGCGTTCGTGGACAGTTTAGTGATTATAAACATCCTCATTAAAGGAAATTCCTGAGCTCAGTTATTCTCGGGGATGTTGAACATCCATGTTTATGCACCCCCTGTTTATGCACCCCCTGTTTATGCACCCCCTGTTTATGCACCCCCTGTTTATGCACCCCCTGTTTATGCACCCCGTTATACATTCCTTCCTTCCACGAGTGTTTGACACTAAGTGAATTGGTGGTGGAATTTTTACGAAGCCCAGGAGCCATGGTATATTCTGGCACTGTACGAGGCACTTTTCGTAGAGAGCTGTGTGTCATCGAGATTTTGTGTATATTCTAAAATCATGTGGAAGCTTGGGTCAATTCCTGACGATGAGGCTGTGTGTTAGGACAGTCCCCTGAGGGTGTCCTGGTACGATATGGATACGAGTGAAGAATGTGAAATGTGCCTGATATGGGTATGATGATATTCAAATTAATCGCTGGTCCTGCTAAAGGATTCAGCTCCTCCCTTTCTAGAGGATTCCTCTGTGCGTATACAAGCAGATAAGCGAGGTGATGTATCAACAAGCGGTTGCGGTGGTGCGTAGACACCTCCCCCGCATTCCCTATACCTCATTGTATGGTTGGCGTAACACTGTGCAAGGGTTTATAGAGCTGATCAAATTTAACTAACTGCGTTGGTTGGGTGGCACGGTGTGTTAATAAATGAGATGGTATGGATACCGACTCTTCTCGGTGTACTGGCCATGACTAACTCGCATCTTTTGTCACAAGCCCTGTTGGCCTCAAGGAATGACTATTGCGTTCTTGACTGCATTTTTTCCCGTTTAAACCTTCCATCATCACTTTACTTTACACAATGGTTTTTTTTTTCATCAAGCAAGGCGTATATATTAGATTTTCGTTGATATCAAAAGCAGGTGATCTTTCAAATCGGTCTATTGTGTTTTGAGATCAGCTAGTCAAAAGTCGTTTGTTCTGCGGGTTTCTCAGAGAATTGGTATTGTGCCAACAAACCAATTCTAGGCTACACAAAGCCTTTGAAGCGACGTATGATACGGTATTGAACTCAATGTGTACATTACCTTACTTCTGTGGTTATTTTCTTTGCTCTTACATAATCGTGGCTGTGGCGGTGCAAAGTTGTATTCGATCTGTAAAAAGTATCGTAAGTTATATTCGGTTTACTGTATTAGAGTTTCCACAAAGAACCAAGCGCAATTGCATACAGTGTCATTTTTACTTTTAAGTGTTGCTTAAAGACCTTTAAGTGGAGGAATCTTGGACATACTGTAGACCCCTAGTCCATGTCATGATTTTTCTGATCGAAGGGTTTGGGCTTGTGGGAGAGGGAGACGGTCTACTAGAGAGCAAGAAAAGGACAACCTAGAATGTCTTTACTACGCGGGCGTTTCGATTGGGTAGAATCCGACAAAAGGTGCTAAACCCCATGAATTATACTGCCACTTGATCATCTTCTTCGCCCTGATCTATAGAGAGATTACCGGATGTACATTGTGAAATGAACAGAAAATTATATGAAGCAATTATACTATGAGGCCAGATCCCAAGAAAACCTAGAAACCCGCCTGAATGCGTTGGGCCTCTGTAAAGTAACGAACATGGTGAACATCTTCCGCATGGCGTTTGAGCGCTTTGTGTCCACTCAACACAAGCTGGCAATATTCGTCAGGACAGGGTATGGGCTCAGTTGGCTTGTATTTCCGAAGGTGTTTTTCAAAATGTTCTCGGGCCTTGCGGGGCGAGGCAAAATAGCACTGGTACTGCGGTTCAAAAACGCAGAAGAGGCAATGTCGATTGGTGATCGAAATGGGACAATCTCGAGGTTCCGGCGATGAAGAGGGCTCTGTTTCCACTTGAGGTGGCTCTTTTGGTGGCGAAATTCGGTCGATGCTGATGACACACTTGGTCTTTTTGTCAGGGTTGATCCTTTCGGATGGGACTTTCACAACACGGCCAAGCCCAATCAATGCATTGACCATGGTGACTCGCTTTGCCATATCACTTTCCCCCGAAAGATTTTGCATCGAGGTTTGCATCAGTTCCGCTACCTGGCGACGTTCGTTCAAGCGATGAACAATCTTCTCGGGTTCATAAGCCTGCTTTTCAATATCCAATAGCGACGGATCGAGCTGTCTGTTGATCTCAAGTGTATCAATTGTGGCAAAGAATTCATCACGCGCTCCGTCAAACGTATCCTTCTTCAATCTCGCTTTGGCACATCGCAATGCTGCTTCCGTCTTGGCTTTGAGCTCTCCAATTTTCGTGCCAGCCGCGTTCTTCATCGATCCATACAACTCTTTGGCTTCTCTGGCAAGGGAATCGCGCATTTCCTGAAGGCTAACTATCTCGGGGTGAGTCGATAGTGATTCTCGCGTGGTGGCCGGTAAATCTTCGTAATGAGACGGAGCTCGAGGGTCGATATAGCGGCTTTGGTGGCTAAGAATGTTCAATAACGCATCCTCCGATGGTATTCCAAGGAATGCAGCTTGAACATGGCACTGGACACGTTGGTTCATATATGCCTGAAAGGTACTAGCGTAGATATGGCCCATCACCTGCTGGAGTAAAGGAAGAGGTGCAGTTTCTGAGCATAGTTCACATGTCAGCTTGAGAGCTTTTTTATTCACAGAGTGCCGAAACTTACTTTCAACAGCCTCACCGGTGCCACGCCGGAGATCGTAAGGTTTCATAGCACGAGGCATGCCCACTGCGAGACTCAACCTCTCAAGATAATATAGATACGTGTGGTATTTAAGAGGTTTTATCTCGTGGGTGCTGATACCACAATGGGTCGAAATTGGCTGACGACAGATAGGCACATTGTGTTTTTCTTTCACAAACCTCAGATGCAAGGAATGGCGCGGCGATTCTACCCGAGAGGCATAAATGTCCTCCATTGAGCGGATGTTGCTCTCGAATGCTTCATCAAGGAAGGCCATAGCGACCACAAGCGCGACAATGTCGAAGAAAGGTTGCTTCACTTCAGACATCAAGTAGATTTTGCTTGATATCACATAAACAATTAGCCATGTATATGCAACCCAGGGTCTCTAATGGACGACACTCACCTTTTCTTCTTTCTATTATGGCCCTTGGTGTGTCTAAGATCAACTTCCATCACAAGATGATCACGGATGCTACCAGGATTTGGTAGAAGGAGCAAACTTATGTGGCCGTAGCAAAGGGTTTTTAAATCCTCGTCTCCGAGATCCCATTCCTCCGTTGCGTCATCTTCCCCAACGTCAACATCATTAACATTTCCAAAAAAGTGTTGGACGTTGGTCCGCTCGTTCTTTTCAATATAGACCAATGCTCCCGGCCGGCTTGCAGTATAGGCCGAAGTAAGCAGTAGGAATGCGAGCTGGATAATTTGCCGACCATCTGGATAAGGAGTAGTATCCTTCGTCCAGTGATGATGAAGCACAATGTACAAATCATCGACGTTCATGACTGGCTTTTCTCCAACAGACCTATCCAAGTTGAAAAGTTCAACCAGGTCTTTGTTCATGTACTATCACCCCTCTGTTAGAGATCAAAGAGAGTAGAGAGCAATAAAAACCCACATCATTTATGTCCTGGCAGCTTTTTGCGTGGAGGCTACGCCCCACCGCTTGACGATAGAGCTGACACCATAACCGCCAGTTCTCGTGCAGGCTGCTGAACTTTTTTATTTTGGAGTTGTGCAGCAACCATTCAAGAAATATCATCACGTCCTCTTTCCTTGCTGCGTGGAGAGACTTCAAGTACTCCTTTTTCCCTAGAAAGTCACAATGCCTAGGCTTTAATCAGCGTGATACTCATGGATATTGTATTGAAACGGGTGCCTACTTGATCCATCTTCTCTTGATGTATTCAATGTTGTTCTTCGTGGATATAGCATGTCGCTTTTGGATAATGCTCTTCTCCAGTTGTCGGCGACGCTGAAGATAATAGTCGGGACTAGGTACTACCTTTGCCTTAGTGCGGGAAGCGTAGGAGCCTGAAACAGTCATGGCTTCAGGTAGCAATAAGTCTAGCAGATACTAGAGAATAGTGGCACGCTTCAGGAAATTGAATGGGAAGGAAGCTGGTTGGTATGGCGATAATGACAGTTGCCCAGAAGAAAGGTTGGAGAGGTATAATGCAGAAAAGACTGTTGCTGGTGAGTTGGACTGTAGAAAGGCTACGAGTTGATGGGGAGGGGGGCGACCATTTAAATGTTGGGAACCGGTCTTGATGGCTCCGCAAGACAGACGATTTATCATCTTTGTCTGGAGCGGCTACAAACGGACTGAAGGATACTGGGCATCACGTCATGACTGATCAATTGCCCTGAGCATACTGAGCGAAGGGTGAGCAGATCACTGAGCAGCCCTGAGCATACTGAGTGAAGGGTGAGCAGATCACCGAGCAGCCCTGAGTGCTCAGTGATCAAAAGTACATTATGCGCACGTGATGTTATGATGACTAAGATTTTGGTAAAAAGGGAGCTTAAACCGGCGTCCAATGTAGCCATTTACGGCAGCCGATTTACCGTCAATTAGCGTTGTGGTGTAATGTAATAATTCTTTTTATTGTTAATTGTTAGACATGATCTATATGATACTGTATAGTTGCTTTGTTGTTCTAACACACTGAGCGCTAAGTGTATCTATTGAACGCATTGAACCGAAAACAGTTGCTCTCAAGCGTTCTTCAACATATGTAGTTCTTATTGATGAAGATTATAAAGAGAGCTCGATATTTAGCTTCAAGCAAAATTAAGCGTGTATCACAAATTATGCTATCAGATACATTGATATACAACTTATAATCCAAAAAAACTCTACCACCAACTCCATTCTAAACCAACAAGCCGTCCTCAAACAACAGCAGTAGACTCCTTGTTTCCATTTGTCGCTGATATTGGGGCTGTATGCATCTAATAGACCATCAGAAAAAGAACCAAATCTAGATAAACCATGCTTTTGGGGGGGAAACAAAACATACCGCGTCCGCAAACTGCAGCCACTCCTCCACTCCCTTGACGAAAGTATCATCCGCCGCAGGAAGAGCCTCATGCCCCCATACTACAAATTCCTCGAAGATTCCCTGCGTCTCCAAAATCTTCACTGGTTCCTCGGGCTCAGCCTCTGCATCCTCAGCGCTGTCACCGTCTGTTCTTTGAGCTGCAGGTAACACACGGTCTGTAGGTGTTGCAACTACACCTATATAGTTTCAATGGTATATAGTCAGCCAATTATGATTAAAATAACATTTTTTTACTTTGGGAAAGCTCATTTGGACGTTCTCCCGTACCTTGATAACCATCAGGGAGGGCGACGCGCCGACCTCGAAGTTTGCGTCCGCGGAAATGCGCTGTTTGTGTATCGTCTGGAATAAAAGAGATGACATTAGTCTTTGTTTGTACACTAGTGCAGCTAGGTTTTCTCCAACTGGAGCTATCCTTTTTGCATACCCTTTTCGTGTTTCACTGTCCAATACCGGTTCAACGAATCAATTGGTCCATCGTGGTGAATCCGGCATGGAATGATATTTGGTACACATTGCGGAGGCGAGTCATTCTTTTTGGATTGTGAGCCCGCTTTTGAGCAGGGCTGGATGGTGTACATGTCGGGCATTATGTGAGTTGTTCTTGGTAGACAGATATTTTGCTCTGATAACAAGGCAGTAACGGTATAATCCAGGATAGGATATTTGGGATCAATTAGGCGCTGATTTGTTCTTATGTCGTTGTAGCGTGTAATCGAAGAGGTATCGCCTGGGTTCTGCGGTCTGGGTGGTTGCGCTGGTTCTTGCAAAAGATTGGAGGTGAGGCGCGACGCGTTTTCCTGTTCTCCGCGTTAAGTGGAAATCCGAGTCGGGATCGACGAGGACTACAGAAAATATTTATTCAGCTATCTCTCTTAGCATATTTTAGCTGTTTCGATTATCTGAAGTCTAAAGGTTTTTTTAAAATTTTTAAAATTTTTTCAAAATACCACCAGCTTTTAATGCTGGAAATGCAAAACAATTCAATTGGCAATGATCGGGGTATACATGTACAGAGTATCTAAGCATGTCTCTTCGAAAGCTGTATCGAATATTTAATAACATCAGCGCTTGCGTGTGGTCTTCTTCTTCTTCTTCTTTTTCTGGCCCTCGCCCTTCTCCCGGTTGTCGGCAATCATCCGAGCGGGCCATTTCTTCAAATGCTCGCGTTCAAATGCATCCTTCTCGCGACGATACAAAGCCATCGTGGCCCGAGCATCTTCCACACTAGAATGCGCTCCGTCCTGGATCTTGATTCCCAAAAATTCCTCGGCCAAAACCTTCAAACGTGGTGATCCGCCGCCTGCGACCCTCCGGTATGGCGCGTGCTTGCTAGTGTCTCGGATGTCACGCTTAGGGTGGCTAAGGAGGAGAGCGTCCAAATCATTGCTGACGGCATGACCAACGAGAATGCGGTCCTTCATAATATCTGCAATTTCTTTTTGGACTTGCTCGAGGGATCTGGCCTCCACCATGTGCTTCGGGGCAATTCCGCTGACATGCGTGCGCCAGTCTGTGACCATCTCCTTCGGACGCACGTACGAATCGTATATTTGGTCGCCGTTGAAATTCACGACACTGACACGGGCAAGCGCAGAGTCATTATCGGGGTTCGGTCCGACGCCCACCATTTCACAATCCATTGCGACATATTTTCCTAGTTCGGCACTGGAGGCTGATAGTTAGTAGCTGATATTGCAAAAAGAATCCAAATAGTATGGCTATACAATTTGTGATTTGGCACTTACGTTGATGAACGGCCTTCATTCTCCTTGTGACGCGAACTCGTCTCAATCTTTGGTGCATCGGCTGAATCACCATTCTCTTTTTTATCAGACATTCTTTTGCGCTTGAAGGTTGGTTTGGCGTCTTGGTTATATGGCTTTTGCTTCTCGGTCAACTTGCGTTTCTTCACGATGCCATCTCCAGAGTCGTGGTCGGAGGTCTTGCGCTTGACAGTAGGATCTTTCTTCAATGTCGCCTGCAGCTTCTTCCAATTACTGGAAAGCGCTGTCTTGTCCATTCTGAGTCTGTTGGTGAGAGAGAAGATGGGAGAGATAAAAAAGGACGATAAGGTAAATTTTCGGGATCCACTTTTATTTTGGGGTTGATAGTTGACCAGGTAGCGACTTGGATATCTCCAGGGCTGGACTACGGAGAACGTACATACTTTTGTATATTGTCGTTATATGCAATAATTTAGTGCATTTCGATTGATTGCTTAGTGTTTAATTTGATTTACTCAGGACTTGATTTACTTTGTGCTTGAAAAATATTGATGAAACCTGATCCTAACTCATCCAACCTAGGATCACATTATATGTCCAGATAACAAAATGCACGCGCTTTTAGAGGGAATATGCAAAATCATTCGTACCCAGTCTTGAAATCCTTCGCAGTCCACTTCTCTGTGATCTGTCTTCTGGCCTTGCGTGCCTGGGTGATTGGTGTGCGGGACTCGAGCTTACCCTGAACGATCAATGTTCGGAATCGGTCATCCAAGAGATTGCCTTCCGGCTTCAAGAGTCGGAGAGAATCCTGCAGCTCTTCAGGAAGCACCAGCTCCAACGGCTGCGCGGGCACACTAAAATAACTTGTTAGTCGCAATATAGGCATAAGAAAATGAACAAAAACTTACGGTTTCTTGCCACCGAAGGGCTTCTTGCGGAGCGCAATCTCAACATCATCATTATCATCAGACTCATCTGCATCCGATTGATTCTCGCGCTCGAGCTCTCGTTGCTTGAGTTGCTCGGCAATCTTGAGAATATGCTCGGCCTGTGCATCTCTCTTTACTCTCTCAGCCTCCCACTTCGCTTTCCCCTCTGCTGCCTTGCGTCGGATGACCTTGTTGCGCTGCGTCTTGGATTTCCGCTCGGGGCGCTTCTTGTTCAGCCACTCGGACTTTTCGTATTCGCTTTCGAAGCCCTCCCAGGCACTCTCGTCGTCCGACTTCACCTCGCCGTCGTCGTTCTTGGCCTCCTCAATCAGACGCTGCTTCTCAGCTTCCTTGGCTTCTTCCTCCAACCGCAGCTTCTCTGCTTCAACCGCCTTGGCACCATGTGTTTCCAATAGTTTGTCCCACTCTTCGAACACAGGGTTGTAACTAGTTCCAGCATGCGGCATCTTGACAGAAGGGACGGGCTTTCCATTGGCAGCAAGCGAGATGGGGGCGTGTTTTAATGTGATCGGCTCAACCTTAGGCTTGGGCTTCTGCAGGAAATCAAAGCGAGGGTCGTCATACGTGAGCGTGGGTTCAGTATCTTCCGCCCACGGATCGTAGAAGTCATTTTCGGTCTTCTTGCCCATAGGATTTCCCTCCTTCGCCACTTGCTTCAGGCGGAGATATTCCTTCTTGCTAACCCAGTCGCTCTTGGGCTTCTTCGTCTTTGGCTCAATGACTCCGTCGGTGACATTCGGGTTTACACGCTTCCGGCCGTCCAATGCGGGGATCATTGACCGCTGAGCAAGGATCTCATCTGACTTGAGGGGCTTCTTTTGCTTTTTGGCGATAGACTTGCGCACGTCTTCGTTGCCAACAGTATCGAGAACGAAAAGCTGATCGGAAGGCTTTTCGGAGATAAGACCACTAGCAGAGAGGAACAGTTAGAATTTCAATTCGCAAGTAAAGAACCCAAAAAAACAGAGTGTAAAATAGACATACCCTGTGATCTCGGCGTCCTTCAGATCGCGCAAACCATCCTGCACCGTGGTGATATCGATATTCTTGCGCCAAGCCTTCTTGCCCTTACGGGAAGTTTGCTTGAATTGCTTCGGGGCATCTACTGAAGTCGACATTGTAAAAAACAACAGAGACAGACAGTCAATGATGATAGTATGAAAATATTGGCTTATCTTTTTTTCCGGCCAAAAAATTTCTGGATCTGCTTATCTCAGCACGCGCGGGGGCGGTGATCGCGGTTATCACGTTTAGCGCGCTTGGTTACGAACTCGCTTTTCTTCCGCTTCAAGCTGTCATCACTTACGGCGCGTGAACTCCCTAAACGTCAGTGGGTTGTAATATTCCATCTTTCTGGTGGAACCCTTGATCTTTCACTATCGCTTTTCGAAATTTTGACACTGCGCTGAGCGCGATCGCACGCCATGCCTGTCGTCAAAGGAGGTGTCTGGTAAGTGCCACCATTGGAACCCGCCCACGTTTTCGTTGCTAACATACTCTCAGGACGAATATTGAGGATGAAGTGCTTCGGGCAGCTGTACGTTGTTCCTGACTCACTAGGAACTTTCCTAGCCAATGTTTGATGGGGCAAAAACTGACTCAATCGTAGGTATCCAAATATGGTCTCAACCAGTGGGCTCGAGTCTCCTCCCTACTCGCACGCAAAACCCCAAAGCAATGCAAGGCGCGCTGGATTGAATGGTTGGACCCGGGCATTCGCAAGACCGAGTGGTCGCGCGAAGAGGACGAGAAACTGCTCCACCTTGCGAAGCTGATGCCCACACAATGGCGCACAATTGCTCCCATCGTCGGGCGCACCGCCACACAATGTCTTGAACGCTACCAGAAGCTTTTGGATGAAGCAGAATCTCGCGAAAATGATGAGCTCGGCCTGGGAGGACCTGGCGAGGAGAGCGCCGCCCCCAGTGCGGACGATGTTCGTCGACTACGGTACGTGAATTTTACTAAAGGTCATGATATTCCTGAGACTGATACTTTTTAGACCTGGTGAACTCGATCCTGATCCTGAGTCTAAGCCTGCCCGTCCCGACACAATTGATCTGGATGAAGATGAAAAGGAAATGCTGAGCGAAGCGCGTGCTCGTCTCGCCAATACACAGGGTAAAAAGGCCAAGCGAAAGGCCCGAGAGCGTCAATTAGAAGAGTCGCGTCGACTGGCCGTTCTCCAGAAGCGTCGCGAACTCAAGCATGCCGGTATCAACGTCAAGGTCGTCACGCGGAAGCCCGGTCAGATGGATTACAATGCAGACATTCCATTCGAAAAGCCAGCTGCTCCTGGATTCTATGATACAATTGAAGAGAAAGATCTGAATGAACGTCAGCGGGAGGCATTTGATCCCCGGAAGCAGCAACTCGCAAACAAGAGAAAGGGTGATCAAGACGATGATGCAGAGCGCAAGAAGCGCAAGAACGACAAAGGCGGCACCACGGCAGCATCTGCTGCAGCTGCACGAGCAGGTCAAATGCAGAAGATTCGCGAGGCTGAACAGAGCCATAAGCGACGGGGTTTGAACTTGCCGGCACCACAGGTCAGCGAAAGCGAAATGGAAGATATTATCAAGATGGGTATGGCTGGGGAGAAAGCTAGTCGAATGAATGTGGATGAGGCAGGCACTCGGGAACTCCTTGGAAATTACTCGGCTATTGTTGGGGGAACACCTATAAGAACCCCGCGAGCTGCCCCGGAGGATGATCACATCGCCAACGAAATCAGGAACATTCGAGCTTTGACCGAAACCCAGTCTTCCCTCCTGGGAGGGGAGAACACACCTCTCCACGAGGGCAGCTCATCAACTGGATTTGAAGGGATTGCTCCTCGGAGACAGGCGATTGTCACTCCCAACCCTATGGCTACGCCATTCCGCCAGGCGAATGGCATGGGTGCAACACCTATGCCTGGTGGTATTGGGGCCGGTGCTACACCTTTGCGCACCCCGCGAGACCATTTATCTCTGAACCGGGAGGGAGAGGGTGGCCAGCTCATTGGCAGCACACCCCGAGACATTAAAATGCACGAGAACCTCACTCGTCAACAGATCCGCAACAAGCTGGCCTCACTTCCCAAGCCTAAGGAATCCGAGTGGGACTTGGAAGATATTCCATCTGAGTCCGCTGAGCCCACCATATCTGTGGAGATCAGCGAAGAGGATGCGGCCGAGCGTGATCGCCGTAACAACGAGGCACGGGAGAAGGCCGCCAAGGCTGAATTCAAACGTCAATCACAAGTTTACCAGCGGGGCCTGCCCCGCCCCGCTGTCCTGGATCTAAACAACTTGTTGCAGCGGGCCTCCCAGGCCACCGACTCTATCGAAGGCCTGATTGCCAACGAAGCCGCCATCCTGATTGCACACGACTCTCGCAAATTCCCCGTTCCCGACGCGCAGGTGAAGGGCCAAGCACCAAATTTAACTCCATTGGACGATCGGTTCTTGGATGCAGCACGAGCTTCTATTGCAGCTGAGATTGCTTCCGCTGAAACACAGAAGCCAGAATGGCAAGAGAAATTTGACGACAGTTGGTCGTCAGTTCATGCCAAGTCGCTGCCCGGTCTTGAGAATTACGAGGATGACGAGCAGGACCCCTTCCAAGAAGAAAAGCGCATGGTTGCGGCCTTTGAGACTGTTCAAACATCCCTCTTTGCTACTGCTGAGCGCGGGAACAAGCTTGAGAAGAAGCTGTCTTTGCACTATGGTGGATACCAGAACCGTGCTAAGACGCTGCGGTCGAAGATTGTAGAGGCTGATGCTGCTTTCCAAACCGCTACAAATGAGCTAGACGCTTTCCGTACACTCCAGATCTCCGAGGAGTCGGCTATGCCCCGGCGACTTGAGAGACTCCGCGAAGCAGTGTCATTTGTTTTGCGGCGTGAGCGAGAGGCTCAGGATTTGTACAAGAAGAGAAAAGATGAGCTTGATGAACTCCTTGCTGGGACGGGTACGGTCAATGGATGGCAATAGGCAGTTTGCTTTTTTTTTGTTCTGCGTCACGACCACAATATCTTGCTCTTCTGTACAACTACTACCTCAGTCTAATTTGACGAACCGTACGCGGTCATTCGATGGAAGACATCCCTAAGCTATTCAAATTGTGATGTGCCATGGACAGTATAATAAAGATTTGATATTAATTTAGCTGCTTGCTCAATTGATATGATAAGTCTTCTGACTTGGTAACGGTGCCTCTTCTCCAGGCCTGCTGTCATAAATCCATGTATGTCATCCTTCTTAGATCCTTCTGGAAGATGTCAAGCTATGTCAAGCTATGCATGAAATATAAAGTTAATATCCATTGGTAAAGATGCAACCCCGGTATTATTCTTGATACCTACCAATTCATATCAAACGTCAGGATTTGGAGCATCGGGCTGTTCAGTTGCAAGCTCTGGAACGTCGATTTCCTCCACCTTGTAAACCCCGGCATACCGCTTATCGTACTTGGCAAGAGTTTGCTTTTCCTGCACCGACATAACAGCGTGATACTTGGAAAAGTGCAAGGTAGGCAAGGTTTCCACGATGCGAATGTAAAGCGCTGTCGCACCATCGCCAACAATAGCCGGATCATTCGCAAGAATCATTTTTCGGAAGTACGCATTGACTTTGTGGGCGTTGACCACGAAGAACTCACAGGGATCGCCCCGGTTCGCATAAACATGGAATGTAAAAGGGACGTCCCAGAACTGGTTGCAGAGCTCGGCGATAGTTATCTTGTCGGTTGTCCAGCCATCCCAGCCCAGCATGACAAAGATGCACTCAGTCTTGGATGTGCGAGCTTCCTCAAGTGCCATGATCAGGAACTTTCCAGATCGGCTGACAGATGAGGTCCGGGTTTGCGCAGCCTGGAGTGTCGTCTGAATCCTATGGGGGCGGAAGCCTAGAATGCCGAATCGCTTGCGGTGCTCGACGATGGTTTTTGCCAGCATTGCGCGTAGGTATATGTGCATTCGGGTGTTGGTTACAATGTTGGACGGGTAGTCCTTGTCTTTCGCCTGTGTGGCCCTGGCCATGAATACCAGCACTGGGCCTAGGGCGTTACGGGGAGGAGACTGGCTTGTTTTGGATGGGGACTCTTGGGTAGTACCGCTGTCATCGACGCGGGGTGGACGAGTTTTGTCCGGGGAATCCTGGACTTCGAGCATGATTGAAGACGATGAAATGCGAGGAGAGTGAGGGATGAGAGATGAGAGATGAGAGATGAGGAAGAGGAAGAGTAGAATGAAGGAAATAACCGACTTGATATGAAGGTTTGTTTACAATTATCTCATGGTGTATATACGCCAAGTAGGAAGGTGTGTCCTGGGGAAAGAGCAACCCAAACTTGAAGATTACTTAGATCAAGGCCTGGGAAGGAAGGAAGCTGCGAAGCGAACATTGTAAACATACAAGTCGATTGGTGAGATCCCTTGGACACACGACTATAGAAAAGTGACAAAATGATATTGACATGAACCCATTTCATACAATTCACCGCTTCTTGATGCTGACATCGATCTTTCCAATGCCCCAGGCAGCGACGAAGACTGTGAACAGACCCACGAAGATAGTGAAAGGCTTGCGCAGGGCATCAAACATGGAGTGGTCGTACGTAACCTAATAGCAAGTTAGCATAGCTGCGAGATGAATAAGTCAATACAGATCAATACATACCACAAATTGGGAGTCACGCGCTTCGTCGGTCAGACTATCAACCTCCAGGGTCAAGGTGGTCCGGCCCAGAGTATCCATGTAAGTCTTGAGGGAGCTCAAGTGAGCGTGAATGTGATTCACGCCAGGAAGACCATTGCTGTTAGTTCCCTCGATGATCTCGAAACGGACATTGTGGGCACCTTCAGGGAGAACAACGCGCACAATCACACGCTCATACTGGATGCCCTCGGCCATCTTAGGTCCCTCAATGAGCGGGGCCTTGAGGACATAGGAGTCGGAGTCGACACCTGCGGCACGGCGCAGGAACGAAGCAAGGTCATTGTTCCATCCAATACGGAAGCTATAGTTCCAGCCTCCGAAGATCGGGTAGCGGGGCTTCAACTCCAAGCTACCCGCGCTCCTACCAACACTCGGACGGTAGCGGCTGGTCGAGACATTGCCGATATCATCAATGAAGTAAGGGTCGACAGAGCCGGGAAGAAGCGGATATGTCAGCTCACGAACCGCTGAAGTAGGCGCTTGCTGGTAGTTGGAGAAAGTCCACTCAACACGCGAGAACTGCTTGGTCAGCTGCGAGCCGTTGTTGCGCAGCCAGTACCGTTCCTCGGTTGCAAGGTTACCGCCCCAGTGCGAGACTTCCAAGTCACGCTCCAAAAGGTTAACAGTGATGACGGGCTTAGTGAACTCGTAGCGCACGGTAATTTGGTGCTCGGTACCAGGGGCCACGTTAGCCGTGTCATACGGCCCGTAGGTGTATGTGACACCCTTGCGCTCGGGGTCCGAGCCGGACTTGAGGCCATCCGTGGTTGTGTAATCCGGCACATTGGTGCTAGGGAACTTCAACTTGGTCTTCTGTGTAACTGTGGTGTAGGCGGATGGCATATAAGCGGAGAACGAGTAGGTGAGGTATTGCTTGTCCGCCTGTCCAATCGTCGCAGGAAGCGGGCTGAGAGAGGAAAGCACCGAGTATGAGATTCCAAGGGTAATCTGCGACTTCGGGTCCAGAGGTTCGGGAAGGTGAACGACGAAGTACTGGTTGCCGCTGTTTTAATTGATGTTAGAATTGAGTGCCACAGTGTATACACCTCGCCCATTACGAGGCCAGATCACTAGCATGGCCATTGGCCTTCCAATTGATACTCACTCGGATGATACAGCTTCAGTATAGTCCACATCAAAGCGTCCCTTCTCGGGGGCCTTCTTATCCCTCACTTCAAAGCCTCCAACACGGTCAAACACCTCGGCAGGGAAGGGGATGTAGTAATCGTTCTGGGGCTGCTTGTCGACATTCTCCACGACAACATTGATTGTTTCCCGCACATAGCTCTTTTCCAAATTGGTATTCCGAACCAAGTTTGTGTTTTTGAAAACCTGCGGGGGTTTGAAGCCGGACGGAAGATCCAATCGACTAGGCGTAGTAATGTTGGTTGCAGCGCACAGGCTGGGCGCGAGCAGCCCGAGCACCGTGGCGGTGAAGAACCTCATTCTGAATACCTGGAGGACACAATTTCTCCGAGGTTCAAAAGGGTTAAGAATCTAACTTGTGATTGTGTCAGGTCGATGAACCTTGCGTAGCTTGCGAAGCAGATGATACGTGGTCCCCATTGTATACTACGGTCGCCGAAGCGGCCATATCACGCACTCCGGCTTATCGCTGATAACGGTCTAGCTCTTAGGGTGGAGGTGATCTCGCGAGCTTCTCCTCATCTCATATATTTACTTCTTGCATACTCGAATTGTAGATTCAAATTAGCTGGAGTTACAGCTGAATCTTCTTTTCAGATATTATAATGCTGTCACACACTATGTTTGCCTCTCGAGCTGCTCTGAGATCCGGCTGTTTGAGGGGAGCTCAACTGTTATCTGCTCGTCGCTACCATGGTCTTGCCCAGAGCAAGTTCTTCAAGGTGTCAGAAGAGGTGCGTGATGCAGTTGCTACAGGGAAGCCAGTCGTATCACTCGAGACGACAATATATACGCATGGTGAGTCATTCTCTGTTGATTCCTGGGATTGAAGAGCTTCGCCCAAAAGCGGGGAAGCCAAGACTGATTCGCTGTAGGTTTCCCTTACCCCGATAATATTGCTCTCGCTGCAATGTTAGAGTCTGTTGTGAGAGCCAATGGCGGAGTTCCGGCGACTATAGGAATCCTTGACGGTGTGGCCAAAGTCGGTCTGAGTACGGAAGAGCTTGTCGAGCTGGCCTCGACAGCTCAAGATAAGAGCGCTCTGAAAGTGTCCCGTAGGGATCTCGGATATATATGTGGAATGGTGAGTTAGCTGTTACATGGCTCATAGGACCAAAACTGAGCTATATTAGGGCATGGTTGGTAAGCCAATGCACGGCGGTACTACAATCTCCGGCACTATGATCCTGTCCGAACTGGCTGGTATCAAGATTTTTGGTACCGGTGGACTAGGTAAATTCAATGATCAAAATTCAATAAAAACAAAGCCCATCTGACTTGCTCTAGGTGGTGTGCATCGCGGAGCAGAAAGCTCAATGGATATCTCCGGTAGGGAACACCGTGGAAACAAAATCAGTATCCCAAAGTATTGACAAATTGTTATAGCCGATCTTACTGAACTTGGACGTACTCCGGTGACGGTGATTAGCTCTGGATGCAAGAGCTTCTTGGACATTCCTCGAACGCTCGAATACCTCGAGACCGAAGGTGTCTGCGTGGGTACATTCGCTGATGGACGGGATGGCCCTGTTGATTTCCCTGCTTTCTTTACACGAGAGAGTGGCATCCGCAGTCCCCGGGTTATTCAAAATGAAGCCGAAGCTGCTGCCATAGTTTGTAAGTATACCCACGTGTTGAAAGCTACAGCCTCGTTGACAGAATTTCCAGACGCGCAATCAAAGCTTCCAGTGTCCTCCGGCATACACTTTGCCAACCCCGTTCCGTTGGAGTACTCGATTCCCAAAGCCGAGATGGATCTTGTGATTGAAGAAGCTATCCGCCTTTCCCATGTAGAGGGTTACCACGGCAGTGACAACACGCCATTTGTGCTTGCTAAGATCAAGGAACTAAGCGGTGGAAAGAGTGTAGTCGCCAACCGGGCCTTGATTGAGTCAAATGTCAAGCGTGCAACCCTAGTAGCTGTGGAACTCGCTAAGCTTGAACAAGCTGACCTAGGATCAGGGTCTCGGTGAGTTTTGTTTCTAGATACCAGATACGAGATGCAATCAATGCTAAGTTCGGATATTCCCTTCCATATAGACACATGCCATCAATCCCAGGCGTAGCCTTACCAACTCAAGTTGCCTCGCAAGTTGAAGATATCCCTGAGCCAGTCAGCACCGAGGTACCTATTACACCGACGCTAAAGGCAGATGTCGTGGTTGCCGGCTCGCTAGCCATCGACCTATCCTGCGACTACACTCCCTTCGGAGATGAGCTCACGCAGGTTGCACCAGTACCATATACATCCAACCCAGCAATTATTGGACAAAGTCTAGGCGGCGTTGGCCACAACGTCGCCGTTGCCGCCAGCTACGTCGGCAGCGATGTGATCTTCTGCAGCGTCGTTGCAGACGATCTCAGCGGCCGCGCCGCACTATCAACTCTTGAAAAAGAAGGCCTCAGCACAGCAGGAATTCAAGTCCTCCCCGCGATTCCAGGCACTCGCACAGCACAATACATCGCAATCAACGACATCAAAAAAGACCTCGTGGTAGCAATGGCCGACATGGGTATCGTCGAGCTACCCGAATCCCAGCTCGACTTCGATGGCTTCTGGGAACCTCTCCTCGAACGCACAAAGCCAAAGTGGGTCGTCGTCGACGCCAACTGGCGACCCGACGTGATGGCTAAGTGGAGTGCAGTAGCACGCAAACACGGCGCACGCGTAGCCTTCGAGCCCGTTTCAACAGCCAAATCCCGACGCCTGTTCGGCAGCGGTGTAACCAGCGTCGGTGCGACTATCAGTCCCAATCAGACTGTGCCAGATAATGCTATCAGTCTTGCGTGTCCGAACCGCCTCGAGCTGACAGCTATGTATACCGCTGCGCGGGAATCGTCTCTTTTCGAATCACAGGGATGGTGGCATATTATTAACTCCATGAATATGTCTCCAACGGGTTCGCGCGAGCGCTTGATTGCAATCACTTCGTTGTCTCTCGTCGACGAGGGCCTTCCGCAGCAGACCGTTCAATTGCTTCCTTTCATTCCCTGTATTGTTACCAAACTCGGTGGTGCAGGTGCTCTCCTTACTCAGCTTCTGCCGCCTGGTGATCCCCGTCTTACGGATCCGGAGTCTGCACCGTACATTCTTGCTCGCGCGCCGATTGACTCGGACGTGCCTTTCGGTGGTGTTTACATGCGTTTGTTTTCACCTGCTACTATTCTAGATGCCAATGACATTGTCAGTGTCAATGCGGCGGGTGATACGCTACTAGGTGTTGTGGTGGCTGGCTTGGCCAGGGATTCTTCCGTGCGCATTGAGGATGTCATTCCTATTGCTCAGGAGGCGAGCCGGAAAACATTGGCTAGTGCTGGAGGTGTGAGCAAGGAACTGGGTGAGTTACGGGGCTTATTGGGGCTGTAATAGTGGCGTAGCCATGACAGAACCCCAGTACTAATGACATCGATGTCTGAAGTGTGAGGCTTTCCATATAAAGTGAGTACCCTAGGGTCTTAGGACTAATACAGCTAACTCGGGAGCCCTGGAGCAAAGCTGTACTTACTTAGGCGATCAATATGTCAAACCTTTGGAATTTGAGGCCTAGCCTGATCCTAGGGCTTGGCTTTGAGGGCTATATCTGTAAAAATAAATTAAATCATTGAAACGGTTAGATCTATTGCTTAATAGAAGTCATCTCTTCAAAATACAGCATAATAAGTTGATTTCTGCCTAGTAAAGTGCCTATTACATCAGAAAAGAACTAGGTTTCAAGCCATCATGCATGTTATATGCTAGCTTTAAGATAAAAATATAGATTGAGATGGAGGGAACATGGAGGGAACATGGAGGGAGAGATAGAGAGACCCCCGGCTTGGAACCTATCACTTGCAAGTATCCACACTAGTAATTCTCCAACCATGTTGTATACTAGCCCTGTCGCGTAGAATGCTTTGTGTAATCAACCCACTCCCACATCCGCGTCCTGTAATATACTCTTCCCGTTGACTCATCTAGAGTGTATAGGTTAGCCATATGTCTTATGGACCCCCAACTTAGGTAGGCAGGCCATACCGTATCCATCATGCTGCCATCTTAGGTCTCTTGGCATATCCAGGGATGTGTTTTCGAAAGTATACATTGGTATAGTCTCTATAGAAATTGAAAATAAGCCAGTGAACAGAAACAACGAGCTTAGACATACCTTCGGATTTCTTTCTCGCCGATATACACTTCCAAAGACTGCATATAGTTTGGATTAAAGCGACCAATAGCGCTATGATTGCGATAGTAGCTTCAACGGAAAGATTCATTGCGGCGGGAAGTGTGATTTAGGATACCCTTAGAGAAAGAAGCTGCTAATTCCGAACAAAAAGATGAAGATATAGCAGTTACCAAGTGAACATTCAATAGCAAAGAGAATAGAAGAATCGAAATTGAACGTATTTAAGAGATAGAACTTAAGAGTAGGAAGAATACACTTTTCAGGGGCTCCTAACACTCACCTATATACTACTAGTAAAATTGGAGTTGAGAAAAAAAAAAAAAAGACTTGGGAAACATCACCCCTGTGATTTTTAAAGGGTAAGAAGGAAAAAAAAAAAAAAAAGGGACCGTCAGCCGGGTGAGAATTGTCTTTCCCATTTTCCTGGGCTACGGTGTGGCGGTGTTTATACTTGGCGGTGTAAGATGTATAAAGAAGCTGTTCCAGCAGGAAACGTACAATATGGAAAGAAAAAGAGAGCAAAGAGATGGCATACACATGGTTTGCCTTGTTTACTTGTTCGAGATACCTGCTTCCAAAGTGTCGACTCGAATGATGCTGTATAAGTCTCACGTTTCCCAGTTTCGTTTGCTTCTGAAGAATAAGTTGAAAATTATTTTGTGCGCTACTGCGTGAATCGAGTAGACATAGTATGGAACAGACTAATCGGCAAGGCCATCGAACCCAAAAGAGATTTGACCTTGCTATTTGAAAGCTATCTGGCCTGAAGAGACCATGAGAACTTCGGAAGTACATTGAAATATGTTAGACTGGCTTGGCTTATCGACCTAGTTAAACGGATGGGGTAGTTTATCAACCACTCGTCATTGGGACCATCAGATCCTTTTGGCTTTTTGGCCTGTTGAACAGGACAACGCTCTGTGCTAGGTACCAAGAAAGAGAAAAACAATGCCTGATTATAAATAGATTATCTTGGTAGACCCTATCTTCATGTAGGTATTGACCTGCAAACAGCCATGTACAAGACAAAGGAACCTAAGGCTAAAATACTACCGGTGCTCAATAGCTTTTGACAGCTTTTGACGACGGCACAAGTCTCGGATCCAACAATCCAACCTGCACAAGCACACCGGCCTGGTCCCAATAAATACTCTGGCGTGTAATCTGACTGGCACTGAAGCTTGCTACCACAACAACAATAACCTTTATCTCTCGATCCGTCGGTGGAACACTAGGCAGCAGCCATGGAATCTCGGCAGTATGTCGACAAGAAAACAACATCTCATCCACGATGCGATCCGCACCTACAGTGCGCGACAAGAGGCGGATCTGCTGATCAACTGGTCCAGCAGGAATATATGCATGAGCGAAGAAATCTCTCAGACTTGAGATATCAGAGCCTGTAAGATAAATATCAGCAAATTCCCGAACAGACCGTAGGAAATACATGTGCGGAAAAGAAACTCACCTCCAGCCTGGGTAGGAATACACTTCACAAAAACCTCACCAGCAGGACACCCTATCTCACCATAATGGCCATGACCAGTCAACATCTCAACCGCGGGCTCAGCACCACAACTGTGATTCTTTTTCTGCGTCTCCAAATCGCCAATCACACTGTCCCAGTACTCTTCCCAAACAGTCTCGATATCAATAACAGCCCAGTGACTCCCGACATTGAACGAGCGCCGCAGACACGCCAGCACCCGACTCCACGCCAGCTGCGAGCTGATCTCGTCATCCTCGTTCAAGTTCACATCCACCTCGCCTTCTTTTTCCTCGGCAATTTCCCGCTCCGCGAACCCGGCTCTAGACCCCGGGTACGAGTAGACATAGCACCGGTGTATTTTTTTGTAGGTGACGTCGCTGTCCGAGGCACTGAGGCTGATCCATGGCCACAGCGCGCAGCGCTGGACTCTTGGGCCTGGGACGTGGACTTGGATTGGGAGATATGATGACTTGGAGTCTGGGCCGAAGATTGAACCTGTGTCTGAGCAGCCTGGTGGCAAGCAGTTTTCTTTTTGTCTGTAGGTGAATTGGTCTGTTGATGGGATGGGGTAGTAGGCTATCAAGGCGCATAAGTGTGGGAATGGGTTTGTGTTGCTGTTTACTGTGTGGTGTGAGGCTAGGAGGAGGTAGGCAGGTCGGTGATATGCTGGAGTATATGGTTAGCTGGGTTTCTGCTATATCTTGTAGGGCTAAAATGTGTGCCTCGAATAGAAAAGCATATATAGAGACGAAGAAGAAGAATAGAAGAAAAAGAATAAAAGACGTACCGACTATCGCATATCGCTCTCCATTCTCAAGTTCGTCTTCTTTCTCATGCACCGCATTCTCCAGCGCTTTTCGGTCCTTATCTTCATTCCCAGTGCCGAGGAAGGGAATATAGATTACATCAAATCCCTCTGCCTGGAAGCGGTGGACTACATGAGTATCGAATTCCACAGTGTCGGAGATCAGGAGGAGCTGTCGGGGGACTGGCTCTTCATGCCGCCAGCTGCGTTTCCCGGAGCTCGCGCTCACTGCCCGGTGTAATCCGTGCTGATGGGATGCTCCGGAATTGGGGCCCGTAGCATCTCCGCCTTGGTCTGGTGGGTTACTGCTGGAACTTTGGGCTCGGCGTCGAGTAAGGCGTCGGAATACGTTGACCATAGTCTAAATGTGGGTTGATTGTATGGATGGGTGTAGGTTATGATAACTTTGAGAGGACATGTGGCCCTGTTTATATGTGGAAAATATCTGCTTCAAGTCCGGAAAACTCGGGTTGCTGCTCTTGGTATTACATAGGTCAAGAGATATGAAAATGGAGGCCAAGAGAATGCCAATACTTATGGCTCTTGGTATTCCAGCAGGTGACGTCGTCGATGTTGCATTGGGCGAGAAGATAATCCGTAGGGCTGCACATATTCATGCAAATACGCATCTATAGAATCCGATATGACAAGTCAACAAAAAAGATCCTTGTTCTATGTCTATATAGCGGAATGATCTGCGTTATATATAAAAAAATAATCGCAATGCAGGATGATCATCTCACCAATCCCAAATGTCATGCAATATCCATCTAACCCCACTTAATCAAAGCTCACCAACCACCCACGATCCTCGCTGACTTTTCCAGATGCTTTACCATCGTCAACAAGATAGCACTTGTAAGCCTCGCGCATTAGGCTCTCCCGCGCAACCTCACAATCCACCCGAATATCCTCCACCAACGCCTCGAGCGAGACATAATCAAACTCGGGCCGGATATAACCCAGAATCAGCAGGTTAAGTCGCGTTGTATAGAAATCAGGCAAACGATTGAACTTAGTCTGGCCCTCCTGCCCCGCAGCAGTGGGCGATGGTTCCGTGAGAGCGGGCATGATATGAATTTCCTGAAGTGAGCACCCGCGTCAGTCCAATACCCCACCAAAATGCGGGCTTCAACATATGACGGCATTTTCGTCTGGTTTGAATCACATACCACAGATCGCACAGTGTTTTTATAGAAAGGGTTATATCCGATACTCAATACAGCAGGCAAAACCACCGCAGTAGATGTGTTGCCCTCGGATGTCTCAGGATGATATGTTTTGGGGTCGAGCGCTACAACACCGTAGTAGACACCAGTTGTCAACTCTGGGTGCTTCTCGGACAGGTCATCTGCGGGGATGTTGGCAGTGGGAATTCCGAGCTGTAACCATCCGGGAGAGTGAGTCAGTGGTGAGTTTGTTGCGCCCCCTACGCTCAGCGAGGTTGGGTTCCCAGATTCATGGACTTACATCTTTGCTTCCGCGACCAAACCCCTTGATCACTGGCCCTGACAGTCGCACGGGATAAGGTGGTTCAGGGCCTGCATCGGGGCCGGCTACCGGGTCGCGCGGCTTATCGGAGCGCATGGCGGATTCTGTCGGGTGGGGGTATGGTGAAGCGTGGATAGTGGCACAAACAAATCTGGTGATAGTATGGTTTCGTTTGATATGTATTAATTATGTGATTTGGCAATAGTTTGGCGTGATGCTGGCGTTGAGTGTATCTGAATACGAGTCGGAGTCAACCCTGGTGGGGTTTATCGCGATAAGGATACATTATGTACCGTAATAGACGCCTGAGGTACCAGGCACCAATTCACATGCAATTGGATCGAAGGTCGGATTAAGCTTATTTCTTTATTTAAAATTAGATGATTCAGGGCTCAACGAGGTCATAAGCGACCCCACTCAATATCATGGCATTATGCTCATATAATCACGATTCCGTCCCAGAGATATCACATTTTGTCCCTTTTAAGCGCCGCAAAAAGAAAATAAAACAAGAAAGCATATCGACAATCCTAGAATTTGTTCCAGGAATCCAAAAAGCACAACGTATATACGAGAACATAGAACAAAAGAAGACCCTGTCGGCCAGTAGTCCAAAGAAAATCAAGATCAAAGGGAATCATACAATCCCAGAATCAGAAAATATGTACCAGTGTAGAACAGAAGATGAAAAGAAGACAGGCCTGATGTTAGGCCTTGCTGAGGGTATGAAATGGTAATCTGAAACAAAAGCAAGAAGCAAAATCCAAAAAAAATAAGAAAGAAATCAAATGCATGGCAAGAACTAGAATATCGCGGATTAGCATGAGACCAACTCTGAGAGGTTGCGTGATCTTAGACTTACATTCATCACAATGAGCATTGGGATATCAAACACATCGCGTTTCACTGTCCAGCAGTACGCGCAATCGACTTTTCCGTCCTTGAAACCGAGCTGGTTCATGCCAGCCTCGCCAGCAATGCCACCCTTGCGGAGGTGATTGCTCCACTTTCCGTGATCATCGGACTGTGCAATCTCCATGTCCTCCTTGGTTTTGTATTTGAGCAGCTTGCACCGAGTCATGACACTACCACGAGAATCACCAAATGCCAGACGCGCAAAGTCCTCGTAGAACTCTACGACGCTGTCATCGTCGAGGAGTTCAGCCAAGAATACCGGCTGGGGGCGTCCACTGCTGGAATTCTCTAATGTTGAGCCGCGCGGTGTGAAACTACCGCGCGACGTTGTCCCAGACTGGGGTACGCCTGAAGAACCGGTGTTGACGTTGAGGTTTGCCTCTTTTCCTAGAAGCACGTCTTTCTTCCATCCGGTTAGGATGCTGAACTCCTTGCCTACGGCGGCGATCTCGCCGGTGCGTCGGCAGACAATGGTTGGCGTTCCACATGCATTGATGAAGTCCTCGTACTCCCAGAGCGTTCGCTGGAAGCATTTTTCCATGAATATGAGGTCATCGCGATTAAGGGTCTTAGTAGTTGCAATAAAAGAGGGTCGAATAGACGCAAGAGCCTTGGCAATTCGCACGGTCTTTTGCGGCGTAAAGCGACGCTGGATGAAAGCAGTAAGATTGTGGAAACCACTTGTGTAAGCGTATGGCTCCTTCACACTCTCGTATATTGAGGAAGGGTTGCGGTGGCGCCGTTTAGGGCCAACCTGCAAATTTGGGTGCTTCAAAATCGATGCCGATGACACCTGGCGTTGGCCATTCGGCACCAGGTTGTTAGACTTGGACTTGGGAGCAGGAGCGATATTGTTGAATGGGCCGTCTTCGAATGTAGCCGTTGCAATGCTCGGGCTTTGGGCTGAGCCAGGACTAGTGAAACTTGCTGGCCCACTTTCGATCGCAAATGCATGTGGTGCATTTGCTTTCATGTGTTCGGGTTTCATGTGTTCGGAAAGCATGCTATTTTGTCCATACACACCCCCGACATTCACATGCTGGCCCGAGGCCGACCAATCATTTAGGATAGGATCACCGAACATGAAAGGTTGAGTTCCCGGGCTTTCTCCATATCCAGGAGCTGGTGTAGAGAATTGGGCTGATCCACTGCGGCCGATCGACCCTCGCTGTCCTGCAGAATCAGTCGGGGAGTCACCGGCTGCCCCAGTGGCCATATGCCCAAGCATGCCAAATTCGAGAGCCCCGTATCGATTTTCGAAGTTCATGCTCGATAGATCAAAGTTGAAGAGCGCTGGATCACTGGGATCAAAAAATGGCCCTGCAAAAGGATTCTGGGACTGACTTGAATCCCCAGAGAGAGCAGTGCTTGGAGTAGGCTGCTGGTTTACAGTCGAAGAAAGACTCGAAGTTCGACCGTTGGTGCTGGTCTTCATGTTGAAAGTAGGTGAAACGGGTGATTGGTTGGTGAAAGGGCTTTGGCTCATGGATGATTCCTGGTAGGGATTGTAGGACCCTGCCTGCGTCTGGGGCGTAGGATAAAAGTTGTTATTCGTGGTATTGGTTTGTTGTTGGTTATGCGGAGTGTGTTGATGGCTGTGTTGTTGGTTGTGTTGCTGGCTGGAGTTGACGGAATTTGCACCATTTCTAGACATAGGCATATTATTGCGGAGCGTGCTGTTGTATAGACTGGTGCTGCTGCTACTACTAACAGCTGGCATCAATGCCCCATCTGGAGCATCATGGAGATACTTGGCCTTTTTACGAACACCATCATGACAAGCATCTTGAAGACCACGTTTAATGCAACGCTGACACGGTCTTTCGTCACCTGAGCCCGATATATATTAGCCATATATTCAACAAGGGCGGGAATCAGTCTATCATCATACCGCAAGTCAAATGAGCTCGTTGGCATGCAAAGCAAGCTCGCCGGGCCTTCTTCCGTCGCGGTCGGGAGGGATCCTTGGCATTTGCTGCTTTGCGGTCCGCCTTGCTATCGCCATTGGTTTTGGGCTTTACGTCCATTTGTTCGTGTTCTGTGATATCGGCAGAGTCACGATCTCCACTGAAGTCCTCTGCAGGAATCGGGGAGCCGGTCTTGGCTTCCATATTCATTTTGGCATGTATCCCGAGAACGGCGATCTATAGACACGCTCAACAAAGTGAGGTAACTCGGGTATTTCAACCTCGGTAGGTCACTTTCTGTGCCTTACTGTGTTGATCTAAATAAACAAAGCGTGGTGGCGACAATACCAATATGATACCATCCGCGCTTCGATCTCGGCGGGCGAGCGGATCCACGTGCAATATTCAGTCCGGCTTGTGAAAGAGCAAAAAAAGAAAGAGGAATCGATCGCTAATTGCTAATCGTCCGTGTTGGGACTCGAAATCTACCAAAATCACCTCGCGAAGGTTGGAGGGATCTCCGGGCCTTTGGTTCCTATAATCGCGCGTTTGCGACTACAGTTGGTGGGGAATCGGAATCGGAATCACGGATAGTCGAGTCACGGGTGTAACGGAGGACAATCGACTGAAGATGCGACGGATGTACGATGATCTGACACATTGAAGGATTTCAATGTGGTTTGTAGATGAGGAGAAATTGGCGCAAAGCTGACAGAAAAATCCCGCAACGGTTCGGGGCTGAATTGCGAGTGGAGAGGCGGACTTTCGTTCGGCTGCGGGGAAGATCTTGAATTTCTCTCCAAGTGAGAGCCGTGCCGATTCGAGCCGGTAGACTGGGAAGGGGGAAAAGTTGAGAGATAATCGAAGCAAATACTATTCGCGGGGGAGGTTAAAGAAGAAGTGGATGGACTCGCAGGCTCAATCAGAGTGTTCCCGTGACTTCTAAGGAGTTTTTTTTTCCAAGGTTAACACGACACAGTCCAATTGTAAAGGACTAAATAAGATGACGGAATAATTTTTTTGGCTATTTTTTAGTGATTTTTTTAATAATTCTTTTAATATTTAGGAATCTTAGCGCTTTCGTACTTCTACTTTGTACTTTGTAAGAAGGCGCAGGGCTATACTTCGTAAAACAGCCACTATTTTACATAATTAATTTGTAGGCCTTTTTCTTTTTTTTTTTTTTTGCTACCCAACGCAATCCTATGTTGGGCGTGCCTTAATTTAAAGAGATAAATGTGTATCTTATCTAAAATCCTGAGAGGTACTAATGTATGCATATCGTTCCTAGTCTCAATAAAAACCAAGCTATATGTAAACATACTGTACATCATACTCACATGTCGACTTGTTTAGGGCAACGGTCACTGGCGGCATTTGATTGTAAGAATTACCGATTTCACCGCATTACCAGAAACAACCGGTAATTTAAGCGCGTTGATGATCTCTGATTGGCTAAATTACAATCCTACACCCAGATCGGGTTCAGTGCATACCGGATGAGCTATCTCAGCGGGGGCAATTACGCACGTGCGGTAACTTCCAAGTCCGTTGTATACAAAGTACTTTGTAGCTCTTGCTCAGATGTTCTCCTCTAAATTACCTATAAAACGTTGAATGCAAGTATCTCCAATTGAGTCATTATTCCTCCACAGCCGGATTGATCCCGAAAGACCCCGCTCCAGACCTTTCACAACTCTCGGTGGTCCCGTTTTGTTCCGAGGCAAGCGGAAGGTGCTCTGCCGAGGCTACGGAATAGAAGGCTCTCAATATACCGCTCAACTATGACGCTTGCTATGCTCTAAAGGAGGGATTTTTATGTCTGCCTGAAGCCGGGGTGGAAGTTGGTTGGGGATGATTTACCGGTGACTGGATTCCAAGACCACATGACGCTCGCATGCTTCGCAACTGGCCTGGCAGACTGGGGGGTACCGTCGGAGAATTCAAGCCCGGGCCAGGTCCATCCAATCTCTATTCATAGAATGGGTGGAATCGATTTATCCCTGGTGTCAAGCACGCTAGTATTATCAAATGCTTCATGGTCTACTTGGGGTTAGGAATTAGGAATAGCTAGATCAAATATGCAAGATGTCTATAGAAGGAATTAAGTCGAGCTAGGATATAAAGCATATATCCTTGCCAGTCATGCGTATTATTGACTATGATTTTCTGCATTGGCTTTTGAACTGCAGGCAGTACAGCAGCTGGAGGAGTTAGGTCTTGATCTATGGTCGCAGGCCAGGTTCTGACCCTGTCATCCCCAGTAGCCAAACGTCTCAGCCCAGAAGGTTCCCAGCATATGGTCATGGGATGTCGTGTTCATCACCCACGGCACACCGTGTTCAGATGAAACCGGTTGGTAAACTGTTGAGATGCAATGGCACCGAGGGTAGACCTGTGGCTGCCCTCATAAAAGACCCATCCAGCCAGCAACCAACCTGCTTAAGATTAAAGTATGTATGGGGTATTCTATGTGCATAGTAGGATCGATCATCTCTGTGATTTTGCGAACCGGCTCTTACTTCGGATCCAGCTCCCATATCGAAAGAATAGATACCTATCAGGAATGTCAGTAAAACATTCAGTAGACAAGAACAACCCATGTTGAAGCCTGTCGCCAGAGCCACATACAACTAGGATATCAAACTTTCGTGTTTGAGGCAACTTGCTCAAGGTTCAAAATGCAGGGAGGAAGTAAATAGGTAGGGCGTAGCGTAACAGGCAATCAAGTATGTCAAAATCAGCACTTACGGGAAAGGGGTCATGGCAAGGGTCAGGAACGCTAACAAGGAAGTTGCCCAGTGAAATCCGAGGTTGTTATACACTGTATAGCCGTTAGCTATTATCATTACGTCTCAACTGTGTGCAGGCAAGAGGATAGCTGTCAAGCATTGAGGAAGAGCTACAGATCGACCTGTTCAAAATACAATGCATCGACCCGCATTGGAAAGATGCGCTTCATGCAAAGCACAAGCTTGCAACTCTTGTCGGAGCACAGGGATAGTCCAAACAAACTTACTTTGGATTCCAAATAGCGGAAATATACCTCCAAAGGAAGACCGAGTAAAGCTGTTCGCTGCCAGAGCGCTGGCAGCAAAAGTTGGATATGCATCGACCAGGAACGTGAATATACCCGAGTAAACCAGAATTGTCCTAGAAGTAACACGATATATTAGGATCACACGGCCAGAAAAAAAACCCCACAAGGTAGACAGGGATTGCAGGACCAATGAGACGGTTGCCCAGTCAGATGAGATTCCAAGGTTGATCTTACCCTGCACCGAAAATAGCACTGCCAATGATAGGCACAATCCAATGGACATTAGGATAGATTGTCCAGGCAAAAACGAAAAGACCTATAGTAACCAAGGGCCCTCCCAGGATCGCTATTCCATCGAAGTCAGCCATCGTTTTCCTGGGCAATGTGTTGGAAAAACTCACCCGGGGGCAGCCGCCACTCCGGCTGGAAGTCATCAATCTTGTTCGTGGCTTTCTCGTGGTTGCGCTCCAAGCGAACGTAATTTCGGCGCCAGATCGGATCTGACAAAATGGCTATAACCATTCCAACAAACATACCAAGGAAACACAGGCCACGTTGCCACAATACTAGTCCATACACCTCATCAAAGACTAGTTGGAAAGCACCAAAGAAGAGGTATAGAATACCCAATAGGACGGCCGAGAAAATGCAAAGGCATAAGCACATTGGCTCTAATGTTAGGAGCAAAATCGGCCGATACATTGAGCTTAGCACTGTCTGCGCCACCGAGCGCTGCAAGTTTTCGATCGGAGCTTTCCACCGGTCGTCGCCGGTTTCCTGGCGCAGTTTCTGTGCCTTATGCCTTAAAAGCCTAGAACATCCTTAGCCCCATGATTCTTTTAGGATCGGAAAATACATACACTGGGTGATAAGTCTCCGGAACTAAGAATATCATTGAGACGAGCAGCACTCCCGTCCAAATCAGGAGCACATAAAATGTCCAACGCCTGCGAGAAATATAAGCTTCGATTGTTACTAAAAATTCGGTATTAACAACTTACCATGTAGTAAATGCATTAATAAAGCCACCAACCCTAGTGGTGTACTGTTAGTATTGAGATCAGAAGACAACTCCATACTACACATAGCAGCAAAGCAACTCCAAGAACGAAAGACGACCTACAGAGGGCCGACCTCGGGGCCAACGAAAGGGCTCGCAGTGTAGAGCATCATGGGAAAGGCAAGCTCATGTCGATCAAACATGTCACCTACAGTACCTCCGGCGACACTCAAAAAAGCACTGCCTGACAGTCCATTGAAGAACCGAGAGATAAGCATAGTCTGAGTATTTTGAGCGACCGCGGATGGGATCAGCCAAACAAGAAAGGCAAAAAATGAGACAATGTAGATGATCCTCCGCCCATAAAACTAAACAAAATCAGATCGGATCAGTGACTGAAATATCCAGCAGCCAAAGCCTCAAAACAAACCTCAGATAACGGACTCAAAAAGAGCGGGCCAATTCCTAAAGCGAAAAGCGTCAGCACATCCAGCCCGTGAAAGATAACAAGATCAGCACGAACCAAGACCCCAAATAAAAAAAGACAATCCAAGAGTCGCAACTTCTCGCGAACACCCGAATTCTTTCATCAATTGGGCATATGTCGTGGTATACATCGAAGAAGCACAAGTCCTACATGCAGTAGATCAGCATCTGTGACCCAGCATCCAACCAAGTGTATACCCACACGCAAAGCGAGCCCATTGAAATAATAATAACAATCAACCACCGTCGGGCTTTACTCATATTGCGCGGATTCATAGGATCATTCTCCTCCCAGCCCACAGTGTACACTCCATCCTCGTTTGGCGCCGCAGCGTCGTCGATTTCAGGGCCGCCAGGACTGACGCCGTCGTTCAACGACCAACTGCGTTCCAGGGACTTAAATGATCTAGACGCGTTCGAGCGCTGTTTTTGGAGAGTTGCGCTGCCTTCGTCGTGGGTACCCGGGGTGGTGATAGGAGCGTAAGTCACATCCTCGGGATTGATGTGATCGGAATCATCGTCGCTGTTATCGCTGAAAGGTCTTTCGGGGCTTATACGGTCATTTTCTTCGGACTCTGGGTGCGACACGTCTGTAATTGACCGTGGAGACATGGTCAATGGACAAACGGTCAAAGGTCAAGCTTGCTCATCTAGGATGTTTTAGTGATGAAGTCATAGAAAACAAAACAACGGTTTAGGGCTACCTAGGCATATGTATTGACTGGTGGATATGTGAGTCACTATCTTGCGAGGGGATTTTAAAAAGAATTATTCTTAGCGTCTAAATTCGAAGTTCAAACTCCGAGCCGATCAATCAAAATCCTTGAGTTAATCGAAGCCGATCTCGGGGGTGATGATCGGGTATAGGATCCCGTAGAGCCAATTAATGAATGACCTTGGATATTATTTTAGGCCCTTCAAAACAAAATGTAATTCTAGCATAAATAATTGCTTGGATTCTACCTACTCCATACCTAGATGCTATCTAGATTCCACGAGATACATGTACACGCCAAGAGCGTTGATAAACACGTGGGAGCGTTAATATGGATGTATGCACGATGTGGTAAGCAGCGTAATTCTCCGAGATCACATCCAAAATAGTCTAGAAAAGAATATTTGAGATAGAGATATGTTCAATTAGGCTAGAGCTAATACTACTACGCAACAGAAACAATTCATCAACGTCGCTCCCAAGGGACCAAATGTCCAAACAAAAACCCTAACAAAAAGTAGTAACCAAAGTCCCATGTTTCCAGCCCTAAACTCCTGATAGTCATTCAACTGAACGCTATCCCCAAAGAAAACACCGGATCTCAAATCGAGATATTCCATGGAACCATCCCAAAGTTGAGCTGTACAAGAAGAGAAAGATGCGCCAATAGATCCCAGAAATTTTGGTCAAGAGGACACATCCTCTACAGAGCCTGGCTGAGCTGGCTCATGGCACCAGAAGCGTTCTCCTCGGCCCAAGAGCCCCAAAGTGCCTGCTTGCCAGTGATCTTGAGGGGACCACCAATAGACTTGGAGCTCTGGTCAACCTTGACAGCATCTTTTGTGGCCAGCACCAAGACTTCAAAGAACATCTTAGTGGCATCGGCCTTGCTGGACCGCTGCTCAGGAAGGAGATCCTGGAACAAAACGCTCTTCTTCTGCTGGGCGGCTGAGCTACCAATCTGCTCGCGGAGAATGTGCACAGCGTGTTTGGTGCCCATTGAGACGGGCTCGGTATCTACAGGATGCGCAATAGTATCGTCCAGCTCGTCCATGGGCTGGTTCATGCCGTCATCACTCTCAGGCAAGAGGTGGTCTTCGTCATCTCCAGGGAATTCAATCTCGGGGTGCTGGTTCATAGTCGTATCAAGGGCGATGCCCTCGTCAATCGGGACGATGGCTTCCTCGTCACCAAGCTCCAGGGCAGGAACGTCAGCGGCAGCCACATCCATATCGGAAATGCCACTGTCACGCTTACGCTTCAGCTCACCAGCCTTCTTGACCGAGTCCAAAGAGAGCATGCCGCGCAGCTCGGGTGCCCACCCGCGTCCACGGTCCTCGCCAAACACACTAGACACAAAGTTGCCATTCTGCTGTCTGGTCATAAGAGTGAGTAGGACAGGGTCGCGGGGCAAGAATGATGCGGGTTTCAAAATCGAAGAACGATCATTTTGCTGATCTCTAATCTTGGAGCTGGAGATTGCAACGTGCTTGTCGAGTCCCATGAGCTTCTGGCGCTTGATACGCTGGCCTTGCTGGGCGCTCACGACATCAGGGGTTGCAGATACATCTCGATTAAATTCCTCTTCCAGCTGATTCATTTGATCGGATCCAGCATCAGAAAGTGGGCTTTCGGAGTCACGTTCGAATCGGTTGTCGGCAGCACGGGGTGTTTCGCCACCACCAAAGTCGCCATCGTTGTTGAAGTCCATTGGAACATCTGGAAGTAGGTCATTCAGATTATCGTGGACATCATCGCCAAGGTCCATCTTGTCGAGAGCGTCGTCATCTCCAAGGTCTAATCCCAGATCGTCGTCGTCGTTGAATTTTCCAGCGTCATTGTAAAGATCTTCCTCCACGGGACGAGGCGCAGGGGCATCTCGACCAATTTCCATAGTCGGGTCATTTCCAAGGGGCAATTCATCCTCACCCAAGTCAAGATCAACAAGGGAAGGGTCTTCAAGGCGTGCGGGTTCCTGAGAAACAGAGCGGCGGAAGCTGCTGTCTGGGAGGAATTGGCTTCCAAAATCCATGCCACCAGGGCGCTTGGCAGCAGGCTCCAGATCGAGGGTTTGAGGGAAGAGCAAAGATGTATCAAGGTTGGTAAAAAGATCAGATTCGGTCAACACATCGGGGAGAGTAATGCCACCGGGAGCAACGACAGTCGAAGTCAAGTCATTGTTGTTTGTGAGACGGAAGGCCTGATAGATGATTAGACTGAACAAAAGTCACTATTGTTTCAAGGGAGTGCATACCATTTTAATTTTCATAAGAGCTTCATTGCAATCGTCGAGGAGGTAGCGAGCCTTGCGGCTGTAAATTCGAACCACACCCAGCAGCAATTGGCCACTCAATCGCAGAGCCATAGGGGCTTGACCTTGATCAACAATAGCATTGACACTGCTTTCGATATCCGACTGCAGGATATGCGACTTTGAAAGTTTGCGTTCGATATTAGCCGACAACCAAACGCGAGCCAACGGCCCGGTTTTCGACAAGAGAGTCTCGGAATAGAACATAGTGTGTCTGTGGCAACGAGATACTTTATAGCGGCGAGATATCTTTTACCAAATTAAGTAAGCAAAAAGACCCGCCCGGCGCGGGGGTGAGGTGTAGAAGAGCGACGCGCTGAAGCCGGGAAAACAATGACTTGTGCGATGACTCGCACTCGATAATTGTATGAAAAGGTAGATATGTAACTAAAGGGATAAAAGGTTTATCACTTGATCGCGTGAATTCAAGACATCGAAGATGATGGAGATAGGGAGGGGGTGTGCGCGCGAGGGATATCTTGGAGTTGGCTGAGAAACCAAGGAGGAACGGAAGATGCGCGTCGGTGGGAATATCAGGCGGCAGTTGTGCCTGGGCGGGATTTTTGCTGATGTAATTGAGGGGGCTGGGGAATGACGAGTCACGTGCATGGTACACAAAGGAAGAATAGAAGTATGTACTACGAAGTACCTCCTCCGTACAAAGTATCATAACAATGAACTTACTAACGAAAAAAGTTGTAATCTAGCAATTAGCTACAGATAGAAAAAACACACTAGAGAATCTTTTCAAAAAAGCCCTCGGAAAATCATAGAAAACTCTTAACTCAATTCATTACTTCTATGGAGTACATAGTATACTCTGCCCTACACGTGATACCTTCCTAAACGTATCCGGATAAACTCCCTACCCGTAATCACTAAGCCACAACGGGTAAAGCATCAGCATGGGACTCAGCCTCTTTCAAGTGGAATCGATACTCTGAATGGAATTGTTTCGCGGTTCGCATTACAGCAAAAGGCTCTTTCGCCAGCGAATTGGATTTTTGGTCCTAAGTCATCTATTAGTCCCTTGTTCGTCGTCGATCGATTTGCGCCAACTCCGCAAATCCAGCGGTAAGTCTAGCCGCCCCGTGTGAAGCTGCTGCCAGATCGCATCTAACGTGGATTGTCGGAGCATAGTCAATTCTTATCGAAACGTGATGAAAATTACTTCTCGCCATATCTAACGTCTTATTTTATCGTCTTTAATAATCCATCCTCCAAAGCATGAGCAATGTCAAGGTCCGAAACACCTTCATTGCCTTTGCATAATGCATCAAACACCGACTTTCTGCGGCCTCCCCCCACAACACCTATGACTGGACGACTAAATGCTCCATCGTCGGTAAGTATATATATATACTTGATTCACGTGCTACGTGTACTATTTCCTTCCTTGGACATCGCAGTTTCTAACGCCCAATATTGTTTTCTTCCAGGCATCTACCGCAACATATTCGTGGCTCGAGCCTCATGAAACTGCCGAGCGACTACGAACCTCCCTTTTACATGGCCTAACACCCGCCGAGGCAGAGATACGCCTGGCCAGAGATGGGCCGAACGAGCTTCCCCACGATGAGCCGGAACCCCTCTGGCTGCGGTTCCTTAAACAATTCAAGGAGACACTGATTCTCCTTCTCCTCGGCTCTGCTGGAATCTCTTTTGTGATGGGCAACTACGACGATGCGATCAGCATTACTCTTGCGGTAACAATTGTTGTAACTGTTGGCTTTGTTCAAGAGTATCGGTCGGAGAAGTCGTTGGAAGCGTTGAGCCGACTTGTACCCCATTATGCCCATTTGATCCGTGATCTTCCAGCGGCATCATCCACGGTAGCTGAGAATGGCGGTACCTCGCCCCTGTCTTCAGGCATTGAAATGGACGAAATACGGAGCAAAAGCCCAGGCTCGGCGTCTGCCGCGGTCAAGGCTTCTTCAACCGTCCCCGCGAACGAACTTGTACCCGGAGATTTGGTTCTCTTCACTACGGGAGACCGTATTCCCGCAGATATCCGAATCACCGCTGCAACAGATCTCAGCATTGATGAGTCGAACTTGACTGGAGAGAACGAGCCTGTGGTGAAGTATGCAGAAGCTCTGCGCAGCACATCTAACGGGACCGCTTCAGCGTCAAAGGGGATAGAACCCTCTCGATCTCCGCTCTACGATGCACCCGCTAGCGGTGCTGTTGGTGCTGATATTCGGTTGAATGAGCAACACAACGTTGCCTTCATGGGCACACTAGTCCGCTCAGGCTATGGCCAGGGCATCGTGATATCTACCGGTGCGAAGACAGAGTTTGGAAGTATATCAGCTTCGCTACAAGAAATTGAGAGTCCTCGAACACCGTTGCAACTGTCTATGGATCGTTTGGGCCAGGAGCTAAGTTACATTTCTTTCGGTGTCATCGGATTGATCGTGGTCATCGGTCTGATACAAGGTCGTAAGATTCTCGAAATGTTCACAATCGGTGTTTCGCTGGCCGTCGCAGCAATCCCAGAAGGCTTGCCTATCATTGTCACTGTCACGCTCGCTCTCGGTGTCCTACGCATGGCTAAGAGGGGTGCGATCATGCGAAGACTCCCCAGCGTTGAAACTCTTGGTTCGGTCAATGTCGTCTGCTCGGACAAGACTGGCACTCTTACCCTCAACCACATGACAGTTACCAAAATGTGGCATTTCGACTGCCCAGAACCATTCGAGGTGCAGAGAGAGTTGACCACGGTGATGGCTCCTGGCCCTGCAGCGCAGACAATCCTTCGCGTTGGTAACATTGCAAATAACTCTCGTTTGTCACGGATGCACGCAAACTCGCCCGCCAGCGCATCTTCTGCGGCAGTTCTTTCTTCGACCATCAACAGTGATTCGGCTGCCGCAAAGAGCCGGTGGGTAGGCCAACCCACCGATGTGGCAATCTTGGATCTAATGGATACCCTGGGAGAAGATGATGTGCGCGATCGTATCAGTCCTCGCGTCCATGAGACCCCGTTCAGCTCCGAGCGGAAATGGATGGGTGTTGTTATCGGCGGTTCTGGTGGTTCAAATGGAGGTTCCCATGTTGCCTATATCAAGGGTGCTCTCGAACAGGTCCTGGCGCGATCAGATACCTATCTCACCAAGGATGGTCGGGAAGTAATTCTTGACGAGCCGCGTCGCAAAATCATTCGGGAAGCAGCAGAGAATATGGCATCAGAGGGCCTTAGAGTTCTCGCTTTTGGCAGTGGAGTTGTTCGTGATACGTCTAGAGGTGGCAGAGGCTTTGGCAGTCGGTCCTCCCCGAAAATCGTTCAGGGCGATGATGACGAGCGGTATAACGGCTTAGTCTTTGCTGGGCTGATGGGTATGAATGACCCGCCGCGTAAGGATGTGCACAAATCCATTCGACGCTTGATGGCTGGTGGTGTTAGAGTCATCATGATTACTGGCGACGCCGAGACGACAGCTGTGGCCATTGCGAAGAAGCTTGGGATGCCAGTCAACGATTCCCCGCGTGCACGTTCGGTCATCCGAGGCGATGAACTCGATCGCATGACTACCGCCGAGCTTGCTCAAGCGATTTCAACGGTATCGATCTTTGCTCGTACCAGCCCAGACCACAAGATGAAGATTGTCACAGCACTTCAAGCCCGAGGTGATGTAGTTGCCATGACTGGTGATGGCGTCAACGATGCGCCCGCTCTAAAGAAAGCCGACATAGGTATTTCTATGGGCAAGCTTGGTACCGACGTTGCCAAGGAGGCAGCGGACATGATTCTGACGGATGACGATTTCTCGACTATCTTGCGGGCAATCGAACAGGGCAAGGGCATCTTCTATAACATCCAGAACTTCATTACGTTCCAGCTTAGTACCAGCGTGGCTGCGCTCAGTCTTGTACTGCTGAGCACCACTCTTGGCTTCAAGAATCCGCTGAATGCTATGCAGATCTTGTGGATCAGTGAGTATTCCTGCATATGGTTCCATCCCCCGTATCTTTCTAATAATCATTACAGATATTCTCATGGATGGTCCTCCCGCCCAGTCCCTTGGCGTCGAGCCCGTCGACCCTACCATCATGAGCCGCCCACCACGACCCAGGACAGCCCGTGTTCTGACAAAACCTCTGATCCAGCGCGTCCTTACCTCAGCCATGATCATCATGGTTGGCACGTTGTCAATCTACATCCACGAAATGGGTGATATCACCGACGGCGGCCTAATCGACAAGCGCTCCCGCGTTGTCACCGCGCACGACACCACCATGACATTCACCTGCTTCGTTCTCTTCGACATGTTCAACGCATTGACCTGCCGCAGCGAGAGCAAGTCCGTCCTGCGTGGTGAAATGCCACTGTTCGGAAACAAGATGTTCAATTACGCTGTTCTCGGCTCCTTGGCCGGTCAGGCCTGCGTGATCTACCTGCCGTTCCTACAGCGCATCTTCCAGACGGAGGCTCTCAGCTTCGGATCCTTAGTTAAGCTTGTCTGTATTGCTAGTTCGGTGTTCTGGGCAGATGAAGGCCGCAAATATCTGCATGCGATCCGTCGTCGGCGTGGGATGGGTTCCGGTTATAGCGTCAGCGTCTGACCTACCGATCAACGAATGTGCGGTTCGGATTGCCTGTTACGATTTTAGAGGTGTCCATGCTATAGGCGTGTGTAGTTTATCATATTTGGATTGATATCCCCATATACATAATAGAATTGTCGGTTGTTGGCATACATATTGTATTTTCCCATAAGTGGTGTGCAGGTCGGTACAGCAAGATAATCTCTCTCTTCGTCCTCGACGCCATGGCCATCGTCTTCACTGTTCGTGGAAACGGCTACCCCGAGGCACTGACTTTCCTATACCATATAACCTTACCCTATATCGTAGAAAAGTCGACTTACTACCCTTTATATTAACTAGAATCAGATGGTATCTGAAGCGAGGAACGGTGGTATGCACCGAATCTATTCCTTCCTGCTATAGCACTGGATAAAAAGACAACCAAGTGTTATCTCCAATACAATGTCTCTAATATTATCTCGGGCCAGATAGATCAGATTTCCGAAGTCCTAGGTACATCATGAAGTACAGAGGTCGCATAATGGCCGACTAGTCTTGTATATGTAGATTAAATTAATAGATTCGCGCTTACAGTGCTAGAAATAACGGTTGACTACCTAGATAGGTACCAAGTACCGGTGATTACTACATATCACATCTGTAAGTGATTGTGGGGGATCATAACACCAATCCTTTGATTACTCGATGTGATTTGAAAATTGACTGTAAGTATCCTCAATAGGAATCCCTACATATTTAGGCAAGGGTTGACTGACGACAAAGACGTTGGGTGCAGCCCTGGCTCTAGGTACCTACCTACCTAAGGCTCTTTCGCCTAGTTTTCCTACACTCTCCCACTTATGTCCAAATCCCATCCCCATCGCCCTAAAGCTAACATGTCGTCGGACTATGAAGCACCTAATATTGACATTGGCGATGTGAACTTTGTTGAGATTATTAAAGAGACAAACGGCGTATTTCTATGCCGATGCCGCTGGCAAGACAAAGACTGCGTGCTCAAAGTAGTAAGTGATAAAGCCATACAGTTTGCCTATAATCTCTAACAGGTGCGTTAGTTCCCTCCTTATGAATGGGAGAGGATCCACCCGCCATTCCGTTGATCTTTTCGAGAATGAAAGTCGGGCATACAGTCGATTGAAGGCCCGAGGATTCTACGAACGCGGATCTGTACCTGACTTCTATGGGGTGGTTGGGAATATCGACCCTGAGGCGAAGGGCTGGCAACCTCGCCTCAAAATATTCTATGACCGGACTTTTCCTCAGGGTCTTGATCCCGAGGCTCGCCCAAATGGTGTACTGATGGAATACATTCCCGATGTGCACATGTTTGACCTCTCTAACTACACAGAGCAAAGAGCTCGCAACCTCCAGCGGCTTTTGATCAAGATCCATGAAGTTGGGATCGTACACCTTGATCCTTATCCCCGAAATATGCTAATTCAGGGTGATTCCGATCGGGTACTCTGGATCGACTACGAAATTGCCCAGATATTTGACCCAGAGAACTCAGAGCACCCCAGATTGTTTGCCGCGGAAAGAGAATTTATTGATGCCTTTATGGAAGTGCTGGTAAGCTTGCCGCTCCCAGTCTGGTTTCGAATTTCCGGCTGACTTCTTTTGCAACTATAGGGCAGGGATCATAAGCTAGGGAGGTATGATGAGACGCGGCCGATTTATTTTGAGTGACTCCTACGGGGCGTGAGAGCTCTTGTGGCATTTGATCGATGTCTACTCCGTATCCTTTGGAGATTGACTATTTTGCGGAAAGATACTCATTTTTATTTTTTGTTTTTGTGGTGCTGTTGATAGCAATTGTAATTTTACCTCCAAGTTCCGAGGAGATACTCTTGGCCATTGATTCCCCCTCCTGCATAACTCGTTGAGATAGATGATCTTTTGTCTCCGGAAAACATGATTACTTTGTACTCTACGAAGCGTACGTAATGTAAGAAAAATGGAATTAGACATGTATCTAAGTGTAATATTCCGTTAGCTACAGAATAAAAACAAATATTCTTCAGCATATATATATATATATGTAGAAGCAAAAATATAGTGACCGACGCAGGGATCGAACCTGCAATCTCTTGATTCGTAGTCAAGCGCCTTGCCATTGGGCCAGCCGGCCGTACTAGTTATATGTAGTTTGGCCAAATTGTGGACTATAAGCGAAGGCAAAAGAGGATCCAATCTTGATGCGTCTGAATTCAGTCGTCAATCCAAATTTCACTACTGTTAGGTACGGAGTACGTCGGGTTTAAATCGGTTGTTTTGGGTATAGATGGAATTTGACTCGGACTTGGATGTTATTGCATGAAACAATATGTATGCATGTACGAGTACATATATACATATATGTATACATGTTATACCTTATTCTGCTGTATTCTGCTGTACTCTAGATATTTTTGGAATATAATGATTGTCTCAGAAGCATGCGGAAGTTGTACAGAGTATATAATCAAGCTATAGAGGGGCCGCTCCATATCCAAGGGCAGAGGTTCCTAACATACCCTGAAAATTCAGAATTGGTCTCGGCCCAGATGGAGGCTGAAGGCCCAGTCCCACCGGAGCGGATGCAGAACCACAAAATAATGTATACTATATATATACATACATTTCTATATAAGAGGGAGATACGTTAATATGACAATATGTATAAAAAATATAGAATTGCATATAGTGCACTACTATATAGATAGGGTTTAGACTCCGAAAAAAAGAATCCAAGGAATCCAAGGCCCCTGTCCAACCCGAGAATTCGGGAAAAAACGGGCAAAATATGTTTGACCTTATCTTTCGCCAATCGACGGCTCACTCCACATCAACAGGCTAGTACTGAAACGGAAAGGCTTGGCATGCGGCCGAGCCCCACTTAGCGCGAGTGGCAATTGGGCTTTATCTGTAGCCAATCATATGCAAGAAAATACAGCGTCACTCGTCCAATTGTTGGTGGCGGATAGGAATTCGATGGAAATTGAAGCTGTTCCGAGAGATAGAGATAAGGACTCTTTTGCTCTTCTCCAGATTTTAGAGAGAATGTATAGAGATGAAGCGTACCTGCAGGATGATAAGCTATCTTATTTAGATGAAGACATATCCTATATCTATATTTATCTGTAGACATATATATAGAAAGAAGTCCCAAGCCCGAGTGGAATTACACTTTTTCTTGAGAATCCCCAGGAACTGTTCCCCGACCTGGAGTCACCTGTTCAATGGTACGTTGAATGATACACATTGAATGATACACATTGGATGATACACATTGGATGATACACATTGGATGATACTATATGTAGTAATCTCCTTTGTAATTGTTCATATCAGCTCTGGAGATACTTTGAACTATTGGATACCCTTATACTACTTATCATCTCTTTGCCACTTTATGCGGTTGTATAAGCCGAGGATGACGAGGGTTATGTTCATATGTGATATGTGTTATATGTGTTATATGTTAATTATATCTACAGCAAAATAAATATACATATCTCTTATATATCTCTATATATAAGTTATATAAGATATATATAAAACAAAGAGAAAGGTATTGGCATTATCGGGGATTATCCCATTGCTATTGTCACAATCTGACCAAAACCTCCCAAATTTTTTTTTTTATCTCCCAAGCCTTTTTTTTCTCTTTCTAGCCGCGCCTTCCTACCCGAAATTGACAGGAAATTTGTTTCAAAAGCTGAATCTCTTTTTAACTTTGCATTCTCTGGGCAGTACTTTTTTTTTTATTTCTCCCTACGCGTGAGGGAATTGCTTTTCAAATCTCGAATTGCTTTTTTTTTTTGAAGACAGAGAGACCCACTGTCGACTTATCTTGGAAACAAAAGTTCGGGTTCCCTTTCTATATATCGTGGCGAATTCTTCGTCCTTAAAACTTCTGGAACACCACATTTTTTTCCCTCTCCAACTTCGCCACTCTCTTATTACAATCCCCAAAACACTTCAACTTCCAAAGCTTCGAGCTTCTACACAATGGCGTTCAGCGGGAAAGCCCCGTACGCCCCGGACTATGCGTCCTACGACTGGATTGGAGCTCCTTCCAACTACGACCTTACCACCAATAAAGACCTGGGCGGCGATTCCCGTATGCGTCTTTCCTATATTGTTAGAAAGGATATGGTCTAACATTAGATTCCCTTTTAGGTACCGAAAATGTGAACAAATGGTTTCAATCGGGTGATCAGGCCTATATCATCGTGGCCTCGGCCATGGTCATGATCATGATCCCCGGTCTTGGCTTTTTGTACTCGGGACTGGCCCGCCGAAAGTCTGCCCTCAGTATGATCTGGGCTTGTATGGCTTCCTTTTCCGTCGTCACCTTCCAATGGTATTTCTGGGGTTATTCACTGGCTTTCTCCCCGACCGCAACCAATGGTTATATCGGCAATATGCGCAACTTTGGTTTAATGAAGACCTTGGCTGATCCGAGTCCCGGTTCTCCATTGATTCCTAACTTGCTTTATGCATTCTATCAGGTAAGAAAATTGGAGAAGGGGGAATCATTGAAAATCTTTTGATTTCTTTTGTTATGCCTATGACACAATGCTTACTGATATATTCAAATCTCTAGATGCAATTCTGTGGTGTTACTGCAGCTATCGTTATGGGAGCTGTTGCTGAACGCGGTCGGCTTCTTCCCGCTATGGTTTTCGTCTTCATCTGGGCTACTATCGTTTACTGTCCCCTCGCCTGCTGGGTCTGGAACGTCAACGGCTGGGCATTCAAGTACGGCGTGCTGGATTACGCCGGTGGTGGTCCCGTCGAAATCGGTTCCGGTTTCACAGCTCTGGCCTACTCCATGGTCCTCGGTCGCCGACAGGAACGCATGATGCTTAACTTCCGCCCCCACAACGTCTCCCTCATCCTCCTCGGCACAGTCTTCCTCTGGTTTGGCTGGCTCGGTTTCAACGGTGGTTCCTCCTTCGGAGCCAACCTGCGCGCAACCATGGCCTCCTGGAACACTAACCTGACTGGTGCCTTCGCCGCCATCACTTGGGTTCTGCTCGATTGGCGTCTGGCTCGCAAGTGGTCCATGGTCGGCTGGTGTTCCGGTACTATCTCAGGACTGGTTGCTGCGACCCCGGCCTCCGGATTCATCTCTCCCTGGGCCAGTGTCATTCTCGGCATTGTGACCGGTATCGTGTGTAACTACTCCACTAAGATTAAGTACTGGATCCGCATCGACGACTCTATGGATGTGTTGGCAGAGCACGGTATCGCCGGAATCGTCGGTCTGCTTTTCAACGCCTTCTTCGGCGACGACGCCATCGTCGGCCTGGACGGTGTCAATACCGGCACCGGTATGGGCGGCTGGGTTATCCACAACTACAAGCAGCTGTACATCCAGATCGCTTACATCGTCGCTACCGCCTCCTACTCCTTCGTCATGTCCGCCATCATCGCCTATGCCATCAACGCCATCCCAGGCCTGAACCTGCGCGCCTCCGAGGAAGCCGAGCTCCTCGGTATGGACGATGATCAGCTGGGCGAGTTCGCTTACGACTACGTCGAGGTCCGTCGTGACTACCTCGCTTGGACCCCTCAGAACCACGACCAGCTCGCAGACGGCCACCAGATCCCCGCTGCGCAGCGCTACGGAATCGGCGAACACAGTGAGATGATGCTCGGTAGCCCGCCGCGCGAGATGATGCTCGAGGGCCACCCGCCCAATGGCGAGATCAGCCAGAGCAGTCGTGGTGGCAGTGAGGGTGACATGGCTATGCACGAGATCAAGATCGCTCCTGCTCCTCGCCAGGCTGCTGAACAGCAGCCTCCCAATGCTGAGCCCGTTGTGATGACGCCAGTCCGAGAGAAGACGGAGAATTAATCTGTTTTTTTTCCCCTCGCATTTTCCTGATTTCACTGCATTTCAGTTTTTGAGTTTTTTTTCAGTTGCTTTTCATCGGCTCATTTTCCCTCCTCGTTTGCATGGCATACATTTCGCATCCGCCATTCCGTCCAGCCAGCTTTGATTTTTTCGCGTTTTCGCTTTTTTATCTCGATATCCCTTGAGCGTGCTTCTTTTCTTGCAACCAAAGGCCTGGGGCTTTTGCTATACCTTCTAACCCTATCTACCTTCCGACTTTCCCCGATACCTCTCACCAACTCTATACTACCGACTGCACATACCATCAACATCTCACCGCCTCCGTTATTCGCCTTTGCCTCATGCTACCGAACCACATACTTCATCACCTTTAAACTATCTTCCCCCGGGAAAAGCACCTTGAATTAGTCTAATTTGGCCTGGCGCTTCATTGTTTTTATGTTTTTTATGGCCTTGAAATGGTCCAGCGGGGATATTAAACTGGGTTTTTGTTCCGTGTATACAAACTGCTCCATTGAATTGCAAGGAAAATACCTTGCTTCTTGTCTATGTGTTCCCCTGGTTTTGCATCTGCATTATAGAATGAGACAGCTTGATTTAGACATCGATTATCTAAGACAGCTCTGATTCTCAATGCTCATGTACAATTGTAGATGATACTATGTAGATATGTATGCATATGTAAGTAGCTTGCCTGATGGATGTTGCGAGTCTACATGTAGTCTAGAACTCGATACAAAAATAAAACCCAAACAAAACAAACCAGTCAAACAAAACACAAACACTCCTATACAAAAATCCCCCCAATCAAAACAACCAAAATCAAAACCCTAAGAAGCCCTCCTCACAGCTATCTCCTAACCATCCCCCTAACCCTAATCAAATCCTCCCTCCCAAGCTTCTCAACAACCTCCGCCGCCTCCCCACCCCTCCTAACCTCATCCCACTCATCCTCATCCATCCCCATAACAAGCGTCATCTGCACACACCGCGCAAAGCACTCGCGATATCTATATCTCCCCGGCGCCCCAGGGACATACCCGACATCAACAGCGGCGCCCACAAGCCCCGCGACATCCCTCTCCAGCCTCGCCGCGCCGAGCGCATTAATCCGCGCCCCGTAAGACCAGAGTCTCTTCTCCAGCAGACGGGCCAGGTACGCGAGGGTCACGCCGAGGACGCGGTCGAAGGCGGAGGGCGTGAGGATGCGCGCGTAGGGCATCAACAGGTCGTTCCAGAGGGATGTGAAGCGCGGCTTGACGAGTTCTTTGCTTTCGAAGGCTGAGTTGGGGGTTTCAGGGTCTGTGGTTGTGTTCGGGGTGTATTCGATGTCGCGGAATGTGTCGGCGAGGATGGGGCGGAGACGGGGTTTTATGGCGTTGTTGAAGATTACTTGGATTCCGTCGGTAAGGAGGTCGGTTACTTTGTTTTCGAAGGTTGTCGAGAGCGTTTGGAGGGTTTGTTGCACTTTTTGCGCGGTGCTTGGGTTGGAGAAGATTGTGAGGAGGTGGGAGCTTGTTTGTGGGGTGGTGCTGGTTGTGTCGGTTGGAGGTGGTTGTTTTGAACCCGTGTTGTTTTGCACGATTCGTTGGATGTAGTCGACTCCTAGGTCGAGGTTGTTGATTTGAACAAGGAAGGAGATTAGGGTTTGTTCGGCGGGGAGACCGCCTTGCATGGCGCGTGGGTAGCATTCGTCGCGCATCTTGCGCTGCGTCATGCCGATGAAATCGGAGCCGAGGACCCGTGAGAGGGTTGGGACTACGTTTGTCACGACTGCTTCTTGGGAGGTTGCGAGCGATTGCTGGATCACTTTGTTGACGATGTACATTATGTCGTCGACCGCTGAGGTGATGTGTGGTGGGTCGGCTTTCAGTGGACGCTGGGGGTTCATCGTGAGGCCTGTTGGGGACTCGTCTAGTTGGAAGGCCTTTTCGACGGAGCGGCGGAAGAAGAAGGTTGTCATTGCGTTGAAGGGGGCCACCAGACGATCGTTGATCTTTTGGGCCAGAGGCGAATCTCGCACGAAGCTGGGAAGCTCTCGCTTATTGTCGTCTGCACCGTCCTCACTCGAAGACTAAAGAAGTTGTTAGTGTCGGTATTGAAGAAGCTGATATGACAACTCACATTACAGGTATCAGCCAGGAACCGACAGTACAGTGACCACCGGCCCAACATAATAGCCATTTCATTCAAGACACCGTCGATCTCTTTCATATCCACCCCTTCTTCATCGGCGGCAGCACTCGCCCCCATGGCAGGGGATTGCGAGAGAGGCGGACCTGTTCGCTGCGCAGGTAGGAAGCTCTGCACCAAGAAAGTGAAAGCATAGGATTTGATATCCATCAGTTTACGATCCACATGTCGCTCGTCGCTCCAAGTATCAAGAATGATACCACCCTGTACATCAGCCTCGACCTGTAGCCGTTCAATGACCCGTCCCATTTTGCGGGGCCCATAGTGGTGCTCAACGAGCCCACCATGACTATCAATGATCTGCGCAATATGCTCAAACAGCTTGGTAAGCGCATTGGCATAGAAGAACCCATCCTTAGTCTGAGCACCCCCGGTAGCCCCGTTAAGGTTAGCCCGCGCCTTAGCCGCGACGCCCTGGCACACATAACGACCATAAACATCAAGTCCAACCTCAGAGCGACCAATAAGCGGGAAAAGCTTGAAGAAGCGCGTAATCTTGGCTCCATCATTCTCCTTAACCGCCTTCTCAAACTCGCGTAGGAACAGCCCGCACAGCGACTCCGCCGCGTTATCCAGCGTCACACTTGGCGGGTCCGGCACTTCAGCCGTAGGAACCATCTCCGCAGCAAACGCGCCATTAACGACCGACGCCGGGATCTGCGCTGCGCGGTGCAGGTAGCTGGCCGCTTTCTCCCAGTCCTGGGGTGCACCCATCGATCCCGCCACGCCTAGCGCACACGCCTTGAGCTCGGCGACTTGCTCGACAACTTCAAGAGTGGCTTTCACCCGAGCCTGCTCGAGATCTAGTCGGCGGACCGCACTGGAGATCCGATCGGCGGTGCTGGCGGCTTCGGAGAGCATCCCGTGGCTGATGGAGCGGGTTGTGCTGGCGTGGGTCCCGATGTTGACGCGCATCAGATCCAGCCTGCCTAGTTCACGGGAGAAGTCTTTCTGGGATGTAACCAAGGCATCGAGGCGGGCGGTCACTGACGCTTCTTGGGTGTGTAGATGGGACAGCGTGGCTTTGATCTCGGCGACGGAGCTGGCGTTGAAGATGTCGGGTTGTCGGGGAGGTGATGTCTCTGTGGGTGAGACATTGTTGTTTGGAGGACTTTTGGGCATGGAATTATGCCCATTGGCGGTTGCAGCCATTCTGGGCGCCATTGGTTGTCGCGAGTTGGTTTGTTGATGCCACGCCGGTTGTAGGGGGGTTGCGGGCGGTGAGGCTCGGTTTTACAGCTTCAAGCTTCAAATTCCTTGTATTACGTCAAGGCAAACGGGAGTTTGAGACTCCAAATTGTTCAAATAAATAGTACTTGTCATAACGCGTCTTAGGTATTTTTTTTGTTTGTCGTTTTATTTTGCGCGTCTTAATGTCGTTGTGAATCAGGCCGACGTCAGTTTTCCCCACGCGATCACGATTCCATATCAGTTTGCTCTTTTTCAGTTTCTCTTCTTTTCTTTCCCTGTGAACGTTCTCTGTTATCTACGCATCTGAAGACTTGACTTTTTATCTGTCAAGTCCCCAACCGCCATCATCGGACGTCGCAAGCCTAGACGTCCAAACCGGCGCATCATGGGTAATGAATCGTCAACCCCGGTGGATGAATCCACGCCCCCTTCGGTGCTTGAAGCGCGCAACGTTCAGGCGCTGGCCAAGTATGTTAAAGAGCACAATGTGAAGAAAGTTGTGGTTATGGTATATACTGTAGATCCCCATGCAATTGTGCATCCAAGCTAATCAACCATGCAGGTGGGGGCAGGCATCAGCACTTCAGCAGGCATCCCAGACTTTCGCTCACCTGATACGGGAATCTACGCCAACCTGGCAAAGCTAGATCTGCCAGAGCCAGAGGCAGTCTTCGATATTGGTTTCTTCCGGCGTAACCCCAAACCTTTCTATGCGCTGGCGCACGAGTTGTACCCCGGACGCTATCGCCCAACCATCGTGCATTCATTCATCAAACTGCTTTACGACAAAGGGATGCTCTTGAAGCATTTTACTCAAAATATCGACTGCCTAGAGCGCCAGGCGGGCGTGCCTGGCGACAAGATCGTCGAGGCCCATGGTAGTTTTGCGACCCAGCGCTGCATTGAATGCAAGGAGACTTTCCCGGACGAGGAGATGCACCAGATGGTATCCAAGGCCGAGGTACCCCACTGCCACAAGTGCAATGGCCTGGTCAAGCCGGACATTGTGTTCTTCGGCGAAGCTCTACCATCAGAATTCTTTGAAAGTCGCTCTCTGCCCGAAGAGGCTGATCTGTGCATTGTCATGGGAACTAGTCTGTCTGTCCAGCCATTTGCCGGTTTGCCTTCGATGGTTAGCCCAGGCGTGCCTCGTCTGCTCATCAACTTGGAGCGTGTCGGTGGTCTTGGATCGCGGAGTGATGATGTGCTGATGATTGGGGACTGTGATGCTGGAGTGCGCAAGTTTGCAAAGGCTATGGGGTGGGAAGAGGAATTGGAGGCATTGTGGGAGGAGACCAACCCAGACCCCCAGCAACGGGCGGAGGAGAATGCCCCGCTCCAGACCCGAGACGAACGACTGCAGGACGAAGTGGACCGACTAACGGAAGAGGTCGATCGAACTCTGGGGTTGACAGACGCGTATCAGAATAAAGTACGCGAAAAGCTGGAGTCACACGAACAGGCACACCGCCAGTCTGGGAATCTCGACCATGTATTCCCCCATTTGGCGCATAAGCTGTCACATTGAGGTTATGAATTTTCATGAAATGTCTTTAATAGACAGAAATAGGAGGTATATTCAATGTTATTTTTGACTAAAAGGTGTGCATTTGTATGTAGATATAACCTAGTAACATGGATACCTCTCAAGTTAACACGCCAAGAGATGGCTGATCTTGTTCTAAGTGTCGATCACAACGTGACCACTTTTGAAAGTGAAGACATTGGCTTATCTGTACATATAATGTATTGTAATTTTAGTCTAAGACACTATTTGTAATAGTAAAATATTTATAGTCCAGATGTTGCCCCCCTCTTAGCTCCAATTGACTTTCCCTCTTTCTCTCCGACAGCCAAAACAAGACATCTAGGGAGTTGCCCCACGTCGCTTTTCCCATATCGTCATTCCCCCCCCCCAACTCTCTTTTTCTTTCATTTTCCTCTCAATAACACATAATTCATCATGGTTGGACTTGGACCAAAGCACCCGCCGTCCCGAAAGGGTGAGGCTCTTCAAATCCCTGTCCATATTATTAGCAAACTAACTATGTGGTACAGGGTCCATGCACGAACTGCCCCAGAACTTGCTGGGGCCGATTCAGGACTTCGAGAAGGCTTTCTCAGTGGATCGCTCCAAGCTTAAGGAAATTGTGAACCACTTCGTTAAGGAGCTCGAGAAGGGTGAGTTGGAACTAGCTATCCACAGCTCCCCGATTCACCGCGTTAGCCGCTAACAAATATAGGCCTAAGCGTTGAGGGCGGCAACATTGTGAGAACGACACCATTCCCCCGACCTCAACATAGACTGACTCTAGAAAATAGCCCATGAACGTTACCTGGGTCCTGGACTTCCCCGATGGCGACGAGCAAGGAACATACCTGGCCCTCGATATGGGCGGCACCAACCTACGTGTTTGCGAAATTACCCTGACCGAGGAGAAGAGCGCTTTCGATATCACACAATCCAAGTATAAGATGCCCGAGGAGCTGCGGACTGGAACTGCCGAGGAATTGTGGGAGTACATCGCCGACTGCTTGCAGCAGTTTGTCGAGACCCACCACCACGATGGAAACATCGATAAGCTACCTCTCGGTTTCACTTTCTCCTACCCCGCCACCCAGGACTACATTGATCACGGTGTTCTGCAGCGCTGGACTAAGGGCTTTGATATTGATGGTGTTGAGGGCCACGATGTCGTCCCCCCTCTGGAGGAGATCCTGAAGAAGCGGGTATGTTAATCCTTGAGATGATCACCTCCTCCCATGCCGGTTCAAAAAACTTATAAAGCTACAGGGCCTCCCCATTAAAGTCGCAGCCCTTATTAACGACACCACTGGTACCCTCATTGCTTCCTCCTACACCGATACCGAGATGAAAATTGGCTGCATCTTTGGTACCGGCGTCAACGCCGCATACATGGAGAACGCAGGGTCCATACCCAAGATCGCCCACATGAACCTGCCTGCCGATATGCCCGTCGCTATTAACTGCGAGTACGGAGCTTTCGACAATGAGCACGTGGTACTCCCTCTCACCAAATACGATGACATCATCGATCGCGACTCTCCCCGCCCCGGCCAGCAGGCCTTCGAGAAAATGACCGCTGGTCTGTACCTGGGCGAGATCTTCCGTCTCGCACTCGTCGACCTGATCGACAACAAGCCTGGCCTGATCTTCAACGGCCAGGACGTCTCCAAGCTGCGCAAGCCCTACCTGCTTGATGCCTCCTTCCTCGCCAACATCGAAGAAGACCCCTATGAGAACCTCACAGAGACCTTGGATCTCTTCGACCGTACGCTGAACATCCGCCCCACCCAGCCAGAGCTGGAGCTCGTCCGCCGTCTCGCCGAGCTGATCGGTACCCGTGCCGCTCGCCTGTCCGCTTGCGGAGTTGCCGCCATCTGCACCAAGAAGAACATCGAGTCCTGCCACGTCGGTGCTGACGGTTCCGTCTTCACCAAGTACCCCCACTTCAAGGAGCGTGGCGCTCAGGCCCTGCGTGAGATCCTCGACTGGGCCCCTACCGAGAAGGACAAGATCTCCATCTTGGCTGCCGAGGATGGTTCCGGTGTTGGTGCTGCCGTGATTGCCGCCCTGACTCTCAAGCGCGTCAAGGCCGGTAACCTCGTTGGTATCCGCAACATGGCCGACATGAAGACCCTGATTTAAACGGAATTGGTCTTGTAGTGGTGATGGTGACTATTACTATCATCTGACCCATGACAAAACAAACCCTATTTACGGATGGATATCTATTTTGAAATTATGGTTAATGCTATCTGGTTTGGGGTTTGATGAAATATTTTAACGATAAATCGATTCTGTGTATGTTAGCCTTGGAAGGCTCGTGAATAGAATATAGTCCACGATATTATTACTTTAGTCCACCGGTAACTATAGAGAGCGGATTTCCTCCAAGGTTGGCGTTCCTTTTCCGCTTTGGTGCTCAGACCTCGCCGCTTTCTGCTCATTGGGTAGAACTGAGCACGCCCCTGAGCGGAAGGTTTGATCCATGGATCAGATCAGCGCCATTATATAAGCGATCTGACCACCTGGGCATACACCTGCCCAGGCAGGTCCGAGACCTGAGGTTGTGGGAACTGGCGTGTCTAATTACAAGGTTCTCTGTTAATGTATCTACGGACTTTCGAATCTCGGAGGGGCAAACAAGAACAGCTCCGTAGAAGAACCAGTTATACTATCTTTTCCGTCTGCTTAATCTGTTGGAAAATTTGCATGATGGCTTCTTGCCCTCGAAAGGTCGCAATCTGTGCCGCCGTCCACCTTTTATGTCCTGATGTGAGTGAGACATCTGCACCAGCATCGAGTAACATCCGAACAATCTCATAATGGCCGCATCCTGCCGCTCCAGAAAGCGCCGTATACCCATTATAATGAGAGCCTTGAGCATTCACATCGGCTCCTGCATCTAACAGTCGACGGACAATCTGGCGGTGGCCTCCAAAAGCCGCGCCTTGAAGGGCCGTAAAACCGTTATACCTTACGGCGGGGGCATTCACATCATCTTTGTGGTGTAGGAGCAATTCCACAATATCAGCGTAACCCCCGGATGCAGCAGCTTGAAGTGGGGTGCGGCCTCGATTCTTAGCAGGGGGCGTATTGACATCTGCACCTTTCTCAAGCAGCCATCGTAGTATCTCGATATGGCCTCCTTCCGCGGCAGCCTGGAGGGCGGTTAGGCCCATATACGGATGGGGCGGGAAGTTGATATCTGCACCCGCAGAGACTAAGTGGCTGACGATATTCAGATAGCCCGCTCCAGAGGCCACTACTACCGCTGGTCTGCCACCGTTGTTTCCTCCGGGGGCGTTCACTTCTGCGCCTGCCACTAACAACATCTCAACCACGGCGAAGTGCCCATTACAAGAGGCGGCCTGAAGGGCTGTCTGGCCATAGTAACCTTTAGGGGGCTCATTAGGATCCACTTGTTGGGCTAGGAGCTGCTGTACTTGGCACAAATTCCCTTGTGCAGCGGCGAACTGAAGAGGAGACCTGATCTCATCGTCTAGTTCATCTAGTTGAGACTGCTGAGTCGATGAAAGTCGACTTCTTTGCATCTTGGCACTTCTGCTGTGGGTGTTTTGTGCCACCTGGCGACTGCATGTGTTGTTGAATTGTTAAAGGAACATGTAAGTTGACGTCTAGGGAAGATGCTTATCCGGTTAAAACGGCAGGAATCCTTGCTAGGCAAAATCAAAGCCAACATAAACCAATCAGAGGCTAGATAAAAGAAAGTAGTTAAAAAAGGATGTATAAGCAAGGAACCGGCCCGGCCTGGGGTGATGTTCGGGAATATACAAAGTACCTACATGATGTACTAGTGGCAAAATAATGTACGAGCGCGAAACATTTGCATTAGTGGTATTGACAATCTTCCAAGGTTACCCGCTTACAAGTTACATACATGTGTACATATGTATGTAGATAACATTGCATTTTCTAAGATACGTACATCAATGGATATTAGTATGTAGTATTATGTAGTATTTATGGGTACTAGTAGGCCCTGTGATAAAACGGCAAAGTCCATGGGAATTTCAGCCCTCAAAACTTCGAAAAGAATTTACTTTCCTGCAGCCTTTCGCTAGTACTGCACATACTGGGATTACTTAGCAGCCATGATGGCGATGTCGAACTCATCAGAAGACTGGGATAGGAATGATGACAAGAACATTGATTCCATTTCTTCATCCGCTGGCTTGTTGAATGAACTTCCCTCTAAATCACGAGCGGCCTCATTGCGGAAATACATCGATCTTCGCCTGATATTCGAAGGATTCCTCGTCTTTTGCCTCTTTATTACTTTGGTGTCTATTACGCACAAACCAAACAGATCGAATGCAGTTAAAGAAAGCAGCTACGGACCGACGCGTAAGTATCTCTTGGATTATACATCACGTATCTTCTCAATTGTTGATCTCCAATCTCTTTGCAACAGTACCACGAAAACCCGTCATATTCGGTAACACAGCAGGGTTTGGGCCGGACATCCCTTACAACGATCCTGAGATGTTGCGGAATTCTACCCGTATGCGAGAGATTCATAGAAACTGGCATACCCTATTCCCGCGTGAGTTTGTTCAAGTTGGGTACCGGTATCTCAACTCCGTGACTGATACTCTTTCTTTTGCTCATAGCGGGCCGTGGCTACGTTATCGTTTCGGAAAATGAGGAGTTTGAGGTCCTTCATCCCCCATTCAAAATGGACAATGTCTTCGAGGAAGGCGATCACTACGAAGGACACATAATGGCGGTCTACCACCAGCTACACTGTCTGGTGAGTCTACGCCCAGCGATAACTTATATATCACACTGACATAAGATCGAAGTCTATTATTATGACTGCTATGGGAACTTCGCGGGAAGAATGGGCGATGCTTGATATACAAAAGCTTGAGCACCGCGCTCACTGCGTGGAATATCTTCGACAAAGCATTTTATGTTCGGCAGATACAACTTTGGAAGGTGAGACTGGAGCATGGGCTAGGAGTACAGGCTGGGGCCAGACACATTCTTGTGTCGATCTCGATGCTTTGACAGCGTTCGCCAATGAGAAAGCGAGTTGGAACCTGACTGAGAGATTGCTACCGGACAGCTTTGATCCTCTCAAGGTTACTGAGACCGGTGACAACCATTGATAAATATGCCGGTCTGTTACACTTATGAGACTGGAATTCGCGCAACACAGTAAATTCAATAGAAATATATGTGAAGCAAATACTCAACTCTCCAGAAATAGATTAAGACAATATGGAACCGCAAGCCAAAATCCCAGTTTATATGATATGATAGTCTATGTTTCCTACTTGGTTATACGTACTGTCGACAAATAGTGGCAGGTAGAATTTACGTTCAATCATTTTAAATGCACGTAGGCTCAACTCATAACTACTCATGCTCAGGGTGAATGCAGAAAAGGAGAAAAAGCAGCTAATATATAACCTGAGGCCATCTCCACATCCCACAACCGGTGTATAGCCACATGTGCATCTGATATCCTACGTGATCATTTGGTCGTCAGAAAGCATAAAGACACAGTGATTTAGCTTGGCACTCACTGTATCACTTGCGATCATAGTCAGTGACGGCCTCCTCGGCGACAGGGCCGACAGCCATGGCGCGAGGTATCACCAATCCCATCGTCTGAGACACACCAATTGAAAGCAACATCAGTGTGGTAAAGACCTTCATATTGGCAGTATGAGCGAGCTGAGAATATGTCTGTAATGGGCAATATCCTTTGTATGGTAGCAATGGCGATAGTGCGTGATTAGGTAGGAAACGAAGAGTTTATATCGCCAACAATGTATAGTATCTCTGTTTTCATATACCGATACGTAAAATTCGAATAAGTATACGGGACGGTACAGTTTTACAATGCATTGCATTTTGAACCCTAATGCAGCACTTGCATTAAAGAAGCTAGTAACTAGTAGGACATAGCGCGGAGCGTCCTCAATGACGCCTAGGAGCTTCAAGTCTCTCTATTTCCTGCACATTCACAGAGACGATGTAACCTGAGCAGGGACACCGATAAGCTAAGTTTAGCAAACAATACGGAAGAAATTTGGTCCACGTATAAGATGTTTGAAGCTGAGCATTCTTCCAAGATGCAATCTATGATGAACAGTATTCTTGAATCCGCCCAAGCCTCTCGACCCCTCTTATTGATTACTGCATGTCAATGTAATTTAAGATTGTCTGTACATTGTCGGTGTCGCTCTTTGACTGGTCTATTCAATAACCGTTAAGCACAGAGCTTTGCCTATGTTGGGCATGTACCCATCAATTCGCACTATCAACCACCCATTCACCCCTCCCACCTCCCCTGCAAGACTTGGTCTGGCAAAAAAATCATCCGGCTCTAAAATTCACAGTGGCTTAGACCTGCAATACGGAATGCCGGAGGTCGCGATTGTGGTGGAATTTATCCCCCTTGGCCATTGCATAATTAATCTTGTGCAGTGCAATGTATGTTCGTAGCTGTACACATCAACATCCAAGTATCGATGTTCAATGACAGCGGAATGTAATCGTCGCCACAAGTAGAGACAATGCATTATGTGATAATCATTGTCCGGATACACAGCCTCAAACTCGCCGGCGAGTGCAACGTCCCGGGAGACTTCCTTGGTGTGTTCCCGATCAGCGTACCACTTGAAATCGACCTCCTGGAGCATTTCATGCAAGACATCCTGGTTGAAACACTTTGGAGAGTACCATCGCGAGGCCATAACGTCAAATTGGCAACCCAGACGCTTGGCCTCAGTCCAGTGCGTACCGCATTTGGCTTCCCCTGTTTCGGGGTTGAAGACAAACTCGCTATTCACGTTCACCTCTGGTGGACTTAAACTTGCTTTGGCGACCGTGTTGGCTACCAGCTGGACTGTAGGATTGAAGATATTGGCAAGGCCAACCCCAACGGCCATTCCAACGAAGAGAGATACCAAACAGGTAAACATGTTGGAACGGGGTTTCCAACAAAATTTCATGTTTTCAGTCTCTGGCTCATTCTCAGAGTCCAATGAGGAGTATTTTGTGGAAGCCATAAGACCTTGGAGATAAAAGCTGAGTCGTAAAGCCACAATATTGCCGCAGAGATATCTCGAGAACTGCGTAGAATATATTTCAAGTGGGTGCACTTGCGTTTTCAGCTAGATTTGGATTTGGAATTATGCTTGAAGGTCTCTTTGTCCTTTTTGTTGACTTTAGATAAGAGAAGTACCCTGCAGGTCCTCGGACACATCTACATCAATTGTAATTTACAGTAATCACGGAACCCCGGGGTTGTGACGCTGAATGAATATATATATTTTCTTAAATACCGTCCTTCCACTGGCCGTCCCCATATTTCCGAATAATCACGGTGTATTTGGAAGAAACAACCGGATCCTGGGACAAATTCTCTGAGGAACATTTGGAATAAATCCAGTCTTTGCTTTCTATATCCTCCATGCACTTAGTTGCGGGAGGCGATGGGCAGGCCTCCGGCCTTGAGCAGCAATCAAAATCCATCCAGCCGAGGCGTATGCTACTAGCCACCTCTCTCCCTTTTATGAAGTCTTGCCTTCTCTACTCACTGGCCGTCTGGGGCGCCTTCACAATCATTGCCAAGCCGTTACGTGCAATTGAACTTCCTTTCAAAGGCCAAATATCCTCCAGCATTGATCTAAGGGGATGCGACTGTGGAGAGTCCTTTGCAGAGGCAATATCCCGCGGTTGCCAATTCGACGGGCTCGCAATGGCCTGGCTTCCGGAGCATTGTCGCGATGATGAATTAGTGGAAGAATTCAACACAATGGGAGATGGTCCTAACGGCACGTGGATCTACTATGCCGATCGAGAAAATACCATCCAGATTGACCCCGAGGAAGTGGCAGCCTTGGGGGATCGCCCTAAGGCTTTGGTCCATATGAGTGTCCAGTGGCACACCATCCATTGCATATTTTATTGGCGAAAGCAGTTCCGGACACGATCCAATGGCAAGATCGTGGAGCCCAGGTCTGATTCAGAGCATCACATCAAGCACTGTGGAGAAATCTTCTTGTCGCCAGGGTCGGGGACAAAATCGGGGGTGGCTTTGAACACGAACATGGAATAGTTGCGGTATCGGATTTCATTGTACTTTCTTGCCTGTGCATGTTGCATGATACATGTGTTATACAAAAAGGGGCTGTAATGGGAAAGCCGGGGTTGAGAGTCTGTGACCGGCGGAGTTCCGAATGCAGACTATACAAGCATGTCCAAGCTAAGTCAAGCACTAGGCCAAGCACTAGCTTAATTAATAGGTCTGAGCACTGGGTCTGAGCTTTGCCGTTAAAAATGGGGAAATATCCCGTGGCTCAGACCTTCTAGTCATGCTTTATGAGCGTCTTGTTATTAAATTATGCACATTTGTCCTTTCAGTGCCAGCTGCCCAAATCCATGAGATATATTTCGAGGTGTTGCTGCTATCATTGCATTCAAGACATGCATTTGAGATCAATAGCCTGAATTTTCATTTCTAAATAGTACTACTACCATCGTTATACAATAAGTCTAGAGCCATGTGGTCGTATCACTGGGAAAATGGTCTACCGGAGTGTCAAGGTGGAGACGAATATTCTAACAGTATATTTGGGGTTGGGTGGGTAAGAGAGGGCAGTTCTTCAATCTTTTCTCGCAGAAGGAAGAAATCAGGTGTCAAGCTTCTCACCTCAACGTGGGAATGGAACCAGTCTATACAAGATATCCTTATCTTAGGCAGCTTTGGAAAACAGAAGGAAGTCAAGAAAGTGGGCGATGGGCTTAACTCCGATAATTGTGAGATCAAAGAGTCACTTACTCTAAACAAGTTAACTTTCTAAAGGTTCTAGTGATCTCAGTCAGCCACATTTAGCGCTGCCTTTCCTATCCCTGCTCGACCAAGTCACCTTGGCAAAGCGCATGTGAAGCATTTGAAATTGTGTCCGTTTTCATCCATCTTCGGACAGTCTAAGAAGGCGCTGTAGTTGATGATCCTCTCGATAGCGCTCTAAGGCGTCCGCTTTCGAGGTCTCACAGTTTGAATCCCCTTCAATGCCCAACATTTTGAGCAGGCCGAAAAAGAGCCCAATGAATTCGTCCCAATCGTCAAGGTCATATCCACAGCAAAATTGGATTCGATGAAGAAGTCGCCCATTTCTAACTATCTCCCCAAGATCTGTATGTCCTTTCTTTTCTAAGCACTCAGCAAAATGAACTTCATCTTCTCCGATATAATCAGCCCCCTCGTAAAGATCGGCAAACGGAAGAAGTACAATTGGCGAATTGAACGCCGCTGATTTCGAATCTGTCTGCGCCCATTCCCAGTCAATAATGCCTGTTATGTTGAAGTCATTGTCAACAAGTATCTGATCCCCCTTTTCGTCCGCATGTTTCAAGTAGAACATCCCATCATCGAGGTGATTTTTTGAGAAGATTTTAGGCACGGTTTCTAGGAGGAAACGGTGTATCAGGAAAGCATCGACGGGGCGGTTAACGTTGGATTATTGTCGTATTATCAAATCCAATATCAATTGAATGTGTGCGTTGAAATATTCTTCTGAAGATGTATAAGGCCCAGGAATTCTCATATGTAGGTCTTTAAAGTCGGCTAAGGACTCTCGTGCAATGGGTCCAACATGAGAAGAGTTCTGCTGATTGAAGGAACCCATCATTGAGAAGGGGAAACCTTTCAATTCAATATAGATATCTGCAAGTTGACTAATAACCTTTTGCCTCTGCTTTGGGGTAGTAAGAGACCACCGCAAGGATTTCCCAGGCAACTTCTCCATAAGGATATAACCAACACCGACAGGGTTTGATTCGTCCGGATTGAAGTCAAAAACCGTAGGAATAGGAACCTTTGTCTTGCTTAAGAACTGCAAGGTTGAGACTTCACTGCCTATGATATAATTCCGCAGTTCCGGGGGTGGGGAAGTAGCGTTGAATCTTCGGATGCGCGCGAGCCAGCTGATTCCATCTTCGAATAAAATCTCGATATGATAATTCATGCCTCCCATGACTGAGCTGCGTAAGGCTCTATCATATTGTAGACCCTGGGCCACGGAGCACGCGAGACCATTGCGGAGACTGCTAGCGCGCTGAGTGAGCGCTAATATGTCGATTTTTTCAATAAGACTTGTGATTTCATTCTTTTCAGCCTCTTGAGCAGCAGGGCCGTAACGATCCTCATCCTGTTCAGACCGAAGAAATCAATAGCTGCTTGAATCCGTAGAATTTCATTGACAAACCTCCCATTTTGGGCATGTATGATACTCTGGCCCCAGATGTTTCACGCAAAAATGATGATCACAAAGGACACAGTCCCCATATATGCGAACAGAAGACTTGTTGCAACCGTCACAATCGCAATCCCAGATTGCCATTGTTGTAAATTGAATGACAGTATCTTGAAACAGCAAAACAGAGGAGCAATGAACCACGCTGAATATGTAAACTTACACAGACCCCTAGGCGCCCCCATAAAGCGGAGGCACTCAATCGGGAAAATCGCGACCGAGGCCTAAAATACACTACTGCTACATACATACGAAGCAACCAATCGAATGAAATGATATATACTCATCAAATTCATCTAAAACCTCACATCCATATCTCCATACTCCCCTTAAACTCCTGAATCCTCCTGCTCAATATCAAAAGCCGCATCATAAGCATTCCAAGAAGCACAATTCTCCTCAAGTGCTTTGTGATCAATCAACGGCTCAATCTCACTTTCCCTCTCCAAAAACTGCAATGCAAACCCTTCATCCGTATGCCACCCGATATGACAATGCATAAGCCATGCCCCAGGATTATCTGTCTCAAATGCCATAAGCAAATACCCATTCCCAGGCAACATCGCCGTATCCCTCCGCGGCGGATTATTAGTTGCAACACTCCCATCCCATGGATTCGGCCCCTGCGCCAGAACAAAGAAATCATGTCCGTGCAAATGAATGGGATGCGTCACCGGGAAACTCGTGTTGATCATGAGGTAGACCCATTCATGCGCCCGCGGCAGCTCAATCACTCCACTCGACGTCGTGAAGTTGGGCGTGTTTTTGTTGTTGAAGAGCTGTAATAACGTAGGGTCTTCCCACAAGACTTGCATCGTCGTGCTGTTGAGGTACCAGCGGAAGAGGTTCGCGCTGTTGCGCCCGAGTGTCACGTCCGTTAGGTTGTTCCAGTCTGCAGCTGAGACGGTCTTGGGGACTTGGGGCACTAGACTGGAGGCGGGCTCGTCATCGCAATCGTCTGGGAAGTTGTACGCTTTTGTTGTGGGTGTGCGGGGGCGTTTGCCGTAGTAGAGGATTCCTTTTATGTCGTTTGGGTTTGCATTTTCCGAGCATGCTTCTTGGGGAATTGCACGGATCCAGAATGAGTCAGAAATTCGACGTTTGTTTGCTGTTACGATTACGTCGTAGCGTTGGCCTGTGGGAGGTTTGTTAGTTGTTGGCTTTTTTTTCGGTTCGGAGGAACTAGGGCTGGGGGATTTGATGTCAAAAAGTAAACAGCAACATACCCATTCCGATGCTGATATAATCCGTTGTAAACGGCTTGATTGGCACAAAGTCCGCCGAAATGACTGTAAGTGTATGATTATCAATCATGAACTTCCAATGCGTATCAACTGCCGAATTGACAATCCTCAGCCGGTACGAAGACCCATCGTTAACCTTCATCTCGAACCGGCGGCCCGTAGAATTGGTACCATTGCCAAAGGTATTAGTCCCGTTAATTAAACCTGTATCCATAGTCGGCGGACCAATCGTCTGAGCCTCTAAGTACAGCTCATCAACAGTGGGGTGCGACCAGTCCGTCAGGAACAGACTGCCCTTATCGACATCGTAGTTCGCCGTGGCAGGGCCATTAATCACAATCCCACCAAACACACCCTCCCACGCTTGCAGTCCAATGTGGGAATGGTACCATGACGAACCGTACTGCACGGCCCGCCATTTGTACGTTATGGTTGAGCCCGGCGCGGTGGGACATTGAGTGATGGAGACCACCCCGTCGTTGCCGTTTGTGAAGTTCTGTCTGATCCCGTGCCAGTGAATGCTCGTTCCGTTCTTGGACTTGTGAAGGCTATTCTTGACGTGGATCACAACCCAGTCGCCCCAGTCTGCGAAGATCGTTGGGCCGGGGATTGTGCCATTCACGGTCATTACGGGACGTCTGAACCCATCTGGTGCGGCCACTAACTCTTCGAGATTGAGCCAGTACTCCCGTGTTACGCCTGTGTTTGGTACTACCTGAGTGTAGTCGGTGTTGACGTCGTATTGGCACCATTTAGATCGTGTTCCGGGCGTGTTGCCCGCACAGGGTGTTCCTGTTGGCTTGCTGATCTTGGTAGTTGTCTTGGTAGTGGGCTTGCCCTTGGTTATGGTTGTCTTGATCGTAGTCGTTGGGGGTCTGTATTGTTGGGGCTCGATTTTCACTGAAGTGACTGGATCCCCTGGAATGGCCGTGACAGAAGCACTCAGGCTAAATGCCAAGAGTAGAAGAGCTTGGAGCCTCATAGCTGCCAATTATACCCGTGCAGGGCACTTGTATAGTGCTCGATTTTCTTTGGGTCACGAATATAGCTCTATATAGCTCTTGAGAGCAACCAAAAAGCTTCGAGTAGAAAACGAATATAACTTGCTTGTTATACACAACCAAGAGAACCGTCCACTATTTAAATCACTTTCTTAGATATAACAGTTGGACAGCACGACACGAGGGGGAGATTTGACCAGGACCAAAAACGCCATGTTTCTTTTCACGAGGTGTCCTGCATTCGTACCTCACGAGCATACTCAACTAGGATATGCCCAGCAGCCCTACCGGCGATGCCGTCGGAAACAGGATATTGTGCTACGCATGACGACCTGGTAGACGAATAGACATGTCTAAGAGTTATCGTTATCCTCCAGCTCGGGTGTTGAGGCTATGTATTCAGTGTATATCCGACTAGTAAGATGAAGGCGCCTCGTATCCCCGCCAGGGGTCGTCCACTTTCCGAGCCGTCAGAAGATAGTCTGCTCGGGAAAATTTGCAGCGGTTGGATAATTGTTACATTTTCTATCAAACACGTGTGTACTGGTCGTTTAGCCTGCAGATATTGGCTGCTTTTATCTCGTAATAGTACTATCGACAAGATAGAGATCATGGATATTCCATCGAACTAGAGCTGTGTGTTTCTCAGATTACCAAAATGAAAACTCAAAAGAGCCAATGACGGCCATTGACTATTGGGTACATTATTCCCTGGTTTTATTGTAGTCAGATTGGCTTGCAGGTCTCACATTAGGGTTATGCTCCCCGACACGCGGTCTTTGTTTTATGTCGGTGCAACCAGTTTCAGCCTACATAATATGCAAAAATATGATAATCCCACGTGTGCTCAGACATTAATATCGTATACTGCATGTTTCCTTTGTTTCTTTTTTTTTTTTGAGATATCAGCTGGTTTGTCCAGGATTGTCGATTTTGGCGAGCCTTGACGCAACACAAGGATGGTGAGTGGACCATTGACCTGACATTGGGGTTGTAATAGCTGTGATCTGGATTCTAATATTGAACACAGCCAGGTGATGACAATTTCTTTTTTTGACTGGGATCTTGGTCTCATCGTCAGCTTGTACCAGTCCAAATCACAAAATGCGGCTTGGACCACAATATTGGGAAATGAAGCAAAAGAATCAGCAATTGAAACCAAAAAAAATGTCATTGGCTAGGTCCTAGGCCACAGCCTATTTCTATTTTCATAGTTATCTCGTCAACTATGCCCTCGTGACTCTTTCTTGTTCTATAAGTTTTGCTTCATCCTGATACACTACCGTATACACCCTTTTCCCTTTCCAACATATTGTCCGACTCGTTGCAAGATGCGATCTCTTTACATTCTTCCCCTTCTAGCCTTTGGGCTAGTATGCTCTGCTAAGCCAGTTGAAAAGCGACAGTCGACCAATACCGATTCTTTCAAGCTGTATGCGTATGGCCCAGGCATTAGCGGACTGCCCGTTGTCTACTTGAACGGTAGCTTAACCCTCCCAAACCCCAAAAACAGCAGTATTAACTGATTTATATCACTTTGTCAATAGGTATTGCCAACGTCGCAGATGAATCCAAAGTAAGCGCAACCACAATGGCCGGACTGACCCCAGTCAACTGTAAGAAACCCGAGATCTCTACTTGATGCGAAAATCACATAAATCTACAGAGCTAACCATGCAACAGTCACCGCCTCCATTGATGGGTCCAACACCTGGATAGCATATCCCAGTTCGACCGAGGGAGTTTCCACCCTCTCGACCAATACCAATGTGCTGTGTCTGAATCAAGGCAATACAGCCTCCAATCCAGTAGGATTTGCCGGAACATCCGCAAGGGAACAGTCGAACAACCTCAGCAATGTATGGTCCCTGTATGGGAATTACGTCCTAGTCACTGTGAGCGGGGCCAACTTTTACGCAAGACAAACTGGTACGGACGGCTTGTACTCTCTACTTTGGAGTAGCTCAGCTGAGGCAATGACGGATACTATACCGCTAGTGCTGCGGACTGCTGAGCCTGCGACGGTATCTGTACTGACCACGAGCTGAGCTGGGGCTGAAGAGATAGATGCCCTGAATTTTAGTGGCATGCAGGGTCTCTATACATAACAGGGAGCGGTATGGTCGGTGGCGTTGTAGATCGATCTTGGTTCTGTAGGTCTGTGTTGGCCGATTCACTTTTGCCTGGAAATGTACCCTAGCTCGGCTCTATCTACCCGGAGAATTAGTCGAATACGATATCATGCTCATGCAACTCGTGATGTGATATCACGTATCATCTCTTTATCTTGTCTTGGCAGCATTGTGGGGGAAGCGCTTAGATACTACACTATGTGTGGTACATAGGCTGCATTCGCTAGTTCCAGTACATGAGTCTCGTATTTGTTTAATTCTCCGATAAGTACCAGCCACTAGATCATCGGGCAGCAAGTGGCATGAGAGCCCAATAGCAAACATATCAAAAGAACATAGATTCAAAGAAATTGCTAAATAACCCTATAGCTGATATATGCATTAGGGTAAAAAAACGCAGATTGTCTCAGACAAAAGAAAAAAGAAAAGAAGTACATATACGAGACTGCAAGAAAGCGCCTCGTTACTGTGCGCAGCCGAAGGGCGAGAGAAAGCCCAACAAACGATTAGCGAGCAAAGTGTTGGTTGTGAAGAGACCTCGGCATAAAACAAAGAATCCACAGGGAATAAAATATAATAAAGAAACTAAACCAGAGGGGGAAAAAGGCGAAATCGGACCTAGAAAAGCGAGGCAAGGCAGATTGACAAAGAAAAGAATATGATGCAAACGACAATTGATATCAAAAGCCAAAACTCCCCAGTTCTCCCAGACCCAGAAAACGCCAGAAATAACATAAAAACATAGTTCTCAAAAGGGAAAAAAGAAACACCGATCTCCCATCCCAAGCCCTTGGTAAATTGATATCCCGAATAAAAAATAACATAAAAACAGAACCCATTCTACATCTTTCATCTGTACCAGATCAAGCCTTCTGCGAAACTAAACTCTTGTCGATCGTTTCCGCAGACCAAATTCTTGTTCCTGAAGCTCTCGTATCAAACGAAGACTTTCCTCGTCTGCATCTTCATCTCCAGTGATGTGTTGAGTATGCTTGTGCTGACGAGGAGATAGTGATGTTGGGGCATGGCGATGGAAGTGCTTTTCATACATCGGAGAGCTCTTCTTCGCGTGTGAAGACGAGGGACGTGATGAAGGCTTTCTTGTGGATGCCGGAACAGGAGTGGTCTTGCGTGCCCCGATTGTGGAAGATGTAGCTCGTGGCGCTGGCTTCGGAGCCCGGGCCGTAGGTACATCGGGTGCAAACCGATCGACGTGTCGTGGTTGGCGAGACGAATGTCGAGAGTTGGAGTTAGGTGTGTGCAGAGCAGTTGTCACGTCCCCTTCCACGGATTGTACGGCATCTCCCTCTTGGACCCCATCCATCTCATCGGCCAGCGATGTGGGAGGTGACACCAAGGAGGTGTTTGGCTTGGACGAAGACACAGATATGGTATTTAAATCCTTTGCATCCACAGACTTAGCCTGAAAGGCAGGCGGTGATGCGTACGGAGCTTGATCTTGAGGTGCGTCATCTGCCTCAGGCACATGCTTACTTGAGTCAATCTGATTGAAAGCCTCGTGATCATAAGCATCCATCAGGTCTGCTTGCACCATCAATTCATCGCCATCATGATCAAAGAATACTGTAGGCTGTGTCATGGGCGATGTGCTCTCCTGCTTCGCCTTTTTAGCTGTTGCGGACATGTCGTCCTCTTCAGCGGGGCGTGCTCGTTTGGTGGAAGCATTCGCACGAGGCTTAGAGCGCTCCTGAGCCTTAATCGGATCTATCCGACCGTATTCATCGTGGATGCAACGGCGCTAGTCTTAGGTCAGTAACAGGAAAAGGAGCAAAAGAAGCATTTTTGGGGATCACAAACCTTGCTCTTCCGACAATCATCGCACGCCTTGCTGCGCCCCTTTTTCCCTCCATTGGTTCCATCAGGGCTCACATCAATGAGACGGTTGGCGGCTATTGTGGAGTTGCCCATGACCGCGGATTGGAATCTTGCCGAGCTCTCAAATTGTTCTAGGTCGACCAAATGCCCACTGTTTTGGAACCCGGTTTGTGATGCAATTGCTGCCAAAGAATTCAAAGCAGACACAGCATCTTGGGCCAAGGAGGACGGCGTGCTCACCCCAGAGCCGGGTGTGAAGGCATTGACTGCAACTTGCCCGTTGAGCACCAGATCACCGGGTTCATCTTTGTGCCGGCATCGAATGCGTCGCTTGCGACAGGCATCACATGCAACTCGTTTGGGACCAAGACCTGAGGCTCGTTGCACAGCCCGTGGCTTTGGTGTAGCAGTATTATCTTTGATGCTTATTTCTGGAGCAATATTGAATGGCGCCGGTGTTGCACTTCCATCAGATTGCGCATAAGCAAGGCTGCTGGCTGGGGGATTTGGGGTCGCAGGAGCCTCCTCTGAAGGCCACTGGACCGCTTGTCTTTCGGCGTAGGTGCGTTGGTAATCGACGTTGCGTTCGGATCGGCGGCTTGGTCGTCCTGCGGGCTTCTTGTCTGTAATAGAAACTTTGGGATTGCTTTCGATGACACCAGGTCGAGTCCAGAGGGGTGCCTTCTCATTACCACGCTTCCAGGCGACCCAAATTCCGAATTTTCTGATCATGTCCACGGGATCTCCTGTGCCTTTTGGGATGGAGCGTCTGACCGCGTTTCGAACATCCATGGAGACGACTCCATCAACGGTATAGCCACCCGCAATGAGTGCGGTTCGTAGCAAATACTTAGTTAACTCAAGTAGGCCCTCCAACTCCGCCTGCGAATAAAAGCGGGCATTGTGATGCGGAGAACCTCGAGGTTCTTGGTTGGCACGTTCTCCAAACTCATAATAAATTGGATATCGACGGTGGAACCGATAGTTCTCATCCTGCATAAATGCTTCCATCACATTTTGCGGGACGGGGTCATCCTCCAGATACTTTTGAGCTGTATACCACTGGATCTTTTGGAAGTAAGGGTATCTGAACTTCTTGGGGACTTTGGTCTCCTTTTCGATGTTGAGGATCTTGATTTGCATCCCATAGTTCAGCTTGGTCAAGAAGTTGCCACCAATCACCAAACTGTTTTCCGGGGTCCAAACTGCATGAATCCAGCCGGATGGAATCAGCATGGTGTCTCCCTCGGATAGATCCACACGGTAGCACTCCTTGGTCTGGTTTCCAAGGAAAATCGAGTCCTGGGCGGGAGAGTTGCACCACTCCTCATACTTCTTGAGGTGTTTGTCTTTTGGAGGAATGAAGAAGAAGGTCTTCTTGCCCTTCAGGATATGGTAGTAAACTGAAGATCCTCCAAAGTCGATATGAAAGTCGGTATAGCAGTCGGCAACAGACATCAGACAGTAGAACTGAACTTTGGGATATTCGCCAATTGCCTTCAGTTCCTCTGGCCACACAGCATCTTGCAGATCCAAGTCACGCACAACCTTCGGTCGCCGAATGAGTCTGCCGAGTTTGCTCTGCGATACCTCCAAGCTGATGACATTTCTGACAGGTTTGTCCTGCTCATTGCTTTCATAGTAATCGGCCCATTTCTGCATGTTCCATCTCTTGTCCTCTCCTTGCTGGGACTTGACATCGATCACTTCAACCCTTTCTTCGAGTCCGTAAAGCTCTGCCACAGCACGGACAGTGAGACCCCGCGGGATGACCATACCCAAGAGGTCTTGGCCACAATCAACCGTTTCTTCCATGTGGGTCTCTTGTTCTGGGAAGTTGTCGAGAAGATCATCGAACATCTCTTGAGATGAAGCCTCTTGTACTAAAGACTCGAAGTCAGGATGCTCCGAGTAAACAAGCTCGCGGGAGTTCCAGCAGGCAGGTATAACAATAGGCTCTGTCCACCCGTTTCCTCGCTCGAAGTATTCCGCTGTGACAAGCTCAGGCCTCATTCGGGGGAAATTCTCAGGCTGAAATCGGATCTTCCCTTGACGGATGGGCTCGAGATAGTGGTGTTCCAACGAGTCCGTGGCAGCTTTGACGAGGCCTTGATTCAGACCTGCGTAGTCAATGGCTGTACGGGCGCGCGAGGACTTGCGCACAAAAGTTGTTTGGCCATAAACTGAACGACATGGTCGACAGATGAACTTGTCGACTGTGCGAACCTCTCGATCATTCTTGAAGCCGGCACAAACTATGTGAAACCACCGTTTGCATCCATCGCAACTGATCCACGTGTCTTCGTCTTGATCCTCAGTCTCAACTGGGATGCGCACTAAATGACATGCCCCACAGCTTGCTTGATTTGTATCACTCTCTTCGTCTTCCATCTTTGGTGGAATAGGCAGGGACTTTTGTGGGAATTGAGGTTCCCGTGCATCAACCGGGGGATGGATCCCATAAGCAGCATCGTCAGGCATATCAGCGGGTGGATGACAGGTCTTGCCTTCGTGTTCGTCCTCCCAAACAATTGGTGGGACGGCGCCAGAGCTAGTAGTTGGGCGAATTCCACGGATCGCAGGACGGGATATGAAGGCTGACCCGTCAGAGCGAGAGCGCATGCGGGCATGAGGTATTTCATCCGAACTGTGGCTCATCTTAACAGCGCCCTGGTCCAGATGTCCGCCGGCAGAAAACCCAACTCGAGCTTGACGAATTGCGTCGCCTGCGTAGTGATGGTAGGTCTCGTCGATGCTGACTCGTTTAGGGCGAAAATTAGTAGGCCGCGCGAGATTGAGTAAAAGCTCTGCATCGGTTATGCTTTCGAGCCCAGCTGGGTGTGGGTTTTCTGTCAGCATTCCTGACCGCGGGTGGTAAGGTGACAGATTTCTCGCCGACCGTGCCCGTTTTGCTGGTCGTTCAGACTCTGCGGAGCCGGGTGGAAATAAGGGAATCATCGACCGAAGGTTGGGGGAAGGCGGATTGGGAGGGAGCGGTGCGAAGGTAGGACTCGTTGCAAGGGCGATCGTCGCAAGTGTGTCGATAGTTGAGCTTGAGCGGCCATGGCCCGATCGCTGGTGTGAACCACTTTCAGCGGCAACATGTCGATTGTGATTCGAAGGACGCTGGTCGCGATCAAGACTGGCAGCCCGGAGAGGGCCGTGGCTGGCCCAAGAGGAGGGGAAATCGGTGGTTGTGGATGGAGTTATAGGCTCGACGGCGCGGAGAGGAGGGGATGGAGTACGGTACTGTGGCGGGCGGCCGCCGATGGGATTCGCAAATGATGCCGCACTCATCATTTTCGCAACCCGGTGAAAGTATAGCTTGAAGAAAAATTGAAGATGGAGGGTCGGAGGTGCGAAAAGATGCGCTTGCGGTAGGTGGGTGCAAAGCGGGGATACTGGACCACACGGGCTAGCGAGAGGCCGGCGCAGGCGAAGGGAATGTCATTCCTGGCAGGAGAGCATGCGCAAGACGGACCGCAAGTATATGATTGATATTTGATGAAAGATTGAGGGCGAAGCAGGTGGTCGACGGTAGTCGCGGAGCGTTGAGGGGGTTCGAATCGAGCGGCGGGAGGACAAAGGCGCCGAGAGTCGCGCCGCAACCTGCGGGCAGGTAGGGAAGGGAATCGAATGAGGTCCAGTAGCCAGGAATCGTTTCCTGCCAACTGGATGATAAATGAGAAGTATACGAATGGATGAAGCGCCGAAAGCGAAAGAAGAGCGGATGAGCGCGAGGTGTTGAGGCGAAGGAGGAAGCGGGAGTCGAGAGCAACTCTGAAGGTATGTATACGGTACAGCTGCGGGCTCCTACGTTACGTTGTGTCCTATTATCACTTTTACTAGAAAATGTTTAAATTGTATACTTAAGATATAGAGATCCAACAGAACGTTCACTGCGACATGCGATTGTGTTTACTTGGTTGTTTCCCCCCGAGCTCGATTCTCTGTAGTCCAAATGAAGTTGGCGACGCCGAGAGCGTCCGTCTTGGTGGTACAGTCCGATACCATCACGATACCATCACGTGCCAAGTTTGGCAGATCAGTACACACATACAAATCACATGACCTGGTCACATACGGTTTAAGAACCAACTGCCACTAAACCGGGATAAGTAAGCGCACCGCCAAGACAAACCTCGTGGTTGTTCTTGTGCCTTGCTCTGATCTTCTGCCTCTTCGCTATTCCAACTCGCAACTGATACCTTGCGTATCTTTCTTGTCAACACTTTCATTCAACATCCTCTAGGACTCTCTCGCCTCTGAGAATGAGCCGAAAGCTCGCCCCCGAAGCCAATCGGTATGTGAGAATACTTTTTCCATGCCCCTCCCCCGATTCTCGGCAGAAGTGCCATTTCACCATCAACTGCTTGATTGTTAGGTCTAGCAGATCTTTGAAACCTAGAAGTGACTAGTGCTAACCTCTTTTTTCTTCTTTTAAAGGATTCTCTTCGTCAAGAACCTTAAGTATGTACCTGGTCATTTCGCCGCTTTGCTCCGGCTCTCTTCTCCGGCAGATCAGCCCTGCAACTCACCATCTACTATTGCGATCGGATCGCTGATATCTTTCTCAACAGCTATAACGTAACAGCGGAGCAACTCTTCGATCTGTTTGGCAAATTTGGCCCCATTCGGTAATAGTCACCCATGGTCTCGTACTAGAACCGGAACTAATACTATTTGATTTGCAGTCAAATCCGCCAGGGTATCGCCAATACTTCCAAAGGAACCGCATTTGTTGTCTACGAAGACGTTCACGACGCCAAACAGGCATGCGATAAACTCAATGGTTTCAACTTCCAGAACAGATACTTGGTCGGTATGTATTGCATATGAATCAAATGAGCATCGGTGATTACCTGAGATGATCAGAGCTGACTAAATTTGGGTGTGATAGTCCTGTATCATCAGCCAGACAAGATGGTCCGTACGAAAGAGGACATTACGGAAAGGCAGGAGAATTTAGAACGGCTCAAACAGCAACACGGGATAGAATGATGTGACGATTTTTTTTTCTCTTCCCTCTGCTAGCATTTAGCTGTGCATGGTATTGCAACGGCTCTACTATTCAATCGCGGCTTGGTTGAGGGGTTTTCGGCGTTTTTATTCCCTGGGGTTTTTTCATATTTCAGAGGGTTTGATGGTGGGCGAAGCTGGTTCTGGTCGTCATATAATGACCCAGAAATGATCATGCGAACAACACGCCCGGCGAGATCTGATTTCTTCTTATGCTTATTCTATTTAACCATTACTACTATTACTCTCTTCGTCAATTCGACCCTCCAATTCGCTTCAACATTCTCTTTGCTATGGCTAGATGCTAAGCGCAAAGGTTCTTGTGGCTGCCACACCATCGGAAGCGACAAATGAGTCGAGTCTTGAGGTGTTTCAGAGCTTCGTATCATCTAGAATTTATAATGTCAAGCTAAAATTGTGGTCTCTCTATTTACGTCAGGCTGGCGCATCACCGATCAGTACCCACTCTTATGCAGCTGGAAAATTCCAAGCTCAGCATCCCGACTTGTACAATGTATGTATACTAAAATATATCAAGATCAAGATCAAAGTAGACAGCGAAACAACAATATCATGCCAAGACTCAAGACCACAGACCCTTAAAATAGACCCATAGATGTCCACGGGTACTGCCATCAAAGGAAAATGGTATCAGCCTTGTCGATCCCGCTGCGGGGAGACCCTGACACCGCCCAGGGCGTAGTCAAGTGCACACTCACTTCGCACTTTGGCCTTATTCTCTTATCCTTCAGGTCCATAACTTATTTTCTCTACAGAAAGAACTAGTTTTTACCACTTTAGGCTTGTTCCTACTCATATATTCACCCCGATTCATTGCCACTCATTTCAATGTCACGCGTATGACGTTCGGTTGTCTCCGCCTTTGATAAACCTTGCAACCTTGGAGCGAGGTTACTACCAAGGCGCTTACCGTTACTACAATCTAATTTCCAGCATATGTCGCGTTCCACCTGAGCTTTCTCACTATCTTTTCTGGTTTTGCCAGATTAAGGAATGATGGCCACGACCAGCTCGTTGGCTTCAATAGCAACGTCCGCGCTTATCGCTGCTACCAGCACCCCAGCCCTTCCAACACCCTCGGGTGCCCACACAATATACTATCATGCAACAAATTCTTCAAGCCCAGGGCAGGATCCAAATGGCGAAGGGGGAGAATGCAAGTTGCTTGGTCCATTCTCTGTGTTTGTGCAGATTGCTCTTGGCGGTCTCGCATTATTATCTCTAGTCTTCAAGAGATGGAGAGAACGACCACAGCGCCCGGTAAAGGTCTGGGCCTTTGATGTCTCAAAACAAGTCTTCGGATCGGTGATGCTTCACATGCTAAATGTGGTCATGTCGATGTTTTCTGCGGGCCAGCTGGAGATTCGAAACTCATACAAGCCGAACCCATGCTCATTTTACTTACTGAACCTGGGAATCGACGTGCGTTTCTACTACTGATCCTGCTTTGATCTCTTTTGAGAACCTGATGGCTAACTGATGGAACAGACTACCCTCGGTATCCCCATTCTGATCCTACTACTCCGTGTTCTCAACCACTTGGCATCCTACACACCTCTTGCGAACCCCCCAGAGTCGATAGAGTCGGGAAATTATGGCCAGCCCCCACGCGTAACATGGTGGCTAAAACAGGCCATCGTTTATTTCATGGGACTGCTCGGCATGAAGATATGTGTCTTCTTCCTCATCGAGCTCCTGCCTTTCATTGTCAAGGTCGGCGACTGGGCTCTAAGGTGGACAGAAGGCAACACTGCTGTCCAGATCTTCTTCGTCATGCTTCTTTTCCCAGTCATCATGAACGCCATACAGTATTATATCATCGACATATTTATCAAGAAACCAGTCTCGCAGTACGTGGTGGATGACACGATGGGAGATGCTACCACAGATGATGATGCTGGCCGTCGGGAGGCTCTTCTTGCCGGCCTGGACGAGTCATATTCAAGTGATTCTGATGATGAAGAACCTGGGAAATCTCCGGGGACCCCCTCGCAGCCGAAAGCTACTGCAGATGCTCTCGCTCTCCAGGAATCTGAGCATTTTCTTCCCGAGGATCACAACCCTGTTCCTCCATATGAACCTCCGAGCTCGAGTAGCAGTGATCACAAACCTGACAAAAAAGTTGATACAACACATCACTAAATGTTGGTTTGTTTTCGGGCTGTGGGAATTTCATATTTGCTTTGATTTTGATGTGGTGTTATTAGTGATCTTTAACGTGTATACGATTTTTACCGCTCTTGCATATTGGTATGATTGCTATCATTTTTTCCACGTAGTACTACATCCGTGCACACATCCAGGTTGTGCATTTGGATAATTGTTAGTGGTATCACCCGTAATCGGATCATCTATCGGACTGTTGGCTCTTCCTCTAACTCCGATTCATTCAGGAACTTCGGACTTAGGCAAACTCTGTCCGATCTTTGGATGCTAGTTCAGTTGAAAGATTGTGAATATAAGGGTGAATACAGCCCGACTATCCTAACGTATGATACTATTAACCAATTCTCGGTACGATTCGAACCCAGCAACTGTATATCGCCATAGATACTAGGATGCTCTTCACTCCCAGCAACGATATACCCCAGCTCAGCGGGAAGGTGATCCTTGTCACTGGAGGAAATTCCGGTCTCGGTAAAGCCGCGGTGGTAGAATTCTGTCGCCACCAGCCGGCTCAGGTCTGGCTCGCGGCTCGCAACCTGGATAAGGCCCAAGCTGCTGCCGACGAAATCAAGCAGCAGCTTCCTCATGCACCTATTAAGGTGCTACATGTTGACCTGTCCTCCTTTGATTCCGTAAAGAACGCCGCGAAAGCATTCATGTCCAGCTCCGACCGGTTAGATATCTTAATGCTGAACGCGGGTGTTATGGCCACGCCTCCAGGCCAGAGCGAGGATGGCTATGAACTCCAATTTGGCACAAATCATATGAGCCACGCACTCCTGACAAAGCTTCTCCTACCAGTGTTTAAGCAGACAGGAGAAGTGAGAGAGAGATACAGTATCTACAATGAAGATATAGGTGTAACTGGAAGACTCTTGAGTTGCGTAAAGAAGAGAAGAAACTATAAGACCTCCTCCTCCTACTCTAGTTATAAAAAAGGAACGCTAGTTAGTATTTATTATTATTTAAATTAGGATATATTAGTATAGTAGGAATAAAGCGATTATTAAGAATATACTCCGTTTTTTAGAAAATCTATAATATCTATCTTTCCGCCTAACAGATCTTTAATAGCTTATAGATTTTAGATACTTTGCTATAATGCGTGACTTCATTGTAGGTTCCACTTTAGGAAAATAAAACGTTGAGGACGATTCAGGCTGGCCAGAGCTATTCACATCTGAGATGTATGTATTGTATATGTGTAGGTAAGAAGAGATTATGCATACCAAGTTGCCCCATTTCGTACTTTTCCTCCTCTCCCCTAATATCAAGCATCTCTTCTATAACCCTTTGTTCTTGTACCGAATTCCGTAGGCTTGGAATATGGTTTGTTAGACGGCCCAAATATATGGATTTGACTCCACGAAAGAAGCGAATCAGATCGGGAATTATCTCTGGTTCATCAATATCAGACTATACATGAAGTGTACATACGGGCCTTTCCTACCTGATGTGGGTCTGACAGAAGGCGGCTTTTTCGATATCAACCAAAGCTCTTGTTGCGTAGTCGAATGAAGCGATCGAAATCCAGATTCGTAGTAAGCATCTAGGGCGGATGTATTGCTTAAGGAAATACCCTTGGGAGCAATCGCAAGATATTTCTCGATGGCGAGAATGATCTCAATGATCCTATACCAAAGGATGCCCTGGGGAATCTTCAACTTTAAGTCTTCAAGCTCCGTTGATCGAGTAGATTTCTGATCTCCACTATTTGATGCCACGGCAATTGAGAAAGATGTGAAGCAATACAGAGCCACCTCAGCTGGGAATGAGATGCCGATTTACTCATCACCATCCTTTACCACATATCGATTTGAACACATCTGACATCTGTAAATTTCTGTCAAGCCTGGAATGTCAGTCTGTGGTAATGGAGGTAGTTACATGAGGTAAAACAAGCAACCAGTCCATATATGATCCTTTGTGAATGTAAGTGTATATAGCGGGTCTTCAATACGGTTGATCTAAGCTTTGTCAAAGGCGAAGTATGACTAGAACATTAAGCCACTATTTTTTATACCATAGCCCTGTATTGGGCACACCATCGAGTATCAATCGTGATCACGATACTCTTCAATCGTATGTTTGCTGCGGAAAAAATGTCGGTTCATTCTTCGTTTCCATTCTTTGAGCTTTGTCCTTTGTTGCAGCCTGGCGTGAAGCAGCAAAAGTGGCCCACGAACTCTTTCTTGTCTCCACAAGAGAGATAGGTATACCATTTTTTCCAACACATGGCGGTGAATACAGAATAATTCTTGTTGCATTAGCATTTAAGGATTCTATGCTCAAAGCGTAGACGTCAATTTTCGGAATAGTGTTTGGTTTGATTGGACACTGATTATTATTGCCTGGTCGAGCTCAATTAGAATGCTATCGGTTGGGTCAGTTGGGTTATTATCACCTTCGTGGAATTTTGAACAGTATTGACGGTTTTCGTAATTGATCATACATCTAATTGGTAAAGACACGTCCTCGAACGCTTCCCCAAACATGAACCAAAAGACCCCTCTCCAAAGGCTTACCAAGTCTGGAACTATTCAATGTTCCTTTATAGGGGTAGTACGAGACTGCGAGACGTCCCCAGTCCCTGCTATGATGTCACACGGGGCTAGGCTTTGAACTATTCCATTTCGGCCCACGTTTGTGAAGCACCAAACAAAATCGACCGAAATGTAATAGTGCGAGGTCCGTGGAGGCGGCAGAAAGCGATTACTGTCATAGAATGAAACCGCCCAACTGGTAGGTTGCATTCTCTATCCTACAGGACTCGGTAAGAAAGTGAGTGTGTAGGATCCCAGGGCTTGCCCGCTTATGACGAGGAGGGGAAACCTGGCCTTTGTACTATTCCCAGTCGGATCTGTCTGGCCGAAACGAAATTGTGCGAGGGCCCCAGTTCTCATCTCGAGAAATTCTGTGGAAGCCCCGGGCTTTAAAGGCTTTAAAGTTTCCCTAGTTGGTCAAGTCTGTTAAGAACTAGATAGATTCGCCCGGAATAGAAAACAGTAAAAAGCTCAGTAAGCCTATATACCCCGCTTTACAGACCTATAGGCCTACATAGCTCTTTACGGAGGCTTGCATATTACCTGAATGAATTCAAACAAACACACTGCAAATACTCAGAGAGTATCAACTTTTTGTATTTAAACGCCGCCATCGTCGCCCTTCTCATCAAATAAAGGATTGAACCAAAGACAAAACACCAAAAGTTGCCACCTATCGTCTCGCTAAATGTATGGCTATTGAGCTCCCAAGTCCCCACCTTTTTCGGATTTCAACTAATAGACTCAAAGCAAGATGTGTTGGGAACGTTGGAAGACTCCTACTACCTTCGTCGATTGCAAGGGAAAGGCCGAAGGCAACTGCATCAATTTTGACCCCGATCATGATCACATCCAGTGGTGTGAACCGGCCGAAGCGCGAGGCAAAGTATGCGACAAATTGACCCCAAAAAGCCAGGGCAGTTCGACTAGACGCAAACAAAACTGTCCCAAACACCGATGATCGTATCAATTTCAAGCACATTGAGCTTGATACTCACAGATATCTGGAAAGGACAACGGGAGAGCTGGAAGATGGAATTTGGTCACGTGACTATGGGAATTACCTAAAAAGGCGATAACCCCTTGTTTCATTCTGTAGTAAATCCGGTTCAAAGCTCGTTCCTTCTATTCTCAACAATAGAATATGGTCTCTCCCTTTATAGATCTCTCCGGAGATTCTATTCCTCTGGAGCAAGTCCTTGGATCTGGATCTTCAGCGGTTGTGGTGTTACGTGACGGCCTGGCCGTCAAGACGCCTCTGAGATATTGTTGGAGCTCGGATGTAGAGGTTGAGATGAACATTGAAGTCATTCAACGTGAACAAGATGTCTATCGTCGTTTCCAATCATCCAATGCCCAATGTGGTGGTATTGTCAATTGCCTTGGTTTCTCAAAAGAAGCTACCCAACTTGCTTATATGGCCAATGGAGATCTTCGCACCTATTTGGAAACCAACCAGCCACCTCAACAACTCCAGCTCTCTTGGTTTCGTGAAATGGCTCGCACGCTGGAGTATATCCACGATCAACGTGTGCTTGTGGCAGACATTGCCAGTCGAAACTTCCTTCTCGATTCAGATATGACAATCAAATTCTGCGATTTTTCAGAAGCATCTCTTCTACCCTTGGATGTCGATATGGATACTATCGATGATAACGGATACACGACTCGAATAGACCTCGGCTTTCTTGGGGCAGTTATCTATGAAGTTGTGACTGGCAAGAAATGCGAAATCGATCTCTTCAAAAACAACCTTCCAACTGATGGTCGAGCGACCTGGCCGCGGAGAGAGTTCCTTCCCAGCACTGAAAATGTTTGGCTTGGCTCAATCATTGAAGACTGCTGGGTCGACGGAGGATTTCGAAACGCTCGTAGCCTGCTACAAGCACTGGATTCAATCGCCTTACATTCGCCAGCCCCCGAGTCTCTAAATGAAAAACCTACGTTAACGAAAGGTTTTTGTTTCATTCAAAAGTTAGTTGATGAGCGGCCAATAGTGACGCTGGCAGTCATCCTCGGCTCCTTGGGCACGCTCGCCCTGTATATTAACAGAAAACAGCTGTGAGCTGGGCTCTATCCCAAATTCATTTCATGGCGATCGATGTACTTGATGTGTGAAATATTATTCGGATCGCTACGATAGCTCCCTCTCTCTCGCTGTGCTCAATGGACGTAATTTCTAGGTCCATCTGATTGCTACAATATATTGTTGATTCTAGATACCACTCTCTAATTTTAGCCGTTGGGCCACAAGGCGAGGCCCCTCCACTTGTGGACCCTATTGCGTTTTCTTTTATCCAGATTTCTTTTAAGCATCAACACCGGTATGTGGAGAGACCATTTCAGTTTATGGCATTGGTCCCTCGCTAGCATACTTGGTTTCGTGTTATGCCACTGAATAAACAAACTAGAATAGTTGTAAAAAACAGTCATTTATCTCAATAACTTAGTATCGTTATAAACGCCAAGACCTATAATTTATACAAAAATAGGTTTAAATAGGTTGTTATTGGGTTATTGGGTTTAACCTATTGGGTTTGTGTCACGGATAAACTATGTGCGCTACTATATATATATTGATCCTGGGCATGTCAGAGCATGAGCAGAGCATGAGCTCTGACATAATGGTCTTTTGGCCGAGCGGGAGAATATGCGCCCAGGCATAACCTTCACAGTTTGGGTTGGGTTGGGTTATAGAAGGCGGAACCCAAAACCCAACCTATTGGGTTTTGGGTCGGGTGCTCCGACCCAAAATGGGTTCTACCGAAGTCTAACAGTGAGTAGCAAGATGTCAAGTTGATATATAGGTAGACGACGTGATTCGACGAGGTCAACAAAGATAAGATCCACCTATAGTACGTAGATAAAATCTCAATAGGGTTCCACACTGCGGTGCGACGCAATGCACCAATAGGATAAAAAGCAGGGTTTCGAGTCTTGCAGTAATATAGAGGACTCAAAAGCACAGAGCTCATACCCTGAGAGAGAGATACAGTATGGTAACCGGAAAACTCCTGAGTTGCGTAAAGAAGGGAAGAAACTACATATCTACAGGACTGGAGACTAGTACCTGGTGTAAACCTGCCGGGACGGCAGGTTTACTTAGGCCGCTACACCTAAGTGATTACATAAGATCATTTAACCGCTAGGCCAAAAGATCATAAGGACAAACAGAACATCTGTTTGTCATTGCAGCGGTATATATATTAGGCCCTAGACTCTGCTTGGGACCACACTGGGACAAACGAGAGGTCACGTGACCTCCAATAAGAAACCCGAGTCGTCTCACTATCGTCTCACGGACACTTCTATGCACCGGCCGAAGGCTTTTACTTCGAACCCTTTAAGGCATCAGGGGACACACTCACTGCATTTGAGCGGTATGGGCAGAGTAAACTAGCTAATATCCTCTGGGCACGACAGCTAGCAGCCTTATATCCCAATTTCACCGTTGCCTCAGTCCATCCAGGGGTGGTGAAGACGAATCTTCTGTCCGACGCAACGAATGCACCATTGATATTTCGTGTTGTGTTTGGAGCGACACACGTCTTAGGACTCAAATCCAGTGTAGAGACTGGCGTGAAGAACCAGCTGTGGGCGGCTGTTTTTCAAGGATGTCAAGAGTGGCGAATACTACCGTTGGTGTTGGTGGCCTCGCAAGTGCGCATGGAGGGGATGGCAAACTCGCAAAGGAGATATGGGAATGGACAGAGAATGAGCTAAATAAGCATGCTGTATAAAAGCCTCTCGTAGGCTGGTCGTCTTCATCTATTGGATTTAATTCTTTAAACCGAGGCAATGTAAGATTGATTGGCATTGGCCTGCCTGCTGCCCGTCAGAACCCAGCATTGCCCATAGTCGTAGCACAATCCCGCGTGACTACTTTGCCCAATAAATAAATCGTGCTTTATGAACAAATATGTTTGCCCAGGTGAGAGCTCATCTAGACAAAGGAGGGCACTAGTCCTGAAAGGGTCGAAGCATGTAACAGGATATGCCGCCTTCTACACCGCTCTGTTCTGCCGATTCTGGAAAAATCAAAGAAGAAAAATATTCTAGCTCCGCCAGAGGAACATTTGCAGCCTACAATTGCATTATTGCATTCAAGTATCAATCCGGTGATCGAATCTGCAAGCAGTTGTGCTCAATTTGCAGATATTCTCACGCCAATCACCATGCCTAAAGTTGGGCTAAAGGAAAAGTCCAAGCGGACGACCACCCGGTCTCCGTTCGAGAACAATACAGCCAATATCCGCCCAGTGGATTCAGATGTCGAGATGGACGACCAAACTAGCTCGGATGAAGATGATGTGCCCGAGAAAGATGAGGCGGAGAAGAAGCTAGAGCGCATGCTTTTTGGCGACGATGAGGGTTTCATGGGCGCATTGAAGGATCAGCAGGCTCGCGAGGCCGGTATGGTTCTCACTCTGCACGATGACGATGAGAGCGATGCTAGCGAAGGCGAGGAAGGCGAGGGCCAGGATTTGGCCGCTCTAGCCGATTCAGACGTATGCAACCCCACCCCCATGTGTTCGCAAATCTCAGGCTTTCGATCTCACACTTCTGCTTTCATCTAGCTTTTTTCCTTGACTCCGGTGCACCCCCCACCACTGATTTCATCCCATCTCCGGAAACCCCGTCAGACGTTGAGGAGGAGGAAGAGGACGAACCCGCATTATGGTACGACAGCGACGACGAGCGCCTCGCCGTGTCGCTAGCAAGCCAAGCTAGATTGCGCAAACTGCGCAACACCGAAGCCGAAGATGTAGTCAGCGGCAAGGAATACGCCCGACGACTGCGCAGACAGTTCACACGCCTGCACCCGACACCAGAGTGGGCCACGCCTGAGGTTAAGCGCCGCAAGACGGACTCCGATTCCGGCAGCGAGGAGGAAATCGACTCGGACGACGAGAACGAGACCCTCTCCATGCAGCCTCTAGCCAAGCTCCTCCAAAACGCCTCCGACCTAACACGCATAGAAGACAACGCGCGCTCCGGCGGAAAGCGCAAGCTGCGCCAGGAAGTCATCGACATCCAGAGACTGAAGGACGTCGGCAAATCCCAACCCTCCTCCGTCGACTCCCTGAACTTCCACCCGCACTACCCGCTCCTGCTCTCCTCCGGACCAGCCTCCACCCTCTTCCTGCACCACATCTCTCCCTCCGCTCCCGCACCAAACCCCCTCCTCACATCTCTGCACATCACGCGCACACCAATTTACACGTCGGCCTTCGCCGCACCCACAGGCAACAAGATCTTCGCCTCAGGCCGCCGGCGCTACTTCCACATCTGGGACTTGGATACCGGCAAAGTGGACAAAGTCAACGGCTCCTCCGACCGCAAGGAAGAGCAAAAGTCCATGGAGCGCTTCAAGCTTTCTCCATGCGGTCGCTTCGTCGGCCTAGTCGGCACAGCCCGCAAGGGTGGCGGTCTTATCAACGTCTTGGATGCCAACACCGCACAGTGGATCGCACAGGTGCGCGTGGACGGCCGCGGTGGTGTCGCAGACTTCGCCTGGTGGTCTGACGGCGAGGGTCTGACAGTTGTGTCGAAGAACGGTGAGGTCTCCGAGTGGGATGGGCGTGCAGGCCGTGTTGTGGCTCGCTGGGTCGATGCCGGTGCTGTTGGCACGACTGTTCTCAGCCTTGGTGGTCGCTCTGGGCGGACTCAGCTTGGTGGTGATCGTTGGGTCGCGATTGGCTCCTCCAGTGGTATTGTTAACATTTATGACCGTCGCGAATGGGCGGCTGCGTATGCGAATGCTTCTGCTGCTGATAAGAGTTCATCGGCTCAGTCTGGTATCCCGCGTAACCCTGACCCTGTGCGTGTGCTCGATCAGCTCACTACCCCCATTAGCCATTTGGTCTTTGCGCCTGATGGGCAGATGATGGCTATGTCGAGTCGGTGGAAGCGTGATGCTTTGCGTCTTGGTATGTTTTTCTAGCTCTGCTCGTGCTTTGTCTTTCGTGGATTCTTTGCTAACTGTGTTTTCTTGTATAGTTCACCTTCCTACCTGCACGGTATACCGTAACTGGCCTACTTCCAACACACCTCTGGGTCGCATTTCCTCGGTGGCTATCTCACCGAACTCGGAGCAGTTGGCTGTTGGTAATGAGCAAGGTCGTATCCGACTCTGGGAGATTCAGGGATAGAGGTCCGAAATACGGAATAAAATATTTATGTTTTCTTGTTCATATATTCACTACCCCGATAGTGGCACATTCTTTTCATTCTGTTGTACAGTCGCTGCCATAAATCAATGTGCTCTCTGGGTATATAGTAAGGGCTAAGCTCTTTGGATATAGCCGCTGCCTTGACCATGATTCAAACCCTAAGGCATCCATTGACTCGTTCTACAGAAGTAGATTGAAAAAAAGCGAAGTTAACCGAATATACACGCAATGATACTTTTGTAATACGCCAATCGCTTTTTTGAGATTGATGGTAGCTTTCTAGCAAATAGAAACAAGCACGCAGAACGCCCAGGATCCGAGAAAAAAAAAAGAGTAGGGTAGGTATCAAAGCCAGTAAACACGCCATAGCACATGCAAGTCGTGTTAAATAAAATAAAGGGTCATGGTCTCATCCGTAGGAGAGATCTATACTGTTAGCCTTGGTCAAGGATTTTCAGTAACAAAGGGGTATCTGGGGCAAACATTATAGAAAAAAAAGACGCAGAAAAAATAAAAGAAAATACGTTAGCAAAAATCATCTCCTGGGTGCTTTGCTAAATTTGGGTTGGGTATAATTTGGTGGGTTTTCGGAAGATTCCGACCACATGGGAATCTTGGGGGGCATGGGCAAATAATTCGTAAGCGTGATAGATGGGCGAGACTTGAGAGATTGAATGGATCCCCACGAAAAGCTACTCTCCCGCGCCGCTTGAGCCCCATCGCTGAGGTCGTTTCCCTTGCTCGACATAGTTCTTAATCACACAGGGAGCATGATCGGGGCCCTGGCACACTTTGTAACGGTCGAGATGTTTGAACTTCGGGCCAAGGGGTCCGTTCACGAAGTGGTACTGGCCTGCAAACCGATACTGACGAGAATCTCCTAGAGGATAGAACTTGTCGCCCCAGTGGCCCCTGTAATGGAACCATTCCGTTGGCGCAGAAGGACTGAAGGTGGATGCCCGAAGATCCTCGTTGTCGAAATCATAGGTATAGGCCTGCGAATTGAGGAGGGGATCCCATAGTGGACCACGATCGGTTACATCACGCAGCAGTCCCCAGGGGAGAATGTACTCGTGTAGTCCGGTCGTGGCATACATGGCATGGCTGCCCTCGGCAGAGTAGATGACGGGCTAGCAGAGTACAGTTAGTGAGACAATCCTTGCTGCTTGTATCTTCTGGGAACTCACTCGATGTCCAAGCTTCTCAACCGCTTCGTAGCTGTAAGCCTCTCCGCCCTGGTGAGCACTGAAGAAGAGCGCTTTTGGTTTGCCATTGTGGAATCGTACTAAACAATGCTCCCAGTCGCCAACGTGATTACCGAACCGCACATTAACAACAGTGGTACCGAGGTTGAAGCTGTAAAAGTAGAACCAGAAAGCATCGACAATTCCGTTGCCTTTGTCCATTACCACCAGGATTGCAGGGGCATCGCTTCGACCACCGGCACCTCCATCGTAGATCTTCGTTCCACCATAACGTTTGCGGAGCTCTTCTCTCAGTATTTGCTGAGCTTCAAGATTTTCGTCGACGTCGGATTTTTGCACAACGGCAGGCTCTTGTTGGCGGAAATCATACCACTTGGCGCGATCTTCCTCCGTGTCACCGGGAATATCACCATCAATTCGACCATCCCAATCAGCCCAGGATTCTTGTTTAATGTTTCCATCCGGTTGGGGGATATTGCTATCGCCCTCCAGCCATGGTGGACGCGTCTGCACATTATCATTGCTCGTCAAGAAAACGTGCCTACCCCTTTCCCAGTTGTTCAGCTCATCCAGATTGGCCAGGGTCGGACGGTCCCATTGGGCCTGAATTGGAGTGAAATTCAGGCTCGGAGTGGTATGATGCAAGTGCTCTGCGATATCCCCAGGCCAGAATTGCTCGCCAGAATAAAGGTGAACAAGTGGGGCGTAGTGGAAAACATAGTCCGGGATCTGCCGCCGAGCCCGCTCTTCGGCATCCCACTCGGACTCATTAGCCCCGCTAAGCCACCAGGACCGCCATGCCTCTGGCTCGGCATCTCGCGAATTTACCCATTCCTCTGGATTGCGATTTCCGAATTTGCCGTGTACGGTTTGTAAATGGGCTGCACCACAGACGCCGAGCCATCGACAGGATTTGCGGTCGAACCACGAGCGCGAGCTCGCAATCCAGGTCCGCTCCTCCCGGTCCTCGGCAGACCAGACAAAGGCAGTCGGCCGGAGTACGTGGATTATGCTGTTGATAGATACATACGCGATCAGGGTCGAGAGCACAGCAATGGTTGCCTTGGCCTTCCGGGTCATCTGCTGGAGCGAGTCGACATAAACTGTCAGGGCCGAAGACCTATGTGGGGTATGTTCATAGACTGTAATTTCGGGAATTACAGTCGAGGCTAGGGGTTCAATGCAGTGGGAGTCAAGTGGTAGGGCTGCAGCAGTCGGGCATTCCCCAGGAACTATGGTGGGACGAGAGATAACGAGAGTTGGAACAAGAAGGGCGCACAACAGGACCGCGGGGTTACCTATATAAAAAAGAAATACAGAACTCTTTGTTAGCCTAGGTTTCCGAGTCTAAGTAGGGGAATATAACCCGATTTATAATTCAAAAACGGAAAAAAAGAAAAGGGCAAGAGCAAGAATGGTCCAATATCTCGAACCAGTCAGACCGGGAACCTGCGGAATGCATAGAAACCATAGCCAAGCCGGATGCCATATACCGAATGCATAGACTTGGGTATCCGTCCAGAGCCGGAGCGGAAGGGGCGGGAACTTACGAAGAGATGATCCCATTGTCTATCTTGTCTAGGTTGTTGCGGTGAGTAGAATTGTGTGGACATTTTTTTTCATAAGGCTGAAGGAAGGCTGGGCACAACTCTACTTCCAACCTTACAAGGCTAGTTCCAGACCAGATTGTACAATATACGGGATGTATATATGCATGTACCCAGTTTAGTACTCCAAAGTGGCATGTAATAGTTCATATTCGAAAAATATAAGTCAATTGGGCATGGAAGACTCCCCCTCCATCTGAAACATCGAAACCGGCAGATGTACACGCCATTTGCCACCAGGTCCCATTTTATTGATTTTGATTTTTGGTGATTTGGAAAGAGAGGGGAAAGGAGGGTTCCTGGCCTCACCGCTTACAGAAAAGCTGACTCGGTTTTTATCTTATCTCTCAGTTCCAGACCACTCCAGACCTTGCAATTCATCATGGATTCAATGCTTAACTCCGAATCCGACGGAGAATATGAATATGAATATGGTACAGAGACAGAGGTGAGAATAATTGACCTCTTCTCTCAATGCTGCTAATCAAATGATAGACCTTTTATCTTAACCTGGACCTGACCGCCCACCATGGCCCAGTGCGCCCCCCACGCCGTCGCCCAAAGGAAACAACCTCCATGGAGGATACACAAAACCCTGGAGACGACATGAGCCAGGGATTTCCAAGCGAAGCTTATCCTCCGATCGAGAGTGCCGAAACAGCCAGCCTTCCGAACGAACGAATCCAAATTCTCGACCTCCACACAAGCAACCCAATCATCTCATACTACAACCAAATGTTCAGTTGCTCCTGGGCCGACCAAATTGGCACTGAACTAGTTTTTGCCAGCCCAGACACGGAAACAGACCCGGACAACCACCTCCCTCAACCGCTACACCGTGGACCCTCCTACGAGCTTTTGGCCGCCAACAGCGTGAAGATCCTCGGTCGAAAGGCACAGCTCGTCCCCAGCGCTGGGACAGCAGTAGCCCAAGGATTTACCGAGGAAACCTCAAATACAGGACCTACCCCGGATTCTGCATCTTCTCAGGGCGCCGAACCCCTCGGTGTACCTCGTCGCCCCGCAGGGCCATCCCATCAGGCGCAGTTCCTCTACAGGCTGCAGCAGATTAAGAACGCTAAAGGGGAACCTGACACCGTTCGCACCGTCATGAGTACACGTCGGCAAGTAAATATGACGGACAGACAGCATGGCTGGGCCCGTACTGAGGCTCAGCTTGCTGAGATTGAGCGGCTGAACGAACGTGCTTCGAGAGGGGACTTGGAGGCCAAGGCGACTCTTGAGCTGCTAATTCAAGAGCTAAACCAAGACCTCAATCCCGAGGGGGCCGCGTCTGAGTCCGGCTCGGAGTTAACTTCTGACAGCGATGACTCTACTTCATGAATGTGTAGATCGACAGTGTGCTGACATCGACACAGAACTCGGGTCTACACCCTGTGTCTTTGAGTCGAGCGTCGCCTGAACAAGCCACCGGGTGTCGGTTCTTTCGCTGTATCTACGTTGTAGCCTTTACGCTCTAACTCTATAGCAGACTCGTGCTGTCACGCGCAAGCATTGCGGGAGCCGGACCGAGGAGCAGCACCGGCGAAGAGATATTGATATCCTTGCTGGAAGCAAAGAAGCTACTCGTGATGGATAATGAATCCACGGCTGATCTGTCTTTCTATGATATCGGAGGGATGGCATTACAACTCAGGACAATTCTCCCAACAACAAGCGATCACCAAAGATGAGATGCCCCACCCAAATCGACCAGCCCATCGATGAAGCCATCTTAGCCAGCTAAAATGAACGAATTTTACTGCCCAGTAGATCTCGAGGGTAACGTCATCCCCTTGAAATCACTACCTCAACCATAATACAATCCAATCAATATGTACAACATACAGCCTAAAGCATATATATATAGGTGTTGAAGCCTGGTGCACTTGGGCATGGCCACCTGTTTGCTTATTTGTGGAGGAAATTCTACTTCTTCCTTTCTTCCCCTCCTCTCCAGTTCTCTATTAGCTTACAGTCCCATTGATGATTGACTGCGCTCTTCCTGATTCTCTCAGCCTCGCTAGCCGATACTTGGCCAAATTAAATACACAAGTGATTCATGATGATTAAATAAACATATGTACGGGGATTTCTTCACTAATATCCTAGGTACCGAGGGACGTGAAATTTCCTTATTCTTACACCCAAGTGATTACATAGTAGATATCACGAACCATATCAACAACAAATCGTTTGTATTGACTCCGACCCTGCCTCCGAATCAGATCCCGATTCAGATCTAGCCATTATTGGCTCTCCATTTACGGATTTCACCCCACTTGACTGCATCCGCATGACCATATCAACTAGTCTGTGTCCGGTGTCATCCAGGTATTGAAGGTCGTCATCAGTCATGGCCTGGATAGCATTCTGCTCCCGCAAATCCAGCTTCGCCCGCTCGGCACGTATATCTTTCAGTTGAGCTAGTAGACTTGCTTCCAAAAGGTCTTTATTTCGCGCGAGCTCTTCAATGGCCGTTTTTAGCTCATTTCGAAGTATTGAGATCTTGCCTAGTCGATCTTGATCCTGCAGGACTTCCACAAAAAGCTCTGCATTCTCAACAAGCCGCTCCACGCCAGATGCGCTCCTTCGAAGCCGGTGTACAACAGAGTGCCTCAATTCACGGAGTAGTCCAAAAATTTCGTCGAGTGGCTTCTTCGCGGCCTTGACAACAGTGGTATTCAGCAGAGTATGATTCTGAGCAAGGATCTTAGTCCATTCTGTCAATTCCACGGCTTCTGGGCAATCCCACTGTTTTCTGGCTAGAAGCTGAGGGAAATGTTGCTGGCCGAATATGAAGCAACTCTCTTCGACTATGGATTGTACCGAGCTGGTGATGAGATGTTGGCTTCGGTAGGGAATGTAGATAGGATATAACGATGGTATCTCTCGGTCAGGTTGACGATCATGTTCGGCTAAATATTCTAGACGAGGTGAATTAGATATAAACGTAAATACCATAAGTTTGTTTACGATGTTTATACATACCATCCAGTTTTTCTTTCCCTTTGTCCGCCCGGGAAGTTTCTGGTAAAAGGTCAACGGCATTCGACGGGGTAAACTCCTTTTCACTAATTTCCTTTATGGAATTCGCCTCGTCTCTTGCTGCCTCCGCTTCTGAAGTTTCTCGTTCGGCACTCTGCGCCGGTGACACATCAAATAGCTCAGGGAATCTGATTTTGGCCTTTAATGTAGATTCGAAAACTTGCGCTTCCAAGAGCTTTTTCACAACACTGCTTAAGCCTTCAATATCATATTCTCTGAGAATATCGGTGAGTGCTGGTGTGTTTTTTTCAAGCACACTTTTAATCGGCTTCGGCTTTCGCAGGTGGGAGTTTAAGTCGCGAAAAAGATGTCGACAAGCCAGATAGACCAGTCTCTCATCGGGTTCATTCGGTACCATTTCGCTGTGCTGGGACTGAACCCAATTCGTTTAAAAGCATGATTTTATAGCTATTGAAAGCTAGGGGGGTTGCCATCCGCAAACGGTCTGACCAAAATGTATGATTCGTCGATCACCTAGTTCGCAAGCAGCACCCACTTGGTACCTACCTAGGTAGCTACTAATCGCTCTTAGTAATGATCTATTGGGACCTCGCAAGCTAGGTACTAGTAACCAAAACTCACCTGCAACCTGGCAACCTGACGACCCCTCTGTTCCCCATCTACTTCTGGAATGTGAGACAGGTGACATTGGTGATCGGCAATCCCTCACATACAGAAAGTAAATGGTTCGTTGTTCATGTCGGACAGCAGGTTCCTAGTTGCATATATTATACTATGTAGTTAGTACTTTGTATTCTCGATGCACAAAAGTACTGTTCTAGCAACCCTTATGTGGGCCATAGTCACACCGTATAGCCGACTTCCCGAGGCTGAATGCACCGGACACCTATGTTTAATCTTACAAAAGTTATAGTTGTAGCATGGATGCTATTGAAGGTAGTACAAGTCGATCTTTAATATATACTGGGTAGTACTCATAGCCAAAAAAAAGGGTGTCGAGTATCCATATCAAGGTCACACAACGATATAATAAAATAATAATATCAAATTTTGATTTCTGATTTGAAAAGCCCAGGGAAACACACAAGATTAAAAACACCATTCCCCAGACTTTTAGAAGCGCCCCAGCACGCATAACCAGAACCAGATAATAAATGTCAGCGCCGCCATGCAACACGCTAAATCCAACAGGCGACAAGCAGACAAAGGAAAGAGATAACAAAACGACATAAGGCTAACAAGCATCGCGGATATCAAGTCAAGAACAAAGTCAAAAGGAGAGATAACACTGGACAGGACAGGCGAATTTGCCAAATAGTCCCATATGTCCACGTGCGCAAGACCATTATCAGGGAATATTGGATGATGGTACAATAACTTCTTCTTGAGAAGCATAAGAAGAAGACATATTGGAATGATAGTGAGGGAACCCGGAACCAAGAAAAGAAGAAATAGAATCACTCCAGGCTGAAGCTGGAGATGTTATTGTAGCAAGCCTTGCCCTTGGAGAAGGCGACAGGCGATGGAGGAGGCGCGGGAGGCATGCCGTCAATGAGGATTGAGCGGGTCTTTTCCGTCTTCTGGGTAGAGTTTGTCATGGCGCGGGAGAGGTCCTGCGACATTGAGTAGGAAGTAGGCATGACGGGAGTTGGGGATTTGGTTGCGACGGAGGCCATTGTTTAGGATTTGGATTCCTTGATTGAGTTATAGAGGTTGAGAGGATATATTAAACTCTATTGATTTTTGAGCGCTTGAATAGATTGAGGAATGAAGTTGTCGGTTTGTTTGGTTCTTATACTTGGGGAAAGTATAGGATTGATTGACAACCTCGGCTGAGAGATAAGAATGTATGAGTTGATTTGGGGCTAGATTCACGAGATTGAATGTCAGCTTCCTGTTTGTGCAGTGCTTGGTTTTGGCATATGCTCCGTACAGAAGCCCGTGGCTCCGGGGTTGCCCGAGGCCCCGGTTTCGGGAGATCGGGTCGGAGGGTGCGATGTGAGGTGGCAAGTAGTGACAAGAGTGATACTTACATGTTCGGCTATTTGCGAGATATAATAGTAATTATTGACCTCGGGAGGGGAGGCGAGAAGTGAGTTCAATGTTGTGTTGAGACGATGGGTTGTAGTTGTGACGGTAGTTGTAACGGTAGTTGTGAAGAGGCTCAATTAAGTTGATTATTGCGGTAATGGTATTGCTCTGGTAGAAGACTGGAAGATGATCTGAGCGAACGATGATAGCAAAGCTGTTGACAGTGCTAAGTATGTAGTTGACAAGAATTGTATATGTGAATGAATGGAACTAGAAAAAAAAAGAGCAGGAAGATTTCAGGGTCAACGGGTCGTTTATATTTTTTTTCTCCTGTAAATAATTAATAATATTAAGAAAAGATATGAGACACCTAAAACAGATAATTAAAACAAAAAAAAAAGCCATCTCCGTAAAAGTGTGGAGGAGTACATTCCCTGGGGAAGCACGGAAGTACCTAGTACACGCATACCTGGCCAGGCCTAATGCTTACTCCCTGGAGATCGGCTCGCCAAGCCTATTCGCCTCATTCTAAACAGCCCAATAACCCAGCCATCGAGGTAGGGATGGTGGACATTCTCCATCGGAACAGCGGGAGCCCAACCCGGAAAGCCTTAGGCCTGTTGGAGAGAAAGTAAAAAAGAAAACAAAAACAAAGGAGATGGAGCCTGACGCGTTAGTGTGTGGGGGAGAAGACCATCTGGGCAGGGGGTGATAATCGATGAATCAACCAATTGATATTATCCATGGATATATTGCGTTATCGACATTAATAGAATTATTTGCCATAGAAACAGTTAGCCTGGGAGCGGGAAATAGCTACCGAAATCTGATTGAGGCGGTTGAATCGGCAAGGCATTTATTTGAACTAATGAATTAGTGCTACTTTAAGGGTTGTTTTCTATTATTCCACGCCTTCTAGCGTTTCCCGGAGAAACTCACCGTTGGACCTCGGCATAAGAGCGGATACGGCGATCCTTTCGAGAACAAAACTAGTAGGGCCCGGCGCCCAAACTGCCGGGGTTATGAAAGGATCCCTTTCCGTTGCGGTGTACTCCGTACTCCGTACTTTGTAGAAGAATTGGAGCTCTTATTTGATATGACCTGCAATATATACTTCCGGAGAAAAGGAATCATCCCGGCTTGACATATTAACGATATTAGGAGGCGTCCAACTGGCGATTTTTCCACCTTTATTATTGAATGTACGCAAATCAAGGCTTTTTATTTTTCATGGGCTCGCCAAATCCCGAATTGAATTGTTAATCAGGATGATCCTCCAAAAATTGAGACAAGATTATGCCTAAAAGGACTGGGATTGAGTTGTACAAAGTATATATATATAGGAGACGGCTCAACGACCGGTATATCCCCGGGTCCGGCTATAGTATAACTCCACCAATCCAACACTGATACTAATGATAAAACTTGTATGGAATAGGATATTGCTAACGCCACAAATAAACCTGTAATGGTTTGGAGCTTCGCTTAATCTCAAGAGTGGACTACGACAGGGGCCGAAACAGTCCGGGGCGCATATCAAATCCTTTGTTTGAGATGTGTTAACTTCGTACTCCGTACATCGTATACGGAGTACGGATAGAAGCTACAGGGTTTACAGAGTACGATGGGTCTAAAGCAGAGATACGATCCATGAGCCGGAGCTAGCTTGTTCTCAATTCCTACGACTCATGGTTTCCTCCTTGATAGAATCAGGGGCACAAACGGGTGAGCTACAAAAGTACCAAATTCCCCTTGACCGTTCTACAACGGCGTTGATCGACGTCCAAATAGGGAACTCCACAATGCTTCTCCCCCGGATCCAAGGGGCCACTGTAGTGATTTTACTATTCTCAATATGCAATGCACTCCACTCCACTGCCACACATACGTACGCACAATGTACTCTTATCTGGGGAAAGGGGGGGGGGGGGGGGGGAGAGTGTTACTCTAGAATCTCTAGAATGTCCATTCCACAGATTTCTTGATTTCCTGGGTACCGGGTCTCCGACGGTGATTAAGGGCGCATTTCCCGGGAATTTGGGCCCCCCTTCGATCGCGGACGAACTTCTGGACGAACTTCCCCATGGTATCTACCTACAATAATAGCAACACGAATATACTACCGAGTTATCATATTGTGCTATCAGCAATTCCCTGCTATATCTAATATACTTGCATCTGGAAGTGCACCATGTACCTCGTGAAACGTAGATAACAAATCTTTTTTTGCGACCGAGTAAGATAAAGGTCTAGGCGTGGTGACCTGTCCTTTTCACCGCTCGTTTAGAGATACTTTTGATAATGTACTTTGAATAGAGAGTAGAGATAGGTCGAAGAGGAATGATGAGTTGGCTGCCCAGTGTGTTCTTAGATACACCATTTCCTGCATTTGTGGCGCTAACCGTGGGAAAGTCGTCAGGTACAAGATGTACAACACATCTTATGCATGATATGAACTGACATGAGTCATGGAGTAGTCGCTGGCTATTGAGATTACTGGAACTTACATACGAAGAACGTTGGTCTACCCAACACGTCAGCTCAGCTCTGCCTTATCGACAGACAGCATACCTAGGTATCCTTGTAGGCGCCAGACTGTACGGTAGGATTGGAGATACAATCTTGGGCACTACAATAAGTACCCGTACCCGCGGACCCCCTCCAGTCGAGGATGATAAGGCGGACGCAGGGGATACTTCGATCGAACAAGATCGAGACCAGATAATCGACTGTTCGCCCTGCTGGAAAACTGGAAAATGTGCCCGATCTACAGATTGGCGCTGACGAATATCGGAAGCAAAATTGTGATCTATTCTGGCCCTTGCACGCCTTCGGGGGGATATATATCTAATCATAACATCCCTCGGGCTTGTACCCAAGATCTTTCAGGAACGAGAACGAGAGCCCTGTTTTGTACCTGCAACCTTGAACTCTATACCGCTTCATCCAGCCTTGCAGAGAATATGCTTTCGAAGACGCGACCTGACTATCTTCAAGATGATCTTCTGACCTGACGTTCGTGTCCTGTCTTGGAACTTGACTGCATAAGTATCTCCTAACTGCCAACACTAGTAGCTGTGATCGTAACCAGCTGAGCTCGTGTCAGATGGTGACACCAGTCAGGCACCCGGAAACCTTGGAAGAATGGAAAGCCATACTTTGGTTCAGGGGAGCCAAATTGAATCAAGTTGAAGAAAATCTGGGGGTTGTCGGAAGGGTGTACCGAAGAGCGGTCTCCCCCAGACTTCCAGAGTTGAGAATGTAAAACTGCCTGAGGCTAATTATTCCTTTTACGTCACGGGGTCGGACTATCATTTCCCCTAGAGGACAACAATTACTTCATCTTCTCGGTGGGCGGCGGGCTCTTCCAATCGTAAGCTCGCCGAGAGGTCCGCAATCACGTAAAGGCCCCATAGGATTTCTTGGGATTGAAAAATGCGATATGCAATGGGGTAAAGAGGTCCCAATGCGCTATTTCTAACGAATAACAATATGCAACTAAGGAGCGTGCACTATATAAGTTAGACAAGTTAGATAGGTAGGTTACATACATTAGATAACTGTAACTATGTTGATATGTTAGTATGTTGCCTATGTTAATTACCCCGCAAGTCAGGTACCAGCCCAAGAGAGCCTCCCGGTTGAATAATATTTCACCGGCCCGGTTACATTTAGCATGACAAACTTGACAAACCCATCAAACTACGTCAAACTAATCCCCAATGGCGAAAATCCCCCGGACCGAAAACAGAGATCCACTGGTGGCTGATAATGAGGACAGTCGATCACGATGCGATCTGGGGCATTCAGGCTGGAACATTGAAAAAAAAAAAAAAATGAGGCATTTAGCAAAGATAACTAAGAAAAAAAAACTGTTCGACTCGGAACTTTCTTATCCCAGCCGAGTGGGTTCTCAATGACACATTGCATTCCACGATGTTCGATAGAGATCACATCATTTGCATCATTTCCCCCCTCTATACTACCTATCTAGGGTACATCATATAGTGAAACATCTCAGGTGACTATATTGCCCTTCTATTTTCAGTTGACAAGTCTTTTTTTCAGGTCACCTGCCTCAATTTTTTTTTGCCCCTGTTCCTATAATCCTCAGCCACGTTCCAGGCTTTGAGGCAATTCTTTCTATCGGCCCGCATGACGCAGCGGGATTTTTCTACGCTCGGCTTGACTGCTCGGAAGGAGGGGCGATGAAGTCCAATCAACGTACAATTTATCGCCGGATCTTAGTCAAAAGTGGATTGAGAATGACTGTTTTGGGGCGGAACTAAGTGGACACTGCGGACCTCAGGCTTCGAGACGGTCTATACGGTTGAACCTCCCGCCTACAATCGGTTATAACTGGTCAAGGAACTTGCGGGATTGTAATAATAGAAATCAAATCAAGATAGGTATTAATAGTTGAAAAAGAGGGAATTAATAGAGATTACTATTAAAAAGTTGAGAATCTGGTTTTGTATAAGAAGACCAGGGTTCCCCGGATTTTCTGGCTATTCAGATTCAAAAAAACATCATTCCTCTTTTTATCACCTTCAGTCCATGGCGACGATAGGTGATTATTGTATTTGCCAGTAAGTTCTCTTTCCTTACTTCCCTATCTTGACTGTCGACCTGCCAGTCGAGATAAGAACATTCTTTGTGTTGCCTTATCTTCCCAACACGTGCCTCGATGATTCATCTCAGCTCATGCTCTTGACTTATAGCTTCTTTCAACTACTCACTCTTACGTGTTAAGAGGTTTACCTCACATACTCAGTCATGTCGTCTCCCGCATCCACCCCACAGTCGGAGACTCCCAATGGCAATGGCGTGAGCTTGCCTGCTCGCCCTCAACCTAAGCCCTTTACGAGCCAGGATGGTAGCTCCGGCTCTGGTACCCCCATCGGTTTCCAACGCTTTCCCCCCCACAACAAGCACTTAGATCACGCCGTTGGAAATGCCATGCGACAACCGTCCCCGCAGCCCGTTCACTTGGGCATTCCCGGTACCCCACACCGTGTGCTCTCCGAGGAGGACCCGGGCTACATTGCAGCTACCTTCGAGGGCAAGCAGAAACAGATGGAACAAGGTCAGTACAATTGACTGATATGCAGATAATACAATTAGCTAACTTTCAGCAGTCATGGACATTTTAGAGGAGAAGGGCTTCTTCCCTAGTGACTTTGTCGTTTCCGAAACCACCTGGTTCTATGACAAGCTTGGCATCGACGATACCTACTTCCAGACCGAGACAGTGGATGCCATTGTCACCCAGATTCTGTCCCTATATGCCGCCAAAGTCGCTGCCTATGCCCGTGATGATAAGCAGCTGGAAATTCGTCTGGACAAAGAGGCCGAGGACCATGCTGTCTACATCGATACCAGCAGGCCCGGCATGGCTTCTATCGATGGCCCACGCTACGAGCAGCGCATCGACGAGAAGTACATCAACCACTCCAAGGGTGCCAACAGCTACCGTGTGGAGACCTTCCGCTCGCCTAGCACCCTGCCGGGCGACAATGGCCAGCAGCTCCGCTGCTACTTCGTGTACAAGTGCCAGTTCGCCAACCCCAACCCTTCACCGAATGAGACCAACATCGATATCATTGGCGAGAAGCGCTTCTTGCAGAAGGCCACTCCCAATACCAAGGCGATCTACCAGGAAATCATCGCCACAGCCGTCAGTCGGTCCGGCCCCGTTATCGAAATGTTCGAGATCGAGGGAAGCCGGGAAAAGCGTCTGGTGATTGCTTACCGCCAGGGATCCGCCATGGGCTTGTTTAGTGCTCTGTCAGATTTGTACCACTACTACCGCTTGACCAGCTCGCGCAAGTACCTGGAGAACTTCTCTAACGGAATCACCGTGATTTCGCTTTACCTGCGTCCCTCGGACAACTCCGAGTTCTCGGCCAAGTTCCCTCCCATTGAGGCTGCTATCCACCAGATCATGAAGGAGGTTTCCCTCTTGTACTGTATCCCTCAGAACCGCTTCCAGGGCCACTTCGCCACTGGTCGTCTGAGCTTGCAGGAGACCATCTACGCTCACTGCGCGTGGGTGTTCGTACAGCAGTTCCTTAACCGTCTGGGTTCAGAATACACTTCGTTGTCTGCTCTTTTGGATAGCAACAACAGTGTTCACGCAGAGTTGCTCTCAAAGATCAAGAAGCGTCTGCGTACGGAAACTTTCACTGCTGATTATATCTTCGAGATTATCAACAAATACCCCGAGTTGATCCACAAGCTCTATCTTGACTTCGCCAACACCCACTACGTTCAAACCCGGGAGTCTGGTGATGACTTCCTCCCCACCCTCAGTTACCTGCGTCTGCAGGTCGACGAGGTCCTCGACGGCCCCAAGTTGAAGCAGCTCATCCGTGGCACCGCCATGAACGAGCACGACGAGATGGTCATGACCTCCTTCCGCGTGTTCAACTCCTCTATCCTCAAGACTAACTTCTTCACCCCGACCAAGGTCGCTCTCAGCTTCCGCTTGAAGCCGGACTTCTTGCCAGAGCACGAATACCCCCAGCCTCTCTACGGCATGTTCCTGGTCATCAGCTCCGAGTTCCGCGGTTTCCACCTGCGATTCCGTGACATCGCTCGTGGCGGTATTCGTATCGTCAAGAGTCGAAACGGCGAAGCATATAACATCAATGCTCGCTCGTTGTTCGATGAGAACTACAACTTGGCCAATACCCAACAGCGCAAGAACAAGGATATCCCCGAAGGTGGTGCCAAGGGTGTCATTCTCTTGGATGCTGACCACCAGGACAAGGCGCGGGTCGCCTTCGAGAAGTACATCGACAGTATTCTCGATCTGCTCCTTCCCCCGGTTAGCCCCGGCATCAAGGATCCTATCGTTGATCTGCACGGCAAGGACGAGATCCTCTTCATGGGTCCCGATGAGAACACCGCTGAGCTTGTCAACTGGGCCACTGAGCACGCTCGCGGCCGTGGCGCTCCCTGGTGGAAGTCGTTCTTCACTGGCAAGAGCACCAAGCTGGGTGGTATTCCCCACGACGCTTACGGCATGACCACCCTCTCGGTCCGCCAGTACGTTCTCGGAATCCAGCGCAAGCTGAACATCGACCCCTCCACACAGCTCAAGCTGCAGACCGGTGGTCCTGACGGCGATCTTGGATCTAACGAGATTCTTCTCTCCAACGAGAAATACGGAGCCATTGTTGATGGTTCTGGCGTGATCTACGACCCCAACGGTCTGAACCACGAAGAGCTCATCCGTCTAGCCAAGAAGCGCGCGATGATTTCAGAGTTCGACATGACCAAGCTGTCCCCCGAGGGATATCGCGTCCTGGTTGACGAGAAGAACGTCAAGCTCCCCAGCGGCGAGGTTGTCCACAACGGCATGATCTTCCGTAACACTTACCACCTGCGCTCACAGGAGAAATTCGATGTGTTCGTGCCTTGTGGTGGCCGTCCCGAGTCTATCGACCTGTCCTCCGTTGGCAAGCTCATCAAGGACAACAAGTCCATCATCCCCTACATCGTCGAAGGTGCCAACCTGTTCATCACCCAGGACGCCAAGCTGCGTCTCGAGAAGGCCGGCTGCATCCTGTACAAGGATGCCTCCGCCAACAAGGGTGGTGTGACATCTTCCTCCCTGGAAGTCCTAGCCTCGCTGTCCTTCAACGACGAAGAGTTCGTCGAGAACATGTGCGTCCGCGAGGATGGCACCGTTCCCGAATTCTACCAGGCCTACGTCCGTGAAGTGCAGGAGGTCATCAAGTCGAACGCCGCCCTCGAGTTCGAGGCCATCTGGCGCGAACACCAGCAGACTGGTGTGCTCCGCAGTGTACTCAGTGACCGTCTCAGCTTGGCCATCACCAAGCTTGACGAGGAACTCCAGATGACCGAGCTCTGGGACAATGTTGCGCTCCGTCGCTCCGTGCTTGGCGACGCTCTGCCTCGTCGTCTGTTGGACAAGATTGGTCTGGATACCCTCTTGGAACGTGTATGTCTTCCCTTTGCTCTTTTCTATTTTTTTGAATCCCCGCTAATCAATCCCAGGTCCCTGAGAACTATCTCCGTGCCATCTTCGGCAGCTACCTGGCCAGCCGATTCGTGTACGAGTACGGCAACCAGCCCAGCCAGTTCTCGTTCTTTGACTTCATGACCAAGCGCTTGGCTAAGCTCGAGTCGTAAGCTTTCGGAATTAGATATTCCTGCTGCGAAAAGTGCTGGTTTTGACACTGCTTTGACATTATGTTGTCCTTTTTGACGAGAAAGACTTTCCTTGAGTCGATGAAATAATTAATACGGAACAAAAGATCTGTTCCCTTGATGAATGTATGGTTTTAAAAAAAAGTTTGGCGAGCGAGAGAAGAGCAAGGCCGTTAGGGCGATATGATCCCTTAGAATCAAAAATTCTTACCCATTGGAACGAGCATTAGTACTACATAACTTTAGCATACGAATTTTATTATATTACACAAACCAACTCCCTTTCACGGTGTTTACCTCCATCTGTTCTGAGATGAGACCGAATCAGCCATAATCAACACAATATTCACAGCCTACGTGGGTGTTAGTAGTAGTCTATCAAATAGAAAACAACACTCTTAGACTTAGAAAACTCACCAATAACAAATCAACTCCCTCAGAAACCTCAACCTCCCACCTGGGCCTCGACTTCACTTTAGATTTACTGTAGTCAATCACATTGCGTCGCGTGATATTCATGATCTGCTGGTTACCCATCATGATACCTGTGTCAGACCCAGCTAGCTGCATAACTCTCAACTCGACTTTTGGGCCGGGGGGTGCATCAGCTTCTGCATCTAGCCCAGGAACAGGACTAGTACTGGTACTGGGATTGGGATTCTGCGATGCAGATGCAGATGAAAGAAACGGTGAAGCTGGCGCCGGTTCCTGCGGCGGCTCGATTGCATCGAGCAGATCTCGTAGGGAATTAGGTGAATCGCGGCGGACGGAGGCGTAGGAGGGGAGGACGGGGTGAGAGTGGGGACTTGAATGTGAATGTGAATGTGAAGGTGAATTTGAGTGTGAGTGTGAGTGTGGATTGGTCAGCGATGGACTTGGATGTATCTCTTTTTCGTTCCTATGCACCACCCCCGCATTCCCCTCACACTGGCGCTCTTCTCCTCCAACCCCAGAAACAGCACTATAAGGCGGCGGATCATCCGGTATAGCCACTCCCAATCTGCTTCCACTTCTTACACCCCCAGATCCAACCGACCTAATCACAAGCGCATTCACAAAGCGCACTTCAAGCCTAAACCCACCACTCCCAACACCAACCCTAGCCCCATCCCCACCCCCAGCCCACGGCATCGAAGCAACCAATAAATCCCCCTGGTTCTGATCGGGAAATCTAACACTCCATTTCCGGACACTGGATAACCAAACGCGTCGCAATACGAGCAGTGGCATGCCCTCCGCATCGCAGACTATGCGACTTGTATTCGGCCATGGTTTCCCGAACACGTTGTAGAGGAGGACGTTGCGGTCTGGGGTATCTGGGGCTTCGTGTGGGCGGGTGCGGTGGACAGTAAAGATGGGCGAGGGGGACTTGGTTTCTTGGGTTGTTGTTATTGTTAGGGTTGTTGCGGTGTTGGTTAGGAGGTCTGGGGGTGGGGAGAGGAGGTGGTGGGGGTGCAGGGCTATTGGTGTTGCGGGGGATGTGAGGGGGTTGGATTTGGATTTGGATTTTGGCATTGGGCTTGAATGCGTAGGTTTTGTGGCTTTGTGGCTGATGTTTATGTCTATTTTGAGGGTATTGGTGGGTAATGTGTGTAAATTGTCGAGCTACATATACAGTAGGAAAAGTTGGAGATCTGATGATGTGGGGTCGGGAGCGCCGGATAGGTGTAGGGGTAGGTCACCAATAGGAGTACATATATAAATAGGAGAATAATTAAGAAAGGACTGTGAATTCTTCTTTTAGTTCTATTTTCTTTTATTAGTAGAATAAAAAAAGAGATTGGCGTGATTCTCAAACACTTCACATCTATATATTGTACGGATGTAATCGGATATAGCATGTTTACCGATTTACCGAGGTATGATATACAACGACAGTACTACATACATTGTAGAATCTGCTTAGGTACGGCTCTAGGCTTATAATTCAGGCATGTCTTTCTTAATCGGAATCTAGATCCTTAAGTTCTCTTATAGCCCCCCCAGTTAGAATTGTATGATTCTAATTCTTCAGGTGGAACCATGGTCCACACTATGCCAATGATTGAGGCGTAGTCTAGACTGAAAAATTCTGCTTCGAATAAGAATTGTTAAAAGCTCTGTTTAGGATATTGTGTGCTAAATGCGAAATCTACAATAGGGGAGTTACATAGTACCCGGGGAGAAGCTTATTTTGTTATGGCAGCTGTCAGTTGTCAATGTGGAATGTTAAGTATCAGATGTCATCCTCCGTAGTTCCAACCTTCCAACCTTGGAAGCTTGGAAAATGCTGAAAGCGTTGAATATAATGGCCTATCAGGGGCTCAAGGATATATTCTGTTTCTGGTTGGATCAGGCCAGGAACAAATCCTACGCGTGTCCATGGCCCATAGCTTGCATAAATTGCATTAAATTAAGGGTGCTAGGTTCTCCTCATATTAGATAAAAAGAGTCCACTTCCCCCCATTTCCCTTTCCTCTCTTTCTTCTCTTTAAAAAAATACGATGTGCGACCGTTTGTGGGGCATTCTTGTCACTCCGTAGACCGTTGCCGCACTAGCTTCTCTGCTGTGCGATGGGTCTGCTGAAAGAGGACATATTCCCCTGATATTTTTCATCTAGAAACAAACAAAGAATCATTACACTTCCGCTCACTTCCGGAACGATTCAAGTTTGCCGTGCGCCATGTCGGATGCACAGGAAAAGTTTCCGCCAATCCCTCCCAATCCTTCTGTGGAGACTGCCGAGACGGACCGAGCTGAAGATAACCAAAATGTCGATACCAACACAGAACCCCCTCACTCAGACGAGGCTAGTCTCAAGCCTAGTGTCTCAAATGCCCAAAGATGGCGAACAGCAAGCCGGCGGGTTCGGAATCGCGCTGGCACAATAGCGGAGAAGCTTGGACGGCCCCACGAAAGAGAGGCTGATGGCTTGGATTCGCCAATGTTACCAGAGTACTATGGTGCAACAGATGATATCCGAGGATTCGAGGCTCGTCAGGCGAATGATGAAGAAGCTCGGCTCCCAGGAACAGATTATCATTCACAAGCTCGACAGTTGGTGGAACGGATGGGCTTAGAGTCCGACCTACGTCCTCCACGTATTGAAGAACCGCGCTCCGGTTCGACAACTCCAGGAACTCCAGATGGGACGGCAACACCAGGTGGTCCACCCGGAGGAGTCCTGTCACAATTGCTCCGTGTATACGCCAACAATCTCCACACTGCAAGCCGGATGAGTGTTGTCTCGACAGAAACAGACTTGGACACAGAAAGCTTCCCACCATCCGGCACAGTGACACCGAGTGGAAAGAAAGACAAGTTGAAATGGTACAACAACAGTCACCCCAACAAACCAACTCACAGCTATACTTCCTCCCTCGTGCATGCATCCATGGATTTGGGTCGGGTCGGGGTGCCTGGAGCCACGGGTCCTCCACCCGTGAACCCTAAAGAGCGAAAGAAGCAAAAGCGCAAGCACAAGAAAAATATCAAGCTCACCGTGCACATTGCCAATATTCTCGCTCGCCAACAGTACCTCATGCAGATGTGTCGCGCTCTAATGAAATACGGCGCCCCAACCCATCGCCTTGAAGAGTACATGATGATGACCTCCAACGTACTGGACCTAAAAGCCCAGTTCATGTATATCCCAGGGTGCATGTTGATGTCCTTCGACGACCCGCTAACCCGCACCGCCGAGGTCAAAATCATCCGCGTAATCCAGGGTCTGGACCTCTCCCGTCTCGCAGAGACACACAACATATACAAAAACGTCGTGCACGATCTCATCAGCGTCGAACAAGCAACTCTCGACCTAGACGAGATCATGCAGCGCAAACCACGCTACAACCGCTGGATGCTCATCTTCCTGACTGGCTGCGCCAGCGTCGCGGTCGGCCCATACGCCTTCAGCGCCCGCCCCGTCGACCTCCCTATAATCTTTATTCTCGGCTGTCTAGTCGGCTTCATGCAGCACGTCATCGCACCAAACTCAGCCACCTACTCAAATGTGCTAGAAGTCACCGCTGCGGTCATGACCTCCTTCCTCGCGCGTGCGTTCGGCAGCATCCAGCACAACGGCGAGCGCGTCTTCTGCTTCTCAGCCATGGCGCAGTCCTCCATCGCAATGATCCTACCGGGTTTCGCCGTGTTAAGCAGTAGTCTCGAGCTGCAATCACACCAGATGAACGCGGGCTCAATCCGGCTTGTCTTCACGATTATCTACTCGCTTTTCCTCGGGTACGGCGTTACAGTCGGCACGACAGTCTACGGGCTGATGGACCACAATGCCACGAAGGAATCGACGTGTTCGAATCTACCGGATGTCTGGGGGAACGAATATATCCAGCACTTTCCGTTTGTTGCGCTGTTTTGTCTCTTCGCTGCGTTGATTAATCAGTCGAAGCCGAAACAGTTGCCGGTTACTATCATCATGGGTGTTTGTGGCTATGTCACGAATTACTTTAGCACGAAGAAACTCGGCTCGAACCAGGTTGCTAATACTGTTGGCGCGTTCACGATTGGCCTTCTGGCTAATTTGTATAGTCGGTTATGGCATGGCCATGCGGCTGCTGCTATTATTCCCGGTATCTTTACCCTCGTCCCGTCGGGTCTTGCGAGTAGCGGATCGATTATTTCGGGCTTGGAGTATGCTGAGGCTGTTGCGTCTGGTAACGTTACCAATGCTAGTGCAACGTCTAATAGCTCGCTTACCTCGCTGGGATATGGTATGATCCAGACTGCCATTGGTATCTCAGTTGGGCTGTTTATCTCCGCTTTGATTGTTTACCCGCATGGGAAGAAAAGGAGTGGGATTTTCAGTTTGTAGATTCGTGTATTAGTTTGAGCGATGTATTTTGTTTTATGTATTATGTGCATGAGCGTCTTCATTTATCAGAGAGTGGAGAAAGCGTTCCATTTACTGTATATGGATAATATTTATTAAACCAACTGCTATCTAACCCTCACATCAATCGCCCGGGTGGTCTAGTGGGTAAGAATCTCTTCAGTTCCTCAACAACCAAGTTCATTTCACTAACATGTACACAGTATGATTCGCGCTTAGGGTTCACCCAAAGCAATATTGCGCGAGGTCCCCCTCAATCCCGGGCTCGGGCCTATCTTTTTTATTTTTTCCCCCCCTCCAGATCGGGCTGCCAAATCACCCAGTTTCCCTTTTTCCTTTCCCTGTGTAAGTACATATATATCTCTGCCTAGGTGTCTTCTCTGCTCAATGGTAGCCCCAAAGACCGAGGACCACCCGCGCCAAGACTCAACCACGACATCGCAGCAACGGAAACAACTGCGCTGATGGGAAACCTATATCCGAAACATTCTGCATCCATTTCATAGATTGGAGGATGGCAAGCTAACCGGTAAAACAACTAGATCATTGATGCCTTCTAGGAGTGCACAATATGTGCATATGTCTTAGTTTATCACCATGGAGCATAGAAGGTAGCTGAGACAGTAATAGTGACTACCCTTTAATTTGCAGATTATTATGACCGGAATGACAGATTTTCGCAACGACAATCGGAAATGTGATTTGTTTGCCAAGAAGCAGGGTGACAAGCTGCACGTCAACGCTGTTTCAGAGCCCTATGGGTTTAGCACTCTCACAGGCAAACTGGCCATTACCAGATCCAATTAAGCGCTGGGCCTAACACAACTTAAATAGCGAGTGTGTGATTTGAGATAAGTTGAGCCATTTGACTATGTAAAAGTGATTAATGGATGATAATATATGCTGGTTACACTTCATCTATGAAGATTATATCAAGTTGGACTTCAGCCTGAGCACCTAGCTCTGTGAGCTTCTGGCTATTTCAAGGAAATTGGGAATTTTGTTGAAGGTGCCAGACTTGCAGTCTTTTTATTTCAGCATCTAGCAAAAATAACAATGCAAAATAGTACCAGACTGCCTATGTACATATTTAATTTCCCACTGTTGCTTGTGCTCAATTCTCATCATACACCTCTCTTTCAGTTCAACCTTGCAAATATTTATCTAATTAGGCAAGTTAAGAAGCCTATGACATAATATTTGACATAAATGAACGTAGCTAACCCCTCCCAGCAACAGGGGAAGATTTAGGTGACACCCATTTCATTTCGAAACTAGGAGTGTGGGAGGGAAGTCTGCTATATATAGTCTCGTTACTGCTACCTGACTCTGATAGTTCATGGGGCTGCTGATGGGATAGGGTTATAATGGTCCCCAAAAGAAGATTATTTCGGTTCGTTGAGTTGCTCAGCTGCGGTTAGAGCCTTGCAGATTATTTTACTACCTGTCTTCTGTGTAGTGATGCCTATCTAGTCTCACTCTCAATCCAATAACGACGTTGAGATCTGACATCGGTTGTCTACACCCATCGAAAACGGGTCAATTGACCAAGGCTTACTCCATGGACAGGGTTTTCTTTGTTGATGCCCGCGAAAACGATGTATCTGTGGCTTCGCCTTTTGGCAACTTCCCCTTAACAACACTTTTCATTCGCCCAACTGCAAGTGATCTTCACCAAGAAGGCGACTATCGCGATGGAATGAACAATTCCAAGAAGCCGTGTGTGATCTCTCAACGCCTCAGCCCACCCAACCTTTCTGATGGTTTGCTATCGGGGATACCACAAAAAGGAACATTGTCAATGGACTTAGCCTTGAGTCACAAAATGCTAAATCCATAAACAAGAACTCCTGGCCGTGCTCAGAGCTCAGCACACCCACCTGCCGATGATTCTCTGCAGAATGAACTCTACCCTGCAGAACAACAAACAAACAGGTTGTGGAAGAGTCTGATGGAACTTCTCAGGACTTTTACAATCAACATTCCCAATGTGGCCTGTCGATAGACTTTCATCTGCACCATTCAAGCACACCGATAATGATGATGCAGATATCTATTCGATTTCCAGGACCAAGCAATAACTCCACAGCCCGCTCTACTTGAAGCCTTCTTAGAGTTGGCATCCTTTCCTTTAGCCTTTCAAATGGTGTTAATTCTTCCCTTTTCGAACTTTTCCTGATACATATTGAAAATTAGGTAGCTTAAGTATGTAGCCAGCTTAGCTCTGTGGAGGGCGAAGTCAATATAGATTCCGGATTGCTAGAAATACTCGACAAAGCCGGTGTACTGCCGTAGTTTCCTAAGTCTAACTGCAAGCTTTCAACTACGGGAGGCTTGGTAAACTTGGGGAGGAATAACCATATAGAAAAGCCGACAGTGTCGTTCTTGACCATGATTGGCTGGTCGGGCTTAAGCTAGATATCCGAGACATTGTGCTGTTCTCATCTAACATCTCCCTACACACTTGATTCTATTGATATTCATCATGATCTCGAATATTATTCCGGAAACACTGCCTCCATCCCATTTGTTACGCTATCTCCCGGCCCACCAGGTTTTAATTTGCCTGCACTGCCACTACGCCATTCAACCAGGGGCTATCGTCCGCCATCTCAAAGAGATCCATTATTCAAATCGATTACAACGTCGAGAATTCGTGGCTTATGCATCTCAGTTTCATCTGGCAAAAATTGATTTTGTAATCTTACCCGATGAAACCCAGTTTCCGGTGGACTTGTTACCGATCCACGACGGGCTGGCCTGTCGCTTTGAGGGGTGCGCTCACCTATGTGCCACAACCAAGCGAATGAAAGCGCACTGGTCATCTGTGCATCATAATAGTGCCAGCGATAATAGAAGCTGGCGCTCAGTGCCACTGCAGACATTTTTCCGAGGAAATGCCTTACGGTATTTCACAAACCCAGCGCTCTTGGAGTTCTCGACTGGTAGTTCAGAAGAGCCGATGAGCGCAAACGAGGAATCTCCAAGTACTGTAAGTGGACAAAGAAACATTACGCAGATGATTTTCTTAATTATTATTTCCAGACTATCACAACCCCAGACGCAGATGAGCAAAGAATACCAAGTCTATCTACCTATAAACACAACATATCGTGGAGCATCGAGGACACCCACCTCTTTAACCATTATCTGAGCTTCACATATAAAACAATGTCAAGTGGCCCAGATACCGACGGTATCTTCAGGATTATTGTTCCCCAACTAGCTGCCCAATTCCCATTCCTGCTTCATGGCATACTAGCCTGTTCAGCGCTCCATCTGGCTTCCACCAACCCCCAAAACCAAAAATCATATGTACTCCAGGCAATCCGGCACCAAGACCAAGCCCTCCCAGCCTACCACCTGGAAACTATGCATGTTGACACCGATAATTGTCGGGCAATACTGGCCTATGCATTCTTCCTCGTCGTCTATGGCCTAAGCCCCGAAAGTGAAGATGATATACTGTTTCTCAGCAATAAATGGGAGGCAACCCCGTCTTCGAACTGGATTAGTCTTTTGCGCAATGGCTGCTCTATGCTGTGTAATGTCTGGTCTGAACTAACACATGGGTCATTGGCTCCTTTTACAGCACTATGGCGGGAGGATCTCGGCACCACTGTTGATCCCAGCGATCCCATACTTATGTCATTGTTATCTGTCATTTCAGAGTCACATGAAGCCGCCGATTGTGGCAACAGATCTTCAGATAGTGATATGCATATATACCGCGACGCAGCTTTCAAGTTGGCTGAAGCATTCGAGTTCACCCGACGATGTGGCGCTTCTCTGAGTATTTGGGATGCTCTGAACTCGTGGCCGATCCGAGTATTGCCCGAGTACTTTGATTTGTTAGATCGGAATCATCCGGGCGCATTACTGCTCTTGGCTTATTACGCTATCCTGCTGAAGCCACTTCAGGCTGAGTGGTTGTTGCGTGGTCGGGTTACGAAGCTAATGGATGAAATTGGGCGCAGACTGGAGGGGAGCTGTTCACTACACATCTGGAATCTGTTTTTGGTTGCTCAGCGGGAACTTCTTTCTTGATATTGGGTATTGGGCTCGTTTTGAATTATGTTCAATGTATTCCGCTGAATTAGATCCTTTGGTATCAACTGCTTCAAGTTTACGTACAACACATGTGGCTGCAATTCTATATGTCAATGGAAGAGTAGCATAAAAGCTGCAATGTAGGTTACGGTGAAATAAGCAAACAACGAGAATATAGGGGGACAAAGGAGACAAAAGGGTGATGGTCAATAGATTGCCATATCTAACTAAGATATTTCTTTTGGAACTTGTTGAGTTGTTTGCTTCTACATGCCTATATCAATAGTCTTCTCTCTCCCCCATGTACAGTTCCTTCCTCCTCCACAAATCAGCAGAGCTTTTCGGGATTATCCTATTTCCCAGTAGACCTCCTGCCAGGGTCTCTATCTCCTCAATATGACGAACACAAGACAAGAAATAGAAACACAGGCTCTCTATGTGCTTGAAAAAGATAGCGATCAATCTGATGATACCACTACTCCATTAACCCCAGTTGGAGATACAGCAGCTCCTACCATACGGACTAAACGGAAGGCCACTGGCACGCCCACTGCAAAGAAAACGCAGGTCGATCGTCCCCTCCCAACTTCACACATCGTGCAACCCCGCTGAGGACCATTGTATGACTATGCATGGTATCACTCTCCCCTGGAAGAGCCTGCTGTGTACCACATGAGCAACCCTGCAGCGGCAATAGCCGCATATGCAGCCATCAAGGCAGTGTACGCACGTGTGCAGTTTGATCTGCGGAACCTGAAGTCTGTGCTGCTGGAAGAGGGTTTGATTGAGGACTATGATGCCGAAGATGAATATTCCAGTTCAAATGAGTCTGTGGATGTTTTTATTGATGCGAAGTAGACGAATATGTGCGTACTGGTATGGGCAGATCGGGACGGAGTTGGCTTCTATCTTTTATTCTTCTCGTGGGGCCTGTGAGGCCCTGTTTCAATAGTTTTCGATATTTTCGTCTGTAGCTAGCAGACCATTCTGGCCGCATGTTAGAGCATCAAGATCTTCATCCTTCTCCGATTTATTAGTGTTTTGTAGTCCTCGTAGCTTCTGATGGGATCACCGACACGTGATCATCAGATAGGCTAGCCCCGCCCAGGTGTCATTTAAGTATTAGCTAAGCAGAATGAAGCTCGAGACGGGTGCCCAGGTGGTTTTTCCTGTTACATGTACGGTAGAAGGAGAAGATAACTAGAAAATACATGCTATATTTCACTCGGTCTAATAACTAAGGCTCTCAGAATAATGAAAAAAATAAATACAAAATGAAGCAAATATAAATCAGAAAGACATCAAGGAAACATTATAAACAGTCATAAATCAAAAGTAACAAGAAGCAACCGATATCGGTTATTTCACTTGGCCGATCGGAATTGGAGTTCAATCAATTTCCAATTTTCTCAGCAAACCACGTCACCAGATGGCTGACAGTAGGATGACTCCAGGTCAGAGTTGGGGGCACTGCGATCTTCAGTGTCTGTTGCAGCACGCGACGCAGAGTGACTGTCATGACTGAGTCCACGCCAAGATCAGCAAGGGCGGCCTTCGAATCCACATCCTCAGCTGCCATCTGCAACACCTTGCCCACACAGCCACGGATCTTCTCATCCAGATAGGTCTTGAGCTCGGGTCCTGATGTAGGCACTGCCTCGCCACCACTGGAACCTCCAGCGACCGGCGCGGAGCCAGATACCGCGCCCACGCGTCGCACCGCGATATCATTAAGGATGGCGACCGGCACCGGCTCCCCATCCTCGAAGGCGCGACTTCGCAGAACAACTCCGTGGTCCATATCATACTTGGCGAGATGTTGCCAGGCAGCGAAAGCCTCATCGCGAGTCACGTCAGTGATTCCCTTGGATTCCAACTCAGCGTTGATAAAGTCTGTGCTGGCACCCATACCCAGGCCGCGCCAAGAGGTCCACTGGAAGGACACGGCCGCGTCACCTAGGTTTGCACGGTGGGTGGCCAGTGTATCCAAGAAGGCGTTGCCACTGCCATAAGAGGCCTGACCAGTGAATCCGACCAGGTTTCCGCAGGAGGAGAACATGACGAAGAAATCAACGCTCTTGGGAGGGAAGACTTCATGCAGAGCTAGCGCACCGGCAATCTTAGGCGCAAGGACGCGGTTGAATGCAGGGCGTGTGGTTTGCATGACCAGCTCGTTATCCAGGACACCGGCAGCATGGACGACACCCTGGACCTGAGGCAGGGAAAGGCGGTCCAGGGCAGCGGACAGCTGCTCGACCGCATCAGGCTTGGTGATGTCAAGCGGGAGGACATGGACCGAGGCACCGCGACTCTCCAGAAGGCGGATCTTGGCGATGGTCGGCTGGAGATCCTCGCTGACCTGATCCCAGGTTCGGCGAGAGGGAAGCGCACGCCGCGAGATGAGCAGCAGACGCCTGGCACCCTTTTCGACCAGGAAGTCAGCAACCTCGAGTCCGAGGATACCGAGACCACCAGTGATCAGATATGTGCCCTCGGGGCGGGGAAGCAGGCGAGGACCCTCGCTGGCAGGGAGCAGCTTGTTGCGGGGCAAGCTGCGGAAGCGGGAGGTGCGGGCGACCCCATCGCTGATTCGGACAATGTCGGCTCCCTGGATGTAGCGCATCACCGACAAGGGGATAGCAGGCCCTTCAACGTCAATGAGGGATCCGAGATCGGGATGCTCACTGGCGATGATTCGTGCCAGGCCGAACAATGGGGACTGGGCCAGAGCAGTGGGTGTTTGGCCCTCGCCCACGTTCGCGGTGAGAGTGAAGAGTTTGATGGGCAGTGAGCCGTTGACGATGAATTTGATGAGTTCGAGCACGTTCCAAGTGAAATTCTCGGATGCAGTAGGGACCTCTGCCAGCGAGGCGACTTCACCAGGGATGTAAGCCACCACGGTTCCCTTCTCGAGGGGAACGGAGGAAGCTTTGCTGATGAACTCATCTGGGGTGGAGAATTGGAAGGATTCTATCTGGCTCGGCAGAGTCGCGGCATACTGGGCCCGGGTGGTAGCATCGGGCGAGATAACAACCACCTTTGTGATAAGCAAGGGCTCTTCGGCCGGGGTGGCTGGTGGCCAGGCGATTTGGTGCACGAGACTCTCCATGCTGCCACTGACACCGGGGGTGCCTTCAATCTCAGAGAAGCGCATGGCCGTAAACTTGGCAAGGACTTCACCCGCCTCGCTCACCACACTAACGTGGGAGGTGGGCACTGCATCGGAGGCCTCCTCAACGAAGAGCCAGCTGATCTTAGGCGGATCCTCCGAGGTGAAGATCTCCACGCGCTCGATCTGGGCCGGCATCCGCAGCGCAGCTGTTTGGAAAACGGTAGAGCCAACGGAGGTGGCAGCGTCGAGAATCGGGGCCCACGAGGAAGAATCCCAGGGAAGGGGGGCACCATCAGCGATGGCGGGGTTGACATCAACGCGCGCCAGCATCTGCTTGGTATCGCGGTAGTGCTCTGTGACGGCCCATGGGAATCCCATAGCTGAGACACCCACTTTGTCCAAGTAGTCAATCGAGAAGTTGTCTGGCAGTCTGGTGAGCAGACGCGCTTTGACGGCCTCGATGTTGATATTAGGTTCGGAACCCAGAACCTTCCGCTCCCAGTATGCAGTGGTGTGAGTGACCCAGGAGGCATCATCGGCCTGCGAGGGCTCACTTGGAATCAGCCGGGAAACAACCTTGACCTGATCTTGCTGCACCACAACCTGGACGGACCGTGGCGCGTTGATGGCAACGGGAACGCGGAGCACAACGTTCTGGAGCATCTGGCCACCAGTGCCCTTCACGAAAGTATTGATCAGACCTGCAGCAGGAACGATTTCGGTGCCGTGCAAGGGGTGGCTGCCGGGGAAGGGCTTTGTGTCGTTGTCCAACCGGGTAGTGTACACATAGGTTTCGGTACCGGGCACTGGGACGCGCTGGCCCAGAAGTGTGTGCTTCTCGACATCATGTGTGAGACCAGCATGGAGTGGCGCAGTCTCAATCTTGCGCCAGATGGGCTTATGCATCCAGGTCGTGGTGGGCAGTCCGGTGGCCCAGCGTCCAGGCATCTGCACCGCCCAGTTCACTTCCGCACCGCGGCAGTGAAGCTGTGCAATGCTGTGCAGGATATGCTTCTCAGTAGGCTTTTGACGAAGAAGAGTAGGGATGACTGCGAAGTCCTCCAAGCCTTTGTCCATGAGTGTCTCGTTAATGGAGTGAGACACCACTGGGTGGCTTGAGACTTCGAGGAAGAGGCGATATCCATCCTCAACGGCTGCATTGACAGCCGAGGTGAGACGAACGCGGTTGACCATGTTGCCGGCCCAGTATTCCACGTCGCGCAGGTCCTCGCCGCGAGGGTCGACCAATGCGGTGGAATACAACTTGATGGTGGGGCTGGTGGGGGACAGGGTGTCCGCGAGCACGTCGCGCAGAGGATCCACGAGGCCATTCAGGGTCGGGCTATGGAAGGCAATGTCACTCTTGACATTGAAAGTCTTCACGCCCTTTGTCTTGAAGGCTTCTGCTGTCTCGGCCACGATATCCTTGTCTCCAGCCACAACGCAGGAAGAAGGCGATGAATCGATGGCCACAACCATGTCTGATCGGGCACCCAGGATCTCTTCGGTCTCACTGCTAGGGAGGTTGACGAGGATCATGCTGCCCTTGCCCATAACCTGTCGGTACAGCACCGATCTGCGGGTCACGATAAGTGCACCCTCTGCTGGGCTCAAAGCCCCGGCCACAACACTAGCGGCGATTTCGCCTACTGAGTGGCCAATCACGGCCTGTGGGGTGATACCATTGCTCTGAAGAATGGCGCTGAGACCAATTTGCATGAGATAAGTCAAAATCTGCACGCGATCAGACGACTCGAAGTCGCCAGTCTGAAGCATCTCGATGGGTGACAGGCCAATCTCAGCTTGGATCAGCTCATCCAGTGGCTGGATGGCTCCGAAGAAGACAGGATTGTGAATTAGTTGCTTGCCCATGTCTGGCCACTGCGCACCGTGTCCGGAGAATACCCAGACAACATCCTTGCTGATGTCTGCGCCCAATACACGGCTCTGAGTCTTGAAGGGATTGTCGACTCCATTGGCGAGTGCTTCTAGGAGCTTGGCAGCATCGAGCTCATCATCGACAACAAGCGCTGCTCGGTAGTCATGGTGATCTCGGCGCGTAGCCAAAGTCGTGAGAATGTCGCTCAGACTGTGTTCACTTCCATGAGCGGCCATCCAGTCCTTCAAGGTTTTGGCCTGAAGAGACAACCGTTTCTCTTGAGGGCCAGACAACAACAAAAGGCCTGGTCCGGTGGCTGCCCCATCATCCAGGGGATCTGGCTGCTGCAGGATATGATTGAACTCCTCAATGACTGCGTGAGAAACGGTACCTCCGTACCCATACGAACACACACCTGCTCGGCGGATGGGGTCTGTGGAGGGCCATGGGGTTGCCTCCTGGACCACCTTCACACCGGCTTTCTTCCAGTCGATACGGCTATTGAGCTTGGTCAGGTTGGCCTGGGGCGGCAGAACGCCCTTTTGGATGGCCAGGATTGCCTTGATGAAGCCCATGACTCCAGCACCGGCTTCCAGGTGACCAATATTGGGCTTGATGGATCCGATGTAGCATGGGTCATCAGCAGGGCGGTTGACACCGTAGATGCCCGCGATGGCGGAGATTTCAGTCGGGTCTCCCAGTGGCGTGGATGTGGCATGGGCTTCCACATAGCGCACAGTGAGGGGATCGACGTTCGCAACGTTGAGAGCAGTTTGTGCTGCCAATTGTTGCGCTTTAGCATTGGGGGCCATAATGCCGTTTGTCTTGCCATCCTGGGCAACTGCACTGCCCTTGATAACGGCCAAGATGTTATCATGGTCGAGCAATGCACGGTGCAAACTTTTGAGGATGAGGGCGCCAGCGCCTTCACCTCTGGCGTATCCGTGGGCGTCATCATCGAATGACTTGCAAGATCCATCAGATGAGATGGCTCCGGCTTTGTCGAGGACGCTAGTTAGGCCTGGTCCACAGAGGGCATTGACACCTCCAACAATAGCCACCTGTGATTCTCCCAACCGAATGGCCTGAACACCATGGTGGACGGCGACAAGAGACGAGGCACAGGCCGCATCCACGGCGGTGCTAGGTCCCATCAGGTTGAGGTGGTAGGAAATGCGATTGGGCACGCCACAGTAGGCGGTGCCGATGCCCATCCAGGCCTCGACGTTTGGCAGATCCTCCAGCACTAGCTTGGAGTAGTCGTCCGAGTTGACACCCCAGAAGACAGCTGTGTCACTGCCAGACAGGCTCTTGGCAGGAATACCGGCATCCTCGAGAGCTTCCGAGGCGACCTCAAGTGAGACTCGCTGTTGGGGATCCATCTGCTCGGCCTCCTTAGGGGAGATACCAAAGAATTGACAGTCAAAGTCCTCAAGGCGATCCAAGAAATAACCACGCGAGGTCGTCTTCTGGAGGATCTTTGCATTTCGGGGGTCACGACGATAGTAAGGCTCCCAGCGCATTTCTGGAATCTCGCCCACTGCACTCTTCTGACTGAGGAGCGATTGCCAGAGGAGCTCTGGGTTGTGGTTGCCTCCAGCCACACGGCAAGCCATTCCCACCACAGCCACATCATTGGAGAATTCCTATCCACTGTTAGTTCGAAGAAAAGCTTGTGGTACACAACGATGCAAAACATCGTCGAGTGGGGCTACATACATATTCACTGTACTCAGTTCCAGGAGTTTCAGCTGGTGCTGGGGATGTACCCCCAGAGGGGTATGTAGAAGTCGCAGCAGAATGCATGTCTGTTTGTGGTGGTTTAGAGACTCAAGTCTCCTTTGTAAAGTCAAGCTTTCTCATGGAAATGTCAATAGCTGTCGGATCTTCATGATCCTTTTATATATCCCATTCATCAATACATTTGTCTAGACCTCCATTGCCCCGAACTCCTTCCTCCGTTTGCGGCAGTTGCTTATCGTCTCGGTGAGGCCGACATCCAGAACATTCACAAGGAAATCTTAACGGTATCAACAGAGATAGTGGGTTGCAATTCAGCACGTTTCCTAATCAGGACATCTTTATCTCCATCCATTCGTCCATCGGGGTCTGTTCGGGCTTCCACCATCATGCAACCGAGCTTCGCAAGATTAATCTCACTGATGGCTAACAAAAATAGACGCAATTGATTATCTTCCCGTCAATAAGCAGTGGCGATGACGATCACGAAATTATTGTCAGGGATGCTGAGACGCAGAGGCCAAGCCACTGTCAGCCCTAAGCCGGAACGGGATGCATGCTGATTAACCCAAAGGAGTGACGGGGCTAATTTCTTCAAAAGATATTGGATGAGCTATTTAACCCTTTAGGAACCTCATAGGAACTCCGTACAGATACTCCGAAGAAGAAGGTGCATCGGCAAAGATGCTCCCAAGTTTTGATCATGCCATTTCAACAGCCATCAGCCTGCAGCCCATGGGGAACTCTGCAAAGGGTAATCGAATGGGATAACAAGTATATAGTTCTTGTAGATGCACGGAGCTATTTCTTAGGAGAAGAGGTCGAATAGTCGTGATTTTTCTGTAAAATCTCACTTCCACCAGTCAGCCAACCTTCGTGAGCGTCTTTGTTACAATGGCTCCATTTGTGCCCTACCACTACTCGGCTGGCCAGTCAACTATTGTGAAGTGATCATCACCCTTCTATCTCTTGATTATTGGGTGAAAGGTCTTTTGGTTGCTAACTTAGATCTATGAACTAGGTTCGGCGGTCTTCTCACCACCGAATTCCTCGAACCCCCACCAGGCCGTTGTTTTCTGTTTCGTCAGACCTATCGCCACACGATTGAAGGGCCGATCCCGGAAAACTTGCGCAAGCTAATTAATAGCCCCGATCGACCAAAGGGTCCGCCCCCACACTTCCACCAATTTCAAACTGAGTACTTCCGCGTCGAGAGTGGGGTGCTCGGAATTTCAGTAAATGGCGTCGTCCGCCGAGTCACGCCAGAGGACGGCGAAATCTCGGTGAAGGCGGGAAGTGTGCATAACTTCTTCATTCATCCTGACTCCCCTGAGAGCATGACCGTCTACCTGAGTGCTTCAGACTCAGGAAACGACTATCAGCTCGATCGGGTCTTCTTCGAAAATTGGTACGGCTATTGGCACGACGCGTTGTTGCACGATGGAGGCATTGATTGGATCCAATTCCTTGCGGTAATGATATATTCTCGGTGCACGATTCTCCTTGCCAATTGGCTGACATAGTGACAGATCCAAGACGGTGGGGATGCCTACACGGCCGCCCCCGCATGGGTGCCTTTCCGCCGGCAGGTCGGATACTGGACCTGTGTGATCATCGGCCGGTGGATCGGCGGACTCCTAGGGTACAAGCCCTTCTTCCGAGAATATACTACCGACTGGGACTTTGCCGTCGCCAAGATGAAGGGTTCCTTCTTCCAGCGGCATCTGGTGCATGCCGCATTCGAGGAGGAGAAAAATTGGGCGAAACAGGCAGCCCTGGAACCCAAGTCTAAGCCTGAAAACGCCGAGTTTGAGCCTTGGACGGACGATATGTCCCCCACTCCCTTGGTTCTGGGCCCAGTGGCGTATCAGGAGGGGCAGTTCAATGGCTTACAGCCCGCGCCGGTGAATGGGAATGGGACCAACGGTCACTCCACAGGGATTGAGAGGAAGCTGGAGCAGTCGGGTTCTTGGAAACAGCGACGGACAGGGGCCGATGGTGCGGACAAGTAGAGATGTGTTTTCGAACACTTGTTAGTCCATCAGTTATGATTCATTTGAATTCAATTGGTTTTTTTTTCAGTCATTGCTTCCTGTATAGAGTACTTTCTGCTTACAGTATGTATGAGATGGATGGAGTTTTGATCGATTGTCCAGAATGGAAACTATGGACAGATGGGAAGAACGATGGTCTCAAGAGAAAAACGCACGACCTCACGTAGCGTTACGCCAGTCATAGAAGATTAGATTCTTACGCCTTGATTCCCATGAATTACCTATTCTACGTAGACTATCAAACATAGAGAAATTGATTCTCGTACACCAGGAGCTAAATGGGGTATCAAAGCTCTCCTCTCAGCATCCGAAAACGCTGTAGCATATGCTTGATACCTAGCTATCCATTCAGGTAAGGTTCTGATCTTATTTTGGGGTGGATACTATGGAACCCTTGTCCATATCGATATGTAATACCTACATACGTAGGTAGATAGGATTGGGTGTACTCGTAGGCAATGTATGTAGACGTGAGAGTTCTATACGAGTGGACTCCGATTCTCCTTTAGGAAGCGAGCCCTACACCATCGCCCACTTAGCTGAGTCCTAATCTCAAAATAGGTAGCATTCCCGTTCCCCGCGTTGATGAAAACCATACATAAAGTATAGACAATAAGTCTACCCTGACGAGCATTTTCCGGCCATCTGTCAACGCTATGGATCTCCTACAGTTCGCACCCGCCCACCTTCTGGCGCTACTGCTCAGCAGTACCAGCGCACTGTTCATAGTCACATATCTCTTCCGTGCAGGACATAGACCCTCGGATCTCCCCGATGGTATGTGGTTGCAATGAAGGAGACGGGACTTCACATCTGACAGATGCACAGGTCCTCCAACTGTCCCACTTTTTGGAAACGAACTGCAGGTGCCAAAGACGGATGCACATTTCCAGTAGGGACTCATCACCTGTGATGTATGGTAACATGCTAAGTGATTCATGTAGGTTTTCCAAATGGGCGAAGCAATATGGCGGGCTTTTCACGCTGAAGCGATACAACAACACCACGATAGTCATCAGTGACCGGAAATTGATCAAATCACTGGTTGAGAAAAAAAGCAACATATACTCCCACCGCCCGGCCTCGCTTGTATCACACATGATCACGCGGAGCGACCATCTTCTGGTCATGCAGTACGGGGAGCGATGGCGCATGCTGCGGAAAACCATCCATCAATTCTTCATGGAACCCCGCTGTGAGCGCGACCACTGGAAGCTTCAAGAGGCGGAGGCGAAACAGATGCTGCATGACTTTCTGACCATGCCAGAGGATCACATGTTGCACCCGAAGCGTTACAGTAACAGTATCACCAACTCGCTTGTCTTTGGTATTCGTACTAAGACTGTTCACGATGAGTACATGAAGAAGCTCTTCTATCTGATGGATAAATGGTCGTTGGTACTGGAGCTTGGCGCCACCCCGCCCGTGGACTCGTTCGCTCTGCTACGCTATGTGCCACAGTGGCTGTTGGGCAATTGGCGTAATCGGGCCACTGAGGTTGGTGACCTAATGCAGTCACTTTACCAGATCATGGTAGACCGAGTGCAGGAGCGCCGTCAGCGCGGTGTTCAGCGTGACTCTTTCATGGATAGAGTTCTAGATACACAGAAACAGACCCCGCTCACAGATAATGAAATACGGTTCCTAGGGGGAGTTCTGATGGAAGGAGGCTCGGATACCTCATCCTCGCTTATCTTGACCATGATCCAAGCCATGACCAAGTATCCAGAGGTGCAAGCAAAGTAAGCTCTCGGATATTTTGTCCGCATTCTGCTCAAGTGAGAAAAGCTAATGCAGTGGTATTGCAGGGCCCATGCACAGATCGACTCCGTTGTCGGCAACGACCGCTCGCCGGCTTGGTCTGACTGGTCCAAGCTGCCCTATATCAACATGATGATTAAAGAATCCCACCGGTGGCGTCCAGTCAGCCCCTTGGGCGTTACACATGCCGTCGCCGAAGGTTTGTCTATGAAATCTGAGTATTTTGCAAAAAAGAAAAGAAAAAAAAAACAAATTCAACGGAAGAAATTGGCTAACAATTCTCAGATGACCACGTTGATGGCAAACGAATTCCGCAAGGATCGAGTATCGTTTTCAACGTGTGGGGTATGCACCACGACAGCACACGTTGGGAGGAACCTGAGCATTATCAGCCTGAGCGCTTCGCGGATTTCCCAGCCTTGGCCTCGGCCTACGCAGCGTCTGAACAGCGAGATCACTTTGGTTACGGGGCGGGCCGACGCATCTGCCCAGGCATCCACCTGGCGGAGCGCAATTTGATTATTGGCATTGCCAAGCTACTCTGGGCCTTTGAGTTTGTCGAGCCCCCAGGCAGCGACAATGACATTTCAGCGCATTCCGGCGCTAGTAAGGGTTTCCTTCATTGTCCTAAGGACTATGGATGTGCCATTCGTCTCCGATCTCCGGAGAAAAGGGAGACTATTATGCGAGAATTTGCCGAGGCACAGGAGGTCTTCGCTCAATATGATTAGGTAGATTTTAGATAACTCAAATGTGATCTTGACCCGCTTCTCTTTTTCCCCCTCTGTGGCTGTTTCTTGGCTGTCTCTTGGCTTCTTTTTTTTTTTAATATGAGGGCCCGGTGAAAAGGCATCCGCACGCTACTCGGCGCTACGACCATGTGTACCTGCCAGCGGCCAGCTCGGCATCAAAACCCTATTTCTTTGTAGATCATCCGTTTCAATTAGCATGCAGTATCTTTCCCAACGTGGTTTCAATTTGATCAAAGCCCACGATTGGTCGGTTCTATTTTTTCTATGACATCGTGCATTCCATATGGAGTACTTCAATCAAAAGTTTTTCGTACTTTCTCTAGCGGCGTAAGATTTTAGTTCATAAGATCTACATATGCCTACCTGGGAAATCATTCTATTTGTGCAGATTTGTACATGTATTACCATATGGCTACATCCCGAGGTCGTACTTAGGTGCATATATGCATCCACTAGGCAGAAATTGGCAATTTTGACCCGTTCAACTAAAACATGTAAGATTTTAATCCCTGTCCATCGATGCACATCGTACTGTAGAATGGTAAAATGGAAACTCCGTTTCTGCAGCCGATGCATATGGCCCAGAGGAGCAGCGGACGAGCGGACCTCACTCCGATTTCTTCACAGATTGGAGTTAATTTTAATTTACGAGATAAGATGATCGACCCAGCACGCCTTAGGAGCTTGGCTAGGGTTCACGGAGTCCCGGGATAGGACGTGGGGGTAAGTAATTGTGAAGAGAATGCCTGCAGAGCTGGTAGTGAAATAGTAAATAAGTAATTTAAATTTAAATTATTCTATTTGTTACCTAGATCCATCTGGACATATGGATGTAGGGACATACGCATTGCATAAATAATAATTCCGATTTTACCATTTGTACCTAGGTAACTGTGCCGGGGGTTAGACATTGCCACAACATATACGGAGTATATATATAATATATATATAATCCATAGATAGTATATAGATAGGCAGATGTTAAACTCTCGTATATATATATATTCTAGTAATGTAGATAGAGGGGCCAAGCTTTTCTATCAAGACTTTGGGCGATATGGTCAAGACTTGTTGATGATAAGATCTTCTATACGAGGACGGATGCGATTCCCTGCCCTCCAACGCACTTATCTGTCTGACATCGGACCAATAGCGCAATCTCGCTTCACGCTTATTTATGCCCTCCTCGGAATGGTTCTAAGCAAAAGACAAAGTGGCAATTCTGCCAAGTGTCCACGACAATAGATGAGATGACACACTAGTGTGATTGTGGGTGTTCATAGGTAGTATCTGGGCTTGATTTCTCACTCTTTTTGCCTTTCTGGTTTAATGCAAGTCTCATTCTGTGCAGGTAAAAGTTTACCTTCCCTGCATTTTTGTACTTTTGTTTTGCCCAGGCCAAGTTATGTAACCTCAGGCATCCAACGCCAACATAACTCTAAGTTTTCCGTTCGCAATCTACTCCCCTCTTATTCCCCCCTCCCTAATCTGGTCTCAAGTAGTCTAGAGGAAATTACTTTTAAGGTTCCGACCGCCATTTGGAGTCGAATGAAACTAGCGGTCTAAATGAATCAGACTTGAATCGTTTTGTCCTCCACTATCCTCCCCACAGCCAGTTATGTACTCCACTTTCTCCGCCAACTTCGATACGACCATCGATGCCTCTCGTGAGAGGTCAGCTACACCCATAACAGCTCCACGCCCAAAGCGCAACCAGGTTGCTCGGGCCTGTGACTGGTGTCGGCTGAACCGCGTTAGGTGCGATGACAAGCAGCCATGTCAAAACTGCCTGAATCGAGGGGGTTCTTGCAGCAACACAAAGCCACAGGAGGCCACCTCGCTGCCGGCTGCAAACCGGTAGGAAATGTCCACCCTCTCTCGCAGTATCATTATCGTGATGAGTGAAGATGGCTAATCCCATATGGGAGTACAGAGAGATGCAAAGGTTACGAAATAAAGTAAAGGACCTTCAGGAACAGATCGAGAAACTCAAAGATAGAGCAGAAATCCAAGCACAGACGGGTTTCGCCACACCTCCACTGTCTGATGCCGCGCACAGCTCATTTGACTTCGCGGAGCTCACCAATACCATGGAAGGATGGCAAGGCGACCAGCAGACCGGGCATATTCACTACGGGCCCTTGTCATCCTCATATTTTGTCGCCCGAATCAGTCAGTACCTATCCGAAACACTCAACGAGCCATTGGAAAATGCAAAGTTAGAGGCATGCATGGCACGATTTCAGTATACACCCCCGTCCCATCAACCATCTAGATGGGACGCGAGCCCAGCCAGTCAGGGAGATCACCATGCGGATGGAAGCGAGGAGGCCGAGGATCTCACCCGATCACAAGAGGAACACTTTCTCAATCTGCTCTGGCAGTCCTTTCACTGCGTCTATCCTGTCCTCTCCGAACGCGAGTTTCAGAAATATTATGACTCGTTATGGTCCAATTCCACAGATGGAATGTCTGCCCGGAAGCCATCCGCGTTGGTCGATGTGCTGTTGGCGGTCTGTATGCAGTACAGCAGCACGTTCTTCGTCAGTGGAGACAACCAGCAGGAAGATTCGGATGCTGGATGGCAGGCCAAAAATGCGGATATAGCCAGCCGAACTTACTACCAGAGGGCTCAGAGGCTTCTGCAGAGTGAGCTCGAGAATCCAACCATCATGCTCGTACAAAGTCACATCTATTCTATTGTCTACTTGTACAACACCTCCCTGTTGAATACGGCGCATATTAACCTTGGTGCCACGCTGCGAATCGCCCACGCGTTGCGGTTGCATATCCGCCCACTGGACGGGACCTCCCCCGAGCGGCAGGAGCTACAGCGTCGGATTTGGTGGACGCTTTATCGAATTGACAGCCAGCTCTCAATGACCCTGGGTCGGCCCCCACTCATTCAGCTGGGCCATGTCAGTTGCGGGCTACCCGGAGACAGTCGCGAGCACGCCCAGTTATCTGGCACAGTCCTCTTCTCGAGTCATGAGGACATCAGCTGGCTCAGCTTCCATGTCCAGTGCACGAAGCTCATATTCCTTGTCCAAGGCGTACAGAGTGCATTGCACCGGAAATGCTCCCAGGTGCTGAACGGGGACAAGGCTAAGGATATCTATAAGGACAAGCACCTACTCGAGACATTGGCCGAATTTCTCGGACGAGAGATGACAGCCATTCATAACTGGGTTCAAAATGTGCCACAGTCCTTATGTAACCCTCGTAAGGGGGGTGGAGAACCCTTTTCTACCAATCGGGACGCGCTGAATCTGTCTCCATATAGCCCACTTTGGCTGCAGCGCCAACGCCTCCTGCTAGAGCTCCACTATCACCATCTTGTTATCTCAACACTGCGTCCCTTTATCCGATTCCCTCCCGTGAGCTCCCCAGTGACCCCGAAGACAGATGGCTACAATGTCACCTGTCTGAATCACGCCATGACGATCACCAGCATCTTAAATCAAGTATTGTCTGAGACTGATCTCCTGCGCGGCTGGTCGCCAATCTTCCAGTACCAATGGGATGCTATCCTATGTACGCTAGGATTTGTACTCTCCAACCCCGTCTGCCCACCGACCCCTTCTGCCCGCAAGTCGTTGCAGACGGCGATTGGCACGCTGGATCTCGTGAGTGATCACTTCCTGGCAGCCAAAAATGCGGCGCAGGTCGTCCGCGAAGTCTGTTGCCGGGCCGACCGACACATCAAAAACGTGCAAGAAGGTCTGACCCGGCGACAAGCGCCGCGTACCAGCCAGGCCTTGTCCACCAGGGCTCCGAGTTCTAGGCCGTCGCCTAACCAGTCCCCGTTCATCTCGCCCAGGCAAACTGTGGGCCAGTCCAACTCTCTCAAGCGGGCGCTGCCATCAACCGGCTTGGAGGTGTCACAACACCAGCCAATGCCTAACTTTGAAGCGCGCATGCACTTAATGGACATGATGCCGATCGGGTCATTACCAGAACTATCTCCTTCTTTGGTGACGACGGAGTCTATGTCCGGTGTGATGTCGGTTACGAGTGCTGATATGGTCACTGGCACTGAAGCCCAATGGTTACATGCGAATGCGATGATACTGGATTCCTGGACCACTAACTCATGATTAGAATGTATTTTCTTTTGCTCTTGTTTTTTTTTTTGTCTTGCTGCTTTTAAACTTTGGTCGACTTAGAGTGATGTCCTCTCTAACCCTAATCCATAGTCCCCTAACCAGGCAGCGGGCTCTGCTAGGCGGAGAGAAATAGAAAAGACACAAACATACAAACTGGATTGATACACAACTTGTTTACTTACATATTACTGAATTGGTATATTATTGCAGAGTGTATTGGGCCAACGATTAGACTAGACCTAATCATATTATCGTACATGTAGATTACATATAGTATTATAACCTACCCCTGGACTGGCGAGTTACACACTAGGCTAAAAAGACCACTATATCTGAGCATTACGCTCAGGTATCCCAGGCTCCGATATATATAGTGCGACATGATATGTAGAAACATATGGAACATCTTTTAGGAAGAGGCTACCCGAAGACTCTGAACTTCTTTATATATGTGGGAAGTAATACAGCCATTTTACCACTAGACCATAACAAAAATCAAGGTCTCTCTTTAAGACCTAGGGGGGCTATATTCTAGTCTGATAATATGTATACTTCTAGATGGTAGTGAAATGGCGTTAGTTGGATTGTTGGTCTCTACTCGGTCACAAAAAAAAGTGTTAGACAATACAAGTTTGGGAACAGTTACATTCCATATTTCTGTTTATTTTCTTAAGCATCTGACAGGCCACTTGATATATTCGTAAAATAGCCTCCTATTTAGGTAGGCAAAAAGGTTTCCATTATCATATACTTTCATAAATTAGCCTATTACTCAACAGGCCTTGACGTCTTAAAGTCCTATTTCTAACGGGTCCTGTAGGGCCCCTGTAGGGCTCGTCAAATGCCTCATCGTATCCATCCATTTAGGCGGCCTGGCACAAACGACCACCAGCCTCGACTTGCCAGTCGTCACTGCCCACTGCGGTCGGGGCATAGAATGTCCGCAATGGGTCATACTTGGACTTGATCGCGTACAGCGAATTGTAGTTGCGACCGTAGAAGGTCTGCTTCCAGTCTGGCTGTAGGGGATTAGCCTATAGATATAGTTAGCCATTGGTCACTAAATCATGAGTGTGCTTCGGCTTGCCTCGTTCATATAACAACCCGAATCTGGACTCAAGTCTGTCAGAATAGGCACCCATTTGTCCGTCATTTTGTCGGCCAGAGTTTTCATTTCGGTGAGATTGGCACCGGCGGGCCAGTTACTGCAGTATGTGTGTCAGTGAGCACATTGAAAGAGTTGCACATTGGGCCAGAGAAAATGAGCATACGTAGACAAAATTACAGTCATTGCTGCTGTACGCCATGCAGGCAGAACTGAATTCCAGACATTGCCGGTCACAGATGACGAGACATTCATGCCAATGCCCACAAACGCAGCCCCGTCCATGGTGATTTTCTTGACCGCATCCGTGAGCTGCGAGTTGTTGCGCTGGATGAGGTCAATCGGGAGGAGACGACCACCATATTGCCCGTTTTGCACCAATTGTGTTGGGTTTGGCTCAATCAGTTCCATATAATGCTGGTAATACGAGGGCGATTGGGTGATGTTCAAAGTATAAGAGATGTTCAGTTTGTGCAGGTCTTCCAAAAAGGGCGCCACCAATTTCTTAGCCTTTGCTGCAGTATAATCAGGCAGTGTCAGAGGGGTGAGCAGGAATGACGAGTTTGTGATCTGTGCAATTGCCATCCCGCCAGCCGTGGTGTATGTGGGCAAGTGACGATGGTAGTGGCCTATAGCTTCAAAGTAGCGGTTCGATGAGGGATTTTTGTTCTCGAATTGGAGAACAACGCCCGTGACGGGGAAGTCGGGGAATGCCTTGACGGTCATGGCGTATACAACACCGTATGTACCTGCGCCACCTCCACTGAGAGCCCAGTACAGATCTGGGTTTTGGGTGGGTGATGCAGTGAGCAATCGCCCCATCCCATCCACAACCTCCCATTCCAAGACCTGGTCTGCCCCAAGGCCGTATCGGGAGCTTAGAGCCGAATGACCGCCTCCCTGTGTGTAACCACCAACGGGGCCTACAGTGGCACATTCGCCGCCTACGATCACTAGCCCTTTCTTGTGGGCGGCATCGTAGACATCCCCGCCTTGAATACCCGCGGTCAGCCGAACAGCCGGTCCGGTATATTGCGAACTAGTATAGTTCAGGAATTTAATATCCTTGAGAGAATGGGTCCAGATAGATAGTGCGCCTGCACCTGTTGACTTCCCCAAATAACTATGATGCATTATTAGCCATGAAACATTTCATTCGTACTAGGCGATGCATACTCATGGCCTGTGTTGCGAACAACCAGACGGATATTTCGCTCCTGGGAGAATCGAATGGTCTTCACAAAGTCGTCTGGAGAGCTGGCATTGACGGCATAGCGCACCATCGCACCCAGGGTGCAGGGTTTCGATCGGGGACCAAAGGCATCACAGGTTTCATTGGCCACAGAAGCTGCCATAATGGAAGAAGATGAATCATCGCTATCAAATGGGGTTAATTCAACAGGCCGATACCGGGGCTCGGTGGATGGATAGGATTACTTACTGGAGCTCTGGCTTTGTCCACTGTTGTCTCAGAGCAAGACACTCACTGGCGTTATAGAATGGGTCATGACAGGGGCTTGCCAGTGGTTGCGTGCTCACTAATCGGCCTCCAATGGATGTGTTGAAGCGGGCCCAGTCATCCGAGGACGGCCAACAACTATCCCCGGGCATGCATCGGCAGTTCAAGGATAATCCGGCGGACGCCTGCAGAACAGAGAAGATGCACAACAAGAGAAGAGATGGGGATCTATAAAACCGCATTGTGAAGCCTGATATCCAGCAGATCTAATTGCTTTGTATACTCTGTTGTGGTCGATGAGTACATTCTTATAGTTTTCCCGGAAGGTTGTCGTCACTGTCGATTGCTCGAAATTATAAAAAATTGCATTCAACTGCCCGATCCCCACACTACACGAGGGATGTGGATATCTCTCGGGGGCGCTGGGGTCCCGGATGGGGAGAGGGGAGTGCATCGTGTCTCCGACACTGATGTGAGGCTAGCTGTTCACAATAAGTTCTAGTTGGTCGGCAAGGATGTTTCTCACTTTGGCTCCACTAGAGTGAGATGTACAACCCAAAGCTCCACACTAGAGCTCTCAACTGGTATTACCTTGCATGATACCTTTCAGGCTCCGAGATAGCAACTCCGATAGCATCCTACCCGTTTCTCGGAGAACCATTTGTAACCTTTCGGGAAGTGGGATCAGAGTCACATTGACATTCACTAATGTTCAACTTCTAATTTTCCACCAAATTTCTAATAACTACATATTTTCAAAATATTTTGCGTTTGAACTGAGTATTGGAAAAAACATATTCCTCGAGTATCATTGAATAATCATTCGATATAAAAGAAATCCCAAGAATTCATCACCATTTTGCTACAGAGCACCATAGTAAATTCGTAGTAAAATCAGACAAAAAGAATTCTCCAAATTTCGAACTGCCACGTAGGCCTTCCTATGTCGTGTAGTCTCTAAGCATCTACGGCGGAGGGGTAGAGTTTAGATATGCCTGCTAGAACCAGACGATTCTTGGGGGTTCATAATAACAATGTCATTGGTCTCATTCTGGGTTCTAAGTTCTAAAATCTAAAACTGGGTGCCGACATGAATTCCGCCATCCACCAACAAATTTGTGCCGGACACGAAGCTGGCCAGGGGACTCGCCAGGAATACTGCAACGTCCGCCACCTCAGTTGGTCCTCCCAAGCGCTTGAGAGGAATCTTCAGTCGCTGTTCCTCTACCCATTCGGGGTTGGTCTTAGAATAGAGCTCCCAGGGACCTCCCTTGCAAAGAATTGGTCCTGGAGAGATGGCATTGACCCGGATACCCTTAGGTCCCAAGAAGTGAGAGAGTTCCTGGACGTGCTGCAGCTGTGCTGCCTTGCAGGGCCCGTAAGCCGCCGGAGGGGAGCGGTAGAATTCCCGTCCCATGAATGAGCTCTGCACAATGATGGATGCCTGGGGAGACTTTTCCAAGTAGGGAGTGGCTGCCCTGACCAGCTCGACGAAGCCCATGACATCGATCGCAAAGCTGCTCTCCCAGTGTTCGGTCTCGCCCTCCATATGCATCGGCGACGCTGCGGCCAGTCAGTATGAATTTGAACCAGAAGATGTAGGGAAAATCAATCACCATTGGCGATGATCACGTCAATTCGTCCGAGTCGCTCGGCGGAGCTCTCGACCCACTGGACGAGGGCGTCTTTGCTAGCAACATCGAATGCGGTGCCCACGGCGCGGGCAGTATTTCCCTCAGGGAGAGTCGAATAGAACTCATCATATTCGGTATTGGTGACAGTCCGGGCACAGTAGGACACATTGGCTTCCTCCTGGAGGAACTTGTGAACCATTGCCTCTCCCATACCCCGCGTACCTCCTAGACCCCGCGTTAGTCGGATGCAAATTGATGTACTTTTTTCTTTTATTTTTCTTACCTGTGATGAGCACATGGGCACCCTTGAGACCAGTAGTGAGAACCATGATTGATAATAAATTTGGAAATTGGAATTGGAATTGGAATTGAAATGGGAATAAAAATGGGAATGGGAATGGGAATGGGAATATGTAGAAAATAGATAAAGTAAAGAGAAGTGAAATCGGCGAAATAGCTTCCGAGGCTAATTCGGAGTTCGCAGCATTTTGTTTTATAGCTTGAAAACCATTGGCTCTCCGACCGTTTAGGAGATGCACCAGGCCATCTATCTTAGAATTCTCCCTCGGGCCACAAGTAGCATGTCCAAAAACACTTACCCGATTTGGAACTGTCAAAAACTCCGAAACTCCTTTGGGAAAACACCGTATATCTAGATCAGATAGCGAAAGGAGGTGTAGGAGATGAGCTATTGAATATATGTATTTGCTTTTGAACCCGTCCATTTCCACAATTTCTGGTCGGCAATGTGATTCTCGCATGATCAATGAAGGGGTTGTGACAGTTTTCCAGCACTTCCAATCTCCATCATGGTAGATAATTATCATTCGTCGCTAGACGGAGCAAAGACACCCATCCAGTCTGATGGCTCTGTGCAGAAGTCTGATTTGGCTGAAACCGATGGCCCGTCGTCGAAATCGTCCCAGATCGCAGCGGTAGGGGAATCAATTGCATACAGTGTTCGCAACTTCCTTGAACTACGCCAGGGTGGCATTCACGATGGCGCTGGGGTGGTCTTTGACAAGATATCAGCTGTGGGAAGCGGAACCGGAGTGAGTAGCAATGATTTCAATTGAACATGTTTCACTAGGAACCCGTTTTGTTAACAATTGATAGTCACAAGATGCACCCACCGTCACGTCAGCAACTCAGTCGGCCTTTGGGCTGTTGAGTCCTCTGCAGAACAGAGCAAGGAAACAGTATTCTCGACCCATCCTCAGCGGATTCTCTGGCACAATTGAACCCGGAGAAATGTTGTTGGTACTAGGTAAGCCGGGAAGTGGGTGTACAACCTTCTTGAAGACCCTGTCGGGCTTGTGGGACGAGTACAAGGAGATCCAGGGTGAACTCACTTTGGGCGGTCATCCACTGCAAGATGTGATGGAAAAGCGGCCCCAAGATATCATTTTCTGCGGTAAGTCCTCGCGTTCTGCTCTTTGATCATTTTGGATAGACACTAACAGATGTGTTTCCCCTTAGCCGAATCTGATGACCACTTTCCTACGTTGACCGTGGCAGAGACCCTACGCTTTGCGACCAGAGCAAGATGCGGTCCGAAGGTCTCGGCCAGTGAGATTGAAACAATGATTACCCAGTTGGCAAGGCTAGTTGGTCTTGAAAATGTCCTGAATACTAAGGTAGGAGATGCGAAGATAAGAGGTGTCAGTGGCGGAGAGCGAAGGCGGGTGTCTCTGGCGGAGGCCCTAGCCACCTGTGCCCGGTAAGTGATCTCTTCTACTCAATTAAGTACCAATAGTGACTCATCGACTTATACATCCTCACAGCCTGATCTGCCTGGATAATCCAACCCATGGCCTGGATTCGTCCACAGCAGTTGAATTCATGGAGATGATGCGCGAGTGGACGACACAAAGTCAATGTGTGGCCGCTATGAGCGTCTATCAAGCCAGTGATGCAATTGTCTCCTACTTTGACAAAGTCATGGTGATCAATTCTGGTCGCCAGATCTTCTACGGCCCGGTCCACGAGGCGAAGGCATATTTCGAAGATCTCGGGTTCGAGTGCTTATCGACTACCACTATTGCCGACTTCCTCAATGTGATGTCCGCCGACCCAGACGTGCGACGAGCTCAGGAAAATAAGGAAAACCAGGTCCCACGAACGGCGGAGGAGTTTGAACGTGCATTTAGTGCGAGTCATATCCACCAGGAAATGCAAGTCTCGGTGCAGGTGGCCAAGGAGCAATCCCAAGCCAACGCCAGTCCTCTTGTCAAAACGTCGGCCTTCGCTCTCCCTATCTGGCATCAGATTTGGTACTGTGCCGGGCGCCAATTTCGCATCGTCACTAGTGATTATAGCTTGTGGGCGGTGGAGCTCACTACTATCGTCGTTCAAAGTTTGGTGTTAGGTACGCTGTTCCGAAACCAGCAGCGAACGACCAACTCCCTCTTTATCTTCGCGTCCTCCTTGTTCTACTCGGTCCTAGTCCCGGCCCTACAGGCCATGGCTGAATTTGGAAATGGATTCGCTCAGCGACCGCTCATTCTAAAGCAGAAACGATACCAAATCTCTCGCCCGATTGCCTACGCTTTCGGCCTGGTCACCACAGACGTTGTGTGGAAGGTGGCTGCGATCTGCTATAATATCCCCTTGTACTTCCTGACCGGCTTCCAACGGACGGCCGGGAATTTCTTTACCTGGTTCCTCATTATCTACCTGGAACATCTCGCACTATCGATGTTCTTCCGCTCGGTGGCCATCTTCTCTCCTAACATGCATCGGGCCGTGCTTCCAGTGGGAATCTTCTTTAACATGTATGTCCTCTACACGGGGCTCTACGTGCCTGCACCACAGATGCAAGTATGGCTCGGGTGGTTGCGATATCTAAATGTCAGTGAAGACCGTATCATGGGTTGTGTACAAACCATGCTAACATCTCGCAGCCCCTATATTATGCATTTGAGTCGGTGGCGGCGAATGAATTTGGAGACCTCAGCTACCAGTGCAGCGCCTCAGATCTGGCCCCATCGGGGCCAGGATATACCGACATGGCCCATCAGGTCTGTACAATAGTAGGATCTCAACCTGGGGATGATTTATTGTCCGGAGCTTCATACATCCGTGCCCAGTACGGATTTGAAACCTCCACCACCTCTGGCGGAATGTAGGGATTAACGCGGCCCTATTCGTCTTTTTTGCCGTTTGCTCTGGGTAAGTCATCTGGCGAAGCCTAGTTTATGGAGAATGTTACGACTGACACTTCAATTTTAATAGCATTGGAATGGAGATGTTGAAGACCCCTGCAGGTCAATTGGCCACCGTTTTCTACAAGAAAAGCCCAAGAGGAATGCAACGCCGTGATAAAACCGATGGCGAAACAGGACCAGTTCACGAAATTGAAAATTTGGAGATATCAGCTGGCCAAGGCAATGACGGTCAAGAACATCAGAACCTCGACAAGAGTCACACTCTTGCATGGACGAATCTGTGTCTGGACATCAAAACCAAGGATGGCGAACGACGACTGCTGAACAATCTGAGTGGCTCGGTTGAGAGTGGACAGCTCAAGGCTCTAATGGGAGTCTCGGGCGCTGGGAAAACCACCCTGTTGAATGCACTCGCAGGTCGTTCCAACTTTGGGACTCTCACAGGAACACTAGCGCTCAACAGTCAACTGCTGCCCACATTCTTCCGAAGTCGAATGGGTTACGTGCAACAGCAGGACATTCATCTCCCCACTCAGACCGTGCGTGAGGCATTGCAAATGACTGCACGACTTCGACGCCCAAACTCGATCAGTTTGGCGGAGAAGAATGCATACGTCGAGCATGTGATCAAATGGTTGAATATGGAGCATATTGCGGACGCCCTAGTTGGTGTGCCGGGTGCCGGACTCAATCTCGAACAGCGGAAAAAAGTCAGTATTGGTGTGGAGATGGCATCTAAACCAGAGATTCTCTTCCTAGATGAACCAACCTCGGGTCTCGATGGACAGTCCGCTATGTTGATAGCTCGCTTACTTCGTCGTCTGGCGGATTCGGGCCAAGCCATTCTCTGCACAATCCATCAACCGGCAGCCGAGCTTATCGACCAGTTTGATGAGTTGTATCTACTAAGCCGGGGAGGAAACTTGGTCTATGACGGTGCCCTAGGAACACGCTGCCACAAGGCAATCCAGTATTTCCAGCCAAACAGCCGTCCCTGCGGCCCAGAAGAGAACCCGGCAGAGTATTTCCTAGCGGTGATTGGGGCTGGATCTCGCAACGATGCCCACGTGGATTGGGCTAGTCTCTGGAATGATAGCCAGCAGGCTAAGGAGCGAGAGAAGGTGGAACAAAGCCTGGTTCCTGCTTCCGGACAAGCACCACAGCTGGAGAAACAATCGTTATATTCGGTACCATTCCATGTACAACTGTGGGTGGTAGTTCAACGGACGTGGCTATACTACTGGAGAGAACCGGATTATGTCACGTCTAAGCTCTGGATGAGCGTGGGAAACTCCCTCCTGAACTCCCTCACGTACCTGCAGTCCCCCAACACGGAGAGAGGGGCGTATAATCGGGTTTTCTCTGCCTTTATGTCACTTATCGTTGGTCCCCCGCTAGGACTGCAGGTGCAACCGCGCTTCGTGACCCTACGAGATATTTTTGTCCACCGGGAGCGAGAGAGTTTGACCTACCACTGGATGGCCTTTGTCTTATCCGCATTTATCGTGGAATTGCCCTTCACGTTCTTCAGCTCGCTGATCTATTGGCTGCTTTGGTATTTCCCAGTTGGCTATTTCTACGCTCCCGACCGCGCAGGGTACAGTTTCCTCATGTACGAACTGTTTGGAGTCTTCGCCACTAGTCTGGCTCAGCTGTGCGCATCGCTGATGCCTAACATCGAGGCAGCCTTTGCCGCTAATGGATTCTTCTTCATGTTCTGCAACACCTTCGCGGGCACACTTTCGCCGAAGCCGGTCACCCCCTCGGGCTGGCGCTGGTTTTACAATATCTCTCCCCTATTTTACCTTGGCGAGGGCGTTACCGTGGATGTGTTGCAAGATTTGGCTATTCAATGCAAGGAGTCGGAGGTTTCAGTCTTCTACGCTGCGAATGGCACGAGCTGTGGCCAGTATGCTGAGGACTTCCTGAAAACTGCCACGGGATATCTACTCAATCCAGCAAGCACAACGGAATGTCAATACTGCCGATATCGTGATGGACAATCATACGTGAGTAGTTCTGATAAAGAAAACAAAATCGACTGGTGTATTCTGGAAACTAATCATTCAATAGTACCAACAATATGGCTATGAGTTTGCGCATCGGAATCGCAACATTGGCATTTTCATTGGCTTTATTGCTTTCAATTTCACCATGGTTTTGGTGATGACCTATATTACCAAGACGCGCCGTCACTGACGGAAGATGGATTCTAGTCTGCTGTGATCCCATACTACCGGGGGGGGGGAATTTCGTTTCGGGGATGATTTCCATATCTGATAATAGAAAAGTAGAAAAAAAAAACCATAGAACGATAGAGAAATTTAATTTGTACGAGCCGTTTCTCTTCCAATCATTCATGGATGAATCTGTCCGTATTTGTCTATTCTTGACTCCGGTCAGCGTACATGACATCCAAATAACTCCGACTTATCAATCATCTTTCCAGGCACAAGTCTTTTTCCCGCACAGAAATCAATGGGAAAATGAAATCCCGGCATGCAGAGGCAAGACATGACTAGCATGAGGAGATTCCTTGGCCAATCTGGTTTTGTAAGCTGAACCCCGACTGCTCCATGGAGTAAGTGACAGCTTATCATGCCAAGGAATCTTGGCAATTATGATCCTTATTGGTCCTTGATCAGCGGCATGGCGTAATAAACTTAAGCATATTTAGATCCACATTTCGTCACGCAATTTGGGATGTTGATAGCTTGATTCTAACTCAGAAGCCCTTCATCGTGTGGTCCTTTCCTAGTTGAATCATTACTTGAATCTGACAATCCGACGTGGCGTGAAATAGAAATGACAGTCGAAGGAAAGATCATGTCGTCGTCAGAAGAGGGAGGTCAGCTAAGCTATGATGTTTCGTGCTCTAATCCCAGAAGCAGCAAGGAGCAAGACTTCCAGCCCACACCGCAGATTGGCAGCCCGGTAAAGTACCCCATCTTCACAATCCGAGTGAGAACATCTTCTAACCATCCGCGGTTGCTACCAGACTGCGCTAGGCATGGGTGTGTTCGCAATTGCCTTCACCACTCTATCGATGAGTCTCATGGAATGGCGAAGCGCAGCCATTACCAATGCCTATATTGGTAATTGCTTTTTTACAGCGGGCTTGGGCTTGGTGTTGGTGGCTCAATGGGAGCTCGTGCGCGGAAATTCCTTCGGTCATACTGTCTTTGGAGGTTTTGGTGAGCATCCAGTTCCTTATCCTGCCGTATATCGCGCATCACGGCCTGGATCTGACCCATCTGCTTCCGTCTAGGTTTGTTCAACTTGGCTTTCGGGGCGATCAGTGCACCGGCCTTTGGAGTGGCAGAAGCCTTTAAAGACGAACCCGCCGCGTTGAATAATGCGATTGGATATTTCATGCTCGGTAAGTTCTTTATGCAGACCGTCTTCTCCACGTAGGGTTGCTATCCTTTAGCTGGGATTTCGGCTAATATGACGATACAGTATGGGGAATATTCGTCCTTTTCTTTACCATTGCTGCAATGCCCATGTCAGTTGATACATATATATACAGACATCCTGTCTGAAAACGTAGTCACAGCTGACAGGGAGACAGGAACTTTGTGTACACGGCTATGCTTGGAACTTCCCAAATCACATACACCCTGTTGGCCGCCTCGTATTTTGCGTTCGCTGATGATAAGGCATCTACTGGACTCGCTCTGAAGAAGGCTGGGGGTGCATTCGGGTTTGTCTCGGGGCTGTTAGCCTGGTACACAGTCGCCCACCTGATGTGTCAGGATGCGCTCCTATTCTCGTTTCCCCTAGGGGATACAAGTCCCTTGTATGCGCGCCTGCGCCGGCAGAAGAGATGATGAAGTATCAACTTATGGGGAAATGATGTGATGTCAAGAGGTCTGGCGAGGAGAGGGAGAATGAGGGAGATTTTGGGTATCGGTGTTGATTCCGTAGTACGAGAGTGATTGTGAAATTTGATGAAAGCTATAGCACTGTGAAATGTATTGCTAGGCTGGTAACCTCCAGGGCTCTCATTCTCTATAAAAAGATATAAAAACAACTGATTTAATCTCATTTGTAATAGGATGGATTCGGCGGGTAAAAGGGATTCAATACAGGCCGAATTTGAATTCAACCATTTGACGAGGCGTAAATTAATTGATAAAACGAACTCCATTGGAGCGCTGGGATTGCATGCCGGAGATGCTCTAGATGCCGGACGGGATTAGAGTTAGGGTTGAAACGCCAACTGTGTAGAGAATAAACTGCAACTCTGAAGACCACCATGGTAAATAATCAGATTTCCCCAATGGTATATGTTTGAATGATTTTTGGTCTTAACTAGATATGATGATATGATAGGAGTACGTACAAATCATGATTAATTCAAGCTATGACGCGCTCCAACATAACAATATCGAGAAAGCCTTTGGGCTCCCCGACTGAGTTCATCATCAAAACTCGACCTGCTGCCAGTACGCACACCGATTTGTATTGGTTGAGTCCAGTTTCACATACACCCCGTCATCTCCTAGAGAAAGGAGATGGGCTTGTCCGTGATAGATGGGCACTTGAGGGTCTCCCTTGACATTTGGAGCCCCGGTCTTGACAAACTGTACGATCTGCCGCTGCATGAGTTGTGCGATTGTGGCATTCAGCGATGCGTCGGAACCCTGTCCATTGTAGAAGACAGACGTGCTGTCTGAGAGATGCATTGCGGGAGCCACAGCGTACTCAATCGCATACCCTGGTGTTTTGACGGCTCTATGTAAATACCGGGTGTTGCAGGTGGTGGAGACCTCGGACCAGAGTAGGTTCGCCCGTTCGTGCTGACTGCGATAAGGCGAGCTACCATTAAAGATGGGTGGGTAAAGCACCTTGGCGGCGTAGGCGCGTACGGTGTCATTGGTACTGCGGAGTAGCACATCCACGTATCGGTTGAATGTGACATCGTTCGTTACATTGGCCGGGGCCAGCATAAAGCCTTCATTGGCAGTGTACGAGGTAAAAATTCGCACTGAAGGATCGACCTTCCCCTCGAGCAGGAGTCGCTTGGGACTATCGGGCACAAAATCTCCATCAATGGCCTATCGTGGTAAAGGGAAGACATCTGGTCAGCATTGGGATAAACGAAGAACGGAGAATAAGTGTAGATAGCTCCTTATGGTACTCACAGGTCCTAATATTCCAGATGCATACGGACGGGATGCTACTAGCTCATAGTTAGCATCTAGCAAGGCCTGGGATGGCAGACGCCGGGCCTCCTCCAGGCTGCTGACATTCAACAAGCCCAGGAACGTATCCAATAGGTCGTCCTCGATGGCCGGTGTCTTCGTGCCTGCTTCCCAAGCCGGGCTTTGTGCAATGATCTGGGCGAACGGGGGCCGAATAGCGCGTCCATATGCCGTCAGTTGCATTGTGATGGATCCCCCACCGGCTGAGACGCCCATGACGGTGACGCGCGAGGGATCACCGCCGAACTTCGCAATATGCCGCTGCACCCATTCTAATGCCAGACGCTCATCGTATAGCCCAGCGTTAGGCACACCGCCCTCCGACCGAAATTTCTGGCCTGATAGCCATCCAAAAGCGCCCAGCTGATCAACACCATCCCCAGGTCAGCTGCTGAAAGAGAAGGCGAATTTGCACGAGAAAATATGGGGAGACCACGTACTCGATAATTGACTCCCACGTAGATTATACCAGAGGAGCCATCTGCCTTGCTGGTTGCGATCAAGCCGGAAGGATTCTGATCTGATTTGGACCCAGACACATAGGCTCCATCCTGGAAGTACACCAACACGGGCGCACCTGTATTGGGTTTTGCTTTTTCGAGTCCTCCTTTCGATATCACCTTTTCTGGGACATACACATCTAGAAATAGGCAATCTTCTGACTCCAATGGGTTCTGTTCTGCGATGGGCCGTGGGTTGGTACAGCTATCCTGCTGATATACCTGGTCATATGCAGCGGTGAAATTGAAATCAGACCCTGCAGTCACAGCGCTGACAAATTCACTCTGCACGTTGAACCAACATGCCTGTGACTGGGGGCATATGTTACCAAGCCCTTCACCATTAACGACCTCGTGGCTGCGATTGCGTGGTGCGACAGGTAACCCGAACCGTAACGGACCCAGTGGGGGCTCGGCATACCGGATATTCGAAAATTGGTAATAGTTACCAGTTGACTAGGTATATGGTTGACCTGACCATCAGAATGGATTTCTAAGCCTTTAATTTCTTTCATATGAGACTCACGTTGAAGCCAATAGCTTGGTGCCGCTGATAGCCTAGGTCCACAATCGGTAATTGGGCAGCCGCCACAACAGCCCCGGATGCGGCCAGTAGCAGATAGGCCCAGTCAAGGATTTGCATTGTGGATGAATAATTAAGTATAATGTACTCTAAACATTTGAAGATTTTTTGTATTGAATTATTTAGTAATTTCTTTTAGTCTGGTACAGTTATATATGTACAGCTTATGTCAATGCTACTATGCTCTAGGGCCTATGCATATCCCTCTAAATAGAAAAGAAATACTCCGTTGCAAGCATTAGAGATGACTAAAAGGATTGGCATATGAATTCCATTTTACCAAATAAGCTGTTCTTTTTAATGTTGTATAGCTAATCACATTCCATGGATGAAGAGCCTAGGAACCTTGGAAAAGATTAGAAATTCAAGAGCGGATCCATGGATGCATACGGACCCGCTTGATTACCTTCGGAGGCGGATTAGGTGAGGTACGGGAACTCCCGTTCGGAGTCTAAAAGGAGATCCGGAGTTGGTTAGTAAAATAGTAAACTGTGGTTGGTCAGATGGCAAAATGACAAAGACAAATGTCCTAAAGGAGTAATGCATTGTTACTAGAATCTCCTCTTACAGCACTGTTCGCATTTAAATAACCAGCCACGGTCGGGCAATATGGACAATACTTTCGTCAACTCCTCCAGCGGATATCTATATTTCCGTCTTCCATTTACACTTTATTACGACTCCATTGGGCAAGTGCCGACATACCTGATCGCTCCACAGCGGATTAAGTGCCGCTCGGTCCGCTTCCCACCATGAGTATAGACAATTCACCAAGTGAGAGCGTACTCGAAAGTCAAACGCCAGACCGCGTGGACGAATCAGTTCTCGTCAAAACTGGGGATCCCGAGAAAGATGCCGAAAACGATGCCGAAAAGGATGCCGTCCCAAGCCGGGACATCGTAGGCTTCCGCTGGTTCCTCGTCTGTGTCGCCGTTTTCTCTGCCAACCTACTCTATGGACTGGATAATACCATTGTGGCAGATATCCAAGGTCCCATTGCAGGCGACTTTGACGAGTACACGCGGTTAGGTTGGCTCGGAGTGGGTTTCACCTTGGGATCGGTAGTGTTTATTCTCCCGCTGGGCAAAGCTTATGCCATCTTCGATACAAAATGGCTCTTTCTCGGCTGTTTGACCATGTTTGCTGCCGGTAGTGCCCTCTGCGGTGGTGCTCCCAGTATGAATGCCATCATTGTCGGACGTGTGTGGGCAGGAGCCGGAGGAGCAGGCATGTATCTGGGGTAAGTTATATCATGACAGGCAAAGAACAAGAAAAAAAGAGAACTAACCAATATGGGTTAGAAATCTGAACCTAATCACCATCTTGACCACTCCCACGGAGCAGCCTGTGTACGTGGGCCTGGTTGGCTTAATCTACGGCACCGGTTGTATCCTGGGTCCCATCATTGGTGGAGCCTTTTCCGACAGTTCAGCCACATGGCGATGGGTACGTAGAATTCCCTTCTCGATTCTCTGGCGGAGTGTGCTAACCGCAGTGGACAGTCATTTTATCTCAATCTGGTCATCTTCGGAGCCATGATGCCCATCTATATTTTCCTCCTGCCGTCCCTGCCACGCCCTGCGGGTAAAGGCCGCAGCTTCATTAAGAAGCTTTTGGGGCTGGACTGGGTGGGCACAGTCCTGTCCGCAGGTATGCATATCTCCTTTATCTTGTTCATCGTATTTGGCGGTGTCGAATGGGCCTGGACAGATGGGCGCAATATCGCGCTGTATGTGGTCGCCGCTGTCTGCACCATTGCCTTCGTGCTCAGCCAGTACTTCTGTGTGGGAACAGACAAAGAAAACCGATTGTTCCCTGGCGAGTTCTTGAAGAACCCCACTATGATCCTCCTCTATATCATTATGGCTTGTGGCGGTGCCTCTCTCTTCGTGGCGGTTTACTATATCCCACTTTACTTCCAGTTTGTCCACGGCGACTCCGGCATCATGTCAGCGGTGCGGTTGCTGCCATTCGTCTGCTTCTATGTGGCTACGATCCTGCTGTGTGGATATGTTATGCCAAAGACAGGCTACTTTATCCTCTGGTACCTGGTGAGCGGCGTCTTTATGCTCATTGGAGCCGTGTTGATGTACACCGTGAAATTTGATACCGGCGCCGGCAACATCTACGGGTACTCCATCCTGTTGGGAATAGGCATGACCACCACACAGGCCGCCTACGCGGTGGGACCGACCATTGTGGCCCCTGACCGTGTGGCCGAGTGCCTCCAGTTCATGAACATTGGCCAAGGCCAGAGTCAGCTGCTGGGATTGGCCATCGCAAGTGCGATTTTCCAGACCAAGACACTCGACGGGCTCACTTCCTTGTTGGGGACCAAGGGATATTCGCAAGCGGAAATTCAAGGTGCCGTTGCTGGCGCCCAGAGTACCCTGATGGAGCGGCTTCCCCCGAATTTGAAGGACCAAGCCCTGAAGGTGATTGTGACTTCGATCAGTGATGTCTACGTTATGGCGATTGCGGCAGGGGCCCTCTACGTGGTCGCATCCTGCCTTCTGCCTCGCCGTCGATTCTAGAATAATTTCGGGAAGGGGGAGGAGCAATGGTGTTTAGTAATAGGTTTTTTTCTTCTTCTTGTCCTTTTTGAGCACGAGGTCAACCTCCGGGGGTGCCCTGCGCTCTTTTTCTTGTTTATAAATCGTAATATACCTAGTTGGAGGAATCAAAATACATACTATGAGGGGATAGAATGAAATATAACAACTGAAAGGCTTCTACGATTCGGATATGGCAAATTAAGCCCTATCCAGCTGAGAAGATTGATCATCTACATTTATACCAATTTACCAATATAGTAGTCTCCGGAACTCCGACTCCGCATTCCCAGCTGGTACTAGTAGAGAGACCAGAGAGATATATATATCCAGTCCTCCCCCACCATGGCCTCCCCTCTTTGCGTTGTAGAAACAAAGTCTTACTTCTCACAGCTATCTATCATCCAGCAACATACGCATCATGGCCTCCTCTATTCCCAGCACCTACAAGCAGGCAGTCTTCAAGGAAAAAGACGCCAGTCTGACTCTAGAAGAGGTTGAATTGATTCTGCCTAAACGCGATGAGATTCTGGTCAAAGTCGAAGCCTGTGGCGTGTGTCATTCAGACCACTTTGCGCAGGTTAATCTTATGGGAGGAGGATTGTTAGCTATTGAATCATGAAATATGTACAGTTCCGGCTAACTCCAGTACTTCTATAGTCCCCTCGTTCCCGGTCATGAGATTATCGGACGCGTGGCTGCCGTTGGGGAGGGCGAGACCCTCTGGAAGGAAGGAGATCGGATTGGAGGTGCATGGCATGGCGGGCACGATGGTATGTATACTATTCTTCTATAACCTGAAAAGAATCTAGTTCCTTGAGGAGAATAAATGCTGATATACTGAATAGGCACTTGCGGGGCATGCAAAAAGGGCTTCTTCCAGATGTGCGATAATGGACAAGTCAACGGCATTTCCCGAAATGGCGGCTGTATGTCTTTGCATTTTCTTTTGCTTCTTCATCTTCTCTCCTTGCCATTATTCCATCACTCCACTTAACCGAATGATATCTCAATACTAACCTCTCTTTTCCAATCCGGCTAGATGCCGAATACTGCATCATCCGCCGCGAAGCTGCCGTGCACATTCCCGACCATGTTAATGCAGCTAAATATGCGCCTATGCTCTGTGCTGGTGTCAGCGTCTTCAACTCGATGCGCCACATGAACATCCCGCCTGGTGAGGTTGTCGCTATCCAGGGTTTGGGCGGACTCGGCCATCTGGCGCTCCAGTATGCGAATAAATTTGGCTACCGTGTAGTGGCGCTCTCGCGGGACTCCCAGAAGGAGGAATTTGCCCGGAAGCTGGGAGCACATGAGTACATTGACACAAGTAAAGAAGACCCCGTTGCTGCATTGCAGAAGCTGGGTGGTGCTTCCCTGATTGTGTCTACGGCGCCTGGGCCGGAGATGATTAACCCACTGATTGAAGGGCTTGGTGTGATGGGGAAGTTGCTGATTCTGTCCAGTAAGATTTTTGGAGTTCTTTTAAGATGTTTTATTTCATACTAACAAACCTAGTTGTTGGTGGTATTGAAGTGCATACTGGCCTGTTGGTGAGTTGGACTTGCTTTTTGAGAATTAGAAAGAAACGAGAAACGAAAACAGAAGCGAAAACAGAAGAGATTATGGGGGAATTAAACAATGACGATACTAATCCTATTTTAGGTCGGAAAGGGCAAATCTATCTGGAGCTGGCCCAGCGGCCACGCCACCGATTCCGAGGACGCCATCGCGTTTGCGGACCTGCATGGCATCGATTGTATGATTCAAGAATTCCCATTGGAACAGTGCAACGAAGCATTCGGTATGAGATATTTTTCCTTTGATTATTGTTTTATTCTCTCTAACATGCCGTCCTACCTTCTACAGATGCCATGATGGAGGGAAGTGTGCGGTTCCGTGCCGTCATCACCATGCAGTAAGAGTTGGAGGACATAACTACTAGGGATTATTTCCATTATACTTGTCATGTTGGCAGTACCTGCGTAATACACAGTGCGAAAGGTGTCATAGATTGAGTATTTACTTCTACTTTTGCTATATTCCACGCCATACTTTTCATCTTCCTTCGTAGTCGGCTCTACATTTTCTGCATCTTAACAGTTGCCCGAAATGTCGCAGGCAATCTTCTCTGCCAGTGCGTCTAGTTACTTCGCGTTAGAGATTCCCTTTGAAGAAATATATCAGAAGAAGATAAAAAAGACTTACAGATTGTGGACTGGGGATGGCCTGGTGGTAGGAGGGGAAATGCTGATGCATCCACCACGCGCAGGGCGTCAACGCCGATGACCCGGGCTTTAGAATCCACCACTGCCTGGGGGTCCTTTGCCTGGCCCATCGCACATGTACAAGAGGCGTGGAAAATGGTATCGAAGCTCTTACGGACATGATCCAGAATTTCCTCATCTGTGGCGACCTGGGAGCCAGGGAAGTATTCAGGCCCGATGAGAATGGGCTTGATGGCTGTGGTATTGAAGAAGTCGCGGGTCCGCTTGAAGGCCGCCACCGCGAGTTCGACATCGACCGAATCGGTGAGCCAGTTAGGGTTGATCACCGGTGGCACCGCGGCGTCGGGCGATGTGATCGTGATATTTCCCCGTGAGCGCGGTGTACAGAGCGAGACCGCAAGCGAGGCGTAATTATATCCGTCGCTAGGATTGTCTCGGATATAGTTCTTTTGATAGCCGAAATATCCGCCCATGGTCAGGAACTCGACCTCTGGCCAGTCATCCGGGTATTCGGCAAGCACCTGAAGGGTGTGATTGGAGAAGGTGGATCGCATGGGTTCAGGGATTTTCTCCCACGCTAGGATATCCGACGTGGGATTGGCGTAGATGCCCGCCGCTCGCTCGTTGTAGTCGCGGTTGGCCTGTGCCTCGAACTCCTCATTTAGCAGGGCCGACTGCGTGATGACATTGACCCGATAAGAGGGGGCGTAGATGATATGATCCTGCATGCCTTGGCCCACGCCTGGCCGGTTCGCTACGAGGGGAATACCATGAGCTTTCAGTGTGGCCGCAGGACCCACGCCAGAAACCATGAGCAACTGGGGGGATTGGAAGGCTCCTGCTGAGAGTACAATCTCTTTGCGTGCGGAGAGCGTGTACGCATGCCCCATGGTCTCCACGTCGACTCCGACAGCCCGCTTGCCGTGGAAGCGGATGCGCTTTGCCAGTGCCGATTGGAAGACCGTGAGGTTTGGATCGGTGAGTCCCTGGCGCAGGAAAGACGTCTCGGACGACTCGCGATGCATGGTTGTGGCATTGATCGTGTAAAGGCCGTAGGCCTGGCCCAAAAGTGCTCCACTCTGGAACCCATTGCGTATCTGGAGGCCGATCTCCACCAAGGCATGTTGCGCCCACGTCGCAAAGGCCTGAGCATAGTGAGGATAGGTCACGGATAAGGGGCCGTCGCCGGTTCCTAGCACAGTTGGATCACTCGTGACACTGGCATTTGCACCGCGCAGCGCATCGTCTGCGGGAGTGTAATTAAGGCTCTTTTCGAAGAATGGCAGGAAGTGCTCCCAGGAATAGCTGGAATCCCCCACAATATCTGCCCACTGCTGGTACGCCGCCTTGGTGCCGCGTTGATATGCCATGTAATTGCGTGCTGAACTGCCCCCTAGACACTTTCCCCGTGCGTAGTGACTTGCCCGGTTGTAAGCACCCTAGATCAGATCTATCAGCCCTCCATATCAATTGCTCGGGGGAAGGCGTCCTACCGCTTGAGGCGTAGTGTGAAATCCCCAATCGATGCCTGGCTGCCAATCGTCGAGATCCGTGCCAACGTAGAAGGCATCCTGGGCAGGAATCTGGCTAAGATTGCCATTGTTCAGCTCATAGAAGCCTCCTGCTTCAACAACAGCAACTGAGCCGGCGCCCTGTTCGGCCAGCCGAGTTGCGATAGTTAAGCCAGCCGTGCCCCCGCCAATGACGACGTAATCGAACGTTTGGTTCTTGGGAATGCCAAAGGAGGAACCCAGCATACGCCGCGCATACGCATTGCGATGGGTTTGCGAGTTTGATGGCTCCTCCGGAGCCACAGCGCGGACTCCAGCAACTGCGATGGCCGCGTAGAGAACCTGCGATATCAATCTCATTGTCGAGTGTCCAATTGCCGTCACAGAAAGAAATTGGCTGCGTAATAGAGTCAAAAAGCGTCTGATTCTTGAACAGGCAAATCCACGATTTATCAGCGCGGCCGCCCTGCGCTAGGCCGTGCTCCATGCAGCTCATCCATCAGCTGTTTCTTCTGCCAAGGGTGAAGATCGTTGTGGGGAATCGTTGGAACAGCTCGCATTGTGCCTTAAGATCGGATGAAGTTGCCAAAAGGAGACGGGAGTTTCGGAGTCATACTGGACAAAAATCGAGAAGAATTACATAATCTCACGGCGATGGACAAGGTTCGTCCTGTGTGATGATTAATTGTGTCGAAAGATGCGTGCTGATCGTGGTAGAAGGGTCTTCGCGCTGATCGTAGTGGAAGAGCATAAGTATATGCAACCTGGCACCGGGTTTTATCAGAACTTGCAATCCCAATTCCAACCAGTATCAATTTTTCATCTCTTCAAAAATGAAACCATCTGTGTGGATCAGCTTCGCTGTGTCTCTGATCAGCCTGCGCCCAGTCGCTGCTCGGGATGATTTCCCCGGGAATTATCCTTCAAGCCCCCCACCGCTTGGCCCTACTGACTGGGAACGCACTCCGGTCTCGGTGTTCTCCAAAGTGCTTAACACGCAGCCGGATCCCGACTATAATCTCCTGAAGGAGTTGGTCACCTATGACTGCACCTACGTCTCGCTGACGTTCGACAATCCCACTCTCCATGGGATCATGCCCTGGTCGGGAACCCACTCCAACGTGGGTCCGCAGGCCTTCATCGACATCTTCACCCGAGTGGGCCTGTATTGGGATCGAGGCCCATTTTCCATTGAGTATATCTTTGGCGATGGCGGAAATGTGACCGCCTGGGGTTCTTTCACGGCGACCTCACGCACTTTGGGGAAGACAGTTATTTCGCCCTGGGCTGCACGGGCGGAGGTGAATTCGGACAACAAAATCTTCAATTTCCAATGGATGGAGGATACCTTTACCACCGCTTCATCCTTTGGGTCGGACAATAGCACCAAGGTGTTTTATTCCAATCCAGAGGGCGGTATCGCCAAGGCCTAATCGAGATCCAGCGCCATAGTGGAAGGATATACTAGTGGTCTTACAGGGAAGATGATCACCCGAAGGAGTTTCGGAGGAATTTTTCCTCTTTCGAAAGCAACCGAAGAGGGGTTGGTGTGAGAAGAATAAGCGCCTATAAATGAATCCCATGATTTTACAAGCGCACATGCAAAATTGCGTCCAGATTCCGTAAGCAATTCCGTACCTAGATATCATGTGCATCCATCGTCCCATTATAATTCCCTCTCCCCCCCCAGCTCCCCCGGGAGTGTGCCGTAATCCCTGCAAGTCTTAACAAGCACTTTTAACAAGCACCGTTGATTCGCGTTCGGGTATCCCGAGCCGGTATCTAATCGGGATGATCGGTAATCAGTCTGGTTGAGCGATTTACAGCAGTAGGAAGACTAGCAATCAGGTATTCGGAGATGCACCACATGATTGCCAGATATCTGTATTTGAAGGGGAAAATCCCATAACCAAGTGCTGGTTCACCAACAAAACCAGTTCTACAATTGCTTCCCCAACGACCGTCATGGCGAAAATCGATGTGCACCACCATTTCTATCCTCCGGCCATGCGTCAAGGTTGGTCCCATACGTATTAGAGTAAGAGCCCCATTGGCTAACCTCGCATAGCTATGGATCGCGCAGGAGGTGATCCCTCGGGCTGGTATACTCCCCCTGGACGCTGGAGCTAGATAAGGACATCGCACGAGAGATGAAGGTGACCACCACCATTCTCTCCGTCACTGCACCGGGGCCAGAGATTGAGCCTGATGCTGCTAAAGCTGTCGATCTGGCACGCAACTGCAATGAATATGCTGCCGCCATTCGGGACGCTCATCCGAAGCAGTATGGCTTCTTTGCCACAGTGCCCTCCCTATTTGATACGGCAGCCGCCTTGGAGGAAATTGAGTACGCCTGTACTACCCTTCGTGCGGACGGAGTGACTCTGTACACCCGCTACGGCGAAGGTCCTCATTATCTAGGGCATGCAGCTTTCCGGCCCATATGGGCCGATCTCAGCCGTCGCGGTGCAGTTGTCTTCGTCCACCCGACCCATCCAGTCAACACGGAGCTCGTCAATCAATGGCTCCCGCAGCCAATGTTTGACTATCCGCATGAGACTGGCCGGGCCGCCATGGATATACTAACCAGTGGTATTTTACAAGACTACCCGGGATGCAGGATCATCCTCTCCCACGGGGGCGGGACTTTGCCGTATCTTATCCATCGGGCGGCTACCATGCTCCCCTTAATGCCACGCACGCTCGGACCGTCAACTGAAGAGTTTTTGGAGGCTGCCCGAGCCTTCTACTTCGACACGGCCCTCGCATCAAACCCGGTCACGTTGAAGGCACTGTTCGAGTTTGCTGCACCTGGCCATATCCTCTTCGGTAGTGACTTCCCTAATGCCCCGCATGATGCGATCCTACGCTTTACGGAGTTTCTGGAGGCGTATGAACTGCCGGCCGAGACCAAGCGACAGGTAGATAGCGGGGCGGCATTGGAGTTGTTTCCACGGCTGAAGGAGATCCCAGATCAGGCGAGGCTCTGAAATTGGACATGATCGATGCGAGCTATGCATGCATAAGAGGCTATTGGGGGAGTATTGGATTCAAGGCTAGTGGGGCAATATTGTGATTGATCTAATAATTATTTATATAGCATAAGATGGATATAATAATAAAAGGGATTGGCTTGCAAATTATCTTCTCATCAAGGAACCCATCAGTATCTAATCTGTCGGTGAATATTGAATTGTAAATTTATTTAGCCTCACTTAGGGCAACTATAGCTTTCACCAACTTTCTCAACCACCTTGGCCATGCTCTAATTTGCATCCAAATCATCCAAATATTGTTTTTCCTCCTGAATGACGTATTTATTCTTCCTAAGTTCTTTATCTGTCATAAATATTTGCTACCAGGTGACGATAAAATCCACCCTCCAGATAGATGGCCCCCATTCTCATAGGTCTACTTGTTCATTCCATCAGATTACATCAGAGGGATGCAGTTGTTTGTGGATTATTAAAAGCCCTCTTTAGGATATCCTATCTTTTCCCTTTAATGATCGACTCTAGAACTTACTGTGGTATATTCGAGTCAACCCTACAGAAAGAGGAGTGTCTTTCTCCATGGGGAATCTTGACCGGGGGCCAGTACTCCTTTGGGTAACTGGGTTTCTTTGTTGAATGCAACCAATGCAACCAATCCAATAAACCACCAGGGCATCGACCCCTCGTTTTATCGATCTATAAGTCAGCCTACCCCACTATTATCTCGATCGTGAAGAAATTCAAGCCTTGTACAATTCAGCCTCGATAGATCCCACGAACTATGGAACCACTATTGCTGCTACTCTTGGTCTTATTACCAACCATTGTGCTGGTACGATATGCCTTCACTTACGGCCATAGAATCAGCTCAATGCCCATTGGTAAGTATTCGTGTTGAAAATTGACTGAGAGTGGAGGTGCTCATCTGGCGTAGGTCCACCTACCCTACCCTTTATCGGAAACATCCACCAAATCACCAATAAGTACACCCATATCAAGTATGTTCGATAACCTCCCCCTTTCCCTTTAAATCAGTAATGAAATTCTCACCGCCAATTTCTTGCGGATTTCAGGTTCACCGAATGGGCCGCCAAGTATGGCGGGTTATACATGCTCAAGATCGGAAATGGCAATATGGCCGTGATCACCGATCGCCGACTAGTCAAAGAAGTTATCGATCGCAAGAGTGGCATCTACAGCCATCGACCCCATTCCTTTGTGTCGCACGATCTCATCACTAAGGGCAATCACCTACTAGTCATGCATTATGGCGATCAGTGGCGCACCTTCAGGCGACTTGTGCACCAACACCTGATGGAGACTATGGTGGAAAGCCAACATACCGAGATAGTCAACGCCGAGGCGATACAGCTGGTGCGAGACTATATGGTCGACCCGGAGCACCATATGGCCCACCCCAAGCGGTACAGTAACAGCATCACTAACTCGATCGGTGAGTCTCCCATATATTCACTACTAGAAACCAGCTAAACCCACATCACAGTGTTTGGAATACGCACCGCCACCCGGGAGGGATCCAACATGGCTCGACTTTACAAACTTATGGAGGAATGGTCGGAAGTGATGGAAACTGGCGCAACACCACCAGTAGACCTTTTCCCCTGGTTGAAAGTGCTGCCACAGTGGATGTTTAACAACTATGTCTCCCGGGCAAAGGCTATCGGCGTGCAGATGGAGACTCTATACGTTGACATCCTGAAAAAGGTGATTCAGCGGCGGGATGATGGCCACAACAACGGAACCTTCATGGACAAGGTCCTCGATGGCCAAGAGAAACATAATCTCCCCTGGCACCAGCTGGCCTTTATTGGCGGTGTTCTAATGGAAGGTGGCTCAGACACTAGCTCCAGTCTTACACTGGCTATTGTGCAAGCGTTGATCCAAAACCCCGAAGTTCAACGAAAGGCGCATGCTGAGATTGATGCCGTAGTCGGCCACGGTCGATCACCTGTCTGGGAGGACTTTGAGCGACTTCCTTATATCAACATGATCGTCAAGGAAGGTCACCGGTGGAGACCGATCCTTCCGCTCTGTTTCCCCCATGCACTGGGAGAGGGTAAGCACATTTATTTCTTCCTTTCTGTTTCTGTTTGCTTCTGTTCTTCCATCCAATTTATAATTGTCTTCTAACCCTCCTTGCAGATGACTGGGTCGACGGCAAATTCCTCCCCAAGGGCACAATAGTCGTGATCAACACTTGGGGAATGCACATGGATCCATCTCAACCTGATGATCCAGCTGCTTTCATCCCCGAGCGCTTTGCCGAACATCCTAAATTGTCCCCTGACTATGTGCCGGGGACATGGGAGCGTCGCGACCACTACGGCTACGGCGTTGGCCGCCGGATCTGTCCCGGAATCCACCTGGCCGAGCGCAACATGTTCCTGGCCATTGCCAAATTGTTGTGGGCGTTTGAATTCCAGCCGGGAGAGGGCCCCATGGATAGTGACCCGGTGACTGGCTACCATCACGGCTTCCTTTACTGTGCCAAAGATTACCCTTGTCGACCTGTACTACGCAATGAGACCATCCGGAAGACTATTGAGAGAGAATATGCCACTGTGACTGCGGATGTGTTCTCCCGATTTACAGAGGGATAGTTGACACATAGTCAGGAGGGTCGCATTGAAATTATGGATGGAGCTGTGGTGAAAGAAGAGAATGATTGGGTGCTTGCTTTTCTTGTTTCTTCTTTTGTTCAAGAGCTCTCTCTGCTCAATAATCGGGGTTACTATAGCTTTCGGGGCTGAATTCTAGTCTTTCCTTATTTCAACATCAATAACATAGTGTTCTCTGGGTTTTCAGTAACGTTGGTTCATTTGTACTTGATTTATCGGGGCAGATCTTGAATTCCTATCCCTGTTATCGTCCATCCATCTGGGATCCGCAATTGGAAGGGAGGGCAAGGGCAAGGATTCTTCCCCGTGAATCTGTACCAAAAGGCTCAGCCTCCGACTCTCCAGAATGTGTTTTCTGATATGGGCAAATGTAGCCAGTGCCGATATACAAGCTAGATAGACCAGGGAAATGCTCGTTTCGATGCCGATTTGTCAAATTTCCTTTGCTTTCGGTCTTCTTCCTTGGTCCCATCGGTAATAGAAATCTGGCCTTAGCCACCAGACAACAAAATAGGAAACCCCATAAACTGCACCCATGAACCCTGAAACAATAAGATGCACCCCCCAAATCATCATTATTATCACCATTATCAACCAGCCTACGCTCATAAGCCAGTAGATGAGACAAAACCAATTCCTTTTCTTCCCCCAGAAAAACAGGACTAAATTGAGGAGAGTGAACAAATAGAATGGTATAAACAAGCATATCCCAATCACAGGGCCAATTATGGCTGAAAAGGTGGAATAACTGTGGCGATAGCCGTTAGCGATCCGGCTACTCAGGCTCTTCAAAATCATAGCAACTGACCCGACAGTGAAAAAAGCAAACAGAAGACGCCACCAAGTTCTTCCACGTGCAAACGTTTCTCGAATCATGCTTCCAATGAGAAGGGGTACAAGGATTGTGCCAACCATAAGCGGAATCGCAATCTCGAAGAAGGTTTCCAATTCCCATGCTTTGTTGGCTCCAGAGTCCACAATCTTGGAATAGAACTTCGTTATATTTTCCGGATTGGTTGGATCAATCCAGGTGGAATTGCGCCAAGAGCCTTGAGGTTCCGGGAATTGGTTGAGATTCATACCTAGAAAGCTCTAGAATTAAATCTATTAGAAATAGATCCAAAAGAGTTGCGTCAAGAACTCACAGTCACAAACGCAAGTGGCAAGTATAGTCCGGCGAGAATCCCTAAGATGCTTGTTCGACGTATTTGGACCAAATCCAATTGCTCACGAATGTCTCGACATACACCGGGTATTCTTTGCATCGAAGAGTTAATTTCATCATGAAGGTAGTCTAAATCATTAATCACCATTTCAAGCTCATTCACTAGCCGTATCTCATCTTCGATGCGTGGCCCCTGAATCAAGTTGACTTGGTCGAGTAGCACCTGAATGACACATCGGTTTGTTTGACAGCAATCTTTGGCGGCGCGATGGCAGTCTTCTAGGTGCCGAAGATACTGCATTTTGCTTCCAGAGGGACGAATTCGGGCTTCGTATGTCTAATCAAATCAATTCAAGCACGAGCGTTGTTGTCACGGACGGCAGCGCTCACCATATAATTGATATCGTCGCATGCTTTGGTCAGGAAAGTGACAAGCTCACCGGTGATCTTAGTACATACAAACCGGAAGAGCTGCATAATATACAAAAGGCCGCAAACGTCATGCTGAAAGACTTGCGTGGCGAGAAAGTCGCGTCGGAACTCCGCTAGGATGTTGTGAGAGTTCACAACCACAATCGCCCGCCGAATCTGCTCGTATTCCATGGATGTTAATATAACATCCAAACTATTTACCTGAGGATGTTTTCCATATGGCCTAAACACGTAAACTGAAAGATCTGTCGCATAGTACGGAGCATTAATCCACTTGAACGCGAACTTTAGTGGCACCTGGACGTAGCCTTCTACTTGCCCTTTGTTACCTAGCACGGCTAGTCAGTTCAGGTATGAAATATCCCATGGAGCTAGGTACTGTACGATGAGATGGCAACTTTGGTTGCCATGCCGGGAGAGAAAGCTCCTTCGCACATGCGCTTTCCACAATTTCGGTCATTGTTTCATCACTTAATCCCCACTGTCTTTGGAGAATTCGGATGATCATTTGACTTGGCACGGAATAGGCGTGTTGAACGCGATGATGGCTGATAAGGAAGATTCTGTGAATGAAGGAAAACACATGGCCAAGCTTCGTGGTGTCGGGGGTAATGATGCAGATTTCCAACGCAGTCGCCTCATTTGTCTCCATAGAAGAGCATAACCGCTCGAAGCATGTGGACCAAGTATCATCTTTTTCAAATACAAGCTCTGACTCGGTCGCGGTATACATGAAAGTTTGTTCAGCGAGGCCGAGGTTGGATCGTCGGGCGATTTTACGGTAGTTCTTTTTCAGGGACTCGTCTCCGGAGATCGTCTCAAATATATCAGATTTTGAATCTTGTCGGAACTTCGCGTTTTTAGTTTGTTATTACCGGTCCGAAGCAGCTATTTGAGGGGTAGCTCTCACAACTCTGTCATACCCTGCTAGTTGTCTAGCAAGTTTTGGGCTCCTTTGCTGAAAGAACCGTCTTCTACCATCACGGACAGTTTGGTTTGGGGTAGACATGTCTTCCAAGTCAATGTTCGTTGTATTTGAACGAGGCAAGTCGATAGGCGTGCGTGCGAAAAGCGCTGCCATGGTAGCCAAACCCTCACTAGCGTCAAGAAACTGGGGGAAACACTAGGATTAACACCTCGTGGTGAAAATATATGTTTCGTATGTTCTACCAACCTGATCGAGTTGGACTTGAGGCAGAATCGAAGGGTGAATTAAGTGTCACTAAGTGTGTCAGTTATTGTCGCTGATTGTACTCCGTAAGCGCTAGTTAGCTAGTGCCAGGAGCCTCAGTCTCCGCAAAGATATATTGTGGCGCAGCAAGCGCGTATATTCCAAGCTAATATACCTACAGCCACAGCCCATTGGATTTCCCCTCCCGAGTTTTGCCTTGTTGAGTTTGCACAATACGCCCTTCGTACTCCACATACAGCGCCAGCCTACATAGGTAGAATAGCCTAATAATACCCGCATAAGCCCCATGGTTCATCCCGATTTTTCAATATCGCTACAATTTCTAGATATACATTAGCCTCCGCTTGGGTATACTCCCTACCAGGACAAGGGACTGCAATGAGACCCTAAATTCTGGAGGGACTCAATAACCGAGTTCGGGATTGTGACAGGAAGAGTGACAGCCACGCTGCACATGGGTCTAGTCCGGGGTGTTCGTGGTTCAGAGACATCAGAATGATATGATAACGCTAAGGCAACTCAACTCAGACTTCAGAAGGGAAAGGAAGAACACAAGATGACTTGCAGTTCCGTAGAAGACATTGTTACATTGTTGAAGAAAGAGGGAGAGCGAGGGGAGAGGCTAGCATTGAGGGCTATCTATATAGGAGCAACGAAGGATCACACCTCAACATACTAGATTTCAAGCAAGATGAACATCTAGAGATATATTAATTCATCTTTGTTACTCTTATGTTATTTGTATCCCTCCTTTTTTCTATCATTATCCATCATATTGATGAGGGAAGAAGATCATTAAGTAGGAGGTACTTCTCAGTGTCCACTATATAGGAACTATGGTACATTGGCTTCAATGTTGTCACTTAAATACAAAAATTATTAGACTGACACTTCATTTGAAATGCCGTCAAACTCCAGCCCGTCTTCTTGATCAGTGCGTTTGATCGTCATTAGATGCTCCCAATGCTCGGGATACTTCTCACTTGCCCATTTCTCTACCTCATCTTTCCAGTATTGATACGGGATAGCGTTGTAGAACAACCCGATCCTAGTGCCTATATTAGCGATCGTAACACAAAGCGGGAAGAAATATACTCACGTATTGCTTGTCGGAGGGATCCCAATCTCAGCTTCCATGTTGTTGATAGCCTCAACGGCCAGATCAAACTCGCATTGCGCTGCCAAGGCCTCCATATAGGCCGAATAAAGCGGGCGATTCGCAGTGATCTCCAGCTTCTTGACCTTACCCATCATCTTTATAGCCTCCTGGGCACCATTGTGATGCTTCTCACAGACCTTGAAGAAAATTGTGATAGTCTTGTGACAGGGGCCTTCGTCCGACTGTAGAATCTGTCGGAAAATCTCCATGCTCTTTTCTGGCATCTCGCACGCGGCATACGCCATCATCAGACCATTTAGGATTCTGGTGTTGAGATCCACTTCAAGATCCAGCTTCAGCATGTTGTGAACAAGGTCCAGATTGGTTGCATCTGCTGTGCGAGCCAGGCCCTGGAAACAGCGCGCATAAGTGTCTTGCCTAGGGCGTCGACCGGGTTCGTCGGCTTGACGCATATGTCCAAATACCAGCACAGCAAGATCACTGCGCTTCCGGTTGAAAAAGGAGGTCATGATTTTGGTGCGGACTGAGACCCACGTTTCTGGGAATGCGATCTTTAGAAGCTCGTATGCATTCCACACGTCTGTATCGGACTGGCTTTTGTCCATAATGTACTCTGCGAGCGCATCGCGCACCGGCATCTTCTGGTCGTCGCTGTAGCTACCTAATCGTGGACGTAGCAACTCTGAAACAGCGTCAAGATCGTGGCGGTAAAGAAGCATGTGTGTCAATGCGGCAATGGTCGTAGATTCTAGGCGCACGTTCTCTTGGAAAAGCGGGTCTAGGAGGGAGGAGATTTGGTCGAACAAGGCGTCCTTTTCCTCGGATCGACAGAGCATCGCGACAAGTTTGTTTGCAATTGGTAAGTTATGACTCGTGAGGGAAGTCGCATCAACCTTCTCTTCAAGGAGCTTCAAAGTCTCATCGACATCGCCGGCCTGGATGCAGGACTCCAATTGCAAGATATGAGTTTGGCTATTTGGGGTAAGACCCCACTGGCCTGCCAGTGCCATGAAATCAGAAACCAACTGCGGATTCTGCATCGCGTTTGCGTACTGAATAAGGGTATTAACAATGTCAATGTTGATTGAGTCTTGGAGGTGAGAATTCTTAGCAGTCCAAGCATCGACCTTTTGCGCTAGAGCAGAAGCATTGCTGCCCTTTGCTGCTTCCCAGAGCAAGATGATGCCAGCGGTGTCTTCGTTGGGCTCATCGGGGATGGACTTGAAGATTTCCTCCGCCAACTCTGCCCGGGAATTCAAGAGGTAATATTTAATAAGAGCCTCTCTCGCAGCCATGGAAGGTTCTGAGCCACCGGCAATTGGAGATTCGTAGACAGTTTGGGCCGCTTTGCACTGACCGTGATCGACGAGAAATCTAACTAGCTCTCCATGAGACGCTTGGTCAAACTTATTGCCATGATTTCCCCATTCATCAACAATCTTCCGCACCTGTCGCAGATCATCCTTCATGGCAAATCCTTTCACAATTGTGAGCCAAGGGGACGGAACAAGCTTGCTCATTTGACCCCAAAACTTCAATAAGGTATGTCTAGCATCCTCAGGATTGCCATTCATGGCCAAGATATTGATATACAGAGCAAGGGCTGGCCGGCTGATCTTACCCGGACCAAATCCGTGATCGAGATTCAGTTCTTGATATGCGTATCGGGCAAGGTTCATGACAACCTCGCGAGCCTGTGGGGCACATCCAGACTCGGAGAGTACATCCAACACTTTTTCGAGGTTCTCAGTCGAGAAAACATTCTGCCAGTCTTCTTCTTCCATCTCGTCCTGCTGGGCCCTGAGGTGTTTGAAGGTGACGATCAGCGCACGGGCTTGGAAATGACTGATAAGCATCGGTGTTTCAAGCCGCATTGTGAAAAATGTTTGGAATGCCTTTGCGAGGATATCACTTGGAGGAGCTCTGCTTCTATCTTTGAGTGCCCTCATCAGATCAGCCATTGGTTTCAGGCCTTTTTCAGAGGGCAAAGTAGACTGTGACCGCTCGGGGTCTGAGCTGAAGACAAAGATGTTGCGTCTAGATACATAAGGAAGGCCGTAAATAGCAGGTCGTACACGGGCAGGGGTGATTGTGTGCAATAGGCGATTTCGATAGCATTGGGAGAACCGAAGTGGTTCATTGTTGATAATTGCTCGGAAGACCCGTCTCGTGAGATGGGACTGCATTATGGATCATGTAGGCTGAGCTTGAATGGCTCAGACAAAGCAAGAGGGATTGGATAAAAATGTGTAGTCCTAGGTTGACTCGCAATCGGCATGGAATCGTGAAAAACGGGGGTTCGCGACGCGGAGAGACCTGGAGGCGGAAGAAGTCTTGGCGAAAAAAGATCTCATCTCCGCGTTGCCCGGTCTCCCTATCACCGTCTTCAACATCTACAATTAATCAGGGATTGAAAGATCAATATGTCTTTGAACCTCTTTTCCTCGTCGCCATTGCTGCGCAATGCCGCGACCACAGCCAATGTTGGCCTGTCGCTATGTCGCTGGAGCTCGACTGCTGCCATGAGCGCCTTCACTTCCCAGCGCGGCACAAGCTCACAGAGTATGTGATGAACCCGATACACCGAGATGATTCATCTGCTGTTTTATTCTATGATATGAGCACATGCTTGCTTGAATGATTGGCGACTAATGTGTTGCGATAGCCTCCCAAGTGGTCCAACGACGCCGTTTACCAAGTCGCCTCAAATTCCTCGAAGATCAGAAGGCGCAAGGCGAGAGCCGAGCCCTTGAGAAATACCAGACTCGTGACTTCAAGGCTGGAGACATCTACGCCCCTCACGATCTTAGCCCGGCCGAGATGAAGAAATGGGGCAAGCGCCAGAACCCGCAAAAAGATGCTTTCGATGCATTGAACCTGAATCCTATGGATTTGTACAAGGTATGAAGTCATCGGGCTACTGGAGCCATTGATTTTATGGAATATATACCATGATGAATAGCCACTGATGGTTGGCTCTTTTATTATTACAGAATTTCTCCGTCATGTCCGAATATATGACCAGCATGGGCCGCATCAAGCCCCGAGCCATCACCGGTCTTCGACCTGTCAACCAGCGCAAAGTTGCTAAGGCACTCCGGAGAGCCATCGGCATGGGTCTCATGCCCAGTGTCCACCGACACCCCGAAATTCTTGCATCTGAGATGCGGGCACGTATGGAGGGACCTGGAGGTTTCTAAGCCGAAAATAACTTTGGAGTCATTGTTTTTGGGATCTTAACATATTTTGGGAGATTTCCTTGTACAAGTACAGGCCGGTGCCTGGTGGAAGGGGCACGACTTAGTGTATTATTACTCTTAGCGCTATGCATTGATTTTATTGAGAGCTAAACTTCCAACTTCCTTTGTGCTAGAATATTTGAAGCTAGCAAGTGTATTTTATATGTCTTGACGCTGATATTTCTCTTTCCTGCACGTCGTCGATGCTTGTTTTATGTAGACAAGACGTGTGGCTTAATTCCCCGCTATTGTGGCCCGGGTACGTCAGTCGATAAACAGTCCACGGGTGGACTGCCCAGGTAGACTTCCCCTTGCTTTCTCCCAACTCCTCTGCTTGAGTGTGTACATCTTAGCAATGTCACTTACGAATGGTGAGAACCTGACAATTTTATATTATCTTTCATTATCCTGACATATTCAAAGAGTCTATTTGGGCTGCTAGCCCCTCCACCACCCGCGGCCAGCCCACCCAGCTTTCTTCTGATGCCAAAGGCGAGCGATTAGCCTATGCAGTATGTGACTCTAAGACTCTCTACAAAATCACTGCCTTGTTCTGACACAAGCAACTATAGTCCAACAAATCCATCTTCCTGCGTTCAATCGACGACCCCGCGGTCGCTAGGCAGTACACCGAACACAAGGCACAGACAACTGTTGCACGCTTTTCGCCCTCTGGTTTCTATGTTGCAAGTGGCGATGCTGCTGGAATCGTAAGAGTATGGGACTGTGTCGGCGAAGGAATCACCAAGGGTGAATATAGCATTGTGAATGGTCGAATCAATGATTTGGCCTGGGACGGTGACTCCCAGCGCATTATTGCCGTCGGCGATGGCAAGCAGCGATATGGACACTGTATCACCTGGGATAGTGGAAATACCGTTGGCGAGATCCATGGCCATACGCAACAGCTCAACACCGTGTCAATTAGGCAGCAGCGGCCTCTGCGTGCCGCCACGGCTGGTGACGATAGGAAGACAGTCTTCTACCACGGAGCGCCGTTCAAATTCAATAACGGAATCGCGGACAAGCACTCAAACTATATCTACGGAGTTGGCTTCAGCCCGGATGGTTCGCACTTGGTCAGTGTTGGCGCGGACCGGAAGATCTGGCTCTACGACGGCAAGACAGGCGAGACCAAGGGTCAGATCGGCGAAGGAGAACACAAAGGTAGTATCTTTGGTGTGTCCTGGGCTAAAGACTCGCGAAAGTTCGTAACTGCAAGCGCAGACCGGACCGTCAAGATCTGGGATGTCGAAGCTGGCAAAGCAACACAGACCTGGACCTTAGGAGAGGAGGGTGCTATGGCTGTTCGCGACCACCAAGTTGGAGTGGTGTGGCCCCCAGGAAGAAGTGACAACCTGCTCATTAGTTTGTCTCTCAGCGGAGACTTGAACTACTTGGTCGAGGGAACCCCTGAGCCCCGGCAGGTTGTCTCGGGCCACCAGAAGAGCATCACGTCTTTGACACAGACAACTGCGGATAACAAGGAAACTTTGTGGACCGGCAGCTTTGACGGAAGAGTTTGCAACTGGGATGTAGCTTCAGGTAAGGCCGAGGAGATTGAAGGAGAAGCCCACCCCGGTTACGTCGCCGGGCTTGCGACTACATCAGAGGGAAGCGGTAGAATTTATAGTGTCGGCTGGGACGACACCCTCCGTTCTGTCGACGTCGCTGCTAAAACATACACTGGCAGTGCTTCAAAGCTGAATGGACAACCGAAGGACATTGCGGCTGGCGACTCGACCGTGCTTGTTGGCGAAGCTGAAACCATTGAGATATTCCAGGATGGCAAGAAGACGGGAGAATATAAAACAGACTTTGTGGCTACAACTGTAGCTGCGCATGGTTCTCAGGCAGCTGTTGGGGGTGAAAATGGATCTGTTCAGATCTGTGCCATCTCCAGCTCCCGACTCTCTCCCCGGGCAGACATCAATGCCTCTCGCAACCCAATCTCTGCTCTTGCGTTCTCCCCAGATGCCTCCCACCTGGCGGTGGGTGACTTGCGGGGACGTGTTCTTGTTTTTAAAGTTGCCGATGGCAGTCTGGTGACGGACCGCTGGACGGCGCATACTGCACGAATCACATCACTGGCCTGGAACGAGGCTGGCTCACACGTTGTGAGTGGATCGCTGGATACGAACATCTTTGTTTGGAGCTTGGCCAAGCCAGGTGACTGGCTTGAGTTGCAAAATGCTCACAAGGAGGGCGTCCATGGTGTTGGATGGGTTGCAGGAGGCTCTAAGATCATCTCAGCTGGTGCTGATGCAGCGGTGAAAGTGTGGAAAGTGGATGGCTTGAAATAGTTGTGAGGTAGCTGGGATTGCAATATGCTACAGAATTATAAAGATCGAGATATTTTCTGTCACCCTGATACATTCGAAATGTGTATCAAATCTATTAATATCAATATCAAGTAGACAAAGTAAGAAAGCAAAACAAAGAGGTGCGTGGCAATGACAATTCGGAAGTGGCCGTAATTCTCTTCCAATCGTAGCGCCAACAAATTAACTTGCATAGCTCTCTGCACTTCCGCACAACCCTTTGACGTCTAAATAAAGCCTGCAGCCAAGGGCGAGTCATCGAATTTGTGCCATGGGGCTTGTACAATGTCCTGAGTTCGCGAGAAGTACGTGAAACCTGAAAGATGCCGACTGCAACTCCAAGCAGCTCCCGCCGCTCGCGCCCAACGGTATGTACTCGCGTTTTCTGACTTGAGAGATACTGACCGTCGGTGAAGCTCCGCCATGCTACGTTTGTTCTCCCAAAAACAGGACAGCGCCTGAAAGGCCTCGTCAACCTCCGAAACTCCACGCCCGTCTCCGACGACACTGATGAAAGACGCGGGCTTCTCACAAACGAGATCCAACATTACGAGGGGTACTTCGAAGCGCTCACGCGCCATATACATGATAGATGGATGCGTACAATTCAGTTCATTAGGTCGGAACCGGGCATTGGAGTCTTGAAGTACAGTCTTGCGTATTTGGTCGGATCTCTTGCAACTTTTATCCCCGCAGTCTCAGCCTTGCTGGGAAATCAGGATGGGAAACACATGGTGGCTACGGTCACGGTCTACTTTCACCCTGCCAGATCTAAGGGTGGGATGTTCAAGGCCTTGATCTGCGCGTTCCTGGCGTTCTGCTATTCTGCCTTCTTGACTATTACCAGCATGTTCGTGGAGATGTTTTTCCAGGACACATTGGAATCACCTGCCCTTGGCCATGCTGTAGTTCTGATAGTATTTTGTGGCGGTGGGCTTGGCTTCGTCGGTTGGACCAAGCAACGACTGGGAGATCCTCTAGTGAACGTTGCCTGTTCACTCACTGCTCTGTCAACAATCACTGTCTTAACTAAGGAAGGTGCTGTGCAAAGCGGCGACTTGTCTCTTGTCAAGATCTTCCAAGTCTTGAAGATGGTCCTGATGGGGGTGGTGGCCGTCATGCTTGTATCTTTTTTCGTCTTCCCCATATCAGCGCGCAAAAAGCTGCGCTCGAACCTTGCCACAGTCACTGATACAATGGCTATTATGATGGCACTTATCACGGAAAGCTTCTTGAGCGGAACCGAGGATGTGCTTGTCTCGGGTGAATTCGTTGATGCAGAGGCGAGGCACCGCAAGGCCTATAGCCAGCTCGACAAGCTCGTCCGAGAAGCTAAACTTGAGCACTATGTAGCAGGCACCGAGAAAGAGTACAGGCTCGAAAAGAACCTTGTACGCTGGGTGCAAGATATTACCCATAACATGGGAGGCCTGCGTAATGCAGCTGCTCTCCAGTTCAGCTTGATTCGTGAAACTATTGCCCGTGAGTCTAGCTATTTGGAAGATCAACGGGGTAGCTCGACCCATGTGGACTATTTCACGCCCCTTGAGCGATCCTGGTCATTCCCGGATGGGTCCGTTCTGGAGCCTATCGTTGAGCGACCAGAGGAAGAACTATCTCCAGGCGGCTCTATACGTTCCCCCAAACTTGGAAGTGGTCAATCAACCCCCAGACCCGCACTTCTACCGGCAGATGTCTTCACTATCTTCATTTCCCATTTAGGTCCGTCAATGGTACGTTGAAGCTCAAGTTATTCAATACAATTCAAGGCTGACTGGAAATAGCGATCGTTGGCTTTTGCATTGAAGGAAATCTTCAAGGAAATTCCATTTGGGCCTGCACCGAACTACAAAGTCTCAGTGGATGGCCGACTACGAATAAGTCTTGACCGGGCGCTTGATCTTTACAAGGACTCGCGCAAGAAGACACTTGCATCCTTGTATCAACAAAAGGAAACCATGAAATTGAAAACCCGCGAAGCTGAAGCGGATCTCGAGGAAGTCTCAGCCAGCTGTAGTCATTTCAGCTTTTCCCTCCTCGAATTTGGAGACCAGCTCAAAGAGATGCTTTCCATTTTAGATGAGCTGCAGTTGGAAGTCGAAGAGCGGCCTAGTGGGCGAACCTGGTCATGGCTCAAAGTCTGGCAGTGGTCGAGGACTACAGAGACCGCTAAAATAGCCTCCTTTGATGCTGGTACGTATACATCCACATCCCAATCGTTGAGACCGGATATTATGTTAATGCTCTACAGATGCAGCTTCCAGACCTTTGAATCCGCTCGCTAGTGAGCAAGATCTCCATAGGCATGCTAGACATGCATCAGATGGCTTGATCGCACATGATAGGCTGCTTGTCAATATTCACACACAAAAAGGCCCTTCAGCAAAGGAAACAACAAAGCAAAGACTTGGCTACCGTTTATGGAAATGGCTTGGGTTCTTCCGACGAGATGATACGAAATACGCGATCAAGGTTGGGGCAGGAGCTGCAATATATGCTCTACCTGCTTTCCTTCCTTCAACTCGCCCGTTTTACGGACATTGGCGAGGAGAATGGGGTCTGTTGTCCTACATGCTGGTTTGTTCAATGACTATTGGGGCCTCGAACACGACAGGATATGCCCGATTTCTCGGTACTTGTTTGGGGGCAGTCGCTGCTATCGTCGCATGGAACATTACCGCTGGAAATGTATATGCTCTTGCATTCTTGGGATGGATAATGGCTGTCTGGACTGGATATATAACCATTGTTCGTGGAAATGGGCCTATGGGCCGGTTTATCATGCTCACTTACAACCTCTCCGTACTATACGGCTATTCCCTCTCTCAAAAGGCGGCAAATCTCGATGAAGACGAAGGCGGCTCTAATCCAATCATGACCGAGATTGCACTTCATCGAGTTGTTGCTGTGTTGTCTGGATGCATTTGGGGAGTCATCATCACTCGGGTGGTTTGGCCTGTCAGCGCAAGAAGTAGACTCAAGGAGAGTCTGAGTCTTCTCTGGCTGCATCTGAGCCTTGTCTGGAAGCGTGACCCCCTATCTATTATGGCCAAAGATACAAGGTCTATTTTATACATGACACCCCGAGAGAAGCTTGAGATTGAAAGATTTTTATCTCGGTTGGAGTCTCTTCAGGCTGCGGCAGGCTCCGAATTTGAATTGAAGAGTGCATTCCCTGAAGCCTCTTATGCCAACATTGTTCGCCGTACACGCAACATGGTGAATTCTTTCCATACTATGAACATCGAGCTGATGAAGAATGATGTGGCCACTGAAGGTGAAATCAACCTTCTGCAATACACCAAATTGGAACGGCAACAGCTATCGGCTCGTGTGAGCCATCTATTAACAGGTTAGTTCTCTTTCAAATACCGTGCACTTGAAGTTTTACTGACTACCTTCCAGTGATTGCTTCGTCAATGAAACTCGAGTACCCTTTGAGTGATGTGCTTCCTAGCATTGAGCATGCCAGAGACCGGTTGCTTGCTCGCATCTATCGCTATCGCCTAGATCGTGAAGCATCTCAACAGACCACAGACGAAGACTGTGCTTTGCTTTATGCCTATAGTGAGTATTTCTTTAGTTTGTGGTTATACCCAGTCTGATATACTAACCCTTGCACTTCTAGTTTTGGTGACGGGCCAATTATCGAATGAGATCACGGAGATCATTGCGGAGATCGGACAACTCTTTGGGGTATTAAGTGAAGATGTAGTACAACTAGCTTGAAAATGTAACTAATCAATTTGAAAAGCACCTAAAATTTCAATTGCTGTAGGAAAAGGTGATATATGTAAACATAAAAGGGCAACACTGCTAAGTTTGGCGCACATCGATGTATCCGTTTCTGGCCTCTGGCGGGGAACCACAAGTCGGAACCTCCCCTTCCACCCAAACCCATCGCCATCCCTCTCACTCCATCAATTTTCATCTTCAATTCATCAGGTTTCCCTATGAAAACATCCTCTCTTTCTCTATTCCTAGTTTGAACCCTGGAATCCTCCTTGATGAAGGCGTAGGTGCCAATATTCCCTGCCCTTCGGCGTCGCCCGTTGTGCTCTCGCAAGTCCAGCAACCATGCAGATTGATCCGGCGGCTCTGAGTCGGAGTGACTCTGTCTCAAATCCAAAGAGCGCCGTGCCCAATGGCTCGGTATCTGCGAAGACCTCCAGAGCTCTAATATCTGTGCCGCGGCTAGAGCTAGAGCATGCCTACACGGACCTGAAGGCCGCCATCGGGGACAAGTGGGCCGAGTATAAAGAGTCCACGGCTCTATTCTTACTAGGTATGTCGTGATGCGCATGGAATTCCTGGTCAGAGAGCGATTATTTGAGCTCCGCGGAGACTGTTTTCCCCTTCCCTCTTACATATTGGCCTCCCGTTCGATCACCTCCTGACCACTTGCCTGCTGATAGGACATTACAACCAGAACGAATACGCGTCACGGGTCGACTACTTCTTGTGCGCCGACCCTAAAAATGAACATCTACATAACAACTTCATATGCGCGCTCATCGGAAACCTCACGCGAGACCTCCCCGATCATGGAGTCGCAAACTGGGTATCGGCCAACGATAAACCGTCAACGGTGTCAAAACCCGTCTCCGGAGATGCTGCGGAACAAAGATTGAAGACGGAAGTTATGAAACTACCTCCAAGGGACCGTCGGCGCATAAAGGGAATCCCAGAGGTACGCAGTCGCAAACGATGACGAACACCTTCTCCCCAGAAATCAACAGCTAATTATTACCAGCGAGATCCCAATGAGAAAGTGCCCACAGAGCTTGAAGAAAGCCATCTAGCTAAGCAATTCAAATTACCCAGCCAGGTTCCCGCAAGTGCAGGCGGGCTCAACAAAACTAGTAAGACGACACTCTCCACGTCGAACTCGAGCTATCATCTCTGTTCGCGTGGTCCTCTATTGAAAAAAAAAATAGTGCCTAACCATCCTTCTCTTTTACAGACTGGGAACTGGAGATCCGAAAACGCTATGCCCAGCCCCTCGCCGCAGAAACAGGCGAATTTCCCGATGCCGAATCCATCCATGCCCGCATGGTTCCTATATGCTACGAAGAATCCTTACCCAGCGGTGCTGGGCTTCCATGTGCTGAGTTCATGGCAATTGCGACGGAGACATTCGTGAAGGAAGTTTTATCCGCGGTATTCTCACGGACGCGTTCGAATGGCCCGTCCGGTACAATCAATAACATGATGATGCGTCAGTACCGACACCAACTCGAAGTCGAAGAGCTTGCATACACCCGTGGCGAGATTGCGAAGGATGCTGCCACTGGCCTACTCCCTGTTGAAGCGAGAGAGGCAAACCTTCGAAAACCATTAGGCGTTAGAGACCTGCGGTTGACTTTGGAGCTGGGCGGCGGTGTCCTCGGCCACATGCCACTCATTGTAGACCAGATCATGGGCGGGTACTTCGAAGATGAACTAGAAACTGAGAGACATGATCGGTTGGAGAATGGTGTTGGCGAGCCACATCAGGAAATCAAACCTGACGAAGACGAGATGGACTTGGACGAAGATGAAGACGGTTCTCTGCTAGACTGGGAAGGCGGCACACTTGGTGATCGAGAGCAGTTGAGCTCTTTGCTCGACGAGTGTCTGTCGATGGCTGCATGAGAATTTTATACCCCCTGTCTTTTTTTTGTCCGTTGTTTTTCATACATGCCACATTATATGTTTCTTCTGCTCTTTTATTTTTTCTATTTACGGTTTGGCTGGATGGTGGCTCACGGCGTCGGGGTACTACCAAGGGAGGTTGTCACTATTTGCAACGCCCACATGATTTGCATATGGATTTGGAGTTTGAAGATATTGTCTTATCCGTTCGACATCGCCTGTCTTGTCCCATTATATGTTTTCACCTCCTTCCTATCTTGGTCATGCTTGGTCTTTACGATGTACAGTATACTTTGTTAAGGGACAAGGCGGAGCGGTCGACATCTGGAGGATGAAAGAACATCTCGAAAACAAACCGACCTAAAAAGCTCAATGGGGATGACCCCTGCTGGAAGAGGTCATATCAAGTTTGTTCGATACCCATGAATTCTACCTAGGTACTTTACTTTAGCTATCTTGAGAAGTTATTACATAGTTACACATTAAAACACTAGATTTTTACATAGACTTGAGTCTAACAGAGATGGATATCCCTGTCATAAGATTGCATTCCATGAGCGGTTTGCCCCCCCCAAACGCCTGTAGACAATACACCCGCAAAGAACATGCCAGCTAATTGATGGCACTTGCGACAAGCTTCAAGATCTCCTCGGTGGACTTGTAGGCATTGGCTGGGTCCTTCGCGATGGATTGCCAAAACTCACCGTGCTTTGGTTCCATCGATATGCACTTCGACACAACATCTGATCGTTTTTCCTGTAATGTGGATGTTAGCTGATATTCCAACGATAACACAAAGTATAAAGGATAGATAAAAAATAGAGAGGGGTAACTAACCTCAGTGCCATGCTGCATAAGGAACTTGTAATACCAAGCCCAGCCATCACCATAATCACTATCCGAGACAATCGCCTTCTCAAACCAGGTCATAGCCTTCTCCAACCGACGCTCGCCCCAGAAGATGCGCGCGACAGTGATGAACAAAATCGGATCATTCTCGACCTTCTTGATAGCCTCCAGACTGCGTGCCTTGCGCTGGGCGCGGGGCTCGAGATACCAGATACTTTCGCTCCACAGAAGCCCCGATGATGGGACATCCTGGATCGCACGCGCCATGAGGGCCTTCGCCTGGGCAATGTTGTTAGCGCGACGTTCAACGCGCACGCTTTCGGTCCAGAGCTCTGCGTTCTTGGGAACAGCCAAACGGGCTTTGTCGAGGACGGATCTGGCTCGGACCACGGTGCCCATTTTTTCTTCCAGTCGCGAGGCAAGTAGCCACAGCGGAACGGACTTGGGACAGGCTCGGGTGCCTGTTCCGTATGCCTCGCGAGCCTGCGGGAACTTCTTCTGCGATTCGTAGATTTGGCCCTTGATCATCCAGAGCTTGTCGGCCTTGGGGAAAAGTTGCAGTCCTTGGTTGACTAGATCCAGAGCGTCATCGATGTTGCCGAGCTGCCGCTCGAAGGCAACGCTCTTGGTCCACACACGGTCTGTGCCAGCTTCACGACGGGCGGTAGCTAGCAGATCTCTGGCTTGGTCCGTCTTCTTGGCGTCGGCCTCTAGCTTCACAGCAGCCAGCCAGATATCTTCATTATTGGGATTCTGGTTGAAGGCACGGCCGAGGACTCGACGAGCATCGTCAATATCTCCAGATTGCCATTTCTCCTTAGCAAGGAGAAGCCAGAGCTCCTCGCTCTGGGGGCACGCTTCGACTGCCTTCTCCAGAACCAGCCAGAGAGCTTCTTTGGTGCCGTGGTTGCGCTCAAGATCTGCTGCTGCGAGCCAGATTGATCGGCGGTTCACAAAGACCCGCAGAGCGTAAGCGTAAATCGCCCGGGCAGTTTCGTAGTTACCACGCGCAATACTAGCCTTTGCGTCGTCCATCCAGATATCTTTTCGGCTATCATCTTCATCTAGGCCCCATCCGAGAGTCTCTTGGATGATACCGCCACATGTAAGGACAGCGCCTTCGGCTTCGCATTTCTCGGCTTCTGTGATCCACTCCTCTCTCTTCAGCATGGCATTCTCTCGGGCCAGGGACTGAATAGCACGCTTCATGACATTGACCTTCGCGAATGTACCCATCTGTTCCTGAAGTCGAGCTGCAGCAATCCAGATTTCATAGCTAGTGGGAACTGCCTTGCGAGCAGCATTCAAGACCTTTTGAGCATTTTCTGGGGTTTCAAGGCGAGCAAGAGCAAGCCATAACTCGACTGACAGAGGGATGATTTCGACGGCCTTCGCCAACAGTAAGCGCGCATCGGCGGGATCGTCTTCTAGATTGACAGCTTCTTTCCAGATCTGCACCGATTGGGGAATGTGCAAGATAGCCTGTCGAAGAACATTTTTCTTGGCACGTGTGTCTGTTTCTAGTCTCATGGCTTCGGTCCAAAGTCTTGTGGAACGGTCATTGTTCTTAATAGCATTCGCTGCAATAATCTTTGCGTTGTGACCTTCGTTGAGTCGAATGTTTTCCAGCCATGCATCCTCACTTTTGGGGCAGAGCTCACACCCTTTAGCGATGAGGGTCCTAGCAGCCACAATCCGGCCAGCAAGCTCCTCCAGACGAGCGAGGGCAATCCAACCAGGAGCATGCTTAGGATTGGTCTTGGTGACAGAATCTAGCAGAGTACGAACTCGTTTGATATCGCCCACCTCAACTTCGCCGGCTTTGGCTTCTGATTTCGTCAAACTGGTGAGGTAACCCTTGGGATCGACGCTCGTAGCGGTTCCTGATGCACCAGCGGATGACCCTAAAGCAGCCTGGTCGAGCCGGACCTTCAACACTTTATCACGCGCCGCACCGATATCTGCGAAGTTCATCATAGAGCCCTCAGCGTTTTCTCCTTCGGCGATATTGGTTTCCGTGCCATCTTCGGCAATTGTCGTGCCGTATTGAGCTGAGTCTCTCGCGCCAGCAATGACACTATCGGGGACGGCATAGAACCGCTGTCGTGCATTCTGTTTATCTCGTCGATTCTTGCCCGTCAAATCTCCAACCTCCGGGAGGTTGGCCCAGTCTTCTTCAGATACCGAGGCAAGTGTGCGTTTCAGATCGGCAAACTGGTGTTGAATTTTCGGGTTATTTCGTTCGTACTCTTGTTGTTCGGCTTTTTCTCGAGCTTCCCTGTAGGTGGCGAGCGACTCAAGTCGGTACTCTGTCCAAACAACCGGGGCTAACCCGATAAACAAATGGTTTCGAAGGGAGAATGGGAAGGATATGACTAACCTGCGAGCTCTCCGGCGCTTATCCATCTTCTCGTCTACCTCTTGGTAGATGCGGTCTGCCTCATCGTCTTCTTGATCGAACTGTCCGTATGCGAACAGGCCGACCTCGTTGTCAGGATCCTGGAACCGCTCATCTTCCTCCTCTTTATCGTCTTCCTTTCCACCTTTCTCGCGTGTAGTGCTGCCGTAGGCAGTGGGTGCAGCAGCTCCCAAAAGCTGAGCTCTCTTGGTTAGAGCAGCCTGGATCTGTTCGGGAGTAGGCCCTTCACGCGCCGGGCCAAGATCGGACCGAGTGGTAAATCCTGTAGCACCACGACCTAGACCAGCAACGTAGTTTTCAGGCGCTGCCTGGCTGAGGAAATCCTTTCGTCCAGACGCCATCTTGGGCACAACACAAGTCTGAGAGCTCGACATCGACGGCGCAGAAGGCAAAGGCGGGCTCGGAGGATAGTAATTCCGGGCCGGCAATCTTATCGCAAAAAAAGTTCCAGCCCACATTGAAGTCAATGTGCTTTGTTGCCGCAGGTTTTCTCTCTGGTGTCTTTTGATAATTATCAAGTTCAAGAGGCTCATTACTATAAAATGCCCAAGGTTAACAAGCCAAAGCGCAATAGCGCTTCGCAGGGCATGTCAGATGCAGCTGCCAAGACAAAAGCTGCTCACAGCATCTTTAAGATGAACACTGATATTGGCCAGCACGTTCTGAAGAACCCTGGTATTGCTGGTAGGGACTTTTCTTTACTGCAATATGCCTTCTCTAGCTAATGGATGGATGTCTAGCTGCAATTGTGGAAAAGGCTGAGCTCAAGCAAAGCGATGTGAGTTACAAAATTGATTGATTGGCTTAACAAACACTAATAGTGTGAATCAACAGATCGTCCTCGAAATTGGTCCCGGTACTGGTAACTTGACAGCCAAGATTTTGGAGAAGGCGAAGAAGTGTATTGCTGTGGAATTGGATCCTCGTATGGCCGCAGAAGTTACCAAGCGTTTCCAGTCCACTCCATACCAAAAGCGCCTGGAGGTCATTCTTGGAGATGTGATGAAGACGGAGCTCCCATACTTTGATGTCTGCATCAGTAATACTCCCTACCAGGTATGTCCAACCCCAAGATATTTTCCAAGGGTTCTTCGCGAGTCTAACAAGTCAAGATCTCTTCTCCTCTCACATTCAAGCTCCTGGCTACATCTCCGGCGCCTCGCTCCTGCGTTCTCATGTAAGTCTCCACTACCAAGTGTGGAAGAGTTCAGAAACGTTCTGTGTAATTGAGAGCTTACATTGAACCTTTCGTACAGGTTCCAACGTGAATTTGCTCTGCGTTTATTCGCCAAGCCCGGCGATAAACTTTACAGTCGACTTTCAGTCAATGCGCAAATGTGGGCCAAGATTGATCATATCATGAAGGTTGGCAAGAACAACTTCAAGCCACCGCCGCAGGTTGAGTCCAGCGTCATTAGAATGGTCCCCAAGAACCCACGGCCACAGATCAACTACGAAGAGTGGGACGGTCTTTTGCGAATTGTTTTCGTGCGGAAGAACAAAACTCTCCGGTCCAGTTTCATTGGTACAACAAGTATCATGGAATTGCTAGAAGCAAACTATCGGACATGGTGTGCGCAAAACGATATTCCTGTGGAGGATGGTCCGATCGAAGTCGCCAATGATGATGATGCGATGGCAATGGATATGGGTGAGGAGGAGGAGCAGGAACAGGCTGCCGAGGAACCGGCTGACGAGGTCATGGATATGGACGACGACGATGTTCCTGATTTCTTTAAGGCGGACACAAACGCCCGCCTCGAAGCAGCACTCAAGAATGGAGCTTCGCGTAAGAAGCGTGGCAAGGTTGCAGAGCTAGTCCGTGAAAAGGTCCGCCAGGTCCTGGAGGATGACACTGACCTCGGAGAGAGGCGCGCGAGAATGTGTGATGAGAATGATTTCTTGAAGCTGCTGTGGGCATTCAACCAAAAGGGCATTCATTTCAACTGAGCGAGAAAGACAGCATCTGCCCTGGGGGAAAGCATCCGAAAATAGAAGTTAAACATTCGGATCATGAATTATGATTACTATCAATAAAAGATACCATTTTCAGGAGGTTCATCACCAGCAGATCGGAGATGAGCACGCGAGTCTTGAAACAGGCTCTGCCAGATAAATGCCTCGCTGAGTAAGAGCTCAATATCTTTCTCGGTCCAATCCTTCGTTGGCAATGCTTGGAGGAACATCATGATCTCCTGGGAAAACGTTAGTTGCTGTTTGATAGTGGCGATGTTCGATTGCTAAACCGTACCTGGAAATCCATCTTGACCAACTGATCTGTCCACTTGACCAAGAATGCGGCGCAAACATAGAGGTGGAATCGAGAGAAGCCCTGCTCCTCAGCCTAAAATGACGATCAGTAATACATAAAGCAGTCCCCTGGGAGAAAACGTACCATGTATGTATCCCACATGCGTATCGTGTTTTTGATGCTCATTTCCCGCATGAGCAAGCAGTTCATCCATCGGAAACTAAATTGCATAAATTCCACGCCTTGTTGCTCCAGGTGCTTCGCAAGTGCTGCGTCGATGCGCATTGTCAAGTCTCGTAGCGCCCTGACCTGTCGGTGAATGCCAGGCTGGGCATAAATGTAGTTGTCCTGGATACCATCCAGCAGCTTTGTCAAACACCAAAAAGTGTCTGCTTCCACTGCATCTAGCACACTCCGAGGCAATTGGCCTGGGTCCATACCTTCTTCAACGTTCAGATCGGTTATGTAAACGCCCAGAAAGACTTGGAAGAACGGTGTTACTAAATCATTGATACCTTGAACATAACCACTTGCTGGGTGTCGGATGGCCCAGACATAAAGGATGCGTTCCAAAGACCGCTGGGTGGCTTCGTAGCCATACAGCGGAATGTGCGGGCTGGTGCGTGGAACATCAATGCTGATCTGGTGCCAAACTGCCTCGTCAAGGCCTCTGCCCCGGCCCTTCGTTGAAGAAGAGGTGTTTGCAGAGTTTGCCCCGCTGCCTCGGTCAAAGGCCTGCCGTACTCCGTCTAGGTACTCCTTGCGCTTCCGTTCCAAGGTGGAGATGCGTCGCTCACTATTTGTAGGAAGATAGCCAAGTAGAAGTTGCCAAGTCATTGGCCGCACTTCTTCCGGGATACCTGACCAAGCGAGATCTCGCAGCTCGGTGGGGGATACCGTACTTGCTTGCAGGATACGCTTGAACTTGTTGATTCGCGTAATGCGACTCGAATGGATGTCCCTCTCCTTAGGTGAAGCATCTATAGGAGGGGGGAGTGGTTGATGAGGTTCAAAGCATTAGCAGGGTCTATAACTGTCAGCATACTCCTACATTTCTTCGGTCATCAGCTCATCCATACCTTGTAAGATGTCTTTGTATTGAGGCCGGAGGATCTTCCCTTCCCCCTTGCGAGCAGTTGGATACATCGGGGCGCCACGCTCTTCCGCAATATCTGAACTATTCGCGCGTTGCCTGTTGGCGGCCCCTAATCCATACCCAAGTGTTGAGGGGTTGCCTCCTGCCCCGCCGCCACTGAAATCAATATTCTGGGCCTTCAAAGGCGCAGATCTTTTCCTCCTCATACTAGCAAGACTAGGGAGCCCGAACTCATCTTCGTCGTCATCGTACACAATCTCGTCATCATCATCATCTTCATCATCTTCTTCGGTGGGGTCACGACTCCACTCGTCGACTCCTTCAGTCATAATGCCAGGGTAGGGTTGCCGTGGAGGTGAGGCTACCAGCTTTCCTGGCTTGCGAACCAAACTCGATGCAGCATTTGTAGCCGATGGTTTTGGCGGTGTTCTCGGGCCTGAGTGGGAGGAGGTAGGTCTACCGAAGAAGACACTTGTCAGTCATCGTTTTCGATCAATTGCTGGATCTGTTGCATGTATGCTAACATACTGTACAATATTGGCATGTGAGTATGATGCACCGACAACAGTATTCGAACCATAGAACTTCGACGAGCCCTGATTTAGGGACGCACTTCGGCCAGCCCAAAAGGGCGATTGGGTGCGTCTTTGAAGGACATTAGCATTTTGACAGAGCTTACAGCTGCTTTCATAGCTGTACAAGAGAGCATGAAAAGCTTCCACTTACTCTGACTTGTCTATGAAATGGGAAGAAAGACCATGTAAGCTATAGCTGCAATTAAAATGCAAGGGGAGGCAAAAGATACGAACCAACCTGGACCATTTCCTGCGAATGCAGTCAGCTCAATGTCTAATACAGAAGGATTCAAGAGATCTTTAGAGCGGGGAATGTAAACATACCTGCTGCCCTTTTTTGTTCGCCATTGTATGAGGATTCCGAAAGTGGTGTGCTCATGCGGGAGTCTGATACACGTGCGGGGTGACACTGTAATGGAATGGATGCCGTCTATCCTGCAGCCAGGTCATGTAGAGACAGAATAGAAAATCAATGAAGCATATTTGGGAGTAATGAACTCGAAATGAAAGGCAAATCAAAGCAATATTGCAGGTTCTAATCATGTATAGATACAAATACTACCCAGCTTTCATCCCGAGTCCGGCGGGCGAACGTAAATGACTTATGTAAGCGCTCCGCCTGGAGGATTCCCGCGGTCCTGGGCTTCAACTTCTTCATCCGCTTGTTCTCATCTTTTCTAGTTCTTCTTGTTACTTTAGATTTGCTTCTACTCTGATTGACTGAGGTTACACGCGTTCCCGTGACTACCTCTCTTATCTCTCTATTCACCGCTCACTATTTTATCATGGCCGACCCAGAGGATGGAGATGATCTCTTTGCTGATCTGTATGTTTTCTACTTCACCCTATATTTAATAACAAAATTCTAATCAAATCTCTTCTCTTTAGCTACGATGCCGATGATTCCACCAACCGAACCACCGCAGCGGTCGAAGCGTCAAAGCCTACTGATCTAGGCGCGACGAACGTTGCGCCTGCTGGGGACTCTGTTGAGCAGGACTTCGCACTTAACCCTGTTGGCACATATGAATCACAGCCTCCTCAGCCTTCGCAGTTTGACACGGGTTATCACAATGGCTCCGGGAACGCTTATGGCGCCCCTGTCACTACCCAGGCACCCCCTCCTGCCGAGACCGAGTCTCACGGAACAGGAATCAAAGAAGACGGGTAAGTCCACTAATTGCGTTGCTTTTAAATCTTTGTGTTCGAACTCTATCCCAATTGCATGTATCTGTCTGGGTTTGGGCTATATCTCGCTGGTAAAAACCTGGGTGGCACCAATTGCTATTCATGGGTTTCGACTACGGTTCTGGGTGCAGGAAGGAGTCTCCTCGCTGTGGGTTAATATCTCTCTGGGCTGTGGACTGTGGACTGTTTGAGGAAAAATTCGCCGGTTATTTGGTGGCGCATGCGTTTTCGAAGGAGGGAAAACAAAATGCGGGCTCGGCGACCAATCAGCATGTCTGTTCAAGGAACCCTATCACACAACGATCAATCGAAAGCGATCTACAAATCATACATTGGGATACTCTGGCGTTCTCTCCACGGAATCAAGCAGAGACTCAAAAGGCACACCACCTGGAGCCCTTGATCAAGACAATTGCTTACGCAAATCAACCACGCGCCACCCAACGGACCTTTGTCACAAACGATTCATATATAGTACAGCCGATACTATATAGTTTCCTGTCGATGTACCTTGATAGGGCAGAGCAAGAAGTAGCTATCTAGCTTGGGACTCTGTGTTAGACAAGGCAAAGGTTTTCGCGGGTCAGACAGACAGACAGTGACAATTCACTTTTTACGACTGAAATATTTGCACCTCCCTGCTTATCATCTCGCCTGTCTCCGGCTTGAGCAATCCAGAAAGAGGGGGACATGAATTCTGCATCCAGGCCCATGTAAACCAGTGGGCTTGACGTTAAATCCCGGTCATGAACATCAAAATTGCTCAAGACCGTACAAGTATACATTGACAGTGACTACGAGGTACAAAGACCATGTACCGACCTAGCACGCGCCTTGCTTGTTCTGGGCCAATGTGCTCAGAATAGCGAGGCTTTTCGCACACTCGACTAGCCCATGAATAGCAAGCAATACTTGGCCACCCAACTTTGCACCTTGATTTGCTCTCTTTGCCCCCACACATTATCATTTCAGCCACATTACGTTCAGCATCATGTTGTTCACTGAATATCATTCCCTGGGCTATTCTGTCTTTTTTGGGGGTTTTTTTACGATGTTCTCCGCTAACTGACGATAATGTGATTGTTAGAAAGATGTTCATTGGAGGTCTGAACTGGGAAACTACCGACGGTATGGATATGTATCTTCGATACCTGGAATTCATCATCTTGCTGACATACTTTGATCTTCATTTAGAGTCCCTCCGTGACTATTTCTCCCAATTCGGTGAGGTTCAGGAGTGCACTGTCATGCGGGATAGCGCCACTGGACGCTCTCGCGGCTTTGGCTTTTTGACTTTCCGTGACGCTAAGACTGTCAATACGGTGATGGTGAAGGAGCATTATCTGGATGGAAAGATTGTAAGGATTACGTCGCAATTGGGACAATTGGACAAAGTAAACGTTTGCTGACGAATATCGAAGATTGATCCCAAACGTGCTATTCCCCGTGACGAACAAGAGAAAACTTCCAAGATCTTTGTTGGTGGTGTTAGCCAGGAGGCTACCGAGCAGGACTTCAAACAATTCTTTACGCAGTTTGGCCGTGTTGTGGATGCCACTCTTATGATGGACAAGGACACCGGACGTCCCCGTGGATTTGGTTTCGTCACCTTCGACGGTGATGCTGCTGTTGAGAAGGCTCTCTCCCGTCCTCTTGAGATTCTAGGCAAGCCAATTGAGGTCAAGAAGGCACAGCCTCGTGGCAACCTTCGCGAGAACAACGATCAACGTGGAGGTCAAGGCCACCGAAACGGAGGATACCGCGACCAAAACCAGAACGACGGAGGTCAGCAGCAAGCCGCTCAGCAGGGACAGGGTAGTTCGATGACTCCTCAGATGATGGCCCAGTACTGGCAACGCATGCAACAGTACTTTACCATGATGCAACAGCAAATGGCCGGCCAGGGAGGAATGCCCGGCATGAACATGAATGCTATGAACATGAACCCCGCTATGATCGCACAGATGCAGCAAATGCAGCAGATGCAGATGCGTCAGCAGCACCAGCAACAGCAAATGGGTGCCCAGCAGCAAGGTACTATGAGCCCCGGCCCTCAGAGCCCTGGCTCCCAGCAGGCTATGCCGAATATGATGAACCCCGCTATGATGCAGCCCAACCAAGCCAATGTTCCCGGCGGTTCAGTCAGCGATTGCGCCAGCCCCGTTCCCAACGCCACCGCCATGGCCGCTAACTACAACAATGGATCTGGAACCCCAGCCAGAGGACAGACTGGGCCGGGATACAACGCCACTGAGCAGATTGCCTTCGAGCAGCAAAAGTATGAGCAGCAGCAGATCAACCGCTCGATGGACCCTCGCGGTTTCTCGCCTTACCAACAGCAGGGCGGCCCCACTTCGTGGGAGGGTATGTACGATGAAGTTCCTCAACCCCATGTCCCGACTGGACCAGCAGGTATGAGACGCATTGGAAGTTCGGGTAGTGGTATGTGATTCTTACGAGTTTCTGCATATTATGTCCTTTTCATCCCAATTCCATTCCTATTTTCTTTGATTACGTTATCTAACATTTCCCCCAAACAGGAACTACTCCTCAGCCTCAGGGCACTGCTCCTCCTAATGCTCCCACTGGACCCCGTAACGCCGGCAAGCCTGGTGCGAACTACCGTGGTGGCGGCCGAGGTGGACACCGCACCTACCACCCCTACCAGCGCTAATCTGCTCCCTTGTGGCTCTTTAAGTGACACATCTTGTCTTTTATCATTTCAGATACGACTTCGTTTCTTTCATGTGTTTTTTAAGTCTTTTTTTTTACCTGGGGCCAGCGAATTTGGGCCCCATTGATTGATAATTGCGTGGCCGCCAGTGAAGGGGGAGTGGGGGCCCGGCGAACTGGTTGTATTGGCGATTTCCATACTCTTTGTCTTCATTTCAAGGTTGTCTCTGGTCCGGTGCTTGCGTGGACGGAGCTTTTGTTCGCAGATATCGAGGTCTGGGGATCAAGGCTTGGGTCGATGTTTTCCGTGCTAAGTGGCAGGGAAATTGTTCGGTGATCGGTGATAACGAGTCTTCAACCTTCGTTCAAGCTCGGCGATACACCACTTTTTGCTGTGATGTCTGTTAGCCTCACAATCAAAAGTCAAAAAGTGTTCATTTGAGAGGTTACATTGTAGATGTTCCTTAGGCGGTAGGGCGTAGAGTATTCATTGTTGCCCAAGTAGAATTTTGTATACTTCAAATAATTTCTCGGGCTATTGCCACCTTCGAATAAATATGTATGCATGTACTTTTGAACTCAAATGTCACTATTCTTACGTATGGTGCTGTGGTATGGTTTGTCTCCTAGATAGGGCCAAATAGTCCACGTGACTTGGAAGGGATTGTCCAGTTACCAGCCCTTATGATTTACGCTCACATCAATACAAACATACAATTTAGTGTTACTCCTTAGCTTGGCTCTTTTGAAATGAATTTCTAGGGCGCTGTTGATGTTTTTATAGTCATTCAAAACGCGCACCTGTTCTCATCTTGGGAGGTTTGCTAGGCACCTAGGCCATACAACGTAATGTAAGCACCCAACTTCCAACCCGCCATGGGGATAAACTACACAAAATTACCAAGGAATGCTTTCACGAGCTCGTTCGAGTAGACGACTCTCCTCGCTCTTGCCTGCTCTATCTATCCGTCTATCTCGCTTTCACTATACATGTTAAGGTTTCCGTCTGTAGACCTGTCTCCCGGAAATCATTAGCTTCCAAATTATATAGCATCTCACACTACTCCGTACTCCGTGTATAAGATTATATTCAACTAATTCATGCCAATTAGGGACACACTACTCCGTACTCTGTACTCAATCTTGGCCTTCCCCTGCTGTTGAGACTGTTTTCGTAAAGAGAGTCCATCATGAGAGATTCTTTGTCCGCAACATACTAGTTACTCATCACGCCAGTGTTCTAAGACTATAGACAAGGTACAGGGATTATCGAGAAATTCGATATAGAAGAAATGCTCATCAATTGCAAGCTGTAATATAAGTGATAGATGGTAGATATGGTAATGAATGAGGTATGTATAGACACAAGATAAAAAAAATGAATGGATGTAAGTGATATCACAAAAGAAAATGCATCTAAAGGCGGGAAGACCAAGAAATTTCCAGCCGCCATTTTCAAGCACACGCTAAAAACTGACAAAAAAAATTAACTCCAAAGCCACACTGTGCCCGATCTAAGAATGTTGAGTTGAAAAGGAAGTAAAAATATGGGAGAGAGAAGCAAGAAGAATTGCAACGTCATATCAAGCCTGTGACGCTTTCGTGGATTGATTGTTATTCTTTTTCGTTGGTTGTTTTTTTTAATATGCCATGCCGTAACCCGGGGCTGTGGGACGACGGTCTTCGATAGAGCTTCGCGAGCGGTGGCTGTCAGGGCTTGCGCTGCGCCCGTGAGCGACGCCATAGTCATTGCGGACTAGGCCATCACGTTCGTTGCTACCATTCGATCCGGGTCGCTTGGGTTCATCTCGGTAAGACTCGTACGGGCCAGTGAAGTTGAAGTTGCTCATCTCAGCGTATTCCTTGCGCTGTGGGTGATCCATGAGGAGGGAGTCTCGGGCATCCAAGGGAGTTAGATCGTCAATATCGCGGTTTGCTTTTTCTATAAGAAGAAAATTGTCAGTATATGCACATGTGGAGATAGGACTTGGATCAAAAGCTAGGTTTGACTTACCAGCTTCTCTTCTCCGCTTAGCATGCGGATTCTCGCGCCAGCATGTGATAATGGCGTTGACTGCGATGAGAATGGCGAGTACTGCAGTAAGAGTGGACTGCACGACAATGAGGACAACGCCAGTGACGGTTTTTGTTGTTTGGGAAAGACCAAGTTCTTCGACGAAAACTAGGACGCAAACAATGGACAGAACACGGACGACTTGGACAGCGATATTGATCCCCATTGATGCCTTGGTGACGTATGGACGGCTCCACAATAGTAGTCCCAACAGAAGGATTTCGCAGGCGAGCTGACCGGCGCTTTGGAACAGACCGTGACCATCGCCACCGGCGATGATGCAGCCCTTGACCAATGCATACACAATGACGGGGATGAAGAGCCACCAGAAGTCTTTTTTGTAGTTATCGTAGAACAGACTGTATTTCTTCCAGGTTTCCTTGTCCTCGTAGAGGCTGTCGGTATCTCCCTCGGCCTTCTTGTACTTGCGAGCCATGTAGACAATGCGAATGGCAAAGAAAAGAAGAACCGCTGTGAAGATAGAAAGGGTTATGGCAGCCAGCAGCTTTGCTGCCCATGAATCACCCTTTCGTAGTTGGTAGACACAGTATAGCACCCAGATACTGTAAAGCACAAGGATCATGTTGGTGATTGTTCGCGCCATCAAGCCCCAATAATCTTTCCGGAAGTCAGAGAGCTTATTGGGGAAATTGCCATACAGGGCCCACAGTTCCAGGACGACCTTCAATAAAAGAATTCCAACGACAACCACAGCGATAACGATGGCGAAGATCAGAAGAACAGTCATGAACACATTGGCAGAAGGAACCATCAGTTCTTGAGCGAGTTGCTTCATGTCGCTAACAGTGCTCGAAGAGGTACTTTCCTCACTGTTTGAAGAGCTCTCTGAAACACTAGCATCGTTGGATGTGTCAACCGAGCGAGCAACCATCTCGCCAAATTCGATGGTGTAATCCCAGCTCCGTTTTGTCGTATTCGTGGATGATGAGCTACTGTGCTGAATGGAGGAATTCCTCAGGAAATCATAGCTTTCTGTGGTCAAGTTACCGCCAGTGGCCTCTCGGAATTTGTCGATGGACTGCTGCATACTAGCCCAAGGGATCAAACCAGTACTCCACATGAAGTTTGAGGAGAAGCTGCGGTAGACAGGGGGGTAGGCGACACTGAGCATGCCATTGGTGGCCATGGAATGGAACCAGCCCATTACATCGCCAAATCCAGGACTAGACGACGATGATCCAGCAGTTCCTGCTGAGCCAATGGCAGAGACGCCGCTCAGTGCTAGAGCGCCTACCGCGATGCCGGCCGACACATATTTGACCGCGCCGACGTCAACGGTATGGCCGTTGGATAATTGAGACTCGACGCATGCCAGTTGATTCTGGCCTTTCGAGGGTTTAAGGACAAGCCTTGCCTGACCATCTAAATCAGGCATTTTGAACGCAATACCAGGGATCTGGCTAGCATATTCGGACGGAACCTCCATGGATCCGCTGGCCTTGAAAGCACCCTTGGGGATGGGGCAGAGCTCCTCAACATGAAGCTCATTACCGCAGGGATCAAACTCTTTGCTGTAGATTTCATTGCCATAGGCAGTGACGGTGATAGACGCCTGCACATTCTGTTCCATCGAGTTGGTACCAGCCAAGTCGAAGACAACTACTCCAGTAGAGCGAGTGTAGGTAACATCCATCTTTTGGACGTTAATTGCCGAATCGCTCATGCACAGATTGAACCCGTCCGTGGATAGAGTGTCACCTGCCAGGGCTTGAGGCACAATGGCCAGGCCTAGCAGAGCCCAGATGAAGTTCTGCATGTTGGCCGAGCACAATTGATGTTCGATACGTTATACCAATCCAAATCTAAAAGTTTAAACCAAAGAGGCGCGTATTCATCAAGGATGTAGGGATCGACTGTCGCGAGGATCGGACGGGTTGCAACGATATATGGAGCGACTGTGGGTAAACCACAGGGGGGGGGAGAAAAACCAAAAAGCAAGGCAGGATCAACCTGCTATAGAAAAAAAAATGAAAAAATATAAGCAATAATAAATGAGTCGAAAGGGTCGCAAGGACGAGGTAGTGTGATTGTTTCAAGACACCGGTTTTGGAGCAAACCAGGAGCTGTAAAGAACTGAGCGAGAGACAATTGAACGAGGGTAGTAGGAGAGAGGAAGCGATTGGAGATTAGTGAATGAAATTCCCCCTCTCACAATGCGATAATCAGTGAAAAGAAGAAAAGAGAGGAAAGCCTCGACCGTACGGAGTAGAGAATTATGACTTTACGATTAGTCTAAACTTGGCCCCTGAATTTGGGACTGATTGGTTCCCCCCGTTTCAGTCTAGACCCAACACTCGGTATGTTACTATTTCCATTAGACTTGGTATTTACATCTTAATTTTTTCTATTTATTATTACCAAAACAATGGCCATAATCCTCTATGGATTAAAAGGAGTTAGGGTAGGTACCTGTACCTAAGTAAACAGTTGAGGTTCATATGAAAGCTAAGGTTTCCCCCAGACTATTAGATCCAAGGTTCTCCCTTATTGTTACCAAGGTTCCAGCCTAACCTTTACCCTGGAGCTAAAAGTTCACCCATGGACCACATTCCTGCAATACACCAAGGGATTACGCTAAATATGAACAAAACGCCACACCAGCCACACGGGATGTCAATTGCCTCTATGGGGTAGCGCCTGCTAAATTATGATTTGACCATGCAAATTAATTCAAATGTATTAGGCGCAAGGCACTTGGAGATATGTTGTTCTGCCGTACTTCGTAGTGGTACCTGCAGTACCATAAGTTGAGTATCCATGGGCCGCTTCTTCTCAAATTGGACATCCCTACAAAGTAGGTATTATATTGCATCTTATGTATGACGTGTGCCCCTCGCGGGGCAGGTGTCGCACACGCAAGTCCTGAGGGGAGAACAAAGTTGCAGGGCTCAAGTATGACTGGAGCGCGGATCGAAGATCCTCGCACAATCCCAGCTGGCTTACTAGTGGATCCCCTTTATAGGCTTCTGGATGGACACATAACGTTGTTAGTGAAACCCGTATTACGATACATACGACCAATCGAGTTCAGAGAACAGAGTACTCTGTACTAGGAATCACATTTTGTGCGTATCGCACGCACATCTCGGAAACTGTGAATGTGTACTCCGTACAGAGTACAGAGTACAGAGTAGAAACATGAAATTTGAGATTGACCTATGTGGATTCGCCCTATCAATGTGAGACAGGGCCAAGCACTGGGGTGCCACCCTAAATTACAGATATCTATTCTTGTCGCTTTTGATAGCGTATTATGCCACACCATCAATTATTATTCGGGATTATCACCAACTAACAACCTCTTACAAAGTACGGAGTACTCCTTCTACAGCACTTACTAGTTTCCATACATAATTTGTGGAGTCTATATAGAGTACCCAGCCTGTTGCTGGAGAAGAGCTACAAAGGACTCTATAATCATCCGTATTCCATTACTCTGGAAAGATTTTGCGGTCATTTATCTCTTCATTTCATGGTTTCAAGTTGATTGCTACCAATGAACAAACCCTTCCACCAACCTACAAAATAGGGGCATGCTCCCGTCCCCGGGAAGAGTCCCACCAAGAAAACCTATTAATGAAATCAACATAAAAGAGACTTCTACAACATACATACAAAGTACAATATTCTGTACTTAGGAGTTAAATACATGATGCGGAGTAGCAGTATGTAACTATAGGGTAAATATCCAAGATATATCATAGTTAGATCCTTTTCTTGAACTCCTTAATAATTCAAATACATATTTTAAGAACAGTCTGCCGCTTCTACCGCCCTTGTTCTTCACCTGAGCACGACATGGCACTTTAACAATCTAAATATTCAAGCTCAAGATAATTTTGAATCGCAAAAGATTTATATTGTATATGTTTGAGATGTTACCACAATATATTTTCTCTTATCTTGTACCCTTCTAGTGTTACCACTAACTAGATATACCTAGGGTTGAGATAAATTCTAATGCAAACCACAGAGTATTGCAGATGTGAAGCATAATTCTTACAAACAAACTGCTATGTAGTTAACTATAACCTGTGATTTGTAAAACAGAGGCGAAACCCAGAAATGAGGGAGATGTATATTTGTACTTTGTATACTTCGTGCGACCTTCCTGTTAGGGCCGGGCACTCGGCAGAAACTGTAATATCTATACCGCCTACTACATCGTGAGTGACAACCGAAGACTCCCATTCTACCATCCTTCTCGTCAAGTCTCTCTCCAGGCACAAGCTCGCTACCATGGGGCCCGAGGGGCTCGAGAAGCCTGAGACCCCAGATAAGCCGGAGAAAAGATCTCGTCGACGTGGGGCCGAACTTGATCCATTCCTTCGCACCCGGCTCTGTGTGCTCAGAACCACTGCCAAATGGACCTACAAACAGATCCAGAATGAATATCCGCATATCCCACTCTCCACTATCAAATCAACCATTCTCAGGGAGAGCAATCGTGTCAATAATCATTCACAAGCCCGCTCTGGCCGACCGTCAAAGCTAAAGGACGACGATCGAGCCCGAATCCGCGAGGCTTTTCATGCGAATCCTCAAATTACATACGATGAACTGCTTGTGGTGGTTGATTATAAAGTTGGCAAGGAGTCGCTTCGCCGATTCTTGAATGATGACGGGTTGAGGAAGACACAGACGCCTGCTCGGTCGTCTTTAGCCGGGAAAGGAGCTACCAAACAAGTTGATGGGCCTCAATCTGTTCCGTCATATGACACACCTCCCACTGGCTGGGCTGGTGATTTTGGGTCTGATCTAGCACCCAGCGAGTCAGATCCCGCATCTGCTACAGCGAGTCAAACCGTCGGCAATTAGACGACCTGTTGAAAGAGATACCCTGAGATTTTCGGCGTTACGCGTTCATTTGGAAAGCTGGCTGCTCAATTATCCAATCAAGTTTATTCTGCGTATCATGACAAATATATGCTATACAGGATATGCAGTTCATTAGAGTGATCTTTTCATTGCAGGATTGGTTTTGTGCAGTCATCATGTGGTCTGCATGTCACGTTACAGACAATTCGTCCCAATTTGCATTATGTATATGTATTCCATAGAAACATCCACAATATAGTGTATCCACTTCATATATTATCGATCTAGTAGCCTGTAGAGGTACTTGGTTTTAAGAGCCTTTGTCAAAATATTGTTTTGAGCAGCTAAGTTGTACAATTCTCCGGAGTAGGTTGTAGTGGCCTCAGATATTAAGGGTGGCAAATTACAGGTAACATGCTTACAGAATAGACCCATTTATGATCCTAATAATAGTGGAAATGGAATATGCATACAGGTACGGAGTACTATGTGGTCAGACTGAAGATCTGGGTAAATCATAGCCATTTGGGGTAAATGTTCTGCTGAGGTATGTATATGGAGTCATTTTTGTAGCTCCCGCGGATCCAAGAATAGAATATGCACAAATATTGCTAGCTCCTTGCTTCTTCGATAACGAGACTGTACAGAGTAGTAACGTTGAAACATACAACATAGAATTCTCACACCATACTCTGCTCCATAAATCATCACCTAACCGAACTCAGAGTGGACATACAGGACAATTCATCAATATACTTCTATAGAGCTCGTCTTTGTTTTGGTATGCAACATTTGAAGTATGTATTCTTTCAATTCGGTCGGTATACTGTCGCAAACACTGCATTCATCTCTTGTAGGTTTTCCTTGTGGCCTATGTTATACTATGTCTATGAGCCTATATACCATTTCGATATGAATACAATCATCCCCTACATCCACCCCCCTAGCCTAACAGTCATATAGGAATCACCACAGTTCTATTAATCTAAGGGAAAAACTGAACATCGGCGCAAGACCAGTAGGTTGACCTAGAATATGTAACTTTTTACCGACTTTAAGGGTTAAGCTCTGCTGCTCAATGTCAGGAGTGAAATGTATTATCAGACTCTGAATAGATACATTCGCTCGATATGTCACATGTTGGAAATGCAAGTATCAATTAGATGAAGTCGCATAATTGGTAAGAATAAAAGCCCATGCCGAAAGACTAGCAGGGAAACACAGATTGTCCATATGAGAACAACACCAGACGCCGGGGGTATTTTCCTTTTCCCGAAAAGCAGCCGCCTATGCAGAAAGAAAGAAAAATCGTTAGATAAATGACAAAGATCAGCTCATGCCATCATCACATCTTCCGCCGGGGTGGCGGCAGTGGAAAGCATAGCGGACACATCAGTCATAGCATTATCACCATCGGCATCATGCGTAGGGCTGCTGATTTGCGAGTGAGACTCAGGGGTAGGGGTGACGCCACCGCTGAACACATCGTCGTTGGATTCGGTGTCATCTTCATCTACCTCTTCCCACAAACGAACAGTCTTGTCCGCTCCGCAGCTCGCAACCATACGTTTGCCGTTCAGTGTACCTGTATGAACACAGAGTACAGCCCCTGAGTGACCCTCAAGGCGCTGCAAAATTTGCTTGCTCACAAGATCCCAGAAGAGGATAGAACCATCCTCACTCCCGCTAACAGCGAAGCACAGGGGTGGGTCGTAGCTCACATCTCCGGGCCCATAAATACCGAAGCATCCTTGCAAGCTGTATTTCGTGTTGACGTGGCCTTGGAATGTCTTAAGGACGCGGCTCTCAACGTAGCTCCACATCCGAATGCAGCCATCCAGGGTCCAGGCTAAGATAAATCTGCCGTTGGGGGAGAACTTGACGCATGTTGCAGGCGGGTTGTCTTCCATGACCAGGGTGCGGAGACACTGGCCGCTGTGGGTATCCCAGATACGAATAAGTCCATCCAGAGCACATGACGCGATGAGGGTTCCATCATGCACAACATCAATGCCAGCGACAGGATCGGAGTGGGCTGGAAGGGAGCGCATAACCTGTGCTCGGCGAACATCCCACATAAACACGGCCTCGTCGTATGAACCGCTGACAAGGATGTTGCCTTTCGGTGCAAAAGCAATTTGATAGACATAGTTATGGTGGCCATCAAAGACCTTGGTGTGGGCTTTGAGCTGCATTGGATCATTAGTATAAGGCCCTAGGACATAAAATGACGGATCGGGTTCTTACAGTGTTCACGTTCCAGAGGCGAATTGTTTTGTCGTCGGAACCAGATGCAATCCATTCACCATCAGGGGCCCAAGCAAGGGTAGAGATACCAGCTAGATGTCCTTCGAAAATATGAATGAGTCTACCACTCGCAGTGTCCCACACCCTGACAGCTGCGTCAGCGCCTGTTGTGACAAGTCAGTTATCAAGTCGCGCAGTAACTAGATCATGAGCATAACACATACCGGCACTAGCGATCATAGAGCAGTCAGGCGAGAATTTCACAGCGGAAACTCCACGCAGGTGGCCGCGCATAACAAACTTCTCCTTGTAGTTCAGATGCTCGGGCTTGGGAGGCACCGGACTAGCAAGAGGTGTGGCAGAACGATCGGACCAGTTGTCGGCGTCGCCCGCCTGGTCCGCATCTGAGTCAGCCATGTCATGTTCAGCAAGATCATCCGATCCGCCCTGAGAATGGTCGTCCTGCATGCTAGGGCGGGTGATCGGGGAAGGGCTCCGGTGGCGGTTGCGGGTGCGCGAGGAACGCCAGTACTCGTCGGCATCCACAGCTAGCTCATCGGGGCTCTCAGACTCGCTGTAGTGACGTGAGGTCTGCTGCGGCCGCTGTGGGGTGAAGCCGTTCTGCATAGTCCAGCTGGCTCGGCGGCGCTCGGCTTCGTCATGCGCGGAGCCGGCGGCGAGTTCATCGGAGGAGGACTCAGCGGGAGATTGAGCGCGAGGATCCCGGCGGCGAGGCTGGGGGTTTGAATGATCCATTATACAATAGGGACGCGCAAAAGCATCCAAACAAACGGATGCGAATGCGCCGAAATTGGGTTAATAATAGCCAATTTCGAGCTTCGAAACGAAAATCAACTGGACGCGTTGCGAAGCATAAAATGAAGGCGGTGTCGTATTTTGCGAGCGGTGAGTTCGGGGCGGGCTTCTGTTGGCTGCGTCATACTAAACAACCCCTATGGACGTTCAGGTGGAATATTGAAATATCGATCTTCGTTTAGCACCTTATTAAGCACTTCCTGATCGATCAGAAATCCCCATATATAGCCTTTAAAGCTAATATCAGGAGCAATGACTTGCGCTATTCCCTCCACACCTCCGACCGACATTCGTATCCTCACGTTCAACTGTTGGGGTCTCAAATACATCGCCAAGTACCGCCATGAACGTATGTCGGAGATTGGACGACAGCTAGCAATAGCTAGCCCGCCGCCAGAGATAGTCGGACTGCAAGAATGTTGGACGCAGAAGGATTATGAAAGCATTCGCGATCAGACGCGACAAATCCTGCCATATGGGAAATTTTATTACGGGGGCATATTTGGCGCGGGATTGGCGATTCTGTCAAAATGGCCAATCGAGGAAAGTAGCATGTTTGGCTACCCGTTGAACGGCCGGCCAACAGCATTTTTCCGAGGAGATTGGTTCGTGGGGAAAGGTGTCGCCAGCGCCCGCGTTCGGTTCGGCCCTGGTGCTGCTGATGTCGCCGAGGTGTTCTGCACTCACCTACATGCTCCGTATGAGCGGGAACCGAACGATTCGTATCTCTGCCACCGGACTGCGCAGGCGTGGGAGATCTCCAAGTTAATGCGCGGCGCCGCTGAACGCGGTCATCTGGTCATCGGTCTGGGCGACTTCAACATGCTTCCTTCCTCTTTCGCGCATCGCCTTATCACCGCGCAGAGCCCTGTTCGCGATGCTTGGCGTGAGCTGCACCCAGACTCTTCCCTCGCGGCAGCAATTGATCCTGTGGAAAAAGCACGCAATCTGCCTATTCCAACTGCCGAGTTCAATCTTGCGGAGAATGGAGCTACATGTGACGGGTCCTTCAATACCTGGCGCTGGACTGAGGCCATGCGCAAGCGCCTAGTCAAGGGTGAAGACATTGTAATTGACAAGGACACTCCAGATCCGCGCGGCAAACGCCTGGATTATATCTTCATCGGCGATGGTGGCTACCCGCCTGCATTCCCACCATCTAGCTGGTCAGTCGAGTCAGTTCAAGTCACCATGACACAGCGCCATCCCACTCTTCTCTGCTCGTTGAGCGATCACTTCGCCGTTGAGGCTGTCATCACCCGTTCTTCGGTACCGATATACCCTCCTTCCCACTCCACAGACTCTGCCCCAGCCTCTCCCACTTCTCCCACCCTACATAAAACAACTTCAAAGCCCGTCTCCCCCAACGCTGCTCTTTCACCAGACACATACGACCACATCATTGACATGATCCACAAATACGCGTCCCGTGAACGCTCTCAGCGCCGTTGGCGTCTGGCGCATTTCCTGGTGTCTATTGTGGTTTCTATTGGCTGCATGGTTGGTGTGTGGTGGGTTGGCAGTCGCACGTACATCGGATTCATCCTCATCCTAGTCAGCACGCTCAACTTCGGCGCTGGGATTCTGGATGGTTTGATTGGTGGACTGTTCATGTCAGGTGAGTTGCGTGCCTTGAAGGAATTTGAGTGGGAGGTAAGGAATGCTAGGTGCTTGGTGGTTGCCGCCGAGACTGGTGCAGGTGCTCCCAAAGAAACGGAAAGAGGTCAGAAGGATGATTGATCGTTCTTCTCGCAAGCTGTTCTGTGGAAAGGGAATCAATTATTCGATGGAAAAGTGGCTACGCAGGTGGATATATGATTTATTTGGATGTTTATATTTGGTTACGAAAGTATATTACAGGGCTAGTTATAAAACCTGGGCATATGCCCGGCTAGTCTTATCCCTGACTGGCAAAACTAATCTATAATTCGAAAGCACGATCAACTTCGCGATGAGATACTTGTCTACAGTTTTAAATAGAAGAATGAATAGAAGGAAATTTGCACAAAACGAGTGTGAAGTGCATTTGTTAAGAAATCAGCATCATCAAAGCTATAGGAACCTCTACCGAATCCACCAGCATCAAGCAAAGAGCAAGCAGAAACGACAAAGCGTCAGCACAAGAGAGTGCGAGTTTACTCGGCACACTCGCGCTTACGGGTTTCGTAGACACGCAGAGTCTCCTCAGCAGCCTTAACACCGCTCATAACCATAGCGCCGAAAGTAGGGCCCATACGGTTGAAGCCATCAATCTCCGACAGCTCCATACCACCAATGATAAGACCCTTAGCGACCTCACGGGTGTTCTTAACAATAGCATCCTCAGCCGCGTTCATGTCAAGGCCACGCATGCCGCCTAGCTTCTCAATAGCGTTCATGGAGACAAGACGCTTAGCGCAGAAGGCGCCGAATGGTCCGTCGTGGCCAGTAGTACTGATGATAACGGGGGCATTGATAGTGTTGGGGTCCATGCAGGAGTGGTCGTCGTGGTGGAGGGTGACGAGGGTCCAGTTGACGACGACACCGGCGAGGCGGATATCCTCGCCATCTGGGCGGGTGATCAGGTCCTCGACACAGGTTGCGTTGAAGAGCTTGACATTAGGGAAGGCGAGGACCTTTGACAGGAGGGTCGACGTGAAGAGAGCGGCGTGCTTGACGACCACGAAGTTGGGGTTCGTGGGCTCTTCTTCAAAGGGAACGCCAAGCTCAGTCAGGAAGGCGTCTGCGGGGCGTCGGAGGATCATAGCGCTGAATAGCTGGCCACCTAGCCAAGCACCACCGCCTGTATGGTATGTTAGTAATGCTATGTTGGTCTGAGCGTGTATTTCTATGAGAGTCTGCTCCCATATATGGACAAGACTAACCGGGCGACACAGAGGCCTCCACGATGGCAATCTTCAGGTCTGGACGGGCCTTGGCGAGCACGAAGGCAGCGCTCAGACCACAGGAACCGGCACCAACGATGACAACATCGCTCTCGGCGTAGTTGTCCAGATCCTGGAAGTAGCGACGGGTCATGGCGCGCGAGACTTGGCTCTCGCGGATAGGGGCGAACTTGAACTCATCCCATTTGTTGCCGAACTGTTCAAGAAGGTTTGTCTGGCCCTGACCGGTTAGGGTGGTAGTCACCGACTCAGGGACGATGACCTTGCCCTTGATGCCGGTAGGGGCAACAGTAGCAGACTCAAACATGGCAGCGGGAGGAGACATAATGGCTCAGAGATCAAGTCGGAGATATGACTTTGATTCTTGGTTAGTTTGACTACTCTATTTAGGGGGAGGGGGAGAGGGGAGGGCATGATCCTTTCGCTGGTATTATCCAGATCAAGTTAAAGGCCGTATAATCTCAGAACGAACTCACGCCGATGGTGAATTTGAATGTAGACATTGAAGTTCACCACCGACGCAAGAACGAACACCGGCTCACACCCAGAAGTTACCTGAGATACCTTGATCCCTGAGGGATAATATGCCCAACCAAAGAGTATCCATGGCTCCCAAAGGAAGGGCAGTATGTACTTGTTTGGGATCTAAACAAGAGTCAGCCCCGAGGGTATGTAAGTATATAGTGGTAGATAGTTACTGTTGTAATATGTATGCGTCAATTAGATTGATGAAGAAAAGAGAAGAAGAGGAGAAAGAACTGCGAACAGTGCGACCTTATATATGCCACTGTCATTTTGACCCCACCATCCCACCTATGGAGATGTCATATTTTTCCGACACTCTCCGGTTTTCCGGTGAGCTCCTTTTCCCGACCAAAGCACGAATGAAAGGTCCCAATGAAGTGACGTTGCTGGCTTCTCTGGCTTTTGGCTTCATGAGTGGCCCGGAGCGTTCTGTCCCGCGCTTCCTCCTTTGCCCCACGGAGGAGGTTTCCCGGGTACAACATACGCTAAATATGTAACTACAAGGTATAATTCTTGAATACCACCAAATGGGAACATAGTACTTCGTACATCAATAACTCTTATACTGTGGGATCCTGTTAAACTTGTCTAGATGTATAGATGGGGTGTTTCGTGGCATTTATATTGTACTGATGGGTGACTACATACATATGTATGTACGTCGCCACAAGGTGGCAGGATCGCAGAGTGAGAGCAATTATTATCAATAATAAGATCCACCTAGAGTCGCTTGGTGCAAAACTGTGAATTCAACAGGAAATACAGAGTACAAAGTATATATAGTTCATTTTGTTTTCGAAGACCCTTTGGGACTTGACATCATAGTCATGCTTGGAACTGGGAATATATATAAAAACACAAGGAGACACAAGAGAATATGTAGTGATGTCCATTACCGAATTCAAAAATCACAACACAAAACGGTAGTTAGCACCGTAATTATCCTCCGCTACCGGGGCGTCCACGGATTTTGTCGGATCTTCTTCTATGCGAGACCCATACTTTGTGTCAAGGCGTCGGTTCTCCCACACCAGGAGCGCACGCATACACAAAGCGAGGAATGTGGTGAAGAACATGAAAGCAGCACAGATTGCCATACCTTTTACATACCTTGGAGCTTGTTCATCTGGGAAAATATTTGTGCCCAGGAAAGGACCACACTGACCGATCAGGTTCAGCAGAATGATACCTCCACCACGGCGGGTATCGGAACCCTGATTGTCTGTACGTACAACGTAGCACATCCAATCAGTGAAAAGCCTTTACATCAAATGACTAGAAAGGAAATGACTCACTCAGAACCCACGGCAAAATATTGGCGATCGAGGGAAAGACCCCACAGGCTGCCAAGAACACACCAAAATATCGAACACCAACTGATGTACAAGTTGCGCAGAGGATATACCCCACACCCCCAATCATTGATAAAGCTGCGATCGTCAATCCACGTTGCTGAATGCGATCTGCCACCCAGGTGGTCGCGATTGTCGCCAGGAATGATGCAAAGAACGGAGGTGCAGTGAGTCCCTGGGCATTGATGGCTGTGAACCCCATCTCCTTGAGAATGGTGGGTAGGAATACGGGCAGAGAAGAAAAACTGACGTTACAGCTGAAGTACATCAACTAGGTACACGGTTTAACATCAGCAAGTTCTCCGCACAATATACACAATGATGCTGATGTTCGACTTACTGCTGTAATCCACGCTTTCACATCGAGAAGCGTCATGGCTAATTCCTTCCATTGGATCTTGCCCGTACGATCTTGCTCACCGGATTGTTGCAATGCACGGGCACGCGCAACATCCTTCTCTTCATCAGTCAGGAACTGAGCGTGTAGTGGGCTATCTGGCACATAGAACCAAGCCAACAGGGCAGCCGCGCAGACTGGAACACCCTCAACCAGGAATAGCAATCGCCAATTTGCCAATGCAGCATGTCCCGAAGTAATACCATAGGCTAAGGCACCGGCGAATGTATTTGCCAGCGGTGCAGCAGCCAGAAACATACCGCATCGGAGACCCAGCTCGTGGCGACGGTAGAAGAATGATAGCAGATAGGGCACACCAGGACCGAAGCCAGCCTCGAAGGCGCCCATCAGGAACCGAAGTGCCATCATGCCTTGCCGATTTGTGACCGCTGCCTGGCACGTTGCTACCAGACCCCTTTCCATCATTCGTCAGTTTATGATTCATAGATTCATATACATTTGCAATTCCGGCTGATTGACAGCATTGCACATGGGATTCATACCAGGAGAACACGACGAAGGCAGCCCATTTGTGAGGTTTGATAATTTTCCACATCAGTGCTTGGAATTCAAACAATGTATATGAAATATAGAATATCGTCAAGAGCCAGGCGTAGCTTTTTCCATCAAGGCCGAGGTCCTCTTCCATACCGGCGATTTTGGCATTGCTATGATCTACATTGTCAGCGGTCGTGCTATTGTGCATGCAGGTCCAAAGATGGTGCAGCGGACGTACCCGATATTACTTCGGTCGAGGAAAGCAAGGAGATCTAGATACCACAGAAAAAAGCACATGGTTAGAACATAGTTCGTTTAATGTCCTGGGGAGCCTCGAAGCATACAGAAAAATCCCAGTAACGTCGGAACACGCCAGTCTAGTTTCCTCACCACTCGACGCTCCAACTCTGGATCAATAGCCGGCAAGCTTGCATTGGGTAGTTTCTCCTCATGAGCGGGCACGGCGATTTTCTCAATATCTTCGTCCGGGGCTACTTGGATTATATCCTCCGGCTGCTCCTGCTTTCTTAAAAAGCCCATAATGAATTTGAGTCGTCTCAATGGACAATGGATTACTGTTCTGAGGTTGAAAACGGGATAGAAGAGAGAGAGACCCGGACAGATCTCCGGGGTTCGGAGGCATACTTATTCGCGGGGTGAAAGGGGGAAAAACCTAGGATCGGCAGAGGCGTACTACATAGTACAGGAACTAATGGCCAGCTCGGGTCAGATTCGTAGTCATTGGCGGGGACTGCAAAACCACATGTGTATTGATATTCTATTGGTCCTGGGACAGTGGACGAGATTTTGAGTGGAGAATTGGAGAGGAGAATGCGGAGGAATTGGCAAAAGCTTAGGTGGAGCTGCCGCCTTTGTTGAACCCCGAGGTTGGGGTTGGAGTACTTTGTACTTTGTAGGTCGTATATAAACCTTTTCTAAGGGTATGAGAATACACTGTGTCGTTTTTTGACCTTTGAGCCTTGACTCAGGATACCTATATACTTATTTTCAAGGTTGAAAGAAAGAAAAAAGATTCATATACACAAAAATGCTATTTGTCAACCAGTGTGTAGAGCATACCATTTCTCATCTGCCAACATCCATGTTTAAAATGTTCGGCTATAATGTTGTAGTAGCATCACTGATTTATCTTCTAGTGTCTATGTATACAGAATTACATAAATAATGAATGAATGAATCTCTCAAACTGGGAAAACACATGGAAAAAAAGCTGATGCCTGTAGATTAAGGTGTTATGCACATCAGGTCGTTGTGGATGACCGTATCAAAAATCTCCCGCGTAGTGTCGCGTTTATTGAACACCCCCATCCTTCATTGCTCTTGCCTGTCTACCTCCATCGCATCCCAATTGTTTCCCTTGTTTCGAACTCGATTCACTCGTATCTTCCCAAAGTTGATTGCACTTGGCGATCAAGCGCCCAATATGGATGACCCAGCCACACGCATCCCGGGGCAGCTGGTAAGACCCCGACAACTTCCTATAGCGATTGCCCTATGATCTGGAACCCCCACTAATATTGTCGCAATTATGATAGCTCCCCCACATGCACCTGGTTTCGCGCAACCGATATCCTAGCATGCACATGATGCCCTCCGAGACCGCCGTCGAGTATTTGACGAGCGCACCCCGGATCTGCCAATCTCAGCCAATGCATTGGACATTCCTAGATGGTCCCCCAGATGGGACTGTCATGCTTACATGGCAGCCACAAAACCACCTAGGCAATAATTTTGCTAGTGATGGCTATATCTGGGCTGACCAGGAACAGGCCTTTACCTTCGAATCACGCGGCTATGTATGCCTCCTGCAATGAAGCTTCCCTTGCTCTACGTGGATTCTATTCTAATATTTGAGGGCACAGACTGTCGAGATGTACCTTCAACGAAGCGGTTTCCACCCTCCCAATGAGCCCGTGGCCACACACTGCCGCAAGCGCTACCGCATCACCTCGTCCAAAGTACCGAATGCTCCCCAGCCCGACCCATCACTGTGGATTGTGCACTACACCCGTGCAGCGCCTCAAGACCATGCCCCTGCAAACCGAATTCAACTTACACCCCAAATGCAGGGCATGATGAGCCAGCGCCGCTTCCTTCAGAGCCAAGGGCAATTGGCCCGCAAGGACTTTTTGCTTCATGATCGCAACAGCTGGCCAGTCATCAACTTCCCACAAATGACTCCGCAGAACTTTGGACAACCTGGTGCTTACCCGGCTGCCGCGCCTCGTGGGCCTGGTTTCTATACCCCCCAGGGTCATCCCGGTGCAGTTGCGCCCAATGCACCAGTAGCCAAAGGACCGCGCGGACACCGTGCGCCCTCGGCCGCCCTCGCTTCTGCAACAGCTGATTTTGCTATTGAAGATGAGGACGTCTCCAGCGGTGACGCTATGGATCTTTTGACTCCCCGCGATGTCAGCAAGATGCGGTACCAGCAGCACCACGAGTGGATGGAGGAAATCTTTGCGTCGCCATACAGTATCTCACAAATTACGCCAGTTTCTTTGGGCCTGGGCCGAAAGGGAGAGCTCGAGTCTCTGACCGCAGGCTTCTTTGATGCTCCTGTTGGAACCTCTGGTGGGGAAGGCCAGGAGGCGGGCGACGCCCCGCAGGCTAACAAGATGGAATCGGCCAAGGCAGAGGAGTTTGCTGAGCGGGTTTCCAAAAAGGTGGCAGACATGACTGCCGAGATCGAAAACTTGAAGAAACAGCATGCTCGCCGGATGCAACGTTTCAACCGAAGCTCATTGCTCAAGGATGCCGAGTTGCGCCTTCGAGAGTCTGCTGCCGACCCGACCGAAAAGGGCCCAGAGATTTGGAGATTGGAGGGCCGAGTGGTCATTCCAACAGAGGATGAAACCCCGCAATTGGATTATATTGAGGATAAGGCCAAATACAGGGTTGACGAGGTAGTCCGGGAAGTTGAGACTGCCTGGAATAAGCAAATCGTTGCCGAACCTAAGGTATCCTGTGTCGAGAAGGGCGGTTTATTGGAGAAGATTGAGCCCGAACACAAAGACGAGCCTGATTCATTTACTAATGATATGGTCATGGACGATGATTCCCACCTACTCAATCAATTTGGCAGCCCCCCAGGTGTGGGTGCAGGTGCAGTCTCAGGTGTTTCCGTCAATGGACAGCCGATTCATGGCGCTGATATGTCTGGTGATGTTGACATGGATTTGGGCGACCAGCTCCACGGTGGTACTAATGGCCAGGCCAACGACTGGGTAATGGTGAACAATGAGGCCAAAGATCATGGCCCGGTTGGTGAAGACTTCGACTTTACCAACATCGACAGTGCCGGTGATGCCTTGGCGGCTTATAGCGAGCAGAATGATGGGCTTGACTTGCCAGACCTGGATAACTCGGCGTTTGGCGACGCATTCCATGCATCTGACAACGAACACTCGCACAACCCTGATACGGATGACATTTCCTAGTCTTTTGAAATATTTTCATATGAAAGTAGTTTTTTATTTCTTTTTTTTCTAACGAATGATTATGCAGATCAGTCATTCTGGTCTGTTCCAGGCGTTGCGGGGCTTGCTGTTCGGGGGTCTGGATTTAGGATGCTTTAGCTGGTTGTGTACCATAAGATTCGCCAGAGGAGAATTTCTGTTTCCTCTGGCTCTGCGAATTTCTTTCTCGTGGCCTCGAATCCTGAGGATAGAGTGTGGGATCTCTCATGAATTTAATCCCTGTTTTCCACTATATTGTTCACTGTAGGTTTGATTGAATGAGATATTTCCCAATTAGGAAGGTAGCAATATTCAGAATCTGCAAATAAAGATACAATTCCCTTTTCTATGATCTATGATTATATACCTATGAAGTGCATTCCCAATTGGAATATAGGATCATAATTAACTAATAGTCTCCAGGGCTAGTAGCTGGTAGGTACTGTACTATCAGTACTCTAATATCGGGAAGTCGGTCGAGAATGATGATCAGCCTTAAAGATACTTACAAGTTAACTCAAAGTGCATAAGACCATCACCACTCATGACTATTCTACAACATCAATCTTGAAATTTCCGCAATCGGACGAAGTGATGTGTATGAACTGTTCAACTCGACATCCGTCCCTCCCCGTTAATGACGTCAGCCACCGGGACTGTACTTCCTCTAAGGTAAAAGAAGAAGAATAGGGTTCGACCATCGTCATCTATAGGAAGCTACCACCTGACTTATCCATTACCTCTCCCAGATTCTCATTTCTCAACTTCTCATCTTCAAACATATCACCCCCCGTAACCCTAGCTTGTATTGATTGAACCATATCTACATACAACAAGATGTACGTATTCTACAGTTCTCATACTTCACTTTGGCTAAACCAAATTCCAGGAACCGCAACCTTTCATTCCGATCGCGCAACAAGGAGCCACCTGCCAGCCGGCAGCGGTTCGGCATCTCGACCTTGCGCGGGATGCAAGCGCCGGAGTTGAGCCGCAAGATGACCAAGCTGATCAAAAGCGAGAACACCGCCATCGGTGCCCACGAAGCTGCCGGCCGTGAGCGTGTCGCAATCGCCGCCCAGCTCTCTGAATGGGGAGAGGCGACTGAAGACGACAATGTCTCCGACATCTCCGACAAGCTAGGTGTCTTGCTCGCCGAGATAGGAGAGCAGGAAGACGGCTTCGCGCAGAACCTCGAGGACTATCGTGGTATCCTGAAGCAGATTCGCAACATGGAGGCCTCGGTGCAGCCGTCACGCGAGCAGCGCCAGAAGGTCACTGACGAGATTGCCAAGCTCAAGTACAAGGATCCTTCGAGTCCTCGTCTGGTCACGCTGGAGCATGAGCTTGTCCGGGCTGAGGCTCAGAACTTGGTTGCTGAGGCGCAGCTGTCTAACGTCGTAAGTTTGATTCTGACTTCGTTCTGTTCTTGTGTGGTGTGTTGAGGTTAGTTTTTCGCTAACGTTCATCTCATCTGTAGACACGCCAAAAGCTCAAGGAGGCCTATGACATCCATCTGGCGGCCGTCATTGAGCGCGCCGAGAAGCAGACTATTCTGGCTCGCCATGCTCGTCGCCTGCTTCACTACATTGATGACTCTCCTGTTGTTCCTGGCGATGCACGCCAGGCGTATGACCATGAGCTCTCGGCGCGCCAGATCCTCGAGGATGCCGAGAATGACCTCCGTGGATGGGAACCCAGCGTTGAGCCTATTCCCTCTACCACCGCCCAGGATTCTCAGGCTCAGGCCAATGGTATCAATGGTATCAGCAGTTCCAGTGTCAATGGACTCGATGAGGTGTCAGAGCAACAGTCGGATGTTCTCGAGAATGTCTCTGTGATTGAAGGTTACACCGAACCAGTGGGAAGCGGTGCGCTGCCCGCGAGGATGGTGGTTGTGGAGCCTTCGCCTGCGTGATCGATTCAATCCTTCTCAAGAGGTTCATTGGTCTCCTTTTTTTTGTTCGATACGGACATACTTCAGCTGTTATCTGTAAACTCGATTCTTCGCCTCAGATTGGGCACCAAACGGTGCAGGTGTTTTCGGGAAAGGCGTTGGCACTGAACACAGGGCTATACTCAGGAAATATGCGCAGTGTGTATTGTAAAGTTAATTCGCTAATTCTTTAATTCTTTAATTCTTTAATTTGTGGTTTTGACTTATTCTCTTTCTTCTAAAAATGATATGAAATCGTACTGCGATTTGTAGCAGTGCATTCACGTGACCGCAGGCGCCAGAGTGACGCGGAAACCCCGAGCTCCAGCGGAGCTCCAACCATCGCTCTACTGTCTCACCAGAATCCCTTTCACGTCTTTCCAGCATCTTTTTTTTCTAATTTCCCCCTTATTTTATCTCACTTCAGTATACAATGGATAAACTTGTTGCCCAATATTCACGCGCTCCCCATCAAAATGAGATGTACTCAGAGCAAGAGCAGCAGGACCTCACTGCGAGCGTCCCTCCACTCTCGCTGAAGTTCAGCCTTCCTCCTGTCGATAACGTGAGTTTCTGATAAATATTGTGGCAGATTCTCGTTGGTTTGGATGGCGGTTTGATCAGAGGGAGTGTGTCTATCCTGACGTCAACCTAAGCTGCGCCGTCATCACAGCTATGCCTAAGAGAATCGCTAGCCAGAACCTATCTATGATTGAAAGAAGCAAACTATCGGATTGGCACTGACTTCTTTTATCTAGCACTCTGCTTTCCTGCGTGCCATGACCGATGATCACTCCAATCCTAGCTGTCCTATCAAGCTTGCCCACGGCACAACAACCCTGGCCTTCCGGTTCCAGGGCGGTATCGTACGTTTCCCTAGGTTATACCATGATTCTGTTAGTTCTGGGGCATGTTATGCTGATTGATATATTGGGTTAGATCGTGTGTACCGATTCACGAGCAACAGCCGGCAACTGGATTGCCAGTCAGACAGTCAAGAAGGTCATTCCTGTATCGCGGTTGAGTCGGGGTGAGGACAAGAAGTCAAATGAGCCAACGCCAGGACTTCTGGGAACGATGGCTGGTGGTGCAGCTGTAAGTTTGGACCACAAGTGATGATGACAAGTGATGGTGTGATGGATGTTGGTTGCTGATGGTTGTTGCGAATTGCTAGGATTGTCAATATTGGTTGCGGTATTTGAGTCAGCAGTGCACTCTGCATGGTAAGTCAGCTCGATCCTTGATATCTGCAGAGATTGGAAGGACATTGCTGATGAATTCCCATCTAGAAATCCGACACAAGCGCCGCATCACTGTTGCGGCCGCGTCCAAGATTCTTGCCAACCTCACTTACGCCTACAAGGGATACGGACTTAGCATGGGAACTATGTTAGCAGGAGTATGTCTCATGCATCATCTACAGCCATGAGACTCGAGGACTGACAATGATCTCTAGATGACGCCCCAAGAAGGACCCGCCCTGTACTACATCGACTCCGACGGCACTCGTCTCCCCGGTAACCTGTTCTGTGTTGGATCCGGTCAGACTTTTGCTTATGGTGTGCTGGACGCTGAGTACAAATATGACCTGACCGAGGAGGAGGCATTGAACCTGGGCCGCCGAGCCATTCTTGCTGCCATGCATCGTGATGCCTACTCCGGTGGTTTTATTAACCTGTACCACGTCAAGGAAGAGGGATGGGTGCACCACGGATTCGATGACATGAACCCTATCTTCTGGAACACGAAGCTCGAGAAGGGCGAGTTCTCCAACGTGACATCTGAGTTGTAAACGGGTCTAGAGGAATGAATTTTTGTGTGTAATATTGATATCGATATGTCATTGGATTATGCTTAGGTTTCAAGTGTCAACGCTGGTTTCAACCTATGTACTGTTGTTCAATCAGGTGGACGGCACTCAGCTAAACACATGCTGGCTCATCTCACATTAGGAGTCGCCCTGCCTTTCTCTAGGCCTACCCCTTTCATAAGATAACTCTGATCTCCAACTAAACAGCCAATTGCATAGCTATCTCAATCTGCGGGAACCTCCCCCTAATCAAACGAAACTTGTCCAACAGAATATGTTTCGGCATAACCTGCAGATTATGAAAAGAAAGCACAACCCCCTGTATAAAAACAATATCATCGATGCGACTCGTCGTCTCCTCCCTAGTCGCCTGTGGCACATGAATCACCACATCAGCAATAGTATTAACAATCTCCAACAACTTGCTAATCATCGATGAGCCATGCATGCGAATTGTATTCTGCGAGATCTTCGTCAAGAACTGCCTGAGCTGACTCGATAACCTCAACGGCATCTCCAGTTCCAACGACGGACACGACGCATGCGAACTAAGCAAACAATTCGACATTGCCATCTGCCACAACAGGGTCCTCATCCACTGCCTCGTAACAACCAAATCCGCCTGCTGCAGCTCCGACAGCGCAGAAACCTCCACCTCCCACAACGCATCATCCAGCTCCCGGTGTTTCCGCTCAACCCACGACGCAGTCACCTGCGTGCGGTCTCCAATCCACAGACTAATAAACGACGCATCCAGCATGCAGAACGTCTTGATCACCTGCATCCAACCCTGCTGGATTTCAGGGGCCAAGAATGCATCTTCTTCTGGGTACTGCGTGTGCGGGGGCAATGTCGCCGGAGTAAAGTTCACGATCGACATGAATCGCTCGTGGATGAAGCATTGCCAGTAGAGTCGTTGGCGTCGGGCTCGTTCGGCAGTGGTGAGGCCCGAGTTGATGGTCTTGTCGCTGATGCGAAGCATCTGGATCATGCTGATTGCTTCGCGGAGGTAGAAGAAGCCGAGGTCGTACTGGCCGAGGCTCATGGCGCACATCTGGATGAAGACGCTTGTCATGGCGCGGAGGATTGAGGGTCGGAAGCCTATTACTAGTGGTTGTTGGGTTTCCACGGACTGGCGCATTAGGTCGGTTATTTGTGTTGAGGTTGGTGGGGTTCCAAGTTTGGTGCCGAGTTGAGAAGAGCGAGTTAGGTCCAGGGTGACTGCGGTGAAGGCGTAGATGAAGGCAGCGTGCTCTCTTTCGTGCATCCTCGAGATTGATAGGCGCACTTCTGTGTCGGTGATTATTGGGCTGAATGGGTATACATAGGACATGTAGGCTGGAATTAGGCTTTCAAAGTACGAGATTGGTAGTTGGAGTGAAGCTGTAGGTGCCAGTGGAGAGAGAAGTGGTGTCAGGGAGGCAGTTCGGCTGTTGGCGCTCTTGTATTTCGAGATGACGGCTCCTCGACGTAGTGCATGTTTTCTTGATCGCAATGAACGGTTCTCTGTGTAGGTGCAGAGGAGATCCAGGTGCTCGCATTGCTGGCATCTTTGTTGGCCGTTACAGCGAACTTTGCGGCGATTACATGGGTCGCATGCTTTGGGAACTCGCGACTGAGAATTTGGACTAGCCATTTTCTCTTGTGATTTTAAGGGGTCAGGGGTAGATCTGTTGATGTCTAGTCGAAACATGTACTTCCTTTTCCCCGCGTTCTTGAAGAAGGCCTTGGCAACTAAGACTCTTAGCGCCACGGGCCTGTTCTCCGTCTATGTTGGAACTATGAAAAATTCACGTGTGAGAAACTGCCTAGGTAGGCCTACCCCATATAAATATGCATTAATTTGCATTAATTAAAAGCTTGGTAAAACTGGAATCCGGGGTGAATCTGGGGTAAGGCTGAGATGAGCTGGGGTGTACGGTACTTTTAGGCCGGCTATATATATATCAGGGCGTTTACTTAGGTACGTAAAAGTGTGGATATTAATTACTCAGGTTCTGAAATCATCCAATAAGCATAATTGATTGCAATCTGTCCTAATGGTGTCCTCTATTGGACCAGTTTGAGTATCATGGGCTATCTGACCTGTGGTATACCCCAGCCCTAAACCAAAAAGACTCTTCCCTCAAACGCCTGTAAGTCCTCCTTGTGTCCAGTTACATTTCCAGCCAATAATTTCCAATCTTCGCTCTTCACAGAATCCGGTTTCTGGAACTTCTGTGTTGTATCCGAGAAGTTGAGAACCACCAAAATAGTCTGGTTGCGACTTGTCTTGGTATAGGTGAAGACACTCTGATTTGGCTCATCGAGAATATCAAACTCTCCAAAGACCAGGAGATCAGCATATTCCTTGCGCAACTCATTCATCTGTTTCCAGAAAGAAAGTACAGAAGATGAGTCTTTCTCTTGGAGCTTCACATTGATCTCGGGGTAATTGTCATTCGGGCGCATCCACGGCTTTGCCGATGAGGCCGGTGAAAAGCCCGCATTGGCTTCAGCACTCCATTGCATGGGGAGTCTCGAGTGATCTCTCGCCAAATGCTGCAGAGAATCCATGGCCATGCTCAACGCGGCTGGATCTTCGCCAGATGCTTTGCTTGTCATTTGATAGTAGTTGGTGCTATCGATGTCTTTGTATTCGTCAATGGTCCACTCCCGGGGCGCATTCACCATTCCAATCTCTTGGCCCTGGTAGATGAACTGTGTGCCGGAAAGTGTGCTTTGCATCATGGCAAGCATCTTTGCCGACCGAACCCTCAACTCGGGTGTCTTGTCAGAACCGAACCGACTTACAGAGCGACCCTGGTCGTGGTTTTCCATGAACACTGTGGTCCATGCATCAGTGCCCCTGATGATATCTTGTGTGTTCTTCACTGCATTCTTCAGTTCTCGTAGATTCCAGCCTGGGAAAGTGGTGAGGAACTTATAGTCCTTGCCCTGGCCGAGGTCCACGAGGTCGAACTGGAAGACCATGCTCAGCTGCTTCTCTGCTGCTGAGACATAGCGCAGAACACCCTCCAAGGTATGTGTGTTTGGCAGTTCGCCAACGGTCATTGCATCGTATTTGGAAAGCACCTCGTTCATCTCGCTCAGGTACTCGTGAATGCGAGGACCGTTGCAGAACAGATCAAAAGCAGGTTGCGTTTCGGACTTTGGATCAAGGATTGGGGCATTGGCATACGCGGGGTGCTTGCTGTACATGTTGACCGTATCGACTCGGAAGCCATCTACGCCCTTCTGCAGCCAGAATTCCATCGCAGACTCGTAGATTTCCTGACGAGTCTCGGCATTCTCCCAATTGACATCAGGTTGCTCAACACAGAACAGATGGAGATAATATTCTTGTGTTGTCTCGTCCCACTCCCATGCACTGCCTCCAAAAATGCTGCGCCAGTTATTTGGCGGCTGACGGTTTCCATTGGCATCATACTTCGCTGGCTTCCAGATGTACCAGTCGCGCTTGGGGTTTGTCTTTGAAGAGCGGGACTCTTTGAACCACTGGTGCTGGTCTGAGGTGTGGTTTACCACCAGATCCAGGATAATTCGAAGTCCCCGCTTGTGGCATGCATCAATGAGGGTCTCCATATCTTGGACAGTGCCATAAGGGCCATATACGCTTTGGTAGTCGGAAATATCGTAGCCCATGTCAATCTGTGGGCTGTCATACATTGGACACAGCCATATCACATCTACACCAAGGCTTGTGATGTAATCGAGGGACGAGATGATCCCTGGAATGTCTCCAATGCCATCACCATTGGAATCTTTGAAGCTGGCAGGGTATATTTGGTAGATGATGGAATTTTTCCACCACTTTTCGCCTACTATAGCAGGAGACATGGTGAATGTAAAGGATTGGGTAAGAAATGGCAAATGAAGAGAAAAATACACAAGATAGGAGAAAGTGCGGAAGGTATATATACCCAAAGCATTCAATTTGGGATCATCATTGCATTACCTACAGCTCAATGATTGAGTCCAGGCTCCTCTGATATGCATGTAGGAGAGGGTCATTGCTGGGTCACTGCTCTCTAATTGACTTGATGTCGGGCCGACTGTCAAAATTAGCCATATCTCGTGCCACTCATTTTCCTGCGGGGGCTTTTTTTTCTAATACTGCTCGAGGAATGGCAGTGCTACAGTAGGATGGAGATTTCCACTAATTCCCACTTATTTCACTCAATTGCACGATCCGGAGAGCATACCGAGCTGTCCAACGTATTTAACCATGTGAAATGCCAAGAGTCTCCGAGCCGATTCGTCTCTTCTCCGGACCTAGCTGATCTCAGTTAGATCGCCGAACAGGATTGAGGAGGGGAGAAGGAGTATATCGGGCCGACACTTCACCAATCAACCTGCGCGATGCCCTGTGTTTCGTATTGACTGCTTTAGGGTTATCGCTTCACCTGAATCAGTTAGACGGATGGAAAATTCCATGCGGGGCAATTGCAGGGCAATTGCAAAGTAAATACAAAGCAAATGAAGATCACAGTGTCCCTCTTCATCCCTCTCCGGCCCGACATCAGTCCAATCATGACTCTCCCACAAAATCCGGGGATAGTGGGCTGACCCTAGACCTACCCCGTAAAGATAAACCGGGGAAAGTTTCTCCACGCCACTATTTTCGCTTGTTGGAAGGAAAATAAGCAAAGAAATAAACTTGACGGAAAAGTGGGCCAATTGTATTCCGTTTTTGTCCTCGCTCCTTATGGACTCATCGTCGGCGACAATTAGGAAATTTTTGTATATAAGTGTCCAACTCCCCCATGGTATACCTCTCTTCCATCCAGTCCAGTTCACATACAACCTCCTGGAATCATTCTCGGGGCCTTCGTTGCCACCATTATCCCAGCAATGGCTTCCGAAAAGCAAGCCAGCGACCATGTCGAGAAGCATGACTCGATCGAGCCAGCAGGCAATGTCCTGCCGGGCTTCTCAGACCAACAAACCACCAATGAAGCCCACGCTGCCATTCAAAAAGAACACAACATGACCGCCATGGAAGCCCTAAGGCTCTATCCCAAGGCTGTGGCCTGGTCCCTCCTCCTCTCCTGCGCCATCATCATGGAAGGCTACGACGTGGTCCTGATCGGCTCATTCTTCGCCTTCCCAGCTTTCAACGAGAAATACGGCGGCCTCATGTCCAACGGAAAGTACGGCCTCGCCGCCTCCTGGCAAGCGGCCCTAACCAACTCAATGAGCTGCGGTCAGATCATAGGTCTCTTCGTCAACGGTATCGTCTCCGAGCGCTACGGCTACCGCAAAACTCTAATGGCCTGTCTCGCTACCACCGTCGGATTCATCTTCATCCTCTTCTTCGCTCCAAATGTCCAGACCCTCGTCGCCGGCGAGCTGCTCATGGGTATCCCCCTCGGTGTCTACCAGACGCTCACAGTCACATACGCTTCAGAGGTATGCCCCGTCGCACTGCGCGCCTATCTCACCACCTACGTCAACTTGTGCTGGGTATTCGGACAGCTCATCGCCTCAGGCGTGCTGAAGGGTCTCGTCGAACACACCGATCAGTGGGCATACCGCATCCCCTTCGCCATCCAGTGGGTGTGGCCTGTGCCGATCTTCATTGGAGTGTATCTCGCACCCGAGAGTCCGTGGTGGCTTGTGCGGAAGGATAGACGTGAAGACGCCATCAAGGCTGTGAAAAGACTCACGCGCGCCGATCCCAACTTCAGCGCCGAGGAGACCGTCTCCATGATTGTGTATACGAATGCAATGGAACAGCAAACCGAGAATGGCGCTTCGTATATGGACTGCTTTAAGGGCACTGACCTGCGACGCACAGAGATCGCGTGCTGTGTGTGGGCGGTGCAGAGTCTGTGCGGTAGCGGTCTGATGGGCTACTCGACTGTCTTCTACCAGCGTGCTGGACTGGCGGACTCGCAGTCATTTACGATGTCGCTGGCACAGTATGCGATTGGAGTTGTTGGTACTTTCAGCTCGTGGCTGTTTATGACGTACTTCGGTCGCCGCACGCTGTATGTCGGTGGCCTGATGATTTTGGCTGTTATCCTGTTTGTGATTGGGTTTATATCGATTGCGCCGGCGACTTCGGCGCTCTCGTGGGCTACGGGATCGATGTTGCTTGTGTATACGTTCATCTATGATTCGACTATCGGGCCGGTGTGTTTCTCACTGGTTTCGGAGATGCCTTCATCGAGACTCCGGACTAAGACCGTTGTGCTGGCAAGAAATACGTACAACGTGCTCAATCTGGTGACTGGTATTATCATTCCTTATATGTTGAACGTGGATGCGTGGGATTGGAGGGGAAAGTCTGGGTTCTTCTGGGGTGGACTTTGCATTCTCTGTCTTGTTTGGTCGTTCTTCAGACTTCCTGAGCCCAAGGGTCGCTCTTATGCTGAGTTGGATGTTCTGTTTGAGAACAAGGTGCGCACAAGGGAGTTCCCGAATGCGAAGACCGGTTTGGTACAGAGTGAGCTCGAAGGGGAGAAGGGCTCGGTTTAAGGTATAATATTTGGAAGGTAATAGTGGAATTATAGTGCGGTAGCGAGTTGTTTGTAATGTGGCATCAAATGAAATGAATATTTCGTCTTGTTGTAACTGGATCCTGAAAATTAAATGCCTTGAGAAGATTAGAGCTAAACGTAGCCCATGTACAAAGACCATTTTCTGTAATACTTCTGATTCCACTAGGAAATGTTGTTCGTACACAAAAGAATATTTGCAAAAAAAAAAAGATAAGACAAGAAGCAGATGAGTATAATCATTAAACCAGGTATACGCCACCTATGACATTGAAATAAGACAAACAATTTTTGAGTCCCCCAGTCAGAGACTGATATATCAGTTATCCACCAAGAACTTCATTCTAATACCCATAGCCGCCAACTCGACATCCAGGTACCGCAGCACACCAGGCACGGCAACGATAGTAACATTGTCACCACCAACGTGGCGGCGTCCATTACCATCTTCCCAAACCTCAGCACGGGAGTCATCAAAGGTAGCCTCACGGGCACAGCGACGGCAACGCACAACACCACTAAGACCGCCCACAGCACCAATAGCAGAACCGGCATGAGCATTGGTGCTCTGCTGGTTAGGAGCAGCCTTGGCAGCAGCCGCGGCAGCACCAGGGTTGATAGCCGCGCGGTTGCGGGACGAGCCGGAAACAGCAACTTGCGTGGACAAGAAGGAACCACAGCAGCGACAGATCCAGGTGAGCGTGGAGTCGGAGCAGTTCATGAGACGATCCTGCAGCAAGAAGGCCGCACCGTGAGCAATGAGCGAATCACGCTCCATCTCTCCGACACGGATACCACCACCCTTCGCACGACCCTTCACGGGCTGGCCAGTGAGCGCGTTGACGGGACCAGTGGTACGCACTTGGAACTTGTCGTTCACCATGTGACGCAGACGCTGGTAGTAGACCAGGCCCATGTAGATGTCGGCAGAGAACTCACGGCCCGTGATACCACTGTACAACGGCTCGTTGCCGTAGTAATTGTAGCCGGCTTTGCGGAGCTGCTCGCCAAAGTAGTCGGTTGCGGTGTTTTCTTCGGAGAATTGGAAGGGAGTGGAGTCTTGCGGGAGACCGTGCATGGCACCGGCTTTACCGGCCATGGACTCGATCATTTGGGCGATTGTCATACCTGGGGATATATGTTAGATGGGTGGATAAATTTGATGTAAAGAGGGATGGGGACTTACGGGACGGGAAAGCGTGAGGGTTGATGATCAGATCGGGCTGCATGCCGCTCTCAGAGAAGGGCATGTCGACCGCAGGCCAGAGTTGAGACAAGACACCCTTCTGACCGTGACGAGAGGAGAACTTGTCACCAATAACGGGCTTTCGGGGAATGCGGTACTTGACGCTGAGGGATTGAGCGGGCTCATTGCCAGACTCAGAACCCATGATGCGGATGCTCTCAACATAGCCTTCCTCGGCATCCTTATATTTCATATAGTGAGTAATTCCATCAACGTTAACATACGAGTCGGAGGCGGGATCGAAGCGGACATTGTGCCAAGCCGCGATCTTGTCGCCTTCCTTAACACGAGCACCCAAGTGCGGCATTCCATCTTCGTCAAGGATGTTGCGCACCTGCTCTTTGATCTCGTCGCCGGGAGCGAATCCAAACAGCTTGGTGACCTCACGCTTGGACTTGTTGCGACGGGAGTCATTCTCGGCTAAAGTGATGACCTTGGTCTTGTAGACTGTACCGTGACCGAAGCCACGTTCGTGTGCGGACTTGTTGATAATCATAGCATCGTCCATGTCGTATCCGGTATAGGAGATAATAGCCACAACTGCGTTCATACCGTTGGGGAAGTTGTCCAGACCGTATGCGTTGTAGAGAGGTGGCCGCACAATTGGCGTTTGACCCGTTTGGATGCGGTACAACTTGTTGTCGGTACGGTGAGCAATCGAGGTACCTGGGGTACCCATGGTTTGTTTGCTCATCTGGCACTGGTACATGTTACGGGGAGATTGGTTGTAGTCGGAGAAGGGAGTCATGTTCGCGACGATGGAGAGGATGTTCGTGGGCGAGAACTCGATATGAGTCGAAAGACCGGGAATCAGGTCAGACTCCACACAGGCAATCTCCATGAAGGGCTGCTCAAATGGTCCGACGTAATCCAGCTTATCCAGCGCCAGATACTTGACAGGGCGATACATTCTCGCTGACTGGGAGAACATATAGATACCTGGGTATTGACCACCGCTAGAGTTGGGAATATATCCAACTTCCAATTCACGAGGAATGTTGTTTTTGCCTTCGACCTTCCAGTACCGGATGGTATCGGCGATTTTCTGGGCCTGCTTGGGTGAGCAGTAACCAATGATTCGTCCATCCAACTGGACGACCACGCTCTCGTCCAGAGCCACGGAAGACTCAGACCGGACACCAAGCTGAACCAGAGTCCGAGGCAGATGAGATACATCCAAGTTGTCCGTGGAGATTAAACACTTATGCGACAAATGGTTGAGCAGACCGCAAGGCGATCCATCAGGAGTGTGAACAGGGCAAAGGAAACCCCAACTTTCTGGCAGCAGTTTGCGGACAGTAGTAGTCTTCAACTGAGCGAAGAAACTACCACGGTGAATCATGCGGAAATGACTGATGAAACGGTAGAAGTTGATCTTCTCTGCAATGACGGTGTAACCTGAAGTCTGTTGCAAATCGAGACCCGTAGGACTGACCAAGTTACCGGTGGAAAGGAAGTACTCAAGCGCATTACCAATATTCTCGTTTGATCGCTTGACGATCTTGGAGAGGAAATCTCGCTCAAATGTTTCGTCGGTGAACTTAGCGCCGTTGTTACGGATAGACCAGTCTCTGGCAATGGGACCGAATGAACGGAGCCACTCCTCAATACGTTCCTTCAGGATCATTCCGTAAAGGAAACCACCAAGCAGAATTTCTTGGTTGGACACGGCATCAGGGTTGTCGGGGGCACAATCACCTGCAACTGTAGAGTAAAGCTTGCGGATCATGAAGGTGATCAACTTGAACTTGTCCCAGTCTTGCGTTTCGGTGACATTCTCGTTTCCAAGATGGGGGAGAACGACCTTGCGGAGGAACTCTGTGCCAACTTCCTCATCGGGCATGTCAGCGGGGACTCCGAGCACAGGTCGGAAAGCCTTGCCCAGGTGAGACCGGCAATCGTACTGGCTGTGCTTCTGGTAGGCGTGGTAGGTTCTCAACAACAGCTCGACACGGTCCGTGACGAAAGTGTTTTTCATGCCCTTGGAGGAAGCACCACCGACAATAGACTCGAAGATTTCGCGGTCATTGGTCTCAGCAAGTGCCTTGAGAATCATCATCACGGGGATAAGGTATTCATTCTTGCGCCATGAGAAACGGAAAGTGACGTTTCCATCGGAGAGGTAGTGAAGCACGTTGGTCTGCGAGGTCTGATCGGGACGGACCGATCGTATTTGAACACCGAACTTTGTGTAGGTCTGACCACGCTTGACGAAGGAACCACGGATGATGGACATTGGGTAGTTGCGCTTGCCGACAACCAGCATACGAATGAGCTTCTCGTTACCATTGACGATGAAGAAACCACCCAGTTCCTCCGATTCTTCATTGTGTTGAACGAGCTCCTGGGGAGTAGCCTTTTCGAGGTGACACCGGTTTGTGCGCACCATGATTGGGACATTACCCAGCTCGCGGACGGACTCCATCCAGTCGCCATTGTTGATCTGGTACTCGAGGCGGGCGCGGAGCTTACCACGGTAGGTCGCATGGCGCTCTCGGCATTCCGAGGGGTAAATTTCACGGTTTCGGGTGGCGTACTTGTTGGTGGGGGGCAGGGTAGGCTTTTCGAGGAAGATTTCACGCACGCGGACGTTCAAGCGATTCCGCCTCGGTGGGCGAACGCCTTCTGCTTGACGAGCCTTCTTCTGCTCGTAGGTTTCAAGTTCACCATCGAGGAAGGTCTTAATACCGATATCCTTCAATCCTGCCTCCAGGATCTTGCTGTCCTCAAAGAGAGCATTGAAGGAATCAATATGCGGTCGAATCGACTCGGCCAGCGATGGATAAGCTGTGTGATCGGTGGGAGGATTCTTGAACAGGTTCTCCCGTCGTAGGGTGTCATATTCGACTGACCACTCGGTATCTGTGGCTGTGGGCGCCATGATGGAAATTCGCAGCTCTCAAAAGCCGGTTGATTGCGGTATAAAAAAATAAAGATTTAAAACGACACAATAAATGTGACCGTTAATGTAAAGATAAAAGTGTGGCAATATCGGTTCGATCCCTCCGCCCAAAATTATATCAGCCACTAGACCACAGGAATTGAACCGACAATGGCAGCTGCCAAACGAAGATGAGAGGTCTGTTCTGCTTGGGGAAATTTTTCGAGGGTGGAGCCGGATGATTATCATCACGTGGTGATATACAAAATTCTGGCCTGAGGCACCTTTCGATTGCCCAAAAGTTCCAAGTTCAGACAGTTCGTGCCATGCCGTTTCATCCCTACTAACTACTAACTACGGAAACTCTAGTTCAACTGCCAGTTCCTGGCTCTTGAACCCATAATCCTAGTAAACTCTAGATAAACCTTGCAATACTCCCAGAAATGTGGAAATTTGTAACTACGCCCCTAGATATGCTGCACAATGTCCTCTATTTTTCATTTTTGAGGCCAATGGAGTCTAAGCGCCCTCGGGGTCATGTGTGTAGGTAGCGTAAATTCTCCATAGAAAAATAGTAGATCCAATATCCCTTTTCTATTGACATCTGCCGGCGGTTCTCCCCTTAAAACAACCTAATAATAGGCATTAAATTGTTCTTGTTACGGTGTGACGATCTTGCTTTTTCTTTCTTTTTCTTATCCCCTTCCTCTTTTTCTTACTTTTTTGACCTCTTCATCAACATTGAAATCAACAACCTGTTGCGCAGTTACAAGGTTGACCCCACTCTTTGGCTTTTGTCATCCTGAGCTTTTTCCACACACACAGGCAACTTCCAAGCTCATTAATTTCTCTGCTTTCTTCCTTTTTGTTTTGCTTTTTTAGTTCTATTCTACTATTCTACTATACCGTCTCTATTCTCTCTTCTATTTTCTTCCATAAATTTCTCCTTCGTCATGGCCGGCATATTTCGTGCTATCTATGACTGGCTTCTGAGGATGTTCTGGTAAGTGGGCCATAGATGCAGTTCTCGGGAGACCACGGCCCGTCCCCGCAGATGAAGCCATGCTAAACTCCATATAGGGCCAGCGAGATGGATGTCACCATGATCGGCCTTCAGAATGCCGGCAAGTCTTCTCTGTTGCGTGTCTTGGCGGTGAGTCGAATCCGATAAACTCAGTATCCCGGTTGCTGACCATAATAGGGTGGAGAGTTCACTATCGAGTAAGTTACCATCTGAGAAATCATTTCATCTCGGCCATACCTTAATCTCTTCCATATAGCTCCATCCCGACAATCGGATTCAACACCAAAAAAGTGCAGAAAGGCCATGTGACCTTGAAATGGTATGTTCGTCCTTCCCAATAAAAGCACCAGCGGCGCTAATATATCCCCGCAGCTGGGATCTGGGCGGCCAACCTCGATTTCGGCCGATGTGGGAACGGTATTGTCGGGGTGTCAACGCGATCGTGTAAGACTTGCTTATTTTCCCATTTCTTGGATCATTTCTCCCTTCCGGCTGGCATACTAACCAAAGTGAAGTTATATCGTGGATGCAGCAGATCGTGATGCACTCCCGATAGCGACAGAAGAACTCCATGACCTAATGAAAAAGCCCACGCTGGATAGCATCCCTCTCCTGGTTCTCGGGAATAAGTCCGATCTTCCAGACAAGCTGTCTGTTGATGAGATCATCGAGGCGATGGATCTGAAATCCATCACTCACCGCGAAGTAAGCTGCTATGGTATCAGCGCCAAGGAGGAAACCAATCTTGATGCTGTCCTGCATTGGCTCATTGCCCGAGCTAGCCGATGAAGACACTACCCCCTGTGCCTACCACCTTTGACACTTGACCTTGACTCGCGATATCCCTTTTCGTTTGTTTCCATACCCCTTGACTGTCTCGCATTTTGATTGTTCATGTCCTGTAGACTCTAGCGTGTTTGGCCCGCAGCCTCGGATATAACGACGTTGACGATGTAGTCTTTTTTTTTTCTTTTTTTTTCTTGTCTTGTTGCTCATGGATTCTCGAATTCGTGATGATGATGTATGTTAACGGTCATTTGCGTGATCCCTGTTCTTTTTCTTTCCCGTTATTTTTTTTTCACTGGTCGATTTCCTGGATTGATATGTATTAGAATGTCTTAGTAATGCTCATAGAGCTGGTAGGAAAAAACTGACTGAAAAGCCAGCTGGGCAGGGATGGCCAACATAAATAAAGTGAGACACGGACCACCCCGGGGCTGCACTGATGTGTTGGCAGCCAACACATCGGTGCAGACGAATAAGCATCTCCCACCAATGACATCTCACATTAAACATCATATCTTACAGAGCTATGGATTATTTGAAAATTGGAAAAAAAATAATTCCGTTGTAAATTGGATATCATTGCTTGCCACTACATATTTTTATATAGATGATATATGATATACACTGCTGTGCACCTTCATGTCTTGCGTATTATTCTTTGACAAATCAAATCAAGTGGCATTAGTCGTACACAAAATATCTAGATCAGTTTTGTAGGCCCTTCCTTGCAGACAGCCCAGATCCGGAGTTGCTCAAAACCCTCTTTCAAGCGCCCAAGATAGCGCAGTAACGCCCGTAAACATCAAAAAAACAAAAACCAACAAGACTGCAATGCGAAGATATTGAACCACTCATTTGCAACGCTTCTCTACAATGTTGGGCCCATGCTCCTCGTACTCCTTCTTCGAGATCCACATCTGGTGGAAAGTTCCCAAACTGGCCAGGATACTTCCTCCAATCCAGGAGCCGAAGCGTCGCTCAGAGGTGTTGCCGGGAGCAGTGACACGGACCCTGGGACCAGGGAACATCTGCATCAGTTCGTGGTTGAGACGATCAGTGAATCCATAAAGCAAGCTAGATCCACCTGTCACAACGACATTGGCCAGCAAGTGGGGGCGGAGGTCGACGTCGACGCCGGCCAAAGAAGCCTTGACAAGTTCTGGAATAGTCTGGGCGGGTGTCGGGGGAGGGAAAGGCGATTCGGGGTCTGGAATGGCAGCCTTCGCATCGAACAGAGATTCCACCGCGCGGAAACGGTCGACACCAAAGACTTGGTTGTACCCATCGGGGAACTCGAATGGGCGACCGGGAGTATTTCGAGCCAAATCTTCGTTGGAGACACCCGTAGGGCTGGGGGCTGAGAGCTTCGTAGGCCCGGGCCAAACCTGGACAACACATTCCTTAAACTCGGACAGTGTACGTTCCTCAAGCAGAGCACGGTACGACGCATCGGGTGCCTTGTCTGCGGGGAAAGTCTTGTATTTCGCTTGGGGCGGTTGGCCAGCTTCGACAGCCGTCTTCGAGCTGATAAGGTAATGCGGTGTGATTGTGATGGGTTGCGGGGAGTTTGCCTTGAAGATTGCGTTGATCTGCGACGAGATGTAATCACCGCCCAATGGAGAGTGCTGCACGCCCCGTTTCAGGATCATGCCGTCATGGATCGGGGTAACAGAGATGTTGGAAGCTCCAATGTCAATTACCAGGGCAGAGGCCTTGCCGGAAGCGAAACTGTGCATGGAATTGGGTCAGCAAATGGTAGACCTATCATAGTTCATCGGCTTAGTATACGTACGCAGCAAGAACACCACTGCGCGCCAGATAAAAGGCCGGAGTATCCCATTTCTCCATTGCAATTTCAATGGTCTTTTCGCGTGCCTTCGCCGGGTTCCATCCAGGCTCTGTCATCAACAATGGGCTGTCCGACAAAGGCTTTTCCTCTGACTCCACCTCCATTTCTGTAGGGAGCTCATCTGGGGAAACGTCATTCAGTCCGTTCTGAAAGGGGTTGCCTGCTTTTGTGCCCGTGAGTCGTGAGATGAATGAGTGCTCCCACACTCTCTCTGCCATATCCCAATCCTCGACGATTCCATCCCTGCCAATCGGGTTGTGGATGGACAGACCGGGTCGTGGGGTGACGAATACATCATCGCCAAATACGAGCTTCTCTTGGCCGTCGGCGTTATATTTTCCATAGTAGGTTGGGATCAATGACTTGGGGGCATCTTCACCAGCAAAGCCCGCGCGGGTGGTTGAATATCCCGGGTCTAGGACAATAGCCGACACCTCATCTATAGTCGTGCGATAATTAGTATCTTGCGCGGTGAGTAGTGGCCAAGCTTTTGTGGGATCGCAAGAGCAGGCGCAATTGGAATGGCATATCTGGGATCACATACCTCCACCATACTCGGCAGCTTGAGGTGGGTTGGAAGGGTTCATCGCGAAAGTTGTGCAGGTATATCAGGAAAGGGCCGTAGCTGTCACAAGATCATGTGAATATTTTAGATTAGGTCGCCTTAAGACAAATCAAGACCTGGCCACGCGTATCGAACGGACAATCAGAGGGGCTGGTTGGAGGCAGGAGAAGGGCGGGTCTTTTTGGTGCGGGTGTAGCTTTGGCTTTGACACCCAAATGGGCAGTTCAAGATCAGGCTTAGTCACCGCCTATGAACTACTGCAATGACTAATCAGGTGCAGTGGCCGCCTGGGCGGGCCCCTCCAGTAGGAAGGCTCCAGGACATTATATATGGTCCTCCTTGAGTCTTTATCCTTTTATGGTTAAATATTGGAGAGGTAAAGAGTGGTTTGGAATGAAGGGGCCATATTATAATGTCAAGATAAGCTGGCGAGGTGTTGTACCAACATACCCAGGCACAATCCGAAACGAAGCAGGATCTATAGTTACTGGACAAGATATACCCAAACAAGATATCATTTCCTTTTGGCTTTTGTCCCTTCATCTTTGTTTCTCGCATCTTGGTACCCCTACATGTTACTCCAACGTTTAGGCAAAAATATCCATTTAGCCTATTGGAATATCTGTACTAATCACCTAGCATGTGTATGGATATATATATAACTAAAATAGTTAGCCAACTAAGCAGCCTTTGTCCTTGACAACACAGAACTTTAGTAGATTTAATATCTAGTTGACTCGAGATCGCCCCGTAAACCATGTACTTGATCTAATATTACAATGGCTTTATTCCTCCTTGATGCTTAGGGCCAGAAGGATAGAAAGAATCGCCCACAAACCACAGATCACATGCGGTTAAAACCAGCGGCCCGTGATTTAGTCGGTAGCCCTTTTGAAAAAGAGGTCAGAAATCGCATTGAAAGTCATTATGGTATCGTATGCATATCAAGAAAAACAAATGCCGTAGAGGATTGAGTAGATAAAAGTCCATATTAAGGGGGCCAGCCGTTTTGGATGAAAATAACAATCATTTCTTCCCCGCCTGTGCTTCCTTTTCCCGCATTGCAGCCCTTGCACTGCGACTGCCACCAAGCTTCGGACCCCGAGGCGCCTCAACATTAGCCGCCGGTTTTGCTGCGGGTTTAGTTCGACGACGAGTCTGCATGGCATCCATAAAGTCCCGCCTGAATTGCTCAGCAACTCGGTCATCAGCAGCCTGTTGGTCATCAAGCTGAGTTTCCTCCTCAGGTTCATCATAAATTTCCACTATAACAGCTAGCGTTAGCAAATACAAAGATCTTGTAATATTTCATGTTTGAATATGACCCACATTTGCTCTCACGTAGTACCTCCTCCACAAGACGATCTCTTGCGATGTCTGCATCTGTCCTCTGTTTGCGATTACGCCATGACTTGCCGTCTGGGCCAGGGCGACCTGTCTCTGTAGCAGAATAACTCGCTGATGTTGGCAGTTCACCCTTCCCGGCCATTTGCCGAGTCGCAGCTTCTGTCCGCGCAATGTTTCGCAATGTAGTTTCGTGACCAAGGTCGATTTCATGGAGTTTGCCTAGAGAGGCAGGTTCCCGTGTCTGGTGTCCAGGTAGCGAGAGCCCCCCGGCGACTTCCTCCTGGTTTGGTTGGTTGGAGCCTGAATGGTCCGTCTTTGAGTCGGGCTGGTAGCGCTTAGCCATTTCGGAATCTATGAATGCCATCCTTATCTCGTTAGTCCACATAAAACGAACTGGATGATTAGCGGGAAGAAAGATTTCGTACATGTGCTTGTCAACATCGACTGTCTGACCGGTATATCCAGTGAAACGTTCGTTCATTGCTCGTATTTTCTCGTCCTCGGTTTGTCCAGCCGGTGGTATTAGCGCTAGTTGCTGGCCCTGATTATCTCCTAGTCGTGACGCGGTAGAAAAACCAATGCCGCCCTTTCGAGCTGCGCGTGGGCGCCGAAGATTATTGCTTCCCGGAGCTTGTGACGCGCCGGCATTGTCATTTTGATCATCGGCCTCTTCGTTGTCGGGGCTCTCATGGTCAGGACGTCGTCGCATGAATTTGCGCTTTTTCGCTGGCCGAAATAAGGCTTCAACTGGCACATCATCTTCTTGTGTGTCCATTGTGATTTGCGACAATGTAGACTTGGATGGCGGGGGAAAACGAGCTGGAAATTAATTGTAAAGGTGAGGTCATTCAGCAGCAGACAACCTTACTACAATTCGTCGATACCAGACCGCCTTTTATTCTGCCTACTCTATCGCGTCTAGTTCAATGACCAACCTTCGAAGGTTGGAAATCATAAAATCCATATATTTTTGTATAAATTAGATATAGATCCAAATATTCCATTAGAAGATTAACTTGAAATTGCTTGTAGGCCAAGCCACAATATTGTAGCAAATAGATGTAAACCTAGGACCTTACCTAAGGTACTAATCCAGGCATGAGGCTGCGAGCCTGCGATAGAGTGAGTAGAGATATAATAGGCGGTCGAGCTTGGAAGGTTTACATGATGATGCTGCCTGTAGTAACGTGTACACCCGTGGACTAGCCTTTAGCTGATATAATTCTTGAAATATAGTCGATGATGCATTCAATGTTCTATCCATAATAGAGCTAGGAAAGGTTGATTAGAGATAGATGAAGTGGATATTGACATCGCTAAACTGGTTTAGGTAACGTACGTGTCAATTTTTCCAGCTCAAGTTCCCAAATAGATCTTTTCATTTATTCGAAATACTCAATCTCAATCAGTATAGAGCTGAAATTTGTATAGTTATCAAAACCGGAGATAATATTGAGAAGAAGGAGGTTGTCCTGTGATTCAGGGACCATAATCCATCCACCTATCCATCCTGAGCTCCTCTACCTCTTTCTGAGCATTCACCTTCTCATTCCATACAGATTCACCTCAAAGTAACGGAAATAGCTGTTACCATGTAGTTGCCTAAAGCATTGAAGGGGCCAGATCAAGCGGTATACCATACATATCTATTAATGGTATTTTGCTAGCTGACGCATTCAGGTTCACAGTAAAATCCTTTGTAAAAGCCTCGAAATCATATTGTTTCAGATCAACAGTTTATTTTATATTAGGAATAGAGGTTTGGCTGTTATTGGTCTGCTTTTAAAGACCCGATTCGAGGTCAAGACTTCGAGATGCATGGTGTAATATGAGAATTAAAGAGTTGAGAGTGACTATAAAGTTTGACAGGAATTTATCCTTGTGAGTGGCACAAAGCAACACAGGACTATAGTGCGTTGTAGGTCTTGCGCTATGACATGGCAAGAGGATCAAGTATAAGATCAAACTTTACATTACATCTTGGACCTTGGAAGTTGCCAATGTTCTAGCCTTTCAAGGTCATGGATTTTACCTCTTCCCGAGGTCCGTTTCCTGCCGACTTGGATAGTCTTGGGGATTGTCATCAATCCAATTAGCCAGAGTAGTATCCCGAATCAAATTTAGCCGAGAAATCAATAGCTACGCGTGTTACCCGGAGTAACTAATGATATGCCGCCCCAAATTATGAACTATGTAATAAATTTGGCATCATCAGAAGAGGGGCTGGGATAATAATACATTGGCTTTTTGATTGCGACTTGGACAGACTATAGAGTATACCTTCCATGGAAGACTAGGGACTGTAGCGGATGATATTATTTCTGATGTTTATCATACAACGGAGTGAAATGGGCTGAGACGCGAGGGTATGGTGCATTTAATTATCAAAAGTGAAACCAAACATATTCAATATTGTCCTATGTGAGGAAAGTCACCCCCTAAAGGTCTTACTCCGTACCATATAGGGGGCAACTGGGTCACACTCATGAAGGCACATGGATATGACGCGTTTGATTTAGCTATCAGTTATTCTATGTAATGAGATTTTATTGATAATATGAATCGGGAATTCTTAGACGGACTGTTGTACTCCACTCAGCTCAACAGAAGTTTTGTTTGATCCATTTGTGCACTAGAAATCTGGAACATGACCCCGGATGGGGTATATGGGTTTATTTCTGGCCTGATCCAGGATTTGAGGAAAGCTGCAAATAACCGAACTCCGTCTGTAAGCGTGTCAGTGCCATGAGAGAGGAAGATCAGGTATATTCACAAACCATCCTAGGTTCGAGTGGTTTGGTAAATCACCAAGCTACAGTGTACAAAATACATGCGAACTTGTTCTTTCAATTTGGCTGCTAGAGAAAGCCCGCTGACAGACTGCCTAAATCACCCATTTGATCATTGGTCATGTTTTTTACCTTATCTTAGGCATCTACTAGACCCCGCAAAGAATGTTGAAATCTCTGACTCCGGGTGAGCCGAATAAGTGCACGGTGTGGAGTGCCTCCCATCTTGCCCGTGTCTTTTAGTCTCAGTAATATTTCTCGGATATCTCTCGGAGAAAGGAAGGTATCCACCAGGAGAGAATATGATGTACATAAGGGACAATGTAGGTGGCTGCATAAAAATTCCGACACAATCCAGGATCTGTAAGACACCAATACGGGCAAATCCGGAGAATGACCGAATGGTGGAGTGCATTGAAAACAACTAGAAAGGGATCTGTATCCTCCCCGGGGGGCACCCCAGATTAATTGAAGTTGAATTTACTATGTCTTGGCACTTGGCAGTGGACAAGCCGAGCCACTCAAGCCTTTCGGAACCGATTTTTCTACCGCCGAGACCGGCCCGAGTAGGCAATGAGCAACCTCGCGTCAACATTTTTCTGCCGGCATTGTTCGGAAAATAAATTCCCCTGTACAGATTTCCCCTGATTCCCCCCTGACTCTCCCAATTCTATGTGTTTAATAACTGAGAATCATGGGGAGGATCAGAACCTCGGTCTGAGTGACATCTAGCGTTCGGCATTTTATCCAATCAACCCTGGGTAATAAAGATCATCCCGCCACTTAACTTTCCAGGACTGATTTTCGGCCCTAGCACCGTGGATCTATGTTTTAAGCGCTTCTGATTCGGGAGTGGCGAAGGCGTGGAATCCTTGCACACCGGGACCAAACCCTACCCCGTGGAGTCGGCGATATGACCGAGTCACAGCCGATATTTTCGAAATTCAACCAAATTGGTGCCGCTGCGGTGGATAGATGTCTATCCACTGTGGAATTCTCCATCCCACAGGTACAGGATTTTAATTTTCGCATGCGGGGTCTCCACGAGACCAGGTTCACCGAAGGGTATAAACCGATAAAGAGACCGGCCTCCCTTTTTTCTCTGTTTCTCTCATCCCTCAGAGTGACCTTCCCTATACACACTCCAACATGGTCACATTATTCCGAGGAAAAGCGCTGAGCGTGGCGCAGGCGTTGCTCATTGTAGCACCGGCCTTCATCGTTTTCGGTTACAACCAGTCTGGCTTGGGCCCTCTGGCTACATTGCAGAGCTGGGTGAGCGTGTTCCCAGAAATCGACACAATCAACACAGAGGGTGCTCAGCATTCGCAAAACTCTACAGCAAAGGGTACCGTGATTGGATCCTTCCAGCTCGGTGCTCTATTTGGAGCCTTGTCATGTACATTCCTGGGTGACCGGCTCGGTCGCCGCAAGACCATCTTCTTGGGCGCTGTCCTTACTATAATCGGCCAATTGCTGCAGACCGCTGCTTATGGCCTCCCACAATTCATTGTCGGCCGTATCATCCTCGGTCTCGGTGTCGGTCAATTGAGTGTTGCTGTTCCTGTGTGGCAGTCTGAGTGTACGTCAGCTAAACATCGTGGACAACACGTTGTCGTGGATGGTATCTGTATCTGTTTGGGTTATGTTCTCTGCAACTGGATTGATTTCGGCTTGAGCAAAATCGACGGTGCATTGCAGTGGCGTGTTCCGTTGGCCATTTCCTTCTTCTTTTCCCTCGTTGTCGTGCTGTCGGTCTTCTTGCTTCCCGAGTCTCCTCGATGGCTTGTGCGAGTTGGCCGCATCGAAGAGGCTACCAACAGTCTCGCTGCCTATAAGGGTCTGTCCGAGGATGACGAGGCTGTTCGTGTCGAAATCGCTGGTATTGAGACCTCCCTTGAGAGTACGGTCGACAGCGCCTCTCTCATGGATATATTGGACTTCACCAAACCCGACGATGAGCGCCTGCTATACCGATTCTGCCTCTGCGTCGCACTGCAATTCTTCCAACAAATGTGTGGTGGTAACCTGATCTCGACATACGTGTCAACAATCTTCGAAGAAAACCTCAACATGGACAGCGATCTGGCTCGCATTCTGTCTTCATGTGCCATGACCTGGAAGTTCATTTGCAGCTTCATCTCTTTCTTCGCCATCGACCGACTCGGCCGCCGAAAAATTTTCATGATCAGCGGTACTGGTATGTCTATCTGCATGACGGTCCTGGCCATCACCAACAGTTTCGAAGACAACACAACTGCGTCGATTGTTTCGGCCGTCTTCATCTTCCTTTTCAACACGTTCTATCCTATCGGTTTCCTCGGCGGCAACTTCCTCTACTGTACCGAAGTCGCTCCTATGCGTCTCCGTGTCGCTATGTCCGCCGTCTCGACTGCGAACCACTGGCTTTGGAACTTCGTCGTTGTCATGATTACTCCCGTTGCGCTCGATACCATCGGATACAGGTACTACATTGTGTACGCAGTCATCTCTGCCTGTATTCCAATTTCGGTTTACATCTTCTACCCCGAGACGATGAACCGCAACCTGGAGGCTCTCAACCATGTCTTCCGCGATGCCCCGACTCCATGGGATATTGTCTCCATGGCTCGTCACCTGCCCCAGGGTGAGGCTGCTGAGGTTGACACGTGGATGCATACGGAGGAGAAGCGTGACATTGAGCAGAAGGAGAATGCCTAAACTATAGATCAAATTTGTTGAGACGTTGCCAATTGTATATACTATGCCTGACGATGATGATGGAATGGGTTGTATTGAAGTAAATATATAAATGAGATCATTAGATTAAGTCCGTCAAAAATTTCATGTTTCCATATTCTATTTATTTCCCATCAGATGTTTAGCCTAAGTAAATCAATAGGTGTCTGAAATTTTTTTTTTCTCTTAAGCAATCTCCACTGCTGAGCAATCCATAGCCAGTGTAGGTAATACCGCCGTGATTCGCCCTTTCACTATGGCAACATGATATGCATACAAGGAGTTATGCATCTAATTCAACATAATGAAATTGTCCAGTTTAGGCAAAATGTGGTGTTGGCAACTCTTTGAGGGATCTCAAGTCAAGTTTCTTTGTCTTCTATTCTTGAACCTCTCTCAGCTTTCAAGCTTACTATCTTCAAGGTGATATACCATGTCATTGTCATTGATATATTCTCGATTTCATTGTTTTCCTAGGATTATCTGCTCCACTTCCGAGTTTCTTTGTCTCCCAAGGCTATGTTTGGATTGTCCACGTCCTCGGGGTCACTATTGTTGTTCATCCTTTGTTTTGTATTCTTTGGCCCTATTTCCAGTGAATTTTGTGTTTTACCACTAGGCTTACAATAACTTCAACAAAGACCATTAAAATGTCCTAAGCTACGTATATAATCTCTCTGTGCATGTCTCATGCTCTTCGTTCTTAGCTTGTTCTCAATAAAACTAGAACTATATTCTATCTGACTTCAATTATTGGTACTAAAATTACCGGCTCAATGTTCAAGAAGATTCGTCACACGTTGATGTGCTTTCCAAGGAGCTCCTGCAATTGTGACAGTGACACTGACAGTGATACTTCGGAGCCCCAACCTAACCGCCTACGGAAAAGGCCACTAGAACTTGCCCGGCGCCAATCAGTTCCGAGAAATGTAGTCAGAATCCCTTCTCCAGTTGAGCCCAAAGCCGGCGGTGAAGGTGGTGAGGGTTATGAAGATGAAGCTGAGAACGGAGGTGAAGACGGCAATGAAGATCAAGACGGCGACAGAGATGAGGATATAAGCGAAGATTATGTTCCTCTAAGTCCCACACCTAGCGAGGTTGAAGTTTCTCACACAGGCATAACACCTGCGATGAGTGAGACAAATATCAACGATGAGTCTTCGTCTGATGAATATTATTCAAGCACTCGCCATACAAACAGACCACCCCAGGTAAGTGATACCCATTTTATCAGGTCTTCATCTGGTGATGAGGTTTCTTCCGTCTCAGCTGCCAATGTACATACAGGCATAACTCCTGAGATGAGTGATACCGGCCTTAGTGACTCCCAATATTACTCACTCCCAGATTCGAGGGGAAGCTCTCTTCCGGAAAGTACGCTTTTTGCAGGTGAATACAATACCGATGAGGACTATAATGGAGCTGACGACGACAGTCTCGATCTGAATCGGTCCGATGATCAAGAAATGTACGACGATTCGGTAGAGCCCGAAGAATCTGAATCTTCTGACCAAGAATGGTTGAGCGACTCTAGCGATAGGAGGCGCCGACGTTCTATAGACAGTCAAGCTCGGGCTGATGCTGAGCACAGGGGTCTTTCTGGATCCAGGGGCAGTAGCGGTAGTAGCAAGCGCCAGCGTCTTGCAGGTTCATCCGACATCGCAAGCGGGAGAGTAAAAACCGGCATCGAACCGACCGTCGAGGACATTACCAGGTATAGAAATATAGGAGCACAATACCAAGCATGGATAGACGACCCCGAGGAGCCAGGGTGCCGAATTCAACCTGCAACATTAACTATAGAGGAACTGACTGATGGAGCGCAACAAATGCCTTGGACAATCGATGAATCTTACTTCACCGTTGAGCCTATGGCACTAGAAGGCGGCGACGTTGAATCGATGAATATTGCTCGCGGTGGTCCACGATATCGCTATACACACATCCGAAGGGATCCGGGGCCAAACTCGCTCGACGCTAACGAATTTGAACATCGAGTTGCTCGTGGTGTGCTTGTTGCGGAGAGACTTTCTAGGGAAGATGGTCCTCATTGGAATGAGATTGCTCGGGCTCAATACTTGCTTGATTTCAACTTGCTAACTCTGAGGCATGTTTTGTTTACTGATATCGGTAATGATCAAACAGCTCCATATATACGCCACGAACTTTATCCTAGAAGGTTTGGTATTGAGTGGTCAGAGGCAAGAGACGTTGACTGTATGGTATTTAAGCACGGTAGTGCTGAATACCAAGAGCTCCTCGGTACAAAGTTGGGTAAAGGCGTTGCCTGTCTTATCCTTTCGTCATTTCCTAGGGGCACAATGAAGATTACTCGCATTGTCACTTGGTCAAATGCGACCTTACCGCAGATGAGATTTGAGATTGAACCTGTTATAGCTGCGCCTATTGCCGTGGGCACAGCTGCATGAGCTTTATGATTTGATTAAATTAGTAATTTTCGACTGATGTCACTATTTAATTATTAGAACTATTCCCAGCGATAGAAGATAGAAGTCATATATTTTACTATTAGAAATTCTTGGTTTTCCTGGGTAGATGACCTGCCAAGTGTTCAACGTTGGAGCAGTCGTTACTTTTTAATCTTCCAAGGTTCTTCTCTCTTTCCTCCTTTGAATAACTTCCAACGCTGAGGGATAACTCTGAACCCTAACAATTATGTTTTAGAAGGCGCGACGTACCCGCCTGTCAGTATAAACCCCCCTCCTCCCCCTCCCCCCATCTCTCACTCTCTCATACACACACTGTCATAGAAAATTCATCTGCACATTTTATGCTTTTTCTTGCCTTTTTCTACCGTCCAGCTATAAACTGAGAAAGGGAAGCAAAACATATAAAAAGAAAAAAAGACTTTTAAGAAACTGCCGAAAAGAATCACAAGGCATAAGCGGCTGACTATTCTTGTATAGCATCAATAAATTATATAATGAAAATAATTTTTGTATTATGTATTCACAAAAAGTAAAAGAAAACAAGACTTAAAGATTGCAAAAAAGGTACCAACGTGGACTAGTATCAGTATTATACAGCATCAGCAATGATAACTTCGGCAGCCTTCTCACTGATCATATAAATGGGCAAAGCGACATAATACCCCGGAATATTAGGAAAGACTGAAGCATCTACAACACGCAGTCCGTCAACCCCACGAACGCGGAAGTCAGCATCTAACACAGCCTGAGGGTCCCCATCTTCTCCAATAGCAGCAGTGCAGCAGGCATGGTGGCCCCATGCCTCTTGCTTAATGAAGTCTTTCATCTCACTCTCAGTAGTGACATTAGGTCCCGGCCAAACCTCTTCAAACCCGCCATCGAGAGGAATAAGGTCATCAAAGATCGTGCGGGAAAATTGCATTGCTTCATACACAGCCTGTAGGTCCTTCTCATCTGCACCATCCGAGGTCACTCCCGCATCGAACGAGTGGAAATTGATAAGAGGCATATCACGTGGGTCCGTAGAGCGCAGCTCAACTGTGCCAGCGTTGTTGCGGGAACGTGACTTTAATGTGATCCAGGTCCAGTGCTGGGAATCTTTGAGACCTTCGTAAGAGTAGTTGGGGTAATAGCCGGGAAAGTTGACGGGTGCTCCTGAAATCAATAGGTCGGGCTCATCCTCTGCGACAGACGACTTGCGAATGATGGCAATGGCGATTCCGTTGGTGGTGTAAGTGCCTTTGAAGAATGGGTCGTTTTCGTACTGTTCCAAACAGGGGTCGGGAAGAGAATACATAAAGGTGCACTTGGATGTAAGGACGAAATCAGTGGGTGACTTGCCCACTGTGCCCATCTCATACCGGTCCTGCAGATTCCGACCGACGCCAGGGAGATCTACAAGGGCTGAAATTCCAAGCTTGGACAACTCCTCCTTTGGGCCAATGCCACTCAGCTTCAACAGCTGGGGAGTGTTGAATGAGCCTGCAGACAGGATCACTTCACGAGAAGCGCTAACTCTACCTGGTGTCCCATGACTCGCTGTCTGGGAAGCCCGGGGATCTGCACGGTAGAGACTCTGTCCCCGAAGGTAGTCAACCCCGGTAGCCCGTGGCTTGGCTTCGGTGGTATCGAAGCGGAGTTTGGTTACCAGTGTGTTAAGCTGGATATCAAGGTGGTATTTCCGCGAACCATCAGAGTTCACAGCATTGACTGTCTTCATGACGAATTCTCGAGGGCCTGTCCGCTTGTACTCAGGGACATCCACAGCAAGAGGAACTTGATATGGACCCTCTTCGTAATCGCGTGAGGGGAGGGGGTTGTTTAAGTCACGCAGTAAAATTGCTGCAAGGCCCGTGACCGTGGTTATCAGTTTGCCCAACAGTGTTTGGCCCGCGGCGGTCGCACCGGCCAGGATCAAGGACAAAAGCTTTTGATCTTCGATGACGAGGCGCAAGTCCGTGAGACTTGTAGTAAGCCAGCCGTCAAAGCCGTGGCCTAGCAAGCTGCTGGGTAGATATCTGTTGCGCTCTAGTCTCTTGAAATATTGTCGCATGTTTGAGGCGGACCATGAATCATTGCCAGTGAGACTGGCCAGTTGCTCCCAGTCATTCTCGTATGGGTAGATGGTGCTATAAAGATACTGGTCAGAATATGATCGCCACGTCCGACAGATACCGAGGAGAATGTTTGACTCACATCATGGCGTTGTGAGCAGTGCATCCACCTAAGGTGCCCGCTCGAGGGTACAAAATCCCCAATGATTCGGAGCCATTGGGCGGATTGCCTCCAACATGAAGATCACCGGCAGGTGTCCGGTAAGTCATCTTGGTGTCTTCTTTCTGACGAGTCAAGTTCGAGTAGTGGTTCACAAAATAATCCCATCTCATCGGCTCGTATTCGGTGGATTGGAGCTGCAGAGCAGGGACAATTTGCTGGGTCGCGTTTCCCTGGTCATCCCCGGCTTCTAGAAGAAGCACTTTATATCCTGCAATGGCCAACCGTGCTGCTACAGGGCCACCTCCAGCACCAGAGCCAACAACAACATAATCATACTTGGTGGTGGAATTATCGTTACCCGAAGAGCGCCTGTGTGCATCGTGATATCGATGATCTGGTCTATGATCACTATATTATGCTATTAGTCTCATGTGTAATCAAGAGCTAAGCTGACACCGGAGGACTGGAGGTGTACATACGAGGCTAAGACAACCGAAAGAGTGGAAAATAGCCCAACTACTGCAGAAAACCGCATTGCAAAAGGGAAAGCACGGAGATGTACTCCAAACCCAAAAAGTCAAACAGAACTGTTCAAGCAAAAACCCAAAAAAAGCGAGCGACGATAGATGAACGACCAGAAACCTGTTCTCCTGGCTTTATTATAGAAGCGTATGAGCAAAAGCACGATGAGCACCCATAGTACGATCTTTGGCCATGCTAGCATATTCCTTCATTTTGCTTCTGGAGGTGATCGACATAATCTTCCACTTTCCAAATTAGTCTGTATCACGCATGTATATCCATCCTGAAATACGACACCAATGCAGCCCTGGTAACGGACCGTTCCCATGAACCCTGTACTTGTGAATGGCCATGACTCGTACGGAGTATTGAGCTAGGTCTGAATGCAGTGGCATCTCGGCAAAATAGAGATAGACATTCATACTGTTGGCTTGTGGGACTGGCCGGCCAATCAATATGTCTGAAATCCAGGCCCCTCGTGCCGACCTCCTAGCGTCCTCTCTATCCCGTTTGACATGCCGATCATACAGCCTCCGAACAGCCACCAATCTAACGGCGGAGCTAATTTTATTTAGGTATTGTTTTTTTTTTGTTTTCGTGATAACGACACAGTTTACTGTTTTGGGGTTGGGTGGGGACACAGAATAAGTGGATTGGAACCTGATATCCATACTGGAAGTGAGATCCAAAGGCTGGAGCTACTCAGGAGTTGCTCCACTCTGCGGTGAAAACCGATGTAAAGGAGTGCATACTAAGTACTTTGGCCTGAAGGCTGAAGCCCCTTATTGCTGCCGCGGAACTGGCGATGTAGGTAGCAACACTACTTTGCTTCTTTACTGTTTCATTAAAACTCGCTGAAATTGCCTCTCATATTATATGTATAGTGTTAAATTCATATGGGAAGAAAAATATAACGTGGGCTTTTTAATAACTAGAATTCAGTTATATATTTACTCATTATGTTGAATATATATTAGAGAGGAAGATGTTTTGGCAGGATCTAGCAATCCGATGATATAAATAGATAGGCACAAAGATAGAAAAGGAAATGAAGAAAATGAACATTATTGCTCTATATAAGAAGAGACTCAGTCATTTTTGCCCTCAACTAGACCGGATGGGGGTGGTGTAGCCGGGTCTCATCAGAGGACTCCACGTCATCAAGTGGGTAGAATTGGCGATCGCCATTCTTGCTCTGGACAGGGACAGGTGTAAACTGAGATCCTGTCCCGCGAGAATGAGAGTTTAGGCCATAGGCTGATTTGGCCTGCGCGGTATCGCCAAATAGTCCGGGAGATACACGACGTAGTAACGATCGAATGGCAGGCAGACACGCACAGATAACGCCAACGTCACATTCAATAGTACTCCAATACCCAACAGTCACATAATCCCCTTACAGATGTCAATGAAAATGGACATGTTGAAAGAGGAAGGAGGAGGAAAAGAAACACTCACAGGTTAGGTTAGTGGTAGAGGCGAAGTGAATGAGTGAATTCAGTCGTAGGATGCTGACAAGGGTGACACTAAGTTCATAAGTTAATCACAGACATTGTGGAACAGACTAGAATAGGGAAACGCACAAGATGCCCAAGCCAAACATGCAAATTACGTATGACTTCCGTTTTACGGAAAGGTTCAGACCGTACAGCTGACGAAGTGGAAGTACCATGACAAGTATATCAAGGAACATGTTCAGCGCTGCCGCTGCCCAGCCCTGTGCGTTGATATGGTTGCATTTGTATTTTTCCTCTTCATACCAGCGGTGCCACGCTCCAGGTAGAGGTCGACACTGGAAGACCGAGATCAATATAAAGGCAATCCAGTAGCAAACGTTCAGTGCAATTGTCACGTAAGTTGCTGTCCGAAACGTCCGATCAGGGAAGATACGAAGGTAGAAACAACAAATCGATATTTTGGTCAACGGGAGAATGCTTAGATAGATCAATTCATCCCAAAAGTAGATCTGGCGCCATTAGACAAATTCGTCTTGGAAAATCCATAAAACAAGGGTTTCGAGGTACTCACATAGAGAATGTGGGTGATGTTATCGAAAGGGAGAGTCCACATATCTTTTCCTAAACCAGCATTGGCCACTGTACAAAGCGGTTAGTTAATTGAAGATGGTTTTAATCAGCTGTAAAGGAAATCATACAAACAACCGAGAGTGCTGAGAGTGGAACGAGAAATGCCTGTCAGCTTTTAGTGAGAAGAAAATTCAGCTTCAAGCAAAGGGAAAATTTGTATATACCATCGTCAGCATCATTGTCCAGTCATCTGCGCCAAAAACGCCACCACAGCACCTGAATCGAGCCACCATCCGGAGAATAAATGCGATTAGAGCTATAACTCCGCCTGCAACTCCTGCATGGGAAACAATCTTTGTGCGATCCCGGATAGGGGCACCGCACGTTGACGTGGTGACATTTTTTGTAGCTTGTGTATGTTAGCAGTGACCGGTGAGTATGAAAGATAAAATGATTGACTCACCTAAAGATTCTCGAATGGTGCAACTAGTGAGAACACATTTTTGGAGAACGGCTATGTAATGTGCATCATTGCATAGACATATCTGGTCGGTTGCTTTGCAGGACGATTGCGGCACCGAAGTCATCATACAATCCAGCTTCAAAGGGTCAGCTTTAACTAGTTCGCGCCAAAAGAGGGGCAGAAAAATTGCACTACCTACCGCACATGAGGGTAAAACGGCTGCCAACTGTTCCATTCCTGCTATGACAGTCGTTGCGCACAAGGCGGCCACGATGGCTAGTATATTGAACAAACGCATTGCGAGGATTGCAGAATAGGATGCATTCGTGATCAAGAGACTGACAGAGAAGACTTGAGCTGATTTTGACCAGGCGAGTCAGGAGAATCTACGGAGTAATTTTATGTGATTCATGACGATCTCTTGGCTGGATAGAATAGTTTGATGTGCCTCCCCTGTTGGGATTGTTAGCGCGCGAAGACCGCCAGTTCAAGCGCCGCGTTTGTCCTCGCTGCAAATCTCATTTGTGCTTGTCCAAGTTCTCGGGCATCAGATCTGTCATTGATATGATTGACAATAGTTCGAGAACTGCTCTAACACCCTCGCAATCATCATATTGCGGCCTAAAAAATGCACAGGTTCAGCAGTTTCTGACCTAAATGACAAAAGTACAACCTCTTGCATTCAGCCATACAGCCACCATGACCTCCTTCTGGATCCATCAAGAAGTCAACTAAGCTCCTCTCTCCCGACATGGTGGCTGATTTGGAAAATTAGGATCTGCACGTATACGAGCATTTCCCCAGTTCTTCTCGGCCCTGCTCTAGATGTTCTAGGGGCCCACAAAAAACCGGCCTGAGCGTCCACAAAGCAAGCCAAAGAGCTTGATAAGCCGCTGATCTACATTCCAAGGTCGGGACTTTGAAACTTCACCCCACCCGGAACGGGTTTCTGCGTTCCATTTCTATAATTGAAGCTACTAGTCTCCAGAAAGAGCTACAAGCGGTCTCCGGAACAATGGCTGCCCTGGCCCATTGTAGCTCAGTCTCTGTGGAGAAGATCCGAATATTATCCGAAGTGGGTCTTGAGTCTTACTGTCCTGAGGAAAAGATCGCCTCGATATTATGATGTACACATATCCTTCGACCTATAGTTTAAAAGCCCAGTGCTATGATCGGCACTGTCATTGAACTAGGGCTCAATTTCGATACGGAGGCGGTTGCTAACCTTCGACTTCACCGCGAGGGCGTGCGCTAAGATTCATGCCTGCGCGTCCGAACATTCCCCAACCAGGCCTGATCAACATCAACCTACAAATATATCTGTAATCACCTGCAGTATAGCTGCACAGATGAATATCCAGAGATAAGGGGCTTGTACCGTGCTATTTGCAGATTTTTACAGGGGTACTGAAAAGGATCAACAATGTAATCCTTCAAGAGAAGGATCCAGAGCATTGTACTTGATTGCCCGCAAGAAGCGGGGCTTTAATTTACGATATACCTGTGTTCTATGCAATACAGCTACCATACGGCTTGCCAGTCATCTTTACTACTACTACTCCTTTAGGCAAGAATTGCATATATTCCACAGTGGGCTCATGCGCTAACACGGAGCCATTCAGGGGAGCATTATTTTTCAGCATGTGTATCATTCGGAGATTTATCTAGGCACATGATTGTCGCAGGATATCTAAGGAACGCATTATTCCAGTCTTCTTAGGTGGCGTTCTTTAGTCGCCCGTTATATGATCATTTCTTCGATCCCAAGTGGAAACTGGAATTTCTAGTTGAGGATAACCAGCACATTATTGACCATGCGCATCTTCACATCAGGCCTTCTGGTCTGGCAACTGTCATTGCTTACCATAGTATTGGCTTTCCCGGGGTCAATGAACGGCCACAATGGCCACTCAGGACATCAAAAAATGCACAAAATTTGCCCATATGCCAACGTCCAGGACCAATCCAAGCCAAAGACGGAACATGAAAAGCGGTTTCTCTTCAGTCTGATGAAATCCCCTGTTGATAGTATGTTACAAATATCCCCCCATACTGTCACAATTTATAACAAAATAACTCTAGTTACCGGCAAACATGCATTCCAACCTCCGGACTTCGAGAATGGTGACCAGCGAGGCCCCTGTCCGGGCCTTAATGCACTTGCAAATCATGGATATATTCCGCGGAGTGGAGTGGTTTCGGTAGGTTATTCCAGCGTGGCCAACAGGAGCTCCTAATCTAAACGTGAGAAGTTCTTAGAAGTGATTGCAGCAATCAACAAAGGTACAATTGCATCATCGAATCATCTATGCAGCATATACTAACCTCTGTTCTGCAGTGTATGGTATGGGTGTTGATCTGGCTACCATCCTTGCGATTATGGGCACCGTCTGGACTGGGGACGTGATATCCCTCGCTCCCAGCTTCTCCATCGGGGGTCCCGATACTGGTGTTAACAACTTACTGAATAACTTGGGGGGCGTCCTTGGTTAGAATACCCTTGCTTCCAATTATCTGTGAAATGCTAACATCACCTGCAGGCGAACCCCAAGGCCTGATTGGCTCGCACAATTTTATCGAAGCCGACTCCTCCAACACGCGTGACGATCTCGACGTTACAGGCAACAGCTGGACGCTGAACATGGACAAGTTCATGACTTGGTATAATATGTCTTCCGACGGCACTTATGATATGAGTCTTATGGCTGAACGTGCAAAGATCCGTATGGAGCAGAGTATCCATACAAACCCTGATTTCTATTATGGACCCGTGACGGGGCTCATTGCGCGCAACGCCGGTTATATTTTCGCAGGTCGGCTGTTCCGAAACCACTCGCGAGAAAACCCAGAGGGCACATTGAGTAAGTTGATATAAGAGATGGTTAAATTCGGCTGGTTATGCGAGATTTGCTAATCCTATCCTAGCTAAGAGCCATCTCCGTAATTTCTATGGCATTTACGGGCCGGAACATAACTTGACCTACCGAGAAGGGTGGGAAAGGATTCCTAAGAATTGGTATAAGACCCCTGTGGACTACGGACTTATCTCACTCAATCTGGATATCATTGGATTCATATTGAGATATCCGGAGCTTGGAAGGTAAGAGACCGTGCCAGTCTCCCACATTGATCCGTGTATAACAGTGATTTTAATATAGCATTGGAGGGAATATGGGTGAAGTAGACAGCTTTGCAGGAGTTGATCTAGGAGATCTGACAGGTGGTGTCTTGAATTTGGCTGGCCTGCTGAAGGATAACAACTTACTGTGCTTTGTGACTGAGGTGCTGAAGTTCGCCAGTCCCAACGCGCTTGCTGGGATATACTCGACCATTGCTAAGCCGTTGGAGTTTGTCACTAATATCCTTGCTGTGCCTTTGCTCAACCTTACTTGTCCGGCATTCCAAGATCTTCAGATGGGAGGGAAGCCGTTATGGGACGCTCTTCGAGATGACTTCCCTGGTGCTTTGAAGAGCAATCGTTCGCTTTAGATATATTGAGGGATTTTCTTCATTGGTGTTATCATCAAATTAGGACAGTTTGACTAGGATCCTTTTATCTGTAGAATAAATTTTGAGAAAATTCAACTTGCCTCCCCGTGAAAACCCGAAGGGGATCTGCGAACCAATACATGCAAATTTAGGGGAACCTACAGGATAAATTCTTGGAGATTAGGTCGGGAACATGCAGGAATATGCAGGTTGACATTTCATGGTAGCCCACATGAAATACCAACCTGCATACTTCGTATAGTTACAGGGTTGAGTGAATTACCCATGTAGGTGGTCTCCTGATTGTATCAAATATGACAGCATAACCGCTATGCGGCTCAGTGGTTTAGTGGGATAATTCGTCTTTCGGGAGAAATCTCTGGTTTCAAATCACCAACATAGACGAGGTCCCGGGTTCGATTCCCGGCTGAGCCCCTTTTTTTTTTCTTTTTTACTCATATACTTTTAGTTATTCTAAGTAAGAATAGAGATTCAACTGTGGTTATGGAGAACTGTACAAAAGCTGGATACAAGTTAGAGAAGCGAGGGAAATATAGGTAACCCCTGGCACTGAGGAGATGTGACGTAGCATGCGTAGCAAACATAGCAAACTCCAATGGAACCAATCAAACAAACCAAACCAACAAACCTATGTGATAAGTAAAGGACAACAAAGGAAATAAAGAAACCGTACAAAACAAAGCATGATTGATTATATTCTTTCGAACAAAGTAGGTCAATTTGTGAGATATCACAGTTGCTATGTATGTATGGTCTTGACCTCGCTTTTCCCTGTCAGATACCATTGGAGGAAATTTGACTTTTCCATTCAGTCTCTTGGAACATCCTTTGACCAGGGTCAAACAAAGAACTCTCATCTGCCAAGGTCACTAGGCTCGGTTAAACAGAAGTCCGACAAACGATAGACCAACGACGGAGCAACAACAGATCAGCTCATGCAACTAAGCTAGCTTCAAGCTATCATGTGTATCTCGCAGCGAAAAAAAAACCTCTAACCGAGCGGTGAGAATCATCTACACATCAATCGTCGGCTCGGATGGCTGGGGCGGTTAGGATGGCAAGGATTGTTTCATATCGGGACAGTGCTCAGATGAATTATGTGGGGCTCATTAAGCCCTGCTCTTTGTTTCCGATATTAGGGCTGTCGCACTCTCTGCATTTGATCGTATGTGGTTATGCCAATCTACAAGTGTTCAATTAACTTGAGTTTGACTCCATCTTCAGACTCGAAACTATGATTGCCCGAGTGCGTGCAACCCGAGACATTCCTTGGCCGCAAATGGGAAATCGCTCATGTCCGCTTTTTCCATCCGCAATCCAGGATGGGACCTACAAATATGGAACCATTTCCCTTCAAAACAGTTGGATCAGGACTCTACATCTGTTCATCAGCCAATCTATTGATTACTATTCATCATGCGCTTGCTGTGGACTTTATCGGCACTAGCCCTCTCTGCCAAAGCCACCAAGACAACAGGATGTCCTCTTCTGGGACCGGCATTTCCTGCCCCTACTGCTCTGTCAAAGGATCCCATTTTTATCAGCAAAGCCGAGGAGTTGACTTCAAAGCTCAATAAAGCCATCGAGGATGGCAGCCTACCTTCTATATCGTTTGCAGCGCAGGTCTATAGCAGTGAAGAGGAAGAATCGGCATTCCAGTTCTACCACACAGATGATCCAGTTAAGTTTGGATCTGTGGGGGTTCAAAAGGTAGACGAGGATACCATGTTCCGCATTGGTAGCATATCAAAGCTGTGGACCATGTTTCTTTTCATGACTTTGGAAGGAACACGGTACTTCCATGAGCCCATTTCGAAATACGTGCCTGAGCTGCAAACAAAGTACAGGCCAAAACAAGCAAAGGATAAAATCAATTATTTGCAATGGGGCGATGTGACTATTGGTGAGCTAGCTAGTCACCAAGCTGGCCTTGCAAGAGACTGTATGATGATCAAAACCCGAGCGCACAATGTGAAAAAGAAACTAAACTTGGGTTCTAGATGCATTTGGAGATCTTGGATTCAAGTCAGATCTTCTCCAAACCCTGGGGTTCCCCCCACTTCCAGAAAAGGAGCAACTGACCTGTGGGAGTGATTATCCTTGTGATAGGAAAGGTAAGTCAATTGTGTCTGCCTAAATTATCGCTCGAGTTGTTTGGCTGACAGGAGAAATCTTTTCAAGAATTTTTCCGTGGTATTTTAAAAACGCGTGAGTAGAGTGATTCCGCTGAAACTGGACATAACACTAATTTGGTTTGTTAGATCCCTTGACTTCGACCTCACAGACACCGATATACTCGAACGCAGGATATCAAATTTTGGGCTATGCACTAGAGTCAATCGCAAAAGGCGACTATGAAGATATATTGATGGACCGTCTCATCAAGCCCCTTAACTTGACTCGGTCCTGTCTTCAAGTCCCAGACCCCAGCTTGGCAGTGATTCCCTACAATGAGACTTTCAGTTGGTTTGGTTATGAAATCGGCGAAGAAGCCCCGTGAGTGCTAATGGACTGTTCGATGTATACATAGCTAACTCACAAATTGCTAGTGCTGGAGGGATATTCTCTTCCGCAAAAGATATGGCCACATTTGGCCGTGCCGTTCTTTCTAGTAGTCTAGTTGACCCTGCCGTGACTAGACGGTGGCTGAAGCCGATAACACACACATCATCCTTGCAAAATTCCGTGGGCGCTCCCTGGGAGATCTATACCTTTTTGATACCTCGTCGAGTGGACTTGTACGTTAAATCTGGGGACATCGGACTGTACTCCAGTTCCATGGGTCTTTCACCAGATCACAATGCCGGAATCACGGTCTTAGTTGCCGGTGGGAACTCTCACATGATGACATCGACAATCACTGAGATGGTTTCCGATATTATGCTTCCCGCACTTGATGACGTCGCCAGAAATCAAGCTCTTGCACGCTTCGGGGGTACATATGCCTTGACGAATGACTCCTCCAATTCGTCAATCACCATCACAGCCGATGACGGGGCTGGCTTGGTAGTCTCAGCATGGATCAGCAACTCGGTTGACATGATCGAGACTTTGATGAGTTTGCAAGGAGTAACAGATCGCTCAGGGATAAGCATTCGTCTGCAGCCTAGTGGCCTCGAGACCCCAGGGCGGATATCCTTCTTGGCTGTTATCTATACTCTTGCTATGCCATCAGATGCTGGGCCTCTTGTTGGGTCCTGCTTTTCGTGGATTCTGCTTGACTCCATGGTGTATGGCAACGTGGGTCTCCCAGAGTTCGAGTTCGCATTGGATCATGATGGGGATGCTACGAGCCTATCCCCCCGGGCACTGCGCGTTACTCTTTCTAGAGTTTAACAGGCCGACAAGATCTCATTTTTGCTTGATTCATCATGATGTATCGAATTTGGCAGTTGTTTGATTTCTTACTGTATAGAATTACTTTACGTACCAGCGCTGAAATATCGATTAGCCATGTTTGAAATTTTGAGAACCGTGAGCGTAAGCTAGCAAATGGGTTTACGAATATCATCATTATTCAGGTTACTCTCAAAGATATATTAATCAGAACTTTCAGTCTAACTATGATGTAGATGGCTGTGTATTAGTGGGGTCATATCTAGGCACAGATTGAGAATACACATAAATCTCTCTGAATTGACTCCTTGGGGAGTACCCCTAGTTCTCTTTGTATGCTAGTTGGGTGCTGAATTGCGAATGCTGAATTGACCCGTGTCTGAGAGCACGCAGCCTTGAGCATTTCCCTCTTCAATATTTAAATGAACAAGGTTGATAATCAGCAGATGGGTCTTCATCCTTGGTTTCTGTACTCTCGGAACACTCAGGCCTCTCTTTGGTCTATACCCTCTGTTACGCTCCTTGTACTGATAACACGACAGATCATATTTATATTTCTCTCCATCCCCTTTCCCGAATGTATTGTTTTCTCCTTCCTACACTATGAAAATCACATTGCACTGGTTTGAATGGTCTTTTTGGCGCACAGTTTGGCACTTCGCCTCGAATATATCGAGCTTCATTCTCTGGCCACTCCGACACCTCTTCATTGCTTTTGCTTCGACTACACCAAAAGGAGACCAGCAGCATCAGAATGATGAAGAGCAGCGTTTAAATTCTGTGGGTGGAATTTGCAATCTTTGGTGACTCTCGCTAATCCTATACTTTAGGTTGATGCCCAATCATCCGAACATATTCCACCGAACATTACTATTCGACGAGCCTCTCAACGCCCGGATAACCACAAGCTCTTGATCATTGGAATTTTCGCTGAAGTGTATCTTCTGGATGATAAAATTATCAGGAAAATTCCTCGTAGCCAGAGTGAAGAAGACAGGCGACCTATAATCCGTGAAGCTATGATATATGGCATTCTCGGTACTCATGCACGGATTGCTGAATGGCTATCAAGGGGCATATCCGACTACATTGACATTAAATACTACCCATATGGTGACCTTGTGAAATATTGCCAGGAGAACTCGATCAGCCCGGAGCTTCGATCTAAATGGTACCAGCAGATCTTGGAAGCTGTTATCGTTATTCATAGTTATGGCATTATCCATTCTGATCTCGCCCTGCGGCAGTTTTTCATTGACGACAATTTGGATCTACGACTTGGTGATTTTAACTCTTCGCAATGCCCTGGTCATATATCACTGGGCTACGAAAAAGCATCACACTGCTTGCCACGAGATTATGAACTTCCTAACACCGAAATATCCGATATTTTTGCTCTAGGATCTACTCTCTACGAGCTAGTTGCTGGTGAGGCTCCATACAGCGAACTCTCTGGACCCAAATCGGAAGATCCGGATATCATCAAAGCTCAAATCCGACGACAACATTTGGTGGATCATGAGATTGAAGCACTGTACAAAACCCAGAATTTTCCGGATGTATCTAACCTATTCAGAGGAGAAATCATACTAGGTTGTTGGATAGGGGAAATCCGCACTGCACAAGCTGCACTTGATTTGTACTTGAAACACTGGTGTGCTTTGCGGATATGCTAGAGGAAGAAGAGGATAGGTTGATTTCTTATAATTCATATCTGAAGATAAATTTCTATCCTTGTATGAATCATTGAGCTGATAATTGGGAAGGCTCTGCCCGTAGGGCAATATTTCAACTTGCCTGGGTGGTTCCTTGTATGAGGGGATAATAAATCACCCCGAAAAAGCAAAACCTTGCATTCATATAACTATGAGGAAATAGAGGTGGCCATTGCTAAAACAAATCTCAGAATACTTCTTCGAATTCGGATGATATTGGATAATGTGTAAGTATGACTTGAGAAGATTGAAGGAGAGAAGCACACGGAAGAAAATGTTTTGGGCCCAAGCCGCCTCTTTCCTCCAAAGGCCGAGACTGTCGAGGAAGCCGCGACTCATATGAAAAGAAAAAAAAAACTAATATACTAAGACGCCACCTGGGCAAAAAGACCATCAATATGTAGACTCTAATCATAATACTTTGCTACTACACCTCCAATGATAGGCTGATCCCCGACTTCACTCCGAGCCACACCTCTGTCAACTCCCTTGGCCACTCTCGCCTTCACCCACTCACCAGCAGTGATACCAACCGCACTATTATCAGTCGTCCGATCATATCCCAAGCGATTCAAAACTTCACTCACGACCGGGCGCAGCTCGAGGCTATCCTCCGGTCGAACAAAGTACAAAACACCTAGGCGGTCTACATTCCTCTGATCCGGCGGTGGTGCAACGACTCGGTGAATACTGCTTTTGAGGAAGCCATTGGTGAGAAAATGGAGCGAATCCGCAAGATTTACCGTGATGCTCCCGGGATACGGCTTTACCCACTTCCACTCGCCCTCCGGTGTGCGAACCTGCAGCGCGGCAACGGGTTGGCGGAATAGCAAGGTCAAGCTGCCAAAGTCGGTATGGCCTTTGGACCAAATCCCGCCGGCCTTCTCATTTTCTTCATCTGTACGCTGATGGTACTTCATGTACCGTAGGTGGCAATCGCTCTTCTCCTCATAGCGATGCACCTTTAGAAAATAGTCTTCAGGTAGCTCGAGGATAATGGCGAAGAGCGTAAGAAGCTTGCTCGCAATTTGGTCATGAATATGGCGTGCGAAGCCCTCGATGATGGGGCGATTGTGATTCACAATACCAGGTTGGGGAATTTCGAGAGCCGGGATGAATTTCGGGATGTTGTAGATTTCTGTGTTGTCATAAACACCCGGAATGATTTCCTAAGGTACAATATTAGAGACCATTGCTTTTCGCCATATATTATTGGGTTTCAACTTACCCGGAGACCCATTGGCTTGTAGCCATTGTAGCCACCTTTCTCAAGCTCCGCACGAAACTTGAGCTTTTCATCTATTGGCAGCTTAAATATCTCCTTGCCAATAGAGAATTGGCGATCAACATCTTCCTGTGAGAGACCGAAGTTGGTAATATAAAAGAAGCCTAAAGTCAGATAAGTATTACAAGCATAGAAAACAGAGCTTGATTATACATATAGCACTGACCTATATTCTGTATAGCCTTGAAGAGCTGCTTGGCTAATTGCTCTTTACCACCGGGTTGGTCAAACAGAGACAGATCCAAGGTGGCGAGGTCCGCCCAGTCCACTACGTACAAAACACACATTAGCCATGGCGTCTCAGGTCTAGGTCTCACTAATCTTGGACTTCAAAGTAGAGCATGAATGAGGACACAAAAGTCTTACGATCAAAAGAAGTCTCTGGGATCTGGTTGTAAGTCGGGATATCATATCCTGTAGGAACCGAGGCTGGTGATTGAGCAATCGCTGCCATAGCTTAGAAAAAATATCAGAAGAAAATATAAGACAAATATGAATAGAATCACAACGATTTGGCCAAGGTGTTCGTGTTATGGAGACAATGGTAGGAATTGCATTGCATTATATCTGGGAGATGGGGTGGTTTATCAAGATCGCAATATCCTTGCCTTCGCAGTATATTTGCGGTTGACCTTTGTTCTCTTGAATTTATTCCAATCGGGCAATTTCTAGCTCCATTCCACTAATAGCTCATGGGGTTGATATACAAGGTCAGTAAGATTGTCGATGCGCGTGCAAGTGGACCTCCGCTTCCTCCGCTTTGCGCCACATATATTTCAGATCTCATCATGATATCCTCCGTTTGCGTGATCGGGAACTGTGCCATGACTAAATCACAAATTCAACACTCCGTTCGTAGGAGTTAACGGTATAATATTGAAAAACCCTACAACATAGTCTGGCAACGCACTTCTCCAGGAAATATAATGAGAATCCATTAATTACACGACGATCCCGAATCCCCGCATCATTGACGGAAAATAGCAAATTGATTCTAACAGTAATCGAATAAAATGTCTCCGTCTAGATCAAAATCCCATCGACACTATTTTCGATTTACCATCTTGATAGTGTGGCCTAGGCCGTAGCATTTGCAATACTTTTGGACTATGATACAATTTCTGTTGTCTGGCTTTTGAGCTTGGTCTAAGCTTAATACTCTCGGAGGGTTTCCAGTCTGATAAAGGAAAGATATAGATAGCTAGTAATAACTGCTCACGTTTAACTGGGACTACCAGCGGTAATTTTCTCAGCTTTGTACTGTCGAAAGTAACATTGTGACGATGGCAGACAAAGAAAACGGGCGCACTTCATCCAAAGACCTGGGCAGGACCACGGCCACTGATATTTCTTCAACTAGCGGCAGCGATGCCAATAATGAGCTTCATTTTGCCAGACGTGGTGAAGATTTTGCACCGACATCATCGAACCAGCAAAACATCGACGGTTACGATCCGGAGCTTATGAGTGGTAGGACACTGCTTACAGCAGAAGAAGAGAAAAAGCTACTACGCAAGATTGACTGGCGATTGATGACGCTTTGTTCACTTATCTTTATGTTCAAAAATCTGGACAGCAACAACGTGTGTATTTGGAGCCATCCCATCAAAGATATCCATGTGTTACATGATAACTTACAGTCTTGCAGGCATCCAATGCTCGAATCATGAACAAAGGAACGGATCAGAACATCATGACACAACTCGGAATCACATCTAACGAGTACAATCTCGTGACTGTTCTTTACTATGCAAGTTTGACCAAGTCTTGACCCAGGCCCCGCGACATGTCACTAATCATGAACGTGCCCTGGCAGGTCCCATATATTTTGTTAGAAGCACCCTCAAATTTACTGCTGAAGAGGTTCTCTCCTTCAAAGTGGCAGTCGAGGATAATGATCAGCTGGGGCATCGCTCTTATGTGCAATGCTGCTGTGAAGAATAAGGGCGGTTTATATACGACACGGTTCTTGCTGGGTGTGGTACGTTTCCGGCCTAATAGGTCTCATGATTTTCAGAAGACATTTACACATAAACTTATTTACCGGCGAAGTAAGCTGACAACGCAATAGGCCGAGGCTGGACAGTTTCCGGGTGTCATTCTCCAAATGACTTACTGGTATCGCCCGGACGAGATGTCTTTGAGACTACTCTATTTCTGTAAGTTTCCCACGATTTACTCCCAAATTGTCTTACGCTGCTTGAAATGTTACTGACTCATGATTCAAAGATATTTGTGGAAATGTTTCGGGTATCTTCGGTGGCCTTCTTGCCTATGCGTTTGATAATGCATCTGGCGCAGGCGGGCTTTCCGGATGGCAATGGTAGCCCGATCCTTGATGCACTCCTATTTTCGAATACTTGCTAACAAGTTGGATTGTTCTAGGTTGTTCCTTACAGAAGGTATTGCAACTGTTATTTTTGGAGCTGTGATTTGGTTCCTGCTCCCTGACTGTAAGGGGCCTTCTTTTCGTCATCAAAACACCAGTCGCTAATATAAGAAAATTCAATAGTCCCTGAGACAGCCAAATGGTTGACTGAAAGGGAGAAGAAATTTATTCAGGCTCGACTGCCGTCTAATGCTCCTCGTGCAAATGAGCAAAACTTTCAGCTACGTGAAGTTATCGAGTCCCTGAAAGATCGGAGACTGTGGCTGTTCACGTTTATCTGGGCTACCTTTACTGTTGGAACCAACGGCGTCACTTTTTATCAATCAACAGTCATTGCCAACCTCGGTTACACGTAAGTTCCGCCTTTAGTTGTAAAGGCAATGATTACCTCAAAGAGAATTGCTGACAGTCTCTCAGGAGCATTGCTCAAGCCCAACTCCTCAATATCCCTATTACGGTCTGCGGTCTCCTCTTCATTGCGGCTACAGGTATCACAGCAGATCGCAGCCGGATACCCCGGCCATTATACCCACTTTCATTCCTTCTCATCATTATAATCTGTTACGGCGTTTTTGTTGCCTATCCGAGTAATGGTGCAATCTACGCGGTGACATTGATCGGCAATGCCTTGACTGCAGGATGGTATCCTGTTATGTGGTGAGTTTTCTATGTCCTAACCCAATCAAAAGTGTATAGCTCACAACGTGATGATAGGCCATGGCGCGTACAAACTACTTCCCGGGCTACGGGATCCGCCTTCTCTATTGGATTCGTCAACAGCTATGGCCAAATTGGAGGTGCCATCGGCCCTCAGTTATTTCAAAGCATGTATGCACCACACTACACAGTGCCATTCTCTGTGGCCATGGGTCTTGTGGGTATTTGCGCGATCTTGACGCTGGTGACGTGGTGGGTGACTTGGGATACGGAGCGTGATACAAGGCGACTCAAGCTAGCTAAAATTGCGGCGGAAAAAAGAGGAGAGATAATTTTGGAAGATGTTGTGGACAATGACTTGAAGAGTCATTAAGGAAAGCGCTATTGAGAAGCCTAGATAAATTTCGGGACACCCTGTATATAGGCTCTAGATCATAGACCAAGCCCAACTCCTTCATGACAAAAGTCCAGTAAATAAAACACACAAGACGTGGAGCTAGAAGAAATGAAGTTCGCGATGTTAGTTAGCCCAAGACTCAATAAATACTCCGAGCCATGCACTTACCAAAAGGTCCGAGGGTCGAATCAAAATCAAGCGATCTCTCCGCTAAGAAAAACCCTCCGACTCCATACATACCCCTCAAAATTTGTGGGAACTTCTTCATGTGTACTTTTAGATTCAAGGTTATTCCTTATTCGAAAGGGTTCTGACGTACAGGTACTCGGCTCATCAAGATTTGGATATGAACTCCTTTGACGCGCAACCGCCAAGAGCTTCGAGCGATCCCTACTTTGATCTGGGAACACTGACTCGCAAAGTCAGTACCAATTCCCAAGAAGCCCAGATATGGTTCGACAGAGCGCTTGTCTGGACATATTGCTTTAATCATGATGAAGCAATTGCCTGTTACAAGCAGGCAATCGCGCACGACGAGAACTGCGCCATGGCCTATTGGGGGATATCTTTCTGCTCAGGCTCCAATTACAACAAAACATGGGCGTTGTTCGACGAAAGAGATAAGCTCAATGCGATTAATCAGTGTTATATATTTTCTCAAGAAGCGCTGAGGCGGGCAAACAATGCATCAGATTGGGAGCAAGCGCTTATCAAGGCTCTCACAAAGCGTTACCCCAATGATGATGCAGGTAGGGATCTTGCCGGATGTAGCCGAGCGTACGCCGACTCTATGAGAGAGGTATATGCGAGTTTCGGACGCGAAGATTTCGACATTCTCACACTCTTCGCCGATGCATTGATGAATTGTGCTCCACGAAAGTTATACGACGCCTCCACGGGGCTTCCGATACCATCTTCCCCAGTGTTCGAAGTGAAAGATCTGCTCGATCGGGCCTTGAAGATGCCGAAGGTCGAACTACATCCAGGTCCCGCGCATATGTATATCCACCTGATGGAAATGTCGGCGACTCCCGAGGCTGCTTTGCCGGCAGCAGAGATGATCCGCGAAATGTTTCCCGATACAGGTCACACCTTCCACATGCCTGCCCATATCGATGTTCTTGTGGGAGATTATCGTCGCGCAGTGGAATACAATCTGAAAGCGACCGTCGCAGATGACAGATACTTTGAAAAGAATGGCGGCTTGACATTCTACAGCTACTACCGTCTACACGACTATCACTCCCTCATCTATGCCGCGATGCTTGGTGGGAAATCAAAGGCAGCATTATCAGCGACAAATAGAATGGAGGCGACTATTACAGAAGAGATTCTTCGGGTCGAAACACCTGCGCTTGCAAACTGGATGGAATTCTTCAAGGCTGTTAGAGTTCATGTGTTTATTCGCTTTGGAATGTGGGAAGAGCTCAAGAAACTCGAACCACTGGAAGACAAGCATCTTTATTGTGTCACAAATGTTATGAGACACTATGGAAAGGCTATCGCGTATGCAGCCACATCTGAGCTTGAAAAAGCCGACAAGGAGCGAGAACTTTTCAAATTAGCTTCTAGGCTTGTCCCCTCCACACGCCTCGACTTCCCCAACAAGATCACCGACATTCTCAAAGTAGCGTCTGCTATGCTGGACGGCGAAATTGAGTATAGAAGAGGCGATTATGATGAAGCATTCTGCAGGTTACGGGAGGCTATTACCCTGGAAGATGAGCTGCCTTTCGCAGAGCCATGGGGGTGGATGCTTCCAGCTCGGCATGCATATGCAGCTCTCTCATTGGAACAGTGTAGAGTTGAGCAAGCTGCACAGGCTTACGCGGAAGATTTGGGACTCTCCCCAACACCCAAACGTGCCCATCAACACCCGAATAATGTTTGGGCTCTGCATGGCTATCACGAATGCCTTCAACTTTTGGGTCGCCACGCGGAGGCAAATATTATCAAGAAGCAACTTTCCCTTGCTCTTGTGGAGGCGGACGTTGAAATCACATCTTCATGCTTTTGCCGACTTGGGCAATTGCCTTCGTCCTGTGGAAAGCCCAAAGTGAATAGTTGCCACAGTGTAGAATCTATGTGTAGAAGCTAGATAAAAACTGTGACTAAATGAATGTTGTTTCACCGTTTCCTTATTGTTGATACGTAAAAATTCATAAAAGGGAGGCCGGGCCCACCAAAGTAGGCAACCGATGTACCATGCCAAGCGCTCATGGCCTTCAAGAAATACCTTCCAAGATTAAAAGAACAAGTCATAAATACGGGTGTCATACAACGGCATCTGCAACTTGCTTGATCATCCCGCGAACCTCATCAACGATACGGAAACAAGGCACCAACTTCCGCGCTACCGGATCATGTGGGCAGAGATCGAGCGGGTCATGATCAACAGCATCCTCCTTCCTCCGACAATGACCTTCAGAACTGGGGCAAGCTTCATGGCCCGCCATATGGCGACTGCGTTGTCGCTGCGCAAACCTTTTGCCCAGCACCAACAGCCGTTCGGTATCCGTCTGGAGGCCGTGCACAACGAGGTCTTTGAGTTTCTCGCCGCTAATTTGCAAATTGAATTCTGACGGGATTCCATGCCCAGAGTCAAGATAGACGGTTCTCGTCTCGTTCCTGACATCGAGCTCAGTACAGTGTTTATTCAGCCAGTGGAGGTACTTTTGGTAGCCGGATGTTATTTCAAACATGAGCTGACCGATGAGGAGCACATTTTGAACCGTCAATCGAGGCGGTTTGGACACATCGTAGCACATAGAACAGACTAATAGTTTCTCTGCGAGGAACACTCCTGTGCGAAGCATCGGGACAATATCGTGTGACATATTCGCGCGGCTCAAGTTCCGAACTAGATCGGAAACTTCTTCGTCGCATTTACAAGACTGTGAGAACGACATCGGAAAAACGTATGCGTCTAATGATATTGGTGGTATCTCGGGTCCGTGCAATCCGGTCTGACGTGATGCTTGTACCAACTCTATAGGAAAGGAACAAATATCGCCGTTCCCAAGCATTTGCCAGTGAGAGGAATGGAATCCGCAGTTCCCAGACAGCTCATACGGTAATGAGTCGAACTCACCGGCACCCATTGGCATATTGACGGGATCATGAGGATGTAAAGTCGCCTCTGATACAGTGGACGAGAAATGAGAGGAGGTTGACGATCCTATTCGCTCCTCTCCGTTCGGCAAATCGCAGTCTGGCTCCTGTCGCACGCGCTTTCTCGGCCTTCCAGGGACTCCTTTCTCTTTGAATTTACAAGTCAATGTTAAGCCACGGCAGCGAGAGCAGCCGCTCTTTTCACCTGAGCATCTGAGCTTCCGTGACCCTGTTCTCCATTAGTAACACATTCAGGAAACTGCCTAGGTGGAGAGTGGCCCAGCTTACGGCATGCTTCGCACGAGTTTCGCTGTGGATTGGGATTCATACTATGTCGAATGTGTCCAAGCCAGACAAGACCGAGGTCGGGGATTGATCTCCAGGTGGAATTCCAGGATTGGTCATCCTGCATTGGGATGGCGTCAACCGAGCGGGGTACAGAAGCAGCGTGTTGAGCAAAAGTTGATATCCATCAATCCTTCATTATGTGACAATGCATCTACGTAGGAAATGATAAAAGCCCAAGGATAGTATATGTTTCTGAATATCAAGGAGCTATCGTGCTTTGCGGGTTTCTCCTTTGTCTAAAAACCTCCGAGAAAAAAAACACCCGAGAGTTTGTGCAGTTTCGCTTTGCCAATATTTATCTTATTTCCATAATTCTTTCCCCCTCAAAATGACCAGAGAATTCATATTCTAGGACCAGAACAGCAAAATGGCCAAATTTATAACTGCACGCGATTTGCGCCAGCATTGGGTTAATAACCTTGAAATTGCCCTCCTCGATGTCCGTGAAGAAGGCCCCTATTCCGAGTCCCATCCTCTATTCGCACTAAGTGTGCCAGTCTCGGAAATCGAGAAGAAGTTGCTTCCACTAGTTCCTCGATTGTCCGCCCCGATTGTTGTCTACGACGATGGTGAAGGTTATGCAGACCGGGCTACTGCCCGGATATTAACCCTGGGGTATCGGGATGTTTCTATTCTAAAAGGCGGGCTTTCCGGCTACTCCCTTGTTGGCGAAGTCTATCGCGATGTTAATGTGCCATCTAAGGCGTTTGGCGAGCTCGTCGAATCCATCAACCACACCCCATCTTTATCTGCGCGGGAGATCAATGATGTTCTCAATCGTGATGGTGATATTGTTGTTTTGGATGCCAGACGTTTTGAGGAGTATAATACTATGAGCATTCCCCGTGGCCGCAGCTGTCCAGGGGGAGAACTTTTGTATCGCTTTTTCGAGGCTGTACCATCTCCGGAAACCACAGTCATCGTTAACTGTGCAGGTCGAACGCGGAGTATTGTTGGGACCCAATCTTTGATCAATTCTGGAATCCCGAATAAAGTAGTTGCACTTCGAAATGGGACTATCGGGTGGACATTGGAGGGGTTGGAACTGGAGACTGAAAAGACAGAGCGGGTTCCACGGCCTTCGGGTGAGGCATCGGAAAAGGCACGGAAATACGCTGAATCGTGGGCGAATCACGTCGGCGTCTCTTGTATTGATGGCGAGCAGCTCGCTCAATTTGCTGCCGAGTCAGAAGTTCGAACACTGTACCTTCTAGACGTGAGAGATCCGGAGGAGTACGCCCTTGGCCACCCAGCCGGCTTCTCCAATGCTCCTGGTGGCCAATTGGTACAAGCCACCGATGAATGGGTCGGCGTTCGAGGAGCTCGCATTGTTTTATATGATACGGATGGTGTGCGAGCACGAATGACAGCCAGCTGGCTCTTACAGCTCGGATGGGAGGTGTATGTCTTTGAACAGCGATCCCTCGTGCCTAATGGACTTTTGTTGCCTAAAATTCCTTCGTTCTATCCTCCAAAGAGTGGCGCTATCACAATCAATGACCTTCAAAATACCACAGGGCCTACAGTGATCGATCTCGCCCGTAGCCCGTCCTATCGCCAAGGCCACATTCCGGGCGCATGGTTTGCGTCTGGGCCCGAACTTACCCGAGATTTGAGAGCTGTCGACGGCGACGGCCCTATCGTGCTCACCTCGCCAGATGGTGACCTTGCCTCGATAAATATTGACGAGGCGCGCAATTCAGTCGCGCGAGAAGTTTATTACTTGGTGGGAGGGACGACGGCCTGGGTAGCTGCCGGCCATCCCCTCGAGACCGAATCGCGGTGGCTGTCGCAGCCAATTGACGTGTATAAAAGGCCGTACGAAGGAACAAGCAATGCTCGCAAGGATATGCAAGGGTATCTTGATTGGGAGTATGGGCTTGTCGCACAACTGGCGAACGATGGGGTCGCACGTTTTCACGTTAAGCGGGACTCGCGTCTCCAGGAACAAATAACTAGTTAAGCTGTATCTAATCCGAAGAATAAGGCGGTAATAAGTTTGCTGCGACGAGCAATGAGAGGATCTCATAATCTTTTCTTTGTCTTTTTTTTTTGTATGATAGGGGCTGCAAGAACGGCATACCAAAGTGGGCCCGGAGTCCGAAGTCCGAGTAGGCCGAAGGCGACAGCTAGTTAAGGTGAGATGATCGACAAGTTGGTATTAGATGACTATGTGAAATCCCTTACGCTCAATCCCACCAGACTATTCCCTTAGAAAAACAGATATATGCAAATTGCACTTTACTTAGTGGACCTTTTACAGCGATCAATGATACTTGTGTATCAGTGAGACCCCGGCAGTATATGTGACGTATACCTCGCGTGAAAACAAATGGATTACGCTCACTTCCCGTAGTCTAGATATGCTTCTCCTTATTCAGTGTTCTCCTAGTCCACTATTCGGTGTGGGCCTTCGCTATGTTCCAACACAAAAGTGGTTGTCGGCTCGGACTAGGGAACGAAAGTCCGAAAGCGATAAGTCCGAGGTTGTGGGTACGGCCAAGACATCTACATAGATCTCAATGCTGAACTTGTACATGATGTATGAATCAGATTGTTATAGAAATGGGTATTTAAATACAGGATGCGTCCTGGCTGTGTACAATATCCGACAAAATACATATATCTTTCAATCTTCTTCCGAGATCATGAAACCTCAGGAACAACAAGTCGATGTTTTCATCGTTGGTGCAGGTTTTGGTGGCATCGGCCAGGCCTATGCACTGCGCAACCTTGGGCTCTCTATCAAGATTATTGACTCTCTCCCGGATCTCGGTGGCACATGGCTCACGAACACCTATCCAGGTGCCTTGAGTGATACAGAGAGTTTTGTCTATCGCTTTTCATGGGATAAAGAGGATTTGCAAACGTACCCTTGGAACCGCCGATATCTTCGACAACCTGAGATTCTCGAATACCTGAGGCATTTCGCGAAGAGGCATGATCTCCGCAAGTACATGGAGTTCAACGTCGAAATGCAGTCGGCTGTGTGGAAAGAGGAGTCTCATGTCTGGGAGATTAAGCTCAGTACCGGACAGACCTTCAGAGCACGCTACTTTATTCCTGCAATGGGGAGCTTGTCGAAGCCAAATCTTCCCGACATTCCAGGGATCTCGATGTTCAAAGGAATTGCCGCTCATACATCCCATTGGCCGAACGACTTGGATATGACGAACAAGCGCGTCGGTGTCTTGGGATGCGGTGCAAGTGGTGTTCAAATCATCACCAAAATTGCCCCGTATGTTGAATCCTTGACAGCATTTATTCGACACCCACAGTACACGCTGCCCAACAACGACAGAATGGTCACACCAGAGTACAGGGCCTGGGTCAATGAGAACTACGACACGATTTGGAAGCAGCTCCAAAACTCCCTGATTGGGTTTGGATATGTCGAGTCAAACCGTCCACTGTTTTCTGTGGATCCTGCGCGACTCCAACAGCTTCTGGAGGACCTGTGGAACAATGGCAATGGGATGCGCTTCATGGTTGAACATTTCTGTGACATCACCACCAACGAGAAAGCCAATGAAGTGGTGTGCGATTTCCTTCGAAAGAAGATCTACGAGACTGTGAAGGACCCGAAAAAGGCAGCTAAACTCATCCCTAACGAGATCTGTGCGCGACGACCAATCTCCAATGATGGTTATTACGAAACATATAACCGGGATAATGTGTCAATTGTGGACTTGAAGGAGACCCCAATCGCAGAGATCATCCCTGAGGGCGTGCGGACCGAGGACGGGACCGTGCATAAGCTTGATGTACTTGTTCTCGCCACCGGCTTTGACGCAGTAGAAGGCAACCTTGTTCGGGTGAACATCGTGGGTCGCGATGGCAGGGAGCTTAAGGATGTCTGGGCGACTGGCCCCAAGACCTACCTTGGTAGTTTCGTCGCTGAATTCCCTAACATGTTCATAGTGAACGGTCCGAAGGGTGCATTCGGAAATGTTGTGCCAGCTGTGGAAGCTAGTGTTGAGTTTATTACTCATGCTATCCAGCGAGCGGAGGAAGCTAGGGAAAGGCATGGCTCCCACGCGATCGTTGAAGCCACCCAGGAATCAGCGGATGAATGGGATCAGGTATGTGAGGACGCCGCCAAAGGGAGCCTCTTCAACAAGTTGAAAACCTCCTGGTTCACTGGAGGTAATATCCCTGGAAAGGCGGTGGGTGTGAGAGCATATTTTGGAGGGCTGGGCAGTTATCGAGCCATCGGGACCAGTGCCACGAAGGACACCTGGAAGGGGTTCGAACCGCTCTTCTAGGCAAGTGGAAAGAGCAACTGAGACCACCTAATGCTGTGTTCCTCGTACTGTTCATTTTATGTTATTTCTTTTTATAATGTCGTTACATAGTACTTGCAATAGACCTAGAATTCGTGAAACTGTCATGAAGTCCTGAAAAGCATCAAATTTGAGTAGTCCTGATTCACTGGAGGCGATGTACCTCCCAAACCGATCGGTGGGAGTTGGCGAGTCATAAAGCCATGTGAAATAGGGGTATGAACGAAATGTGGTATCCACTGAACGAAGTTTTAATCTATATTCCAAGTGAACCTATAGAATATATTAAGCACGATCAGTTTATCAAATTTACTTATTTTGTGAAAAAGGCAGAATAGAACTCCCACATATGGATGTTTTTCATGCAATCTGATAAAGAAACTAGCGCAATAGGGAAGATCAGATAAGACGATGGACCAGGGCCGTCCCCGTTAGAGCCGGGCCTCCCGGTTACGTAACTGCACGTTGGAGCCATGGAATTCCCCAGGCAAATACCCGAAGTTCCATCCACCTACTCTTCACGTGGCAAATCTGCAATGAAGTCACTCTTCGTCTTAAAATTTTTGGGTTTCCTCCTCTCATCGCCATAGTATTGGCATGGCTTTTCCACCCTTTACACCCTATCTAGCCCAACAGATGGCTGCAATTCCACGATCTGGTACTCCAATCTACACACACAACAGAGTCAGTGACTCTTCCTCAATACCTACGACGACGCTTGATCAAGTGACACCACCGCAACGAGAGCTTCGCGACATGGTTGAATACAGTGGAGACTCAAGCCAATACAACAACGGATTACGCACGATGCAACAAATCCTCGCGGCGCCATCGACTCGATTACCGGAGCTGCTGCAGCTGAGCTGTGTAACATGTCGCCGCAGGAAGGTCAAGTGCAATAGGAGGGACCCATGCTCCAACTGTGTCAAAACAGGAATGGCTTGTGTCTTCCCCACATCTGGAAGAAAATTCCAGAGGGCAAGCAAACCGCGTGAAATAGATGTCATCAATCGTCTAAAACGGCTGGAAGACGTAGTCAAAAATATCAGGCATCCTATACACCTGGAGACACCAAACCCACCATCGGATGCAGCTGGCGAAGACACAATCACAGTAATGGAGAAGTGCCCTTTCGATGGCACAGATCCCCGAGCAACTCGACACAAGCATGGTTCTCCAGAAGAGTTTGGACGGCTGATAGTTGACAATGGTTCCTCTCGATACATAAGCAACCGGCTATGGGCGAGTTTGAGTGACCAGGTATGCTCCTATTTATCTGCCCTTGCTCCAGTATCCGCTGCTAACATTGGTTCAAGATAGATGAACTGCACGATCTTTTGGTACCTTCATCTCCACATAGTGATGAATATCTCTCTCCGGATAATGGCCACAACGGCAATAAACATTATGACTGTTTTCTCTTCGGCTTTAGTTCTGTGGCACATACGTTGGCCAACTATCATCCACAGACAGAGCAGCTGTTGAGACTATGGGACAACTATCACCGCAATGTAGCGCCGCTACTTATGATCCTACACCCAGAAACTGTAAAAGAGGTCTTCTATAGATCCCACCTCGATCCTGGGTCCCTGGACAGCGCTTCTGAATGTCTTCTATTTGCTATTTACTTCTCAGCTTCCGTGAGCATGAATGACGACCAATGTGTTTTTGAACTTGGAGATACGAAAGAAGCAGTGACGAGCCACTTCAGATTTGCTACTGAACAGGCATTTGTTAGAGCAGATCTCACCAGTTCTAAAAGCTTGATTGTAATCCAGGCCGCTGTCCTTTATCTGAAAAGTTTGCGTGCATTGGAGCAGATGCGGGTTGTATGGACAATGACTTCCATCGTGATCCGTCTAGCTACAGGCCTGGGCTTACATCGGGATGGTTCCGCATTCGATCTAGAACCTTTCGAAATCGAGATGCGCCGTCGCCTATGGTGGAGTATCTGCATTCTGGATGTTCAAACTGCAGAAGATCAAGGCACAGACCCAATGATTCATGATGTGTTCTACGACACCCAAATCCCGTTGAACATCAACGACGAGGACATTCGCCCTGGCCTCAAGAATATGCCCTACGAACTTGCTGGCTACACTAGCTTGACATATTTTCTTCTTCAATGTGAAGTCGCTTTGGCCACGCGCCGATTGACCTACTATCTCCCAGGGAGTCCCTGCCCTGCCTTACAGACAATTGAAGAGCGCCAAACGCTTGTCCATGACCTTGATAGGCGTCTCAATGAGCGTTATGTCCGCCATCTTGATACAACGAATCCCCTGCAATGGGCCTGCAGCAAACTTGTCAGCACAGCTGTCGCCAAACTTTCGCTTATAATCTACCAGCCATTGGACAAAACAAAAAGCATTGCATCGCTACCACAAAACATACAAAGCAAGATTCTGCTTAAAGCCATCGAAGTGGTTGAACTCTCGCACCTTTTTCAAACTGATATCAGAGTCACAAGATGGAAATGGGATTTGCAAGCACATACTCCCTGGTATGCCGTTGCTTATGTTCTGGCTGAACTATGCAACAGCCGGGACAACTTGGAAATGGAGCGTGCGTGGTTGTCAGTGTCTAAAATTTTCAAAGAATGGCAAATACACGCGTTCAGACAAAACAAGCCTTTGTGGCGACCGTTATCACGACTTATGATGCGAGCATCATCTCGTCGGGACAAACAGGAGGAAGATAGAATACAGCCACATGTTGCATTAGACGATTCAGTCTTCCCAACGCAATTGTCAGATCCGATCACTTCTAATTTCGCCGCAGATGCTTTTGCTTCTTTTAACCAGCCGATTAATGAAACACAATCCCAGAATACCGTCGCTCCCTATTTCAACATGGTCCCACACACACGGTTGGAAGTACCATCAGAAATATTTGACGAGTTTGATATTTTGCAGCCTGGGATCTGGAATGGCGACTTAGCAAAATAAAAGTGACACCTTGATGGATGAGATTGCATCACGTGGTGGAAGCGTGATATAACTACTTACCTAGCCCTGCCACTGCCATTAGTGAGACAGATGATGATGGATCTCACTTTGGAGAGGAAGCAGGGGAAGAAGTCAGTACAACAGCCTGTTGACCTGACGGATTGACAGGTAAATGGTCATTGTTTTCTATGCTAGGTAATTCGGTTCTCTGAGAAATCTACATTTTTCGCCAACTACAGAAGTGTTGCCTATCGATCCTGAAATCTCTCTCCGAGCGTTAATTGTATCTCCCGGTAATTATCTTGGTCTCCAGTCCGACGCAAGCTTCTAGAGGGTATACTGCTACGGGGCTAGCTGCATATATACCGCGTATACCTGTACGATGAAACCTTTAGGAAATTTAGTTCAAGAGACATCTTGATCATCTCCAGTATACCTGATGAGGATACTATCAAAAACACAGCTAGTAAGCCTCTTTTAGAAGCGTAATGCCCAAATGCCCAGATACCTAGGTATACCTATTTAAATCTACTACAAATAATACATACATACCATTAGGTAGTACCGAAATCGGCGGTGAAAAATCACGTTACCGGGTCAATAAAACGCGCGCCGCCCTAGCCCTTGCTACTGTTTATATCCCACTTACCATGCTACTCCTGTTCAATTATGGACTATGATAAACGTCTTGACTTACTACACGAGGCCGAAGAGGAGATCTGGCTTGAAAAGGTCCTAAAGGCCCGCTCTGACGGAAGCTTTTGCGCCTGGGTTTCAAGTTTGCATCCCCAGCGACTGGGGTGCCGCCTAGAGGGTTACTTTCTGAATGGGTCTTACAACATTGCTCAGAAAGTTGTGTTTGAAGATAGCGCTGTATGACTACTCCGCATCCCTCGCGTTAGCAGTGTCTCCAGCAGACATGCAGATGAAAAAGTTGCCATGGAAGTTGAGGCCCTTCGTCTTATCCGCCAAAAAACGGCTCTACCTGTTCCAGAAGTTTGGGCCTGGGGGGTAGCTGATATAAGTCCCCTCAATCTAGGGCCGTTTATTCTGATGACTTTCATCGAGGGTGTATGTCTCAAAGACGTTCTGATTGAAAGTGGTTCGCAGGTGCTGAAGAGACATCTTCCCGACGATACAATCGAATTGATCTATAGGCAGATGGCCAATATCATGCTGCAACTATTCAAAATAGACTTCTATCGGATTGGTAGCTTGCCTACAACAACCACCAATTTTGCTGTACCCACACGTCCGCTCACATGGAAAGCTCATGATATTTTACAAACAGGAGGGATAAACACTTTTGGTACATATCACACATTCTGATGCTTTGAATTCTCCTCAATTTTCTGACCCGCATAACCTTATAGACAATCAAAACCAGAAACTTTCTACAACTCGACAATACTTTCACTATGTTCTCGGGCAAGACTGGCAACAGCTCCAAAATCAACTGAATTCAGTTGCTGGAGAGACAAATGCTCGACTTTGATACATACCGTTGAAGGGTTTGGAATCTTTGATTCCCGACATGATCGCTACCGAGTTCAACGAAGGCCCATTTAAGCTTATTTGCGATGATCTTGGCCTCGCCAATATGATCGTTAAAAGTTCTGAAGATCTTACTATCGTCGGGATAGTAGATCTAGAATGGGTGTACGCGGGGCCAGCGCAACTATTCTGCTCGGCGCCTTGGTGGCTCCTTTATGATCGGCCCATCAATGAAGAGTGGGATTTCAAGATGGGAAAGCCACCTGAGCTTAATAACCGGTTTTTCAAGTGCCTTGATATGTTCGTCCGTATTTTAGCTGAAGAAGAGTCAAAGACATTAGGAAATGAAGAAGTCTCCACTCTTGTTCAATGGTCGATGGACTCAGGGGCTATGTGGCTCCATATGCTCCTCTCTTGTGGCTTTTTGGATATGTCCAATTTTCCCTATGCACAATTACAGGGGAAAACAGGGCCTGAAATATTGGATCAAGCGTTGAAAAAGCTTCGGGATACTGCAGAAGTGAAGGACTTTATCGAAAGGAAGATGAACGACCTGTGTAAGTATGACGAGGATTTGGACAAAATTGAAGAGTACAATGCCGTTGGGAAAATGACGCGGGAGGAATTCGTTATCTCTGTTCAGTCTCTTTTGAGACTTGACGAATAGATTGGAATAATACAATTACATTGCAAAGCTGTCTCCTAAATTCAAGACTTCATTTTCAAGTACACTGATAAGAAGATCAATTATTCTGGATGATGTTTATGGATTATACCGGTTTATTCTCTCACTGACATCGGTTTGCCATTTTGCGGATGTAAATCCCCCTGAAGGCGGAACCCGAGTTGGTACCCAAATAACATCACTCTGGCTCGGCATCAATTTATACAGCTTTCGGCTGTTTCGAGGGCTTGAAAACAGAAGTTTGAAAACACAGCTGTACGTATTCGCTTGTACAATTTGGACAAGCTGTGAGACTGCCAATTCACTTTCGTCGAGGTAAGTTGTGCCAAGTTCGAAAGTTGTGATTGAGTCGATGACGCAAAAGACCACAATTTCTGATGAAAGTTGATGAACCAAGTGATAAAATATCTCACATAGGGCATCAACGTCTCCAGGCTGTACCTGTGATATTCGACCAAGTGTTTGTACGTCGAACTCTGGATAAGCGATTAGAAGCTGAGAGATCAAGCTTCGCATTAGACCAACAACCCCTCTTTCTTGATCTCCACGGCCACGATGTGCGCCACAGAACCAGGAAAGGGAGATGGTATGGTCGCTGTCGTATGAGACCACTGATTCTACCAGTTTCGCGAGCGTGAATGACGAGATCTTCTCACTACCCGAAGAATTAGAATTGCAGTTGATAAACAGTGCGGAAGATTGGGCCGCGATAATCCAGCTTTTTAGCTTTGTTGAATGTATGATGGCGAGTATGCGGTCTTGGTCAACTCTGGGTAGCCTCCAAACTTCTTGCACACTAGTTGCAATATCGTGGGGGACAATCGAACTGTCATAATCCAACGCCTTGAGGGCTTTATCTTGAGCTCTCAGATATTCTATCATGTTACTATTACGTTAGCCTCATATTCATGCGTATTTGAGCAGTGGATGGTACGTTTTAATGTCCGTTGGTGTACAGCCATCTTGTTTGATGGAAGGATTGGGCCTCTGACTTCGATTGGTTAACATATATATTAGCAGTATGTGAAGGCTCTCCACGAACTTTGTTGTGTTTTGAAGTCCACTCGACTGTTGGCGGCCAAAAAGTTCTCGCATATTGCCGCCGTCAGATTGGATATCTGAGCTTTTATTGAGTCGACATCACGTTGATTGTCCGTACTTTTTAGCTGAATCTGGTCCAAACGCCTAAGGAGCGTCTCCTGATCATTTCTTGATTGAATGTCATGAGCTTTGAGCACCAAATTTGTTTCCTTGCCCATTTCATAGGAAGATAATTGAGCTGATTTATCAAAACGAGTAGACTTGTCTCGTAGATCTTGAATCAGAGAGCTCAGCTTGCTTCCATAGGATTCTTGCTTAAGGATAGCTTTGGCAACTTTCACTGTAAGAAAAAGTCAATAAAAGAGGCTAATTTATCCATGAAAATTGTATAAATACCCATTGATTTCTGCTTATACCAATTTATAATGTGATGGATAATTCCGAGCGTGCTGATATAGAGCTCTAATCCCCACTGGCGCAACTCTTGAGACGTTTCAAATATCTTGAGCACGCGGTGAATGCATGTGAGCAACAATGGAATCTCGGTCAATGCATTCGAGATTTCCTGACGTAAATCAGCTAGCCGACCAGAGACCTTTTTGCGAGATTAGTTCGGACTTCCACTATGGATATCAGGGAAAACAAACTCTGACTATGAGCCTGAGGCCTCCAATTAGCATGGATGACCAGTCTGATCCAGCAGGTAAAATGTCAAGCCAAGCATTAAAAGCTTTGTTATCTTCTCCAAATCTATGGAAACCTTCTCTTATCTTATTCCAGATCCCCGATTTGGAATTATAGACTTCTGAGGCCTTATTCACTTCTGTCAGAACCTCTTCCCAAGTCTGGGTGCCTGAAAGGCTGAGATCTGCGTGAAATGTTGTGCCATAGGTAGTTTCCTCATAAGCTATGACAGCAGTGTGGAGCCGTTCTCGTTCGTTGATGGCCTCCGAGGTCAGATCATTTCTGGGCATAATTAGAACGTTCCTTTGGCGCATAATAGTGTATGTAATTCATACAAAGGGTCCTTTCTTTCATCTTCACAGGTCAGAGGCTCACCGCCATGTGTTTCTTCAACACATACTTCCTTGCCAACTTCCTCTTTAGTCCGTTTCCGCACATCAGATAGGTTATCGGAAGAACTCGAACTCTCATCGCTTTTGGGATCATCAACGGTGGGAGGTACTCCTAGATGTAGCCTCCTACGCACGTATCCTCCAACTAAAGTACCTAAACCGCGGTTCGAGGGACTATCATCCTTGACAGTGTGGTTGCTCCCCATGGTGATTTCAACTGAGCTGCGTCTGATGGTAGCTACGCTGGATTGGACTGATGTTGTTTGAATGTATTATCGCCAAAGTTGGCTATTCGCAAGAACAGCAGTTGTGTTGAAAATCGTCCGTGTCACCCAAAAAATGGAGCTATGAGCAAGAAATATGTCCCCCTTGGTATATACTATTGACAAACAGAACCAAAGGTATGAATCGATAACTATGGGGATTGAAGAGCAATGATACTTCATTTAGAGCCCCAGCTGACGAAGATTAATTTTTCTGCTTAATCCCACTCACGGCCTGTAGGAATGTGGCTTGGGCTAATACTATTTGGCCCCCAAATTATTGCGGTACATAGTCCAAGCGTTCGTATCAGCGAGAGCATCCAATAAAACTACACAGATAACCAGGCTCCGGGGGCCAGAAGCTCCATGCATGCATGTTTTCAGCCGTAGACTATTTGTTGGCTTATGATGATTCGCGCAATTTCTACTCAAAGCCCCGGCTGAAGTATAACCCACTTAGCTTCGTTTCGTCTTTGGACAACTACAACATAGGGCTTATTTGTTTCGTTTTTTTGTTACTTAAACCGGATCAATGCTACCCCGCGCAGGAACATTGAGGGGTAACACTTGTTTGTCTAACATATGTGCCTGATCAGACAGTTGTTTTGAAGGCGCTCAAGGTATTGTCAAGCATATCTCATTTTCTAATTTGTACAGCCACGGTTTTTTAGTAGGTTTATCCTGGCCTAGGAGACTTGGGAGGCAAACATAGAGCGAGAATCAATTAAAGAAAAGATGTTGAAATAGAATTATATCTATATTAATTTGGGTATACTATTCCACGGCTTCAATTTAAATTTTACCGGCGTTTCCAATAGTTTGTCACTTGATTTATCAAATTTGTATTTCAGCCTCAAAGAGCCAAAACGGAGAATAGATCGGCCCCCGAGATCATTTCAAATCTAATATTTTAGGAAGTTGCCAAGGTATTAACCCGTCCCTATATTTAGCGCGACTTGTCCCCTGAAAAATAACTTATTTGTTCGAAAGTGATCCCACATATATCGCGTTCCGAGTGACATCGAGATGGCTATTAACGATGATACGTCCCTATCGTGCAAAGACACGAATGTTCATGTCAAATCACTGGAGCAGGCGCAATCATCGGCATCCCCCCAGGAACAGCTTAAAGCCGAAGGCCTTTCGCCAGATTCTAAAACCAATCATGATGGTAAGTTATAGAGCCTAGAACCTGGAAGCAAGTACAACTCGCTATTGTAATACATCTACTGATTCCATACTAGCCAGCACGGATTCCAAGCCACTATCAAGGTCCGCCCTTTTTTTGTTTTTTTTTCCCTTGCATGCTCAGCTTGTGAGAAGGTCTAATCAAAGTGTTATTGTCGCAGTGGTGCGGAGCCCGAAACAGCTACCGTAGAAGAAACAAGCACTCCGACAGACAAAAAGGAAATCAATGTGCAAGAAATCAAAATTACGCGAGTGGCCCCAGGAAAGTGGCGACAGGTCAAAAAGGAGGGCAAGATTGATACTCAGCAGAGTATCCTTTTAACATCCGCAACCGGTAACGGCGTTCTCATGTTGCCAGAAACCAGACGAAGGCAAAACAGGTCTATTGATGCCGCTGGAAGTTCAACTTCTGGAACTTCTAATCGTCTGTATAAGCCACACCGGTTGGCGATTAACTCTAAATTTCTCTTGCGTGTTTTGGAAGAATGCACAGGAACCTCCTTCTCGGAGGAGCAGAATGTCATGGTTCGACCTTTCAAATACTTGGTGGAGTTTGAGCCAGAACTTCGCGAAGCTTTGGAAAATGCGGAAGCACAATGCGCGAAGGCGGATGCTGAACTTGGGCACTGTATGCATGAATCTGAAGGTAACAACTCTCCAAGTCATACCTCTGCAACAAGCCACCCGACCGAGGGGAGTTTAGAGAGGTGCAAGGAAGCCGCTATCCTCAAGGAACGGGAGCGAGACGAATTACGATGCCTTTTGGAGTTTATGGATACAGATATGAGGGATATCTTCGACATGAAAAGCCGGATTCAGGCCCGCTCACTTGAGAAAATTGCCTTTGAACATCTCTGGTTGTTTTTCAACCCCGGTGATTTGACCTACCGTTCCCTTGGTGATGATGACAAGCGACAACAGGCATATCAAGTGTTGCATGTCACTGGCGGGAGAGTATGTTTCGAAAAGAGACGAAAGTTCTCGTTTGACCCAGTTGGAGACCGGCAATGGGATTCAGACTCAGAGGATGATGAAAAAGCCTGTGACTCGGTCAGGTGCTCTGGCACTGAGAGAACAAGCTTCATAATCGATGCTTTTTATCTTGATTCAGATGGCCGTACAATTGCCCCAAAAGGAAAAAGATTTGTCATTTCGCCCTATATTGGAGAGAGATCTATTTTCTCATTTCCACTGCAACATTTGGACTTTGATCCACAGAAGCAACAAATCCAGACCGAACTTCTCAACCGAGGGACGCGTTTCATTGAATTAATTTCTCGAAATCGCTCGGTGAATTCTAATCACAAGATGTATTCTGGGGCTACAATCCAAGAAGCGAGATTTGTGGCGCAAAGCTGGAAATGCTACAACATTCCTTCAACAGAAGTATGCACTCAGCCACAGCGGACGATGTTATTTTGCTAACGCTCTCTGAGGTGTACAATGAGGTCATGATAGACCAAGAAGCCGGCTTGCAGCATTTCCAACAAACGTTCAACAATTTTCGCTTGCGTGTCGGTGGCCGTGTCATCACATCACCCACCTTGGCCGATACGCGGGAGTGTATTGACGTCTTGACACAAGCCGACAACGATATTGTATCTGATATCTTTGAAGATTCTGAATTTGAACTGGCCAGGCGCCAGGAGTTCATACACAGTACCAACATAGTAGATATCCGCTTGATTGCCAATACTTCCATTTCTGACAACGACCGGGTTTTATTCCCCCCTCGAGTCTATGGGTACTCCTTGTTGAATCACCGATGGGCTGCTTTCAATATCAAACTCCTCACAGATTTGTCCTATAGCAGAGGAAAAGATGGCTGGGCTAAGATGGAAGACCTTGTTCTCCCCGATGATCATAAAACTATGCTCCAGGCCCTTGTTACAAATCAGTTCCAACAAAATCCCCCGTCTGCTGATGGGGCAAATCCACACAATCAATTCAGCATGGACGTTGTTCCCGGGAAAGGCGCGGGATTGATCATTCTTCTTCATGGTGCACCCGGAGTGGGCAAGACTTCGACAGCAGAATGTATCGCTGCCAAATTAAACCGCCCTCTCTTGCCAGTCACCTGTGGTGATATTGGAACTTATGCCACTGCGGCCGAAGCGAATCTCGAAACTTTCTGCAATTTGGCCGATAGGTGGAAGTGTGTGCTTCTTTTGGACGAGGCCGATGTTTTCTTGGCGAAGCGCGAACGGGGCGATATCGAAAGAAATAGCTTGGTTTCCGGTGAGTGCTCCTAAATAACCCATACTGTCTGGAAGCAGGGAACAGAATCGAACTAACGAGATATATATCTAGTCTTTCTCAGAGTACTAGAGTATTTCTCTGGAGTCATCATCTTAACAACCAATCGAGTAGGCGAGTTTGATGAGGCCTTCCGATCACGCATCCACATTTGCCTCTATTACCCAAAGCTAGGACAGGAGCAAGCCAAGCAAATCTGGCAGAAAAACATCCAGCGGCTTAAAAGCAGTCGTCTGGATATTGAGATCGATGCAAAAGAGATCGAAAAGTTTGCAGATGAACACTGGCAGCGTAATCTCCGCAGTCCAAGCCGGCATTGGAATGGCAGACAAATCAAAAACGCTTTCCAGACAGCCATAGCGCTCGCCAATTGGGAATTCCAAGAAAACAGTGTCAAAAAGCGATCAAGACCAGTTCTAAAGGTGCGGCACTTTCGTAAAGTGGCCAAGCTTGCTGGTCGCTTTGACGACTACATCAGTGAGATTTACGACTTGCCTGAAGTTGACGCTTACGGAGAGTTGGCGAAAAGAGACGGCATCCGGGAGGATAACACTACCATCATGAGACAGCAATTCCAGCCTCCCCAAGATGATCTACGTCGTGAGCGCCGAAGATCGAGACCTCGCGGCTCTATCAATGTAACTCGGCACCGGGAAGTCGATCAGCACAGCTCTGATGATTCGGATGATTCATTTGGAAGTCATGGTGAAGAGAGCACGGAGGCTGAGTCGACGCAAGATGAAGAGTCTGATTCTGATGATGATTCCGATAAGATCAAACAGTTGGAATTGGAACTGAAGCTGAAGAAGATGAAAGATAAGAAGAAAAAGGCCAAGCGGCAGGATAAATAGGATGATATTCGAGCCCTAGGAGCCCCGTTCAATCACGCCATAATTTTTGGCTTTCTTGTCTCTTGATATATAGCTGCTGTTTTTTCTTTTCTCTCCATGCAAGAACAAACCAAAAGCAGGACCTTCCACTGTAACGGCAGGGAGATTGGAACAATAGACCCATACTCGAACGCAGCCAGTATATGGCATTTATTCATTTTCGCGCCTCTCCCCATTATAACGAGTTTGATCTATGGCAAGTGGGTCCAGTTCTGTGTGTACAAAAATCAGCGATGGTACGTATTTCGCCGCAGATGTTCGCGTGAGGAAATCCTGGTAGTAGTGTCTTCAACTTCAACGTAGTGTCGTAGTGTCCCAGGAGGGAATTATACTGTCGTCGTATAAAGAGGCAATTAGAGTATACCCTTTATTAGGGGCCCTAGGACGAATGTTTTGTTTCTGTCGCAAAGAGCTTTATTTTCCAACATCGGCGTAACCAAGTGGGGCAGCACCTGTACACAGTTTCACAGTTGGCAGCTAGTACCCATGTATCCTCGCACTTGATGGAGGTATGTGATGTAAGAACTTTCTGAAGCATATAGTTGCGATAAAGAAGAAGAGTGTCTAAGGCTGCGATTTTATTGGACCAAGGGCGCCAAGGAGGACGTTTGTATGGGGAACCGTGTTTTTTTGCCTGAGAAGGACTGATATATATTTCTAGCCACACGGCTGACGGCTGACTCTAAATCCGAAAACCCAATATCTCAGAACTTAACTACATCAGCAATTCTATCTCTCAAAAACAATGTATCGCGACATCTCCCACTTTCTAGAGCTCTCTTTGAAATCTGTGTTCTATCCAATCTTTCTATTTACGTTCATCGTCAGTATCGAGAGTCTTGCTCGTCGATGTACTAACCGGCTAGGCTACCAACCCACAATCAGTCTCAAGAATATTCCCCTCTCCTTCAACAGTCATTCTTGTCTCGGTGCTTCTCCATTAACCCAATTATTCACCTATTCAATTATCCACAACTTACTCCTTTTATCCCCTCAAAATCCGAAAGGGGAATTTGCTTATGGAAGGTGGTCAAGATATATGCATCTATTGACTAGCTAACTTTTGTAGAGATGTATGGAGCTCTAGTAACATGTGACAAAAAGAGAGAGGTCCCACATTCAAGATGAGTACAACTTCTTTTCGTGGCTGTGCAAACCATGGACATTACCCTCAGTCTGTGCACTCGCACTCCTCATCTCAAAGCGAACTGATCCCTTGTTCACCCCATCACGCAGGGCATCAAGAGTCTGAACACCGATATCCTGGAGAGAATGCTGCACACCGGCAACAAGGTAAGGAACAAACTTGGTAATGGAGCCACGATCGACGACGGAGCCTGCAACACCCTGCGCAACCTTCACCTTATCATTCTCAGAGAAGTACCGCGAAGCGCCGGCGTTCTTACCACCACCGCTTTTGCTCTTGTCCTCCATAACCGCAATACTACCCATACCACGGAAGGCCTTGACCAGCTGTCCTTCACTGCTCATAAAGTACTCACCAGGAGATTCGGTGGTACCAGCAAGCAGGCTTCCCATCATAACCGCCGAGGCACCAAGTGCAAGTCCCTTCACGATATGGCCCAGGTTTTGGACACCACCGTCGGCAATAGTAGGGACACCAAAGCGCGCGGCAAAGGAGGACACACTGCGAACAGCAGCAGCTTGAGGGCGACCAACGGCCATGACTTCTTGCGTAATACACGCAGAGCCACTACCCATACCGATCCGTAGACCGTCTGCACCAGCAGCAATCAACGCCGCGGCTTGCTCGCGGGTGACAATATTACCCGCGATAACGTCGATATCGGGGAAGGTCTGCTTGATATATTTGATCATAGCAATCTGGAACATGCTGTGGCCCTGGCTGCTGTCCACAACGACAATATCCAGGCCCGCGTCGACGAGCTTCTGGAGGCGGACCTTGTCGGCTTCATGGGTGCTCACAGCCGCAGCACAGAGTAGCTGTTTGGATGGAAGCTTTGATGCAAGAGGGTAGTGAATGTTCTTCATCAAGTCGCTGCGGGAGAGCAGGGAAATCAAGCATCCCTCCTTATCCACAATTGGCAGCTTTCCCTTCTTCGAACTCCGGAGGACTTCATTGGCTTCGGTGAGGGTGGTGCCCGCCGGTGCGGTAACGAGTTCTGTCGCCATAACAGCCGTGACTGGATCCTCAGGATTCTTATGGAACTGGATGTCTCTGCTGGTGACTATGCCAAGAAGCTTCGAATGGAGGGTTCCACTTTCTGTGAAGGGAACAAGGTAAGAATCTCCAGACAAGAAGAGATACCAAGAGGAATTCCGACTAACCAGTCACGGGAAATCCGCCAAATCCCCATTTAGTCTTCAGTTCCTTTGCCTCCCCGACCGTTGTGCCCGGAGACAGAACAACGGGATCCTGGATAAAGCCATTTTCATAGCGTTTCACTTTCCTCACCATCTCAGCCTGCTCGTCCGGTGGGCAGTTATTGTGGATAACACCCAGACCTCCTAGAAGAGCCATGTGTATGGCCATGTTGTGTTCGGTCACAGTGTCCATAGGAGAAGACAGGAGAGGGGCCTTGATGGTGAACCGCCGGGTTACTTTGGTATCCAAAGAAACGTCCGATGCCGGGAAGGCTGTTCATAAGATCAGAAATCATGACCTGTAAGATACGTTCAATTGCCTTACTGATAGAACCGGGCAAAATGAGGAAGTCATTATAGGTCAAGGCTCCATGACTATCCGAATCGAGGAGTGTATCGACGTGGAGGCCATCTCCAGAGGGATACTCCTTGAGTACCTCTAAAGCCTTGGTATAATCCTGAATCTGGACCATAATGCTGGTAAAAATCTTTTTGAAAAAAGGAAAAAAAAAACCAATAGGGGATGGGGAAGGGGGGATGATTCCCGAAGAAAGTCAGAGGGACCGGGGGATGCGCCCTTTTATCAAGTCTCTAGAGGTGGCCCCCAGGGGGCCTTTTGCTTCATGACCCACCTAGGCCCTATAATAATGACCAATGTGATCCATAACGGGTCTATTCCGAGTTTTACAGGCTCAGAATTACAACGCGCTAGCAGGGTTTATAGAACTGACCAATTAATGTGAAACTATCTGAGTCATAGGTATTTATAGGTAGATTGTCGGTGTAGAGCTTAACGCAACGCTCAATTCCCCTATACCATATCTAGCACTAGCTTTTACTATTCAATGCTGGCCGGATATGGACAGGCACCAAGTTCAACACCAACTACAGCCTGTCCAAAAAAATTACCATAGTGGAATCAAGATTTTCTAAGACAATATCTGGTTCCACAACTATACACGAGAAAAAAATAAAAAACAAGTAGGATCGGGAGAATGCAGGAAGATATGCGGACCAGTTTGAGGACTCACCCGCACATCATTCGGCCCCATATAACTTCTGGACGCTAACATCGGGGCCTAGATTGACGCGTTTTTATATGGGGCTTTTCTAAAATCAGCTTCTGTTATTTGTCTGCCTAGGAACCAACGGGGGAGCAGCATCATCGTATATTAGTTGACGTTAGTATCGGCTTCTCAATGGCCACAATCTCAAGAGAGTAACCCTTCGCCAACCTAGTATGTGGAAGGTTTGGTATAATCTTCATTGTATCCTCCCGCTCAAAATCATAGGGAACAAATTGCATGTAGTACGTTCCGAGCATGTTTAGCCGGTACTGGCACTAAGGTGTTATGAGCCGTCGCTTCAAATTGGTGGGATTTATCAGCAAATATTAATCAATCAGGTTTTGTACCTGGTTTGCCATGCAAGGCACCCTCCAATATTTTCGTCCATTCTCTTATGCTTACATCTTGTCATATCATTAACTGTAAACACAATTTTTCATATTCTTTTCAATATCATTACTAAACATAAATCCCAGTAATGCCTTGACTGCCTAAATGATAAGTATGTCTCATCTGAGATTTCTCTCACTTCTCAGCTAAGCAAAATATCCCTCCAGTCCAACCATACGCCTTGTTGAGCCCATAGCTATACAAGCGGGCAACTCTGAAGGCTAATTTGCCTCGTGGATGAGGTTCATGGAATTGAATGCTTCGCTCAAAATCCAGCATCATAGGCTGGAACTGCCCGACAGAGCCGTACAGCTTCCTAGCCGTGAGAACCCCACCGGAGCCATAGCATGAAGGAAATTATTCGACGGATTTCGCCTGGAGAAGGTATCACAGTGGGGTTGAAGAAGATGGTCTGGAAGACCTTAAGAGAGCGCATATCAACGGAGAATATGGGTTGATAATCACTCGGATCGGGGTGTGGGGAAATTTCTGCGATTTGTATAGGGGGTTATGGTTGTGGTGTTCCACGGGTCTTGACTTTGCTCTTGGGTTAGGCGACATCGAGTATTTTATTTGGAATATCCGAATAGAGCCGAGAAGCAGGGTGTTATGAAGAATAATCATCGGTGTCACATTCCTTGTCCTTTATAGGTTCTGCAGGCGAAGGCTTTTACGGTTCAATCCACTCTTGAGTGCGCAGTAGGTTCTGCGGCTGGGAGAGGAGGTTCCGTATAACCGTGTCACTCAGTTCACCAGCTTTGGCAACCGTCTTCTAGTCAATAGCGGCCCAGAAAGCATCCAGGCTGTTTTCAGCACTGCGCATCAACTCCACATTTTCTTTAGTGCGGCGCTTCTCAATAGGATAGTTGGATTTGGAACCTCACGGCTCACCAAGTCTTGCAATTTGATTTTCGATGCTTGTATCGTGAAGCCCGTCGACGATCCTGACCCATGGTCTGGCCCACTCCACAAATTCAACTTCAAGTTTATCTTCGCGCTGAAGAAGCCCATCCTCAAAGCGCCGGGCCCATGGCTGATAGAAGTCCAACTTATTTAAGCCCGAGAGATAATTGAAAGCTCGCTTAGAATCGTAGTGATGTATGAGGAGAGCAGTTCTTGCGCTTGTCTCTCTGATTGTAGCAGCCGCTCTAGCTCATCCACGATCAGGGGCATCCGAACAAGGAGCAAGTCTCGGCCATCCTCCCACAGGGCGTGAAGCAGCCAGGTCAGTCGATTTTCCATTTTGTTCAACTTGATGCCGGGCTTTGCGACAACCACAATCTGTACTGGGTGAGCGTCTTCTAGTGGTGGCTCGCGAGCGAAGTGTCTTCGCCAAGACGGAGATGCCACAACTGCAAATTTCAGGTTGGATAATGATGCTTTGGCTCCTTTAGTGAGGTAATGATGAGATCGCAGCAAAGTATTTAGATACTCCCGGTAAATTTCTTGAGGGCGATATATCGCTAGCATACCGGCTTTGTAACGAGATCAACTTTTTTTAGCTTGGCTGCTAAGTTTAACAAACAGCTCCAGGTCACAGTACGCCTCCGATACGACGAAACAAATAATGCGCGCCCAAAGAGCTTCTAGCCAACCATGACTTAGTACTGAGTGATCATTATGTACCGTCGAGGTCCTTCAAAAGCTCCTGGCGATGATCTTTGGCCTCACGAAGCATCCTAGAAAAATACTCTGGATCCTCCTGCAGAGCCTAAAGGTGATCTTCTGCAGCACTGAGAGCAGTGACTCAATAAGACGAAGATCAAGTAGTGCTAGAACACGATATGGAGCTTCTACGGCCATCACACTTAAAGACTCGAACCCGTTCACCTCACTTTCAGATTTGAACTGAGGCTGAGGTAACACAGGGAATAATTCACTGGTAGTAGTGGACTAGGGGATGTCATGGAGAACCTGTGTGCAGCATTTGAGACGAAACATCAAAAATCGCTCCTGGGCTTCCAGTACCAGCAGGCCCTCTCCGGGCCTGAACTGTTTTCGCTTAGTCATACAATCGAAGGCATCTGGGTGTTCGCTCCAAGACATAAGCTTTCCATGGTCCCTGGTATTTTCATTCGGGCCGTTCAGAATCATAACATACTCATTCAGCAAGATGGGTACAATCGCCCAGCTGACCACGCCCATACGCATGGCCTCGATATCGACAGCAGCGAAATGCGACGGTGGATAGCGACTTCGTGTGTTCAACAGCATAGGCAGTGTCTTGGTATTCAACAGATCCTCTTGGGTGATATACGGCCACATGAAATGATCACGATATTTGGCACCTTGGTTGGGGATAGAGTTGGAATCGGAGAAAGCTTCGAAATCAGGGCAATACATTGTTGGCATGTTTGGCCAGGAACATAGGAGAATTTTCAGTCTTTGCTGGCGGGTCTTTTTGGTCCACCGCTTTCGAATTGAACCCTTATGGCGCCGTAGTATCTCGTGCAATGTCTGATAGGTGGTGAATAATTTGCCTGACCTTGTTATAGCCTCTTGACAGACGTCTGTTGTAGACTTGATCTCCGGGATGGGATAGGAACCTAATTCACCAGCACCAATAGCCTTAAAGAAAGCTGCAGGATCACTCCAATCTATACTTCCTAGTAAGCTGCTGTATCGAGGCCGAAAGGATCGAATGAAAGGGTCGAATGAATAGTCAGATCTAGTCTTCACTTCTGCTCAGATAATTTAGCAGAGTAGACCAAGCTTGTAAACGCATGACAAACCAGATACTGGCCCGCCTCTTCGACCGAAATTCTGTAGGAGACTTCTTCTGGGAATCAAGAACAATTCAGATCAAATCTTCTAGCAATACCTAGATAAAATGAAGTCTTTACCAGAAAAACTTCAAAAGCAGGCCAATGCAAATGTGATTTCCTGTAGCCACGTACATCTATACATCCTAGGTAGGAATGGAACATTGGCCAATTCCTCTGGGCGATCTACTCCCTTTGGCGGGCCCCCGCTTTTCTGATAAGCAGAGCCCCACGCCATCCCCACACCGCTCGAGAAGGCGGTGAAACACGTGCAAATATCATACCCGGTGCTGTATTTGTATAATAAAATACACACTATTTTACGCCAACAATATATATCAAAACGTTGAAGCTCGGAGGCAGTACACTTTCCTAAACAATGTTCATGGTTTCTTTTGTGCAAGTGGGATCAGTAAACCTCGAATTTCAATTTATTAACGCAACACATAAGCACCTCGGGACCGACACATTTAGCTCAAGCATAGGTAATGTAGTATTATGTTAAGATGGTTTCTGGCCGTCTATGAATGGCCATACCGTTTCCCACTGGCTTCTCTCTTCACTTGTAGTGCATTGAGAATTCAAGAATTCATGTCGGCACTCTTCCAAACGCACTTTATAGTGCTCGTAGCTACTGTGGTTCACCCAACCATCCCATCCTCTGTATACACCAACTTGATCAAGGAACTCCTCCATTAGTACAACTCCACTTGCCCACTTTCTCTCGTCGTCCTTTTGCTTTTGTTTATCTTCCTCTGTAAAAGAGAGTGGACATGGGACGGATGATCCTACATAAGTTGTCCATTCTTCCTGTAGTTTTATGAGCATGCCTTGAACAATTGGTTCACCGTCACTGAAAAGTGAGCCCGAAAGACCTGTGATTTGGCCAGCAAGTGAATCTCTGAACTTCAATGCGGCTGCAGTCTCAGGGCAGTGCTGGATCATCTTGATATCATAAAGCTTGTAGAGAGACTGGGCAGCACGAAGCTTCTTCGCTCCGAGCTGCTCTTCCACGCTGAGCTCATTGAAATTCTCAGGTAGACTGATTGATTGCAGCCCCTCAGGAATGGGTCCCTCAAATTTAATAAGGGCTGGATGATGAGCTTGAAGAAATAGAGGTGACAGGTTCACAGCCTGCCAATCAATAATGGAGAGAATTTCTGTTGGCTGATCTGGGTTCACGAATATGTTATCTCCATGCAAGTCAGGGTGCCATAGAGCGGGCTTGGATATTTCTTGATCTTTCGGTGATAAAAATTTAGCAACCTTAAGGTAATTCCTCAGTGTCTTTTGTTTACGCTGCGCAGTAGGCTGATATTGGCCAGGCCCGTAAAATAGTCCTCGCTGACGAGGGAAATGGGTAAAAGTCTGCAAACAAGCAAGTTCACGGTGGGCGCGAGCAAAAAAGTAATCCTCAATAGATGCCCCTATCAGAAAACAGTCATTAGAATGGATTGTCAAAGAGCCAAGAGACACTTACAAGGCCCTTGGGGCACACCTGCATTAACTGCATCTCTGCCATCATCGAAAAACGTTCGATTTGTTGTCGGACCAACCGCAAAATCCAATCCACTGTTGTTCTTAGTTCCAAGGTCAATCATCTGAGTTGATTGAACTCCTGGCAAGTCCTTTGCATAATAGAGGCTTCCATATATAGGAAATCGAGTGGAGACAAGTGCCTTCTCAAACTCAACGAGTTGTTGAACAATCTGAAGTTTTTCAGGACCCGATATATCATCCCACATCTTGCTAAGTTCCACTCCCGGGCTCTTCTCCATTATAATATACTCAGCTGCAATCTCTCGAGTAGAGGAGCTCGAAGCGTAGACCACCGGGGCTGGAATATTGAGTACATTACGAACCTAACGAAATTGAGATCAGTTCATATAGCATATAGCAACATGCAGCCAGGAAACTCACATAGTCCATCGTTGCCACCTCACTAGCCGTGGTAAAGTATTGAGGCCCAGCGTTGGGATTCGGGAGTTTTGCAATCACCTCCTTTCCATCGTCCATTGTAAGAAGAAAGACCTTGTTAAAGTTCCCCTCGGGAAGTTTCTTCACTTCGACGCAGGACATAGACCCTGTAGCCTGGGTCGCAATCCTGACGAGTCCTGCCAGATCAAACTCAACATAACGGCGAGAAAGCTGTTCCTTCTCATTCCAAAGCCATCGCCCCGATGTGTAGCAATAAAAGCTATCCTCATCGCAGTCCAGTGTAGAAATTCCTTGTATAGCAGGGGGTGCATGCGACCGGAGAGGGACAGAGGTCGAAAATATGCGCGTCGGGCGCGAGCTGCAACATCGGAACCTGGCTATATCGACAGCTTGCAATGAAATCCATGAGATGGGTCTACATATGCAAGGGTATAAATGGGATCTGGGTAGGAGGAACCCATATACCCTGCGTGCATACATTTTGTCGAAGTAGAGTCTACACGCGTCGCGGTCAGAAAGTACTCCGTACATCCATGTACATATCCTTATCTTCCTTATCCGTGCATCACATAACGGGCGCACTATTTTCGTGCCAATCCCTTTCCCCTTTTTTGGGTCTTGAATATTCTTCGAGACGCCTATGTCATTAGTCTGTCTCTATCTAAATATCCCACAATTGTCGGGTTTAAAAAAGCTATAATAGAGATTGCCTCAGGCACGTTGATGGATTTATGCCTTAGGCGTCGAAGGTCAGAGCATATTTGCTTCTCGGCTGAGTTTCCTCTTTGGTTTTCATTTTGATAACGATAACAATCACATATCACAATTTAGCGCACTGGTCCACTATTATTTTATGTCCAGCATACATAATATTTATGTACATTGATGTTATAGAAAGATGATGTCATTTTGGCCTTCCTAGGTATGGGAGTACTACCTGGCGCAAATTTATGATAATACAATTCAACGCTTGGGCGTTATATTCTCCGAAGATCTCCCGGCTAGCCGCACAGATATTCCTTGATTTGTGCTTATGCATTAGAGCTTATCTACAGAGTAGCAGGGATGACTTCATATGCATTTCTCTGTTTTAATTCCATGTCAATTTCCCCCGTATTCTCCCCATACTTCTCCTCACATTCCTCCCCATCTCCCCATATTGTGAATCGTTCCGAGGTCAGAGTCATATAATCTATTTCCGAGGACCAAAGGCAACAATATGTCCAATATACTGAGTGATTTCGTCAGCCAAGACTGCCTAGAGACTAGGGATATTCTTGGCTCTATTCACGGCAAGCCGAATAGGATATTCTACTTCGGTACCTATTCTTCTACAGCCCAAATCCAACGCCGAAATGGACGGCCAATAGAAGAGATGCGCTCTGACGTCAGGTTCGGTGGGGAATGCCAAGAAAAGAAGCGTTAGCAGATCAAAAATTGGCATTTCGATTTTAGCTATATTGTTCACAGCGATACTAAAAGATTGTGAATACTGTGACTATAGTAATTATTACAATCTGAATATCTATAATATCGGATTTTCAAATGCCTATTACATTTTGAAGTCCGATATCTCGAACACTTTGAACTATACAAATACTGAGTTGTGCGCCACGGCCGCCACCACACCCCTAATCTGAGTGCAGTGTAGATCCACTGTAAATCCACTATAAATCCGGTTTCAGCCCATCCTGACCGAGGTAAAAAAAAAAAAGTCTGCACTGTACTAACATTTGTGCACTCTGTAGTTTGTACATATAACACCTGGAGAAGATCCACAAAAAAAAAGCAATTCCTCACAACACCCTTTGCTTCGTCCCCCGCATGAAAGGATGTCGCCCCCAGAGCAACAAGATGAAGCTCTAGCTGTTCACAGAGAGAGTAGATCATCAATCAATGGCACAGACAGTGAATCTAGTGCTCCCGTCGACATATCTAATGAGCTTGAGGAGAAAGAGAGCAAAAAAAGCGAACGTCCGGATGGAAAGCGTGAGCTGAAGGAAGCAGATTGCTATGAGATCTTGGGATACTCCTGGCCACGATGGAAGAAATGGACATATTTGGCTGCGGTCGCGTTCGTGCAAGTTTCTATGAACTTCAATACCTCGGTATATCCTGCTGCTGTCAAGAATCTTGCCGAGGCTTTCCACATTAGCGAGCAACACGCTCGCACAGGCCAAATGGCTTATCTGGTTACTTATTCTATTGGTTGTGAGCTTTGGGCTCCTTGGTCTGAGGAATTCGGTCGCTGGCCTATCCTCCAGCTCTCCATGTTCCTTATCAACATTTGGCAACTCCCTGCAGCCCTTGCCCCCAACTGGGGCAGTCTTGTTGTTGCTCGTGCATTGGTTAGTCTCTCCCTCGGCAAGCTAGCTTCTTGAAAATTTGATAAACTAACATAATATAGGGTGGTCTCTCTACTGCTGGTGGTAGTGTGACTCTCGGTCTTATTGCCGATATTTACGAGCCCGAGACACAACAATTCCCTCTCGCATTCATCGTTTTGTCATCTTGTCTTGGTACCAGTATTGGTGGTGTGATTGGAGGACCGATTGCGCGATGTAAGCAAAACCACTCTTCGCCCTGTATCAGTTTGTGAATTATTGCTAAAACCTATATTCGATATTTAGTCCTTGATTGGCAGTGGTTCTTCTGGATTCAACTCATCTTCGGTGGAGTCACCCAGATCATCATCTTCTTCATGCCCGAGAGTCGTTCGACCATTATCATGGACAAGGAAGCCAAGCGCCGCCGTGAGTCAGGAGAAGACACAAATATCTACGGACCCAACGAGCTCAAATCCCCCCGTATCTCCCTGAAGGAAGCCGGCAAGATTTGGGCACGTCCTTTCTACATGCTTCTGCGCGAGCCCATCGTCCTCTGCTTGTCTCTCCTATCCGGTTTCTCCGACGCTCTTATCTTCACCTTCCTGGAAAGCTTCGCCATCGTGTACGAGCAAGGATGGGGCTTCGGTACTCTCGCACAAGCGTGGGCAGTTATTCCCATCAACGCCGCCTACTTCATTGCCTACTTCAGTTACTTCCCGTGGTTCCTTCGCGATCAAAAGCTTCGTCTGAGACATGGCGATGCAGCGATCCCACCCGAGCGCCGTCTCAAGTGGCTGCTCTTCCTCGCGCCCCTCGAGCCAATCGGTCTATTCGGTTTCGCGTGGACATCCTTCGGCGACTCGAGAAACGTCCACTGGATCGGATCCATGATTTTCTCAGGCTTAGTCGGTATCGCCAACTTTGCCATTTACCTCTCCTCGGTTGATTACATGGTCGCTTCCTATGGTGTGTACTCGGCTTCTGCGACTGGTGGTAACGCTTTCGCGCGTGATCTTCTCGCTGGTATCTCGGCCATGTACGCCACGCCCATGTACACAAATATCGGTGACAAGTGGCATGTTGAGTACGCTACTACCATCCTGGCTTGTCTCTCCTGTCTGGTTGTGACTCCCATCTACTTTTTCTACTGGAAGGGACCTCAGCTTCGCGCGAAGAGTAAGTTCGCCTCTACGCTTGCTGCAGACAGAGAACAGAACAATGGCCGCCGTGTCAGCAGGATCAGCATTGAGCCTTGATCTGTGAATATAAAATTGCATTATTAGACGCATGTGAAACTCTGCATATTTGGTTTCATTCTTATGTATATATGACTCGTCATGGGTACGTCGAGGATTTTTGATGACCTTACTGAGCACCTCATTACTTCTGTATAATCTTGGGGTTGGCTCTTGTTCCATAACCATTGCATGATGTTGATTAGATGAGCTAGACAAAAATACACTATTTTATTTCAACATTCATATTCTCTATTTGACTTTTTGTGAATAGCCAACAAAAGAAGCGTTGATCAACACGGCTATTGCAGCTCGGGTGGGTACAACGATTGGATACAGCAATGATATGCACTATTCTACATCCACGCACCTCCCTCATAATAGCACCATTTATTTGTATCCCCTTTCTCATGCATCCGACCTCCCTAACCACACAACCAACAAAATGATCACAAGCACAATCCAAATAGCCGCGCCACCTGCCAAAGTGCGCGATATTGTATGTTTACCAGCCCTCGGACCGGAATTCTTGGCGAAACAAGCTAACCCTTGGGCCTCCTAGCTCCTTAACTTCTCAGCATACCCGGAATGGCATACGGAATGGCTCAAGGGGATCGAGCCCAAGGACAGCACCAAGACCCCTCAAGAACTTTCCCCAGGAGATAAAATCGAAGTCAACATTGAGAACTTCAAGTTCGTCGCTGAAGTCAAGGTGAGAATAACGCCTCCCCCAATGGAGTAGAAGAAGATAAACTGAAGACTGTCATCAACAAGGAGAACACGGAGAGCTTGTTTTCTTGGCAAGGCCCGCCCGTGTTTACCATTGCTGGTTTGCATAAATTCCATATCGAACTGGCCAATGACGGTGTTTCAACTGTTTTCACGCAGTCTGAGGATCTCAAGGGTCTCCTTGCATTCATTATGAGCCCTTCGCTGCTCGGGAGGAAGATGCGTGCCCATTTCGATATCTTCCACCGGGATCTTAAGGCCCGCGCTGAATTGGCCTGATTTGGGGGGCTGTATCTATTACGCACGCACATTTTGTTGTTTTGTGCACGCAATTTCGGGTTGCATTTGGCTTATCGGTGCCTTGCCTCTACTACCTCTATGCGATATGGCCAATTAAGCTGTGGTTTGGTTGTCTCCCCACAGGTAGCCATCATCTTTGAGGTCGTGATGCTCATAATAGTGTCGCGTACGAGCGATATTTCCGGTGATCAATGCTTTTTGACTAGCCATGTTCCGCGCATAGAAAATGTTGAATGAAATTATATTTCATATAAATTCCACACTACTGCTGTATGGCGAGACCGACATTGAGAGGTCTGATAGCACCGATTGGTCTGATGGAGTGAAGATAGTATCCCAATACGATCGAAAGAGGTCTTCACTTTGTGGTTTCTCTAACCACAAAACAGTTTTGATGTGGACGAGGATGTCACTAAAGTTGCCCAATTGTAGAACAGCAGCTATGTCTCCTGTCCTCCGCACAAACCACTGGTGATGAGCCGTGCCAGCTGAAGCCACCATTCCAACCGCAGCAAACCAGACATCAAGTGAATCATACACACGAGGCGCTGATGCGAGATGCTCGAGGTGCTCCATAAATCGAATGACAATCGTGTTCAGTATGACTGCATGCGAGTAGTATGTTGGTCCCTGGGCGATAAACATGTAGAGAATGATTCCGCAGCGGATTGATTCCGTCATCGGTGAGAGCGAAGGTATTGTTGTATTTGGAGCGGAGAGTAGGAGTCGGTGTATGACGAAACAGGTGAGGTCGTGAAGTTGTGTGGATGGGAAGGGTATATTGCATGCTCGCTGGAAGATACTACGTAAACGAGTGAAGACATTCTTAACGTCGTAGTCCACTTCGATGGTATTAATATCAAACAGTTGATCTTCAAGCGAATGCGAGTCGAACTGCCATTCAGGGATAGGAGGGATGCCATCTCCAATGCCGAAGTCATCTTGGGTCTGAAATTGAGGATGACCCATTATGAGCATTGATACCCTTTGGCATATGTAAATATTGAGCCTATCTGGGTTTTCAAGGGATTGACTTACCAGCTGACCATTCTCGCGGTAAGCGGGCTTGTCTGCCTTACTGCGTTGATGCCGCCTCTCATATCGACCAGCTTTTTTAACCCATTGACATGCATTTCGCCGACTTTTATATTTCCTTTGCCGAACTAAGAGTTATATATAATCAGAGATTGCTCAAATTAGGAGGTAGTAGGGAAAGACAGTGCTTATGGTAATATCTCACCTCGATGGTTGCCAATGTGATGACTGAGTTCATTGTCCCATCTTGAACGGCTAATGACATGTATTCAACCTTGCGTCGCAGTAAAGCCACCGAATCTGCCATAAGAATTTCGGAGGTCTGAAAGCCTTTCTGGGCCAACAACTCTTCGTCGAGACATGCTGTCTGTAGAGAAACGTGAAATAATGCGGGATCCCCTAGGGCTAGTGGCCACCAAGAGATCAGAAATGGATTTGAAGTGGCACTAAGATCAAGAGGGTAGTATTGGAAGGCGATTTTGTGGAGGACTGAATGAGTAAGCTAAGCTTTCATCGATAATGATTCATTGGAGGTCTACATACAGCTGTAGATCAGACGTTGAACGCGTTCCCGAGGAAGTCTAGTCTGTGGATACGAGTCAAATGGATCAAGAGACCCGAATCTGTAGTTAGTTAAAGCACTGGCTCCACTCGGAGGGCTTGCTGATTCCTCTTTCTGCCATCCGGAAGTTGCCGGCCCCGTCGATGGTTCGTTTGCATAGGCGCATTCGACCTGACGCTTGACGCAGCGGGAACAGCGAGGTGTGCGGAGATCGCAGCTGGACTTAGACCTGGCACACGCAGCACAAGACCGGCGGAGAGATTGGCGCATTTTGAAAGAAAATCGAGCATCCAAAAGGGGCAAGAGGAATGTGTCAGCTCTAGGAATAGCTCAAGCTATGAATCCCACACCGCTTTTGGGGTCAGGATACGAATCAAAGAGTTAGAACTTCGTAAACGTAAGTCTTAACAGAAGGTTGGCTCGATATTGAAATTCTCGGGCAATTGTTCCGTTATATGTGGACCTCAGGTTAATGTCCTGAGCCCAAATCAAAATAGGACTAGACCCCGCTTTACCCCTGCTTGGCATCGGAGTCTAGTCCTAATTAGGTAATACGTATAATCAGAAGATATCTCCAGGGCTAGGCAGTGCCTCTGGTGCCACATCATGCCATTACTAATATCCTCTGCCCATTTCAAAGAAGAGTTTGGCAACTTGCCCTCATCACCTACCACCATGGACTCCAACGTGGATTTTGAGATGGCCAACATCTCCATCGCTCAAAATGAACTGCCACAGATATGGCCTTCGAACCATCCTCGATTTCAAAGCGACCTGCTCGCCTCCTTGATGAGCTTTTCAGCCTGGCAGTATGCTGTGACTTTTCTGATTGCTGTAGTAGTCTATGATCAAGGTACGCAAAGCCCTTAACAGCATAAGAATCTACTAAACCCGTCTCTAGTGATGTATATCATACGAAAAGGCTCTATAGCTGGGCCGCCGCTTAAGATTCCGCTCATGGGTCCATTTATACAAGCCTTACACCCGAGGTTTGAAGGATACCTTGCGCAATGGGCGAGCGGGCCACTTAGCTGTGTGTCCGTCTTCCACAAGTAAGCGCTCACAACTATTGTTCTCGTTGGACTCAGTCAAATTCCGGAAACTGTCCAAACTAACGCTATTTATTAAAGATTTGTCGTTCTAGCCTCCGACAGAGACATAGCCCACAAAGTATTCAAGTCGCCCACATACGCCGAGCCATGTATAGTACCGATCGCAAAGGATATCCTAGGTCACAAAGCATGGGTCTTTCTTCAAGGTAAAGATCACACCGAGTACCGCAGGGGATTAACTCCTCTGTTCACCAACAGGGCCATGGCTACGTACCTACCGGTGCAAGAAAAGGTGCTGGCCGATTATTTTGACAAGTTTGTCGCTACTAGCAAGGCGAATCAGGGCCAACCAAAGGAATTCATGACCATGTTTCGCGAGATCAACTGTGCACTTTCATGCCGCACGTTTTTCGGTGATTACATATCTCAGGCTGCCGTCAAGAAGATTGCAGATGACTTTTACCTTGCGACGGCTGCCCTTGAGTTAGTCAACGTACCTCTATCGATATATATTCCTTTCACCAAGACTTGGCTCGGGAAGCGAACAGCCAACGCCGTCCATGTCGAGTTTTCAAAATGCGCGGCTGCATGCAAGGAAAACATGGCAAAAGGCGCAAAACCAACATGCATAGTAGACCACTGGGTACTCCACATGATGGAATCCAAGCGATACCACGAAAGAATCGCCGCAGGGGAGACAGATGTCGAGAAACCAAAGAACGTGATCCGCGAGTTCACCAATGAGGAAATTGGAGAGACATTGTTCACCTTCCTCTTTGCCTCTCAGGATGCGTCGAGCAGTGCCACGACTTGGCTATTCCAAATCCTCGCCCAGCGGCCGGACGTGCTCGACAAATTGCGTGAAGAAAATTTGGCTGCTCGTGGTGGTGATAAAAACAAGACCTTCGATCTTCCCATGCTCGAATCTCTCACCTACACCAACGCAGTCATCAAGGAGCTCCTGCGCCACCGTCCACCCGTTATTATGGTTCCATATCTCGCAACGAAGAACTTCCCTGTTACACCCAATTATACCGTTCCTAAGGGCTCCATGATCATCCCATCCTGTTATCCAGCGTTACATGATCCTAATGTTTACCCTAATCCCGATAACTTCGATCCTGATCGTTGGATTTCCGGGGACGCTGAGTCTAAGACTAAAAACTGGCTAGTATTCGGTGCGGGGGCACACGATTGCCTTGCAAGAAAGTACGTGCCGCTGTCTATGGCTGGTATGATTGGGAAAGCGGCGCTGGAACTTGACTGGAAGCATCATGCTACGGAGAGATCAGAAGAGATTCGAGTTTTTGCTACACTGTTTCCAATGGTTAGTACCGCTATTAACTGATTGTTTTGCTCATATCTCTTACTAACATTTGACACAGGATGGGTGCCCGTTGGTGTTTACGAAACGCTCATAAAAACGTTGTTAATAGTTGTCGGGATGGGGTTGAGTCTCTGTGACCTAGACTGCTTTGCGATATAATGATATCCTTGGTGAAGGAAGGTCTAGAATTATCGACCTGTACGGAGTACGGTCGGGTTTATCATTTTAGTATATTTAGGGAGTTGCTAATCTCACCCCCCCCCAGCCTATTCTCACCCCCCTTTGTCTAGTCTGACCCTGAAATTTCTGGGTACACCTTACCGCTCTCTACACCGCCTTCATGGTAAACTCCCTATACAATAGTAGTAGACAGCAGGTACCTGCAATTTGTATGTAAACCCATACAAAATTATGTCACTTTTGTTACTCATAACGCTGAGAAGAGCAACAATGCCCAGACCGGAGGATCTGGATTTGGGGAGCAAAACGCGCGCGAGGAGGTACCTGTGAACTATTATCATCAATTTGTAGAGTAGATCAATGGAGAAATCAATGAAGTATACGATTTTTCTGATTAAAATGGTGCATTTTTTACTATGTAAACCGGAATTACTATGGTGGTGGCAGAATATATGGCAGTATAAAAACGGAGCGGCAGAAAACATGGCAGAATCATCGGTCGCACCCAATTAGGAAGGCGGTACTGAAATTTCAGGCAGGGCGGGTCAGAATAGACAAAGGGGGGTGAGAATAGACAAAGGGGGGTGAGAATAGGCTGGGGGGGGGGGGATTAGCAACTCCCCTATATCTCTCTCTTTATTGTACAAATACATATCTCACATGCTTCCAAAACTTGCAAAAAAATTCACAATCATCAACTTCCCTTGTCATCGGTTCCTTCCTTCGAAATCATGCGATTGATCTTTTTAACAAGTTCCTGAGTACCGTACGGCTTATAGATGATATCATCCATTCCGGCACCCATCATTTCCTCTTCCTGTTCCTCTCTGACATTCGCCGTGACTCCTAGAATGGGTACATGCCCTCCGCTTTCCTTTTCAATATCACGAATTGCTCTTGTGGCACAGTTGCCATCCATCACAGGCATCTGCTGATCCATGAGAATGCAGTCGAATGGTTCATTTTCATTCGCATCCACGGCCTCTTTCCCGTTACTCGCTTCCGATATGTCGAAGCCCAGTGTACTCAACTTGCGCGATATGATTCGCCTGTTTATAACGTTGTCCTCAACCAAGAGAATGCGCTGACCGTCGCCGGTTAGTTTCTCCTGGTCACGATAGGATGAGGTGTTTCCATTTGTCTGTTTGATCTCATCTTTATTGGCCTCACGGGGTAAAATGTGAGTGCGCATTGTGTCTTTGTCCTTCGAATCACATGGCTCTGCCTCAAAAGTCATATCTTCAGGGGGGCTTTCCGGGATTTGGGGCTCTTCCGTCGTTTGATCGATGCCGCGCATTTTATTTCCCAGTGTCTGGATATCAACGCAGAGCCTATCGATTGCAGAAACGCTAGGGCTCTCCTCTCTTTCGCCGCCTTCGTTGGTTGTTCTGCGCACTTTGAAAAAGAACCCGAAGGTACTTCCGCAAGATTCCTTCGAGCTCACGCCAATCTCACCCCCGTGGAGGTGGCAGAGCTTCCTACATACATTAAGTCCAAGGCCAGAGCCACCGTAGATGCTTTCGGTTTTGGGAGTTGCTTGGTTGAATCGTTCGAAAAGCCGTTTCTGGGCTTCCTCGGTAACACCGATACCCGAATCCTTGACAGCGACCATGATATATGCAATTTCCCCATTTCCCCATTCGGGCTTGTCAGTCGCATCTTTGCGGAGCCCTGATTCACCTGAATCGAAGAAGACAATATTTGGCGGGTACGAAGGTGGACGCTTGAGCGAAGCGCCCACTGAAACTTGGATCGATCGCCGACGCTCCGATTTGGCTGTGAATTTGATAGCATTCGAGAGTATGTTGACGAGAACCTGGCCCATCCGATCCAGATCTGCCACGACCCAATCAATGCCGCATTTCGCATAGGAAACATCAGCCTTGTATTCAAAGTGTATCTTCTGCTTTCGGAGCTCGGGTCGGAAAATCGCCATCGGAATGGTGAGATGTCGCTGTGGCTGAACCTTTCGTGGTGACAGCGGCAGCATGGACGCGTCGAGTTTTGAAAAGGTGAGAACATCGTTGACGATTTTCTTTTGATGTCTGACGCATAGACTGATCGTTTCTGTTGCCTCGGTGATGTTCATGACTGAAATTTCCTCCGGCTTCTTATTATAGACTGCCTCCTGAATGTCCTCCGTGCAATGTACTATCGCAGATAGGGGATTGCGAATTTCGTGGCTGATCATATCGATGAATCGCTCTTGTTGTTTCTTGCGTTCCTGTGCCTCTTCCGCAGCCTGCTTTTGTATGAGCTCAGCCCTTTTCTCTGGTGTGATATCTGCGATTGTACAGATGTACACCCCGCCTTCTCCTAGCCCAAAGCATTGGACATCCTTATCATCCAGCCGGTCCAATGTCATCACACACCAAATAGAGTCCGGGTCACGGGTGTGGTATTCGAGACGTAGTGGTTGTTTGGAAGTTGCGACCTCCCGATATCCAGTGGAGACCCGGTCATAGTCATCTGGATGAACCGATCGTAGCCAACATTCGGAGAAGTTGATGCTGGGGTGTGGGATGAGTTCCCGGAAGCGTCGATTCACTGAGACTAGTTCATAGCGGTGAGTGAGGATGGCGACGCCGTTCGGTAGGATGTCAGCCAGCTGTTGTGCCGAGACATTGTGATTGAAAGTGAAAGTCATCTATTTCTTCGCTCCGAACCGCACTTTTCCCAATATCGACGGAAGAGACGTCGGAAGCTTATAGAAAGTGTTTGATGACTGCTCAAGTATTGTTACCAATAATTCGGGGGGTACGCATGGCAGGTAAGGCTGAGTCGTGATTTTGGTGGATTTTCGATGTAGATCACTTCGGATGTGAGCCAATATGTGGTTATATAACTATTCACAGTCAAAAAATGAATGAAGAAATTGGCAGAAAGGATATGACGATATATAATAGCGTACGTCATGGGTTCCCCTTCGATCTGTGTACTAGTTCCAATCCGGAGCGGGGAAGTATTTTCCATATCCTTATGATTGGCGAAGATGGTGATGTCCACCAGGGTGTCCACTGGGGAGTCCACTGGTGGTTGACCCTGAATGCTTGGCTCTTCAGATCTGACGTCATTTATCGAGGTACCTTCGATTAGCCGAGTTACATGTTTGTAGGGCCTCGGATATCTAAATGCTCTGAGATTACTTTTTTTTTCCTTTTGAATATATAATAGGTTTTATTTGCTCCATGTTAAGAGACTTGGAATTTAGCAATGTCTCTGATCTATGTGTAATCCAGCATTCTACCATAGCAAAAACCAAAGTGTCTGTTTATGCCCTAGGGAGGGTTCCAGGGCTATATTATTATCTGCCATTAGTCCCAATTTATCTTGCTACATACGTAAATTGAAGGGTTGATACAAAGCCGAGTCCTTGCAATTAAGTAAAAGCATAGAATATGCAATATAATACAGGAAATTATGCATTTCCTTTTTTTGAAAACAAAGGTGAAATGCGCCTTTGGAGCATAAAGGCTTGCCAAGTTTAGATATGCTTCGTACAACATAGCAGAAACATGTACTAATTATTGATGGCTGTTGGTCAAAGCTTTTGCTTGGCTGGCGATCAGCTTGGCAAAGCAGGGGAGAAGTTCCTATTGCCCATGTTTGGCTTGGCAAAAGTAATCCGAGGCTTGAGGGGGGTTACTCTGCCTCTAAACGACGTAGGTTAAGAATCTGATTTATCTGCCCAACCGGCCCAAGACGATATTAGGGACGTCATATGTAAGGTAACACTCTTATGTCGCTTTGCGCGTTCTTTTCAGATATCTTTTCTTCGCTGTGTGATAGGTAGAAAGTAATAATTAGGTGCAACAGTACCGCCAGGAGTGTTAAAAATAGTAGGAATAATATTGCAGAGTAGAAATGCTGGGCTTATTACGGCAAAGGCAAGGTGGGAAAGAAACCATGTGTTGAATAGAGCCAGGAGGAAGGATCAGGTGAAGGTAACGCTGCGCTAACACTTCATTTTAAAATATAAGGCGGTAAAAGATATAACCCATACAGATGACTTCTATACATAATGTACATGTATACATCCATGGATATGTATCCAGGGATTAAGAAGTTTAGTAGACTAGAAACCCCCCCCCCCCCCCCCCCCCCCCCTCCCTTCCTTTTATCAACAGTCACGTTATAGGATGAGTACATAGGGATAGCGATTCCTGCTTATTATTAGAGAGCTTGATAGAGTACATAAACTCCTGAAAGGATGATTACATGTAGAGAAATTTTGAAATTCTCGAAAACAAGGAATACTAATCTCCTACTTGGGAGAAAAATAGAGGTCTGGAAGACGGCCTGTGGGCGATGAATGTGGGATGGTAAAAATCAGCGTGGCGAATATAAATTTTTGACTAGATGTCAAAAGAAAATGTAATATAAAGTAAAATAAAAGCGGATATAGAAGGTTTTTCTATGAGAGCGATACAAAATCGCTGAATTTCTATAGCTGTTTTATCCGAGCCCTCTTAAGCCCTGGAGATAGCTCTGGACACAAGCCCTATCGGGATCCCGTGGGTCTAAGTGCTCGGCCCGATAACATTCACTATTTTTTTTCTCGAAAGGATTGAAGATTTCAAAATGATAGTCATTTTGAGAGACTCCACTGATGCGTTGGCTCTATAAAATTGAGCAATAAGGCTACTCTACATATGTATTGCGTTATCAAAGCAACATTCTAAATATAATCCATATGTAATCCTATACTATCTCGCATGTGTGGGTGATAAGGACCAGTGATTTCTCTTCTCCACTCCTCATGGGTTCATCGTAGGTCATAATCTCAAAGAGGTAACCCGAAAGAACATGCTCCAGTTTAAGATCTTTGCTCGAAAAGGTAATCCGAAAGGCTTCACTCCACTTTTTAAACTGGATCGATTGAAGAGTTTGATATTCTGACCATGATAAATCTTATATTAGTATGAAAGTAGGCGCCAGCGCTGCTCTGGTCATCCGTTCCTATCTTCATTCTATTTTCACAACTACAATGGGCATTGTTGACTATTTCAGTCGACCGCGTGGCCTTCATGCACATGCTGGTGATGAAACACCTACCATGGAAGCCCCAAAAGTAATCGAGCCTACTATCATCTCTAGTCCCAAGTCTTCGGGCGCTGTTACACCTGCGCACATGCTCCCTTCCCCAGCTGGCAGCGAGGATACCCTTTTCTTCGAGAATATCCCGCATCAGTTTGGTCGCCTGGGTTCCTGGAAAGGATCGTTGATTTTGCTTGTCACCTCTGGCTCTCAGTTTCTCGACAATGTTTTCATGACGAGCGCCAACATCGCCCTGTTGTCAATTCAACAGGATTTCGACGTGTCTAGTACCGATTTGCAATGGATGATTTCTGCATACACTTTGTCATTTAGTGGCTTCCTTTTGTTAGCCGGTGCTTTATCTGATCGGTATGGCTTTCCTTCCCATTGCTTTTAGACTTAACACAGTGCTTACCTGTTCAGCTATGGACGAAAGAACATTCTCTGTCTGGGTCTTGCCTGGCTTTCTGTGTGGACATTAGCCATTGGGTTTGGGCAGTCGTTTATTCGACTTACTGTATTCCGTGGTATTCAAGGAATTGGAGCTGCGTTGACTGTGCCATCTGCTATTAGAATCATCAGCTCCTATTTCAGTGGCGTTGATCGCACCCGTGCCTTGTCAATTTATGGAGCCTCTGGAACTCTGGGGTTCTGTACCGGTCTCATATTTGGCGGTTTCCTGACCTCTTCGTTGAGCTGGAGATATATATTTTATCTGATTGTCATCATTACCGGGTTATTGGGAATTCTGGGCTTTATCGTCCTCCCAAGCGATGTCCCTTCCGAAAAGAAACACGAAAGAATGGATTACATTGGCGCAGTGATGTCTACAGCTGGCCTGATCCTACTCCAATTCGTCCTATCCAGTGGTGGAACCTATGGCTGGAACCATCCGTTCATTATTGTGCTACTTATCTTGGCGGTTGGTCTTCTCGTTGGATTCGCAATCTTTGAGAAATATGTCAGCAACCCTATCATGCCACTTTCTTCGTGGAAGATTCGCAATTTCGCCGGTCTCTGGGTTATTGGTTTCAGTAAGTTGCATGTTTACCAAATCTGCACTTCAGTAAATGCTAATTATACATAGCTGGCTATGGCGCCTACCAAAACGTTATTTATTATATCGTCCTTATGGCACAGGAGGTGGACAAGCTTTCTGCTGGAGATACCGCCCTTCGCTTCTTGCCTATGGGAGCAGTTGGTTTCATAGTTTCTCTTGGAACGGGAAAACTTCTCGAATTTATGAATGGAAAGCACCTCCTCATTGCCGGACTAGTTCTAGCTGTGATTGCTCCTATCTCGAGTGCTTTGACTTCCAACCCTGAAGCAGGATTGTATGTATCGCCATTTCCTTTTGGAAACAACTATACTAACTCCCACAGTTGGCTCAATGTTCTCCCCACGTCGCTTATCAGTATCTCATCCGTTTCTTTTATCTTCGTTACGACAAGCACTGTGGTACTCACAAGTGTACCGGTCGAAGTCAAGAGACTTGCTGGCGGAATGGTGAGTTTCCAATTCCTTTATTTCAACATTTATATGCTAACATCCTAAACTAGCTCAACACTGCATTCCAAATTGGCTCTGGTGTTGCATTGGCTATCTCGGCGGCCGTTACTGACGCTGTCGATATCCAGCAGGGACACAGCCTCGCACAACAATATGCTACCGGTCTCTGGTGCTCTGTCGGTTTAGCTGGTCTTGGGCTGATCATTGGAATTATTTCTGTTCGACACAAAGGCATCGGACCTAATGATAGACTGGGTGCTGGCCCAGTTGCTATCTAACTTCGTGTTACGACTAGTTTTCGAGGTTTCTCTTATAGTTAGATGATGGATAGATAGGTTTGTTTTTTGTTTCTCTTTGATATTCATTCTTGGTGATGGACTTAGTGCTTAGTTATTATGACCGCGGGGGGGGGAGTAAGGTGGATAAATCTGTAGCTATGGAAATGGCGTTTATTGATGATATCAAAGGGATCGCACACTAGTTAGATAGTTCTCAGCATTGCCGACTCCATCTCCACTTTGAGTCGAGGGTAGAAAGTATCGCACAGTGAACTCGGAGCATTGTGTGGCACAAATAGGAATTGTAAGGCTAAAGTACCTAGACGTCACCCTAGACCTCTTCTGACGATAACTCAAGTAACTCAAGTATCTCCAAAGTACTTTTAGCGGATCCGCTCCATCGCCAGCTCTCCGGGCATTGGTTGTAGGAACTTGTCAACCTCATTGACCCAAAAGGACTTTTGTGGGTTGACTTGGTAGGCAGTGGTGTATTCCCAATATGATGGATACCACCCGGCAGTTCCCCAATCAATAATACCAACAACATCATCTCCACGAACAAGAATGTTGAGGCTGCTGAGATCGCCGTGGGTAAACACCAAAGGCCAAGACTTGCTTTGTTGTTTGATAAGTTCTTGAGGTTCAGGGCCAAGTCTTGAATCAAATTCTATACCCATGCGTAAATGCCGATGGAAGTCCTGGAGGTTATCAAAGGGGCCGAAGCGCAAGGAAGGGCCCGGAACACGACAGTCAAAAAGTGATCCGCCATCAACAGATGCAACCCTGGTACCTTCCGGGGGCTGAAGCTTCCGCATCTCACAGACCCTTTCTGTTAATTGCGAAAGAAGTTTCGCCTTTGAATTCTCACTTCGTTCCACCCAGCCACTGCCAATTATGTCACCCTTAATTCTTTCCATCACGATGTACGTCCGCCCAGAATGAGTAAATGCACATAAAACCTTTGGTACTGGGATAGATGTATGTTGCGCTATGAACCGCATTGTTGATACCTCAGATAAATGAATATAGCTCTCGTACTTGACGCATAGTCGGTCCGTCAACATGAGAACATTCCCATTTCGGGGTCGAATGCGCCAAAGGAGTTTGATCGCTAACAGTGTTGAATACCGGTATAAAAAATTGCCATTGACTGGTTCGGATATACCCAATAAAGCAGTGGATGGCGAGCAGGGAGGCCCTGTTTGGCTTGATGACATTATGATTGTGTTTAACAGAAGGTAAACACCTTAACAGAAAACAATATCCTAGGGAACTTCCGTTCTTGGTCTGAAAAAAAGGTATTACATTTTAAGAAATGAATAAGCCAATGACAATTGAAAAACTGACAGTATTGAAACAGAAAGTCTTTATGGGAATTAACATTAGGTAGTTAGTGATGAGAAGCTCACGTTACCTGATTCGAAGGTCGAGGTCGTTACCTTCCGTTGTAGCCTGTTGCACGTGATATTATCGGATTTATTCTCGGGCCGGGACAAGCTCTATTTAGGTGACGATGTCAAGTCATAATCAGTCAACCTCGAAGGTTTGCTTTTCTCATTCCATAGAATTATCTCTTCTCTATTTTTTACCCCATCGGCCCTTTCAATATCCCGAGGTCTCTTCCCATTCTTATGATTGATTATCCCCTAATGTCCCCATATACACCTTCCAAGGGTGAGAGTGGGAGTGGCTTCATTACAACCAATTTGATTTGAGAAACCACCAAAAGCTATTCGAGTCCTGATCTGTGGCTTCGGATATATTTTATAACCTTTACTATAGTGGTCTGCTCATTATAGAGAAGCTGCCAAGTTCTTTGGGGTTTCTCTCGCCGGATTCTACCTAGTTACCTTGAAACATTCGCGACGAATGGTTGGCAGGATCCCATCTACATACAAATTACTCCATAGAAAGGGCACTTAAATCTAGGATTTGCGTCAGGCTAGGTTTTTGCATTAGATTCATGCATCGCAACACCCAGTAACCTACGTTGCTGCTCCTATACGCCTCATATATCAGGCAACGAACACATGTGGACCCATGGTATCACGTGTGTGCCAGATCCGCGTTTGGACGGGCTCCCGAGGTCGGAAGGTCGCGATGCATTCATATCAAGCTGTTCCCGGCGCTCGAGGAATGTGAAGAAAAATATTTACCGCAATGCTTTCCTGTAGTATAACTTGGAATCGTTCACCTGGACTTAGACCCTCGAGGTGGTTTGAATGACTTGATTCCGATCAATCCTTATTGTTGTTAACGCTGTTCACCATGATCGCCAGGAAAATAAGCCTTCAAATGGTCGCGGCGGCCTTGACTGCTTATGTTCTCTGTGCGGTGCTTATCAGAAACCTTGGAGATAAATCTTTTTCCATGTCATCTTCCGAATTCGCTCGGAACGCCATGGGTGATAGTGTCTTTGAGCATATCCAGAACCGCACTCTTGGGGTTAGATCTTGCCTAGTATCTTATAGAATTGGTTTCTAACTGCATATTAATATTTAGTTTGAGCATATCTACGCGATCAGTATGAAGGAGCGGACGGACAAGAGCGATTTCCTAACACTAGCAGCCTCGATATCGGGGTTCAAGGTGGAATGGCTCGATGGAGTGCGACCCGATGATCTAGCTCCCAAGGCCATGCCTGATGTATGACTTCCAGCTCAATGAACTCCAAACAATCATCTCATGCTTTATTAGGGACTGGACCCCTCACTTGTGAAACCGACTGTTGTGGCATGTTGGCGTGCACACATGAATGCATTGGTCAAGTACAGTCACACCTCGTTCTCATTATCTAGAGGCTGTTGCTGACATTTGGGTATAAAAAAACAGTGTGATAAGTAATGACTATTCAACTGCTTTGATTTTGGAAGATGACGCAGACTGGGACGTGAATCTCAAGTCTCAACTGAGGGAATTTGCTCGCGGGCTACACGCTTTGAAAGGAACTAAATTTGTATCCAAAGAAGCTCCTTACGGAACGGATTGGGATCTCCTCTGGATTGGCGGATGTGCTTCCGGCCCGAACGCCAACGAAACAAGCTTCTACGCGATCCCCATGGACCCCACAGTTCCAAGGGCCCACCACCGAGCCACCTGGGGCGGACCCACCGACAAGTGGAAGGAACAATACCCAGAACTTGCCGAAGACTCGACACGATTTATCTACCAGGCTGAAATGGGCTGCTGTATGTTTGGCTATGCAGTTACCACCAGGGGTGCTAGAAATATTCTTTCCGCTCTCTCCATCGATTATTTGGATCAGGCGGTAGACAATGCCCTGAGTGACTTGTGCGCGGGGGCTCATGGGCGTCACAAGATTGAATGCTGGGCTCCATTCCCTAACTTGATTGGTACATATAGAAAGGCCGGCTCGGCTTCCCGGGATTCAGATATTGAGAGCAACAGCGTGACTGAATTCCACGAAGAGCTGGCCTGGAATATGGTATACAGCACCAGGCGTAACATACGGCAATTAGTCGCTAGTGAGGATATTGTTTACTCACAATGGAAGGATGAAGATGTGCCCTGGTCGAGCAAAGCGATTAAGCACAGGGAGTTTGTTTATCCTAGTGGATATCTTGTCAATTAGCCTTACCTCAAATTTCAAGGTACTAGCTTCATGCAATATTTCGCTCATGTCTACGGAGTTGACCTTGGCGTAATATCTTTATTATTTTCCAGTATTAACCCTTGTTTCATCTGGAGGGTTGGGACAAGTCGGGTACTTTGGATCTTGGCTTCTGGAATTATTTTCAATCCCCTTACTTCCCAAAGGAGTTGAACGAAAAATATAGTTTCAATTTGTAAAAATGAATGAGAGGCTATGGTACCATGTAGAGGAATTGTAACCCAATCGTACAGTATCATTCCACAAGGAATTCTTGATCCCTTGACATTTATGTACTTTGAGCCAAATCGGGGATTAAGTTTCTGGCTTCTATATACGCGCTATTTCATACGGCACAGCTTATAATATCTCCACATTAGAGTCGCTGAGGGTCGGCCCGGATGGGTTCCCATCGGAGTATTGTCACGATCGAGGGGCTAATGTGTTCCTGATACAGTATCTTATCTACCATATGCGGACTAATAACAGGTCCTGCGTGATCCGCAAGAGCAACGGCCTTGCTTTTTAAGAGTGCATTCTTGCTGCAGCTGCAAGATTAACTAGCTAATAAATGGCCATGTACGGAGTACGGAGTACGCCGTACGTTGTAGCCAGCCCATCAAACATTCAACGCATTGAGTTGCAGGTGTCTAGACCTTCATTTGGGATCTTTCCCCTTGCGTCGGCTCTTGGGTATCATTTACTCCAGACTTTTGGAGCTTCTTCAACAATTCTACCAAGCTGTTGACCAATTCTTCATTTCCCTCTCCTATTACTCTCCCTTTCTGTGCATTCCTGGGCCCTGTCACAAGGTCTTTTCCTGTTCTGTCTTTCTTTCCCCCTCCAGATATTGTCGGCCTAGCCACTGGAAGCCCTTGGTTCTAGAGCGAGCCGCGAAAATGAGTCCAATAGCCTTGCATGCTCTCTTTTGGAGCATGTGGCTCAAACATCCTAATTTGGCTCGGTGGCAATGAGAAGATAATGCACAGGTGAATGGAATGCCTAGAGCCTAATACCAATAAACAGAAATAACTGAATCTCGACTGTCCTCTTTTTCTTTAAATCTCGGGGATTTCATCAAGTTGACAGCGGCCGATCACTTTGATTTGCACAGAAAATCTCGCTGATCTGTTGATCAGTGTCGATCTCAAACCTGCCCATCTATTACAAGTATATTATCCTATCCTCTGATCCTCACCCAGTCATACACATGCGACGCTTTCTTGGACTTCGGGGCAATAGCCTCAATATTGCAACCGTTCTGGGGGTTCTCATGCCTGGAATTCTCACAGTTGGCTACAATTCATCACTACTCGGGGGTGTGTTGACTCTGAAGAACTTCGAAGAACAATTTCCCGAAATCAACATCGCCGCTGCGGATAATAAATCACATGCGTCAACAATCCAAGGCCTTGCTGTGGCCTCTTACACAATAGGAGGGTTTTTTGGAACTCTCTCCTGTATATGGCTAGGTGACCGGTTTGGCCGCCGACGCACTATAATGACAGGATCAGTAATCCAAGTCATTGGAGCTGCTTTGATGGCTAGTGCAAGCTCTCTCGTTCAACTCATCGCCTCTCGGGTCATACTCGGTGTAGGCACTGGTGTTCTCCTGGCCACAATCCCTCTTTGGCAATCGGAGCTATCACCTGCCGACAAGCGTGGTGCTCATGTTGGTATGAAGGGAATATTCAGCGGTTTTGGGTGCGCCCTTGCCCTTTTTCTTGACTTTGGAATGTCATTCACCCAAGGCAGCGTTGCCTGGAGATTTCCTTTCGCCTTTGTGGTGCTGCTTTCTATCGCTGTTCTGGTGTTTATCTACCTGTTGCCGGAATCCCCCCGATGGCTTATCCGACAAGGCCGACTCTCTGAGGCCAGTGAAGTTCTGGCGGCTCTTCAAGATACATGCGTCAATGATGAAGTCGTGACTGCAAAAATCAAGGATGTCCAAACATCACTGGACTCGTTTGGGGCAAAGTCACTTGGACAAATATTCCACATGGGCCCCCAAAGAACTTTCCATCGAGCTATGATTGCTGGTTTGGCAATGTTATTCTTGCAGCTCACTGGCTCTACAGTCATCACCTTTTATAGTACGTATCCCGAATTATTTATCCCCTGTTTACACGGTGTATTGACTCATTCTCCTCACTTTTAGCAACCGCAATCTTCGAAAACAATCTTTCGCTCGGTAATTCAACATCCACAGTCCTGGCAGCAGTGTACCAGCTAGTCGGTCCCCTTGGCGGGGCCTTCTGTGTTCTCAAAATCGACGGACTTGGTCGCCGCGTATTACTTTTAGGCAGTGCGATCGGAAATGTCGTCTGTCTGGCTTTAGTAGCTGGCCTCGGAACCCAATCTGACAACCCTCTTGCAATGCGCGGTGCTGTTTTCTTTATTTTCCTATTTCATTTCAGCTATATCATCGGATTTGGCGCAATACCATATCTCTATGCCTCGGAGATTGCGCCTTTGCATCTTCGCACGACTATCAACAGCTTTAGCATCAGCATATCTTGGGCAGTCAGCATCATACTCACCAGCGTCACACCCATCGCATTCAACAGTATGGGACAGACGTACTTTGTCATTTTTGCCGGCTTCAATGCAATGATGATACCTGTTATCTATTACCTGTTTCCTGAGACTGCTGGGCGCAGTCTCGAGGAAATGGACAAGATCTTCGCTCTTTCGCGGAATGTCTTGGACGCTGTCAAAGTTGCTCGGCTTCTTCAACGTGGACGATCAATTGATCAGTCACTTGAGAAGGAGCTTGATCCAAACTTCAAGTGCCCTGAGCTTCAGCTTCGCGAGGTATATTCAGCTTAATCCTTTTCCAAACTTTGTGTAGATATAAAATTACGATGAATAAATTGATGAACACTCCATTGAAACAGATATACGACGTTGATCCAAGAAAATAATACCAGCCTCTGCGTCAAATAATTCCTTGTCTCTCTCTACTGGCCGATGGTTTTCTGAATTTGCTGAACCCACCTGGAATTCAAGCCCCCCCCCCCCCCCCCCCCCCGACCTTTTGCCGCTCTTCTCTTTAAACATGGAAGTACCCAATATAACCTTGGAAACATGATTTGCCAAATACATAATCACCTCGGTAGTAAGATTTGTCGACAAAGTCCGATGGTTTTGCTAGACGAAAGTTCCTAAAGTACTTGAATAAGTCTGAACATATGTCAATACTACACCATATCCTATAATCAAATGCACATCACAAACTATAGTATATACCTATGTATGTATGTACAGAGAAAGCTATTCCTCCGCTCAAACTATCATCATGTATGATTAGCCTAGTATCACGATATAATAAACGGGGTATGTGTTAGTCAAAGAACGTGATGAATATACAACAAAGTACTATGTACTATTTAATATGCCAGAAGATATATAGATAAACACATGTGAAGACTAAAACAAAATAATCAAACGCAGAGAACACACACACAACTCACTTTCCCAACAAACAGAATCGCCGCGTCAGACATCACAAACGATAGATGATAAATACAAGTACCTAGTATTTTCATCACCCTTGCGACATAGGTGCAGATATGATGTGCAACTATACTGCTTTCTTTTTTTCTTGTTCTTTTCTTTCTCTTCCTCGATCTCTCCTTTGATGGCCGATTCGGCTCGCAGAGTTATTGCTAATATAATCTTCCCTATCTCCTCTACAGAGGATTTCTTCGAGGTATTCCACGGACCATATTGGTGCATAGTTAAGAATGATGAAGGGTCTTGCGAAGTTGAAGCCTGCTTGTTGCTAAGGTAGTTGAGATAGTTCTGGTTATACTCAGCAACGGTCACGAACACCTCATGTCGATCTTGAGATATATGAAAACGTCTGTTATGATGTCAACAATATCCATAGTTGACCCAAGAAAGGATAAATTCATACGTGGTGTTAGTGCGCTGTGATAGGTCGTCATCACTTCTGATCCAAGCGACCATTTGGGCGCTCTCCTGCATCTGGATAGGGAGATGATTTTGAGATCTTTTGACAGGTTTGACCTCAATAAGCACCCTGGTCTTCCCGGCAGGACTATCAAGATAGCCGTCTGTCCTTGCTTCAAACTGGGCGTTTTCAAAGATAGCCACAAATGGCTTTCTGTGCAAGGTCCAGTTCGAGTAGAAATCGAAGTGGGTGGTCAGAGCATTGAGGAATACTATCAGCGCTGTATTCACAATTTTTTCGTCCTTTGTTGGAGGGTACAGAAGTTTCTCCAGTTCTCGTGAGCCTGTAGCTGGTGGGCTGGGATCTGTGCTGGACTCTGGGCTGGTGCTATCATCTTCGAATGGAAGTAGCTTTGATGCACCCTGTCTATCAGATGACGGGTTGGGCTTTTTAGTTGGAGTCTCAAAGGGATCCAACCTAAGTCTATCCATTCCCCTAACTGGTGAATGGTCTGTTTTTGCGCGGGTTCTGGCGGTTAATGGTTGGATGAAAAGTAATCGGATTTGTTTTGAGTAGTATTTTCTATTTTCTATTTTTATGCTCTATTTTTACTTGGAATAAGGAAGAGTTAGACAAGGCGCCTATTTTTAAATGTATGGATATCTAGAGTTTTCATGCTTTCATATGTTGTCTGTCTGAGACAAGAAAATATGGTAGCCGCCTAATAGTCTTAGCGCGTCGCTCGGCAACTCATCCCATCACCTTCAATCACATTTATTATCCAATCCACATTCATCATTCGTCCTTCTCTTACCTCCACGCATCAATTTAGCGAGGTATCTCCAATATAAAACCTGCCCAGTATCCAGTTGTCCTCGTTCAAATCTATCACCCCTATCTAAGCCATCCATCACCTTATGACTTCAACTACCTCATCTACAAAACATGTCTTCAATGACTCAAGTCAAGGAAACAAATCAGCGTTTGGAGCAGCGCTGGTTCTTGATAAATCTCGAGGCTGCCATCGATGCCCTTGACGTGCACAAACTTAACGCCACAAAACTCAAGGAATTGAACTTGAACGTCAAGCTTTGCCGTATGACTCTCGATCAAAACTCAGAGTTCAAGCCTCACTTCTTCGCACCAAGACCTAACCTCCCGCAACCCAGCGATGAGATACTCAACGAGGCCTGTTTAGTTGGGGACCCTGAGCAATGTTTTACAGACCCATACTCTCGTGCGTATGCTATTCACACCGATTGGAACTCGTATGCCTTCCACCAAGTACGTTTCGATGCTCATGGGCCGTGGTGCTCAAAGGAGTAAGTTTACCGCTATTGGAAGCTATTTTGCTCTTCCAGTTCATATTATCTAACGTTAGTTGATAGGCCCATCGACTACACCCCTTACAAGGACCTGTATCAGCATGACGATCCCTCATTTGGCGCTTTCAGGATGATGGATAGTGAGGGAAGTAAATTCCCGCATTTTAAAGCAGTCATATACAACGACCTGGAGGCGGACAATGAAACTTGTTTCCGTGGTGAGCTCCTGATCAGCCTTCGCCTAATGTTAGGCCAATTGAGAAAGCTGCGCTTGGCTCACCATAATATAGCACCGGTAATGCTCTATTCTTCCTTTCCCCTATTCTATTGTATCTTTCAAGGTTGCTAACAATATACTATACAGGTTTTGCTTATCTCATTGATGGGAAAGCGTGCACGTTTATTGGAGTCCTATTTTGACGAAAAATCTAAATCCCTCGTCGTGCGCTCTTCTGATCTTTACGAATTCTCCAACCAGACGTCGATATCGAAAGCGTTCAAGACCCTCGCCGAGTATTTTCTCGGCGACGCTGTAGGGAATACAGACTAGTCTAGAATATCCTCTTTTCTTTGAATCGGGCAATGTGTCGAATGGCTTGGCGTTTGATTATAGTTTATTGGGCTGAAGCTGGTTTTTGGCGCTGTCGTATTTTACACAGTTAATGTGTTTGGTATTTCTTATGGAACAAGTTGATAAATCGAAGCCTTCTAACAGATCTTACTTTTGCGATATTGTGCCTGGGTAAACTCATTTTTAAAATAAATGAGTGAATTAGTTGTGGATATAAAGGTCGTTTGTGCTTAATTCAATTTCTCTTACCCCGTGCTAATAGGTAAACTATGACCGCGCATTGAATTGAATCGGATAAAGAACTTCGGTGGGAGTGAGACTAGGAGTGGAGTAGTGGTTATCAGAGTGATAACAAGCCAAAGGTGGGTTCAATTATTTTGATGTTTGGGAATTGCAGGATGGTACTGTTCTATAAATAGTCTCAAATTTATTGATATTTATTAAGTCTCCAATAGATTCATTTTATTAAGCGCAGCAGAGTCTTGATCAGGGATATATGGAAAAGAGAGATGGTTTATTTGCTATACATAACATATGGAGGCAAGCATTCTATTTAGCATGGATGTTATATGGGGTACGTAGTGTCCAAGGGGTTCCAAATATAGCTAGTTGATGAGTGTTGGAGCAAGTGGTATTGTAAAGTAGGGGGGTCCAATGAATGGGTTTCAACTCTCTGTATTTCTGTATCGGCTTCCGGGTACAATTTATATGAAGCCTCGATTACATAATATTAATTACAAAACATGAAGGATTAATAAATCCTCCGGTATGCCGGGCTTTATGCACCGACAATGAGTTCAAGCCTGACAAACAAGGCGCATCTGCAGGCAAACACAAAAGACCAACACTTTCATCTCCAACAGTGGGATAAACACAACCTTCATCTCTCCTCTATGTCTCCTATATAAACTCAATTTTATCAATCATGTCTTCACCTGAGTCATTTATTAGAAAACGAAGACGAAATAAAAATACCTCGAGCAAGCCAAAGATGAGCAAAGCACGATCCTGCGAGGCTTGTCGGCGCTTGAAAACGCGATGCGAAACGGGCAACTCTGATCGATGTCATCGTTGCGATGTTCTCCGGTAGAAATCCAATCAAGAAATCTGGTTACTGGGCTTTGGTATCTGACCATCTTTAGAATCAGATGCTCTTTCCAGGCCAGTTCCCGCAATCTCACTGAACCGCTGCTGGGGGCGGAGGTGGATTCTGGGACAAGCCACGATGATTATAATGCACGGTATACCCTCCCATGCTCAATGATGTTAGGACTGATCAATATACTGATGGAAAATAGACTTTGTGCAGTGGAAACCACCTTGACTCAAATTCAAGCATCACTATCTGTCCGTAGTTCTAGCGACTGCCGGAACAGTCCAAGGGTAAATCTCGGTTATCTACGGTTCATCTTGGTAATACAGTTGATTGAATACTCTAGGCAAATTCATCAATTATTGAACCAACATCACGCGATGCACCCATGAATCTTATCCAAGAGATCCGACATAACATCACTTTACATGAACAGCCAGCGACCAGCGATGACAGCGCCGAAGACATTATAATCAACGGTATAGTTTCTGAGGAACTCGCGGTCATGCTGCTTAGAGGGTGAGCGCGCTCTCAGGGGTGTTTGGAATCTATTTTGAGGATTGACCTTTCAGATTCTCGAAATTATCAAACCGTTGGTTATTCATGACTACAGACCCCATCCAGCTACGCACCAAATCGCCGCTCCTATTTGGTACTTGTATCTTGGCAGGCCTCCATATTACCCCCTCCCTTTATGGGTCGCCAACACATCAAGCTTTGTATCGCCATATTCACGGACTACTGGGTCAGGCACATCTTTCTCCCGCTACCTCGCTCGACACAATACAGTCTATGTTGATTTTCTCTATGTGGGACCTACGACCAACGCTGGGCCCTGACCATAGTACCTCGTGGCTTCTTAGTGGCACAGCGGCTATGCGGGTGATTATGACTACTCCCTTTGGACAGCTTCCAAAAACAAGCGACGCCGATGGACGCGAACGAACCCAAGCACAAGAGATAATGCGCACATGGAACTTGATTTGCCTCTGTCAATTACAGTGCGTTATAACAACAAATTGCCAATCCTTCTGATATTTATATCAAGAAATGTTCTAACGGCGATCGCAGGTTTTCTGTGGGCTCTGGTCGTCCACCGATTATATCCAGTCAGTACTTTGACGAATGTATCAAAGTCCTCGATTTTCCATCATACAATGCACGCGACGAACTTGTTCTGGCTGGAGTCAGGTTATACCGGCTCCTTTGGGAAATTATAAACTCAAATGTGATACAAAAGGGGAGTGTTGTTTGGCCCGAAATCGACGATTTGCAAAAGTCCCAGGAGAACATTTATAGTGAGTAATATCTAATCGCAGTAACTTAGATAAACACTAATTCTATTTTTTTTTTATAGAGCTAGATTCCTCTGAGCCACTACGGTTCGCATACTCTTGCGCCTATCTGATTCTAGCACGTCGCACGCTGCAACATATGAGCGAAACCCAACCTGAGGAGATGAGCAACCCTAAAATTACACCAGAGGAACCAAAACTCCCATTGATTCAGTTTGCGATTAGCCAGTCGCATCGGCTCTTAAATCTATTCGTTTCCATGTCAGATTTGACCACTTACAGACATCCTACTTACGAAAACGTGCTTTGTTCCTTTGCGATGGTGACACTGGCCGAGTTTGTAACCCATTTAGATGATGTGGGGAGTATAATTATTCTCATGGAACAAGCTGTCTCACATATTCAATGTGGAGGCAAGGCCGAGCCTGTGGGTCGGTGGTCTCTGAACATCATGAAGCAACATGTTGCAGATAGGATTGAGCAAGAAGATTGTGTGACTTCGATGGGGGAGAATAGCACAGGGATTTATATGCCGCAGTCAATTGAAACTGCTACTGAGCCCTGGGTGTGTAACGAATGGAGTGTCGAACAGGAGTTTCCATCGCTTGAAGATATGTTCTTTGGCAATGTGATTTGAATTGAGTTAAGAAATATTGACATGGTCTCTCCCATTGTGAATATGATTCATTCATTCCTATCAGTTTCATATATACATTAAAATTGCGGGGCATCAACTGCGCTCTCTCAATCTGAGACCTGCCTGGCACTCTTTGGGTTTTTTCGAGAACCCTTCATGTGATTCCATGATTGGCTGGTACAACGTAAACTCATATCGATGAAACAAAGTTCCGATAATTAGCTGCAGTTCCATGATGGCAACATTCTGTCCAACGCATGCACGGGGGCCATATGAGAATGGGTTGAAAGCCGTTTTCTGTCGGGCAGTCAGATTCAGCCAGCGATCAGGCTTGAATTCTTCAACGTCATCTCCCCAAATATCCTTCATATGATGAATAGTGTACGAAGGCACTGAAAGCACTGTCCCGGGAGGAAAGTGGAAGCCATCAAAGTCAACACCCAAGCTATGATCGGCGACCAAACGTGGCAGACCAATAGCTGAGGTAGAATGAATTCGCATCGCCTCATCAATGCATCTTCGCAGAAATGGGAGATCTCTGACTTGGGAATAAGATGCGATTTTTGCTTCGGGTTCAATTGCTTGGTCCAACTCCTCTTGTATTCGGGGAATTATCGTACCTGGAGCAATGCGTTCTCCATGCAGAATCCAGTAAAATATTCCACAGGCCGTGTTGGATATTGTGTCAGAGCCAGCGATGAGCTGCGTCAAAGCCTCTGCTATGAGCTCATCCCGCTCCATTGGCTTTCCATAAGCATCCTTGGCCTGTAGCAAACGCGAGAGAATATCGTTGCGCGAGTCAATCAGGCCCTTCTCCGCGGCATCCAGTCGTGACGCAACAGCGGCAACAGCAATCCCTGTCAGGTTCTCCACAGCCGCTACGCCCTTGGTGAAAAATGGATCGGGGAGGTACCGAGCCCATGGACGTAGAGCTGGAAGAAGACCCAATGTCGAAGAGACCTCGCCTCGTCTATTCAATACGTCGACTGCCGGGGTATATGAAATGGGGCCTCCAGTCACAAGCTGCGTCTCAGTCTCATCTTTACCCTTGTTTACCATGCCAAATGGTGAACCAAATGCCAGATCTCCGATTATGTCAAACGCGAGATAGCTAAACCAGGGCATTGCATTGTATCGAGCGAATTCCTTCCCATTGCGTTGAGGCTGGGAAGTCGCGATCCGATCCAGCTGGATTGTCCATCGCTGTAGGTTCTCCGCCATGAACGGCTCAAAAGCAGCAACTGACCTGGGAGAGAAGGCATGGGATATAATCTTCCGCTTGCGTGTGTGTTCGGCGCGGTCACGAACATTGAACATGCCTGGGGTTCGCGCCACAAATGCTTCATAGTAGTGACTAGACATATTTCGTTAACGTTAGTGAATCTCAATATTGGCAGAAAATACGGCCTACTCCTTGAGGAATCCATTTCCGTGTGCATAAACAATATTCAATGCCCGCTCATCGGCGATAGACACATGGTTGAAACCAATACGGACAACTTTGCCGTATTTTCGATGCGCCGCATCGACTGCGGCATATTTCTGGCCACGTTTGGCACTTAGTCCGACCCATAGATTGCTAAATTTGGCGACAAAAGGACCTGGGACTTGAATTAAGTGCCCATATGATATTAAATATGGGTATACATAGTAGAAGGCGAACCACACTGGGATGGCCAAGGCCATAGCCCATGGCGAGAGCAGAATGGATAGAACAGCCATTTAGTAAATCAATCAAAGTTGAATATATTAATGAACTAAAGGTCATTCCATTATCTTCCTCTCTTTGAAATGAAATTACTTGCATTCAACATTTCACATGTTCACTATCTGTCCGACGGAGTACAAGCAACACCGTCGGAGGCGAGAAACCGATATGCAGAGTTGATGCACAATGACAAAAGAACCTACAGATGATTGGCCCGTAGGATTTTCACAAGGAAATACACATAATTGAAGTGTAGTGTATATCTACTTCCACCCGCCCCTCAAGCTGCCTTGTCTGCAATTACATAGACCTATACTCTGCTAGGTCTTTGATTATCACGCTCTGCCTACGTCCCTCAGTAAACAAAAGTCGGACTATCAGTAGTGAGTGAAAAATATAATTTTCTGAGAGCTCACATACAAGCACAGATCTCATCAAGAGTGTCACCATGGCTTCCAAGTTTATTTTCTCATCTCGCTAGCCTCAGGCCGCAAGTAACATTAACTATGCCTATTCAGGCTAGCCTTATTTTGAAACTTAAATCAGATAACGTAATCACGTCGGCCCGCCCGCCCGGCGTGGACCCGTCCACGGCCCTGACCCGCCCTTACAGGGCTTCGTTCACGATATACTCTTCAATTCCTTGTGCGTCCAATTATCGGATTTGACATTCATTATTGCCGAGACACCACCTTCGTACACATAACAGATAAACCGCTTCGCCGCTCACTATGCCGAATCAGAAGACAAGATCATTATGTCTCCGATCCTCCATTTCGACAAGAGGGCCCTATGAACAAACAAGCTAGAAACAAAGAAAAGCCCCAGACAAACGAGTATGATATTTGAGGGAGTTATAACCCAACCTCATCTAAATGAAAATTTTCTACCCCATCAGCGGCCTAGAAAGCGGGAGACGTCCTTCGCAAGCTACTTACGAGAGACAATTACGTACAACCTTCGGAAGTTGTGACCTTGAAATTTTCATTAGCAGCCTTTGAAGGATCGGGTATTTATCCAGTGTGAGCCTAGCGGATACCGTTGTCTTATTGTTCAGGCGGCTTGACCCGACATCAGCTACTTTTTCTGCAGAATATAGTTGAAGCGAATCTAGCGTCAGGAATCCTGCGAATCAGTAGTCTCTCTCCATGTGTCAATCAATATGATTGAATAGGCATCTGTTTGACAGACTCCACTGTGTTTCACATCTAGACAAGCGATGTACCCTCCATAAGGGTAGACTGTCATGTAGCTGAGGGGGCTACTCCACTCTGTAGGTCCGACCATCGGTCGATTTTAACTCTTTGATCTTATCTGATCCGCCTTTCTTCTGCGTTTTGATTTCCCCTTCTTTTCGTTGATTTTGCTTTCCTTACACCGTACTTGTCTCTATATCAGTCTGGCACACAGTTTGCCAAATCATCGATAAACTGCCCACAATATCTCGACATAATGGCCAGCGAAGCTCTCCCCAAGGATCAGGACCTTTCCGACCCTGAGATACAAGGAATCTTGGAAGGAAATGCCCGATTCCGCCGTCTAGGTTGGAAACGACTCACTGTCATTTCGATAGTCGAGGCGATCGCCCTGGGGAGTCTAGGTCTACCCTCTGCATTCGCCGCTCTCGGAATGGTCGCAGGCGTGATCCTGACTATTGGACTTGGCTTCGTTGCAATCTACGCGGGTTATAATATCGGCGAGGTCAAACTGCGGTATCCACAAGTCGGTCATTATGCAGATGTCGGCCGACTTTTGCTTGGGAGTGTGGGATCAAAACTCTTCGTGGGCAGCTTTGTTGCTCTGCTTGTCTTTGTGATTGGGTCGCATTGCTTGACTGGCGCGATTGCATTCCAGAATATCACCCAAAGCAATTCATGCTCGCTTGTTTTTAGCGTTGTATCCGCTGCAATCCTGATGTTGCTCGCTATTCCTCCATCATTTGCTGAGATTGCGATACTGGGCTACATTGACTTTGCGTCGATTGTCTTGGCTATCGGGGTTACGATGATTGCGACCGGTATCCAGAGCTCGAATGGTTCGGGTGACTTTGCTGCAGATCACTCACCGTGGTCTGCTTGGCCGAAGCCTGGTCTCACTTTCTCTGCGGCTATTGTAGCCACCAATAATATTGTTTTTGCGTACTCATTTGCTGGATGTCTGCCTTCATTTATGGAAGATATGCATACGCCCGAGGATTATGTCAAAACACTATGGTGGCTAGGAGGTATCCAAATTGTTATCTACACCTTGACAGGGTCAATCATCTATTCCTTTGTCGGGCAGGAGGTGCAATCACCTGCTTTGCTGTCTGCGGGCCCCGTCATCTCAAGGGTTGTCTTTGGCATAGCGCTCCCAGTCATCTTCATTTCGGGGTCTATCAATACAACAGTCGTCTGTCGATATATCCACGGAAAGATATACCGGGACTCGGTCGTTCGCTTTGTCAACACCGCGAAGGGTTGGAGCACATGGCTTGGCCTTGTGTTTGTTGTTACCATCTTAGCTTGGATAATTGCTGAGGCCATCCCCATCTTTTCTGAGTTGCTCTCTATCATTTCTTCCTTGTTCGTGTCGGGTCTGTCTTTCTATATTCCACCAATCATGTGGTATATGCTTTTGAAAGAGGGTGCGTGGTATGAAAAGCATAATTTGAAGCCTGCGGTCTTGAATGGTGTGGTATTCCTGGTGGGCGTGATTATTTTTGGATGTGGTACATATGCTAGCATCGCTGAACTGGTGAGCTCCTTTTCCTTTCGCCTTCTAAGGAAGATTGCTGACTCTGTGCTTCATAGATTGATAAATTTGAGTCGGGGTCAGTAAGTAAACCATTTACCTGCGCCTGAAATATTGCAACAACGTGGCAATGTGTGTTTTTCTGTTTGCCAGGTGACTACAATCTCTCAAGGGACTCGAGTCTGTAGTTATGCTTATATAAAAATTCAACTCGCAAACAGCTATGACTGTCGTTCGCTTCATGATAATTTCAATCATATATTTTTCTCTCATTTTTCTCAGTCTCACGGTCTACTACATTCAGAAGAAAAGAGATATTTTTAGCGGGCTTGCTTTAGAAGCAATCAGAATCAACAGAGATAGATGGGAATCTCGAGATATGAATCACCTTTTACAAAAGAAACAGGCTATATTGCGAGACTCTGACATAGTTGCATTTAAAGTTACATTGAGCTTTGTGGGTGTCAGATTGACAAGGGTGTAGAAGTGCCCTTATGAGCCTTGTTTCTGCTTGGTGTCACAGAATGGTGGTTTAGATAAATCAGAATACAGTATTAAGATAGCATAGAATTTAAGAAATACGATAATAGTGAAGTCTGTCAAGGGTTACCTCGCCTACTTTTCTTACATCTTTTCTTCATTGCTCCTTTCACTCCTCCATCGGTTCTCCAGCCTCAGCCCCAGTCTCAGCCCATTGATTCTCCTGAAAAAATGCATCTAAGGCAGCGCCATCACTACCCACTACAAGTCCTTCTTCATTAAACAATGCAGGATCTAAAAACGCGCCCGAAATACCATCATCGTCATCCCTGCCTTCAAGTTCTTGCCAGGTGGTACCTTCTGGGACAGCGCCTAGGGCAGGATCTGGAGGAAAACCGGGACCAGGTGCAGCAGCAGTGGCAGGATCAATAGCGGCGGCAGTGGCAGCGGCAGTCTTCGCTGTTACCTTTATCCTTTGAGCGGCTGGAGCATCCGTCTCGTTATCAGCTTCGTCTGCTGTTTCGGCTCCTGCTTCGGCTCCTGCGGCCGCTTCGGCCCTCTTTCGCTTAGTTCTAGCGTGTTTGTTGGCCGCATATCGGTTTGCCTGTTCAGTACGGCGGTTAGGAGTGATCGCGTTGTTACCCATCCGTTGCTCGGGACGATTCAACGCTGGCTGGTTAGCAGATAGAGCACCACCTATAAAAGAAAAAATATGTTAGTATGTTGTATTTCAACAATGGAATTCAGAGAAGGGCCTCGGGATGGCTTACCTGTTACGTTGGCACCTCGAATAATAATAGTCAGGTTAGGTCTGGGTAATGGTGAGCGATTTGAACCTTCGAAGGGATCAGGAGACGGGTTTCGAAGCCTAGGCCAGTGCTCACGGATAGTTCTCAATAGTGTAGATGCAACATTGAAGGAAGTCAGTCGTACTTCACCAGCCTGTGGATTAGTTATCAGCGCAGGATTAATTTCATCTAGAGATAGATGGTGTAGCCATACTGTATCCCCATCTGCCAGATAGCCTTCTTTATTGAGGTTTGATCTGAACAAGTCGAACTTAATGTTGGCGATGTTGACCCAATCCCCATCCGGGCATACGTCTGTCGGGTCTCCTCTGTTTGTTAAAAAGTCACTCACCCTAATTGCAATTGGCATGTTCGGGTAATCTGCTCGGATAATCTGGATATCGCCATTGGGTACTATATAGGGCCGACGATAGTCGAATCTGCTCGGTCTTTCCTGTTCTTGTTCTAGCTGCCGTGCTGCTAGTCGTCGTGCTCCCAGTTGTTGTGGTGTCAGCGATAATGCCGGTGCTCCTGCTACTACTTCTGCTGCTCCTGCTGCTATTCCTGCTGCTGGATTAGCCACCTTTACTATCTTTTGTCCCACTGCTGCTGGATTTTGCTGTGCCAGATATTCTTCTCCCAACTCGTCTTGTATACAATTGAGGTATTTATACAGCGCCGCGCTGAGAAGCTCGGTATCCGTTACATGATTTCTAATAAGCACTGGGATTCTTGGCATTCGCTTGCGCCACTCATATTGGATTTGATTGCGCGAAGAGCTCGATCGGAAAAGGTTGTGGGAATTTCGTCCTTGTTTGATAGCATCAGCCACTACGATAGCATAGATTTCTTGTGCTAGAGTTCGGAGAGCCTGTTGTTCCATGGGGCTTTCTATTATGTCAAGACGCTTAAACACATAGTATTTATCGAAGTTGTGCGGCCAATTCTTCATTGGCGGTGGCTGTGGAGCAGGCATGTTAGCTTTGAGATTGAATGATGTGCTTGAATAGTTGAGAAAATAGTTCGGTACATAGAGGATCATAGAAAGAATTTGTCCACCATTTAATACTTAGAAGTTTCTTTGTGACTAAAGACGAACTGATACACATTGTGGACTCGAAACTTGATATTTCGATATGCATTGTTGATATTTGAAAGAGAGGCACACACACACACAAAGGAGCAAAGAACGAGACGTGTGTGACACTAAATTAGGATCAAACAAACAAACTGTATGAAAGCGAGGTTTCAAAATTCCAACATTATTCTTAGGCAAACAATGAAACCTTTGGGCTAAATATTATCGGAATTTTGAGTGGTCTGCCTACTGGCTATGAGGTATTGGTGTGGCAAGTCTAATTTGCCATGAATGCCATTGTGGCCATCGCCAACCCGCCACCTCATTCGAAGGTGGATGGGCGAGATTCGTTCATATCCCTTATATCCCAGCTCAAATCAAAAAATTTTAGACTTATAGACTAATATTACCATACCAGCTATGGTTACACATAGATTATTTGAATAGAAAAGAATCAGATAGCGTGGTAGATATTTGCGTTAAAAAATTCCCGAGAAAATATGAACAGAAAAGTCGTAGATATGAACCTCCCCAAGGCGAGCAATTGCCAGCAGAACCCATAGTATTTGAATACCCTTCATCTTATTTTCGTGATTCGTTGTTTTAATTCATTGGTTTTTCAATATGTCAAACAAGCACAGTCTTACGCAGAGACGTAAGCTTGGCCAGCCTGGTTGAGAGCGTTGCCAGTGAGCAAGTAGTTTTCAGCACACATGAAGTAAGAGTAGCGAGTGACACCAGCCTGCTGATCCAGCCAAGGGACAACGTCGTTGAGGAAAGCAGCGGTATTAGCCGGGTTAATAGAGCCGTTGACATCAGCGTTGAGAGCAAACTCAGTGATCCAAACCTCAGACAGGCCGTGTCTGGAAGCAGTGTCGACGGCCTTGGTGACGAAGGCCTTGAAGTTGTCGGCATCATCACCGTACCAGTGAACAGCCAGACCGGAGATACCACAGCCGCTGCAGCTACCGATGAAAGACTCGAACCACTCAAGGCCAAGTCCAGCCTCAGTGGAGGAGGTGACAGCGGGCGAGATCAGCTTGGCATGGCCGGACCACGGGGTAATGTAGGTCATGTAGTATTGGGCAGCATCGGCGGGGCTCATGTTAGCCTGCGAAGCCATGTCGGGCTCGTTGAATCCCAGAATGTAGCTGCTGCCGCTGGCGATAGCGGTCTCGATAGCGGTAGCCCAGGCGCCGAACATCTTGGGGCCCCACAGCATGGGGACGAACTCGACATTTGCGGGGAGCAGACCAAAGACGGAACCGGCCCAGTTGTAGGCCCATGAGATGCTACCGCCACTGGTCAAAGCAGACACGGTGGTGACGTCGTTGTAGGCGGCACCGCGCTTGTTAGAGATGGTGCGCTTGGCCTGCAGAGGGGCAGCGATGGCCGAAGTGGCGACCAGGCCGGCGGTGAAAAGCTTGGTGAAGGAGACCATTTTGAAGTCGAAGTATAAGTCACAAAAGAGTGGACTTGTTTATAAAAAAAAAGGAGTGGAAATAAAAGAGAGAAACCTGTTCTCGACCTTGAATGTGGACTTGAAGGAAAGTGAGGCTCAGACCGTGCACGGCACAGGACTAGAAGACCAGGAAAGGAATGAAGGAAGGATAGTGAGTGGTAGAGAGAGAAGAGAGGGAAGATCGAGGGAGGCGGAGGGTTTAAATCCTCGGGGCCTCAGTGTGTCAAACCTACCAGCCTAACCCGCTGGCTGGAAGATATTCCATTTTCTTCATGAGTGGGGTGCAGATAGGAAATGGCCATTGGGTGTTCGGGAACCGAGAATGGGGTTCTACCTCATAACCATGTTTGGGCAAATCAATGGTTTCAATGTAAGATATCATTGGCGCCTGGGAGGGATGGGTATCAATGGACTGGCCCGTTGACGGGAATTGAAACCATGGATGCTTGACTTGAACCGAGCGTGTTTTCTTACATTTCCAATGAAATTTACACTTCCAAGGCGCTAATTGATAATTCTTTCAATCTCTTCAATGTCAAATAGGTTTGCATCTGGTCTGACTCCACAGCCAAGATATGAAGAGAGCTCCACAATAGCCTGGACCGTAATGGGGTTGTGACATCGGAGTATGAGATTGACAATATAGTAATTGAAGCGTTCCTGGTGCCTGTAAGTTTGTAACAATAATAGGGTTACCCCTGGCAGAATACGAAAGGATATGCAAATGAAAAAACAACGTGGGAATAATATATTTTGAAGGGAGCCCAATGACAGAAATTTACCCGAATTGAAGATTCCGTGGGAGCCAATGGTGTACCACGGAAGGTATTGCATCATCCTTTGGTTTATAATGTAAAAAACTGGGTTCCCTGGCTCCCGTCCAGGGGAGCTACTCTGATAGGCAGATCCTAGATACACTGTCATTTGGGTCTTTGGGTAGCCTATCATATCAATGCGCTATTGAACAATAACCCTAGGAACGCCATGAACAACATCAAACATTGCACTACATTTTTATTTAAATTGAGTTCCTGAATTCCAAGGTTTTGATTGTGAGAGCACTTGTAAGACTGACAGATTCATTCAAAACCATTCGTCGATTCATCGATTCATCAATATAACACAATTGCAGGCGTCAACTGAAACTGACTAATATGACAATATGACACACCGATTATGAAGGCGCCACCACATTAAGAATACGGAATCAACCACTCATAGTGACACCACCCAATCAACACCATATTCTAGCTCCATCATGAGACCTAGACCGTCTCTCCCTTTCACCGGTATTACTTCTGGATCGACTGGGGTCGTTCTAGCGCTAGAAGGAGGGAAGCTGTCTGAAACCCCTCTTCAGTACTCCGTAACCCCCACCCCTGCGGCCGATCAGTTACTGAAAAAGGGTCAGGACAAGCCTTGCCGGACTATACGCCGGTGTTTTACGATAAATTGCATTTGGATTGCCCCAATGTTATTTCCCCGTTCTCCAGCAAATGTATATCCTAATTTTCCTTTTGGTTCTGGTTCTGGTTTTGGTTCTGGTTCTAGTTTTTTTTTTTTTTTGTGCCACCTATTAGTGATTTGCTAATAGTTGCTTGGGATAGTGACTGGGGATCAGTGCTCTAATTCCAAGTTCTCCTATAGGCTGTCAGAACATAATACACAAGTATTACATACATGTACCCTGCAGGAATGCGGTACATTACATGCCAAATAGACTCTGAATTCTTCAATCTCAGATTGTCCTATGGTACTCTACAGTTTTTCTTTATTTTTAAATTTCATTGTAGCTTTCCCCGGACTAATAGTTGCCACTGGCGAGAACTGCAAGGTCGCCATGAGATCAGACTTCAGTCACCTCGGCCTCTGTACCCAAAAAATATTTCGTGGGCATAGTTCCGAAGAAATATGCACTGTATCTCTACAATTCCATCGAAACTGCAGTTCTTCTCATCTGAAACAGACTAAATTTCCACCGATCCGTCAACGTGGACCAAAACTCTAAATTCGCATTCGCAGACTACTTTCTATACTCTCTCCGACTATTAATTTCTGATTGATTCCTATAGACTATTCTAATAGTTTTCTCCAAAAAATAAATAATAAAAAGAAAATATCACAGGTTGTTCTGGTCGCATTGGCAATTAAGGTGGCTTGTCTCAATAGACTCGCTACTAGTGTTCCCACCCGGGCACTAGCCGTTGCCCACGTCATCTTACTGCGCAACCCTCCAGGGCTACTCTTGCTAACTTTGGACGGATTACGTCGTACACATCTAGGATCTACATACGTAGGAAATGAAGAAGAGAGATATGGGAGGCTAATCCCTCATTACTTACCAATATCGTTATGGATCCCCTCTTACTCAAACCGTCGTCTCAGGATTTCTACCAGTTTCGACTAGTTCCTAAACTCATCAAGCAGCCCGGCTATTGATGCCCATTTTAGATTTAGACGCGTAGTCTTGGCTGCCAGGCTCTCACGGCATTAGGCATATACCGGAGACACCGAACGAGTATATGACATGTCTCCCCACGGTCATGGATACGAAAATGTGTTCAAGTAGACGCTATTGATTGGTTCAAGGAGGTACGAGATAATGCATACCTGTGGTTGATATAACAACTCTATCTCGTGTTCCTGTGGGATTGCAAATCGCTATACGTTCAGTTTCTCGGATATAGATGTGAGGGTGAGATATGAGTTTCCTTAGTCTCATCATTAATGGCGTCGGGCATCGTTATCGGCGTTGATGTTGGCACATCATCTCCGTAGATTTCGGGTGATTGTGCGTATTCGGGGACTTCTTCTGCATCGGCGGTTTTCTCATACACTAACATCCTCATTGTAGGCATCGGGGTCGTGGTTGTGGCCATTCCGGTCTCTATATCGGCATCTACAGCCTTGTCTGCAGCCTCCACGACGGCCTGGACACATTGCCTTCTTTCGGTGCTTATCCTGGCGTGTCATTGACAAAATGCAGTAGGTCTCTCACTGCCTCGCTAACTTCAGTCTGTTATCTTCGTAATGTTTACCACTCGTTAAACAACTACCTGGAAATGTACATGTAGGTGTCATGTAAACATCTACTGCATATAGAGGTCTATACTGCGCTCTTATTCAATATCTACATTACAAATAACGAGAAAACGCTGATATAAAGACTCCAAGAATAGAAACTTCTTGTATTATAGAGAGATCCTCAACCCAAGGGCATCCATAATTCGGAAGGTGAAGTGGTTAACCTTGGAATATTGTGATAAGTCATTTGCAAATCCATATCACACGTATCCGTGGACAATTCCCCCAACCCAAAGTTCACACACTTTTCCAGGATGAAAATGAATTTGAACATCTACAACTCCTACGTTTCGAGGCTCCCAAATGCTACAGTCTCAGTGTTGTGGTGATGACCTATTGCGCAAGCATATCTCAACCTAACCAACCACTACATGTCCATAAAGCAATCTGGGCATTCAACAATCTATTTTCATATTCGAACAAGATATATGGTCCACTGTTTATAAATAAAATACCACATCGAGCAGCTCCCATCTATACTCCATCCAATCACAGATACTGCCCATAATCACACCAAATAAAGCAGGCGGTGAAAACCGATGATGTAAATTATTCCTCCGCATCATCGGAACAGCTCCCCAACCTTCAATTACTATACTTCTTCCACAAATCTCATTCCAAAGATCCTGAAGCAACAATGCTCTCTCGCACAGCCCCCCGAGCTCTGCTCGCCTCCGTGCGCCCATCCATCCGCACAACAACACCCCCCACTTCCACTCTCCTTCCACGGGTCCGCGCCATTCGCCCCAGCTCCGCCTCACAGTTCACCCGCTCCTTTCAGTCCTCCCCGGTAATCGGCAAAGGCATTCACCCAGAATCAGCAGACCCTCCAGCCCCAAACCCGCAGTCGGGTTCTGTTGCCGGAGCCGCTTCTCATGTCACCGAGCCCTCGCCGTTGACGCCGGAGGACTACTACGAGTACTCGGAACATTATTTCAATGTGCTGCAAAGCCACTTGGAGCGGGCACAGGAGGAGGGCTCGGAAGTTGAGGCTGAATATAGTGTATGTTTTCCAGGTTTTCCTTATATATATTATGGTCTTGATTCTCCTTCATATCTTTCTCAGCCTACACAAAAAGACCTTCGGTTGCCATGGATTATGAAATATGAAAAGCTACTAACGCACTCTTTTCTTCCAGGCTGGTGTTCTGAACATCTCCGTTCCCGCAATCGGCACCTATGTACTCAACAAGCAACCACCCAACAAGCAGATCTGGCTCAGCTCGCCCATCTCCGGGCCGAAGCGGTACGACTGGATTGTTGAGGGTGATTATATGCATGAGAAGCAGGATTCGCGGCCTTTCGTCAACGGACAGTGGATCTACCTGCGCGATGGTTCTAATCTGACCGAGTTGTTGAACTCTGAGTTGACATTGCGTTTGCCCAAGGATGTCTACGGCGAGGTCGTTGAGTAAATGGGTCGTCTTGCTGGGTTCTCGATTACCTAGATAGAAGAAGATTCTTGTCGTTCCAGCATTAATCTAGAATGCTGTTAGATACTATAGTCGAGTGTGTATTTTTAAGACGCAGTTGCATTGAAACCTTTCGCGTGCTGTTCCTTTCTCATAAATATACAAAATAAAAGAGAGGTGGATAAATAACATGGGAACATGGTTGTGGGTATGATTTGAGGCAAATGGACTAGGTGGGTATAGAGTGATTGAGTGTAGCAAGAACGCAATGCTGAGGGTGCTGAGGGAGAAAACAAATCATATCATTGCCCCAATTGAATGCGTCTAGCAAAGTGTTCTTCTTTCTTTTTGAGGGAATACAACATGTAGATAGCCAAAATACAGCCTCCACCCGATGAGTGAAGCGCTGGGTTGCCTAGCGGTGTGATATTGTCCAAGGCGAAATTCACACTAGAGACGAAGTCGACAGAACCTGAGTCAACATCGAACATGTTGAGTGAGGTACAGCGGGTACCTCAGTGCGAGCCGCCGAGACTAATAGCCCCGAAGACACCGCGACAATCGCAGCAGAACATGGAACATGCCCGCGCGATACGGTGTTTGAAGTTCGGGGCGGAGGATCAAAGCCGATAGACTTGGTGAGACACATTATGCAGTCCATGGCCAGCAGTCGTAGCAGTTGAATAGCAAAATATCCAATCCGTCGAACCAGTGTGGCCAAAATAACGAGAATGGCTGCGAGCCGACTTCCAAAGATCAGCAGCATGCTCCTTCTCTTCGGGCGGAGATTGACTCGATCCTTTCGAGGGTATTCTGCATAATCTCATTTGTCTCACGTTCAAGCCTGAACAGCCACCCCGCTCGTACTCAGCGCATCGGCTTTAGGAAGATCGGCCTGTAGATACCCCGCAGGGCGTATAATTAGCCACAGAAGACATGAGGGAACATATGTCTGGTTGTGTAGTAGGGAATCATACCATGTCGAAGATAACCCGGATCATAAGACTGCAACTCGGACACACGGCGATCTCTTCGCCGTCGCGCAAATCGTCGATTGCGATCTCAAAGCGGTCGCCACATGGGCAGGGATATGTGTAGATCTGAATAGCCGGGTCGAAGGTCATGTCCTCGATCTCTATCTCGTCGTAGATGTTCAGTCCGTCGTCGGCCATTTTGAATATTTCTCAGGATGTTCAAAGAGAAATGTGGCGAATGAATAGTAGATCTTGTAGCGTTGACTCTTTCGGGCAAAAAAAGTTTGGCGCGATCATGTGATGCGCGGGGTTAACCTAGGGCAACCCCGGATTTAAGACTTAGTGGATGAACTATGAACCTGCTCAAAAATGACCAAAGTAACTCAAACTTACTCCCTCGATTCCAGTCTGTACAATTGCAAAGTCCACCATGAGTCTCAACAGTTGCAAAGAAGAGATTCAAGGGCAAATACAAGGACGAATTGCGCAAGGAGCATGTATACACAGGCATGCGTGATACGATATCGTTAATCTACAACTCTGACACTGCATGTTTCGAAGTCATATCTTAATTAAACTACATCCCACTAAGGTATGTAGTTGTAACTCATTTCTCTAACCGTGCAATTTCCATCTTTACTTCTTCAACCTCTTTCGCCAAAACCCCATATCGACGAGCAATCTCCGCAAATTCGTCGTCAGCAATATCAATAACCGAATCAGACATCTCGATATCACCATAAGCTCTCAGCTCCTGAGCCGTCATCTTCCGGCGGTGCTGCAAGCGCTCCTTGGTCTGCCTCAAGTGCTGCCTATACCGAGCAAGAGCAGCAAGTGTTTCCGGCGTATAAAGCGTAGCCGCGATCTCCAATTTCGTAACCCTGTCCAAATCGTTAGAAAACCAATTCCACCAGAAACATAACAACAAGACTTGAAACCGGTAAGTAGCCAAAAAAAAAAAAAAAACTTACTCTAATTTCCCCTCCACGCCTTGCGCAACAAGAGCCAAATGCTCCGCCTTGGCTTTTGTCGCTCGTGCCAAAGCCCCATGCTTTGCCCGCTCTAGAATCACAACAGTACGTTCCAGGACCCGCGCCCGCACAGCAACAACCTCCGCCGCCGTAGCAGCCATCTTCCGCCGAGCGACTGGCAGCTCGGATAGCTGTGTGTGGCGCAGCGTGCGCACCCGCGCCTGCAGTTGTGATGAGAGCAGCGGGACTGGCGCCATCGAGGTCCGGACTCGGCGGTCGCGGGCTCGGGCGCGTGCGTTGTGGTTCGAGTGCTGTGTGGCTGGAGCATATGACTCGGGCGCGATGACTGGGTCTGTGTTTGTGGTTGATAGAGCGCGTAGGTCTTGGATCGCAGATGAGAGGGCTTTGGAGAAAGGTAGGATGAAGGATGGGATGTTAGAGTAGAAAGCTTCAATGTCGGGTGCTAGGAGGGTGAGTGCTTCATCTTGTTTGGGTTCGGTTTCTTGTTTTGGAGTGGTAGGTTCGATTGCGCTAGATGGGGTCTCTAGGTAGAGAGTTATTATAGCGAGATTATCGTGGGACTAGATGTGGTAGGTTTGTTAGGGATGTGGTTCTTGATGGGTGGGATGTACTGACCTCCGCTGGTAGGTTGTTGTCTGGGGCAAAGGCCAATTGCCGGAGCATTTGCTCCTTGATTCGCTTTTTGGCATTTTGAGTCTGGCATTGCTTCAGCTCCTAGTGATGGAGTGTTGTCAGAGCTATATTCGTGTTTGGGATCATTAAATATGTGATACGCAATGGCGCGTCAACTACTTACTTCCACCACGGCTGTGCGGGCTGGTTTCGCGCTTTGAGCACGCGTTGAGGCATCTGGATTGAGGAGGGAGGTTGTTAGATTCTCATATAGTCGTTTGAATTGAGGATTGTGCTCAAGAATGGAGGGGTCGCAGGGAGGAATCATGTTGATGTTGCCAAAGAAACTAGGGGAAGTTCACCGCCGAAGAAGCCCCGACATGGCACAGCCAATGACACAATGACATACATAGGATAGAGGAAAAGAGGCTCACAACAATACATCGTATACTCCATATTCGAACTACCCAAAGGAAATTACTAGTGGATACTTTACTATTACAAGTACATATTCATTTTGCATTTCCGCGTTTCTTTCGTAATCATACAAGTTGAAGCCAAACGCTTCGGTCCACCTTTTCCATCCGCAACGTCGTCGGAGAAAATAGAGCAACCTCATCCACCTATCCTGGCTGTGAAACGAAACGGGGAAAAAAAGTGTACACTCAGGCATAGGGGAAGGGAAATTCAAGGGGTCAAATAAATGAAATCCTGTTCGGCCAATCTTGAGCACAATGTTTCTCGGTGGTAGTAGAAACCTTGTCGGGTGCAGGGGTATTCGAAATCAAAGTATGTACAGACGTTGCCAGCGGGGATTGCATAGCACATTGCAAGCAGCCCCGTCAGGGTCCAGCGGTGACTGAAAAAGAAAGATATGGCGAGAAATTGTTCAGAAAAGCACTGGGGGGAAACGACGCTTGGAACGCAAGTCAGGGTGAAGGCCCATCCCGTATGGAGACAAAGATGGCGAGATTGGATTTTAAGAGTATTTTTACTCCTCCTCGCTCTCTTCCTCGGACGAATCAGACTCATTATCGCTGCTTTCGTTGTGTTCAACCGAGGCCACTGGGTCGGGAGAGTGAGCGCCACCCTGGAAACGAGAAAGGTTGCTCTGGAGCATGTTGATCTGAGCTTCCTGCTCGAACTTGCTCATTGGCTTATTCTTTTTAGGTTTAGGAGGTGCCACACTGCTGGTAGGGACTTCATCTTCGTCTTCGTCGTCCATAAGATTAGGTACGTGCTTCTTCACGAAGTTGAGCAGCTTCAGCAAGACATTGTTGGGGAGCTCGTCGATGTCCAACTCAATTTCGGCTTCATCGGTACCCTGCGAAAATCCATATGAGCATTGGTTTATATAAGAAATGTGTGAGAAATTTACCTTGAGTTGAGGAACATTGTTCTGGATGATCTGGAGGGCTTGCTGCATCCTCTTATCAGGAAGACTACTGATACCATTCGAAATGATCTGCTTCTCGTTGTAGGTGATAGCGCGAGTCTTGCCAGGTTGAGAGCTCTTGCTGCTCTTGTCTCTCTTTCCAGAGCTGAGTTTCTTGGAATCCTTCTTGGCAAGCTTGGTCTTGCCAACCTTCTTGGAGGAAGGAGGTGTCTTCTTTTTCTTGTTAGTAATAGCCTCGACCTGACGAGACATCTCAGCAATTTGCTTCTGCAGCTGCGTGAGTTTATTCTCGTCATCTTCTTCGCTCTCTTCTACATCCTCATCACTATCTTCCTCGGAAGAATCTGTGTTCTGCTCTGGATGTGGCTCATGCGCTTCGAGGTATTCCGACTTCTGGGCCCACTTTGCGTTGAAGATTTCCTCAGCCCGCTGGCCACAGATGTAAGTAGGGTCACCAAGGATATTGAAGCGGTAACAATTCTTGAAAATGAGGCGGACATCGTTCTCGAACTCCTTGGCATTTTCGTACTGGCCGGTCTTGAGTTTGGATTGAACAGTCGATAGATCCATCGGCTTCTTGATGACACTGTGATATGTAGGAATGTTCAAAGCAACGGGATCCACGGGATAATAGAAAGGCATCACCCAGTTATAGTGCTTCTGCTTGTGCATCTCATCCAAAACTTCCTGGCAGAATCGCAGTTCCCATTGGAATTTCTTCTTCTTTGGCTTGGTGGAGTACGGGAGATCACGCTTTGGGGGATGAATGGATCTTTTGGGTCGACCGTCGGGGTTGGAAGAATCGCGGCGGATGACCGGTAGACCTTCGGGTCCCAACGCAAATGTCTGAGACGGAGGAGAAGAAGCTTTAGGCTGGCTTGGGAGAGAAGTCCGATGCTCCCGGCGAGCAGCAGATGTCTTCTCAGTCTGCTTCTTTGGCTTTCTTTCTTCAACCTCTTCGGGCTTGGGAAGGTTAGTCATCTGCTTCTCGAAGGTCGCCTTCAGCTTGATCCCCTCTTGAGTGACCAGGTGGTCTGGACCATTAAAGATGGTCGTATTATTGACCATCAGTGCAAAGTCATCTGCGACTGCCTGAGGTGAGGAATATTGGTTATTCTTGAGCTTCCTTTCCATAGTTCCTAGGTCCATGGGTTGGGTGATAATAGTGTGGTATTGCGGGATGTTCAACTTGACAGCATCCACGGGTTCCTTGTAGAAACGCGCGTCGTGCATGCGCTTGAGGCTTGTGAGGCTCTTCGAAATGAACTTATGTTGCATTTTAGTGAGTCCTGGTCCGCCAGTGCGATTTGGGCCAGATGTTGCAGCAGCTGGGGAGTTGAATCCCGGTGTCTGGAAGTTAATAACAGAGTCATCGCCCTCGACCTTGGTCCGCTTGGGAGCTGGTTCTTCGCTGAGATCAGCATCCCGTTGTCGGGAAACCTTGGAAGGAGATGGCGGGGCCTCTGATGCGTCCTTCATCTCCTGGTCAACGGGCTGCGGAGCAGTGAGCGTAAGTGGTGCAGGGGCCGGGGTAGGATGATGAGGCAGGTCAGTTTTCACGGCAGTGGAGACATCTTGTCGGTTATCGATGGACATGGGCTCAGGTGTATCATTCTGGCCATCCATGGATGCAGGAACTATGGGGGTTTGTACTGCAGCTGGGGCAGGCGAAACGACACTTTCGGCCGCAGGGTTAGCTGCAGCAGGAGTGGTAGATTCCTCGCCCTGCGGAGGGTTGGTCTTTTCTTCGGTCGGTTGTGCCTCCACGGGTGGAGCAGATTCTGGGGCAGATGGTGTTTTGTTTTGGACTGTTCCTGGAGGGGTCTGATGATCGGGAGACTTGGGCGGTGAGGTGGCAGCGATTGTGCCATTGGTGTTCGAAGGCGCGACAGGGGTGTGGCCATTCAGCACAGGCGATTTAACCTCGGTATCCGCGGGACCATCACTTTTGAGATTCACTGCAACATTTTGCGCGCTGCGCACCAGTTAGATCAAGAAGAACGGAGCAGATATTGAAGCTGATTTGCTTACCTGGTCGGTGGAGAGTCAGGCGCAGAAGGACCAGTGAGCGATGAAGGCAATTGAGGCTTGTCCTCCTTGGTGACAGGAGGAACCTCAGGAGGCGGGGTCGCCATTGGGGTCGCGTTGGATAATCAAGAATACAAGGTAGGGGAAGAGAGAGAGTTGTGCAGATGTGAGAGTTATGGGGAGGTGTTTCGAAAGCTAGTGATCAACTGAAAACACCCGTAGAATCTCGAGTGGACAAACACTAGTGACAACCGAGGTCACGTAGTATTGACTCAGCAGTTGATGAAGTTTGATATCAAACGTGTCACGAAGGAAGAGGAAAAAACGCGACAGGCGGGGGGCGGAAGTGAGGTCAGAGATGATCGGGAGATAGGAAGAGTGGAGAATGCGATCGGAGACGAAGTATTTATACTGCCAAGAAGGCGGTATAAGAGTGTTCACGTGATTTAGAATTGAAGCCAGGTCTAGATGACTTGGTTAAGACAAGATATGGAGCTAAAAAAAAGTTCCGATGATTGCCTGAGGCAAAATCAAGAAAGGGAATTAAGGAGGAAAAAAATAATAAAAAATAAAAAATAAAAAAAGGAATTTGGGGGAAGGCGGTTAAAAGAACAGAAAACCGTGACGCGAAGACGCGTTTGTTATGGGTTCTTATAGGGAGGGCGGTCAGAGGAATAAAAATAGGAGAAACCAGGACGGAAGCAGAAAAATGGTCGGGAGGGGATGCCAGAATCCTTAAGTACAAACGGTCGCCTTGCACTCTCCTGTTACCCAGTTCCACCAGCCACACTAGTCCCGATTCTCTGGCCTTTCTTACCCCTTGATTGGTTATATACCCCTGGAATCTCTTTTTTTTTTTTTTCTTTCTTTTCTTTCCTCTACTTTTTCTCTTTCCCTTCTATTGTGAACACATGTTTTAACAGAAATTTCATTTATATTTTCTTCTTTCACTTTACTTCTTCTCAACTTTTCTTTTAAGACGCTTTATAAAGGTGGACACATATCTCGGATGACTCAAAGCCCTAGGGTTCTGGCTAAATCCGGGTTAGGCCGTGATGGGTCTGAGTCACGTCACCACTTGAGCTTTCACGTGACTAACATGATGAGTACACGTATTGTATATCGATAAAGGAATAACATCTCCTTTCTATAACTATGTACATTTAGCGCAAGGAAGATGCTGTAGAATCTTGAAACTTCCATAAATCATGGGGTAGCCTAGTCAGCATGTACCTAGTTCCCCACTAAATATTCTAGGCATCCTAGAATTTTCCAATCGGCACTCTGCATTTGTACAATGGGCAGCTGCACTTCAACCCTTACAGGTTAGGCAAATGCAGTTGCATCACGTGATTTAGTGGTTGGTACTTTTGTTCTCGATGATCTGCCCAATGGGAATCCGTATAACTATACAATATGATTTTAGTGCTTGACATTTTAGATGGCTGTGGTATATCTGTAAGCACTACGGAGTATATACCTAGGTAGAGTATGATCTGACTACTGTCCTGTTTCTATCATATATTTAATTCGGTTTGGGTCACACAAATTGAAACTCGTTATGTTATTATCTCGGTGTTGTTAATAAATACTGGGGATGTCTGCAGAAGTATATGTTAAAATAGCCTCCAGATGTGATTATATATTTTCGCTCTCGAGAACAGGAAATAGATGTTGATCTCAAAAGCACACAAATTAGAAAAAATTAAGTTTGATAGTAAAACCCTAGAGCTAGAGAAAACTTTCGGCTGACTTTAAGCACGAACAACTCCGAAAGCTCGACTAAAATGAATCAATGAGTTGGTAGAGTTACCCCCGAGACCTCTGGGCTAGTACTCTACTGACAGTTTGAAGCATCCCGAGGTCACGGGATGATATGATTAGATAAGAAACATTACCAGGCTAAGCCCATTTAGGACTAGACCGTCAAGGCTCTACAGAACATTTTTTTTCCTGTCCGGATCAACTGCGAAACCACCAGCCTAAACCCCCATTTGTTTCCTCAGGGGCGGAGAAAAATAGAGCCTTATCGGAATCTTTACTGTTTTTATTTGAGCCTTCTTTATTGATATTCATCTTCATACCACCGCACCTTCGACTGCGAGGAAAAAAAAGCGATCGGAAAAAAAGTTACAGCCAAGATGGGAAAGAAGACGACTCGCCCATCCACCAAGGTCGCCTCGGCGGCCGCATCGCCAGCGTCGGGTATGACATATGCAGGCAGCAAGTCGTCCATCTTGCGCGCTGCATTCTCCCCGTCAGAGTACCAATTGGCCCTGTTTGCGTCCGTTATCCAAGGCCTCGATGGCCAGCACATTCGCATTCACGATACACAGACAGGACGTCTCCAGTGCGAGCATACTCTGGGGCCGAAGGAAACAGTGACCTCTTTGGACTGGGGATACTACGGTGGCTCCGGCAAGGGTCGTGACCAGTCGAAAAAGAAGCGCAAGCGCGGCTCCGATGTCAACGGGGCTGTTGATGGCCTGGACCAGGGTGATATCGTGGTTGCATTCGGCACAAACACATCCGATATCCGTATGTACTCGCCATCTGAAGATAAGGTCGTCGGCATCTTGACCGGTGCGCATGACAAGGGTATCAAGGACTTCAAGTTCACGGTCGATCGGCCCGCCCAGGAGGCTTGGAGTATCGGCGGTGACAATAAGCTTGTCCAGTGGGACCTGCGCACCGGACAAAGTACCAAGTAAGTTTTGATATTTACTGGGTTATACCGAGCTTCTAACTAATCATATACTAGGACAATCCACCTCCCCGCATCTTCTGTCTTCACTGCTCTCTCCCGCCCCGTTCCCTCGAACCCTCCTCTTATCTGCGCTTCCCAGACCCCGTACTTAATAGATACCGAGAAGGCCGACGAGCCGGTTCAGTTCCCTGCCATGCGCAATCCTATCCACACCGTCATCTCCTCCTCTTCCGAGTCTGCTGGTGTTGGTGCATTCCTTGCATCCGATGGTGACCGCTTTGTCAACGTCTTTGATGCCGCCACCCAGAAGCTTGTTCGCAACCTTGTCGCCGACCAGGAGGTCTCATCAATTACATTGCAGACCGATGGCGTTGCCACACCAGAGAAGCAAGTGCTTGCCGCGGTCACCGCAGATGGTAGCGTCGAACTCTTCACCAAGCCATTTGTTCAGCCCCAAAGTGCGCCCTCCGCAAGTGCCAAGGCCAGCCGGAAGCAGATGACCCAGAAAGCAAACGCAACTCTCAAAATCACCCACACCGACTCCTCGAATGCCTGCGTTCCCGTCGCAGCCATCTCATTCCAGGGCCCTACCCTTGTGATTGCATACACCGAGGGTGGTGTGGTCCCTGTCTTTGAGCGTGTCAAGTTACTCGATGAGAACACTGATGAGCTCTTGTTCACTGGAATCAAGACCGTGGTGAAGACCAAGTCCGGATCAACACTTTCTTCCGTCACAACAAATGGAGTTAAGAGCTCAGGCGAGACCCGCGTTGACGAGTCTCGCATGAATGTCGAACAGGGAAACCTGGTCGATGATGATGTAGAGATGGAGGATTCCCGACAAGACGCATCCGAATCTGGCAGCGAGGAGGACTCCGACGATGATGACAGCAACAAGAAGTCCAAGGTTTCAACCGAGAAGAAGACAAAACCCACCAAGCAAGTCGCAGCGAACGAGGACGTTGAGATGCAGAACGCATCCGATTCCGAGGAGGAAGAGGAAGAAGAAGAGGGCGCAGAGCCATCCTTCGGCGAACTCCTGCGCGCAAACGCAGGCCAGGAAGTCGATGTCGAGGCTGAGCTTGACGACGACGTCCTCCTGGGCGCACTGGTTCCCGGAAAGCCCCAGGCCGCAGTGCAACAGATTCCCACCGGTGTTTCACTTGGTACTGTCCTCACACAGTCGCTCAAGACTAATGACAACGCTATGCTCGAGTCTTGTTTCCACACCGGCGACACCTCCATCATCCGCACTACTATCCAGCGTCTCGACTCCTCCCTGGCCGCGACTTTGCTTCAAAAACTTGCTGAGCGCCTCGCCTCCCGGCCTGGTCGCTACGGCCACCTTCTCGTCTGGGTGCAGTGGACCTGTGTTGCTCACGGCGGTGCCCTGGCTGGTCACCCCGATCTCTTGAAGCGCATGAATTCCCTCTACAAGGTCATGGACCAGCGCTCTTCTACCCTGCCATCTCTCCTGCTCCTCAAGGGCAAGCTTGATATGCTCGATGCCCAATTGGGACTGCGTCAATCTATCCGTGGTGGTGATGAGGGTATGGACAGCGAGGACGAGGATAACATTATCTACGTCGAGGGTCAGGATGATGCCGAGGACAGTGAGACCGAGGCCAAGACGCCGCGGAAGTCAATACGCGACCAGGCTTACGATGAGGATGAGTCAATGATGAACGTCGCCGATGAGTCTGAAGATGATGAAGATGATGGAAGTGATGATGAGGATGATGACGAGGAGCCTATTTTGGACATTGAGGCTGCCGAGTCTGTCGGTTCCTCCGATGCTGAGGAATCGCTGGAGGAGAACGAGGATGAGGATGATGATGAGGAAAGTGATGGCTCAATGGTTGACTTCATTGCCGACACGGAAGACGACGAGTCTGACGATGCCGCTGAGCAGCCCCCGCCATCAAAGAAGAGCAAGTCTTCTGGTTCTGTCGGAAAGAAGAGCAAGGGCGGCAAGAAATAAGCATTTCTCTTTTTTCAAGTTGTACGAATTAGAGATGAAAGAGGGGGGGTAACGGTCTATAAAAGAACATATTTTTTCCTTCGATGCATCCAATGGGTCTGCATTTCATTTTTCTTTGTTTTATCTTTTGCTTTCGATATCTTGTGCCTCTACCGAGCGCCTCTGCGTCTCTATCAATGTCTATTAAAATTCTACTCGAGTATCTTGACATATTTCCTTGTACGAAGCACTCCATACTTTCCCCTCAGTACCTATAACCGTGAATATCTGCTCTAAATCCGATCCATTTGGCCAAGTAATGATATTATGGATGATATATGTAAGAACGCTCCTATGTCCACAGGTGTTTTCGTATGTTCTTTTTAGATGTCTCTTTCCAAATATGTATATCAAAGCGGTAAAAAGTATAAACAGTACAGAGGACTGTTCTATATATAACCGGTGATTTACACCAGTAGCTCCTCCCCCTGACAGGGACCCCCATGCAGAACCCGATGACCCGGCACCCCTTTCTCCCCAAGAGGAATTAGCACGGATGTTGTCCGGTCCCGTGAGGGGTATTTAGTGAAGTGGCCCAATGTACTGACATCAGCAGTGTCGAGAACTAGGACAACTCCATTCTTGCCACCTTGAATCCAGGCCTCAGTGGTTGAGTTAGGGAGCGTGATATGCGCTAAACCGGAGAGGAAGACCACCCATCTATAGTGCGGAATTAGCCAAGAATTGCGGACTATAAAAACAAACCCAAACTCTGTGTATAAATAACAACTTGTTCAGGATCATTGATTCCGCAACACCAAAAAGATATGTAGATGAAAGAAATCTTGCAAAGGAGAATATGACTTACTGCATAGCAGGCGCGTTATGTCTGCCCCCATCAAACCCAGCCGGCAACACCGTAAACGACGCATTCCCGCCGATAGTCCCTAAATCCAGCTCGGCTGTCCCGGCCTGCCCGGGTTGGTCGGAAATTTCAAATCCCGGCTGGAGAGCCCAGCACTCTAAGGTGGAGCGATTATGGCGCGCGCCGAGCACAGTTATGTTGAGGGTGGAGCCGAGGGAGGTATCGGGGGATTGGGCGAGGATTGCGGTTGGAAGGACAAATCGGATAAGGGCTTGAGGGCGCATTTTGAGGATATTGGGGTGTTGGGATTAAGAGGTAATTAAGAGGTAAGAAGATACAACAAGGAGAAGACATAAGAGCTGAACTGCGAGTTTCGAAGAGAGGTGGAGCTGAGTCAATGTACTGCATATTATTGGAATGTGACACATGTACTTTGTACATAGTACGGAGTATATGGGGGTATATCAGAGGCAACTATTGTATCTGTAGGTCTTTTTTTACCTTTGGTTCTTCAAGAGAAATATTTAATTTGATTTATTTAATTTTTTTATTGATACTCAAAGGTGGATAGATACTTGATCGAGATTAGAGAGGAAGACCTTTTATATACTCGCGAAGAGTTATTTAAACCATTGTTGATCAGCTTTACATAGGCTCACGGCGAAATGGCGAAGGGAAATTAGAAAAGTCGAGTCTGTACTCTGTATTCCGTACTTCGTAGATCAATACTCTGTACGGAGTAGGGTCCACAACAATAGGAAGCTTGAAAACGCCTGGAATACGAGATCAATGGCCGTGTCTTTGAGGAGCTGATATTATAGATGGAATGATGGTTAGGGATCTGAGGACGAAGGATATTGGTTTGACGATGATGGTGATAGTTGCTTGGGGAAGAAGACTGACATTTATATATCTAAATATATTTCTGGGTATCGTCTACCCCTTAGGACACTGGAATAGGGTAAACAAGAAGCCTTTTAAGATTGGAAGAGCTGTTAAGAAATACTTATTAAACCTAACGAGGATAGCCACCTTCATCATGAAGGTCTCGGGCCTGCAACTCGAAGGTATCTAAAAAAAAAGGCTTTCGCCCGACTGGATTGGACTGTAGAAAACAAGAACACAAGAATTCATTCGTCATAACAAAGAATGATAAACCTACCCGAGTTCTCTCTTTGCAGCACTGAACTAATAATAATATAAAATATTTAATGATAGTGAGAGTACCCAGACCCAAGAAGACAAAGAATACTAACGAATGACTTCACCACCAGACTTCTCAATGCCCTCGAGGCCCTCAAGAATGTCGCTTCCACCAAAGAGTCCATAAGCAGAGCTAGTGCTGGTCCTCCTTCCAGTCCAGACCTCATGGAACTTCACAGTTTGATCACTAGATGCTACAATAATGCATCCCTCCTCCTTTGTTCGTGTGCACCACATTCCACCTTCTTTCTCCTTAGGGGTGAACATCCGAGAGCCGACCTTGCGGCCACGGGCTTGGGCTCTTTGTTCTGGAGACCTAACCTGGGTTGATGAGGTCGAAGCTGAAGATGACTGACTATCAGGTCTACTGGAATGTACGCCCGAGAAACGAGTGGCTTTCCCTGGATACCGCACTGCCCACAGTGCTCTTCCGCAGTCAAAGTTGCTAACTCGAGTGTCGGGACCTTCCCAGGTAGTCCCATATGGCCCCCAGGGAATAACGGCCACCTGTGCGCAGCTGGGCCAGGCAAAGACGGCGACTCGAAATGGGTGATCTGGCTGTGCATAACCGAAAGTGGCAGCGATCTCACGTCGAGTTTCGCTCCATATAAGACTGGTCACCTGCGCGAAGACGTTGATGGTTGCGAGACAGGCTCCGCTCCGGGTGTGATAGAAGTGTATAGCTCTGTCGTTGGTACCTCCCCCCGTCGCGAGCAGAGATGACTGCCATGGCGCAAATGCAATTGCTTTGACCGCAGCAGAGTGGACTAGGCGATGCTTCTGACGGCCGTATGGAACCAGAATCGTTCGTCCACCACCGGAAATTAGAGTACCTGCATGGTTTAAAAGCACGGCTGCAGGTGGAGGCTTAATTGGAGCAGCAAGCCATGATGGGAGAGCAGGTCGTCTAAGAAACAGCCGTCTTGTTGCGGTGCCCAGAGCAAGGTATGGAAATACACCGAGGCTGAAGCTGCTAGGGGAATCCGGGGGCGTAATGGATCCGACTGTATGATTCAAATGCCGTGGCGGAACAATCTCGGCCAGTTCAAAGAGAAGGCAGACATTGTCATTACCGCCAGTGGCAAGGTACTTATCATCGGGTGACCAGGCCAGTCCACATATTTGTTGGGTGTGTGCACTGATTTTGGCAAGAAGCGTCATGGACCCGTTCCATTTCCACTTAGCTTGGGCTTTTTTCTCAGACCACTCGACTGAATAGTACCATATATTTCCAAAGTCATCACCAACAACAATCTCTTCCACGTTGACTTCCACATGCATGAGCCGTTCCGAAAGTCGTCGTGATGTTCTCGGTTTGAACGACACGCATGTAAGGGTACTGGGATGACTGATCTCAAACCGGGCTTGCTTCTCGAATGTGCTCCATAGAGACAACTGACCAGACCGCCGAGCCACTGCAAGAATGCTTCGCTCGCCATCCTCGGAAGAAAACGACAGGGAGGTCACATAATTTGAGGGGTGCAAATCTGGAAATGGGGGATAATCCACTCCATGACCTTCAGACCAGAGATATACTTGATGGCCTAGGCCCACAGCCAGTATCCCAGATGTTGTTGAGTATGCAAGAGTACTACAGTAAAAATCATCCCGAAGGAAGGGAGCATCAAGGATTCGAAAAGGCTTCGGTGGAACAACTTCTTTTCTGGCAGGAGATCTGGGCCCTGGGAAACAATCTGAGTCAGTTGATCTCCCAGAGAAGGTTATTGATACCGCCAATCCCATAATCTCCAAAAGCTGTATCAAAATATCATATATGTTTTCTCTGTAGATGGTAAATTTATTCCAAAATCAGGGTCAGGGAGTGACTGCTGTAAAATACAGCTGCACTTACAACGCTCCTTTTCAACTTTCTTCCAAGCACTGTCCTTCCACACAAATGGAGAGAGGCGTTCGAAGTCTGGAGATGCTGGATTGAGGGGAGCATCCAGATACCGCATGCAAGTACCTAGCTGTCTAGTCGTCGGGTCAATTCCCAAAGCAAGTGCAAGCCTCGACTCATGGATCTCTTGTTCACTGTATTTAGGTTTCTTGGGTAAGAACCGAGCCACAAACACTGGGGCAATCGATGATCCATTGGTCAAAGTAGTCGGCGTGTCATCAAGAGCCGCAACAACGGAATTACTAAGGACGGCAGAAGTTCCACCAACGTTCCAGACTGCCCCGGAGCTGACTTGCCTCAAAGATCCATGTGCAGAATTGTTGACTGTGATATTCGGTTCAGTGACTAGACGAGGCCTTTGATGTGGGATCCGTTGGAGTCGAGTTGACTGCTGGGGTCTGCTGGCAGCATGAGTCCCGCGCAGGCTTGAGGATAAAAATGGATCATCCCCGGGCGGAAGTCGCCGAAGTAGTCTCTCTTGAGGCGAAAGACGCTGAGGATGCTTGGCCACATGAAAGGTTGTTGATGTTGGTTCCACGAAGTCTCGCTTTGGGATGAATCTATCAGGCGAGATTGGACTCCGGAAGGAGCTTCTTGCTACTGCTGCATTTCCAGTGTTTCTCACTCTGCTGCGACCTCTTTTGGGTGATGAGTTCCGATTTTCTTTGGAACGGGGGACGAGTGTTAGAATAGGTTGGGCCTTGGGCTTCCTTGACAATGATGATTGAGAAGTAGGTGTTTCAAAGAATGGCAAATTGATTGTTGCAAATTCAGTCAATTGGATAGGCCCACTGTCTGTGGAAGACTCGGATTGAGAGTGTGAAGTCAACGGATGTTTGTGACTGGTTAGAGAGGTTTCCCCAAAGGAGTGACTGCGCGTATCTACCATTTTTCTGGATGCAGGTCGATAAGCTGTATATGAGTAATGACCTAGAGCTAAGAAAAGGAATGTATAAGGAGGCCTCTCATTCAAGGCATAGCGGCAAGACGAGAAGGGCGAAGCAAAGCCAGCTTGCAAAGTAGAAAGCGTGCTGGTCACGTGAAGCTATACAACCCTTCCAACCTTGGAAGGAACCTTGGTCGGGGCCTCGGGCCTCAACCAGGGAGGTTACGTAAGCTACCCACCCCCTCATGCACCAATGAGATAATTCTACTGCGTACTTGACATCTGATCAACACGAAGCAAACTACCCGTGGACCTAAGTAACACATTTTGCTTATTTCTTATTGTCAAACAAAGAGTGGAAATGCCCAGTGTAAGATTACCTCTCTAAAGTTGTATCGTTCTGGGGCTGACGATTGCGATAGCATGGTGTGCCACGGTACAAACCCGTTGAGAAGTCCGCCGAGGCAAGACAGCAAGAGTTGCAGAAGATAGAAAGTTACAAGGATCTCGAGCTTTCGGTATCCAAAAAGGTTAGCAATCTTATAGATCCAGCCTACAAACAGAATCTGACACAAGACAGGTGGCTGAGCATGAGTACACAATCGAGACCTTGAAGAAGATCTCGGAGCTGTTGTCTAGCAATCCAGAATACTACACAGCCTGGAACTACCGCCGGCAGGTACTACAGTATCAATTCTCCCAAGCAGGAGGCTTGGATGATGAAACTGCTACCTATTCAGTCACACAGTTAATCATTAACGATTTACATTTCCTGATTCCTCTTCTCCGGAGTTTCCCCAAGTGTTACTGGATCTGGAACTATCGTTTATGGCTGTTAGATGAGGCTCGCCGTCTACTACCCCTTCCTGAAGCCCAGCAAATCTGGCAGCAAGAACTTGCCCTTGTGGGTAAGATGTTGACTCTTGATAGCCGGAATTTCCACGGGTGGGGTTATCGACGCTTCGTGGTTGAGACGTTGAAGGAGCTTGGCACTGCCGAAGAAGCAAAAAATATGACACAGAAGGAATTTGAATATGCGACGAAGATGATTGGCGCCAATCTTTCCAACTTCTCTGCGTGGCATTACCGGACAAAGCTTATTCAATCGCTTTTGGATGAGCAATCTGCCAGTGATGATGATCGGAGAAGAATGTTGGATGATGGTTTGTCTACCCTGTCTTATCAAGTCTGTCTTATGCTAATCTTTTTTTCTCTTCAGAATTATCTCTAATTCACCAAGCATTTATTGATCCTTACGATCAGTCACTTTGGTTTTATCACCAAAATTTGATGAGCGTGTTTGACCCATCGATGGCCGAGCGAACTATGGCTCCAAATTTGAGCCCCTCCGACCGGCTGGAATACATTAGAAATGAGATTGAAGAGATTCAGGAGATGCTGGACGGGGCAGAAGACTGCAAATACATCTACCAGGCATTAATTGAGTGCACGCTTCTTGCATCCAAGGTGGAAGGTAGCTTGTCTTCTGAGGACCGGGAGCAGATTCTGAGCTGGCTCTCAGAATTGAAGAACCTGGATCCATTGCGACGAGAAAGATGGCTTGATTTTGAGAAGACCCTAGGAAAATAAATAGTTACATACCCACATAGTATGCATACATGTTGGACTATTTATTTATTTGTTTATTGACCCCTTTACTCAGGTGAGAGAGCCATGTTGTACTATGTACGGAGTAACTAGTGGCGCCATAAAATATTGAATCCCTAGAAAACTCCAGATTGCCATGAAGACATTCTTTTAAAAGCACACTAACCCTAATATACATAGAGATGAGAACAATAAATCCAGCCTGAACGTAAACGTGTACATATGTACTCCGTAGAATATAGCAAATGCCATTCCGGGCAACGCCTCCAGCCTGTCGGTTCCGCCCTGAGGCGCCAATCAGCGGCGAGTGTACCTGGCAACTCGAATCAATCACTTGAAACTCGCCAAATTCCCTAAATTCCTCCCTCATTCCATATTTTTTTTTACTTTCTCGCAGATTTGGCTCCCTTGAGATCATTGAATCTTAGCTCTTTTGAGCCTCTGCTCTTTTGCGATCCTATGGGGTGTTCCATCTTCTGATTGTTGTGAGGTCATCTAACAGCTATGGCCGACATGTCTACGCCTACGAAACACAGTCCTGAATATGAAGTGGTAAGTGGTTCAGATCCAAATTTTTCCAAAACCCGGCTTGCTTTAACATGAGCTCATCGCCATCTGAATAGGAGTCTTTTGACGACGCCCTTGAAACAGCCCCAATCCAGGAGAACAACAGCCTCGACGTCACCATCCCCAAGTCCACCTCCACCCGATCATTGACCGATAGTCCTCCAATTGGTTCAAATATGTCTCCAGAATTGACGGAAAAACCTCCGTTCCCTTCTGAATCGCAGGCCGAGAAGAAGACCGAGACAGCCGAGGAGCAGGAGACGGATGGCGAGGGGCAGGATGGACAAAATGACAAGAAAAATAAGGAGAAGAACGAGGAGAAAGAAAATAAAAAAATTATAGGAATGGGTACCGACGATGAAATTAGCTATAACACCAACAACGAGGTGAAGACCGCGATCGATGAGCCTACCCACGGCGACAAGCCGGAGCAAGGGCCCGTGTTTACGCAGACCGAGGTAGAGAAGAACGAAGAAGATCACGGTCAGAGCCCACTGCAGAAGTCGCCTCTACTCACATCCCACCGTTTATCAACATCATCATCACTCGACGAGGTGAACCTCATGAACAGCAAGGAAGACGAGCCGACAGACAAGGCACAGAGCCCACGGGACAAAACAGGACCGCCTCCGTTGCCCCCCAAGAACGACCCCACCCCTCCGGCAAGTGCAGGGTTGATGGGCCTGTCGGGTGGCCTGCCCTCAGTCCCATGGGCCGCTCCTCCAGTGAACAAGCATCCACCTGTTCCCCCGCCAGCCCCTGCTCGAAAGCCCAGTGGCCCCTTTGCGTGGTTCTCCCGAAGCTCAACCTCGACCAATGCTAAGGACATCAAATCCCCATCCCACTCTGCTAGCAGACGCAACACTGCCACCTCTGTATCGACCCTTGCCAGCAACCTAGACCAGATCGTTCGTGATGGCGACGATATCTCGAGCGTCGGCTCAAAGAAGCCGAGACGCAACAGCCTGAAGGATCAGTTCAAGATGCTGCGGCTGCGCGAGGAGAGCCATGCGCCAGAGGTCGACCAAACGAGCGTGCGATCGGGCCAGGCCAGCGTCAGCCAATCTGGAGCTAGCCCCCCTATCATCCCAGAAGAAGGAGAGGAGGGCATGTTCGCAGTATCAGGAGCCATTTCACCTTCGATGGCCCCTGCTCCTGGGAGAACGGGTTCTGTGACTGATGCTTCCATCCCGGTGGACTGGGAGATGTGGCAGCAGCTTGTGAACAACGGACCCCAGGCCTTGGCAAGCTCAGAGGAACTGAATGCCGCCATCAAACGAGGTATCCCTCAAACAATCCGAGGAGTGATTTGGCAAATTTTGGCGGATTGCCAGACTGCTGATATGGAGGACACCTATCGAGAACTCGTAGCGCGTGGGACAGCACAAGACAAAGATGGACGAACAATAAATGGGACTGAAACTACGTCCTCACGCTCTTCAGTCCATTCCCATCACTCGGGTTCTGGATCACGGTCTAGCAGCGCTGCCCGTAGCCCATCTTACGAAGGAGATACAGATAAGCTGTCTAAGGAACATGCCTCCAATGATGTCGACCGTCTAAGGAAAGCAAAGACAGACGCTGTTGCGCTGCAAAAATTGGAGAAGGCCATTAGGCGAGACCTGGGTGCTCGCACTAGCTACGCAAAATACTTTGTTTCCCAGGGCAGCCAAGAAGGCCTCTTTGGGTTATGCAAGGCATACGCCTTGTATGATCCAGGAGTTGGATACGCGCAAGGCATGAACTTTATTGCTATGCCATTGTTGTTCAACGTGAGTATACCCCTAACTAAGCTGACTGAGCTCAAAGGCTAACGTTCTACGTAGATGGACGAAGTCGATGCTTTCGCCATGATGGTCAAGCTGATGAACAAGTACTCTCTACGAGATATGTTCATTCAGGATATGCCTGGGCTTCACCGTAGCCTATACCAATTCGAGCGACTTCTAGAAGACCTAGAGCCTGCTCTCTACTGCCATCTCCGGCGCCGTGGAGTTCCTCCTCAGCTCTATGCAACACAGTGGTTTTTGACACTGTTCGCCTACCGTTTCCCGCTTCAACTGGTGCTTCGTATCTACGACCTGATCTTCGAAGAGGGACTAGAAACTACTATCCTTAAATTCGGTGTTGCGATCATGCGACGAAATGCAGATACGCTGCTTGAAATGAAAGACATGAGTGTGCTCACTACTTTTTTGAAAGAGCGTTTGTTCGATGTCTACATCGATAAGCAGCCATCCACCTCGTCGATATTAGAGTCAGGCTTCTTCGGAAGTTCCGGTGCTGCCGACAAGGAGATCTACCGATCCGACATCATGGTGCAGGACGCCTGCGCTATTCCCCTCACATCCGAGATGCTTGCCGCGTATACCACTGAGTGGGAGGAAAAGACTCGGACTGAGAAAGAGCGCGAAGTCGAGCTGGAACACTTGCGACACACCGTGAGCACGCAGGGCGCGCGTGTCCGACTTCTTGAGGAACGTGCCGAAGCATCAGACAAGGAGCATGTGCAATTAGCGTCTGAACTGGTGCATGTCAAAGTTGATAATGAGGAGCTGCGTGACCTCAACGAAGCGCTGCAACTCCAGGTCACCGAACTCAAGAATGTGATCGACAAGCAGCCGGTGGAAGTGGAGGAGAAGCTCCGTCTAGAAATGGAACGCATCATGGCGCGGAACCTGGAGGTGCAAAACGAGAACCGTGCGATGGAGGAAGCCATGTCCGAGATGGAGAAGGAGTTGGTTGCTACGAAAATGAAGTGGGCAGAGGTAAGATATCCCCTTCAATATTCAGCGTGAGACGCCGAGACTGACGAACCAAAACAGATTTCCGAGAACCACGAGAACCTCCGCCAGAAATGGAGTGACCTCCGTCGTGCCCTCGACTGATCATATCGCCGCTTTTATTATTACTCCACCTCTCGACCCCGGATAGCATTATCCGGTTCTGTATGTATATTTGGAATGCGCAGATGTGGTAGCGAGGATCTGTGATCACGTCCTATCCTGCGCATTTGTACCATGCTTATGGGCCGGGTCATTTGGATTTGTCCTACTTCCCCCCGTTCTGAGCCAATGTTATGATTTGCGCCTCCCTCTTTTACGACCATCTTTGGTGTTTCCCTGTTTCTCCAAGCTCTCAGCATGCCATTTTTGGAAGGCATCGGTGTTTTGCTGCCTGTTGAATTAGTGTGTGTATGTCTATATCCGATCCTCGGGCAGGGCGTACTAGACGTATGCAATGTACATCATCAATGGACTTTGTTCTCTTATTATCTAGCCTCTGCATGTGCCAGCTCTACCTTAGCTCTATACTCTCTTTATACGAACAAGTTCAAAACATGCACAAATCCCAAGGTCTCTAAATTCTCAAATCCATTACAGAATATTCTCATAGTAAGTCATCAACACATCCTCCCTGACAGGCCCAGCACAAGCCTTGAGAGCCTTGTGCGCCTCACACTCGTTATCATAGTACTTCATATCATCCAAAGAGGCAAAAGTTGTCTTGACAGACAAGTTGAATCCCTTATTGCGAGGATCCGGGAACGAAGCGCCAACAGCAGCAGCGAGAATGTAGGGCTTGCCGTCCTAAAAAAAGAAAATACCCGTTAATAAGGATTCAGTTGCGCTTCATTCTGAACACTCCTTCCTCTCCGAATGGATAGGTAGTACAACATAGTATGTACCTTAAACAGCGCGGACTGAGCATGGCCAGGAATGTGAGAGACAAAACGTGCTCACCTTTGTAGCGGTCTTTGAAAGAACCTTGTACTGCTCCAGTACGCGGTCGCGATCTGCCTCGTTGGGGATCTTGAAGAGGGTGATTCGCTCGATAGGGGCCATTGTTTTTGTGAGGGTATGGAAAGAGGTGAGGAATCGGGACATTGGAGGGGTTATAGGGGAAATATATATTGGTTTATATGGCGGGGTTAGTGGTTAATAATATCAATTGGTGACATTGTTCCTGATACTTCCGTCGGCTTGTGGGGTGAAGAGCCGGAGTAGACCCGTTGATTCATATGATTTGTTTAATTAATCCGGGATTTTCGAGGAGTAGGTTGGTACTCATGGTGTTGACCTTGATTGACCTTTATATATCCTATAACTCTCTCTTTAATGCCTGTCTCTTCAATTGAGATGTTTCCTTGCTTTGTGAGTAGGCGGAATGGTGTTGGTTGGAGAGCGCACAATTTCCGCGGGGGTATTTGATGTGCGGAATGCCCTGGGATATCGAAAGATGATTGGTATTTTATAGGCGCGTAGGATAAATATTTAAGACCTAGGGAGCCTATCAGGTTCACTTATGCCCAGAAGATTGACTAAAGTTCTTGGATTAGATCGATATGACACCTCTCTCATACCAATTTTAATCATTTCATGATGGCATCGAACCTTCGCTTGGAAAAAGACAAAAGCAAATGGAAGGAAGATCAAAGATTCAAAAATGAATAATAGTTACAGATTTCCACGCAGATCCTGCTCTCTTTCAAAAGCCTCGAACAAACTCTTGAAATTCCCAGCCCCAAACCCATTAAATGAATTCCGCTGTATGATCTCTATAAACACTGTTGGCCTATCCCCGACATGCTTGGAGAAGATCTGAAGCAGGTATCCACGCTCGTCGAAATCAACTAAGATATTCAGCCGCTCGAGTATATCTATATCGGCTCCAAGCGTCCAGGACACTTGTGTCAGGCGCTTTCGCAGATCGGCATAGTATATAGCTGGCACACTGAGGAACTCGACACCGCGCGCTTGGAGCCCAGTTACGGCAGTGACGATGTCGTGCGTGCGGAAGGCTATGTGCTGCACTCCAGCGCCGTGGTAGTAGTCGACGAATCTGTGAGCATTAGAAAGATTGGTACATATGGTGGGGTAGAGCGGACGAGAGAGAACCAAGGGGGAAAAAAGAAAGAAACAAAGAACAGGAACAGGTTGCGTACTCTTCAATCTGTGATTTCTTCTTGCCGGTTGCGGGCTCGTTCATAGGCATCTTGATTGTTTCGTTTGGTGAAGCGACAACAATTGATCGCATGGCCGAGTACTCGCTGCACATGTCTTTATCGTCGACCGTCCAGTAGCGATGGAAGTCGAGGCATTCCTCGTAACTAAAGCTCAGTTGTTAGAGCAACAATTCCAACAAGGACAACATTTATTTTACTCACTATTGGACAATGCGGTCCACTCCCTCCCACGACTGATTCCCGACACAGTGGTCAATATCAATAAGGTCAATGGGTGGCAGAAGCTGTGTGATCGGATCTTCATTATCAAGCACTCGATACCCTGGCAAGAAGGGAGCGTCTGCTGAATACCGCTCACGATTCACCAGAGAATGTACGGTATCCCCGTACGTCCCAAGAGTTGCAGAGACGATCCACCCATGCCCCTCGACAGCAACCGTCTGCGGCTCGGCGATAGCGCGAGCACCATTCCCTACAGCTCGCTTCCATACATTTTGTATATCTCCCGCGATCCGGAACGCGACATCCTTCACCCCGTCGCCGTGTATGGTCAGGTGCTCATGGATCTCAGCCAGCGTCGTCCGCTCATCATTCGAAGCTTGGCGCAAGAGACTGTCTTCTGAGCCTTCATGTGGCGGGCCACACACTGGCCCCGTAAGAATGAAAGTAGCGTCACTATTGGCCACAGCATAGCTCACGAGATAGGGTGAACCGGTTTCTGGGCCGCGGTATGCAATGGGACGGAAGCCCATGCGAGTGATCCAGTATGAAGCGGCTTGTTTGGGATTGCCGACATACCAATGGATATGATCGAAGCCGACATATTCGGGGCCCATCTTCGCGGGAAAGATGTCTTCATTTTCAGGGATGGTCATGATTGCTGCTGTTGAATATGGCTGCGCTGGTATCGGTACAGGTGTGGACCGGGAAGCATGTCACCCCCTTGGTAGCTGTTGGTGCCGGTATAAATTGCAGGTAAGATATTTATGAGTGATTTTGAAGACAACTGGGACAGGTTTGTGGGAAAAGAAAGAGAAGGGCCGCTAAAAGGGATCCCTGCCCAGACGTGTCACATTCCAAACCCGCATCTCCGGATCCAAGAGCACAGGATCTATCTAGATAAACATATGAGGCAATGCTGAAGTCATCCATCCATGTAGACCGGCCATTCCACATTTTTCTTGGATGTTCCGCTGTCTATAGGCTGCTGGCCGCTGTATGGTAACACAAAGCTTTGTCCTGGGGAACCTTGGTATGTTCGAATTTAGGTCTGTATACCCGTAGAAGCCGGTTTTGCACACCAATGAGCCCTGGAGGTCAATGCTGTAGAGAGAAAGCCGCTCTTCTCCGTAGCCAAGTGTGAGGTCATGTTCAGATGGGCTGACCATGCATTGTAACCTTTCATTCATGTCATGCAACTCCAGTATGTTGACTTCAGTATGTTGCACATAATACATGCCATCTCTAGTAGATCCCACCTCGCCAGTTTATTCGATTCCAATGCAAGAGAGTAAAATCTCCAACCCAACTCAATCAAACATTGGTCACGGGCTCTGGCCGACTCTTAAAGAAGATCTTATAGCGCACAATCTCCACAACCTCCAGTTCCTCGCCCTCTGACGCTTGACGTTTTTGTAGCACAGCAATCGGCCGTGGCAGCTTCTTAACTTCCCCAGTCATCCGCTGATACCGGCCGACATACATGTAAGCGCGCTTCATCCATTTTGTATCGTCTGGGTTGTGGACCGAGTAATCTGGGAACATGAGTTTCCCGATCGGAGTTTCGAATGTGGAGGCCGAATCATTATCCATAGATGTAGAGTGGTCTATGTCATATTCGTCTTCACTCCCTGAGGGGACATTGATTGTGCCCTGGAGCTCGAGAAGGGCTAGGCCCGAAGGTGTTTGGAGGAGTGCTGGGAGGGGATTGTTCGGCGTTGAGGCAGTTGCAGTTGCTTTTCCCGGACTCAAGCAGTGTGGTTGCAGCTTTATGGAGGGCATGGTGTATGTAGTCTTGGGTTTTCAATTTAGATGTTCAATTGGAGTTGAAGGAGGAAAACGCGAACGCGGCACGCGTGTGATTATTTCCCCACACTTCTTATCGCGAGAAAAGGGCAAAATTATCACAGAATACATTATTAGTATCATGATTTAATTGGTGGGATTAAGAGTATGCATTGCTTTAGATATATCAAATCTCAATAGTCCACTGGATTTATTCTGCAAAGGTGCGTAGCCAACTTGGTCCAAAGCAGGAATCAAGAGTGTTAAATACATTGTAGAGATAACAATTGATGTAGATTTGCTACATAGCGTGATTGGTCAACTGGAGCTTTGGGGTAATAGAAGAATTCTAGGCTGTGGCCCAGATTCGGACTTGCAACATGAGAGTGTAATAGATAACCTTTCCAAGAGAACAATTTTCGTGTAATCGTAAAGAGCAGTTAGCATGATTGACACTGCAACATAGCTCTGGAGGTAGAAAGAAGTGGACACAGCAACTGCGCGCTCGGGATTAGGATATAGAGCTCGAGACCTCAACTCTCGAAATCAGGGTTTAGACACCGAAGCGCCCGTGGTATTTTGCCTTCTGTTTGCATATCAATGTCAGCTAAGGCCATTTAATGAGAATCAACCGACGTACCCTGCGAATAACAAAACAATGCACAATGAGCCAGAAGAATAATTATCAAGAAGTACTACTCTTATAGCAAATATCTTCGAGGTTCTGCAGGCCCTTAATCGCTTCGCCAGCCACATCTTCAGCAGTCCCAGCTGGACCTTGTAATTTGCCATAACGGAGATCGCTCATATCACCCACAGTGATTTTGATCTGAGTCAAAATATTCGCAGCCTCTTGATTGATACCAGCAATTTCATGTTCAATATTAGCGCTGGCCGTCTCCATTTCAGCCAGGAGACTAGCCACCGAGTGATAATCTCCCGGCACAGTAGTTGATGGCTGGCCAAACAGATGGAAATCCATGTCCATCTCACGTTGCTCTTCAGAATTGGAGGCTTCGACTCCAGTGGCTAGGATGGCTTTTCGGAGCTCTGCTCTCTGTTTTTCACCTTGCTTGATCTCGTTGTCGATGCTCTCATTGACCCGGTCCATGTCCTGTTCTCGGACCTGTTGCAGCTCCCGATACAAAGTCCTGATATGTGGATGGGCTCTCAAGCGCTTTGGGAAGAGCTCTATGAACTTTTGCAGTGACATGACTGTTGGCAGCGGGGCTGGAGAGAGCAGGAAATTGCTTAAGATGGACTCCTCGGAGGGAGCCATGATGAATGTGTAGTGTAGTATAGTGTAGTATGTGTTTTTTTTCCCTGCAGACCCAGATATTGCAGAATATATTGTTGTTCTTCTTCGAGTGTCTTTTCCCGTTTGACGCGAACCGAAGTTGACAATAATATTCACGTGAACAAAAAGCTGACAATAGGAAGAAACAGAATATGAATAGAATTGGAATGGTATTGAAGAATAGTTCCTATTGTAATAATAATAGAGAATGTATGAATAGTTGTAAATGCATTGAATGGACAATAAGCTGCCGCGCCTAATTTTTCCCAAGGGGCCACTCTTCGCTTGATTTCCATCTTCTCCTTTGCACTCTACTACTTCATCTACTTCATCCCCAGTCCTACTTCTTCAACCTCCCTTTCTCTCTTCCAACCTCCTTTTCTCTCTTCTAAAACCTTGATTTTTTCCACTATTCCTGAGCTGGTCTCTCGTCTGGTCTAATCTTCTTCCTTCTTCAACCTTGCTGAATCAAATTTGCAGTCAAAAGCATCTTGTACTGCCTTTGTGCATCTTCCTCTTTTCCTGGTTTTGCTCAAGTCTGCAAGATCTATTTGCAGTATCACAGCCCCTAGGGATCTTTGAAGGATCTCAAGCTTCTTCTGATCATTGTGACTGTTACTGCCTCATATCACAACCCCGGGGTCTTTTCCCGTGAACAAGACAGCAAACATCTTTTCTACACCTGCAAGCTCGGAGGTCAATCTGTCATACTAACTTCAAATCCGCACATAAACCTTCTACCTTTCGACCAAAATGGCTCCTATTTCTATGTACAACAAGGACGAGAAGGTCCTTTGCTTCCACCATGAGATTCTTTACGATGCCAAGATCCTGGATGTTCGCCACAAGGATCCCAACGACAAGAAGAGCCCCTTTGAATACCAAGTCCACTACAAGGGCTGGAAGAATACGTAAGTCTGGCTCGTTTCATTTCCTTGTTTATCTACGTCCTGGCTATAGGTTTGAGATTGTTGTCTCTTCCAACCTTGGGAGTTTGTCCGGGCCATTACGGAAGACTTGACCTTGATCTATGCACTCTCTGTTATACAAAAATACCTCTTGTTTTTTACACTACATGTTTCTTGAAACCATATTACTAAGATTATTTGATTTCATGGGACTGTTTGCTAACATTTGAATAGCTGGGATGACTGGGTCCTGGAGGACCGTCTTCGCAAGCACACGGAAGACAACCGTGAATTGGCTAACAATCTGCGTCGCGAAGCTGAAGCTTCTTTCCGTCTGAAGAACACCAAGGTCCCTACCAAAAAGCGTGCCGGTTCCGACCGTGACTCTGTGCGGGACAGCGAGGAGCGCGGCTCCGTTCCCGGCCGTGGCACAAAGCGAGCCCGTGACAGTGAAATCGAAAAGGTATGCAATCACCACATCAATCTACAGAATTTGGTGCAAAAGAACCAAAATCAAGAGTGACAAAAATCCAAATGAAATATGAAAGGAATGATCCCATACTGACAACCTGCAACAGGAGGAGAGCTTCAACATCCGCCCCTCTGTCCGCATTCTCATGCCAGACAACTTGAAGTCCCTACTTGTTGATGACTGGGAGCAGGTGACCAAGAATCAGTGCGTTGTCTCTCTGCCAGCCAAGTACCCAGTCCGCCAGATCCTGCAAGACTGGCACGAGGAAGAGCTTCCAAAGCGGTCGGGCTCATCAGCAGACGAGGACGTGCTGGAGGAAGTGGTTGCCGGGATTCAGGAGTACTTCGATAAGTGTTTGGACAAGATTCTGCTCTACCGCCACGAGCGCCCCCAGTACCGTGGGCTGCGTAAGAAGTTCGAGGCTGCCACCGGGGACTTGGCCGATAAGGGCCCCATCGATGTCTACGGAGCGGAGCACCTGATCCGCTTGTTCAGTATGTATCCACTTACAGCTCACCTCACTTCCGGTTTAAATGTGAGTGGAATTGTGCTAATCCTTGCGTTTGTGTAGGCACCATGCCTGAGTTGATTGCTCAGACTAACATGGATATGCAGGCCACCAACCGCCTGCGCGAGGAGATCTCTAAGCTCTCCATGTGGCTGAGCAAGAACTCAGAGAAGTACTTCGCCACCAGCTACCTGCCGGCGGAGAGCACTCACTGAGTGAGTACGGCAAGTTCTTTGGGGGGAGGAGAGGGGGTAAGGAGGAGTTCTGTCTCTTTGTTTCGTTGCCTGCGTTGTGGTCACCCCGCCCCAACGCAGCAATTTGTTTTTAATACTTTGACTCAAGAAGCGCGGGCCTCGAGCCTGAAATACAAATCACTTTTTTTTTTTAGCTATATCTTACATATGTAATCTCTAAGAAGGCGCAGAGTATTCCAAGGTTCTCGTGGGACTTCAAAGCTACGATTTGTACCGGTAGTAGAGAGATCAACTCTTCTTACTTGGTAATTATCATGAATGCAAGCAAATAACGACTTAACCGAGAAGGAAGAAAATATAAATTCTCAACTGGATATGGATATCTTAATAGAAAACTCAATGATACCACCACTACAACTGAGTGATAGATATACCTTTCTACAGCACCACCCGCAAATATCTTGAATCAAGATCCATAAAAATAGAAAAAAAATGAAAGAAACAATTCCATAACTTGACACCTAAGCAACCAGTTGCCTTGCATCATCAACAGCACACCGCGCCGCACGCTTCAACTCACTCTTCCACTCCGCCTCACGCCACTTAACCCAAGCACTCAAACCCTCAGGCGGCTGGATACTCAGCGTATCATAGCCCTGCTTAATGATACGGTGAACCTCTCGCGGGGAGAGATTCTTTTTCTTGATTGACGGCAACGAAACCGCCGCAGGCTCATCGGCTTTAGGACTAGCAGCAGTAACAGCAGGGAAAGCTGCGCCTTCCGAATGAAAGAGGAGGGTGTAGAAGTGAGTAGACACGGATTGGAGGGTGTCGATAGCGGCTGAATGTAGCTCGTTGTTTTGGGAGATTGCGTCGGGTGTTTTGGAGGAGGCTGAGACACCTGCCACTGCGGTATTGGAACGGGACAATGCGTACGCATCGCGGTATTTTGAGATAATGGGACCTGTTTCGACAAGCTTGTAGAAGAGGTCGTCGTAGGAGGCTGGGTCTGGGAGGAAGGTGTCGCCGCCTGAAACACAGAATGCGATTAGGTCTGCGAGGGAGGTCGTGAGGGTTTGGATCTTGGGATTGCTGGTTAGGTCGGAGGCGTAGGTTGTTAGGAAGCGCATGAGAGAGAGCAGAGTCCGCCAAAGCTCGGACCAGTGGTAGGTGAGGCGGATCTTGTTCTTTGAGAGGTAGGTTAGGAGGCGGAGGGTGATTGCGATTGTGTGGCTGGGAAGATTGTTAGTTATGCCATGGCTCATAGATATAGTGAATGATTGTTTCATACCTGTAGATGTTGACATCGAGCCGTCGTCGAAGGTTGTGCGTAATAGTATCGATGACAATATCAAAGATCACTGTTGTGAGGATCCGATCTCCGCTGACTATTGGGAGGTAGGGCTGTTTCTGTCGACAGATGCGCACCTTTTTTTTGCCATCTTCACTGCAAATGTGCTTGCAGATAGTCGGGTCTTCGACCAGAATGCGAAGTGTAAACAAGTTTAATTCGGCATAATGCCCGACCCGCGGGGATCGATATGCATGTTGGAGAAGATAGGAGGACAATGAAAGGAAGCTCGAGAAAGGGGATTCTTCTTCGTTGCTTTCTGGTTCCAGATGAACCAAATGATAACCAAAGAGCTTATTGGCATTCGTGAAGTCGTATGTGGCCATCAGAATTGCGGCTTCTTGTGCCGGACTGCCAGGATTGTAAGTTTCGAATCAATGATTCGTTGCGCAGAGAACTTACAGATCAGCGAACATGGCCTTCGCTTCTTCCGCAGAAGGAGGGCTTGATTTGTCCCTGGCACCAGGAGCGAGTGCTCGTAGCCCAAAGAAAATCAATGTGTTGGTCAAATTCCAGCCCTCTGGAATATCATCCTGGACAGCAATGTAGCCGTTTCGCAGGCGATTACAGGCCATACCAACACCCTTGGCAACTTTTTTAATGCTTGACTCGTTCACAAAATCATCAAGGCGAAGCTGGTAGGGATTTTGGAATTCAAACTTGTTGTAATTGGCTAGTAGCCCCAGAAGGACGAATGGATCGAACACTTGCATCGGGGTATCAGAATCAGAAACATACTATTGCCAATTGTTAGTTATTCTCATATTCAGAAGCGAGGTAAGTAAATAAAACCTTCATAAGTGATGGGAAAAGATCCCTGTGTGTAAGATAGGAGACCAGGCTCGTTTTGTACGCTCCACTGGTCAGGGCAATGGCCGTCCTGATAGCCTTGAGCCGCACATCAACTGGAAATATTAGTATCAAATGTCATGATATCACTTAAGAAAAGAACAGACAAACATGACTTACAGCTACTGCCATTGCGGATGATTCTGTCCAAGACGGCCACGAAGTCGGAAATGACATGGTCCACTTCGTCGAGCCCTGCAAGAACAGTGATCACATCCGAACTTGGGTTTGTGTATTTCTTGCTCAGAATGCTCGTCAAGAAAACAGTTAATGTCTGTGAAATGAGGTTAGAGAATATGTCCCGGATATTGATCAGGGGGTTCATACATCTAGTGCATAAGAAGCTGCCGGCGCGGCCCCCGCTGCTGCCTCGCGAGTGGCACGAACAAAGAAATGCTGAGTTTGGACCTAGTGATTGCATCAGCTGTTTGAGTTTATTTTCTGGGGCGCTTTCTATATCATGTTTTACCTGTAGACCGATTGTTTCGTCTGGACTCAAATGGTCTAGGATAGCATGAAGTTGTTTCCGGTCTGGAGGTAGCAAGAAGAGTTCCCTCCAAAAGCCCTCCGAGGGCTCTATATCATCTGCCGCCTATCAAAATTATGTTAGAAATATCACATAAAGTCATGTTCTGTCCGTACTTTGAAGAGATTCTCATAGAGCTGGACAATCTTGGGTTTGAAGGACTCGGGTCTACTCTGTTGGGTGAGGGGTGAGTAGTCCATGGTATTAGACAAGATGATCTGCAGCGGTTAGATCGCCAGCATTAGAACCCAAAGAGTAAGGTTAATTTAAAGTCGAGTTGATTCGATTGCTTCGAGGTTCATGAAAAAGGGACACCAGCCACTTTGTCAGCCGATCCAGCCACATGTCCTTTACACTTGACAATGTGTTTACACTCTTGAGATAAATAAGAAAGGACTAATTTTGAATACATTTTGTATACTAAATCTGTGGATCTATACAGCCCATAATCTACATTTTGATACTATTCCCCGCCACTTAACTGCATTTGGAGGTGTGGCATCCCCCATGAGGGGTGAGCCAGGTTTCTCCGAAGAACGGAATTCCCGAGGTCCTAGATGACTCAGCTTCCGAAAAACGCATTGGATGACAACATTGGAATCTGAAAGGCTAGGTCATTTTTACCTGAGTCAGATTGAATATCTGGGGCAAAGACGAATCAGCTGTTGTCTCGGTTTCTCTTTTTGATTAATCTATAGTTAGTCAATGATTTAAAGCCTCCCGAGGCCGAGGAATGGCGCCACTACTGCAACAGCTGGTGTGTGTAGAAATTACTCGACGCTGATTGGCTAGATATGCGTCATGCACCTACCTTACATAATCCACCCGGGGCCACGGGGAATCTTCAAAACAGTCAGAGATTCTTCTTTTTGCCTTTGCTAGTTGATCCTCTCTATACCACCATCTTTCTCACACAATATTCTATAAAGCAATAGCAATTTTTGCTGAGATTCACTCCCATTTCATATTGATTGCACCTCGACCATGAGCTTCTGTACCGCCATGCAACGTCCAGTGACATCATCCGCCACACTCCTGCGATGGGCGAAGCCCTCGGCAGGATGTCTGCGTTCTTTCTCGTCATATGGAAACGCTCACCTATCCTCCAAGCGGGATATGCAAACCGCAACTGCTTACCGTCCGCATTCACTCCCATCCTCCTTCCCGCCTCCCCGAAGCATGGGCGGCGCCGATACTTCCATCTCAGCTGAATTCCCTCCTTCCGATATGAGATCTTATCAACACACACCACAAAGTACAATGCCCAATATAAGCCTACGGGAAGGCGAAGCGCAAAAATCAAGACCGACTTCCGCTTCTCCGTCCGCCTCCAAGACTTCCCCGAAGCCCCGTCGCCCGCTTCGGGCAAGAAAGGCAGCCCTGAAGTTGTCCCCAGTAGCCACCGAGCAGCTTCGGAAATTGATGGCACAGCCGGAGCCAAAGTTCATTCGAGTGGGTGTCAAGAACCGTGGCTGCTCGGGCCTCGCCTATCACCTAGAGTACGTGGAGAAGCCAGGGAAATTCGATGAGGTTGTTGAGCAGGATGGCGTGAAGGTCTTGATCGACAGCAAGGCTTTGTTCAGCATTATTGGCAGTGAAATGGACTGGCAAGAGGATAAACTGAGCAGACGATTTGTTTTCCGCAACCCCAATATCAGTATGTGGCCGCTGCAAAAATTGCATCTATCTTAGATTCGGTTTACTGACTCATGATTACAGAGGAAGAATGTGGCTGCGGCGAATCTTTCATGGTTTAAACATACAGCTTGAAGATTCCTTTTGATATATTTCTTGTACGGGACCTTTCGGCGTCTTTCTTCTCGGTGCATCGGACGGCGTTTTCAAAGGGGGTTTTGGGATTCCACGACTACCCTTTTGTTTCAGTACATACGCTTGATATCCAGTTGATACCTTTCTTGACCTTTTTTCTGCATTTTCTACTACGCCTCGTGGTCACTGTGGGTTCCTATAAGCTCCCAAGTTTGCGGGCCATACCCAGAGACAGGCTAGAGGCTCAGCCAATGAACTGTTCATTTTTTTTTGTTTTCTGCAGGGATCTTCTTTTGAAACCTTGCAAGATCAACCGTGTGATATCTTTCTTTGTAGATTAGTCCGAGGGACATTGATGATGACATGTGACATACTTAACTCAAAAGGATCACAAATTTTACTATAAGCGCTACTTCCTCGTTTATTCGTTCTCATTAGCCTTCCAGGGTTGTAGAAAAGTGATAACATACCTACTTTGTGTAGGTACAAGGAATAGTTCCAACTTGGGATAAATGTGTCACCTGACGGGATGTGGCCCAACCTTGGAAGGCAACTCTGGGGGCTTGGAATGGGGTAAGTGCCTCATCTCCAACTTGAAATACACCACCAGTCCTTGCTTGTATATAGCCGCCTCAATCCATTCCATATGAAAGCACAGGATTTGAACCCTACCTAAAATATGGCCTCACCTTTTCTCTCTCCATACGCAGTAGGCGAACCAGACACAGACCCGCTCCTCATCACCGTCCGCTTCTCCGCCTCGATCCCCGACCTCCAACTAGATGTCACAGATCCGGAGACCACGACAGGCGCAGGTCTAAAGCAACTAATCCGAGCCGAACTCCCCAAAACCCTATCATCTCACCGACTACGCCTCATCTACTCCGGCCGCGGTCTCGAAGATACGGCCGCATTAACAGTCTCACTAAAGCTCCCGCCACCACCAAGCCGGAGCCCTCACCCCACAGCAGACCAGCCTGACACACTAGACGACAATGGCAAGGGCAAGCAGGCGGTGCACGATACCCGCCCACGTCTCTACATCCATTGCTCGATCGGTGACATCGCACTCTCAGAACAAGACCTAGCCAGTGAAGCAAGCGTGGCATCAACAGCCCTTCTGCAACAGAAGCAGCAGCAAGCCCACGCAGGCAAGAAATCTCACGCCAAGGATGCTTCATCTCTACTCCCAATATCTGAACAACCGCGCCGCCACTCCCAAACCCAACCCCAGTCAACTACCACCACACCTGCACCCCGCGGCTTCGATCGCCTCCTCTCGGCGGGCTTCACAGCAGCTGAGGTCACCGCTCTGCGCTCCCAGTTCCTGGCCATGCAGTCCGTATCCAGGACGCCGGATACTATGCCTACTGGTGACCAGCTGCGGGATCTTGAGGACCGCTGGATGGATGAGGGGTCGACGGCAGCGCAGGTGCAAGGTGGGGAAGGGGGTGGGGTTGGGGATGATGAGGGCGGGATTGGATCTGGGTCGCGTGGGGCGATGGATGATATGCTTTGGGGGGCTGTTATGGGGTTCTTTTGGCCTGTTGGTTGTGCGATGTGGTTGCGCAGAGAGGAAGGAGTATGGAGTTGGAGGAAGGGGGTTGCTGTTTGTGTCGGTGTCATTGTTAATGCTGCTTTTGGGATGATGAAAATCATGAACTGAGGGTCTTAAATATGTGTTTCTCTCTTTGATTATTTGGCGTTGTGAGATACCCCCCAATTGAAACTATTTAGTACATTCTGATAAAGACTCTTGGCCTGTTGACCGTCGTATTAGAGACTGGGATTGCTTGGACTAGAGACCTGGGTCTAGCTGTATCAAGGCTTGCCGGATGCTATGATACATAATGGCAAATATGCGCGCGAGAGAGACAATAGCCTTACTAATGTAGACGTAAGAGTAGAAAATAAAAGGACATGAAAGATTAGACCGAGTATACAAACGCCAGCGTGAAACCCAAGCGCTAATGGAACTTGCTGAAGATGACAGCGAAAATCAAAAGAATCAGAACAGTAATGATAGCAATGGTGATCATCCGATTGGTAGCCATCCTGAACAACACACGAGAGGTCAGCAAAACCGTCTATATGAATATTAGAACGAGACAAAGGGGGGTCAGTACCTACGGGCCATGCCCCTCAGAGTCTTGATACTAGTATCAACGTAGCCCTCACTCTGCTGCAAATTATTCCGAGCATTCGAGATCTGCTCCCTCTGCTCATATAGGGTGCCGAGTGTGCCGCGAGCAATATCCTCTGTCTCCAGTGCCATGCGCTGACTTTGCTGCAGCCGCGCTGAGCTGCGCTCTAGCCGGTCTGTACCGGAAAGCAACTGCTGTCTTTGTTCGAGGTGCTCATCCTGCGGCTCGTCGGTGTACCGGTCGCCGAATAGTGCTTGCCGGTCATCCGAGAGGGACTTGAGCTTGCGCTTGACCTCATCGATGTCGGTTGAGTAGTTACGGAAACGGATGTTGACTTTTGACCGGGCTGCGGATGGGATGTTCTGCTTTTCCATGCGCATTTGGTCGAGCTGGATGGGGGACCGATTGGGTTAGTTGTCTTATTCTTGCGGTTGTTCGTTGTTCTCACATTGTGGCGCATGAGAGTGGGTTAGGGGCTCGGTGAACTCACTAGTTCTGTTGCTTCTTCGAGGACTTGTGTTGCGTTGCTGATTGCTGATTTCCGTTGCTCGCCGCTTGCTTCGGCGATCTGGTCCAACTTCTGGTTTAAATCGGCTTGCACCAGCTTCAACTCATTCTCGTAGCTGGCGAACATCTCCGAGCCGGTGTCTGTGTTTAGGTTTGCCATGGCGATTGTATGATATGTGTTCTAGCTTAAGTGAAAGTGAAGATATGCTGTCTGCAATGGCGGTTGATGTGTTGATGTAGGCTCCACCTTTATCTGGGGCAGGTGACGCTGTTCAATAGCGCTGAGTGGCGGTTTGGTCAATGAATCGTTCAAGGTTGTTAGGGTGCTTTGCTTTGCGAACAATGTAGACTAGTTTTCCTAGAGTAATAGTGAACACAAAGAAAATACTTAAAATAACTAGAGGTGCTGATAGGAGTAGCCAACGTTGGAACAGGAACGGTGACGGTGAGACGCACGTGATTCATCTAAGCTACATTTGCGGTATGCAGATGATCTCAACATACTCCATACACTATTTTGGATCTACAACCATTTATCTTCCAGAAATAGGAATATTCGGAAATAGAATTTGATACATAGCATTAGCATAACACCAGACCCACACAAAACAATTCGCCTTTTCAATAAACATCCAAGATACCCCTTTGGTATACAAGATCATGGAACTTTCTCCAGCCCCATAGCCACTTATGACAGGAAATTCTTACTATCCTGATCAACAATGATTGCGCTACGCTTGGCATCCAGGAAGAGGTCTTCGCACTCAGCGATGTCAGCCTCCTCAATTGCGCCGGGACGGCCATTAACTCGCGAGAGAATGCTTGCGGGGGTCAACAACTGCAGGGCATACCGCAAGCTGACCTTGCTGCCATGCTCAGAGACCTTGTTCAATGCGGGTTCTGTGATATTGAGGCCTTCGATCTTGGCGCGCAGCCGGATGATAGTCTTGATCTCCTCGGGGGAGTAAGGGTTGGTGGGGATGATAAGAAGGCGGGCAAGCAGATCAGGGGGAATACCGTGTGCGGCGCTGATTTCGTGGGTACCACGGATAACGGTGTGACCGCGGTTGGAAGCGAGGATGACGATCGGGGAGATGGACGATTCGAGGGCACGGTTCAGATAAGTGAAGCACTCAATGTCGAGCATGTGCACCTAGAGGAGAAATGGGGTTAGAAACGTGATTTAATAATGCACAGGATAAACTTCTACACGTACCTCATCAATGAAGAGAACACCGGGAACCAACTCGGCGACACCCTGGTCAATGTACCGGTTGACAACCTTATTGATTTCCTGGCGCAATTTGTCCGTGATTTCCGTCTTCTTGGGCTTCATCAACTGACCCATCATACTCATCACATCTTGTCCGCCCTGGGGTCGGGCATTTGCCATATCCAGGTCGTGAAGGGTCACATCCTGAACAATCTCCTTCTTCTTGTGAACCTCGCCCTTGGGGACAGGCACGTACTCCTCAGCCTCAAGATCGAATTCGGTCGCATAGGCATCGGATCGCCCGACTCGCTTGCATGAGCCTGTATTGGCTTCAATGTAGATGACATCTCCGACTGTGACACGCTCCTTCTGGATGGCTTCGTAGATGCTAGGGTCCAGGCGCAGCTTCTTGGAGCCCTTAGCGGACTTCAACCCGATGATCAAATGGCTAATTGTGCGCCCGTATCCGCCCAGTGGGTTCTCAGCCTCCTCGGGGGTAAGCTCTGTCACCTCTCCCTCATAAACCTCCTTTGTTTCGCGAACACGGAGGCCTGTCATACGTTAGCTTGGAGTTCCACACTTGTTTCGATCTCCCTGATGTCGCACTGCATACCAATAGCTCTCCGGAAGTTCTCCATCAATGCTTCGGTCTTCTTGACCTCCGCAGAATAGATTTCGCTGCCAACAATCGGGCAGAAAGGAACCTTAGTTCCCAGCTCCTGTGATACAGCAAGAGCCAGAGCAGTCTTTCCGGTACCAGGGCCACCGGCGAGCAGGACAGCTCGTCCAGCCATTTTCTTTGACTTAATCAAATCCACCACAACACCGCATGCCTGCCACATAGTTGGAACCGTTAGTTATCGATACTGCGAACCAGATACGCTGGTGGATTCAGCATTGCTATCCACTCACCTCGCGGGCAGCTCCTTGTCCCACAAATCCATCAGCATTGTTTTCCGGAGTCCCATCAGAGCGTAAGCCTAGACCGCGAATATGCGTGTGCGCAGCGGTTCTGTTCTCGCGCGAGTTACCCTTCACTTCACTAATCTGGACCATGTTTGGAAGAGGTGTAGCCGAGTAGAGCTACAAGTATTGACAAAAGATGAGTCAATCGGTTGGGACGCGTGAAATAGAAATGAATCAAAGCTTCAAAGAAATAGCTTAGATTGAAAAGAAAGGTAACGCGATGGTTCTCTGTGAGATATGCTTCTGGCCGAAATTCGCGAGCAAGGGAGATCGTCAAATGAGAACGCCGCCCCCAGGGCGGTGAACTGCCCCAAATTCTTCCCTGCTCGACCTCTCCTCCGCCTGTTATCTATTAACGGTTTTCCGCCTCTTTGCGCTCTCGACACTCTGTGAGAGTCCAGTAACTGTCTAACACAATGGCAGGCCTACACGCAAGATCTGCAATGGCTGCCCCCTTCTCTTTGGCCGCGGCCTTCCGAAGTCTTTCCATCGCCACACCCAAGCGATCCTTCTCAACAACGCCGGAAACGCAATCGGTTCCAAAACTACCAGAGACCGCCCCGGTCTATCCTTATGGAGAACGCCAATGGTACAAGCAGGCTGATTCTGGTCTCTATGGAGGCGCTTCGATCCGATTCGGTAACAAGATCTCCAAGGGACGCAACGCAGGCAAGACACGACGAAGCTGGAAGCCCAACGTACGCCGAAAGAAGATCGAGAGCGATGCCCTGGGCGAGTCAGTGTTTATCAAGGTCACCCGTCGCGCCTTGCGATCAATCTACAAGGCTAAGGGCCTGGACAACTATTTGCTTTCTGATCGGCCAACACGCCTCAAGGAGCTCGGTCCTTTCGGTTGGAACCTTCGACACCAGATCATGCAGACCCCGGCGATCAAGGAGAAATTTGAACACCAGCGCAAGATGTACGGTATCTCTGAGCCTCCGTCATTGAGCAAATGGATGAGGGACCATAGGCTGGAAATTAGGAACAAAATTGACAACTTGGACATTGACGCAATGACCAAGCCTCGCAAGTCTCCGCGAAGCACCCAGTCTTATGCTCGGTAGAGCAACTTGAACAACATTGCCTGCCAATGAGAATGAGCAGGCGCTTGTATCACTATCCTGAAGAGCGATGGACGGTTCTTTGGGCACCACGGACTTTGTGCCATCTTTCTACGCTATCTCGTTTCTCATCGCGGAAATGATGGCCACAGCTTTCTAATTTGGGTGCAGTCTCTTTTTCAATTTGCATATTGGGTCTTCTGTGTACTTATACTCCAATCTTACTTCGTTCATGTTCGCTTATCAACACGTTCCATCATTTTTACACTAAGTCTATAACAAGTATGTATAAAGCATGTAGCACTCCGGCGAAATCAAAATTCCGCTGAGCCGAAGAGGAGTGGAAACATGAGTGTCTCGTCGTCAGCCCCATAAGCACAGCCAACCCCATTCTCAAGTGGAGAAAAAGCCGAAGCATTCATGTCAGTCATCGATCCAGGATGAGCTGCTTCACGGAAAAACGGACACTCTTCGGAGCACATGTGACCACTCAAACTCCCAAGCATAGCTTGGTCATGCGATGCCGGCGGTTGGTGGTGGAACTCCTCATTTAGATTTCTAGGGAAATCCTCCGTAGTCATCTCGCGTATCATGCGCAAAACACCTCGATGCATGATGATTGATGTGAGCAAAGGCATCTGGGATTGGATGTAGGAAGTAGACTCCGCCGAAATACGTCTCGGTAGCGGGTCTTCCTCCGTCGTTCCGTAGAGTGGGACCTCTTTTGCTAGAACATCGAAGACATCGCGCAAAGGTTCAGCTTGAACCCATCGCTCAGCGAGAATAGCCAGTGCGGTCGAGCAGGCGCGTAATGCTTCTGGGACTTCTCGTGATCGGTAGGCGATGGTTTGATGTTGAGGCGGAGTTGCCCAGAAGCAGTATAGAAGGGTGATACCTACGGCGACTTGACTCAAGAGCTGATTACCGGATTAGGTCAGTTGATGGGAAACAATAGATATTTTTGAGTACATACCCCAGGCCATAGTTGTGCTGTCTGTCGGTCCTTTTGAAAAGTCCTAAATGTCATAGCGATTTGAACACAGGCTGGGACTGATCGGTCCCCAAAGCCATTACAGACGTTTGCTTTGGTTGGCTGGTGTAACAAGAGGATCGTATAATTGTAAGCCATGCCAACCCATCGATCGCTTGTGTAGCTTTTGGAGGCAACATCGCTCAATAGCCGTAATTGAGACCTCCAGGAGTCTAATTCGCCCAACATGTGTTCTCGCCATGTTGTTGAGGCATCGATTTCTTTGAAATCAGACCGCATCATAGTGCTGATAATCCGGGATTGTATACGCCTGCACCGGAATAGGTGAAGTGCTGGTGAGACATGTGTTTTCTGCGATGGTGTTTCTATTTGAACGCAACTATTCTCTGATCCTTCGTGGTGAAGATCCGCGTCTCCGACATTTGAAAAAAGCTACCATTTTCAATGTGTTCAGTATAATTTCCAGGTGCAGATCATAAGGTCGGGTTATTGATAAATGACTTACCTCCACGCTAATGTGTTCATCAATTATATTGTTGGGAATGTGGTAAATCCAACTGATAAACCGATCCAAAGCATAAGCAGACCAAAACACTCGGCGGCGGGTTTGGACCTCTAAAGAAAATGCGGGATTTAACACCTGCGGCTCGCTCTCAGCTAAGTGAAGTTGGGCCATGACACAGTATCTCATCATTGCAGAGACAATGGTGACAATCATATGTGATGATGGAGAATGGAGTGCATGCAAAGTCAGAAGAAGATATGCCTGGGCATGTAGAACAGAATCGGGTTGCGCGAAAACGTGGGCAAGATATTCCATGGCAGAGTTGTACAAAGACTAGGTTGTTAGCTTTCTCTTTGGTCGTAGGTGTAGTATTTTAATATGAACTTACTTGAGAAATGGCAATGTCATCGACCGAGACTTGAGGCGTGAGAAGTAGGGCAACAGCATGCACCTAACATGTATCAAAGATAAATATCGATTCGAAATATTAAGTATTTGATTCATACCATGGTTACAAAATAGTCCTTCCATAAAGACTGCTGATGTCTAGCCCTATTCATCTGCGAATGAGCCTTCCATGATTCGTACCAGCCGAGAAAAGTAGCGAGATGGAGAAAGGGATATCGTGGGTTAACTCTTTCCAGATATATTTGAACCAAGCGATCAGATGCCTCATTTGAAAGCCGCGGGACACGATCTGCCTGTAATACCCGATCTGCGAACTGTGAGAAAATGTGGGCATTTGGACTTTCAGGCTGTGTTTGTGAGGATCCAGGATGATCACTCCTTGTGAGAGTAGCTAGTATCCCCGTCAGCAGGCTGGAATGCCCGCATTGACCATGAGGATCTGACAAGCCCCTCGCTGCATGGGTGGATGGTAAGGCCAATGATGGGGAAGGAGCCGAATATTCTAGAGTAACAGAAGATTGCGCTGTCTGTGAATCTGATAAGGCCCTGACCTGAGGCACATTGCGGGGGAAAGGTGGCCTTGACGCAAGTGAAGCCTGAGAAACAGGGTCCGTTTCATTGCCTCTTTGATCTGGATATTCCTCCGTCGTTGTTTTCCGGCTGGCAGAGAGATTCCCTGGCCTATCGTCTGGAATTTGAGACTCGAGATCTACAATTCTTTCTTCGAGAGCTTGGATGTATCTATAAAAGAAGTTAGCAAGGTAATTATAGAATGGTTGATAAGACGTACTCGGTACTAACACGAGCCTTTCGGCTCACCGGTTCAGTTGAGATGCATTCTATATGCAATTAGCCAAGCCTGTCTTGCTGCTGTGTCAATATCTATTTACCCTTATTCGCTGCTGTACAATTATCACATGGTCGGCTTCCTGTACACTGGCTTTGGTTGGTTTCTCTGTGATTGAAGGCTGTAGTCGAGTACACTCACCTTTTGCTTCCGTGATCGACACCGTCGACAAGCTAATGCTTTCTGCCTCTTTCTAGATGGCGCTACTTTGTTTCTTTCCATTCGGACTCGGCATTTGGTGACTCACTGAGTGTATCGGCATAAGAAGTCCGATGAAAGTTCGATTTTGGCTCCATCGATCCACGTGACTAATGATTTACCACAAGGAGGAAGACTGAAAGACTTCGTTTTTTTTCATTAACTTGATCTGACTGTGTTTATAGGGATAGCAGACTAATCAGATTCAAGTTAAGTTACAAATACTGGCAAGGTTGCCATGCAAGCTCATCGGCATGCCAAAGTCCGTCGGACATTACAACGTCCGAAAAGAGTCCGAATGGAGTACTTTAGATGCTCAGAGGGGTAACAATTCATTTTGAATCCTTCCAACCTTCGCTTTTGATATATTTCACTACAGCAAAGAAAACTACCCTATAATGCCTCAGAAAATCACTGTTGCTGTGGCGCAAGCCCGCACTCTGTCTACACTCGAGTTGACCCTCGCCGCTCTCAAGCGAACCACCCAGCATGCAGCTTCAAAGGGTGTCCATCTTCTGCTTTTCCCAGAAGCTTATCTAGGTGGTTACCCTCGCACCTGTGACTTTGGGACTGTTTTTGGTGCGCGTGAACCTCATGGCCGGGATCAATTTCTTGAATACTTCCGTGCTGCCGTTGACCTGGGCGATACGCCTGCTGGAGCAGGAGATGACTGGGTGGAGCGCAAGCTGCCCGTGGCTCAAGGCCGCGACCACCGTGGTGATGGGACAAGAGAGTTTCTCGAGCAGCTCTCCCGGGAGACGGGTGTCTTTATCGCAACTGGGTTGATTGAAAAGGCCGGAGGGAGCTTGTACTGCTCCGTGCTGTATGTGGATCCATTGCGGGGTGTGCTGGGGAAAAGACGAAAGGTCATGCCAGTAAGTACAGTCATTGATTTTCACTGTAGTCAATTGGACCTGGTGTCGAATGCAGCGGTATTGGAAGATATCTATTAGAACAATGCTAACCTGAAATTCTTGAAAAAGACTGGCTCAGAACGTCTTGTATGGGCACAGGGCTCTCCTTCTACCCTGAAAGCTATCACTACGGAACTTAATGGAGTCAAGCTTACTATTGCCGCCGCTATCTGCTGGGAAAGCTTCATGCCGTTGCTTCGTCAAAGTCTTTATTCGCAAAATGTGAACATTTACCTCGCACCCACAGCTGATGGCCGTGACACCTGGCTGCCTCTCATGCGCACTATTGGTGGCGAAGGCCGCACTTTCGTGCTCTCCTGTAACCAATGTGTGCGCTACAATGAACTACCATCCTGGATCACCGAGCAGGGTAAAACTACAGAAGGTACGTGGTATATCACCACACTAGGTTTATCTTAGTTGTAAATTACTTATAATTTCTTAGAAGCTCCAGACCGTTATATCTCGCGTGGTGGCTCCTGCATTGTCGGACCCTTTGGTGAAGTTGTGGCTGAACCTATCTGGGAAGTCTCTACCGACGATGCAATTGAAAATGGGCTTGTAATTTCTGATATCGACTTGGAGGATTGTGAGCGAGGCCGACTTGATATGGATGTTGCGGGAAGCTATTCAAGAGATGCATTCCGGTTGACGGTTGACGGGTTAGACTTGAACCCTCCTCCATTCTAGGGAGCAAGTAAAATAAATGCAGTTGCAATGATCCTAGTAGCATTGAAAAGCTATTCAGATAGGTATCACCTGATATATGGGAAATATCTGAGAAGACCTCCAAAAAAAACCCACATCAAGAGAAATCTAAAAAGGTAAGCAAAAAAGACAGGACAAGTCTACATAGGCGGTCGATAATTCGTAACATATAATCTCATTTGTCCTATCTAAACATCGGCGTTTGAAAATAATAAGAGTCGAAAGTGTCAGAGGAGTGTGACATAAGATGTTGTGTTTAGACATATTGATCTATAAAATATATAAACCATATCAGCCATATGTTTTTTTTCCATAATTTTTGTCCAATGAAAACTAGATCAGCCGATCAAAGAATATGTATCTTATCTTTGATTGTTTTCCAAATATAAATTCCCACTGGATGCGGCTCTCTAATGGGAGGCCTGGAATGTGACCAGAAGGTGGGCCGGATTCGGACGCCACATCTCTCGGGATCTTCGTACCCGCGTCGATCTTCAAGTCTCTCTTCAATTCTCATTCTCGATCTTTGACTTTGCCCTCTTTTCTATTATAATTTGGTTTCTGTCAAATGATTTGATTTAAACAGAAACACTGTCCCTTGTATGGTCTCACATAGGAACAAGTACACGCGCCTTCATGCAGTTCGCATTACCTCCGCGGCGGAGCCCGCATCCTCTACCTCTCTCCCGTTCCTCTCGAATGTCATCCTACCGCAGGAAGCAACTAAAATCGGTAGCTGTCCTGGCATTCGCAATATTATCCCTACTTTATCTCCTTCACTACCTCTCCTCCTCAGCCTCCACATCCGTTGCAGCTCCGGCAGGTACCTCTGGTGTCGTGCTCGTCACACTGCTAGATTGGCAACGGTTCAGCGAGAGCTATCTCAAAAAGATTGTTGCAAACCGGGAGGATTACGCCAAGCGCCATGGTAAGAAAATTCTTTATGAAAGAGTGCAAGAGCTTTCTTGGCAATGAACTTGATCTAACCCTCACGCGGGAACAGGCTATACCAACTTCTTTGCAAGTGTCTCGGATTATGACGACGCCGTTGGTGATGCCCCAATGAGCTGGGCTGTTGCACCGGCCATCCGCCATGCCATGGCTACACATCCTCGCTCGGCATATTTCTTCCATCTTGCTACTAATGCGTTGATCATGAATCCTACCAAATCCCTCAAGTCTCACATTCTGGAGAAGGGACGTCTTGAAGACTTGATGATGAAGGATGTGCCCATTGTGCCGCCAGATAGTATCATCAAGACGTTCGCGCACCAGACGGAAAAGGATGTGGACCTTATCATCACTCAAGACAGTGAAAATTTGAACCCCGGGAGTTTCATTTTGAAGAATGGAGAGTTTGCCCGTTTCTTCCTAGACGTCTGGTTTGACCCGCTCTACCGCAACTACAATTTTGCTAAGGCGGAAACACATGGACTGGTAAGAGAAATCTTTTACTCTAGTACTCTATATTTATATAGATAGAGCCTCGAGAGCCTTGATTCTGACGGAAATTCTTCTAGGATCACATCATGCAGTGGCACCCAACTGTGCTTGCTCGAACCGCGTTGGTCCCTCAGCGCATTCTGAGCTCCTATAGCAATAGCTCGCCGGGTGCTTCTTCGGATGGTACCTATAAAGACGGTGATCTCGTGATTCAATTCCATGGGTGCGATGATGAAGAGGGGAACCGGGACTGTGCTCACGAACTCGACCCATACTATAAGCTATGGGAGAAGAAGACGCAGACCGATTAAACAGCCCGAGACTCAAGAAGTGCTTGCATTTAGGAGTCCACTGTTTCCACCTGGGGCAGACGGCCTTTTGCTTGGGATCTTCCTCTTATTCACGGTTACAGTGTTTTAGAGTTGGTCGGCGTTTGTTTGTGGAGACCTCGACATATTGCGTGTTTTGGCTTTCAATTGGCGTGCATGCATAGCTGCAAAAGGAACACGAAAATCATTCATTTTTACTATGTCCAATACTAAAATAATACATCGCCTCATGATATCAGTAATCTGCGTATACCGTCTATCATGACAACTAGGGTTGATCGATAAGCTGCTTGGGAATCTTTGTTCTTCAAGCCGTCAACAAAGGCAATATGATGCCTTGCTATAGTTTTCTTCCTCTTCTCCACTCTCCAAATCATTCAACACCATCGGCATAGCATATGGGATCGCCAAATAATAGTCTTGGCTCGACCGTTCCGCCAACTTCTTAGGCAAGGCCAGGGAAGATGACAGCGCGCTTCTTCTTATATTTGTCACCAAACTCCTTGCGGTAGCGCTTCTCCTTCTTCCAACCCCAGCTCCACATCTGCAATCCACCAACAGCAACGAAGAACAGCACACTCCAGTTCAACTGGCTGACAAGGAAAATACCCAACCAAGCCAGGATCTCAAAGAAGTAGTTGGGACAGGTAACAGCACTGAAACCGAATCCAGACGGAATGCCTCGCTCAGTAGTACCAGGGCGGCGGAGATTACGCAGGACGTAGTGCGCATTCAAGTTCGCCAGCTCACCGAAGACAAACAGCGCTAGTCCAGCGTACACAAGAGCCTGGTTAGGAGTACTGCTGGCAGCAGTTGCGTCCGGGCGGAAAACCCAGTAGGCGATGTTGAAACCGGCTAGAACCCAGTAGTGGGCGCTGTTCTTGACGATGTTGCGGGCGGGCATGGTGGCGCTGCTGAAGCGGTGCACGAAGATTGTCTCAAACTCGCGCTTCAGGAAGTGCACACTCAGCAGTAAGCAGACCAAGAGCTGGAGGTCTGAGGGCTCGGGGAGGGGCTTGTCGAAGGTGAAATACAGGAAGGGTCGGAGTGGGAAGAGGAAGAGCGCGGGGATCAGGAGTGGGCCGAGGTATTCGATGATAAAGACGGTACGCCAGGCGATTTGCGGTCCTATTGCGTTGAAGAACCATATGTTAGTTTCTGTCGATTCGCTGGGGAGAGTGCACTGATCCTAGGGATTGGATTCGCATTGTCCAGATATGGGGTATAGAAACGCACCGAGATCCTTGACGTAGATCACGCTAGAGTTTCGCATGCCAGTGTCCTCGATAGTCGTGTTGATCGAGTTCGGTACCACGCTGTGGTCGCTACCCTTGGTGATTCTCATCCGGTGGGTTGAGCAACCGGATGCTGCGGAGAGGGCAGTGTGCAATTCTTCACTGGAGGCATTGAGAGAGATCTCGACTTCCTTGGGGAGATTTCGGATGGGTTTTCCTGCTTTTGCATTAGCAACGTTCTTAGGCTACTCTCTTTGTGGTCTTGCTGAGAGCTTTGGCTAAACAAGAGCTATGTATGCATACCCCTTGGCTGAACCATAAGCGTAATTTTGTCAGTCGCCATGATGATGATGGCTTAGCTTAAGCAGGTATGATGCTTAAATGATGGAGCTTATTTGAGACCACCAAGAGAACTTGAAATCGTGACTGCCTAAAAAAAACAGTACAATCCCAACAATCTACAATTCGGCCTCGGTTGACGTCACGTGTCGACACCTGAGGCCAAATATTCAATATCGAATATTTGGGCTTTGCTGGGGTGGCCTTCCAAGGTTGCCTTGGCAGCTTACGAACAAGGACTTGTCGGTCGTTTTGCCTTTTCTTTTCTAAAGAAAGTCGTACAATCTGTGCATATTCGCAATTCATCGCGTGGCTATGCCTGTTGCTCTGGATGGCTTTTGTCTTCCACGCTCACGCCACCTTGCAGATTGGACTGGCCTGTCCGTCAATGGCGCATTGTTCAATGCAGTAAGTAGTTCATCAGAAGGCCACCTTGGATGCTATCCTTTGCTGGGACAACAAAGGTTATATATCCTCCCAAGTCATCTGGCCTGTCAGCTGAAGTAGCCCGTCCCCGGAAGCTAAAACGAGGCGCACTATGCATTATAGCGGGGCATAAAATTTGCAAGGCAGTGCTGGGTTTTGGGGAAGTTGAGAAAAACAAGCTACTGTGCTAGTATCAAATGGCAACGTCGAATCAGAATCGAATGATATCGCCCCCGTCTGCGGAGTATGTCTCAGCTCCAGCTTGCATGGTTAGTCTGGCCGAACGGCATCGCCAATCAACGCCTAGAAGTACATCAGAGAACTCTACTCCGTACCTGCCATTGTTGTTATTATTATCATTGTTCTCTAAGAATACATTATATATTTTGTATAGTCAAGCCTGAGCGCACTGCAGATCTTCGGACCCGTTTACCGTTGTCACCGCTCCAATCATAGTGTGCAGTTTAGACCACATCTCCTTACGAAACTATTAAATTGAACCATTACATGTGTTAATATATGTTATAGCTCGTGCCTACCAGGTTAACTAGGCATTGGTATTCCGGGTCATCCGCCATAGACTATTTATTCTAAGTGGACACTTCTAGGCAAAAATACCATAAGCCTTGATTGACAGGGGAATATAGCATGCGCGAATCAGAGATGCATGATTGCTCATAACAGCTAGTGGGGCATCCCTTTTCTCCCAGGGGTATCCACCTTACGCTAAGAATGATCACGAATGGAGGCGCGGCTGAACTTTTAGGATGTGAGGTGCATTCAGCCGTACGCTTTGCTCGACTGGCTCTCGGCTTACTCCGTGATTCCCATGGGAGGCTTATAATAATAATATCCTATCCCATTTCCGCCGAAATGATCGCATGATGATTCACTTCTTCTTTTCCTAACTACTTGTGATTCTTGTGTTGGTCTTTTGCTACTGCTTTCCTATATACATACTTGCGACTCTTGGGTTGTTCGTAAGCTGTCCACCTTATTTCCTCAATACTTCACTCTACCCCACCGTGTTTGACATACATATACTGGTAAGCTACTATTCACTATATTATTGTTTTTCTTTTTTTTTTTTTTTTTTTGTTCAGCTTCTACCTCGCGCTGTTTGGCCCTGGCTCGAGGTCTCCCAAAAGCTTTAGTCACAATACACTACTCCGTACCTCGTTGTTGTGGAATTGAAGTTAACAGATTAATCACAGTTCACGCTCGAATTACTTCTACACTATTCCATTGTATTATATCATCTCAATTCACCATGGCTGATAACGAGTCCAATTCCAGTAGCAACAAGATTGCTCAGGTTGAGCAGGTTGTGGCTGCAGCCTTGCGGCCCTTGCCCACTCAAACTGGCGATGGTAGCTATGTACAGGAGCCAGCTGTGACGGGCCTTGCCAAGGACCTCCTCCGTTTTGACTTGAAAGATGCCAAAACTTTGGCGGACGTTGCCAAAGCTGCCGTGACTGGTAAGGCTGTGAATGACAGAGATTATACCATGGAGCGCGTGATTCAGGTATGTATTTCCATGAGGAATTGGCTGTAATCACACTCTAACCATCTACAGCTTGCTGCTGGCTTGCCTGCGACATCTCGAAATGGCAAGGAGCTGACCAATACCTTCCTCACCCAATTGTGGGGTGATCTGGAGCACCCGCCTGCCTCGTGAGTCATGCAATGCGCTGTTCATCTATGTGGAAAATGTCCAGTGACTGACTAGCGATGCAGCTATCTTGGCCGTGATGCGGCATACCGGAAGGCTGATGGATCTGGAAACGTAGGAGTTGTCCCCTTATAGGTTGAGAATCTCTGCTAAACAGTCCTAGAATCCTTTCTGGCCTCAGATTGGCGCTGCCAACACTCCGTATGCACGGTCTGTTCGGCCGAAGACTATGCAGCCTGCTACTCTTCCAGAGCCAGAGGCTCTTTTCGATAGTCTCTTGGCCCGGAAAGATTTCAAGGAACACCCGAACAAGATTTCTAGCGTACTATTCTATCTTGCCTCTATTATCATCCACGGTAGGTTATTGTCTGCGATAAGAGATGGCAGAATCACGGAGGCTAACAGTTCTCAGACTTGTTTCAGACGGATCCCAGGGATCAAACGAAATCATTGACATCCTCATACTTGGATTTGTCTCCGCTTTATGGTAATAACCAGAAAGAACAGGACACAGTCCGAACATTTAAGGATGGAAAGTTGAAACCTGACTGCTTTTCCACCAAGCGAGTTTTGGGGTTCCCCCCGGGCGTTGGCGTCCTTCTCATCATGTTCAACCGTTTCCACAACTCGGTTGCAACCCAATTGGCAGCTATCAATGAATGTGGCCGTTTCACGAAGCCGGATGAATCAAATACTCAGGCTTATACCACCTGGGATAACGACCTCTTCCAGACCGCAAGACTCGTTACTTGTGGTCTTTATGTTAACATCATTCTGAAGGACTATGTCCGGACCATTCTCAACGTCAACCGTACTGACAGTATTTGGAGTTTGGATCCCCGTGCAGAGATAAAGGATGGCTTGCTTGGACAGGCACCTTCCCAGGCTACCGGAAACCAAGTATCTGCGGAGTTCAATCTTGTTTATCGCTGGCATTCTTGTGTCTCAGCTCGGGACGGGAAATGGTCAGAGGATCTGTATAAAGAGCTGTTTGATGGGCAGGATCCGAAGGAAATTAGCATGCAGCAATTCACGGGGGGTCTTCGCCAATGGGAATCAAAACTCCCAGCTGATCCTCAAGAACGCCCTTTCGCTAAATTGCAACGCCAAGCAGATGGAAAATTCGACGATAATGATTTGGTCAAGATCTTCGAGGAGAGTGTTGAAGATCCTGCTGGAGCTTTCGGTGCTTTGAATGTGCCGGATGTCTTCAGAAGCATCGAGGTTCTCGGAATCAAGCAGGCACGCTCTTGGAATTTGGCTACCTTGAACGAATTCCGTCAGTACTTTGGCTTGGCTTCTTATCAAACCTTCGAAGAGATCAACTCAGACCCATACGTTGCGAACCAGCTTAAGCATTTCTATGACCATCCCGACCTTGTTGAGTTGTACCCTGGCCTCATTCTCGAAGAGGCCAAACAGGCTATGACCCCGGGTAGCGGTCTATGCACCAATTTCACGACTTCGAGGGCCATTCTCTCAGATGCAGTTGCTTTGGTTCGTGGCGATCGCTTCTATACCGTCGACTTCACACCGAAACATCTCACAAACTGGGCATTCAATGAGATCAACAATGACGTCTCTGTTGATGGCGGTCAGGTTCTCTACAAACTGGTCCTGAAGGCCTTCCCCAATCATTTCCGCGGTGACTCGGTTTACGCGCACTTCCCGCTGGTTGTGCCTGATGAGAACAAAAAGATCCTGACTAGCCTTGGTAAAGTTAAGACGTATAGCTTTGACCGACCACTCTATAAAGCCCCGGCCCTCTTCATCAACTCCCACTCTGCTTGCGCAAAAATCTTGAAAGACCAAGAAGGATTCAAGGTAGTGTGGGGTGATAAGATCCAATTTTTGATGGAAAATAGCGGCCGTCCTTATGGCCGAGACTTCGCCTTGGCCGGTGACCTCCCTGCCAACGCAGCTTCTCGGAAGATGCTCATTACTGCTCTGCACCGTGAAAAGTGGGAGTCAGAAGTGAAAGCATTCTACGAGGACATTACTCTGAAACTCCTCGAGCGAAATTCATTCAAAGTTGCTGGTGTCAACCAGGTTGATATCGTTCGTGATGTTGCTAATCTCGCTCAAGTTCACTTCTGTGCCAACATCTTCTCCCTGTCTCTCAAGACAGAGTCAAACCCAAGAGGCGTGTTCAGCGAGCAAGAGTTGTACCAGATTCTGGCCGTGATTTTTGCTTCTATTTTCTACGATGTTGACGTATCCAAGTCCCTCCAACTTTGCCAGACTGCTCGCAATGTTGCACAGCAGCTGGGCGAGTTGACGCTAGCCAACGTGGAACTCGTTTCTAAGACTGGATTCATTTCCAACCTGGTCAACCGCCTACACCGCCATGATATCCTGAGTGACTATGGTGTTCACATGATCCAACGCTTGCTCGACAGCAAGTTGCCGGTAAAGGATGTTGTGTGGTCGCACATTCTTCCCACCGCCGGTGCATTGGTTGCCAACCAAGGCCAACTTTTCTCTCAATGCATCGACTACTATCTCTCCGAAGAAGCTGCGGAGCATCTGGTTGAGATCCAGCGCCTGTCTAGGGAGGACACTCCTGAGGCTGACGAGCTCCTCGTGCGATAGTAAGTTTCTTCGTATCCCAATTAGGATGTAAGAGGTCATACTAACTGCATATAGCTTCATGGAGGGAGCGAGACTCCGATGCTCGGTAGCATTGCCACGATTTGTCACTAAGCCAACGGTGGTCGAAGATAACGGCGAGAAAGTCACCTTGAAAGCTGGCCAGGAGATCATCTGTAACTTGGTAAGCTCTTTGATGTCTTTTTTCCTGTTAGGATTCAAATATTAACAGACTGTTCAAAATATAGGTTGTTGCAGGCCGTGACCCCGTTGCGTTCCCTGATCCTGATAAGGTCCGTCTTGACCGTGACATGAGCCTGTACACTCACTTTGGGTTCGGTCCTCATGAATGCATGGGCGTTAAAATGTGCCCTCTTGCACTTTCCACTATGCTCAAGGTTCTTGGGCGGTTGGATAATGTCCGTCGCGCTCCCGGACCGCAAGGCCACCTGAAGAGGCTTGATGCAGCAGGAGGCATCGCCATGTATATGGATGCCGAGCACAGTAGCTTCACTCCGTTCCCCGCGACTATGAAAATCCAATGGGATGGAGACCTGCCTGCGAGGAAGAAGTAAAGACCATATATCTGAGAACTTTGAAGTATGCAAATTTCATTTGAGAGTTCTCCATAATGTCTATTGCTGTTTGTATAGTGTGCATGTGTTTTTGTCAAGAGGCTCACCGCATCAGTAAAATTGAAGCTATGTAGCTTTTAGTCTGAAGTTCTACCTTTTTCTCAAAAACAATCCAGAGACTGTACATGTAGTAAAGTAGATTTTATTGTACTTCTTTGTATGTAAGATAAAAAATTATACAATTGCATCATATATATGTCTAAGGATTGGAAAGGTGGAAGTGGAAAGACTGACATCGATGCCTGAGGCCTGATGGGGGAAATCAGCCAGCGGCTCCGCCCTTCTGCCTTCTGCCGGCAAGACCAGCTTCTGTTCTCGTTGCTTGTCCTTACCCTCCTCCTCTCTTCTATCAACCCACCCCCTCTTGTCATCTTTTCCTTTTGACATACTTAATACCACTACGTCAAACCTCGAGGGATAACGACCTGCACCCGTTTTCCCTTGTTTGACCGACTTTCGATATCTCATCTCTCTCACCTTTCGGAGTTGAGCTTTCTAACTGGAGTTTCTTCACGATTGAATGGTAAATTTGATCTATCGTCTCCTAGAATTGCTTTTTATTGACACTGAAACTTTGCTTAGCTGTTCATCACGTTGAGTCGATTCGATTTTCGTTGAGACAGCAAACCAGCACCAAAAACGTCATAAGGCATCTTCGCGCTTTCTCCGCGACACCGGTCTTTACGACCTTCTCGCTCCACCCTCTCTAGGAGACAACCCTCCTGGAATCTCTTAGCTCCCTCATGTTTGACTGGTCAACCGATCGTTATCATGGGGAGAATTAAGAAGGTAGCTAGCCAAAAGCATGAGGCTACAATTGTAAGTTACTCTCCGGCGGCCTGATGTGCAACCCAACTAAAAAATTTTCCTTCCATCATAGTCACCTTTTTTGCAAGAATTCATAGCGCGTGCCACAAGTCTTCCCGTTCCAGAGCTCCCGTCGCTTCTCAACACATTCCCAAAGCTATGGCCGTTCCCACGCGGTGATCTCTACCATTGGATCAATGTCCTAGACCGATTCGACGAGATTCTGGCCTCAGCTGTGGAGAAATACTTCCTGAATACCGGCCCTCAAACCCAGCTGTTTACCCGAAGTGTTTTGGAGGGATCATATTCGGCCGATGAGAGCAAGAGCCCCGCAGAGGGTGTTGATGCTAAACTGAATGCCCTGGGATATGGCCCTGATGGAGATAGAGAGCTTGTGGAAGCAGTCCTTGATTTCTCTCGTCTTTTGCTCGAGAAATGTGGAAACCGCAGCCTGTACAGCAGCAGCGATCGCCTGGGTGACCTGTTGAATACCACCTCACTTTCTCTCCTACAATCTACATTGCGGCTGTCTCTTTGCTTAGCCCAACGGTATCACTCTCGCCAGCGTGGTACCCATCAGCAGTCTGTATTGCAGTCCCATTATGCTCTCGACCTCGAAAAATTGCAGAAGATCGCAGCACCCTTCCAGCGTCCAGTCATCGCTAGTAAAACGCCATTTGCCGCATCAACCGCAGTTCTAACCAAGGGGAAGGAAAATACAGCCCAGACAAAAATCAACGCCAATGAACTGGTTTCCCTTGTGCGTGATCGCGATGGCTGGGAGGAATGGGGAGATGTTCGAATTCTCTACTATCCCTCGGGCTCCGAACAGACCAGAACGACCTCCGAATTTGGTCAAATAGAGCATGGCTCCCATGTCCCAACCACACCAACCCCATTGCGACGTAGTGCGACGCACCCAACTCCTCATTCTAACCAGGCCTCGAATGGGGATGAATCACCAGCTGCCATCGGTGGGAAGGCAGAGGAGGCCACGCGAGGTAGCAAAGTCCTAGAGCTTCCATATTCAAAAGTTTCAACTGCAAAGATGGAAGATCTCCTTGCGGCAAACTTGCCTCATCTGCCCCTGGAATCAAAATATGAGCTGCTTCAAAAGCTCCGAGTCGCCAAGGCGCTGACAGCAACGCGTGCCACACGAGAACAAATCCTTTCCATCAAGGCACTGGCTGTGACCAACCTGGCCCATGTCCAGCCGGAGAGTACCTTCCAATCAAAGGTTCTTCAATCTGATCTGGAACAACCGAAGCGCCTTCAGCTTGCTTACCAGCTTGCTGAAGTGGTTCATCTCGGTGCCAGTGGTGATCTTGAGGTCTCTCGCACTGTCCAAACTTTGGCGATCCAGGCACTGGACTCGTTGGCCAAGCATAAGGCTCGTGCTGTTGACGTCTGTGCAGCTTTGAGCGTCAATGTCAACCACGGAATTCTCATGTTTTTGACCCGTAAAATGGTCAATGAACTAGGCCCTGAGAATAACGACCCGGATGATGCCTACCACGATGAGTGGCGAGATGCTTTGCTTGCACTTCTGCGCACTCTTCCAAGCTCGAGCACACGTACACCGGAAACCCTGGTTGCAGCAGGTCTGATTCCCATGTTTGTTGACATTCTGAATCTGCGGACTGAAAAATCCCGCCGAGTCTATTCCCGTATCATGGAGTTCCTCGACACATTTGTGCATGCGGTCCGGGATGCACTGGGTACGCTGACAACAGCAAAGGGCTTCGATGCCATGTCTGATTTGATCGATCACGAGACCAAGACCGCCTTCGAGAAGGTCAATCGCGGGGATGGATTCCCTGCTCAATACAAAAACCCTTCGATTGACTATCAAATTCCTTACTTCCAGCAGCAGACTTTGCGCTGGATGTTCCGTTTCGTCAATCATATCATGCAGCACAATGGTGGAGGCTTCGATCGTGTTCTGCGAAACTTGATCGACTCGCCTCAGCTGTTGACTTCTCTTCGCCTTGTGTTCGAGAATGCTCGTGTGTTCGGCTCGCATGTTTGGAGCAATGCTGTCAACATTCTCAGCAGCTTCATTCACAACGAGCCTACTAGTTATGCTGTCATCGCCGAGGCTGGCCTCAGCAAGAGCCTTCTTGCTGCCGTGATGGGTCGTGAACTTCAGGTGCTGGAGAAGCCGCCAGCCGTGGAGCCTGAAGACCGTGATACTGACACTGAGACCGATGCCCCCGAACCCGCCACTCAACCACCTAGCGCCGAAGCTGCTATCCAGTCTGAAGAAAAGCAGAAAGATCGCGAGTATGCTATCGTCAGACCACAGAATACTCCTCTTGCACCTGGCATAATGCCCGCAGCTGATGCTCTTGCTTGTATCCCTGGTGCATTCGGAGCAATCTGCTTGAACTCCTCCGGTCTGGACCTCTTCCAGTCCTCCGATGCACTGGAGAGTTTCTTCGAAATCTTTGAGAACCCTGAGCATATCAAATGCCTGAAGGATGACCCAGAACTGGTTCGTTCGTTAGGCACGACTTTTGATGAGCTTGTCCGACATCACCCAGCGTTGAAGACCTCTATTATGACTGCTGTTCTCGTAATGGCTGCTCGTGTCAACATCCTGGGGCGAGTCAAGGCATGGGAGTTAGGTATGGGGACAAAGATGTGGACTGAAGACGCCGGCGGCAAAACCACTCTTTTGGGAGATGTCTTCTCATTGTTCCGAGAAATCGGCACAGCCGCTGATGCACCCACAGATGATCCTGCCTCGTTTGGTGCTCCCCAGCTCAATGTGAACACTCTTCCCAATGGCGCCAAGCTGGTCGTTGGGCATCTGGATCATGTTCTTCCTTCGCCGGGCCCTGACTTCGAGCCTAAAGATAAGGATGCTCATGGTCTCTCAGCTACGGACTACCTGTTCCCAGCTTTGCGATTCCTGGGCGCTTTCTTCGAGAACCAGACGAACTGCACGTCATTCATCCTGGCCGGCGGCACAGAGTTCTTGTTGGATCTTGCGACACTTCAAAGCTTGGCATTTGATTTCCATAGCACCAACGCCAATCAAGAGATCACCGTGCTTATTCACATGCTCGCAGAAACGAAGCCTCACCTTGTGCTCCCGTCCCTCGTTCAACGCGCACAGGCAGCAGTGGACAATCTCTCGGCCTTTTGGACTGCACCCACTGGATCGGGATTCTTCACAGAATTGATTAAACCAGCAGACTCGAAGAAGCCGGCTGTTGAGCCTACGGCTGCTGCCAAATCTGGCACATTCTTTGTAAGGCACTTGAATGCCGTTCTTCTCCTCACAGATGTCCTTCGCGAGGTTTTCGCGTCGCCACTGTACCAAACTCGACCTGGTCAGTCAACTTCCATCTTTGGCCAAGCCAACCTTGCGGACCACTACTGTTCACTGATTTCCTCATTGAGCAACCTGCTTGCTTCTTGCGTGTGGGAAGGAATTTTGCTGGAGAAGAACATTCCTGAGAAGTGGCTGAAGGCCACACAGGCCTCCGCTGAAAAGCATGGCTCTGGAAAGTCCAAGGCTGCCCCAGTTACGGAGCCTTCAGCAGTGCCTGGTGCCGAACCTCAACGGGATGGCACTGGTGCACTAGAGACTGCTCCGGCTCAGCCAGGCCAGGCCCCGAAAGAAGATGACACCGAAGTTGATGAACAATGTCCTGCTTTCATGAATGCGCGTACGCTTCGCTACCTTCTCAGCGCTCTGCCAACCTCGATTACAGGATTCTTGCACAATCTCGGACTCGGCATTATCGGCAAGAGACGCACAGATCCGCTCCAAAAACAGAAGGCGAATGCAATCCTGGTCTCAGATGCCATTGCTGAAGGTATTCTTCGCCAATTGCAATTCAACCCTGCCAATTCGAGTGACAGCCCTAAGCACCGATTCGCATATCTCATTGTCGTTCTTTCTCACTTCTCGCACCTTCTCTATGAAGTCTCAGCAGAGCGTCCAAGTCCGAACTACTTAACTTCAGTTCTCGTTTCATTCAATAAAAACAACGGCCTCAAAGTTTTGAAAGAGATCTGTGATGTCTTCTTGAGCGACATCAAGTCACTTCCATCTGCCGAGTCCATTCCTGATCAGGACAAAGAGCTTGCTGACCGGCTTGCATCCGGGTATGGTGGAATTAAGATCATTCTTGGGTTGTTCGCAGACCTCACTGCTGGAAAATTCATCGTGGACTCTAGCCAGACACAAGCCTTGACCTCTCACCCTGAACGGGATCGAGATCGTCCCGATTACTTCCAGCCAGGTCAACTCTTGGTGGAACTTCGCATGGAGATTTTGCCCATGGCCAAAGACATGTGGAACTCGGACTTTGCGACCCAGTCATCGAGTCCGATTGTCCGATTGTTGATTGATATTATGCGGTGCTCCTTGGATGGTGAATACGAGGCCGGTGCAGCTCGTAAAGCAGATACCCCGCCCATCTTAGTAGAGATGCCCAAGAAACCTTTCGTCGTACACACAGAACGAGCAACTGCCTTGCTTGAGAAAGGGTACATGGATGTTGATCTTAACAAAGAAGCCCTTTATCGTTGCAACAATCTCTTGATGGCGGCCGAAGAATACTGCAAGGCGCAGCAGTGGTTACGAGCCCCTCCCAGAGCCCCCCCGGGTCCCGGCGACATCAAAACTGGAGTACCCGAGTCTGCATCTGTCATCGACCCTCTCGATGACCCTGGTATTGGAGAGGTTCAACCTTTTGGTGGCGCTAATCCAGCCTTCGATCGCTCTGCAGCTCTCCAATTGCTTTTGGCCCAAGCAACTGGACGGCCCGTACCTGATGCACATGCACTACATCGTCCTCCTGTTCCTGGAGGCAATATTGACTCCGACATGCATGATGGGCTGGCTAGAGCTCTAGACAATGTTCTCAACGACAATGATGACATGGATAGCGATGATCAAGGCGAGTCATCAAACCAGCGTCGGCCCGACAGTCGTAACCTCGGGCCAAGCTCTTCTGAAAGTACCGGAGCATCCCAGGGAGAGCCGGTCAAACATCGCCACATGGTCACAATCGAAGATTTAGATGCAGAGAGGCAAAACATTCGGTCAAATCTGATCGATCGGGCCTTGGACATTCTGAACGAACACCATGATGTCTCTTTCGAGCTGTCTGACTTGATCACCTCGGCTATCAAGAAGCATAGCGAACCTGTGAGCTTCCGTCGAGACATTGGAGAGACACTCGTTCAATCGCTAGTCTCCCTGCAGATGGAGAACTTCCAAACAGCTGGCAAAAAGATTGCGGCCTATGCACACATTCTCGCACTGACCCTTCAAGATCGTGACATGTATCGAGCGACTCTTGAAGAGCTCAAAGATTGCTTCTCGACTTTCCTTGGATTTATCAAGCTCCCAACACCCGAGAAGGCTGACCAAGAAACCTTCCCTTGGGTTGGACATGTCCTGCTCATTCTCGAGAAGCTGCTGTCTGATGATTGCCAGCCTCCCCAGATTACCTGGACCCTGCCAAGTCTTGATGATCCCAATCCCAGCGGCGATGCACCAGCTCATCTTGAAGATCCACTTGTCTCCCTCGGGGAGAAGACCCAGCTATTTGAAGCTCTTGTCGAGATCCTACCCCGAGTAGGCAAAGATGACACACTGGCGCTCTCCATATGCCGTGTTCTTGTCATTCTCACCCGTGAGCGCAGCATTGCCGCCCGCTTTGGCGAGAAGCGAAACCTTCAGCGTTTGTTTGTGATGGTCAAGCAACTTTCCAGTGCTACAAATGATAAACTCCAAAGCTCCTTCATGCTGATCCTTCGTCACATCGTCGAGGACGAAGCTACTATCCGGCAGATCATGAGGAGCGAAATTGTTGCCAACTTCGAGTCCAAGACTACCCGTCAGATTGACACGAACGGCTATGTACGCCAGCTGTATCACCTCGTGCTGAGAGCTCCTGATATCTTTGTGGAAGTTACAAATGAAAAGCTGCGGTTGCTCAGATATGACAACCATCAACGTCCGCAGGTTCTTGGATTGAAGGCCGACAAAGACAGGCAACAAAAACGAGGAAGGCCCATTATCCTCCTCGAAGAGTCCAAGCCAGAATCATCTTCAGCAGGAGGCGAAGCACCTGCTCCCGAAGATATGGACAAAAGCAAGGAGGACAAGGCCAAGACCCAAACCAAGGGTGCCGAACTTAAAGCTCCAATTGTGGAGAACCCGGATGGTGTTATCCATTATTTGCTTTCAGAGCTTCTGTCCTACAAGGATGTGGACGACAAAGAAGCCGGTCCCGAATTCCCAGAGCAGACAGCTGACCAATCTGATACTCAAACTGATGTTGAGATGGCTATGGACGAGCCAACACCTTCAGTTTCGAGCACCGCCGAAGCACATGCATCTCGCGGTTCCAAGAAGGCAGAGAAGCCCCAATTCAAGGCAGATGACCACCCGATTTACATATACCGCTGCTTGCTCCTTCAATGCTTGACGGAGCTTCTCTCCTCTTACAACCGGACCAAGGTCGAGTTCATCAACTTTTCCCGCAAGGCTGACCCTCTTGCCACTACGCCCTCTAAACCGCGCTCTGGCGTCCTAAACTATTTGTTGAACGTGCTTGTTCCCCTCGGTACTATGGACCATGATGAGACTTTGGTGTTCAAAAAACGCAGCATCACCTCCACATGGACCATGCAAGTGCTTGTTGCGCTTTGCACCAAGACCGGCGAATTCGGCGGTGTTGGTAGACGTCGTACCGAACCAAAGTATGAAGAGGATGAGCCCGAGCTTGCCTTTGTCCGCCGTTTCGTGCTGGAGCATGCTCTACGGTCCTACAAAGATGCTATGGCGTCTACTGAACCGCTAGACGCCAAGTATTCCAAGCTCATGTGTCTTGCTGACCTCTTCGACAAAATGCTCAGCGGCTACTCCTTCACCAACGACGCGGGATTCCCAACTTCAACCAGGCAGCTCGCGAAGACCATGTTCGAAAAGAATTTTATCCCCGCCCTCACTTCTTCAGTCGCCGATGTTGACTTGAATTTCCCGTCCTCCAGGCGTGTCATTAAGTACATTCTTCGTCCATTAAATAAACTCACCCAGACTGCCGTACTTCTCAGCGAGAACTCTGATATCACCATCCAAGGTGAGAACGAGGATGATGATATCTCATCGGCAACCTCCGTTTCTGACTTGGAAGATGAACGCGAAGAAACACCTGATCTCTTCCGCCACTCTACTCTTGGCATGCTAGAGCCTCGTCACGACGAGGAGGAGAGCAGCACCGAAGAATCAGAGGATGAAGACGATGAGATGTACGATGATGAATATGACGAAGAAATGGACTACGACGAGGATGTCGCTGAAGATGATGGTGAAGTTGTCAGCGACGAAGATGACGATGGTATGGGTCCAATCGAAGGTCTTTCCGGTGATGCAGTCGAAGTCATCTTAGACGAAGATGATGATGAAGACGAGGATGATGACGATGAAGATCACGACCATTTGGACATGCATGATGACATGTATGACGGAGAAATCGGTGGTGATCGAGACAACGAAAGCCTCGGAGAAGGCGAAGAGGACGAGTGGGAAAGCGAAGAAATGACCGAAGACGAAGAGGAGGTCGAGATGATGAACCAATTCGAAGATGAAATGGCCGACATCAGACAATCCACCCGACACCAAGGTGAGGATCAGCATCTTGGTGACCTATTCCGTGCCCTAAATGGTACAGGTGTCGATGATATCCATGGAGATGCTCTAGGTGGCGATATTCATGAAGAAATTCTTGATGATCTCGATGAAGATGGTTTGTCCCTCCTTAGACTGCTGAGGCAACTCCCAGTGCCCCTGTCACGACCAGCCTTGCTGACATCCCGTCCAGTTGAAGACGAAGATGAAATGGATGAACTTGACGAGGACATGGATGATTTCGACGAGGAACAAGGATCCTATGGGGATATGGAAGGTGGGTTCAACTCTCCTCATTATAATCGCGCATCATTAATGACTCGCCTAGCAGACGACGATCTTCTTGAGCCATGGGGATGGGAAGGCGATGAGCCTCCAATGGCCCGAGGAAATCCCCAATCCCGCTTCCGCGGCGGCCCACCACCGGCCTGGGCTACTGTCACTGAAATCATGCCAGGTCGCCAATCCGGTCTTGTTCCCATTCAGCCTTACCATCGTGTCCACCGAACCCAAATCCCGTCTCGCGGCAACGACGATGGAACTAATCCTCTTCTGGTCCGGACTGACCGCCCAGATCCTGCCGTTCCATCTCGTGGGGCTACTGCTGATCCTTTCGCCGATTGGGGTCAGTCTATGGACCCTGCAGGTGGCCGAGTTGTTGCTATGGATAGCCCCATCAGCTTCATGAATGCCATTATGCAAGCCATTGGCGGACAGGCGGCGCCAGGTTTCGGCGTTGTCACTCGCCCTGATGGTATTCATGTCCACGTCGATCGACGGGCAGTCTTGCCTGGTCGTATCCAGGACATGCTTGGAATCCCTCGAGGGGCAGGTCCTCCAACTCGCACTCGCGGCGACGATCCTCACACTGCTGTCAAGTTCGGTCTTGGTACCACCAGAAACCGCTGGCAAGAAGAGGCCCGCATTATTTTCAGCAGCCAGTATGTTGAACGGACCCAACGCATCATCCCTTCCATTCTAAAGCTCTTGGTTCCCCCTGCCATCGAAGAGGAGAAGCAGCGCCAGAAGCTTGCGGAAGAGGAACGCAAACGTCTTCAAGCCGAAAGGGCTGAAAAGGACCGCCAAGATCGCATTGCCGCCGAAGAAAAACAGCGTGAGCTTAAGCAAAAAGAAGAGGAAGAAAAAGCTCGACTACAAGCAGAGAAAGAACGACAGGAAGCCGAACGCCAAGCTGCTGGGGTCGACGAGCCCATGGAAGATGTTCAAGAAATCGATACTGCAGTTGAAAGCGCTGGCCCATCTACTCAACCCGAAGCCCTGCCTACTGAGCCTGCTCGTCGAGTTTACACGAACATTAGGGGCCGCCAAGTTGATATCACGGGTCTGGAAATTGATTCAGAATATCTGGAGGCCCTGCCCGAGGAACTCCGGGAGGAAGTCATCATGCAACAGCTTGCTGAACATCGGTCCCAGGCTGCCGCCGCGGGTGAGGAGGATACTGAGATAAACCAAGAATTCCTTGAGGCCTTGCCTGCCGAGATTCGCGAAGAATTACTGCAACAAGAAGCGGCCGATCGGCGCCGGCGGGAACGCGAGACCGCGCGACGACAGGCGGCTGCTGCTGGTGGGGTTGGCGCTACAGCTTCTAGCACTCAACCGGCAGAAGAAATGGATGCTGTCAGCTTCCTCGCTACTCTTGATCCCTCTTTGCGCCAAGCCGTTCTAGCCGATCAGCCCGAGGATGTTCTCGCAACTTTAGGTCCAGAGTATTTGACCGAAGCCCGTGGTATGGGTGGTAGCGGCCGACGCATGGCCCAGTTTGGTGACATGAGTGGCATTGATCACCGACAGAGAACTGAGCCTGCTGCGGGCCAAGAGCCGAAGAAAGAACAGAGACGTCAAATTGTTCAAATGCTCGACAAGGCTGGTGTTGCAACCCTTCTACGCCTGATGTTCATGCCTCTTCAGGGCAACGCTCGCCATCAATTGAACGACATTCTTCACAATGTTTGTGAGAACCGCCAGAACCGGAGCGAAGTGATCAGTGTCCTTCTTTCAATTCTACAGGACGGCAGCGTTGATTCCACTGCGATTGAACGCAGCTTTTCCCATCTTTCTCTGCGTGCAAAGGCACCGGGAGTACAGAAGACGCCGCAGTCTAAGCGGACCCTCGCTCTCCAGACTGCTTCAAGCGTCAGCAGTGAAGTGACTCCAATTATGGTTATCCAACAATGTATCGCTGCACTGTCTTTCCTTTCGCAGTTCAACCCTCATATTGCTTGGTTCTTCTTGACAGAGCATGACTCTGCCTCAGCTGGTAAACTCAAGTCATTGCGCAAGGGCAAAGCCAAAGAAAACCGAGCTAACAAGTTTGCTCTGAATGCCTTGCTTTCTCTTCTTGACCGCAAGTTGATAATGGAAAGCCCTAACTGTATGGAGCAACTCTCTAGCCTCCTTAGCAGCATCACACAGCCACTGACTGTTCTCCTTCGTCGTGAGAAAGAGCGACAGGAAGAGGGCAAAGGCAAGAAGCCTGAAAGACCTCAAATCGAAGCACCTACCGACCAAATTGCCGAAGCTGCCGATTCCAGTATGGACACATCCATGACCGATGCTCCGCTGCCCACTGTGGAAACCCCTAACCAAGAGAACGTCGAGGGTGAAGAAGCTACTTCAGCTGAAGCCAAGAAAGCTGAAGATTCCAAGGGGCCTGCCGAGGACGAGAAGCGCAAGAAGCGAACCATCGAGCCTCCTGTCATTCCGGATCACAACCTTCGACTGGTTGTTCAAATCCTTGCGGCTCGCGAGTGCAATGGCAAGATATTCCGCGATACGCTTTCCACCATCAACAATCTTTCTGCTGTTCCTGGAGCTAGAGACGTGATCGGCAATGAATTGGTTGCTCAAGCGCAAGCCCTTAGCGATACCATCTTGGCTGATTTGGGGGATCTTCTCCCTCATATCCACCAGGCCAAGACTGGTACTGACATGCAAGGCCTTGCTCTGGCCAAGTTCTCCCCAGCTAGCTCAGACCAGGCAAAATTGCTACGTATCCTGACCGCACTTGATTACCTGTTTGACAATACACGAGCGGATAAGTCCAAGGATATTGAGGCTGAATCCGCCCCCAAGGAGGATGTGCTCAAGAGACTTTATGAAAGTGCCACTTTCGGCCCGCTTTGGACTAAGCTGAGTGACTGCTTGACTGTCATTCGACAGAAGGAAAATATGCTGAACGTGGCTACTATTCTCCTCCCTCTCATTGAGGCATTGATGGTCGTTTGCAAGAACACCACGCTGAAGGACCAGCCATTGTCTCGCGCCAGCCGTGAATTGTCAGTAAACAGCACCTCAGCTGATGCTAGTCTCAGCATGGAAAGCATCTTCTTCAAGTTCACCGAAGAACATCGCAAGATTCTCAATGAGCTCGTCCGTCAGAACCCTCGCCTGATGAGCGGCACCTTCTCCCTATTGGTCAAGAACCCCAAGGTTCTAGAATTCGACAATAAACGCAACTACTTTACTCGTCGTGTTCACTCCCGTGGTGCCGAGCCTCGCCACCCTCATCCTCCTCTTCAGCTTTCTGTGCGCCGAGCTGAGGTTTTCCTTGACTCCTTTAAGTCCTTGTACTTCAAGAGCGCAGATGAGTTGAAGTATGGCAAATTGAATGTTAGATTCCATGGCGAGGAGGGTGTCGATGCTGGTGGTGTCACCAGAGAATGGTTCCAGGTCCTTGCCCGTGGCATGTTCAACCCTAACTACGCCTTGTTCATCCCTGTCGCCGCTGATCGGACTACCTTCCACCCCAACCGTCTCAGTGGGGTCAACTCGGAGCATCTCATGTTCTTCAAGTTCATCGGGCGGATCATCGGTAAGGCCTTGTACGAAGGCCGTGTCCTCGACTGCCACTTCAGCCGAGCAGTCTACAAGAATATCCTCGGACGATCCGTGTCTATCAAGGATATGGAAACGCTCGACCTGGACTACTACAAATCACTTCTGTGGATGCTGGAGAATGACATTACTGATATTATTACCGAAACCTTCGCCATTGAAACTGATGACTTTGGCGAGAAGCAAGTCATCGACCTGAAGCCCGGTGGTCACGACATTCCCGTTACACAGGAGAACAAGGAGGAGTACGTTCAACGCGTGGTCGAATATCGCCTTGTCGAGTCGGTTCGCGAGCAACTGGACAACTTCCTCAAGGGTTTCCACGAAATCATTCCTCCCGAGCTGATCTCTATTTTCAACGAGCAAGAGCTGGAACTTTTGATTTCTGGTCTTCCTGATATCGATGTGGATGAGTGGAAGAACAACACCGAGTATCACAACTATTCTGCATCCTCATCGCAGATCCAGTGGTTCTGGCGTGCCGTCCGCTCATTCGACAAGGAGGAGCGTGCCAAGCTTTTGCAGTTTGTCACTGGAACTAGTAAGGTTCCTCTCAATGGCTTCAAAGAACTTGAGGGCATGAACGGTGTGAGCAAGTTCAACATCCATCGCGACTATGGCAATAAGGATCGCCTTCCCAGCTCGCATACCTGTTTCAACCGTAAGTTTCTCTCCACATTTCTTGGCTACATTAGCACAATTAACTAACTATTCTTAACAGAGCTTGATCTTCCTGAGTATGAAAGTTACGAAGATCTCCGTCAACGCCTTTACACAGCCGTGACGGCTGGTAGTGAATACTTCGGGTTTGCCTAGACTGTTGTCCTACTCTACGGCATGGGAATGGTTCTATCAAGCCAAAGCATTGCATGGCGTTTCTCTCGATTCTTATGGGATTCTCTTTTTATTGGGGACGAACGAAAAGAGTATGAAAGGCTGGCATAGACCAGCGAGGAGAAGTTTCTTTATGACAAGATGAAAACTGAGGCACCTGGTAAGGGATTCGGTTGAAGTGCAGGTCAATCGTGCTCTTTCCGGGGCCCTCTTTATGTACTTAGATTGCTGCATTTATTTTTTCCCTTCAAATCCGCTGCGTACTTCTTTACGACATGTAGTCCTTGAGAAGAGTAGAATTTCGTAATACATCTCCACCTGGGCAGGGTTAGAGGGCTTGGCGAAGGGCTTATATCATCAGGCGGTGAGCCCGTCACGGGACTGCATAGGAAAAAAGACATGCGGGGCCGCGGAGGAAAAACGATTTTTTGAGCCGAACACGGTCATCTTGAAAAAGAGTGTGTTTTGAGCTCCCTTGAATTGAATCTCTCGCTTCTTACACTTCCGAAAAGCCATACATCATGTCGACCAACTCTATTAAGCTCTTGACTGGCAACAGTCACCCAGAGCTTGCCAACCTAGTTGCTGACCGGTATGTGCAACCGATCAGGTTAAGACTGGGCAGCCAACTAATTCTAGAGCTATGAAATCAGGCTCGGTATTGAGTTGACCAAGATTATGGTCCTGCAATACTCCAACCAAGAAACCAGTGTCACAATCGGAGAGAGCGTGCGGGACGAAGATGGTATGAACATCCCGCCTTGATTGTGATATCAAGATCCCCCACTTATATATATAACTTGTCGCAGTCTTCATTCTCCAATCGACGAAACCCAATGATATCAACGATGGACTCATGGAACTTCTGATCATGATCAACGCTTGCAAAACTGCCTCGGCCCGCCGCATCACAGCCGTCATCCCCAACTTCCCTTATGCCCGACAAGATAAGAAGGACAAGAGTCGTGCTCCGATCACCGCTAAGCTGATGGCGAACATGCTCCAGACCGCCGGCTGCAACCACGTCATCACCATGGATTTGCACGCCAGCCAGATCCAGGGCTTCTTTAACGTCCCCGTCGACAACCTGTACGCCGAGCCCAGCATGCTCAAGTACATCCGTGAGAACCTCGATGTCAGCAACTGTGTCATCGTCAGCCCGGACGCTGGCGGTGCCAAGCGGTGAGTTGTGCCTGTCTCGATACTACACATGTATCTGTATACCGAGGGTTAGTTCAAGGCGCTAATTTAGATTGTTATTAGTGCTACTGCTATTGCTGATCGCCTGGACTTGCAATTTGCGCTTATTCACAAGGAGCGCGCTCGTCCCAACGAGGTCTCGCGCATGGTTCTTGTCGGTAATGTCAAGGACAAGGTCGCTATCATCGTTGACGATATGGCCGATACCTGCGGCACACTCGCCAAGGCTGCCGAAACTGTCATGCAGCACGGTGCCACTGAAGTCAACGCCATCGTTGTACACGGTATTCTGTCCGGCAAGGCGATTGAGAACCTGAATGGCAGCTGCCTCAAGCGGTATGTACACACCCGAATACCAACGACGAATCTTTTTGTGTTACCTTTTACTAACTCTCTTCTCGCAGCATTATCGTCAGCAACACAGTCCCCTTGGGCGACAAGCAAGAGCAATGCGACAAGATCCATACGATCGATATCAGCCCTACCTTGGCAGAGGCATGCCGTCGTACACACAACGGCGAGTCTGTTAGCTTCTTGTTCTCGCACACCGTGGGATAAATCAGAGGCAGAAATGAATTATTACATCAAGACAGAGGATCAGATCTACTGGTTGTCCTAGTGATTACCTACGAGTGTGGTTGCGCAAAACCCTGGAGTGGGAAACAAAAATACGATTTTTATGACCCTTTTTATTAGCCGGACGAGGATGTTAGTCCCCGGGTGTTCTATTACTTTTTACTTTCTACCTTTTTTTTTTTTCCTCTTGGAGGGTTTAAATGTTGGCTTTACGCTGTTCTTTCTGGCGGAAGTTGGTTATCGTTGGCTGTGTTTGCACCGTGCATGTGTATTCTTCATATGCAGAGTACTTGGCATTTTTTTTAGATTATGACAAGGCCTCGGGGTCGTTTTAAAACAGATATGGTGTTTTTGTATTAAGTGCTATGTATGTGTTGGATTTTTAAAATGCGTGCTTGGAGCACTCTAAAGGCCATACTAGCTTTTAGTTACCTGGTCATGAGGGATATATCGAGCGGAAACACGTCCGATAGTGGTAATATTCCTGCCATAAATTATGTACTATTGACCGCAAAGTGCAGTCATTCTCCTGAAAAACATAATTCCGAACGCCTTACCATAATAGCACGTGACCTGTATACAGGGCATTCTTTGTACTTGCCGGTGGAAGCGGGGGAATTTAAGATACTAGCATTATTGAACTAGACTAGTGTATATATGTAACTTGATTCAAGTGGAGTAGACAAGTCCACAAAGAGGGGATATAAATCGAGGGGATATAACATACTCCATACCTAATATAACTACGCCTACTCCTTTTATAAAAAAAAAAAAAGCCTCGAGCAATTGACAGAACTGAGTATTGAAATTTGCATGCACTCCATTCAAAAAAAAAAAAGGGTCATCAAAAAAAGGTAGGCTCAACACAGATGCATGCGACTCCCAAGGCCCGAAATCTCCGTAGCCAAGCACAAGGGAGTATCAACCACTCAGCCTGCTTTGTACGTTTTGAAACCTGTTCCCCGACTCTTTTCTTGTTCCCTTTTCTTTTTATCACACATGTATCCTCCGCGCCCCTGAGAGTGATTCATTTTTTGTGAATTCCCCTCAAATCATCCCAGAGACGTGAAGCTCCTCCATTAAACCCCATCGCCGCAGAACGAAATCATAAAACCGCGGGTTTGGAAGTTTACTTCCGCATGGAGGAAGCCCTCCGCTTGCGGAGCTCATCACGCTTAGCCTTCTCCTCGTGGACACGGCCGGCAAGGAGCTTAGCGTAGTCGTTACTATGTAACCATTAGTTCAAATGTTTTCCGAAAAAAAAATCAAACCAATACACTCGTAGATCATTGACCAGAGCATAGGTAAAAAAAAACAGAGAGAGAGGAGTCTTACGCAGCATCACGGGCAGTCTCAGCACGGCGACGCTTGATAGCAACGCGTTGGCGCTTGCGCTGGAGACGCTGGGGGGTAACCAGACGCTGGATCTTGGGGGCCTTGGTGTAATCCTGCTTGCCCTCCTTGGTGACGGTACGGCGGATGACGAACTTGCGGACGTCGTCCTTCTTGTCGAGACCGAAGAAGCGACGGATCTTGGTGGCACGCTTGGGGCCGAGACGCTTGGGGACAACGGTGTCGGTGAGACCGGGGAGCTCACCCTCACCCTGCTTGACAATAGCCAAAGCAAGGACGGAGAGATCCAGACCGGTGATGGCACCACGGACGGACTTGCGCTTGCGCTCACCGGTGCGGCGGGGGCGGTAGCAGCTGTGGCCGTCGGCGAGGAGGAGACGGGTACGGGTGGGGAGGAGAACTGTAGAAATAATTCGATGAGTACTCTGCGGTTTGTTGGTTGTATCCCTGGGGTGGGATATAATTTTTTTTTCTTGTTCATTCCCCAGGTTGTTGTGCGGATGTGTACGTACCACCCTGCTTCATGGGGAAACCTGTAAATTCAATCGTCAGCATTTGATTCTCGTTGTGCGGTGAATTCCATTCTCCATCGTCGAGTTGTTCCTCTGACACTAGGAATAGAGAGGGATTGTATGCGTACCCTGCTTGTCGTTACCACCGGTAATCTTGAACACGTAACCGCTGAACTCATCACCGAGAGCATCGCCGGCAACCTAATCAAAAGAAATCCCAATTAGCCAGTCGTTCTCCATAGTCGTGTGTGTATATATGTGTGTGTATGTGTGTGGGTGGATCATCGATTTGATTGTTGAACATCGGGGAAGGATGAAGTTTAAGGGAGTGCTGACTTCGGTGCCCATGCGCTTCTCCATGAAGGGACGGAGCTTGCGCTCATCGTCGATCTCGATAATTTTCTGGGACCCATTGGCCGGGTAGGAGATGTTGAGCTTCATCTTGACGGAGGCGGCGCGGTCAAGACGGTAGCGCGTGTGTTGTCGATTTGTGAGATTGTCGTCGAAGGAGTCTGTATTGTGGATTTTTTTAGTTCGCCGGCTTAGCGAGGTGCAAGTCACGTGTCGCATGTGGGAAGTAGGGCTTGAGTCCACCCAATGGGGCTTAGCGTGAATTTGTAAAATCATGTGACTTTGTATCAGTACCCATACATCTTCTTTTCTTCGTTCATCAACTCAGTCATATTCGCAAAATTGTGGTGTACGTGCCTATGTTGAACAGCGCGCCAGAATCTCCAGAACCTCCAGAATAACTGTATCTTTGGTGATGAATATGCAACTCACCTCCGCCAACTATGCATCCAAGAACCAACACATATCCGGGACTGCCAGCAACTACAGCTTTCCCTCTGCCTTAATTAACACAGTACTATTTTATTCAGACGTGAGACCTCCCAGTGCGACTTTTGAATACAACCGACTAAAAATCACCAACGGAATGATGAATGAATGTTTCGGGTCATGATTCAGTCCCGACCGACAGAAGTTCAACTTTTATATATCAAGACTGGGTACGGTCTCACAAATTGACTTAACAGCCACCATGAGCCTCGTACGACAATTGCAAATCAACGGTCCTCACTAATCATATTTGACTATCTACCCGACCTTTGTGTGAACCATTGGCCGGTCGGGTCCTGCAAACGCCGGAAGTGCATAGACCGTTGAGAAGGCATCATAGATGGATGCAACAACCCTTGGATTTCTTTTCTCATAGGGATGGGTAGATGAGCGATTCAAAGTATGGAGATTCAGGGACGGCAGATATTGATTGACTAATTGCAAGACCACCTCCAGGTATCATGTGTAAGAATAGTCGGCCGGCTTTTTGTCCTTAACAAGACTTGAGAAATCCGATTTGGCTCAAAACAATATTAGGGATGCTCCAAGATCATGTATTTAAGACACCACTATGATGTCTTTTTTTGGGTATCTTTTGAGTTTTTTCGAAAAAAAAAATCTTCCCCTTCTCAGTGCTATAATTAGCAAAATGAAAATGATTAGTTCGTCAATCCGCGTATGTTTTTTGCGTACTCCGTACTTTATTCTCCCCTGTCCATATATTCCCTAATACTAGAAACTTTGTGTCATAGTACTTTGCATTCCGCTCTATGGAGTAGAGATCTGCAGTATACAATGTCTTGGCATATACATCGTATCAAGACAAGAAACAATTGCGTGTCAGACGGCAAGGCCAGAAGAATGCCAAATCCCTGAGACAATGCGAAACAGCACGCCGCTGGGCGTGGTTTTGTGTGATATGCAAGCAGGCGGATGTCCACTATTCGGACCGAAGAATGTGAAAGAACAGAACCCAAATATCACCACGAGGCTTAGACATAGAAGAAAAGATTAGGTAAATAGGTTAATCAATTATGGCCCAGTCCAAGTGAAAAGAAGTTAAAATTGGCGACCCTAATTTGTCCAGTCAGACGTTAGTCTTCTCGGCCCTCCGAGCCACGCGGCACTAATCTACAAATGTGACGGACTTACGTCTAATACAAGGATTCCAGCCTTTTTCGTTCCTAATTCTTGTGTATTCTACTCCGTAGTTCTGGCTTATAATCTTAACGGTCCCATCATATTTCTACCCTTTTTTTTTCCATTTTCCTGTAGCCTTTCTGGAGAGATCGCCTCATATCCGACCTTGCCGGCTCTTCTTGTCCGAGTGGAGATTTCCTCGCAATCTCCATTTCTCTACTCCGTACAGTGCTAGATAATATTTTAGTCTCCTACATAATTTGAGAGACATCGGTTTCCGACTGCATTGTGTCATATTGCTACTGCTATCTAGGAGCATAGCTCGACGCTGACAACTTTGTCATCGGATCATATGTGGCAACTTTTTTTGACGTCCGAAACAAGCAGAAGATCTGAGATTCAAGCTCGACACTACTCAATTGGGCCTATTCTCGTACCTAGGTATTCAGCCGCCATGATGCGCATCTTTAACCGTTTATATGCACTCTCTGCTATCGCACTCTGCACGGTTTTCATAACAGGATGGATTTTGACGTCACGGACTTTCTCCAATATCGTCCCTTTGGCATCAGCTCCATTCCAAGTAGCCAGCACATTTGACCAGCGATTAGTCGTTTTCGGGGACTCATGGAGCGACAACCAATCCCACGAGTCCCAGGGCAAGGTATGGACAGACTGGCTCTGTTCAATGGTAAGATACTACCCGGGGAGAGCTTAAAGGCGGAGAAACAAGCATCATATCTGACTGAAACAATCTGAAACGCTATCAGCTCTCCTGCCACCAAGAGAACCTAGCGCAGACAGCAAGTCCAATCCTAAAAGGCAAGAATATCGGTGCAGTGGTCGACAACAAAGAACTCGATCTACTGGGTCAACTGTCTCAGACCCATGTCGCAGACTTCAAGTCCCAGCTCCAGCAATGGCTAGATGCCGAGGCAACTGCGACAAAGGGCCTCTCCGAAGAAGCGGTCCGGTCCCGTCAGGATCGCACGATCTTTGTTGTCTCTTTTGGGGTGTGGGATCTCTGGGGCCTGATTACGAAGGACTACGACACAGCAAGTAAATCCGTTGAGCGGCGTATTGCAACGCTCATAGGTCAACTTGACATGCTGTCCGAGCGCTTGGGCACAACGGACCTGAAATTCATTGTGACGCAGACGGTCGACGTGACTTTCCTACCCAAGTTTAAATCCTCTGGTGATCAGTACAAGGATACAGTGCGGATCCTGGATAAGTGGAATAGGAAGCTGCGTGAGGTGACCAAGGAGTGGAGTCATGGCACTGTCTATCTCTTTGATACTAATGCTTTTATGATGGACCGCATCCGTGACTGGCAGCTCTTTACGGCGGGTATTGAGGAAGAGAATGGTCTAGGGAAGAACTTGGATGGGTGGGAAAATGTCGTGGAACCTTGCGTTGAGAGTGGGTTCAGGGTCATGATGTCAAAGGAGAAAAAACAGTGTGAGGATCCAGATAAGTATCTGTTCTGGTAAGTGGTTCTCCTTACTAAGTCTATCATAATCGGGGGGAGGGAGGGATCGATGAGTGAAAGTGTGATTTTTACTAACCGAGACACGGTTGATTTCAGGAACGAAATGCATTTGGGACCTTTAGCTCATCAGCTCATGGGTACGGAGGTTTACCATGGGATTGATGGGATTCTGTTGAAAAATGAAGTGTCACCGAAGCGCCACAACCGACGGGGGTTTGCAGCTTAGACATTGTCTAGATCAATGAGACACTATCCTTCACACACAAACAAGTTAAAAAAAAAAACGAATAGAAAAGAGGGGGAAAAAGCAAAGAAAGAACAGATATGACGTCTCGTAAAGGCCTAGGGAGGGGTCTATAGCAATGATGTCGGCACCCGAGTGTCAAACGCATTAGCCGACTATACTTAATGCGGAGCAAAATGGCCCGGTTCCAGACAAGGGTGGATTTTCCCAACCCTTGACTCTGGACTTCTAAAGAAAGGAACGGTAGTACCGATGTCAAACCAAAGACTGGAACATACAGAGAGTTATTGGAACGGGGGAAGATCCAGGCATCCAATTACCCGAGACATGAATAAGGCTAGGGGAGAATTAGGGGGGAAAGGGTGGTATTGTTCCTCGAAGAATCAAAGCAAGTCACTGTAACGCATAGAGTTAGATCAATGAGATCATCCTAGATCCTAGGAAATTTGAAATTTTATATATTTTTCGATCTATATTTTCATTATATGCTCCTATGCTCATTATAATATAAGATAGATAACACAGTCTAGGTGACAATGCCAGACAATAAAGTCTAATAAAATAAATCGGAAATCCTATCTTGTTAAACAGATTTAAACAGATTTCTTTGTCCGATTTGACGGGGAACCGATTTAGGACATACCCCGTCCAATCAACATAGTCGATCAATAGTTGGGTGGACAGTTCGATCAAGCGGGTCGCCGCATCCGGAGACAAAGAAAACAATGACTCTAGTGCCTTGGCCCTGGAAATTAAAGGAAATAGGGGATTTTGGTTAGTTGACACCTCATATTTATCTCGTTTGATTTTAATTTCTCTCTTTTTTTTTTGTTAAGATCTGTGTGAAGGGTACCGTGTCGTTAGAAGTATAGGAAAAAAAAATTGAGATTTTCCAAGTCTATACATCCGTAGTCTCCATAAGTCTCCAAAAGAACCATTTGAAGGGGAAAAAAATATTTATCACTTAATAACGACTTAATCTATTTTTTGGTACTTTTTTTCTTTTTTGTCGCATCTCGGTTGGCTCGGTCAGAATATCAAGGGCAATCTGGAGCTATTGTCAAAGAATAAGCCGCTAGACAGGGATTCTGGGGGGTAAACCAACCCAAGACAAAGAACGAGCTCTTTTAGGGCTTGGTCCAAACGCCCATATACTTCGCTTTACTTCGCTTTGTTTAATCCCTGGTCTTCCTCGGTCTTTATCAATTCTTATTGGGATATTACTTTCCCATTTTTCTTCCATTCTGATTCATTTTCTTTGTTTCTCTATTCTGGTCCCCTCTCTTTCTTTCTTGTTATTTCTTGCCCAGTCGTTCCCCTCCCAAAACTATTCACTTCTGCCTTCTCTTCCAACGGTTATACTTTTTTTTTTTTACCTTCCCCTTGTGGGCTATTCTCTTTGATTCAAACTTCGCCTTCGAGCCCTTTCATTCAGGAAAAGTATTAAATAAATGTCTTACGATCGAGTTCTCCCCAACCCTGTTGCTCTACGCTATGAGTCTGCTCAAGTCACTCAGCCTAGAGCGAGCAATTTACTCGATCATAAAATCATGAACGACGAATTGTCCAAGGCTGCCATGGTCATGAGACACCCTGCCGACGGTGGTCCAGTTGGGGCTTCAGTCAGATATCCTGATCCTCGCTCAGTACACCAGACACATCAACATATCTCTCTAAATGCGTCCAAAGAGACACACAGGATGTCCTCCAATGGTCAAATCAAGCCTGTCGGCCCCATTATCTTGACCAAGGAATTGCCCTTGCGAGAAAGATCAGATCGATCATCGTCTTCCTCGGCCAGCAGTACCAGTCCCGTCAAATCACAGAAAGAGAGTGCTATGCAGTTTTGCCTCTGTCAACCGGATCCGAAAATTCCCCGGCCTCGTAATGGTGAGTCGATACTGTCCGCACCGTCATTAGAGATTGGCAAGTGCTTTTTCGATTGTTTCTTTTTTGGTTCTTTATTAGCCAGATTTGATCTTTCGAACACATGGACATTGCTAATATGCAAAATCTAGCGTTTATTTTGTATCGTCAGCATTATCAGGCCATGGTGGTCGCTCATAATCCTGGCTTGGCCAATCCTGAGATCTCCAAGATTATTGGAGAACAGTGGCGATCTCTTTCTGAGGATGACAAGGGTAAATGGAAAGCACTTGCAGAGGTAAGACAGGAAATCTCTGGCAATGTGATTTTAAACACTAAAAATTATACTAGGAGGAAAAAGCTCGGCATCAGCAGCAATACCCTGACTACCGCTACCAGCCTCGGCGGTATGGTCGGGATGGAAGCGCCCGGAGTACGGCCTCAGGTATTGGACACAATCCATCTGGTTCATCCCATTGTAACAGATGCGGTGGTCGATTGATGAATGCACCTGCTTCCCCCATGACCCCGTTCACACCCAGCAGCGGACCCGGGTTTCGACCACCATCAAATTTCTCTGTTTCATCACCACATCCGAATTCTATGCCGCCAAGAAGCGTCCAAGGCCGCGAGAAGGACTCAGTACCGAAGTCAGCAAAGATGGACCATGATCCCCGTTCTCGCCAAAGACACTGGGAGGAACCTGGTGGTCGATCTCCTCCTGATAACAAACGTCGCCGAGTATCACACGGCTCATTCAAGCCAACTTTACATCCCTCCTACCGGGACCGCAGTCCTGGCAGTAGCATTCCCGAGTCACCACACCCGATGACCCCTTGGAGTGCTCGCCCCGATATGCCGCCTCGCCATCTCCCCATGCTCCAACCGCAACGGCCATATCACAGCGTCCAGGGACAGCCACACCCCGACCCCAGTCTGAAGCTACCGCCACTCCAGACCACAACACCAATGATGACTCCCACTCCCATGACACCCTATCCACAAGAAGGATCCAGTGTCGAAGCAACAGTCATGACAATCCCCTTCCTCAACAAGATCAAAGTCCTCGCCAAGATCTCTCCGCCACTCCTCCCCTCATTCCGCGACGGCATCCCACCACCCCGCGGCCCTGTCATCGCCGTCGAGGGTCAAGATCCCGACCTCGTCCAAACAGCCGTTGAATACCTCAACAATCTCCTAAAAAAGGAAACAAAATACAACGTACGGGTATTCGACGGACCAGAAATCAAACCACCCCGCCCCACCTCCGGAGGAACAGGCCAGATGGGCGACGCCACAGTCGACTACCTCAACACCATCTCGGCCTGGCACCGGATCTCCGACGAAGTCATTAGCTTCGTGAAATCCACTTCAAGAGCCGGCTCCGTCGACGCCCGCTCCACAACAACAGACGAGGAAACCCCCGCGCCAAACGTCTCCCCCCGTACCCTCATCCCCAAGACCGCAAATATGCACATCCACTCCCCAGCCCAGTCAAGCGAGAACGGCTCCGAGGCCAGCGCCATTACAACAGGCAGCAACTACGGCGTGCCAATCGCGCTCGTCCCGCGCTACCAGCTCACCACGGCGGACGCATTCGCCTGCTCCACGCCCATCGGCGACTCCTACGCACCGCTGGATCACTGGCAGTGGATGGCGTCGCTGTGGCGCGCGTGCGTGGGCCCTGATATCACGGTTTATATCCGTGAGTGTAGTAAGGAAGAGCTGGATTGTATGGGTGGGAATCATGTTGAGGTGCGGCTGCAAGATGCGCGCACGGTCGTACTACGGAAAGTTGTTGGGCGGGATTTGGAGGAGAAGGCGCTTAAGCGCATGGGTTTTGAGATTGAGGACTTTTTAACTCAGTAGATCTCAGGCTCAAGCCTGCTTTTGGGGCTGGACCATAGAATGTAATTGATGCATTATTCAAGGATTCAAGGATTCATTGGTTGGGGCGTGTGATAGATTAGATCGTGGTAATTTGATGATGGCTCATCATGCTTCTGATATATAATACATATGTATTAATAGTGAAAACAGTTTAATGAGGTTGAAGTAGAATAATATTCGCGATGATGTAAAATAATGTATCGAGAGGGAAGGGGACGTTGTCCTAAGAACTCAACCCCGTGGGCGCTCGGACCTTTGATCCACCCCCTACCCGACAGCCCAGCAGAGCCGCTTATCTAAGGCGGTCTCCATTCTGCCTATCTATCTCTGGATTTTATCTCATGTTGGCATCTTACAACCATTCGCCATGTCAGGGCTAAGCCAATGCGCCTCGGACAGCTGGAACAGACCCCCAGTGGAGGCATGCACTGATCTTTTGGGCCTTCCTCGACTTTCCGTTGCCCCATCTAGTCCTCAACCCGAGGTAAAATCTGAAGTCCCAGAGGCGACAGATGAGCCTCTCGACACTCTCACCCCAGAGGCAAAAGATGAAAAGCTTAACCCCCACATTCAAGAGGCGGCATATAAGTCTGCTGACACTTTTATCCCTGATGACTATATCCCCGCCGGCGTTGTGGGCAAATTCTCATCCGCACCCCCCTACCCGGATTCCGACATAACACTCCTGGAAAGACACCAATGGATCCGCACACGCTCACTTGACCACAGTGACAATGTACAAATTTTTGTTCTACCAGATTCACGACGAACCCACTTACGGTCAAATAGCCAGCTCAAATCCGCTCTCAAACGCGTCATGTCCATGATCGACAGCTCCTCTGAAGCATGGAACGGCTTAGTTCATGCCAATACTGGTCTACTTTACAACACTCAGCCCGATAGCGAGGAAGAAGAATCCTTGTATTATATATACAATACGCTGCAAGATCCCAGACCAAACTTGTTCCAAGTAACAGATTCACGCTCGCGGAATATCATGAAGCGATTATTTGGCGGTTCGATTCGAGGCCTTGAAACAACGCTTTATCCGTATCAGCGCAACTCCGCTGCTGTAATGGTTCAGCGGGAGACACAGCCGGCGCTGGCGCTTGATCCGAGATTCCAGCCTTGGCGGGGTCCAACTGGGCTGGAGTTCTATTATGATAAAGTGTCTGGGAGCATTTTGAGGGACAAGATATTGTACCCCGAGGCCTGTGGAGGTAAGTGCTCATATCTTCAGCACTTATTTTCCCAATCATTAAGTTGTGGATATATTGGCGAACTATACTGACTGCTACTAGGGATTTTGGCAGAGTCTATGGGATGCGGGAAAACCCTCATTAGTCTTGCTGTGATATTGGCTACGCGGGGTCAGTTTCCTAAAGTCCCGGTGGAGTATCAAACACTTGAGAACCCCATCAGGAAAAAGACTGGAACATTAATGGAAATGGCTGCTTCTGCTGCTGGTCGCTTTTCCCCTGCCATGGAAGGCTTTCTTTGATCAGGAGAAAGCCGAGGGAAGATATCATGTTAATTGTGAGAAGGCTTGTGTGGCCCACAGCGGTTCCTACATTATACCAGGGAAAAACGAAAACGAAAGGGGTGCAGCATCATCGTACGCCCAGTCGGCGGAGCAAATTCGTCTTTGCTCTGGTACACTGGTCATTGTCCCGGAAAACTTGCTGGACCACTGGGAACATGAAATCGCTACTCACACTAGCGATCTGAATGTCCTAGTTCTGCGAAATAAGGACAAAACACCATCAACGGACGAACTTCTGGACTTCGATATTGTGCTGTTCTCCAAAAACCGATGCAGCAAAGAGAATCCAAAAATGAGCAAATCTGGACAGAGGTCGGATTATCCTATTGCCAATCTTCACTGGTTGCGAGTTATTGTCGATGAAGGGCATGATCTTGCCGGTACATCGGAAATGGTCGACTTGCTTACAAAGCTTCACTTTGAGCGCCGCTGGATCATTTCGGGGACTCCTCTATCAGAATTGTATGGAGTGGAACTTAGCATTGCTTCACAGGAAGTGAACACAGATGATACTGAATCGTCAGCCGACAATAACGCCATCTTGGAAAAACGCAGAAAGGCGGGCAATGCCGTCAAGCCTGAGATCAAAGACGTGAAGAAATTGGGCTTAATGGTTCATTATTTCTTAAAGCTTAAGCCTTGGGCCAACAATACTAAAGACTGGCCACTTTACACAACAAAGGTAGGCGAGGATGGAATGCGTCGAAAATCTCCATCTCTACGTGCGACCCTTCAGAGTCTTGTTGTGCGACACCAGTACGAAACGGTCAAAAAGGAGATCACTCTTCCACCACTGTATAACAAAGTGGTCTACCTTGAGCCAACCTTCTACGACCGGCTATACATCAATATCTTCCTTTTCACACTCGCAGTCAATGCTATCACATCTGAACGAGAAGGTCTTGACTATATGTTTCATGAAAAAAACAAAGCTAAACTAACTGAGTTGATACAAAATTTACGTCTAGCTGGATTTTGGTGGGCTGGCTCCGACGACGTCCAAAGTACTGTCGACGTTGCTCGGGAATATCTAGAGGGAAACCAAGAGAAGATGACAGTGGCAGATATCAACCAATTAAAGCAGGGAATCCAGATCGGACGAAAGGCAATCGGTTCTCTTGGCTGGAACGGATTCAAAAAGATGCATGAGCTTGGAGTCTTTGTCCGGTATTTCCCAGAACATGCTCGCAACATGTGGGCCCTTGATCCCACTGGCACCGACCACGAACCCCTGCTCATGGGCATTACCCAGGCCCGCCGGGCCCAACAATTTGTGATGAACCATCTCGGCACGCCTGATCCTGCTGACGGTCTGGCAGGAGAGGGTATCAAAGTTCGTCGGGAGCTGGCTAAAAATGGCCAGATAGATACTCTTGCCCACAGTGGTGCCCCCGAGTCGGCAAAACTTCCAGTAAACAAATCAAGTTCGAAAAGGAAAAGATCTAAGAAAACTTTTGAGAATAATACATTCCACACTCTCCCGGAGACTTCGCCCTTGGCACAAACGAAGTTGGAAGGAGTAGCATCGGCCAAGCTTCGGTACTTGTTGGAGCAAGTGCTGAAGTTTCAGAAAACCGAGAAAATCATCATCTTCTATGAACACAACAACGTCGCTTTCTGGGTCGAGCAAGGCCTGGAGTTAATAGCAGTCAACTTCCGCACCTATGCCAGTACCGCAAGCATGGGCGCCGATCTCAAAACCAAACATCTAGCAGAATTCCGCCAAACCCAAGAGGTCCGCGTTCTACTGATGAACGTCACTCAAGCCTCGCATGGCCTCCACATCCCCGAAGCCTCACGGGTATACATTGTCAACCCAATCTGGGAACGTAACGTGGAAAGCCAAGCCATAAAACGAGCCCACAGAATCGGGCAGAAAAGACCAGTCTACGTCGAAACCCTTGTCCTAGGTGACACACTCGAGCACCGGATGCTCAACCGTAGCAAAAATATGACCGCTGAGGAGACAAAGCACGCAGGAAAGAACCCGCTAGACGATAATACCATGAAAAAGATCATTCAGAACGAGCCCTTCCTGCTCATGCTCGACGAGGCTTCGGCCGGCATGGCTCCGCTGGCACATCCGATCGGGCTGTTTGATCAGCATAAATTGCCGATTCCCGATAATGTGGTCCCTGCGCGCGGGCCGCAGCGGGGGCCATTGAAGCGGAGACCGCGGCCGGTTCCGAGGCCCGATGCCGATTCCGATTCCGCTGGTGTTCAGGAGCCACTAGCCCAGCGGCGACGGATCGGCTTTGCGGAGCATGATCAGGTTATGGGTGAGGGTGCTGTGGATGCGGTTCATGGGCCGCTGCAGCCTTTCCCCGTGTCGACTTCGGCTTCTGTTGCTGGGGCTCCTGTGTCTGGGCTTTCGTCGACTGGCTTCGCTGAGGGCGTGATAGGTATTGAGGATAGTGATGGTGAATCTCGTCTGGTGCAATCACTGCCTGTGCACTCTGGGCGAGTGTCGATATTTGGGCCATATGCGTGATAGATATCCACATTTTTGCGTTCTAGCGGCATTTTGAATTTTCTTGTACCATAATTTACTATTCGAGTCAAATGCTGGGCAAGTTTCCATGGCAAGCTCTGGTTACTCTAGATATTGCAGCCGTGTCCCAACAAGGTAAACATATTCTTCTACATTAAACCACCTCTCCTGGCGAGCTTTATTGTAGCAGTGTTACATAAGTGGAAGTAGATACCTACCTAGACCATTCAAACAATTTGCCATCCCTCAACTACTAGATCATCAAGCTCGGCCCACGAGCCTGCCTGCCTTGATATTTTTTTTTTCTTCTAACAACGTCAGTGGCGACTCTGCTTGAAAATAGCAAGTGTTTTTGTTTGGGCGTTGAGGTAGCAGCACTAGTCGTTGTCTCATAATGTGAGCCTAGTAAGTCATAGCCAGATTCGTTTCAACTGTCCTGAACTGTCCTGGTAGCGGTCCAAACCTGCTTGCATGTTGAGCTGGATCAAGTTGTTGTCCCTGGCCTGTAGGTTTTCGGAATTCGATTATAGTGCATGAAGGCAGATATATAACCGCAGATATATTTGCTAGCGGCTCCAACGCTTTAAGGGCGGGTGAAGTTGTTTATATTTATTGCGAATTCCATTGCTGGCCAGCATAGATGAGGTGGATTGGGCCAAGGTGCTTTAAGCAAGGGCTGAATAAAAACTTCATTAACAAACATGACCGGCATACATCCCAGTGTAAGAGGAACCAGCTTGGCGGGTTTTTAGTCTCAATATATATAAACCAGTCTTCCAGTCTCCAAACTTGCTGCGAATCCGCCGGGATTCTTCTTTCGTCGATGATAATTGCGGTCAATTTCGTCCCACAAAGTGCAAGGAGCAGCGTCATTTATGCGTCTCGCCTCAGCTGCCTAGTTCCTGCTATCTCCCCATGGTGGAAAAGACAGACGGGCTAAGAAAAGGCGAGGAAATTAAATAAAGAGAAGAGTAGTCCCTGGTTATACATGGAGAAAGTCCTACGGTTTATGCTTTTTATCGCCTTCGTATAGCCACATCTAGAAAGACATCCAAAAGAACATCAGAATATTCTAACATATAAAATCCCTAATATTATCTTGGGCCAAAGTCCTATATCGTCAAAGAGAGGCCCATGAGCATATTCTTGCTCTGGCCGAGTCGAAGGAAGGTACAAAGAAATACACACACGCAAGTACATATGCACACCCACAGTAGGTACCGCTAAGTACCGGTCAGCTAAGCTTAGTAAGTTTGCTTACAACCCCCTCACCCCCGCACCCCTCACTCCCGTCGCCTAGAAGATCTTCAATTCTCCAATTCCTCCCAAATCAACGAGTAAAAAAAATGAGCATACCAACTCACGAGAAGGCCGTGATAATAGGGATCTCCGGGCCCTCGAGCAGCGGCAAGACAACCCTTGCGCGGCTACTGCAGCGCATATTCTGCGGGGTGAATCTTAAACCCAAGGACTCACCTCTAAACACGTTCATAATCCACGAAGACGATTTCTATTTCCCAGACGATCAGTGTGTACACCTTCTTAATTGAATGCCGTTCATATACACCCAACCAGACACTAATATCTGCCCTAGAATCCCCTACACAACAACCGCCTCCGGAACAAAAATTCAAGACTGGGACACAGCCGCCGCAATTGACATCCCCTTCCTCTCGCAAGCACTGCACTACGTACGCGAAAATGGGAGGCTCCCGCCGCGCCTACAGAGCAAGGAAGACCAGAACGACGAGACATCTTCCGGCGTGCCAGACGAAATAGTGCAGGAGTTGAGGGATGTCGTTGGTTCTCGGTTGCGGGATGGAACAGCAGGGAAGAGCACCGAGAGCCCGACCATTGCATTCTTAGAGGGTTTTTTGCTCTTTGCGCCTCCCCAGTCTAAATCCGAGCAAGAACAGCACGTCCTCCGTTCCGTTCATGACGCGATAAATCTTCATCTCTTCCTGCCTGCGGCGTACGAGCTTGTTAAGGCTAGACGCGAGGGAAGGAGTGGGTACGTGACTGTCGGGCCAGCGCCGGAACCGCCAGTGCAGACTACAGAGGATGGGGGAGATGGAAAAACGAGGACGGAGATTGATCTCGAGGCTGAGGATGATCGTCCGCCGCAGAATTTCTGGGTCGATCCGCCTGGGTATGTGGACGATGTTGTCTGGCCGCGGTATGTGGCGGACCATGCTTGGTTGTTGATTTCTGATGATGAAGACGAGGATAAGAAGGGCGGGAGCCAGGCTCTGGCGGAGGCTGATCTTGTTCGGAGGGTTGGGGATGGGACTAGGGCTAGGACTGATGTTGGGGTTGAGGTTGCACCGGGCTGTGGGAGTGCAGGGATGGATGTTGTTTTGAGATGGGCTGTTGAGTTGATTCTAGGATATTATTTGGATCGGACGTAGTATATATATACATGACCTGAATGGTAGACTATACAAGTGCTATATATACAGTGGCTTAAGCAATAGAATCTTGTCTTTCATTTTTGCTATCTGCTAACTACAGCGATGGTTGCGTCTACTTATGTGGTTTCTTATTCAAGTCCCAGTATTCTACTTCGTAGCAATTCTAACATCTGAAGCCATCCCAATATTCTCAGACTCAATCCCGCGCAATTAGTCCTCGCCACCCAAGAAGAGTCCAGCATCATCATGAGAAGTCAAGGTAATACTAGGAGCACCAAAAAATATATATCTCTAACCCGTTTAACTCACTTCATATACATGTATAAGCTATGCATATAATAGCCTGTTTCTGCATAAAAGTCACCAAAAGGGTCCTCGGATGGAATCATCATCATTACGTGCATGCAGCAACGTTCATCCGACCTTTCGAAGCAACTCCCCCGGAAGAATTAATTTCCAAAGAACGCTCTGATGTGCTTTGGATGCTCTTTTCAAATATCCCTTTAGAAGTTAAAAGCATAAACTGTAGGATTTTTCTATGTAGAACCAGGGACTGTAGACCTGAATACGGGATTTTCGAGCTGTCCAGGGTGTATATTGGCTTAATCAATAGATTTCTGTCTGTTATTTTCCCTATCTGCTAACTGCAGCGATGGCTGCGCCTGCTTCTGTGACTTCCCATTCATATCCCGGTATTCTCCATCCTAACGATACTGAGCCACCCTCGTCATCAAAGATTTACTCTCACGCAATTGGTCCTCGCCATCCGAGAAGGTAGTCAATACGATCTCTCAGGGGCATTGGGGTGATTTCCACAGGTGCAGTGTTGATAGTCTGCTGAACTTCAGATCGAATCAGCTCGGGCTGAAGTAACAGCTCCGGCAGAACTGTGTCCATCTCTTTCTCCACGTCAGCATTCGTAATATTTACTGCGTAGTCCACTAGGCCGTTGGAACAGCCATACACTTCATTTTGGGGGTACGAAGTCTGGTGAGCAAGGAGGCCGAAACTGTCGAAACTGTCGAAACGGAACCCACAGTCGCGCATCAAGTACGACCAGTAGTAGATAATGTGAACAGATGCCAGGAACCCGAGTAGTTGGACAAAGAACTTGATCAAGGTCCACAGTCCGCGTACAGCGCGGAGTGGCCGCTTCTTTGGCTCAGCGACTGGAGTTTCCGCAACTAGGGTTTGTGTGCTTGTAGATTTGGAAGCTGGTTTAAATATTCCAGTCTCTCGAATGGCGAAACTGTCATAGAAGAATGAAGCTGGAGTCTTCGCAACCGGGGGCTTAAAATGATCAAGCTTGCGAGAAAGTCTCAGTTGAGAGGATGGAGATTGGCACCTAGTATCAAACCTCGGGTGCTTTGGAGGGATATGTTCAGCTTTAGGGCCAAAAAGAGTGTAATCTTCTTGGAGATTGGTTTCGATATCACTGTAGCTGAGCGTGGTCCTAATCCATGGCAGCCAGGTGACATCGCCTCGTGACACCTTAACTTCCCATGACACCGTGAACATGCTCAGGGCTTGGGGGATGCTGATGATACTGATGCGCGAGATTCCAATCCCATCTGGCGCTGGTTGTAGCCGAATAGAGTTGATCAGAGGCTTCTCAGCTGCAAAAACGGCGTCAAACTCGCCTTCCGGGCCGCCATGCACTCTAAGGTAGAATTTGCACTTCTCGGCCCAGAAGCTGTGATTGATGAGATCAATAGAGCAAACAGCGTTATATTTGATCAGATAGGATGAAGGATCCCCAGTCTCTGCCACCTCGGCCCGTATGACTGTGTTGACTTTGTGATCCTTGAGTTGTCCGTAGTACTCAGCATTGCACTTACGGAACGGAATCACGAAATTTTTTCCGCTGCCAAACTGGGCCATCAAGCAGCTTTCCACAAGCGTATGTCGTTTGAAGGGCGAAGTCGTGAATTCCATTCCTTGGCCTGGGGGTGTTCGGAAGTAGAGGTAGCCAGACTCGAATTGTGCGAGTCGAGGCAGTCCACTCACAATCAACTCCCACCAATCCCTCGATTTCCCTTTCTGCAGTCTGACCTTGAGCGAAATAGCAATTTGGTATGTCGCAGAGTAGACAATCTGAGGGGTCTGCAGGTAAAGAATGTCATTGTTTAGAACAAGCTTGGGCTTGTGCTTGTTGGCAATTTCCGCGGACGTCTGGGACAGAGGGGGTTGATTAAACCCATGGCCCGAGAAGGATGATGGCGATCCGATGGATTCAAGAGAAAGAAGCAGGTCCTCCTTTTCTTTGTCACTATTTTCACTGCTAGAAAGGCTGCCGTTGCGCCCACGAGTAGAAAACGTATCATAATTCCGCTGAAGCAAGTTCGCTTCGGTCAGCGGCTCAGTGCCGCTCAAGTCAGTCTTGCTGGAAGAAGTTTCTGCATTGCGACAAGGAAAGATTTCATCGAGTAGATTTTCAACTGTCGCGATATTGCCGTCCAAAGGATTCTCAGGTGTAACGTTCGGGGAAACTGGCACAGGAGTTGGAGCCGAGTCTGGAGGCAACGGGATGTTCCCAGATGTCACGCTGATTCCGTCCAAGCTAACAGAACACTTTCGAATGGGAATGGAGCTGGCGATTTCCTTGGTGGCGCTAGTGTCCTGGGACACAGGCTCTAGTCTCGGCGGGTCGACCTTGGTCATCAGGACTTTGTGTCGGATGCCTTGGCATTCATCGTCAGGAGGGATTGAGTCAGGCAGAGAAGCAGCCGTGGCGGATCTCTTACGCGGGTTGGAGTTCGGGCTACTGCCGTTGACATCGTTCTTGCATGGGTTATGAGACGTTGAGCTATCCGAGCTATCAACCCGGGTGTACATCGCCGAGATATTCACAGTACGACGACCCCGAAAATGATTACCCTGCGAGTCATCATGAAGAACAACGCTCCCAGAGGTAGAAATAGAGCCATTCTTGGCAGGGTATCTCTTGGTCTCATCGCCATATTCATGGTCAAGGGGAGCGTCTGTATCATTGTGGGCGAAGTCGGGCTTCAATCGGATGATCCAAGACGGGCTTTTGACGATGTTTGGCGACTTAACATTGAGGATTGGTATATGAAGGTTGGGATGACCGCAGGCTTCTAGCTTAATTCAGACGACAGTCAGTACTGAGACCCAAAGAGAAGACTCAAGGGCTCCCTGGTTTTTCAATATTACCTCCATGGCAATTGTGATAGACACTGGGTCTTCTGGGACGCCGCTCCAGTCGCACCACAAATCGAGGTTGCAGAGAGGGCTGTCGTTAGGGTCCATGGTGGGCTCCGTGGTGGCATCCATCGTGAGATGAGATGACGATGAATTGAGGAAATGAAAAAAGGAAGGATACAAGAGAGAAAATGAGTAGAGAGTAGAAGAGAAGAGAAGTTGGAGAGCAATCGAGAGGGAAGGTAGCAAACACATTAGGAAGGTACGCGAAGAGATATTAAAGCCATTGCATTTTCACCTCATACATCGTCAATTAAAAAAAAAAAAAAAAAGAGAGAAAAGAAGCAGCACTTGCAATTAGCCAGTGGTACTGCTTTTTTTGAAAAAAAGGGCTTGTATGTACAAGAAGGGCTTAAGAATAGTCTCACTTTTCTCCCAATCTCATGAAAGAACATTGAAAGACCTCCTCCTTTTTATCCCGCTAGCGCCTGTAAAAAATAGAAAAAAACCTTTAGCCACCCAGTTAAAGCATAAAGCATAAAGAGAATAATGAAACACTCTTTCTAGTCTATCAAGACAGAAGAAAGAAAAGATAATATCAAGCCAGACCGTTGAAGAGGTCAAGCAAATCATTGGGGCGTTCCATTTGCGGAATCAGAGGGATCAAACGTTGTTGGGCCGGTCACGGAGCCAAATCGATCGCCTTCGTTGACCATTTGAGATGGAAGAATGGGGGTATTCGCCTGAGTTTGGTCGAAATAACCTCGCGCGGATCCATTGGTTCCTTGAGGATAGTCGCGGTTCCGCTGCAGAGGAGGAAGTATGGTCGAGCTAGGGGGGTATCCGGACCGGGCATATCCCTGAGCTATCATCGCTCCAGTCGAATCTGGGGTCTGTCACGGGTCCAAAATCCTTAGCTAGATATTCTATTCCACACTCTCTCACTGGTTCGCAGAGGGGTGTCGTACAGGAGTGCCAGGCTGGTTCATCGCCATCAGTTGTCCCACAGCGGCCTGCTGCTGCTGGTTGGATCGGCTTTGACCGGTAGGATCAGGGATCTGGGACATGGGGGCTGATGGTTGCATTCCCGGGTACATCTATCCACCGATGTCAGCTCAAAGAGCTCCTAAAATCTGTCAAAGAGGAGGGGAAGGGCTAAGGATACGAACCGCCGCATAATCAGGCACCACCTGCCCTGTAGAGTAAGTCGACATGGGGTTAGGCGTTTGGTAGGTTGCTGGCTGACCAGTGTACATGGCAGGTGTTGGCTGGCTATATGGATCCATTTGACGGGCCATTCGACCATCCACATCATAGAGGCCCTGCTGTTGTCTGCCATAGTCGATCGAAGTACGATGACGCTTGACCGGTGGCTGCTGACCATAGTACCCGTAATCTCGGGCTGTCGGCGGATAGCCTCCATAGCTAGATGCTGGAGGGATCTGCACCGACTGACGCTCCGGAGATCGAGTAGGGACTGGCTGATGGAACTCGTCAGGTCTTGTTGTTCGTTTCCTACGACTGTTAGCTACACACGCCTTCAACTTCCCCGTCAGTTCATGACACTTACAACATGGTCCGAGGCTCCTTTCGAATGCGCAGTTTCACACCTTGATCCGCAAATGATCGGGAAAGGTGAGTTGACTCCATCATTCCAGGGAAACTCTTGGGGGGGAGACTACAAGCTTGTCAGATTCCCCAACTATGCCAGTGCTCTCCACTGTAGACGCAGATCCTTACCTGTGAACCGCTCAGAGATGATAGTCTTCAGGTAGGAGACACGATCCCTGTTGGCTCTTTGTTAGCTTTTGAAATGCGGAGTTAGGCTCCCGACCGTGCTACTCACTTTCGCATCTCGAACAAGGTAAACTTCAGGCGGAATTCACCCTCGATCTTCACCGAGAGATCTCCAAAGACGAAAAACCCTCCATCTACAAAACCAAACGAGTCAGTGAACAAGTCTCCCATTCCAAGACTGGCCAGAACTAACCGCTGTTGTCCACGTCCTTCAACCGGTGAAGAGACGAAACTAGGGTCCCTGCTAACGCAGTCGACGGTGCGACTGGCACGGGACGCTCTTCTGTTGCATCGTACAGACTGCAGCACATGAAATAATAAGGGCTTTGCAGGTAATGTCTGTGCCGAAGTTAGCCACGCGCCCAAAACCACGGTGAATTCGCACTTACTGTGCGAGGTAGGTGCCCTCCTCTCGCACCCGGAGCTGGACGATCGGGGGCGGATCGATCGGTTTGCGTTCTGCAGAAGCCATTAGATCCGGTTCTTTTTTTTTCCTGTCTGTTTCGCTTCCCGTTTCACCGAGGTGAACTAGCTAGAAACCAAAGAGAAGGAGCTTCTACATACCTTTTTCTTTGCCCCCCGCCACGCGGGCCCGATTGGGCTGCTGGCGAATGATCAAATCAAAGTCAGAACTGGTGTTGTTCAACATTGTCAGTGGGATTCCCTGGACGACCGCGTAAGAGTTGCGACCCTGTCAACGCAGACAGAAGAGCTACTCACCCCTGAGCTTCGCGCGAGAGAGAGGCGTCGGAGAATGTCGCACTCATCAAGACGAGTCACAGACAGACAGAAAAAAAGGTGGAGAGAACCCCCAGATTTGAGGTTGCTTTTCAGAGAGTACCAGCAGATACAAAGGCCGATCCTCGGGAATATAGAAGACCAAGTGAAAGTGATCTGTGGTTTTACGAGGTAAAGAGTGGGAAAAGGAGGAAAGAACGGGTCTTAGGACCGAAAGGAAATCCAGTCAAAAAAGATAGAGAGAACCTTGGACGAGTCACGATGTCGTCGGAGAGGGGTGGCAGCTGTGTGGTGGGGTAATGATTTTTTTTCTTCGGACTTCAACCATGGGAAGTGAAGACAAATGAGAGACACCAAATGAGATTTCGTGTTGGAGTAGATGGGAAGATGTGTCGAAGACGAAAACGGAGTGGTGTCGTCAGTTTGCAAGCGGAAAGAGCCAACCGAGCGCGGTTCCAGATAAAAACTTTAAGCTCTGATCTTCCCCTATAAACGGCCCCCCGGGAACAACTGTAGATATTCCGAGATTCGAATCTAAAGAATTTCTCAATAAATTAGGGGGGAGAGAAAAAAAGAGATTCAAATTCAAGAAAAAAAAAATCAGAAAATCAATTGGATCACAGGCTTTCAAATCTGCCAGTCCTGAACAAATCAGATTCTAGAATCCCACAAAAAAAAATATAATCAACTAACCCAATGAATTATCCAAGATTTTTTTTTTTAGGAAAAAAAAAAAGAAATATAAAAAAAATGTAAGGTCAAGAAGAAAGGGAAATCCTCAAATTATACCACAGTAGCAATCTCTTCAAAAACGAGAGCAGCTGAGGTGGATCTCTTTTCCCAAAGTCCCAAATGTGATTGCCTTTTGAGAAGGGGGGGGGGGGGGGGGGGAGAGAAGAACCAAAAAGAAAGCCAAAAAAAAGGAGGAATTAGGCCGTAGACGGAAGAAAAAGTGGAATAGGCTCAGCTACCCACGGTCAAAGGGGCGAATGACGATCAGGATAAGTAGTAACCTTCTGGCTTTCTCTCTTTCTCGTTGGTCCGAAATAGAAATGGCTAAACCGCTAATCCGCTAGTCCGCGCCTGTTTCTTTGTGATCATTAAACCCACAAGGTTGGCGCCGGTTATGCAGGTGATCAGACCCGGTTTTTCTTGTCGTCCGTAAAGGTGTTGGTCTAAACGCCAGGTGGACTCGGGCCCTGGTCCGGCGTCTAAGCATTCCAGTCAAAAGTGGAGATATGCACGATCAAGCCGCATCGCCTATGTCCGGGGGTTGCGCCTGTGTCTCCACACTCGATCTAAATCCTGTAATTAGCCATTGTTCAAGAGTATCAAGATAGTCCATATGTTGAAGTTCATATAGAACTTCTCAATAGGCGGTTATAGCTGCCGCCTGTCAACCAGAGTTTTAACCCTTTGGTTCCAAGGTTCCAATGGTTAGTGACTTCCTTATGTCATCCCGAACCAAAGAATGCCTTCACTAGTAACTCCCACATTCGCTTGGACACCTTCCCCCCTAAACAAACAAAAAAAATTAGGGGACAATACCTTTCTCTTGATGCCAATGCTCCTTCTGGTGACAAAATCCAATATTCGAATATCGCACCTGAATTCTTCGAGGAGTTTGTGTGTACCACTTGAAGGCGTGAATGTCGGAGCCTAAGGGGCAAGGACTCGATCCGCGTTCGAAGACCCAGGTCCAGCACAGTCACAGATTGACAAATGATCGGGAAAGAGGATTCCCACACAATCGCGTGCAGTAGCGTGTAAAGCCCGAGAGCGCTTGGAGAGCACGTTATTCCGAACCGGGACGAACCGATACATGCCGAGTCATGATGCGACAATGGGAAGCAAGATAGGGGAAAAGAGTTGAGTCGAGGAAAAGCGAGAAACAAAATCAAAAGACAGCGCAGGAATGAGACTTGGACAGCGCGTTTAAAGGGGGGAAACACAATGCGACAACGAACAACACACCACTGCGCGCAGGGCTTTCCCCGTGACGCATCACATTGCATAAGAGATATGCAGGCCCAGGATTTCATGCAAGCTACTGTATGCCGACTGCAGTTGAGAGCCACCGTTGGCGCTGGTTGGTTCCGTCAGCCGGAAATCCCTCCATCCAGATATAGGGCCGGGCAGCATGCATCAGCCAACGAAAAGAAGAAAGAGATCAATACCAGAGAATGTTTGGGGGCAGTGCTGCAGCTTGCAGATCGGGAGTTCGTCATGATAAAAAAAATAAAAAATAAAAAAAACCGGTACTTTCTAGTATGGACTACAGGGAGGCTGCTTTGCGCCACACTCGACCCTCGACCTGCGGCTGAGGATGTACGGTACTTTTTCCCCCTCCTCTTCAGTCACATTCCAGATAAATTTGGCTGCATCGGCGGTGCACCTGTGGATCACACATCCTGAGGCTGCTGTGTTCTGCCGAAGAACTTGCATTCCACACTCTTTAGGCATGGGGCCGGTTTTTCTTTTCGTTATCGGGTCCTTTTCTTGGCAGGATTCGCAATAGAAATCCCAAATTATAGCTTGCATGCAGATATTCTGGGGTCCAGGTTGGGAGTGGCACGGCGATGATCATCACTCCCCAGCATGTGATACAGAGACCTGCAGGTACACTTGGCTATGTCAAGCATTCCTGTCACAGTTCATCCGGCCATATGGGATCTATCTGCGCATGGGAGTTTTGATAGCAACGATCATATGCAAGGGTGAGCACCGCAGGATTCACTTTCGATCCGTACGCGCCGATCAGCCTGACAAAAGTCCCATTTCCCAATATTAATCCTGCAGTAAGAGTGCTATCGTTATTGGCAAGTGACTGGGGTAGATGGGACCCGCTGAGGGGGGTTCCGGCGCCAATACCTAGCTTCCAGAGAACGGCGTCTGCGATTCGTCAAACTGATAAGTACAAGCTGACAAAAAGGGGGCCGACTACCTAAGGAAGAAGAAGAAAAAAAAAGAGTCAAGTGAGGGGGTGGAAGGCGGGAAAACACACGGTACAGGCATTGCCTGATGGTCTGACTGAGCCTGAACAGTAGTTCTTATCCATTGCATTATGCCCGAGCGACGAGTTCCTGGGAATGCAGTTGATAGGCCCGAAAAAAAAAACTTACAGCCCTAAATGCACATCATTATGCGACAAGCAAGCCCCAGCACTGGAAGCACGACCTGTCACTTCCTTTTGACTTCCGGGAGTCGGCTCCGGCGCCAGGACAGAAATCCAAAGACTTGAGCCTTTGGTCATGGCGGGGAAAGCCACCATTTCATCTGGTGCAGAGTCATGATTCGGTCGTGGAAACTACCTAACATGACTCATCCAGACACTGGAATAATTGAGCGAAGGGTGGCTGTGATACTGGTGCTAACTCGTAGGGACAAGAGAGAAAAGAAGAAAAGAAAGTTCGAGTGCGAAAAACAAAAAATTAAAAGTGACCGCCAAAAAGGAAGCGAATTTTTCAAATTTTTTTCCCAATTTAAAAGTACAGCACACACCCTGGCCAAAATCCACTGCGGCCCCGATTGGAAAAACTGGGAACCTGTTTGTGTCGAGGCTGTTCTCCTGGCTACTCCGTACACTAATAATAATAATAGGACCAAAGGAAACTCAAAAGGGACCCGTGGAGAACGATCCAAAAAAAAAGCCTACTAGCAGAACGAACCCCTGTTCGGCACGCATGAAGTGAGGGAAAAGGAAGAATGGGGGGCTATGGAGCAATATTAGAGGCGGTTACTGTACGGGGCGGGATAGGATTTTTTTTTTTAGATTCACGGAGACTGTGGAATTATTACCTTAGTGAATTGCACAAGTTAAAGCCAAAACCCAGTCCAGGGCGCATATCTGACAGCGGCAATCTCCATTGAGAACCAGTGGTTAGGAACTGCTAGGTGGGCGCTACTGTGTTTATGCTTAAATGCTGGCCCTTTGATGGTTCCATGGTGGTTTGGGGTCCGTTCCATGGTTTCGTTCCCTCCCTGACAGCTGTCCGGTCCGTGTTGGCGCCGTGGCCGCCGATCTTTCGATCGGTGTGCATCGGACTATAGATTGTTACCTTGTACTATTATTGTGGACATAATGATTCTGTATTCCTTCTGATCTGTACCATCCCTAATGCTAATTAGTATTACTTGGTACTCCCGATCTGGTAAGTTGATGCGTCGACCGTCCATGGGTATTCGATGCAAATCTCACCTTCCTAAAAAGGCTTGGCCTAAAATCCTCCTGTTGGGGGATACCCGATAGACTCACATGCATGATGATTTTCATAATTATTGCTCATGTTTCTGTGTTTCTTCGGTCACCTTAGCCCATTACATATGTACAGGTCTACTGCAAGGATTATGCAGAGTACGAAGACCGTGTACTTATGTTGATATGTGCCCCTGATGGAACACATCAGATGAATGGCAGATCAGCCACAACTACTCCGTATATCGTATCGAAATCGAGATCGAGATCAAGTGCTACGCCTTGTCCCTCGCATATGGAGGAAGAGATACTCCGTACTGGGATTACAATTGGCTATTGGGTCTAGAGAAAAAGACAATCCTTGTCTTCTTTCTCGTAGGCAGTTGCGGCGTTTTTGTCTAACAGATCTATCCTATTTTTGACTTTTTAACCCAGCATGTCCTGCGCGACATTACACTTCGTCTTGGATATATCGCATGCAAGGCACATATCTACTCCATATGAACACTAAACCAAAGAGCTACCCAGTAATTGATACATTGACATAAGATATGCTAATCACACACTGTACTCATTCGTCGCAACTAGATAGAAAGAGAAAAGAAACACCCAGACAAAAAAAACTCCAGATACCCCCATCCCTGCTCCGTGCTGGATGAAATCCCTAAAAAAGTGACTAGTAGTAAATGGACCAAAGAGGATCGACGAGTGTTGCATTACACATCCGTCGCCTCTGGGCACCCACTTAGTGTAACATAGCCTTTGAACAAGAAAAGAAAACGGACAAAGAATATTAAATCGAACGGTGGGACAATGCAGGTCCCGGGGAGGCGTGAAGGAAACGAGAAGAGAAATAAAGGAATCGGAAATTTCGTTAAAACAAACGCCCTGTCCACATGCGTAACTTGCTTCGCAGGCAAAAAAAAGTTTGCACGAATCATGAGCTTCAAGATTATCATGTCTGCATCACGACATCCCCATCCACTTCGTACTCCGCGTCAATCTCTGCATCCGCGTCTGCATCTGCATCTGCATCTGTGTCTGCATCTGTGTCTATGTCGGTACCGTTGGTATTGACCAGGGCCTTTTGGTCATCACCTTTGCCTGGTGGCTTGGAAGCAGACCCTGGCTCAGCGGGAACCATAACGTGAACTTTCTCGACCAAAGCCTTCCGGTTGACTGATCGCGGTGTCTTGGGGTTATCGTTGGATGGACGTGAGACTGATATCCCAGGTGATCGCGAGATGGAGTTAGATTGTTTCTCGGGGGTCCTGGGTGCTTCGGCGTCCTTGTCCTCGGATAGCTCGGGTGCAAGCTCAGCCTCGGCAGCATCAATGCCATTGGGCTTGACAGGTTCATCGGAAGCACCATCTCCATTAATACGCTCCGGTCGTTCTTCGCTCGCATCTACAGATTCTTTGGGTACAGGAGCGATGTTTTCGGCATCCTCATCAACAACTTCAGGTTTCAGACCGTTGGCCTGGCTAGGTGTTGCTTCAGCTGCGGGTGAGTCCGTGAGGATCGAGCTTCTTCCGCGACGAGTGCTGCCTCCAGGCGTGGCCATTGCCAGTCCGGAGGGTCGTCGAGGTGTGTTGCGACCGCTGTTGCGGGCAGCCGTGGGTGTCATTGACATGTTATTGAGTTTGGTGCTACCAGATGGGCGGCCAGGTCTGCGTTTGGGGGGTGCTGCCGGAGGCACAGGGGGCCAAAGTTCGAACCGGGACGGTGGGATTCCAGCGGCAGGGTTGGGGATTTCAGCTGGTTCGGCGTTGCCCGCTGTAGGATGATGGGGGCCATGAGGCCGTAGAGCCAATGTGGAAGGCGGTCCAGCAGAGTCTGCGAGAGCGTCTCTATTCGACCCATTCATCATTCGAGCATTGCTCTCATAGTCGGTCGCCCTTGCCTCGGTCTCATCTTCGTCTTCATCCTGATCCTCTCGGGGAGCAACAGTATGTATGGGAGCACGATCGAAATGAGACTGGTTGCTACGACCCATAATGTAGGGCGTCCAGAGCAGCGCATCTGGATTGAGCTGGACGTAACCCTTGCTTTCCCAGCCACTAATGACCTCGTTATAGTACTTGTGATCAAGACGGATGGCGTACGTCTTGGTGATGGGATCCCGCACGAGAGCTCGAAGTCCTTCCAAGGCAGATACAATGTCATCTGCTGTCATTCCAGTGCGGTCAGACAGATCTGCAATACTGATAGGCGTCTTCAAATCCCGAAGTTGGTATGATAAAATCAATCGCCAGTAGTTCCGATACGAGACCAGACCCATATCAGAGAGCGGTTTCTCGGGTGATCCATTTTTGCCTTCGATGCGGGTAAGGAGGTATGAGAAGTCGATGAGAAGGTTTCCGTAACCTTTTCGTTGGTGGATGGGTAGAGTGAGAATGCAAGAAACGTTGTTCGCTGAGCTTGGACGCTTTTCTTTACTAAAGTAACCAACAAAATGGCAACCCAGATCGTCATACTCAGTCATGACATAGAATAGGAATGGCTCAACATCGTAGTAAAGAGTCTTGGAGCCTAGGAAAAGTTTTGCGAGAAGGCAAAGGTTTTGGCAGTACACCGGGTTCTTGCGTCCATCAACTTCGAAGATTGAGATCGATCGATCTCGATAGATCTCGTCACCAGGTGGATGCTTCGCAGGGCACTTGAGTTTGTGCCGCCAAGCGACGAAGTCCGAGTTCATGTACTTAAGACAGAACTCGCAAATGTACAGAACACGGTTACGGCTGTATTCCTCCGGGTAAGGCGCTGCATACCAGGTTTCGATCTCATAGCCACCGAAATTGATGGATTTGATCTTTGAAGGAGGACCAGAAACCTTTTGTGATGCATGCGGAGTGACTTCGCCATTGAGTTCTGCTTCCTTCACTTTCTGTTGCCATTCCTCTTCGGCTTTCAGACGTGCCTGTTCAAACCGGTCGCGATCGAATTGTGTGGGGAGTGTCCTGGATGTATCTTGTTCGGCTTCGGACAGAATGCCTCCATATGGTTTTGATTTTGCGTCATCGGTCTCACGGTCGAACAAAGTCATGGAGTTGTAGGATATGGGGGGAAGGGGAACGAAATGTGCCTGGGGTTCTGGGGCCACAGGTGGCGGCTTTGGTGCTTTCTTCTTCTTGCGTTGCGGTCGGATTTGAGTGCCTGTTATTTTAGAAATTTTTGCCTCGTCCAGCCGGAACCCAATAATCAGTTTCCCAAACTGCCTAGCTACCACGCGGCAGTGCTCTCGGTCCACTGCGCGGGTACGTCGCACGCGTACAGAGCGTGTTCGAGCGGGAGAGTGGAAATCACCATCAGGAGTGGCATCCACGCCATCCAATGCCGCATCATTCAAACTTGGGTGATCGGAGCGGAAAGATGTTTGTCGGAGTCTTTTGCGAAGCACAGGTGTGTGTTCTTCAGCATCGATTGATGAGGCCTTTCGCTTGCGTAGCGATCGCGAGCTGTTGAGCATCTCGTCGTTGACGCCTGTGTTGAATATCGAATGAAATCCCTCGTCATGTGTACCAGCGTGCGCAGGTAGAAGCTCTTTAGGAAGAGCTGAAGCTCCGAGTCTGATTTCTGTCGTTGGATCTGTTATCGTGTCGGGCTCTAGATTGTTAAGGACACAGCCGGGGCACCTCCATGGTTCTGGGTGTTGTAATGTTAGTGGGTGTAATAAATAAAACGGACGGCGAGATGATGAGACAGAAATCAAGGACAGAGCGGTCGCGTACCTTCCGTTTCATCAAATGCTTCTTGTTCACGAGCGCATTGCCGATGAGCTGTCGGAAAGTCGAGTCAGCAATGGTTCAACCTAATTGGGGTAAAGGGCTCGGCATCTGCCAAACGGAGTAAGACGTACAGTGATCACCACACACAATACAAGTGAGCCACTCCTCAAAATCTTCACTTGGGTCGTGTTCCTCGTCTTGGGTGCAAAATCTATTGTCCTGTTGTTAGTACTTGAAAGTCCTACCTCTGTGCCCAGTGCGATATCGAGCCCTTCTACTTACATGCAGTTTGCGCCACTACGGATATCAGTTTCGATATCATCGCGGCCACTCTCAGCCTCCCAGTCTTCAGCTTCTGATTCGTGGTCACTTGATTCGGGTTCTGATACATCACGGTCGTTTGCCTCAAACCCGGGATCGGCATCCACGTCGGCTGCCTCAGACTCCGCATAGTCTTCTTCAGAACCCGCATCGTCATCAGGAAGCTTGACAGCTCCAACAGGTTCAGCCTCGTCATTGTCGTCATCGTCTTCTCCGTTCAACCCATTGATACTCGAGTTGTTTCCATCAGCGCCTTCCTCTAGGCCATCCTCATCAACTTCTCCAGTGTATGCTCGGTGAACGGCATCTTGAAGCCGTTGATCCATTGCATACAAGTCAGTCTCTTCTTCGCCCTCTGCATCTAGGTCGCTGTCGGCTGTGTCCATAGGCGGGTCGAGTTTGCCCGGTTCATCATTTGCTGGCGGCACCGTCGCCGCCATAGTGAAAGTTACCGCCACCGCCAGGTTGAGCACAGAAGTGCTTATTGTATGCGCTCAGGCAGACTAGGGTATCTTTTCGTTAAAGAAGCTTAAACCGAACCGGTTACAGAAGCACCCCGCTGACGTCGGCACTGATCTGGGGGTGCATCTGGATCAAAAGCGGGTTCGAGGCAGGTTGGAGCAGTGCCGAAGTTTTTTACAAACAGAAGTACCGTTCGGGATTGACGTTCAAAGTCTCCAGGCGCAAAGTGAAAGCTAAACAAACAAGAGGTGTCAGTCGGCCGTTGGGGTGGCTACGCATCGCACGCGCGTCGCAAAACAGAAACTCACCCCAAGAGAAACCAGTGCAATCTTTGATTCAAAAGCGTACCAGACGCGTCGACAGACAGTCCATACACCGGGGCCTGTCTCTTTTACAATCGAATGCGATCCACAGCGACCTTCACGCCCCTTGTCCTGTGAGTGTCGTTGCAGCGCGCTGAGTCAGCGCAGGCTAAACCACTTTGGGTGGAGGAGACCTCAAGCCCGTTGCTGTAGGAAGAGACACTCCCCTCCACACTCTCTGCGATCTACCTACTCTCCTCCGTCCGTGAGAGGCTTTACGGCTCTTAGCTCTACTTTGATACCTCCTTACGATCAAATACATACCCATACAACTGCACGCCATGGGTGTCCCTTTTGAGGCCCTGCTTCCCTATGGGATTATCATGGGCGTACGTACCATTGGTCAATGCCTTCCAGGACTATAGCTCACCAATTGCTACAGATGTTTGGCGTGACAGGCTACGGTCTTCACTTTGTCAAGCGCTTTGCCAACGATGGCAAAAAGGCGCGCTGGAACCGGGACCTGTGGGATAGAGTAAGTTGACCCCATCCTTGTCGGCTGCGGTCGGAACTTGCATAAAGCACAATGGCTAACATTTTCACAGCAAAGTGAGTGATTAACAGCTTATCGGCGGACCCCAAAGCATCTAGGAATAATTCTATAATTATATGAGGCTAATCGCAACCAACAATAGTGATGGAGAGAGACCAACGCATCACAGGCTCATTCCGAGGACAGTCCAGCAACCACCAAGCGCCCACCGGATTCGAAGTCAGCAACCCATGGAAGGTACGAATAACAGACTGCGATTTTAGTCTCCATGCAGAAATGCTGACCCGAGATATAGATCGAGAGTCGGATCTACTAGTTTCAAAAATTGCAACCTCTTTTCCTTTACGTTCAATGTCTGCGCCTTCCTTACTTCGTGACCATACATATCCACTGCAATTTCGCTAGAAACGTTGTACCATATCCTTTATTCTCTCGGATTCCCTTAGTAGTATGCTCAGGCATCCATGTCTATTTGAGCTCCGAGGTCATTCCCCGAATCCCTTGGATCTCATTCTCACGAAGGTGCATACCGAAATACTTGGCCAGGGCCTTGATTCGGTCCCCTTCAGTATCCAGCACCTGCAATATTTCCGTTTTCCCGCGCAATCTCTTCTTGACTTCCTTGCCCGACATAACGTACTGACCAATGATCTCTGTGCCACTTTGGTCCAAAATCATTCGCATGCAGACAAAGACCTGGGTGAACCAGCTAGTTCGATTCTGGCTGACGGAGAAGTTCATGACCTCGAAATCCTGTGGTAGGAACTCCACATCGGAAAAGCAGATCATTGGCAACCACTCGCTCTCAGGGTTGTATCTTGTTTGGTAGATCCAGACCTTTTGGCTTGGATCTGTAAACTCGGCAATGCTTTCTCTGACAACACGCATCTCGCATGGTGCGATAGCCGTAGCAGTAGCACCTTCTTGAAGTGGCATTGGAACAGTGGCACAATTGTTTCCAAAGCCGACATCAATCTATTAGTATCCGTTAGTACGATTCATGTGGTAGCTGCAATAGATCTCCATGCCATACCATATATCTCTTCCCTCCAATAGTCACAACCAATATCATATGTCCACTTCGCCATGGGGTTAGTTCAGCTCGAATGGTCAGAATGCCAAAATGTCGGAGAACTTACAACGACAAATATAGTCCATTATTCAATCCCTTCGACGCAGCATGACTAACTCTGCCTCCAGTAGCGTAAACAAGATATCCCAGAGACCGTAAGACAATCAAGAAGATTCCGGTATTCTCCATGCAGTACCCATCTAGCTGCCGCTCCACCAACTTCTCAAAGAGAATTTGCGAATTCAGAGAGATAGTATGATGTTGCGAGTAATGCAGCCCTGAGTTACCCCATGGAATAGCACTTAGATGTCGCCTTTGCAGACTACATAGCGCAGAGAACGCATCATTTTCGATATCCTGGCGGAGATGCTGAAGAAGATTGCACTTGGATTGGGCGGGGTGGGAGTACCCGATGCGGTTCAAGTATAACTCCAGCTGTTCATCGGTATATGTGGGTTTTGGTGGTGTCATTGTCCTTGCTGTTTGAGTTTGTATGCTCAAGGGATATATGAATTGTCTTACATCTACGACTGCTAATTCCTCCAAGCCATTGCCACCTAGGCTTCTTTTTGATTACCAATATTAACTTGGCTCCCCACACTTTCCTCGAAAGGTTGCCTCCGCGACGCCGGCAGTTTATAACGGTTATATTAGGGCATACACGTGTTGCAGACAGCCTGCTCGGATAATTCCACTGTTGATTGAATTGTATATCCATATATATAGTTACTGTTGATAGCTCTTATGGCATATGGCATAGAATGCGCCCATATTTTTTTTATTGGCACGTTCTGTTTACGAAACTCGGTCCAGAAGAGAAGGCAGATTCGAAATTATAGAAGCATGAATGCTACATCGAATATACTACCCCGCCTTAGAACACTGGGGTAAATAACTCCAGTAGAATATCGGCAATGGAAGACGTGAATCCCGGTAGTTGCAGTACTATATATATACGCTAACTAACAATCTATTTCTTCGTTTTTCTATTGCTCTTTTTCAAAAAAGGTAGATTGTCCCGATAATCACCTACCCCACGTTTTCTGTATGCGACAGGTTGAGACATGTATTTATCCACCTCGGCTATGGCCCTTGAGAGGAACAACACTATCCAGGTATAATTATCAATGTTGTACAGATGTAGAGAATATAGAATTTGCTTCTAGCCAGTATCACAATGTCTCAAAATAAATAAGCTTGTGAAACGTGCTTTTAAACCCTCCGATTTATAGATGGCCGATGATGTAGTTTTCATCCGATATCCGGACCTACGGACATGTGCTTCAACTGATCAGCGAATGGACCTTTGGCTCATCATATATTCCTCAATTACTTATTGTATAAACCGTGCTTTGTACAATACAACTGTCTATACAAATTCAACGGCGAATTATCCCTCCCACCGTGAACTCCTGCATCTAAACACAATGACTACGCTAAACGAGCAACTCGCGACATTAACCGAGAACTACTCACCTTGCGATGTATGCCAGCGTTGCTCCCCCATACCAAAGTATTGAATAGTGCATCTAAGATTCTAATTCTGCAGGTATCAGACGCCCTCATCAAGCTGCAAAAGGCGCCCGAGGGCAGCACAGCAAGAGCAGGCTACCTTGCAGATCTAGGTAAGCCATGAATACAAAACTCGCGAAAGCCTCTATGCGTCCAATTCGACTCACATATATCCACCAGTGCCGTTCTCTCCTACAACAGGATGGAATGAAACAATGGCCAAGGTTGCAGCCCCTGCAACAACATTCAAATTTCTAGCCAAAAACGTCAGCCCACCATCAATCGCAACAGAAAATCCCCAGAAGCACGGTTTCCCGCTGGGTAAGCACTGGGTAGATTACGTTGGCGAATTTCAAGCCTCAGATCCTTCTGGCGCCGGATCCATCGTCGTCATTGAGCAGCCTGAGAACCAGCATTGCGCTGTGACGGGCGGGATCATGGCGACCCGGATGAAAGCCCTCGGTATCAAAGCTACGGTTGTGGGTGGCCGGGTCAGGGACTTGAGGGAATTGAAGGCTACTGGGCTTCCGGTTTGTCATGATCTCTCATGGTTATGTCGTTGGCGTTACTGATAGCTTTTCGCGCGATGATAGATCTGGGCTCGCGCTACCTCTACTGTTGGTACTAATGCCGAGGCCAAGGCTGGTGCTCGTGATGTGCCAATCTCAATCGGGGGTGTTACTGTTTCACCTGTAAGTTCTGACCCCAATGCTGCTCGCCGATTGCTTTATGGTGGAGTTCATGGCCTAATCATCGTAATGCATTATAGGGAGACATCATCTTCTGTGACCCCTTGGAAGGAGTAGTGGCTATTCCTCGCGAGCTGCTCGGCCAGGTGCTTGAGCTCATGCCTAAACTGACCACAATGGATGGCCACGCCAAAGAGGCTGTTGCACAGGGAATGAGTGTCACTGATGCCTTCAAGAAATTCCGCGGATAGCTCTAGTCTAATGTCTATACATATAACTAGATCAGGTATACAGCAGACGAGGAACTGAAGAGCATGGAAAGACCTGCGCCAGTATTTCACCGAAGCATCTGAAGGGAATATACAACAATATTGCTATCAAATGTAGAGCATATATATATCAACATTTTGGTATTCGAAGTATTCAATACAGAACGGGAAATATGTGTATCCGAAATAGAAAAAAGGGGCTAAAAGCCAAATCGCTGTGCAAATGTACAACCGAAACATAAGTTTCATTTACTCCGCCACCCAGACAGCGGCCATACCCATACCAGTACCGACACACATGCTGGTGACACCAATCTTCTTATTTGTGCGCTTGAGCTCAGTGAACAGTGTGCTGACCTGGCGAGCACCAGTGCAGCCAAGAGGGTGACCGAAAGCAATAGCACCACCCTTAGGGTTAATCTTCTCGGCAGGAATGCCGAGTTCATTAATACACCAGACGCACTGGGAGGCGAACGCCTCGTTGATCTCGTAGATGTCGACATCATCCTTGCTGATGCCGGCCTTCTCTAGTGCAACAGGAATAGCCTTCCAGGGGCCGACGCCCATGAGCAGGGGCTTAACGCCGACGACACTGGCAGTGACGTACTTGCCGAGGATCTTCTGGCCCAGACGCTCGGCGGTGGACCGCTTCATGAGGAGGACGGCGGCGGCACCGTCGGAGATCTGAGAGGCGTTACCGGCGTGGATGGAGCCATCCTTAGCAAAAGCGGGCTTAATCTTGCCCAGCGACTCGGCGGTGATACCAGGGCGGACACCGTCATCAGCCTTCACGGTGATAGTCTTCTCCTCGCCGGTCTTGGGGTCAGTCCACTTGACGTCCAAGGGGGCAATCTCCTCGTCGAAGAGACCGGCCTTCTGGGCGGCAAGAGCCTTTTGGTATGAGTTGGCGGCGAAGGAGTCTTGGGAAGTACGGGTAACGCCACGGTCCTTGGCCATGTTCTCGGACAGCACACCCATGGGGACCTTGCAGTTCGCGGATTCAGGGTGGCTCTCGAGGAGGTCGGAGAACTCAGTCACGGCACCCGGTCTGTGTCACCACTTGTTAGCCATATTATCGAGCTGGGTAATGCCAAGAATTAAACATACCCGTACTGAGAGGACATGCTCTCAACACCGGCACCGATGCCGACATTGATCATGCCAGACTGAATGGCGTTGGCAATATCGGCGATGGCCTGGAGACCGCTAGAGCACTGACGGTTCAAGCTCCTCACGGCAGTGGTCTCTGGGAAGCCAGCCACGAGAGCGGCGGCACGGAACTCAGTGGCACCACCACCGGGGGCAAGGACATTGCCGACGGCAATATCCTCGACGGCGCTGGGGTCAACGCCGCTCTTGTTCAGAACAGCCTTGAAGACACCGGCAAGCAGGTCGGCGCCTGCAGTATCCTTAAAGCCACCCTTACCACCCTTGGTGAGAGCGGTGCGCAGGGCACATGTCACGACAATATCATTGGGGTGCTTCTCGATGAGGGCGGCGGCTCCCTTCTTGCCGCCAGCGACGAAGTGGGAGGAAACCTGGTTGAGACGCTGCTGGGCTATATATAGAATTAGCTTGCTGGTTCTGCCTCGATTCTTATTTGCAACAAGCCATCAGAAACCAAGTATTCTATCGAATACAAGCCCATAGGCTGTCACATGCACAACACTCACCGTTAGACATGACGTCAATGTGTGATAGAGGTATAAGGATGGAAGAAAGGGCAAAAGTAAGGATAATAAGATATCTCAGATATCCGGGGAGCCGTTGGTTTATAAATCAGGGCCATAGAATCGGTGGTTTTTCCCGTTTGGGCGACCGTTGCTGGCCGCCATCGCACTCTAAGAAAGTACCGAGGTCCATGTGGCCGCATCATCCTTGATCCGCCACAGTCACGGGATCTCGACTGGTGGATCATGGGGCATGTGAAATCGAGTAGCCATATCACATGCGCGTGTTGATGGTCGGACTCACGTTTTGCGACATAGTAGATCAGCTCGGCATGGTACTTTTTCATATTTAAACATGATTTTAGATATTGTCTGCATAAACATTTTATCCTAAAAACTATCTCCATATCAAATATGTCTCCATGATTGAAAACGGTGGAACCGCTGAATTCTTTCTCGGGTTTTTCCTGAGTGTATAGAGTCATAGATCAGGAATGTGGATAACATCGCAACCAACTCCCCTGATAGCTCAGCTGGAAGAGCGCAAGACTGTAATTGTCTGTTCTGCAAAGAACTAGTCATCTTGAGGTCCTTGGTTCGATCCCGAGTCGGGGGACTTATTTTTGAATCTTTCCAAGATTTCTGTAAATCTTTTTTTTAAGGAAACAATTGAAACAACTCCAAACTCCTTCCCCTGTTGGATGGTAGTGGGGTTAGATGTGTGCCGTACTTGCATTACAGATGCATGTGCGGAATCTATGCAGCATGTTGGTACCTCGGTTCCTATACTATCACAGTCAAATGGATAACTTCCAATACAATACCCACGCACACCTCAGTCAAATGACATTTTCCTCCATGCGACCGAGAGATTTAAGTGTCCTCCTGTGCTGGATGCTTCTCTCTTATCCGTCTGGTCCCAGGACACTTCAAACCCTCCTATTCAACTTGTTGTAGAGTTGTATGTAGTTCACGATATTGTTTTGATTTAACACATCTCTCCATACTATCTAGAACTCTTAGCTACTACTTGTAGTCGAGACCAAGCTGCCTCAATATGGGTTGGAACATCCACATGAGTAATGAAATCACGCCCCTGAGGGCCATAACCATCTTTATCATCCCTCAACCTCGGTATCTCACCCATGATTAGTTCCATAAACCGACTTTGTGACCACAACTCCGAAGGTGGCAATATGTCTGAATACTCAATGACTCCGCTACTGGACAATTGCACCTGCGGCACAAATACCGGACAACTAATGATCGAGACCGGAGATTGGATGCCTTGATAAGCTTTTTCAAACGATGCCCTGGTCCTGAGCATCATCGTGGGATCTTGAATGATAATGCAAGTGGCTGGTGCCTGAAATCCGGCTTCGTCGAGGACCTTGCGAGAGAACGAGGCATTTTGTCCGCAATTTGTAGATCGGGATTCAAGGAGAATTTGACATCCTTCCTTAGTGATGAGAGATCGATCGAAGAACTCATCCAGAATTTGTTCGAGAACCTTGGCTTCAGGGAGACCTTGAATCTCATCGGCGATTCGTGAAAAGACTGGATGAGATTTCACTGCATCATAAAGGAGCTCGGTCGAGTGCCCGATGCCACCGCACAGTACGAGAGCTCTGGTAAGAGATGGCCTTTGCTGAAGAGTTTTGAAAAGGACCTCGGCACTGTGGAGAACGGCTGAGGCGCATATGACAATGCAGTCGGCTGGGGATGTGGTGGAGAGATCTTGTAGTTGATTGTCGCTGAGAAATTCAGATAGGAGATTGATATCCGCGACCATATAGGAATTTGCGGTCATTGTGGTTGATGTTTGATAAACTTAGTTCGTGGGTTGAGAGAAGAGACAGGTCTATGATGGATGAAGAAATGTATGGAAAAAATAAAAAATAAGTCCCCCGACTCGGGATCGAACCAAGGACCTCAAGATGACTAGTTCTTTGCAGAACAGACAATTACAGTCTTGCGCTCTTCCAGCTGAGCTATCAGGGGATGTGATTGGTTGGAGGACATATTTGTGAATTATACCCCATTCATTATTGGGCCTGGCTCCCAGATACCTCTCGTAATGTCCATTTTGACTGAATCACCACTTTGAAAGACTTGGTTTTTTGTCAAAAATAAAATATAGACTCACTACTTGGCTAAAATGGCGGTATTCAGACAAGTTGCGGCAAACTACCCTCCAGATAGGATTTTAGCTTTACTTAGTTTGCCTATCACCCGCCATTACAGCCGAATCTACTCCGTACATCATTCCAAGGGCGAGCAGAAGAAGTGGATTGTGAGCCAGAAACTTTGAGGAGATCAACACGCGGTGACATTCATCGTGTGACAAGGGCATAGCTTTGTCTGTTCCTCACACATTAGTCTTGTTAACTCAATGGTCCCGTGGCCATCAATCGTCTAATAAAACTCACTAACAGTCTAGTTAGATCATTTGGTATAAATGATATCGGCCACGGGTAGTATGTGGAGATTTAACAGCCTCTGATCGGCAGTGACATATCCCGTGTGATAGTTCCGGAAATGAAGAAGCGAAGCAAAAGTTCTTCACTAGGTTCCAGTATAATAGAAATCCAGGGTGCTACTGGGTATTGACCACTGAAATATTTGAAGAAAAGCCCGCAGGCTATATGATCACTTGTTGGGGACGGATGATTGTCTATGATGATTGTCTATGATTTGTTCAAAACTGTCCTCACCTATCTCACAATTTCCTTTGTTTTTCTGAACTGTACCCTTTTTTCGGGTGTGTTTATCTGTTTACCTGCTAGCCGGGGCATACACATTGACAGACGCAGGCACACTTCGGTAATCTCCTGCAAAGGCCCATTTCATGTTATAGTAGGTTCATGTAGATGAGTTTGGTGAGATGACCTCAACTCCGGCTGATCTGGTCGATATTTGACCCATTGTTGCAACATAATATTCAGGAGCCCAGCCAAGGTCACATTTCTGACTACATAATCTTACAGATCGTTTACTCGGCTGTCGGCGGTAGATCACGGAGTTCTTGTTCGATTACTCTCATCATAAGGCCGGCTAACTAATCACCAATAATGGCTTTGGAGCAAGAACTGTAGGGTCCACGCGAGGGCAGAGGTTCCACGGATTCCACGGGTTTCTTGGTGTAGCCTTGTGAGCTTTTGGTTTATTCGTTCTATTATGCTGCTTGCCACCTTTTTATTATCTCTTTTGAGATTCTGTCGTTCAAATATGTGAGCTTCATGGATATATATTTTACACGGGATGTGGATTCGCACCTATATGTTCCCTACAATCCGAAGCTGTACATAGTACTATACATCATCCATTCTAAAATTCCTTGGAAGGTTCGTCATATATGGGCTTGACTAGGGATAAACCGGGTCTTCGGATTTTTTGCCCGAAACCTCTTCCAAGGTTCTCCATCCACACAAGAAGACGAAGCAATCGCTTCTCATCTTGGCCTTCTCTCCTCATCCTCCCTTCTCGTCGCCATTATTGAAGCTCTCTATCAGATACACCTAATCGGCGAAGGTGCCAATTTTACACATAGCGTCGAATCCCGACAATCTATGTACTACCCTATCGTCAGCAGCCCAGCCAGCTGCTGGTCCATCCCATCTCAACATGCGGAACCCCGGCCCCTTCTCCGGTGAACCCGGGGAGAATGTGAATCTCTACGTGACACAGTGCAAATCTGCATGGCAAGCCGTCACCGACATGCTAGCAGAGGATAGGGCCCAAGTCCAGGCTATGACCTTGTTGGCAGGGTTGAGGGGACCGGCTCTAGCATTCGCACATACCCTCCCACAGGAGATCCAAGATAACTTCGAAGAATTTTCGCAACGGCTGATCGAGCAATTCCCCTTTGTGGGCGTTAGATGGTCGACAAGCTAGATGTATGGCTGCAAGCATGTCAACAAAAGTAAGGGAGCAAGTCGTGTGAGGAACACACCAAGACGGGTCGTGCTTTGAGTGACCAGGCGGGGAGAGAGAACTAAACAAAGGGTGCACAATCCTGGGTATCTGGCCTCAACGGCCAATTTGTCAGTATGGCCGCCAGAGCGATGTTCATCACGTGGAAAGACGTCACCATGCTCGGAATTATTAAGCTGGCTCATGGGGTCAGAAATTGCACACCAGCCAAAATAAATCATTGCTTGGGGCAGTCCGATGACAAGGGATAGCTCGTTGGATGATAGGAGGAACCAAGAGCTATGAGTCGGGGTAGATCCCTGGGAAAACGCACCTGCAACAGGCAAACAACATAGAATGCATTTAAATACTCTAAGATATTGAGATATGATTATTGGGGACTATGTATTTAGTATGTTTACCAGACTGCAGTTTGTTCATATGGGCCAGCCCGCTATTGAGCACACCTCTGAACACCCTAACCCATCCGAGCGATTATCAATCCCGATATCGCCCTACATTGGGGTCGGTCTCAAGATTAGAGAGGTTTGAGGACGTAAGGCTTTATGGCTTTGAGGGATCTTTGGGGAGTCTGTATATATGGCCAATGCATTGAGTCTCGGTATCATTCTCACGAGGCGACTCAATTTATCCAGTTACATGTCTGACATACAAGTATTTATCCATATAGTGAATTGTTCCCTAGCTTATCTTCTTCTATCGGATACATTTATTGCTCGGATACCCGAACAGGTAGGAGACGCGCATCAGTTGACCCAGAAGGTCTGCTTTATTCATGAGCAAAATGAATTTGAGTAGAGGAGAGAGTAGAGTTTAGCATGATTTGAATCAGTCATGTGATGAAGCAAGGATGTTGTTCTTGGGGCTGTGGATGCCAGCTATCAACACGGTAGCTAGCAGCTGGGCATTGTGCGCTTACATGTGGATGTTGCCGAGAAGCTCGGGGCCTCGAGCTCACTCATGAGGAACAGAATGAAATCTACCAGGACCTTGATTTCTAGGAAAAGCAGAACTTCTATAATCGGATTGAGTTGGCTTCTATCTGGGGACTACGCTTGGATAACGACGTGAGCCCTTTTGATCTCATCAAGTCAGCATGCGAGCAGCTTGATGAAAGTCATGTAGTGCTGATTATACTGACAATTGGGATGACGGCTCGTCAACACCAAAAAGATCTTGATTCATGTCGACTTGTCAAGTGCCAACATAGCTCTACCAATTGTTCTGGATATTGCTTGTTTTAAACCGATCGAATATCTTGATTGTTTGATACATAATTTTTGCCTCGGAGGAAGATACTTTCATTTAGTGAGATATATCAAATTGGTTGTCTGCCAAAAGTATTATGAATACGAAACAATTATTTCAACCTTTTATTTAGAGTCAAGAAAAAAATGGCATCCATGTTCTAACTTAACTGGCATACTGGTTGCTCATTGTAGTGTAGCACAGGCTATAATAACACAAGAACTACGGTAATAAACGATCTTTGCCGTGCGATCCCATCACTGACTCTCAAGTTCGCCCTGACCATAGGTAGGTAGGTATGTATAGTTATGTTGAACGTTATATGTAAGAACACTCTGATATGTTTTTGGGTGTTCTTTGTAGATATATACAAAAGAGGCCAAAATTCTAAACTGTGTATACCGTTGATACAAAAAAAAAAAAGGCTAGTTATCTCGGCAGATTAAATCCCATAAATACAATAGGGCTGCCTGTACTAAATAAGTTATATGAATAACTAAAAATTATAAAAAATAAGTCCCCCGACTCGGGATCGAACCAAGGACCTCAAGATGACAAGTTCTTTACAGAACTGGACAATTACAGTCTTGCGCTCTTCCAGCTGAGCTATCAGGGGAGGATATGTTAAAACCTCAAATAATAGACAATATAGCCCAAAAAAGGCCTCCTCCAAGACAAAGCACCCGGCGATTCACCATTCATATCCCCGAGGACCACCAGCCACTACATATACATACATTCCCACTCCAAGCGGACCGAACAAAGAAAGCGAGCAGATAACCACTCATGCTCCGACGCGCTTTAACCGCCGCCTCATCAGCGCGCGCACCCTCAAGCATAGTGGCAAGCATCTCATCCTGCAAGCTACCACTCACCCGCCCATCATGGCACCTTGTACGTGAACCTCGCAAGCAGGAGAATAGAACGGCTCCTGCCTCGTATCTCCAAGCAACTAAAGCAAAACTAACCGCAAATCTGCAACAGAGCCCTAGCACCACCCGCCTCTTCACCACCACCCCATTCACAGCCTTCACAGCATCACCACCAACCAAAGACCCCTCACCCTTCCGCCTCTCCGCAAACAAAACCGACTCCTCCACACCTCCCTCCTTCGAAGATGTCTATTACAGTCCTTATAAGCCGAAGCGTCAATGGCCACCGGATATGTCCAAGCTGTCCCCGAAACACCAGTTCCGGCTCGAGCGCAAATACCGCCGTCGCGCGGCGCTGAAGTATGCCCGGCCAACGTTTATGAAGGCTGTTACGATTGGCCAGTGGATTGTTATTGGATGTGAGTGTTTGCTGAAATTTTGGGTTTTGGTTGGAGATTGGGAACTGCGAATTGCGCATAAAACTACGGTGGATAATTGGATTTCGGGGAAGAATGCTGACTTTTTATTGCTATTTAGTTGTCATTATCTATTCTGTACTGTTCATGGAGTGGGAGACAAATGATACTCCGTTCCATGGAGTAAGTGCTTTCTGTGCCTTTGGAATTATGCGAATTTCCATCTTGACTAACATGATTCCGTCTCATAGATTCGGGAGAGCTTCTTCGCTGGTCTCCGGGCTATATTCTCCAGCGCACCGCCTCCCGGTGCGAGAAGAGACCAGAAGGATAATACAGCGTCCGAGGAGAGTCAGTAGTCGAGTCACATCGATTTGTGTGCTTGACATCAATATTTTGTACAATATTCAACTAGATTCTTTACTTGCATTTACGGCCCCGGTCCGGGGTAAGAAATCTCAAAATTCAATAAGAAAAACAGTGACGTTTCATTCAATTCTCATATCTGTTCATAGGTCGTTTGTCATGAAGAAATCCCGTCGGAAGAACAGGCGTCGCTGTACCATGGAGAGAAGGGGGAAAGAGACAGGGAAAAACCAACAGTCTGTCTCTTTCTCACTTTCTGCTCCGTCGCCTGTGCCAATATTTGGCTTCATTACATCATGTCCGCAGGACTTCTCTGGACAAGGAAATGCAATCAACATACCAATAACACCGAGAATGCCAACGCCAGAAATAGCAGACCACCAATAAACTCCAAAGGTCAAGTAAACAAAAAATACCAACAAAATAAGTTGGAGTGGGGCTGCTTGAGGTCCAGCCCTAACGCCGAGTCATGATAATGTGAAACCCAAAAAAAAGATAGGAAATAAAGACAAGAGAGGAATGGGAAATTCGTTAAATCGAACCGGGGGGTTGCGCACCCGGTTCTTAGAGCCAGCTGCGCAGTTCGCTCGATGGGGAAATCGGACCAGCTGCACGGTTGTCCGAGAAATCCAGAGCAAGCTCCAGCCTGGGCGGCCGCTCGTCGATCAGGCCTTTTCTAGGACTACCCGGTGCGGACTTCTTGGGGGATTTGGTGGGCGAGCCAGGTTCGCCTACTCGGGGTGGACCTTCACGGACAAAGGTATAAGGCCAGCCATCATCGGCGGCTGCTGCGACCCAGGTTCGTAGACAATCATGCACAGAAGAATAGAACTTCTCCTTGCAAGTACGCAGACTACCGCCCATGACTTTCTCAAAACCAGAGGCACGGAGCTCATCACGAAGTTGGTTTCGTTCATCAGTGGTAGGCAGGAAGGCAATCAAGCCGTTCACAAGATCGAGATGTGCCGCAAGATAGTTGGTCGCATCCCATTCGACACCGCCAACGTAGGGAGCAGCCGGAACAGGAGGACGAGGGACTGGGAAGTGACGCTCGTTGTAAGGACGAGTGTCTACTGATGTATTCTCACCGAAAACGTCCTCCGACTTAGGGAGGGGAATCACATTCAGGTGATGAAGGAAAATCCAGAAGACCTCCTTGGTCACGTTGGTGACCTCTTTACACCACACTCTATAGGGTCGTGACTGGTAAATATTGGCGATGAAGGCCAGCGGCTGGTTGTCCACTGGCGGTGCAGGGTCTTTGAGGTAAGAAAGGATTTGTTTGGCGCGCTTGGTCCCCAGTTCACCAGCAGGGGCAGTGGAGAGCTGCGTGAATAGCAGGTTTGCAATGATCCCTCGAGTGGTGAACTCACTGGGACCCTTCTTTTCCTCGTCAAAGAGCATATGCAGCAGAGCGGGGAAAAGCTCTTCCTCAATGGCACTGAGGTGTGCTAGGGCCGCAGATGTAGTGCACAGAGCCTTCAGGCAGAGCAATGCCTCGTGTAAAAGGGTATCTTCATGGTCCTCTCTGTAAACTACGTTAGCTACTAGCCTGAATGAAGGAGGAGACAGAACACATACCGCCAGGTCATCTTCATAATGCGGTAGAGAAGCTGTACAATCTCATCCATTCCCCCTTCAGTGATAAAGTCATTGACCCAATGGACGGTTTCGTTGCGTAGGAGAAGACGCAGTTTGTGCATCTTTCCCACCTCAACCATCTCGGGCTTTTGGATCTCTCTCAGGTAATGCACGAAATCGGAAGGATCCGCCGCGGTATCGACAGCAGCCGCATCAGCAAGTGATGCTGTTGAAGCATTGGCTGAGAGAGTGGTATAGACACCAACAGGCTGAGAAAGATCCACAGACTTTGGACGACGGCTTGATGCTTCACTATCCCGCCGCAACTTTTTCCCAGGCGACGAGGGTCCTTTAGTGAAGCTAAACCCGCGGCTCCTAGATCGTGATCGGGAACCTTTACGATCCTGAGATTGGGGATCTTCCTTGGATTCTTTGCCGCGTCCTCGACGGCTATCACCGGTTCCTGGGCTGAGAGGAGTAATGTTCTCTGTTCGATCTTTCTGGATAAAATCAGCCTTGATATTGGTATCAAGTGAGCGCATCTTGTCTCTCATGTTATGAGGAATATTCCTCGCATCCTAGAGGTCATAAGTTAGTCTTTGCAATTCAGATTAATTGTAATATAGTACGGCCAACAAACCAGCAGCTTCTCAAACTCGCTTTCGAGATCCTTGGAATTCAGATGCTGATGCACGTCGGCATCTCGCTCCTTTGCATTGAATACCGAGATAGCAGCCTGTACACGAGAAAGTCGCTTGGGCTCTTCTTTCGCCATAGTAGGGGGAGATGTTCTTCGTGGACTTGGTGGCCCTCTGCTCCTAGAGGAAGCATTATCAGATCGCCCAACAAGGTCACTTTCTCCCGAAGGTGCGCGCTGCAACCCAAGAAGATTTTTCACTTTGTGGTTTCCTGTTAGAATGTCTGACTTGGGGCGAGGCTTCGAGTCACTCGATTTGGTGAGGGAGGGTTGGTGGTAGTCATAGAAGTTGCGTTGCTGGCTTGGCCCGTAGCCCTTGGGCGTATAGAGAGAGACTTCGTCTGCCACAGTTCGTCCCATGTCGGCGGTCGAGTTCGGCCTCGATCGACCAATAGGCTCTCTATGAACCGAGGCCGAGTCCTGCGACCAGACTGGGGATGGCATATTGTCAATCAGGTCAGTCGGGCTGCGGTTTTCCTTATCGCGACTATGCTTTGAGCCATCCTTTCTTCCCCGTTGGGACCTTTTGAGGATGGCCGAGAGACTATTGGATGATTTGGCCTTTTTGGGCGACGGATTCTCATTCTGCAAGGGCGTCTCCTCCGATTTACCATCCTTCCGCTCCATATAATTTCGCAGAGACTTCAATGAGACAGCGCTCTTAGTCTTCTTATGCAAAGCTCCTTTTCTTTCCTTGCCCATCTTTGGCGTGGCCATTCCGTGGTCGCTCGCATCACGATTGGGGACAATCTCACTGAGCGGGCGGTAGCCGGAAATCAAACCAGGCTCCTCGCTAAATGGGGAATGGATGTTCTCGGTTGGCTTGCTTCTCTGCAGAGGCCGCAGGGCCATGGCATCGTCGGCTGATTGATTTCGTTTATGGGTTTTGGATGACATTATTGCCCGGAACATGGACTGTTTGGTAGGGGATCGGTTCGCATCGTCAAAGATTTTGGGACCGGAGGTACTCGCAGCCATTGCTATCCTCTTTGACCAGCAACTAAGTACATCTTGTTAGCAGATGAAGCATATGAAGATCTGAGGAGGGGAACGGGTAGTTGCAGTTCAAACTCACGGGATCTGTGCAAACAAACGCAGGACAGAACAGTAACGCGATCACAAAGAAGGGTGATAATCAAGTATAGCACCTAAATTTTAACAGAAAACACAAAAAAAAAAAAAGCGGGGAAGGAGATAGGTCTGGTGGAAGGGAAAAAAAGATCAGACGATGGGCAAGCTGGGGAATTTGAAGAATCAACGGCGTCTTGCTGCCAACAGCAACCGTCATCGAGTATCAAGATGTTGATCCACTTGCCTCGACTTAGCGCATGAGACGATCCTTGGGGTTGGCTGGATTGAAGGTGGAGGAGTAAACAACGTGCGGGTAAAGAGGTTGCTAGGGGCAACATAAGGACTTGGCGGTGAACATGGGGTTTATTAGCAGTTATTAGCCTTCTATAGTATTATTGAAGCCTATGAGAGCCAGACATGTCATATTGCATATTATTGCCCATTCATTTTTGGGGTAATTTTTAAGTATGCATATAGTCCTTGCTTCTTTTTTTTGTTTGTTTGACTGATTGTTATTGTTGTTATTACTGTTATTTACTATTATTACTAAATCCGGCTGGTTGTACGGAGTATATATATTTTGGATAGATCCTTGATTGACATCAACTTGATACATCTACTCCGTACTTTAAATATAAATGACATGAAAAAGCAATATCTCCAGCTTAATTATCCTATAGGGTATAGATTTTAATCATCATTACTCTTTGTTAATTCATGCCCAAGTGTGCCGACGCCGGGAGGACCTGGCCCAATTGAAGATAAACAAAGTCTCGTATTGCATGGAGTTAAGCCGAATAGCTCTTTAGCCACTTGGTTTTCCAAGATCTCCTGATCATAATTTATGCAAAAGGTCAACTGGTGCATGTGAGTATATGTGTATGACTCTGACCGTTTACTGTTTGAGTGGAATTTGATCCACAACCGTTTGCGACTTCCGGGAATTAAGGCGATCATTTATGCCCCAACAATTCTTATTTTCCTTTTTTTAAAAAAAGAACGTACGGAGTAAGAATGTAGAATGTAGAATTGTAAGATAAGCGGGGACTTGACTCCTTGGAGATCGGAATTCATGGTGTGAGACAAATCCGGTATAGAGTTTGCTGGTACCAGAACGGGGAATCAACGAGACCCGGACAGTTTCAGGCTCTCACAGGATCTCACAAGTTACCCATTGCATATTTGTCTTTGATTCTTGAGAACCCAACACTTAATATAAACATCACTGCAGTCATGAATTGCCCCTCGCGGACCGACGACACTCTCAAAAACCCGAGCTGGAATCAAAGCCCACCGCCCTTCAGCCCGGACACCACTATGCGGAATGACTTTAATGGTCTCGCCAATTCTAGAGTCCATCGAAGACATGCCAATTCTGCAAATGCAGTAGGAGATGATACGTTATCGATTGAAAGACCGAACAGTCGGCAAGACCGAGACCCTGGAAAAGCAAAGGATCCCAGCGGCGAAGTGATCGCTGCGGACTCGGGAGGTGATTCACCCCCGAGGAGCAGCGGATCACCTCGCCGCCCTTTTTTTACTTGTTTGACATCTTCTTCTCTGCACTGCGCTCAAAGCCTGGCTAAATTCAGCCGTTTCATCGGCCCTGGTTTCCTCATCGCAGTTGCATATATCGACCCCGGAAATTATGCCACGGATGTTGCAGCCGGTGCAGACTTCAAGTACGCCTTGTTGTTTATTGTTCTCATTTCTAACCTATTTGCAATTCTTCTGCAGTCCCTATGCATCAAGCTGGGCTCTGTGACTGGTCTGAACCTGGCCGAAAATTGCCGAGAACACCTTCCGAAATGGCTAGTGATTGGTCTCTATATCCTCGCAGAATCAGCCATTATCGCAACTGATATTGCAGAGGTGAGTGTCACATGTCACATTTTTGGTCTAGAGGCTTTTTATTGATGTACTGACAAAATTGAAAGGTGGTTGGATCAGCGATCGCGTTGAACTTATTGTTCAATCTCCCCTTGGTAGCTGGTTGTGCTATCACACTGGTCGATGTTTTTTTCATTCTCATTTTCTACCGACCTAATGGGAAGATGTGGGGGCTTAGACTATTCGAGTTCTTTGTCATGGCTTTGGTATTAGGTGTTGTTGTTTGCTTTTGCATTCAGCTCTCTCTCATAAAGGACCAGTCAGTTGGTGAAGTGTTCCGCGGATATTTGCCATCTTCAGCCATCGTTCAATCAGAAGGGTAAGTCTGTCTAATCTGCCTGTTCACTGCCCCCGCAAAAAAACGAGCTATGTACTAACGTACCCACAGTCTTTACCAAAGTTGTGGAATCCTCGGTGCCACTGTTATGCCACACTCCCTATTTCTTGGTAGCGGCGTGGTTCAATCCCGTCTCAAGGAATTCGACGTCAATTCTGGTTATGTGGATAGCTCCGTGCCTGTAGGGAACGCTGATGGTGAAGTGAAATATCGCCCATCCATTCATGCAATCCGCGGCTGCATGAAGTACTCGATCATCGAGTTGTCGCTATCACTTTTCACCTTCGCCCTGTTTGTGAACAGTGCAATCCTAATTGTCGCGGGTGCTGCTCTCTATGATGTTCCTGGCGGAGGCAATGCCGATCTTTTTGGAATTCACAGCCTGCTCTCTAAATCGATCTCACCAGCAGCCGGCTTAGTATTTGCTCTCGCCCTGCTACTGTCAGGCATTTCTGCTGGAATTGTCTGCACAATTGCTGGTCAAATGGTGAGCGAGGGGATGCTGAATTGGACTATCAAACCGTGGCTTCGAAGACTCGTCACCCGATCGATCAGTATCATTCCTAGCATCATCATTGCTGCAGCCGTTGGAAAGGAGGGCATCGACAAGACTTTGACTGCGAGTCAGGTTGTTTTGAGCGTTCTTCTGCCATTTCTCTCGGCACCTCTTATCTGGTTCACTTGCCTCAACCGCTATATGACCGTCCGGAGTGAAGAACCTTCCGAACGAGAGGGTGAAGTTGACGTGGTGACAGTTCCGATGCGGAATAGCTTACTCACTTCGGTGATTGCGGTCCTTGTGTGGCTTGTCATCGTTGTGATGAATGTGGCCCTGCTGGTTCTAGTGGGAATGGGCAAAGCATCCTAATCTCTAGTGATGCTTTCCATACCAAAGGTATATGCATCTGGGACGATAGAATGACCAAGCACGTCCCTTATTGCAGCGAAAAACTGATCTATGGAGCTTAATAATGCATATGTTAATTGCTATAATATAACACATGAATGAAACGAGAGCTTCAAATATGATATGAGCGTAGCTTATTGCAAGTTAAAATAAACACCCAATCAACTCCGCTGCCTGTACCTTGACACAGAAGAACACCTGGTTGCCGCCAAACAAAAGCACGCTTTAAAATTAGTCTTATCCAAGTCCGCCTGCGGCCTCCTTGACTTTATGCTGTTCCGGCGGCTCATCAATAAACTGTGGGGGAGCCACCTCATCCTGTAAGAAGCTTGGCATAGCACTTTCGCCCATGCTGCTCTCAAACATGGATTCCTCGCCAAGCGCCTCAAGCTCTGCATCCAACTCGGCCTCATCAACATCCTCAGGGACATCATAGGCCCGGGAGATACTTTCTTGAATCTCATTCCCGACCTCCATCAGATCTGCCATCTCATCCTGCATCTGCTCGATCTTATCGATGTCGACCTTGCCATACTGCTTCTTGAGTTCCTTGGTCGTGGTCTTCATCGCGTCCACCGTCGTCATCACATTCTTCAAATTATCCTGCATCATGCCCGCCTGCTCCATGTTCCATGATTGTTGGGAGAGTTGGTCTCGCTGCGCCTCGTATTGTTTTCGTCGCTGAAGGACCTTGAGCGCTTTCTGTCGGAGGGCATTCTTGCCGGGCCCGTCGCGCATCTTGGCGATCTTGGCTTGATATGTAGAGAGTTCGGAGTTAAGGGCTGCTAGCTTGACATCTATGCTGGAAACTCGAGTGTCGACCTGTTGTATGGTTAGTGGGGTATCTTGAGGGGGCGAGATGAGTGCCTTGGATCAGGCTTGTGCGGGCATCGTACATTGCTAATCGCACCTTCAAGAGTAGGCTTAGGGCCTGTACTCTTTGTGCCAAATAGCCGGTTCATGATGGTGGGTTGGGTTGTGTTGTTATTATTCAAAGGTGAAGGTGAGGGCAAATAGGCAGCGGACTTGGGACCGATTCCAGACCATGTGTGGCCAGTGCTCAATAAAACCGCGGTTGGTGGGTCGGGGTCATCAACCAATAGCTGGGGACAGAGCACTTTGTCAAGAGCTGGAGTACATATGGAATAAAGTACGGAGTACTACTCCGTAAAAAGCCCTGAATTATTTCCTAAGTACCTATACATATTGTGTACTGTGACTAGGTAGCTTCTTTCGCTTCTCGGCTTTCCCTTCCCATTTTAGTCCTCAGGCCTTGCCACTTTTTTCTCTCGCCGAGTAAAACCGAGCACGACTATTTATTATATAAGCTCACTGATCTGGGCAGGTGCGCAGGTGCCCTCTAGGGCTGATATCTTTTTTGAGGTGCCTCAGCTCTAAGATCCTCCAACTTGTCAACTTCGGCCATATTTCTAGTTGAGATCGCAAATGACCCATTCAATGACACCAAAGTGTAAGTAAGTAAGGCATCATTATCATTGGAAAAGTATCAAACTAAAAAGAAAAAAGTCATCGCCCGTAGGCGATCCGGCAACTTGAGATCAAACGGCACTCAAGCTGAGGATGGACGGGGATCCAAGAGGCAGTGCGCCAATGTCGCCAACGACAACCGCTAGGCCAAATACCCGTACATCCATTTACGTATACTGGGCAATGCCATTTGTCATCCCTGGTTATCATAGAAGGGTCGTCTACAGGGATTAGGCTTTATACCGTTTTCGTTGAAAACTTGCGAAAGTTGGTTCCCTAAACATGACTGTTCCATCTATCTTCGCACTAGGCCTAGGATTTGTTCCTATTATCTACATAGATCCTCCTCCTCTTCGGGATTCCCAGCCCTGGAGATCCTGTCGCGGATTAGTAGATAGCAATGGAACATATGTGTTCATTCTATAGTTCGTTAGTTTTAGGTGTGCTTTCTTGGAATTTAAGGATTGGGGAGGTCAAATGAAGGACAAAGGGATGGCACTCAACAACTGTCCCTCAATGAGCCAATTCAATGTTGACTAACTGGATAATGACTTTCAATCCATTCTCAGCATAGTCTTGGCTTGAATCTATCCTACCACCTGGTAGGTGAGGCGGCTCAAAATCACCGGGCCCAGGGAGTTGAACTGTGAAGTATTTGTCTTCACTTTCGTCAGTCTCTACCCAATCAACACCCTCGTATCAAACCGTCTCGTATGTAATTCAATTCTAATCGAGATTGACTTGAACTGCCCTCGCGATGCTCTTCTCAATAACTTCATAAAGGGATCGGATTTCCCAAGGAGGCAGGTTATTAATATAAGATGCGATGCGACAACCTTTATCTGTGAGCTCCACGTCACAGGGAGCCACTAAAACTGACGGCTGTATGGCTTCAGCTGTAGCTGCGGATCATTATCAAGGATACCGATATCCCAGTCAGCGAGTTCCGTGTCGCCTTCTGGGGGAAATCTGGGTGGGACACCTTGGCTCTTCTGGAAGCAAGCTTCGACTGCGATGATCTGATCTGGAAGAATGCGACTTCTCATAGATCAGCGGCAAAAAGGATGGGTATACCAGATTGACGAATTTATCATTGGACCCTGGATAGTAATCCTTTTGTCCTTCTGGGACATAATCTAGCGGGCGAACTGCAGACTTCAAGGCCTGCTGCAAGGAAACTTCGATTTGGGTATCTGAATTCACCACCGCGGTGTCGAAGGCAACTGTGCAGCCAGTTTTCACAAAGGCTTCCGCTTTCATTGGAGTTCTTTGATAATCTCATCGATCATTTTGGGGGCCGTTTTCGGCGAGTTCTCTGCGCCGCTTGGTAATAATTTCCTCGTCAAAAACTTGATATCTGTGAATGAATGACTTAAGAGGTGATTGAATTGTATACATGTCCATTGTGATGCCACTCGGGCTTCTCAGTGATTGAATCCATGGCTTGCATCATCGGAATTTCCCGATAGACGGTGAGACGACTGGCCTCGCCTTCAACTTTAGAAGGTACGAAAGTAAGATATCCCAATAATATTACTTAGTACAGGACTAGGTAGGGCTTTTAATGCCATGTCCTTCATTAATCGGAGTCCTATCTCAATCTAGGCAAGCTGGATGAGGCTGAGCAGATGCCTGCCCGGCCCTTATCTGAAAAAGCTAGGACAGAGCCACAAGTGCATTAAACCAAATTGTAGTCAATTGTTTTATCTAACAGGATATGGCTAGAGAAAAGAAGCGTTATATTCGAAAAGGAGTTCCCATAACTATAAGCGTAGGGAACGTCAGTTTATACCTGAGGCCACAAAACACACACGTGATCATAAAGTACGTTCGAATCGAAGTTTCAGTTCACATGTGCACATGGGTTTTATATCACTGTGTAACTTTAGCCTGTTTCACATTGGTGGGGAGATGTTTGCTATGCGATTCTACAAAATTCATATAGCAGAATTGTCAGATGATGTACTATCCGCTAGTATCTAGATCCTTGTATCATTGTGGCAGTTAAGTTGGGCTACAACGTGGGACAGGTTATTGAATGTATCTGTTACTTCCTTCAGCACACAAATGTGGCGGGGAAGGGTTGTACCCAGTACTCCGTACCCACCGTCATCTTGATGGATGCAGCTGACCCCATGATGAGATGAGATGGAAATTTAAAAGCACAGGAATAGATAAATAATATTTTTTTAAAAAACATAATAAACAAATAATTCCCATCAAAGTCACATATATTCAGGGATCTTTGTAGTTCATTCTTATCTGGAGGTTTTATCCCCGCGGTGATTACATACGTGTTTCCGCCCCTGCTACAGGGCTCGTGGCCATCAGGGATCGGTAATCGATCAGCACAGCTTCCCCGAAGCGGAACCTCTCTTTCTTCTCCCTTCAACTGCTTCCTTGATGGACAGGTGTTGAGTCGCCATTCCCGTCTCTTTCTCTGTGTGTGTCCCTCGAGTCTGTTCATTTTGACTCTCCAACTCCACTCGCCATTTCTTCATCTTCCCCTCTCCAAACCCACAGGGAGGTCCAGATTTCTCTCTTTCTTCGTCATTCCCTCAAGATTGAAGGTACACACTATCAAAAGCTCTGTCTTCTGGCTCAGCAGCTCCGATAAATCTCCCTGATCATATCCTCCCACTGCGTCTGTCGCACCCACTCGGTGAAGGCGGCTTGCTTCACGGGAACACATCATCGGGACTGCTAGTGATGCAAGCGTGTGAGCCCGATTGCTAATACATTCTCTATTCACACAGCGCTAGATCGCTTCAATTTTCAATTGGTTACATCTCGAGCTCTAGTCATTTATCGACCGTGACGGTCGACCTGACCCCACTCGACCTGCGCAACCTGGTCTCTGTGTGTGGACACCACGCTTGGCTTGCCGGTGTATCGGCCTGTCGTGCAATCTCTCCTGGGAACCCGATATTTCGACCAGCCCTTGTACCATAGACTGCTCCGTTACGATATCTCGGAGACGAACGAAACGAATCCATTTTATGAATCATTTCCCTCGGCTATATACTCCATCATGTTTTGGCGCTTTGGGGGATATGCGAATATCTCCACCATCGATACCCTGCTCGACAAACCCGATATCACTCTTGAGGAACTCCTGGATGAGCCCGAAATCATTCAAGAACTGAAACAGCTTAATACAAAACTCATTGAATACCTGCGCGAGGACCATGTCTTGAAACGGCTTATGGACTATGTCACTGCACCGAGTTTGGTGAGTGATGATGAAGAGAACGATGAAGATGATGCGAAAAACGCCTCAGAGAAGGATAAGGATGCTGCCGCTTCCGCGGAACAGACGAACACAGACGAGGAGAAGGAAGGGGATCCGCTGAGGGATATTCTTGACCCAGATGATCTAGACAAAGTTGAGAAGAATCGTCTGAAGCATGCTTATGTTGCCTGTGAGATTCTCTCATCAGAGACCTGGTCCATCCTTGAATCTATGATGGCCAACCCTTCATACTTGCGAGACTTCTGGGGCTTTCTGCGACGATCCCCACCTCTTGATTCATTGCAGGCAAGCTACTTCACGAAAGTAAACGAGACTTTGCTTGATAAAAAGACCGAGGAGATGCTGGGGTTCCTCAAGACCCTTGATGGAATTGTCCCAGCATTGTTGCAGCATGTTGACAACCCGATGGTCATGGATCTTCTTCTAAAAATTATCAGCCTTGAGAAGGCGGAAGGTGGCCAGGGTACCGTTGACTGGCTCAAGTCCCAGGATTTGATTCCCAATCTTTTGTGTTTCTTGTCGCCTGATCGTCCGGCATCTGTTCAAACCTCGGCAGGTGATTTCTTGAAAGCGATCATCACTATATCTGCAAATGCAAGCCCGAACGACCAGTCATGTATTGGCCCTAACAGCTTGACACGCCAGCTTGTCTCGACCCGGTGCGTACAGCAACTCATCGATGCTATGCTCATGGGCGGCAATCCCCTGACCGTGGGCGTGGGTATTGTAATTGAGGTGATTCGCAAAAACAATTCCGACTATGACCCGGAGTCCCTTGGCGGTCCCGATACAATGCTCACTACGTACGACCCTATCTACCTTGGAACCTTGCTACGTCTCTTCGCCAAACATATTCCCCAGTTCATGGCTCTCATTCAAAGTTCCCAGCACACTATTCATGATGGAAACAAGCTCAAGACTGTTGAGCGAGGAAAGTTGAACTCTGCATGGGGTGGGCAAATTGAGCCACTTGGTTTCGACCGATTCAAGACGTGTGAATTGATGGCAGAGCTGCTTCATTGCAGTAATATGGGTCTTCTGAATGAGCCAGGCAGTGATGAGTACGTCAAGCAGAGAGACGAGGAACGTGAGCGGTTGATCCGTGAAGGAGTTTTTGATCCAAACCAAGAGGAGCATTCCGGGGTTGATTGTAATGATACCACGGCTGATTTCGCAAACGATTCAGCCTTCAGTTCTGGATCACCAGAAGAGATCAAGATCACCGAAGTGCCACATGCAGGTGAAGAAGAAGGATTTGAGGATGTTGGTGCATCTGGTGTTTTAGTGGGTGCAAAATCTGGTGCCGACACAACGACTATTGCCAACTCGCAGCCAACGGAAACGGTCAGCGAAATTCCTTCATCGGAGATCACAGCAGCAGAGCTAGTGTCTTCTGAAGAAACCACAAATACATCTCAAAGTTCCACCGCAGCCATTGACCCCTCGTCGCCTACTATTGGTCTCCCTGACCAAGTTGGCAGCATGAATCTGGAAAACGAACAAGGCCAGCAGAAAAAGGATAGAAAGGATAACCAAGATCCCGTGGCTTCTATCTCTCAAGATGTTCCGGCCCCTCTATTTTCGAAGGAACAAGCATCGGAGTCAAACTCAGCCCCTGCCGATCAATCAGAAAAAGTATCTAGTGTTACTGCACAGGCCGAGGAAACAAGCATTATGAATGACGGAGGCGATGCAGATTCAGCCGAACAATACATCCAACTCGATACTAACGGACAACCCGTCGTCGGTGATTACTTGAAGATCCAGTTTGTGGAGAACAAAGTGGTCCCAACGATCCTGGTTAGTATCTCTCTTGGAAAAGCCCGAGAACCTAGGCTAACCATTGATAGGGCTTCTTCTTCCGTTTCCCGTGGAATAACTTCCTTCACAATGTTGTTTATGATGTGATTCAACAAGTTTTCAATGGGCCCATGGAGCGTGGCTACAACAGGGCACTCGCAGTCAATGTCTTTGACATCGGACGGATCACCAACGCGATTGTTGAAGGACAGAAGCGCAGCGATGAGACTCAGCGGACCAAGCAAATCCGTCTCGGATACATGGGACACCTTACTCTTGTTGCGGAGGAAGTCGTTAAGTTCAGCGAGCGTCACCCGCCGGAGTTGCTTTCACGGGCCGTTATGGAGAGCGTGTTGAATCCTGACTGGATTGAGTACGTCGAGCAGACTTTGTCAGAGACTCGCGAGCGGGACAATGCCATTCTCGGCGGCGTTCGTCCTGACATGTCGGTTGGGTCTCGCCAGACTAGCCTTAACAACACTAACGCTGGCCAAGGCTTCTCTAACTCCAACGCTCTGGCAGACGCAGGATTGAATGGAGGAATCGGTGGCTCAACCTTCCAGAGCTTCGATCTCGGCCAAGGAAGTGTTTCTGGTGGAGCATTCGGTGGAGGTGGCACCTCCCTTTTGAGTGGCTTTGCCAGCTCAAGCGATGACGACGAGGACGAAGAAATGGAGGACCAGGACGACAGAGACTCCGGCAATGCCGATCAAGGTGACACTGACAATGTGGGTGACCTCTTCCCGATTGACGTGATGCACAATCCTTGATCGACTCCGTGCATTCCCCATTATCTTCCCCCTTCTTCTGTCCTTCCCAGTTTCGCCGATCATCTTAATACACCCTATGTATCAAAAGCCATAGCAAGAGGCGACGGAGCCAGACTTCCGGGTAGAGTGCTTGATTGCTAGAGCTCGTTCAATGGAGCCATCGACCTCCTGCGGAGATTTGGAATCTCCCTGCCCATCTATTTTACATTGCCCCCCTTGTGTAATTACTGTGATTTTGACTGAAACTAGTCAAATGTATTGCTATCTTTACTAACGTGACTTTCTCATAGGTTTTAACGAGTTCAGCCAGCCAACCTATTCCTATCTTACCCCCGCCACCTGCTCCATTGAGCCTTGGTCCATCACGGGCACGCCGCCAATTAGCCGCGCGCCTTGCCGCCCAAAAGCAATCATCCGAAAACGAAGATGGCGACGAG